CCCCCCCCCCCCCCCCCCCCCCCCCCCCCCCCCCCCCCCCCCCCCCCCCCCCCCCCCCCCCCCCCCCCCCCCCCCCCCCCCCCCCCCCCCCCCCCCCCCCCCCCCCCCCCCCCCCCCCCCCCCCCCCGTACATTAGGGTGCCGCAGTGTAAAGTTCCGATCGGCTTATAAATAGTACATGGGGTAAACTTTTCTGGGTTATTGTGGTTCCGTTGCCCCCTCAACTGCCCCACCAATGAAGTTTGTCGACCTTGATAGAATATCACGTTCGATATCTGTAATAATGATAAAGAGAGAATCTATCGAGATTGGATAAGAGTGGCTGGTGCAATCTGAGCTGCACTGGTTAGAAATTTTTCAACCCATTAAAGTACAAAAAATTGTAAACGTATATCGGAACATACTATGGTCGACCATATCCGCAATTCAAGTTCACCCGCATGCACTCCTTATCTTAATGGTTGTACTATCTTAATTTTAGGTTTAATGTTTGTTTTCCTTTCCCCAACAATATTATTGTAGGTTCTTGTAAACGCATGTTCCCCGACATGACGCGCGATGCGCTTAATAATTTCGACCTATCTGCAATAGAAGAAGACCAGTTTTCGATTCCTGTATATTGTGATCCAGTTTAAACTTAATGGTAAGTTCTGGTAAATGTAATTAATGGCAACGTAAAGTGAATATAGACCATGTGGGGAAAAATCATTACAAAGCAAAACCGTCAGCTTGATAAGATCTAATAAATGGAATCCTGAATCGTTTATTGTCTTATCTTGTTGCTCTTGTACGCAGATCTTTCAACTTTTCATTATATGAAAAGTCGTCCAGATTATAATAGAACAGACGATTCTTACTTTGCTTTGATGACTCTGTAGTGTCTATTTTGTCTATGAATTTATTGTTTGTACACTTTGTTATCCCTTTGAGTGGTACTTGATTCCCACCATTCAGACTATGCTAAATCTCTGGGTTTTGTGTTATTCACGTCCTATCTTTTGCGCTACCATATACGACTCGCCAAATCTCTATATTTCACGACGTATAGTTCAACGTTAAATCATCTATTGGATACTCATTATCTGAATATAAATTATATCATGGCGACCCATAATATGGCACCGCCTGGTTCTGTGATGCTTGCAAAGGTCAAGGGTTACTCTGCCTGGCCAGCAATGGTGCTTGACCCTGATCTACTACCAGAGAATATCTCAGCTTTAAAACCTAAGAATGGAATCAATTTTACACCCGTACGGTTTTTTGCTGATGACACATATATATGGATCAAGAATGCAGACTTAAGGGAGCTTTCAGTTGAAGTCATTCAGGATTATCTTAAAAAGCATGACGATGAACCAGCGGAGCTCAAAAATGAAGATGACGGCACCAATTCAATGACAAGCGCATCGGAAGTTGATAATACTGCATTGGTTGAGCCAGAAACACATAAACCATCAAAAGTAACACCAATTAAGAAGGCAAAGAAGAAGAGCAAGAAGGAGGTACTCCTTCTTGAGGCATACAAATTAGCAAACAGCCCTCCTCCCATGGATACTTTTGTAAAGTATGGATCTTTAGGCGAACCTCCAACTGTTGAAGATTTTGAAGCTGTTGAATTGGAAGAAGAAAGCATTAGTGAGTCAATGGAACAGGACGATTTCATAGAGGATGAAGTTGAAACTCCCAAGAAGTCTAGAAAGAGAGATGTTTCATCAAACCCAAAGACACCTGCAAAAAAGCAAAAAACTTCAAACGCATCAGTCAAAACCAAAGGTAAAGCAACGCCAGCTAAGAAGGGTGCTACTTCCAAAAAGAAGAATACCAAACAGGATACAAAGAAATTAATAAAAACAGAAAAATTATCACCTTCTGTTGAAGACGATGGCTATGACTCAGATTGGGGCGTTGAAGAGACTATTGAGGAACAACGGTCTGAGGGCAATTACGTATTTGAAAACGCTAAGGAGCAACAAAGGTTTATCAGTACATTTCCTGCTAGCCAGGATATAGTCAATCTGTTTAATAAGTACAAGAGTATATTTGAACTGTTGGAGATTGGATTAACAAGAGATTTATTGCTTCAAGAGAAAGGTTTTGAAAAGGAGGTGAAACTGAAATTAAATGAAGTGGAAAAAATTGTGGATCATATTCCAAAAGTTTTAATCAACAAGAGCCGATTGTTGAAAGTACTCATTGTCACTGTTAGAAATCCCAACTTTGGTGATGATTCTCTAAGAGCGAAAATCCAGAGTCTTCTACAAAGTAAGTTTGGAATAACTGTACGGGTGAATAATGAAGATGATTTTCAAAAGATAGATGACGATATTAAAAAGTACAATGGCACCAATACAAGCACGCCTGTTTCAATAAGTGTCAATAATAGCACTAACAGTACACCTGCTCCATAAATATGTATATTTTTCATTTACTACTGCTATGAAATCGTTCGCGTAAATTTCAAAATCTCAGCGTAAATCACAGTATGTCGTAAAGATTCTCAATGTGGAAAACAATTTTTCTCATATAAGAACCAGAAAGGAAATCAAAAACGAAAAATTCAATATTCAAAGAAGACTCCTTTTTCTTCTTCTGGAATATTCACGTTCAAGCTACCCTAAATAAGAAGGTATGTATAATGCTGTTCTCACATTTCGTTATCGGTCCAAGAAATGTCACGTACATCACTCGATACTATTATAATTAAATATAAGAAGTTCCAATATGATTATACCTATTCGTCCATTCCATTTACTATTGGCTGATTTTCGTTGGCAATTGAGTTTACTTGACTCCACCGTCTTGACTTCTTCCAACTTGCCCCCTAAAGTTTTCCCGTTTCCGATCCTGCCTCGTCTTTCCAAATTAGTGTGCAATAGTCACGACTTTCTATACTCGGAAGGACGTAACACAAACAGAGGGACGTGCACCTTCTAACTGTTTTGGAAATCAATACATTTGCGAGTTTTACTTTTGTGAAATCCTCTACACCCTAACGATTCCATGGTGCAAGACTGCAAGTAATATTACCATGTTTCCGAATATAGAAATCAGAACCATTGCTCAAAAGAGTAACCTGAAACAGATAGCTTGGGGATGTTTTACCTGCTTATTATTGATAGGCGTCGGTTGACATCCGTCAATATGCATTCACCTTTAAGTGCGTCTTTGCATTAAGTTCTTTTACCTTATTACTTGTTTCTATTTCTGTACATGATATGCCTATGTGTGATGGGCTAAACATTCCAAAAGTGCTTGTCTGTGTGGTTGTATGAACCAATGTTACCGAATTGGGAAAATGCAGGGTTTAGATTGACCATTCAGGACGCCTTCGCGATCATATTATCTGCCACTTCCCCTGACACCAAAGAACATGTTCCTTATCAAGGAATTACAAAATACTGTTAGCATCAAGGTATACTTGATTGCAGTAGTGATGGTCAACAGTTAATAATGATACGAAAAATAACACTTCAGTAGCTTTTACAAAGTCTTATTCATGCTTAGGATCGCTCGTCATTGGTGGTGCTTTGCATAGTTGTCCTTTTGAGTATTTTGACAGTATGTTGTGAAGAAGCCCAGATATTAATTAAGTTCAAGGCGTTTAGGTACACAGTGAAGCACATTTTATCATATGGTATTGATAGCCATACTGTTTTAGAGCGAAGTAAGGGGTTGAATTATAGATTGTTACCGTATTCAATGTGAAATGTCTTACTTGGTTTTGCTCTAGTTGGTATGCAGTTTGTCGAACAGTCTACGGTATTAGCAGATTTTGATAACTTTTCAATGATTTTTCGTTGATCTTGTTACTATGTGGGACACATTTCCTTACCCTTTAGGACTAAAAATTTATTACAATCACCGTGTTATCAGTTTGACACAAAATTATACGATGTGCTACTATAGGATTCTCTTCCATTCACAATTGAATTCAAAGTTATACAAAAAATCAAATCGTATTTTTTAATTTGTTGCACAAAACCAAATTTGGTTGAATTTTGTGAAGGAGGGAAAATTTGGACTAATGGGTGAAGAAACAATTGAAAACAACAACAAAAGCCAAACTTGAAAAAGGAAGAACAAACGTCTTTGATAGTGAGGACTTTCATACTATTGTTTCCGATTGAAGTATCATCATCAACTTAATAAATAGTAATTGTAAGTGGGTACATCTTTTGACGAATATTGAGTGTGAATACATTTTGGTCTCAATTGAGAAAATATCTTACTAACTATTAGAATTTAGCAAAGAATGTCTGACGCAACAGAGCCCAAGTTGGCTAATGATCAATTCCAAGGTGGTGCTGCTGGTGGTAATGATGGTGGGTTTGCTAACGCCTCTGCCGCTGGTGGTCCCCCAGTAGATGATGATGATGAAGAAGGTGGAAGTGGAGGTAAGCATCTTAAGGAAAGAAGAAAGATTGAAATTAAATTTATTCAAGACAAATCTAGACGTCATATTACTTTTTCTAAGCGGAAAGCTGGTATTATGAAGAAAGCTTATGAGTTGTCAGTATTAACAGGTACTCAAGTGTTATTATTAGTTGTTAGCGAAACTGGGTTGGTTTATACTTTCACTACACCAAAGCTACAACCATTGGTGACAAAGGCAGAAGGTAAGAACTTAATTCAAGCATGTTTGAACGCTCCTGAAGAAGGCTTAAATGATGAAGGTGGTGAACAAAGTGACCCTGGTGACTCTGATCAAAGTCCTGCTCCTCATTCTACTCAGAAGGGAGTTCCCACTGGTATCCAACATGCAGCTGCTGCCGCTGCAGCTGCTGCCGCTGCCTCTCAACAACAGGCTGCTCAGCAGCAAGCTACTCAACAATCTAGTAATCAACATCTACCACCACATTTAGGTGGCATACCTCCATACCAACAACCACAACAAGGAGGTATACCCAACATGCAACAACCACAACATCATCACCAACAACATCACCAACAACAACAACAACAACAAGGATATGCTGACTACACATACTTCAACAATTTGCCTAATGGAAGTATGCCCAATGGAAGCATTCCAAATCAACAATATCAATAAGAGATTGCAGAGTTTCAGTTTAACGATTTGACATTTACTCTTTCTAGCTTTTGTTGTATTATATTGTCCTCACGACTTTAACCTTTTTGTGTACAACAGCAGGCTGATTACCACTTCTGTTATGACTTGCAATTATATTCTTTACTTCTCTAATTTTTATTTTTGATTCGTGTTGGTGAGTTCTCACTGTTATTATTGATATATTCTTTTCACTTTAAGAGACTTATTCAACATAAAATACGTTTACGTTTGATTAAAAAGCCTGGTTTGACAATGTTGGTAGATGTGTTATGTTTGGCTAACGAATTCGTCAGGGATTTCCAATACTTCGATTTTTTGTTGTATTTTTTTATTATTTTCAATGCTGTTGTGTTTACTTCTTGAAGCCTATAAATTTAACTGTTTGCTTCACTTTTATGCTTATATATGTATTTTAAGTATGTATATAAATGTGTACCATTAACTCGTCTTTTACATTGTTTCTGATGAATTGAATTACATACTTATAGGTAAGTCTGATTGAAAATTGAATCTCTGCGCTACAAAAGTTGCTGTCTACCTTAATATTTTGTAGTTCAGCATAGAGAAAGCCGATATGGCATCATAAGATTTATGATAATTGTGCTTGTGACGAGCAGTATACTTTTATTTTTGTTTACGTGTTGAAACAGTCGTGGGAGCGCTTACTACTCCTTTTGAATTGGAGTAGTTCTACTGCGTCTAAGCTGACGTTGAACAAACAAATCCTGTTTCAAAAACCGATTCTTGATCTTTTATTGTCAAAGAGGCATTACCAAAGCCACTATGTTCGCCGTATAAAATTCTAGTCTAAATTTCATGTATGTTGCGTTAAGTATGGTTCTAAGACATTTATTGTGGGGATCTTATTGTAGATTAAGGCAAAGACGCTTGAACTTTGAACGAACGTAGCATCTAGGGACAATAATAATGACGCGCTAGTTGAACGCTACAGAAGAATGTATATAATTATAATTGCAAGAGAAAATAACCAGAAGAATTAATTTTGAAGATGTCACTAAGGGAGTTTTAAGGTCTTTTCAATTTCTTGATGCTATTGAAATTAAAACATGATTGTGGTTACAACAGTACCTAACTTACGGCTTCTGCTAAAAATTCGATTGGCATGGTAGAAAGGATAAGTGATGATCAATTATTTACCCAGAATGGGTTAGATAAATTCGAATCAATATCTAGATCTTGCAAAAAGTCATTGTTGTAGTTATTTATTGCAGAAATTTTAGCATTTATGGATAATAATTGGAATCTTTACTCAATTTTATTCTGATCATGCCTTATTTATTATCGTGCATTGAATATTGTAATATTAGTATTGTTACGTTAGGTAATTACTACTGGTTGGCCTGAGTTCATCCACTATTGTCCCGAAAAAAGTTTACTCTGATATGTATGGGTGTTTGTTTAGGATAATTTGCTTAATAGGGGGGTTTTAAGCTTGCGCCAAGTTGAGCTTAATGGATGTTTAGAGGCATTCTCTAAACGAAGCAAAGGTAGTAGGCGTAAGCATTTTGACGTGACAAGAGATAGGCCGAAATAAACTAAAGGGCCAGGGCGAACAATTAAGTCTGCATCTCCGTATCGGGTGTAACAAAGGCGAGAAACGTCACTACAAAATGCCAGAGCAATTCGGACATCAGACACTAATAACAGAGCGTTTTGCTGGTAAAACGTCAGAGAGCATTTTACAGCAACTCAAAGCTTCAAACAACATGGTCACCACTCTAATACGTTTGATTGACGGTCTTTCTTCAATCCGAATTTATGATATGCCACCAGGTCCTTTTTTTCAACCTCGGGGCTACGCCTGAATTCTTGTCTGATTGGTGTTCGTCATACGTTTCTGTGTCAGCCAGTTTGTGTATGTAATCAAACATTCGGTTCGGTTCCAAAAATCTCTTAGTTGCCATAGTCTGACTTTCCTTATCTGCATTCAAGCAGTCCCACTGAGCGACTACAAGAATCTGACTTTTTTTTTCTTTAACGCTCTGGTTATGTGCGTATTGAGGGCTGGACCTGATTTGATCCACCGTTCCTTCCTAATTGACCTCAGTTTGCTCAAATGAAATTAATAAGGTGAGGCCAAAAACTTTTAGGTCTTTTTAATAACGCTAGTTGATAATATTTAGATTGTTCAAGTGACACTAAATATGAATGGTGGTACTTTATTTCATTTACTTTCAGTGGTGAACTGTACCAGCGTGCGAAACCATTCGATTGTCGTTAAGGGGTGAGGGTAACAAAACCAACACTGATTGTACCATACTCTACCGCTTAAGGTGAAATCGGTTAAAATCTTTAACAGCTTTATACTTTCTAAGGAAAAGTATGTAAGCCAAGAGTCTAGACTAAATCTGGAGATCACTCTGTGTGTAACCTTGGCCTGGGACTATTAAAGGAGTCTAAATGTTTGCTTTGTTATGCCAATACAGTCGACCATAAAGTAGCAATTGAGGATGCATTCACTCACAATCCAAAAAACCACCCAGTAGTAAAGTTAATCTTTGATCATTTTACTTGTAACGGAATGTAACTTGACAACTTTCGATCTTATAATCGGTCATTTAAGTTCTAGTGCAAAATTAATATAAAATGTAAAACCATTCAAGTTTCTATTTGACAAACAATGGAAGTTCCACCGTTGAAGTGTCGTGTCGTGTCGTGTAGCAAACCGGTCCTCGCCGACATAAAAATAAACAGTGGCATGTGTAACAATAGAAAGTGTACACACGCTATTGATTTTCCCGTTGTTTTATGTCACTCATCCCCGAAAATGTAAAAGAGCCCCACAAGTCACAAGTTAAAACCTGTCCTGTTAGAAAGTTAGTGTCTGTTGTAAAGTGGTTGGTGTCTGTCGCCACTTCTGTTTTGGGACGAATGTCAATTGCTCGAACTGTAATTTCTGCATACTATGCCACTCCATATTTCAAAATGGACCTGAATCTCTCTGTTATATGTTATATAAAAAGTGGTTTTTACCATAAACTAATGACAACTTTCATTTCGCCATTGGGCTTCTTCTCAATTATAGTTTTGTTAGCAGTTTTTTGGCGTCAACCTAGCTATATTACAGTTTAATTTCCCTACTTTCCACCACTCGAGCATTATCTGTTACTAATTCGCACATTGGTGGCTTGAACTTACCCAGCTTATAGTCATAGGCTGATTAACTATTGCAATTCGAGTTGCCTTGCCCCTATACTATTCGGTATTAAATATCCCTAAAGACTTGTGTTTCCAATAATCATGCTGCAAAATACTTCTTCATGGCAATCTGGCCACATACCCTCCTCCCCAAGTTTGCAATCGAATGCGCTATACTCAAACGGACAAACGGGACCAAATGTGGCAACGTCCAGAAGGGAATCAATTTGGAGTACTGGCTCGAGTAGAGGTATTTCATCAGTCACACCTCCATCTTCCTCATCCCCAGTTAATTCTCTGGCTCCAACATCTTCCAATCCACAGACTCTTCAAGGCCCAGCTTGGCTGCTGGTGTTCGGGGCTTCGTATTCACAGCCATCCCCACAATTTCCATCTCAAGGGGTTTTTCAAATACCCCAAGAGTGTCAAACAACTCAAGCTCAGAGCATGTCTACATTCCCTCAAAGTTTCCAAGTACAAGGTGTTCAGCCATTGGGAACTAATAACGTTCCCCAAAATCCTAATGATTTGACTTCTTATAAGAGTACAGGCTTTTTGAGACGCCATTCTGTAAGTGACACTTATTATATCCAAAGACAGTTGGCACAACAACAATTGCAACAGCAGCACGCTCCTCAGTCTGCACAAGCACACTACATAAATCATCAACAACCAGCATATGCCTATAATGTGCCCCATTACACCACTAGTCGGAAAGGAGGATCATTTAGCACCGGCGCAGTGCCAATGTCCGGAGGACTAGGGCAAGGGACTATTGGAGCCCCTGTTGCATCTTTTGGTGTACAATCTGAAGGTTACTCATCTGGAATTAACTCGAACAACGTTTCTGGTGGCGCACCTGGTCCTACGGGATTGCGGTCCTCAGTTGGATATCGCAGTTCTAACAATTTTACGTCGAATGTGAGATCTACGTCACCTCACACGAAAGATCCCGATTATACCAATAAGTTAGTAAATGAATATTTTGAAACTGATCCACACGAGAGAGTCAAGGTCACTGTTCAACTTTTGGAAGATCAGTTTTTTGATGAAGTAAACGGGTTTGTTTCCGGAGGCATTGAAATGATTCAATTACCTAAGATGCCTCTCGATAACCCTCAAAAGGGTCACCAGTTGGCACTTGTTGGGTTTAAAGCAGGTAGAATTGATGTGTTTGCACTTCCTTCGGAATTAAATCGAACAGTAAAAGTCGGCGATTTGGTGATTGTCGAAGCAGATAGAGGTAAGGATTTAGGTAAGGTATGCAAGATGAATATTTCTATTGATGAGGCAAGGTTGATGAAATTACTACAATTTCAAGAACAACAATTGGCTTTAAATGAAGATATTCCATCTCCAAACGTTCGGCACCTCTTGCAAGGCGGCAATAATGGAGGTTCAACAAATGACTCTGGAAGCACACACGCGCTGGGACATCATGCTCAATTGCCACCGGTTTTACATGTTCCCAAGTCAATCATAGGGCTTGCCACGCAAAATGAAATTTTGCAAATCTTGAACAAGAAGCAAGATGAAGAAAAGGCTTGCCGTTTATGTCTTGCTAAGATATCAAGCACTATTGCTAATGCTAATGCTAGTGCTAGTCTTAATGCTAATGGTCTGTCAGGAACAGCAACTACTCATAATGGCAGTAATTGTAAAACAATAACGCTGGATTTGATGCAAATGAAGTTGATTGATGCCGAATATCAGTTTGATAGGAAGAAGTTGATTTTTTATTATCTGACATCCAAGCGTATTGATTTTAGAGATTTGGTTAGGGAGTTATTTCGAATTTACAAGACACGCATTTGGATGTGTGCTGTTCAGGGAATTCCATACATCCCCCACCATCATTACAAGAGCAATAGCTTTAGTCATACTAGCGGGGGTGTTACTATAGGTCATGGAAATAGTAATAATGTTTCCAGCAATATCAATGGTGGAGGGCACACCAATGGTTACAATAAGGCTACTCGATCATCCTCTGGTAGTATTAATGATCGGAGTGCCAGAAGTAGTTATGATGATTCAAGCAGTAATCACATATCACCAATATCTACCAGCGATGATACATTTACAGGTGTTCCATCGAGCACTAAGAGTGGACTGGGTGGTCCTGATATTCCATTTGAGATTTTAAGCGTTCCTCGCAACTTTAATGAGACTGGGGCGTCAAATGTCAATAATTGTTCCCCTGATCGTTCGATGCCTGGCGCACGTAACGAATTGGACGAAGATATAAATTTCGTAGAGGGTGAATCATTTGTTTTGAAGTCATTGGTGGATCAAATGAACAATTGAATTGAACATGGTTGTTTTGTACTTTTTTGTTTTCTTTGAAGAGTATCGTTTGATTTTTTTTAAAAGGGAGGTTCCAATAGTATTAAATTTGGTGTTTGCTTAATTTTTTTTGTTATCATTTAACCGTACTAACAATTTGTTGTTACAGACAGGCAATGATTACACATGATTACTTAAATTTAGAGTCAAGGTAAAGATGAATGGTTTTGAATCATTATTGTGCTTTTATAAATAGAACTATAGGTTGCTTGTATCCGTTTTTTAATGACTAAAAACAATACCATACTTTTTATAGATTATTATGAATGCGATGTTGCTACAAGTTATGGCTTGCTTAGTATCAAGTTTTCGCAGCCTGAGTAGACGAACTGTGGGTGCGAAATTGGTCATGACCAAACATGGATGATCGATAAAAGGGGTAGTAGACTAAGCATAAAAAATGGACGCATACGAAGGTAATGCTATACAGGGTAAGTTCTAGGAACGACGTGCAAGATTGCTTAAAAATAGTTAAGTCATAAGGGGTTTTGTCGTCTATGAATAGTTCGAGCACTTTATACAGTAAAATAATAAAATCAGGAGAAAAGTATCAGATCAATATGCGAGCTAAAGATTTGGAATCAAGCTGAAAATTCATCAAAAATAAAAGGGGAAGCGGGGCGTGGGAGGGAGAGGTGAACCATGCCGAAATCTAGAACAAAAGCTCCAGAAGAATTGAATGGAAACATTAATTGAAGCAAAACTTCAACAACTTCTGCCTGGGGCATTGAGGCATTAGCGGAAATAAACTAACGTGTAGCTAACCTCAGCCTTAAGACACTAGGACCGTTGGAGCAAATAAAATACCACATTATGAACTAGGGGCGTGGTTTGGCTGATGATGTAGGAGGGAGGAGTAGGACAAAGAGAACCGATTACTAAACATCCGAGTCGTGGACCACCCAAATACGGATCAGAGTCAAAAAAAAACAGAGATGAAAATCGCATTCGAATTCTGTTTTAGGATAATCCGTCCCCCTGATATTCTCTTAGACAACGGTGACTTAGTCCCGGTTTAGGGAGATCCACAAATTTTACCATAGTAAAGCCTTTCTATGTTGCAGTTTTACGTGGTATATTAAGTTGATGTTCCCATGTTATATTCATAAGGTTGGCAGCATCTAGAAATTCTATAATTCATTTAATGGTAATGCAGCACTGATTAAATGTACCTTAGCATTTGGCTGGTACTCCACAACACCATATTTCCGGCCCGACTTATGAGGTTATCTTTTTCTCACCTGCAGGTTCTACGTAAAGAACGGCGGAAGATACAGTACCAATATGACTAATCCATAATTTAACTTGCCCCATGTTCTGTTTCAAACGTACTACCAAAATGTCCCAAAAGAGTAAGTCAAATCTCCGAGAAAATTTTTTTATTTCTATAGTGACTAAATAAATAGAGGCACATTTCTCATACGCCCAAACCGCGGTAAAGATTTTCAACTGTCATCGGATATCAACCTTTACATCTTGAACAACTAACTAAATTTCTTTCTGGGAAAGAGTATTTTGCTATTATAACCTATAGGTTGACATATAACTTTGTTTTGATACCATCACATATTTACTGGTAACCATGGATTTCCAACCTCTTGATTATTTGAACGATTTGAACTTGGTAATAAATTCACCTGTGGTTGGTGATAACACCAATAGTACTAGCCCTAACGGAGGTGCTTCTGCTGATTTAGCCATGTTTAGCCATTCAGACTTTTTTGACTTTGATGTCTTGGGTCAAGATAATATAGTGCCTATTAAACCATCGGTTACTACTCAAAGCAACGAGAGTAACTCTACTACCAATAATACATTTCAATTTGAAAGTGAAACTGATTCATATCAAGTTTCTCAATACCCTGAATCTGCAACTACAGTATCCAGCATGGAGCAAAACACATATAACCAAAGCCAATACGTGAAAATTGAACCACAAGAAGAAACCTTTTTGGCTTCAGTTTCTAATTTGAGTGCTGCTCCTACAGCCGTTGCCACACCTATTAACGATAATGGAGAATTTGGGATTTCTTCTGTTGGAGAAGCAAAGTTTTCTGCCATTCATGCTGCAAATGAAGATAAACGTAAACGTAATACTGCTGCTAGTGCACGTTTTAGAATTAAGAAGAAGTTGAAGGAACAGCAAATGGAGCAACGCACGAAGGAATTACAAGATCGGGTTCAACTTTTAGAAAAGAAGTTGCGTACGTTGGAGATGGAAAACCGTTGTTTGAAGTCTTTGGTTGCTCAAAAGAGTGAAAAGAAGAGTACAGATTTGGTTGAATCCATTAAGCAAAGATCACTCCAAACCACGTCAGAACCTGTTTTCCAATTTACCTAAAACAAAAAGTATGAACGGAAGGAAAGAGTTAGCTTCCTTTATAGTGGATGAGAAACATGTTCAACAAGTCATGTTATTCACGTTAACTTACTCAATGATCCAACTCATTGGTTTTTTATTTGACGTCCCCATTTACCATAGTCTCTACACACAATCTTTCTATACGCTATGATCCAACTCATTGGCGTTGTCATCATTTTAGGTTGTGTGATTTTGGCCTGATTGGCTCAAACAACACTAGAAGGTTTTCTTTTAGTGACCATGTGGAATCGAAGAAATCAATGATCCAACTCATTGAAAGTTGTCTGTCGTAAAGACAGGGTGGCTCTTTGTAGTCATTGTTAGTGCCTTGCACTACATTTATAGAATGGTATATATATATACATTTATGAATATTATACCATCAACATGTTTATGTTGATTTAATTATATCAGTAATTCTGCTAGATGTACGCTCTGAATGTTGACAGAATGAACAAGGAAAGCTTATTTATTTGTTTGCAATCTACATTGAACTATTCACAGCTGTTGTAATCGTAGTCGCAATCATAATCATAATCATAGTCATACTTATAATCGTACACTGATATCTTTGCGGCAACCACTCAACGGCCATTACGTTTGCCTTATCCCAATGAACGCATGTGATCGACCCTGACATGTTCACTCAAGAAAGTTCTCATTTGCTTGTTCCTTTGATCAAAAGGCTACTCAGTTTTATGGAGGAACAAAGTAAATCCAATACATTGTTAATGGTGCGCATAGAAAAACATCATTTGTAAATCTCCACTCCAAACTCTTTTCTCCACACAACAACACAGGTGGCACGATATTCAATAAAAGTTGTAGCATTAAAGTATTAAGCACTTGCTATTACATTTATACTACATTCTGATTATACATATATTATATTATATTTATATTATATTTCTTCCTTGTCAACGGAAGTATAACTCCGTCGAATACTGACTTACTGTTTGTATACTCAATCTCATACCTAAAGATACATAATAAAGCAGCAAGAGACTTTATACTAACGATTGGACTCATCATCATCGTGAAGTGATTTTTCTATTCCAATTCAGATCTTTTCAATTCATTCATAAAATTTATCGGAAAGGGATCCCGGTTGATCCTTAGATTATTGTTATTTCCATTACACACCTCGTCGCCTTCCTCCCCTCGGTCCAATGATAATCACAAACCATGTCTGAAAATACCACTCAATCGCCTCATACGTTGAAACGGATTGTGGATTCGTCGTCATCGTCCCCAAGTCTAGGCGATTCAAAGCATCTGCCAGAAACAATGTTCCATCAACCAAACTATCAAACACCCCTTAGTCGCAGAGTCCACACTTGGGTCCCGGATGCAGACGTATCACAACTAACAACAAGTGCCCGATCGTCGGTGAAGTCATCACCTTTGAATAGTCCACTGTTTTCTAAACTACATGAAACATATGATCGTTCTGTCAGTCCCTGTGAGATCCCTACGACCGAACTCATACGCCTTCGAGAACTGTCCCGGTCTCCACTCCTGAGAGAAATCACCAATGAGTATGTCGAGGATCAGAATACTAATAATACTACCACTAATATTACACTTGCTGATGAATCACTGGAATTACGTGCTTCAGCGGGTGCTGGTGCTGATGATGATTCGGATGATGTTGAAGAGATTCATAGACCTATAAATTCTCCCTTAAGACCAGATTCAAAATCTCCAATATCGAAAGTCTCTTCGCGCAAGAAGTTAATGGTCACTTTGGGTCTCACTGCATTAATGGAAGAGCAAATAGATTTACGACTTGCTTCTGGTGATAATCCAACTGTGGTTATGGAACTTGATCTCGATGGTAATGTACGTTATTTATCCCAGAATTGGGAAGTCATAGTTGGAACTTCAATAAAGAAAATCATAGGCAAGCCGATTTCGAATATCGTTATAGGAAATGGTCCTGATGACTTAAACGTATTTGTTGTTGCCATGAATCAAATGGTAAAGGATGACATTAGTTATAAAGTCAAGTTTGTAACGGCTACAAACACAATTGATGTCGACAAGTCTCTTCCAACAGATCAAGACGCAACTAGCGAGAGTACTGATGATGAGGATGTAGATATCGAAGAAGCGTCACCAACAAATGAATTTGATCCTGTTAATGACGAGGAAGCTGAAGCGGAAGTCGATTCTTTATCTGAAACATCCTCAAAAGTATCCAATAATGGAGAAATAATTGAATTAGAGGCACAGGGTATCCTTATACATGATTCGAAAACAAAACTTCCCACACATGCTATGTGGACAATCAAACCTTTCACTCATATTGATGTACAGTTGAGTATTCCCCCAAATCTTATTGATTTGCTTGGGTTTGGGGCAGAAATATTTGAAGGCTATTTACAATCAGTTCAAGATTTAGGTATTATTGATGAAGAACTGGTTCCACAGCCAAAGTCTATTCTATGTCGTATTTGCGAGTCAAACATTCCTGCCTGGTTCATTGAACGGCATTCAGAGCTTTGTCTTGTTGAGCATAGGATTGGAGAAGAGTTGCAACAATGTCAAGATTTGCTCAATGATCAAAAGGAAGAATTGTCATCTATGATTGATGCTCTCGCTGCTTCTGTTGCGTTGCAATCAAATATGTATAATCAAGCCATTTCACCCCCAAACTCCGTGTCTGGTGTCATTGGCATGTCTTCATCTTTGAATTCATCTGCAAGTTCCATATCAACATCGTTATCATCGTCATCAAGTAATGCCATTACTGCTTTGATTCCACCACATATTGAGTATAAGGGAGTCCCTATTTCTTGCATACCTCAGACTTCCAGTCCGTCATTCGAGGATTCTCCTAAACTTGCCAATCAAGTATTAAAGAAAAATTATATGAACCAGTTAAACATATCCAGAAGATACCCCTACAATATCATTCAAAGACTTCTTGATTTGGTCAATGATGCGTTAAATATCAACCCAGCTCTGGAAGTTTCAGATGAGTTGACATCTGAAAATAGATTTGAGTTTTCACCAAACAGTGAAAGGGTTATTAATAATATACTGAATTGGAAGTTGACGGAAACAACTACCGATGTTGGCCTTATGTTATTAATAGAGGATACACAAACTCTTACACAGAATAAGATTGACATTATTTCCCGTTTAATTTCTGTTCTACAATATTCGAATAAGATAAAGCATGAAGTTGATAATTTAGTGCTAGAGACCGTGAAGGATACCGTTAATAGAGTTAGAGAACAAACATTCTTGAATGAGCAAGCTTCCTTAATACCTGATTCAGAGACTGACGAGAGAACGTTATCGCAAGTTAAAGCGCATTTGAGAACGTCATCTGGATCTTCTTTAACAGTTAATCTGGATCCTACTCAATCCCTGCACCCTGGAATTGTGGCACCAAAGCCATCAAGAACTCCTATTCTCCTTGATAGCAGCGACGAGCATAATACATTCCTGATTACACCAACAGATATTCTTTTGCGAGGTCGGTCACCTAATATTCGGTCTAATAGTAGTGGCAGTGGAAAAAATGACCTCAGAAAGAGCTTAGGGGATCGAGAACTGAGTATCCCAGAGCATTCAATTTCAACATCTCCTAATGAATTAAGGCATACATCATCATCATCCTCGTTCCGGAATAGTATAATTTCTGCATTAGGTCCAACATCTGCAAAGGATCTTCTTGAAAGTTTTCAAGACTTTGATTTGAATAATAAAAAGCCTCCTCTGGAAGGGGTGACTACTAATAATTCAAATAACTCTACATTCCTGTCACCAAGAAGACACTTATCTCCTGCTCCACCATACGTTGAACGAAAGTCTCTTTCGTCGTTCCAAAGAAATACTTTAACACACAAGTCCTCCATTGCTTCACTTGATGTTGGAGAAAACCAATTGATGCCACCAAACCTGGGCATTTTATCAAGTTCAGATAAGACCTTGGCAACTAATAGTCCTCCTCCAAATGTGTCTCATATCATTAATCCTCCTCCATTTATTTCGATACCTACAACCCTGGGTGCAGCAGTTGGCAGTATTTCTTCAGAACGAAGGTCAACATCAGGAGGATGTTATCCTCAACACACTCCAACATCACAGAGAAACTCGTTACCAAACCTGACTCCTATTCTTTCAGCATCGCTGTTAAAGCAACCTTTATCCCCTCTCTTAGTTTCCCAAGCTCCAGTAAATAAGCAACCAAGTGGTGGTGATATCCGTGACTATGAAGTGATAAAACCTATTAGTAAAGGTGCATTTGGATCGGTTTTTCTTGCAAAGAAGAGACTAACTGGAGAATATGTTGCTATTAAGTGCTTGAAGAAGAAAGATATGATTGTGAAAAACCAGGTATTAAATGTTAAATCCGAGCGAGCTGTTATGATGAGGCAAAGTGACTCACCTTATGTGGCTCAATTGTATGCTTCATTCCAACTGAAGGATTACTTATATTTAGTCATGGAGTATTTGAATGGAGGTGATGTTGCTACTCTTGTAAAGATGCTAGGAACATTAGATGATAGTTGGACAAGACAATATATTGCAGAAATTGTTGTTGGTGTTGATGATTTGCATAGAAGAGGGATCATTCATCGTGATTTGAAGCCCGATAACGTTTTAATCGACAAAAGGGGTCATTTGAAATTGACTGATTTTGGATTGAGTAGAATTGGTATTGTCAAGAGACAAGAAAGGTCTCATAGAAAGAGTTCAGCAGGTGATACTGGTATTGAATTATTTAGGAAGAGCATAACCAATGCAATGATGATGGCGGCTACTGGGCCTACGGGTAGTGCTATTGCTGATGATAATTCGACTCACCATAAACGAACCTCTTCAATTACGCCATTTTCCTTGTCACCTAAAACTGAATTTACCAAACTTAATACTTCTAGTTTAATGACAGGCTCAAGTTCAATGACAAATTCTCCAGTGTTCGAAAAATCTTCATTTATGTCCTTCAAGAATTCCCAACCCATTGGTACTGTATCGAATTTTCTTCTTAGCAATGCTGCCACCGGGAACAGCAGCATTGATAGTGGAGTTCGCTCAAGTTCTATATCAGGAGGCTCAGCTTATGGAGTTGAGCAATCTCCGCTCATCAAGCCAATTATTCCAAGAAATGTTTCTGAATCTTCATTTGCTATTTTGGAAGATGATTCATCTTCAAGTGACTTGACTAGTGGAAATGCTACAAGTACTCATCTTAGTGCAAGCGGAGAAGGCAGTAGCCACTTTGCTATTGGATCTGAACCCATGAAACACTCTCATTCAGCTCTGGGTACTGCTTCTCATTTACTGCAATCGTTTACTCAAAGTCAAAGTCAAGGTCAAGGTCATAATTCATCCTCTTCGGTATTGTCATATGCGTTATTTGATCCTCAGAACCAAAAGAATGAGAAAGAGATTCGTTTTGTGGGGACCCCTGATTATTTAGCACCTGAAACCATTCAAGGGTTGGGTCAAAGTGATGCACTGGATTGGTGGTCAATAGGTTGTATGCTCTTTGAGTTTTTGTTTGGATATGCTCCATTCCATGCTGATACACCAGACAAAGTATTTACCAATATTTTACAGGGTACAATTGACTGGCCTCCAATTGCACCCGATGAATTGTTGAAGTACTGCAGACCTGAAGCACAGGATTTAATCCAGAAACTTTTGACATTGGATCCACAGAAACGGTTAGGATCAAATGGTTCTCATGAAATAATGTCACATCCTTATTTCAATGGGATTGACTGGGATAACTTATTTGAGAGCGAGGCACCATTTGTTCCACATCTTGAAGATCCAGAATCGACAGAGTATTTTGATTCCAGAGGTGCTGAATTGTTACAATTACCCAGAGATGAAGAATTAAATGATATCAATGATGAGTATCATCAACATTCAGAATATAATCATCAACTTCATTCATTGGGAGGCCGCTCTGGCAGCGATACATCTGATCTTCTTTTGTTACCTGGTAGTGGTGGTGGTGGTGGAGGGAAACGTGAAAGACGAAGTAGCCGGTTGGCTGATCCTACTGAATTTGGATCGTTCCATTTCCGAAACTTGAACGTTTTAGAGAAAGCCAACAAAGATGTTATTAATCGTTTAAAGAGTGAACATTTGGAGCATAGGAATAGTTTTTCCAGTTCCACAAGTGATGTTTCAACTCCCAGTTCTCGTTCGCGTGGATATTCATTTACGGGAACATCTACGTTTAAGAAACCCGTTTCACCAGTGATTAGAGCTGTTTCACCTTCCAAAATGTTTGATTCACCCCAGTCGGTGTTTTCCACACCAACTTCTACTAATCCTCGGCATGGTTCACTTACTACAGCTGGCTCATATTCCAGTAGTGAGGAACAGCCAATCTCACAACAACCATTACCATTACCACAGGTACCAGCTGATGTTATAAGACATAGGAGTTCGCTCAACAGTTTAACCAAACATGTTTTCCGACCTTCGGGAAGTACATGTACCGATTCACCCACCAGTCTGGATAACGAGGATCAAAAGTCTAGTGCATTACTTCGAGTACAAAAGAGAAGAGAATCACTAAGAAGAGGTGGAAGTATTGGAGGCCACTCTTCAGGAAGCTTTAGTAGTGGGGGGACACAATATGGCAGTGGAGGGTCAGGGACTATCCCACCATTTTCATTGGATTCACCTCATATGCTTGCACAACCCGAGATTGATGTTTTATATTGTGAGCTGATATCGGCCGTAAGATTGAACGTAAGTAAGTTGCTTGAAAAGTGTGGATGTGTTGTTGTTGCTATCACCAATGGAGATGAGTTTGTTAGAAGAGCCACATCTCAAGTTAAGTTTGATTTGATATTCACTGCTTTAAAGTTACCAAAAGTTTCTGCTATTGATGCCGTTAAGTTGATCAAGTTTACTACTGGGGTCAATGTTACGACCCCCATCATTGCCTTGACAGCATTCAAAGATGAAGCTTGTGAGGCTGGAATCTTTGATGAAATTATTGAGAAACCAGTAGAGTTTAACCAACTACAACATGTGATACATAAATTTATGCGACATGATGAAGCAATTGAGTCTGATAATGAGAATTAATATTAGATATATATTATTTATAAGCTATATATCGCCTTTTTTCATAGCCTTGACTAATTCAGCAGTATCATCACCACTTTTAAAATAATACTTTCTATACCATTTTAATTGATCAATGCTCTCCAAAATATCATCTTTGGCAGTATGGGCTTGTTTCTTCTTGGGACATAGTTTCATAAGTTCAGGGTTATGTCTTGAACCAAATTCCATTATGGTACTAACATCAATATTCCGATAATGTAACCAATCAATGACTTCAGGCATCTCTTTCATCATAAAATATCTATCCATATGAATGCTATTACCTGCTAATACAGCCTTTCTAGGAGCAGTAACATATTTCTTTATATAACCAAGCAATTCATTCTTGACCACTTCTAAGGACCGATCTTCATTCTCCAAAATCTTATCTATCAACCCACTGGCTGTATGGGTAGTGGTACACCATTCATCCATTTGAGCCAAACGATCTTTCAGATAATACACTGTGGATTCATAAGCGTTCTCATCGACTACATTCAAATCACCATCTGTTATGATACAACAGATTTCTATAATATGATCGTTGTTGACGTCGAGACCAGTCATTTCACAGTCTACCCAAACAATGGGATCCGTCAAGGGTTTGGACTTTCGGAGAAGACTCCGCATGGTCGAAAGCGAAGATACGGTGTACGGTCTGGCCACCAAAGAGAACTGTCGCAACAGAAGTTGTAGATTGTGTCTGAGGGTCAAGGGGACCAACATAAACATATGGGGGAACCGGAGGGGGGGGTTAACAGTTGGGGTGGAAAAATATACTGGATCGCATTTCACTACACTTTGATAGCGGAAAGAAGTCGATCTGATCTGAGCACATTCTAATCTGAAGATGGTCATTTCTGATGTAAGCCAACCTGAACATGATCCAATCAACATGATCCGATCTAAACCACTGTCTGTCTGTATTGGTAACGTTACATGGATGTTGTTAAAATCATAAGAGATGTGATAACTCTACGCTAAGTAGAATTAGTAGAATTGTATGGACATATAGATATCCTAATATTATGTTACTTGCTACGTAGAGTAATACGTAATGTAAATTGAATTCTTGTGTCACACTGAATATAACATAGTCTTGCTATGCTCATGCGATAATGTTATAATCTGTACAACAAACTAAATATATGCATGCCTTGATATACATTGGATCTGTCTGAGGCTACAACGGGACTACAAATATGAGTCTGTAAATAAGTCTATGTCTATACGAGCATGTATTATTTAGTCTGAGTCTATCAATGCCGAGTCTTTACTAGTTCATATTTATATCGTTCTGTTAATTATGTATTGAATTGGATCGCACTCAACCTATTCCGTCAGATGACCATCTTCTTTCATCGACCATGAACTTCAAAGATAAGCTATACACGGCGTACTTCCTTCTTCATATACCTACCACACTTCTCATAGATAGCAGTGTGGTTATTCCTTCCAAATGGCAATGGTCATTCACCAAAACTATAGTAGACTTCCATGTATCCACTAATAATGATCGGTTTCTTGTGGAAAAACCCTTATGGTTACAGTACTTTGTTTGGTGGGAGCTTGTGTTCCAAACACCAATGTTTTGTATTGGAGCATGGTCAGTTGTTAAACAAAGGAAGCATTATTATCCTTGGATCGTTGTATATGCTTTCAATGCACTTTTCTCTACAGGTCTTTGTCTCAGCTACATTTGGTTTGAATCTGGACTTTCCGGTGGCCCACTCATCAATTTATTGGGGCTTTATGTTCCTTATGTAGCAATTCCTTTAGTGATGATGCTTGATTACATTAATAGAATCCAGTTGCTTATGGATAAACCCAAGTCGGATTAACCCAAGTCGGATCAAGCCTTATGTATATGTGAGGTCATATATATACGGCCATACATTTACAGTCATATATATAAGGTTCATATAGATGTATATTCACGAATATTCATGTCGTTTATACTTATTCTAATTGTATTTAGCAATCAATTCAGTGGCAAGGGCAATGTATTGTTGTTCAGCATCGGCTTGAGAAGTACCCTTCAAATCAGTCCAAGCTTGCCACTTGTACTTACCCTTCAAATCAAACATACCGGGCTTGGTGGTTTCGTTGTCACCAACAGTAGCTTGCTTGTACAATCCGTACAATTTCAACAATTCGTCATCAGTAGGACGTTGGGTCAAACTGGAAACGGTGGCAGCCTGAATTCAAATGTGTTAGTATTATACACGTAAAATTACTCCTAGAACTGGAAAAGTCATTCAACATACTTTTTCTTCAAACTCAGCAGAAACCATTGTGAGATCAACTAGTTATCAATGCAAATCAATTGACGTGAATTAAAAGTCGTATATGATAAAGAATATAGCCCAACCTTTTCCGCCTTACACCCCACGAATTGGTTGCCCATAATGGGTACTTGCACGTCCCCAACACTTGATTCATTTGGTTTTTTGGGTAAACGTATTTCATGCACTTAAGTAGCAACGAAATATTCTGAGGCGTGTGGTCCTCATTAAATTTCGAATCAGTGGCAAATATAATAAGTTGACATTCACAACCAACATCCTGAAACGTTACTAAGTGGCCGAATCGATCACGTGACACATTGGTAGTGATGTGCCAATATCGAGGGAAGTGCGGTCGGACTTCATCGGCAATAGAAGAATACTACTACAGCATATATAACGGAGATGTTATCGCAGGTACGAACTTCATGTTATTGCGAAACACGGGATACTGTATAGTCCTTAAGCCTCATATGGAACCCTATAATACGAATCAACAATGTTGAACGGAAGTATGAGCAATAAATGATGAGACGAGCGAAGAACCGCTGCTGGACGGGGTTTTATCCCAATTGGGAATCTATGACATTTATCAAGATACCTAACCGGGCCAAAATAATTTCCGATAAACTCCGTAGACAATACGTAGAAACGGCGTAAGTTTACCTATGACAGCAAGGGAGATTTTTACGACGTTGCCACTGTCTAGTAGTTATAGTCATCACCTCAAATAGGATATTCACGGTATTAATAAAAACAACTCCACAACCCAACGGAATTAGCTGGGGTAACGTAAAAAAGCAACTTACAACCAGACTACAGGCCACGTTGGTACTTTTCATCGTTTTGAATGTTCCACCATGAGCTGAAATAGTTTTTACAGTAGTCATCCGGATCACATTTGATTACAGAAAGAAGCGTAATTTAGACCAACCGGAACTTAAATAGCTTAAAATGGCAACTCCTTTTATATCTTGTAAACCCGTCTTACAAATCTTTGTTAAATGCAGGAAAACGTTTTGGCCGGAGCTCGGGAATAAGTTCATTTAGAGCAACGTAGTCTAAACCCGTAAGTTAAAATGTCTAATCATAAATAATGTATATATACGAAGCCGAAAACCACAACACTTCAAGTTGCTTTAAATATTCTATCTATATAACTTATTATTATACAAGTATACTATCATATCTCAACTTATAGTGAGGTTTAATATACTATTGTGATTTGCAGCATCGGTTCAAAGTGAGCATCTTACAGCCGATATATATTGATATACGCATCACTATATTGTTTGCTTTGTTTCCGTGTTTCCCGTGAAACGATTTACACCACTATCAAACAAAACATATATTACCAAAACCGGTTGCACACGTTTGGGATATTTTGGCTAATTCATCGTCATAATGTCTTCTTATACTAGTCATTCTGAATGCTCTTCAGACTGGGAACGTCTCTATGACGAAACACTAGGTCAATATTATTATCTCAATAAGACTAATAATACTGTATCCTTTGATACACCTTGTGAAGTGCATTATACCCCAACTGAAATGTCCGGGTCTATCAGTTCCACAAGCACAAACTCTGGATTTGGATTACTGAGGTTTAGAAGATCTCTTCAAAAGATTTCTTCATGTTCAGATATTCATCCCAAACCCCATAAACATAATTCCAGCTCCAATGTATTGAAAAAGATCCGGTCCGGTTTACTGAGAAGATCGCTGTCTAAATCCGATATTCCATCTCAGTCTCAATCTTCAATACAATCTCAACCACAGTCTCCAATGCAAACTGATAACCGTAACTACGTTTTTGGTGAAGATGAATTAAGAAGACACCCTGAATTTACGCCGTTGTCGCCAGTGTCTTCACCCCTTGGAACACAAACCCCTCCCCTTGAATTTGATGATTTGTTTCTCTTGCCAAATTTCGAAGATGCTAGATTCAGAAATTTCGCGGGGACAAACGGAGAAGAGTACATTAGTGATATTGATCAAGATGATGATACGTCTTCGATCCAATCATCAATAGATTCTATCCACTCATTGTACGGTCACATTCAATACATTTACACGGACGATCTTTACGATAAGAAGTCCATGGCCAACTTTGATAAGGAAGAAGAAAGAAGACAATTGAGAGAACAAATGTTACGGGAATTGGAAGCTTAATATTTGGTTGTTAGCATTTATTTATTATCATTATTATTATTTAGGGTATTTGGGCTTGTATATATTTGGAATACAATTGGATGTGTCAGACTAATTGAGTGTAGATGTATTAGCAGTTACGACCGTTAATATACGTACTACTATATCTGAAGATCAATATCGATTGTGCGAATGACCTCATCAATCTTACCAAGAACCCGATACGTGGATGCCGCTAATTTCTCTTCGTTCTTGGTTCTGTCTTCCAAATCTTTCAGGAAATTCTTATGAGCATCGGCCAAAGCTCGTTGATTTTCTTGTTCGGTAATTTCTTGATAAAATATCCGGGTAACCGTTTTCAATCTCAGGAAGGGATCATCGTTACTTTGTTCAACACTCTTTCTTTGAATTTGATTCTTGATTTCGGCTTTCCGGATATTAGCCAGATTTAACTTCCGATTCCGTTCGTTAACCTTTTGCATTGAATCATAAGTCTTACTACTACCATCTTTATCCTTTGTTTTCTCCACAATCACTTGGTCCAATTTACTAAGACGTGTTTGTAAATCCTTTACTCTTACGAAATCATTTTCTTGTTCAGCAATCTTCAATTGATCCCGTAATTTGGTCTTTTCAAACACCGCATCATATCCCGATAAACTATTCAAGTCTTGGGCCTTTTGTTTTTGTTTCCGAACTAACATCTCATTAACATCATTATCACTTATCCCTCGGTTAATCATATGACTCAACTGTTCAAACTTATCATTTACGTCATCCACATATTCTATCTCTTCATCGGCTTTTTGTAATTCCTTAACGTACCGATCGAATTCATCATTTGTCACCGGTGAATCACTAAACATACCGAGAGGAAATTCTCTCACTTGCCGACTATTCTGACTAACTTTTAAATATATGTCGCATTTGGAACCAGCGGGCAACACATAAGACTTTTCAGGACGACTTACAACATCCATAATTTTAACTAACCGATAAAGCGGTTGCCGGGTCCGATTATCCATACCTACATTGATCTTTCCATAACAATCAATAACCAGATCTGTGAAATCCGAAACATAAAAGTGCTTAGATAAAACAGTTCTCCCCACAGCAATAGTATTAATATCGGTAACTGTAGCCCGGACAGTTGATCTTTTCCGTGCTCCGGAGATTCCTCTTTGGGTTGACAGTACACCACCCCATTCAACTTCACCCTCTTCATCATATCCATCATCGTCAAAATCATCTTCTAGATTGTCATCGCTTTCTTCGTCGTCATCTTCATCTTCATCATAAGAATCAGTACTCTTCTTTTGTCTCTTTTGTCTTTGTTTTCTAAGTTCACTTAACTTATCTTCCTTTGTATTTACAGCTTTACTTCGTGATTTTGCACTCACTACACTACTGCTCTTCTGCGCCAGTCCACGTTTCAGTTCTTTCATTCTTTCTAAAAGATACTTTCTTTCATTGTACTTTTCCATTTCTTGACCTCTATCAAAGAGAATTCTTTCCTTGGTTAATTCATCCATGGCCTCCAAACGGTCTCTATCGGAAGCATCCTTGTATTTCCCCTCTAAAGGATATGGATTCACTATTTCTTCTTGTTCGAATTCATCATCTGCATTCTCTGCATTGCCATCTTCTCCTTCATCGTCGTCGTCTTCAAAATCAGTTATCCGTCTCTTTTTGGAAGTCACATCTGGTTCCGGCGAAGAATCGTAATCAGAATCAGCACCACCAGCCAAAGCCAACAAATCATCATCTAAATCTGACATGTTGATTTCTCTTTATCAAACAGAGTTGTTTATGTCGTTAACATTCAAGAGTTATTGATGTTGAATTTGGTGTTGACTAAGGTTTGATTTTTCAAGTGCGACATTTCTTTATGTCGCAGCTTTGCCTTGAGAGACACACATATAGCCGTTCGCGTATTAAAGTACTGTAGTCACTTGTTCTATCTTAAATAGGGAGTAGACAAACTTGTAACTCTCTGTGCCTGAATGTAGAAACATATACATATTCTAAGTACCTCTTGTGTGACATTTTCAGTTCCAAAGAAAGATACCTAAACATCGGTATCAAACTACGGGTAAACAGTTTTCCGAACTGAGGGGCGGAATTAAAAATTCGGACACATATAGGAATGGAAATTTTTCACACCAAGTTTGACCAAAGAACAACCTATAATACGAGAAACAAAATGTTTACTCTTCGTTGTAATGTTCTTTCTATTGAAAATCCACAACATCCAACCACCGCACGTTCGTTCGCTTAAACAAAAAAAATAAAAAATAACTAACCTTGGTGTGTTGTGATAGTTGAACTTAAATCTGTATATGGATCTTCAGTATTTACTAAACCCAGATGACGGCTCAGTGGTAAGTCCACCTTCAGAGCCAAGCGAGTACACATTTTTGAAAAGATGCCCTACTACAACGTCTCTAGAGCCCGAGCCCAAGATAGTGGATAGATGTAAGGAACCACCCTCTATTCATTGTGAAAATTATGGTGATCTACTTCGAGCCCTCAAGAAGAATAAAACCGAAGAGGTCAATATGACCGCACAATTTGTTGACGAACAAATATTACCTTCCACAACTGAGGATAGAAGGTCTTATTTATTAAGGGTACTACATTGGAAGTACGTTAACCCTGTGACGGAGGCCACGGGGTACCGGTGGATTAAAAAGGAAGTTACACCTAAAGCGTGGGGTAAAACGGTCTTCACGGTTAAATACCGATGTTCTCAACAAGCTAATAGTGGAGTTGGCGGCGTGAATATTAATGTAACTAAAGAGAAAGCACAGCAAACTGAAACTGGCTATGAGTCATCATGCCGTTCTTCAAGGAAACTTTCACATCCACTCAAAGAATATCAGTGCAACCTGAATTATATCATACGATATCATTATTCAACTTCGCTTATTGATATCACATACGTACACAACGTTCATCTTCCCCCTAAGAGACTCCCAGATTGCGTGAAACCTTTCATCCTACAACGATTAGATTGGAAAGCTACAGATCTCTTTGAAGCAATTATGGAAGAGGTGAGATTCCGAGAGGTAAGACACTTGGTTCAATTCAATAAGGTACAAGGATTCTGGTCTCAGGAACGAGGAAGACGTAAAGTAGAACTGACAAAAGCTGCATTCAAGCAGTTTTTCAATACTGAAAAGTTGCATGTTAATAGAAGGTAGAGGGGGTAACTACATCCATTCGATATTTAATTGCCCAGCTGGTCAGGGTATGGGTATGTTTCGATTAATTATTTCAAACAAAACTTTCAATTATAATTGTAAATAATAATAATAATACACCGAGACACATATAATGAAAGCCCAATTCTAGATATACACGGAGCTATTAACTCTCTATTATTTTTGCTTATTACTCTGTGAAGAGATAAACAAAAACCTTCACCTCTAATAGTACCTTGATTACTTAACGCAATCTTCTGGCTTCTCTTTCAGATTCCATCAAACACAAGATGTCGTTTTCTCTAACAGGACCCTTGACGTTTCTGACGATGGTTCTGGAAGCATCTTCTAAGAATTCAACTCTAACTTGAGTGACACCACCTCTGGAGCCAGTTCTACCTAAAACCTTAATGACCTTAGCCAAAGTAACGGGAGTCTTTGTATCCTATAAACAAAATATTGTTAGTCAACCAATATCCTCTCAGCTCCAAAGCCTTATTCTTACGTACCATTTTGTATGTTTCCTTGAGTTACTATGAAGTATATGCTTGTCAGAGTTTGGTGTAGTAGAGAGCTTTCTACTTTGAAAAATTTTACACTGTAAAAATGTGGTACACGCACGCCTTATGAAATTTTAAGGGTGTGCGTGCGCCTACCGTTATATACATGGAGATATAGCCAGTACTTACTTAGCACATACATTATTGGACTTACATACCCTATTTAAGCTTTCTTACCGGAACCAGCCATTGGGGGATATTCACCTCTAGCAGATCCATCAGCAGGAACACAGGTACACCATGAATCCTTTGGACTTTGGGACATAGCAGCAGGAATGTGCTGACCGCAACCTCTCCAGGTCTTCTTGTCTAAATATTGTTAGTTGTATTCTCATCAATTGGGAATAAGGTGGGTATTGTTTCATAGTACATACTGCAAACAGGACAATCAGTTGGCATACACATGACGAAGTTGAATTTCTATTAAAATTATAATAGTTATGAAAAAGGATTATAGTGGTTGTGGAGGGGGATTATATTTCAAATTTCCCTATACAATTATAGAACTATATATATGATATGTGGTCACCTCACAAAAATTGGAAAAGCCGGGAATTGAGGATCGGGGGTTCACAAAAAGGGTAATTTAAAGACCGCTACCACGAGCAATGGCCCGAACAATTTCCTATTCAATTTCCGTAACTCCACAGTTTTGCTACTTTTATCTGTGGGATGTGTGACGATTGACCTTTAAACGATAGTACACTTGGATTCAGGTCTGTCTTCAAGTGGAGTTTCAGGCTTTCTAGCGTAGCCGTATCCTGGAGGAAATGAAGACTCCTTCTGATCATTGTATCTTGGAAGACAATTGCACCATTCGGACTTGGAATAAGAACTCATTGCCAGAGGAATATGGTTACCGCAGCCGGTCCAAGTTCTCTTAGCTTTGAATAGAACGTTAGTTGATATGAGCTAATTTAAGTTTTAAATAATCTTAACATACCACAAAGATTGCAAACAACTGATCTACACATGATGTATGAATTGCTGGTTTAATAGAAAATAATTTCAATCGTGATTAGTTATAAGACCATTTGGAAATCTTGCCGATTTGTCTCCTTATTATACTTCAAATTGAATCGGGGTTTGATTTTGATATCAGCAGTGCTACCATGTGACTCTGTTCACGTGATTCATCTGTCAAAGGAACGCTGATAGCCATTTCCCGTGAACTAAATACCGCCAACACATATATGATGAATTCAATCAGCGAAGTCTTAAACCTTTGTGATTAATCGAAGGAGACATTTGTCAATTTGAACAAATGTGTCCTTCTCTCAGCAAAAATTATGAGGCACGGCTAGTACGCATTATGAAAGCTCAATGGCAGCTCTCTCTAATGCATAATTGCTCCTCAGAATATACTCGAACTTTGTATTGAATTCAAATCAACAAAAAACTGTAGTCATTGGCGTTGTTATACCAACATAATCTATCGAAGTCAACAAATCACTCAGGCGCATACCGTGGCTCGAGTTTCTCGTTTACGGTTCTTTCTCAAGTTTTTTGGTTGATGCGTTTTGGTGGCAAAATTTCATGTACTATCTCCGTTGGGCTCGTTCCGCGCTACCGTTGAAATCCAACTTTCACATCATTTCTCCGTCCCATACCGTGCACCGTAATGCAAAGTCAGACTTTTGGCCACCCCGTTTACGTGATATATATGTAGATCTCCGTCTCAGTTATCCGTCTTTAGATTTCTTTTTTTCCTCAATAAGGCCCCACAAGCTGTCATACATAGCCGCAGCAGTTAGCCTTTATATTTAAAGATTCAAGTATCATTCAGATTTGATAAGGTAAGGCTGCTTACCACCAGATTTTCCGGTTTAACCTGTTGTAAACCCAGATTGGCAGTAAATATAGTACGAGGGATGACATCGGCAACAAGTGTGACGGTAACAGCTTCAGGTAATGATCAGGTACTAACTGAACCTGTTCAAGGACAGAAGGTGAATGAGTTTCAAGATGGTAGAGTAACTCACAAGTACTCGTGGAAGGCTTCAATATATGATTGGTGGAAACAAGGTTTTGGATCATACACTGATGAACAAGTTGAAAGCAATTTGTTATCAATATTACCATTTTTCCCTCTTCTGGATGGGAAAAGAGAAGCTAAGGTTATCAACACCGATATCGGGAATGGTAATTATATTCACGAATTTTACATTGAGAACAAGGAAAAGCCATCTCAATCTGATAAATTGGCCATTTCTGCAAGTACTAAAGATGTGGTTTTAGTCCATGGGTATGCAGCATCATTAGGTTTATTCATTGATAATTTTGATGAACTTTCAAAGGTACCCGGAATACAAATTCATGCTATTGATCTCTTGGGGTTCGGATTTTCCTCAAGGCCAAAGTTTCCCAATTTAGCACTGGCTTCGGCTGAAGATATACAGAAAGTGGAAGATTGGTTTGTTGACTCATTGGAAGAATGGAGAAAGCGTCGTGGTTTGGATAAGTTCATTCTTATGGGACATTCATTTGGTGGGTATTTGAGTTGTGCCTACGCATTGAAGTACCAAAAGGAACAAATAGAAAAATTGGTACTTATAAGTCCTGTGGGTGTTGAACGTAGTAAATACTCATATCTCAACAAAGTTGATCAAAGTGACGTAGTGTCTCCGAGTGAGAAGATGAGACAAGAAGCCGAGGAACCAAACGTTCATTATGAAAATGAAGTTGATTCCATAGATAATTCGGTGAAGTCATCACTGAGATCTAATACCCCAAAAGTCTCGGAAGAAGAAGTACCTGAGGCACCTAAATCATTTAGAAGAAAGCTTGTGGAGCAGCTTTGGATTAACAATGTTTCACCTTTCACAATCTTGCGTAACCTGGGACCTGCGAAGTCTAAATTGATTTCTGCTTGGACATCTCATAGATTTGCCCATTTCTATGACAGAGACCCTCAACAATTCCAAAGTGTTCACGATTATATATATCGGATCTTTAATGCTAATGGGAGCGGAGAATATGCTCTTACCCGTGTTTTAGAACCTGGAACAGTTCTTGCTAGAATGCCACTTCTTGATAGGTGTCCTGAAGAATTTGCCAAGTTGAAGTTACCAACTTTGTGGTTATACGGAGATAAAGATTGGATGAACGAGCAGGCTGGTTATGAAATGACAAAGGAAATCAACACTTATTCTATGAAGAATTCAGGGAAGAAGCTTGCCTCTTTTGCCATTATTCCTAATGCTGGTCATCATTTGTATTTGGATAATCCTTCAGCATTTGCTAACACCATATTTAAATTCACTGGCTTCAAAGTTCCAACTTAAAGGGATGTATTTATTTAGATTTTATTCAATAGATTGGTAGATTATTTATTCTCTTCATTTTGTAATTCATTTTGAATCCTTAATCGATATGAGTTCACTTCCACTTCTGTTTGAGCCATTGATTCTCGAATAACCTTCATACTATGAGTTATTTCTTGCGTAAACTGTTGAATACTTTGGAAAATCATTTGCATACCCTCCATTATTTTCTTTTCAGGATCCCTTGAATTTCCATGTGATATGGTTGAAGTGGCTTCAAGTATAATACCTTTAGAAGCCGTAACATCACCAACACTTGTGAGTGGAGAAGATCCATCCATAAGTGATATATCATTTGCTTCACGCATACCAGAGGTATCTGCTTCACTTCTTCCATTTTCTGTCGATGTCTCAAAGTTGCTAATCATCCTTAGGTTATCTAGCTGTTCTCTTTTTTCAGTGGTTGCGTGAAGCTTTACCCTTTTGATCAGGTTCGAATTACCTTTTGGGTTGTGTGAAGAATCTATGGAATAAACATCACTATCTGGAATCGATTGCATTTGTGTGCTAGAAATTTGACTTTGACTAGGAACATCTTCCAATGAAGCCTGTAAATTTGCATTGCCTGACATATAATTGTCGGATTGATAGCACATCTGTTTATGGTTTAACTCTTCAGCTTGAAAAGAATTTTTAGAGATACTTGAACGACGACGACTTTTGCTCAAATCTGTGCTTTCTATTCCGTTCCGTTGAGAAAACGTTTCCTTTAATGAGCTCTTGTGTTGCTTGAAGACTAAGGTATTTGGTTGTGTTGGTGTAAGAGCCACTGGACTGGGACTTACATTCCAAAGTTCCTCTGCAGCTATCTCTTCACTGTTCTCTTGGTTTCGACTATAATAGAAATCGTCATAGCGAGGAGAAGAGGTATAATGGTCAATAATAGCGGATTTAAATTCTTCCAGTCTCCTTCTAGAACAATTTGAATTAAACTGGGTTGAATTACCAGTATCTCCAGATATGTAAATGGGATTAGTGGTGACTGAAACTCTTGTGTGACTCTTAGCCAATGTACTAATTAGCTTCACCACGTGAGAGAAGTCATAACGACTAACTTGAAATGTAATAATTATTTTGGCATCAATCTTGAGCAGCCCAGAATCTTTTGGTTGGAGCATAATAACCGGATTCTGTGAATCATTGAATGCAAGAGTAAATGATTGATTCTTTGAGAAATAGTCTGCTTCAAAAGGAGTTCTACCGTCAATTAAGAATTTAAGTTCATTATTCACCCACACATAAAATACTTCATTGTTTAAAGCAGTAATCGAATTATTTGCTTTAACATAAGTCTTCCCATTAATTGTAACACACTTTGAATTAAAGTAATTACTTGTTTCAAACCCTTTAAAATGAGGCAAGCATCTCTTTGCACCCAAATGATTAGTTAATCCCTTAATCAATGCATACCATGTAAAATCACAAAGAATTGCATCATTATTACTAACTTTTTCGACAAAACTCTTCCCGGCCAAAACTTCCCGAGATCCATTCCCAGACTCCATCAAAGATTTCCCAAGTAATATTAGTGACATATATTTGAAGTTAGATTCCAAGGTTAACAGGTCTTCCACAAGTTTTGTCCATATTTGAGGTTTATCACTGATTTGAACATCAATAATAGTTTGCCACAAACAAAACAGAGTTTGATCAAACAACTGGAACCGAATAGCCAAAAGCACAATAATGTCTACCAATATGACATCAATGTATTCACCAAATTTTGTTTGGCATAACTCTAATAGTTCAACAATGTGATCTGTCAAATAATTGTCACTGACATCTTGGGAGTAGCCACTCCCTGCCCACCACAACACATATCGTAACCGTTCTACATCTCTCTTACTATACGAGGCATTTTGTTTAAGATCCTGAAGGATATTTTGAACTAAGGTTCCTATTCGAATGGTTTCAGTCTTGCCAATCACTTTTGACATTTTTGCAGCCAACTTGAAAGATTATATAACTTGCCAGCAAATGAGACGAATGAGATGGCTCTGTGATATATGGGGCTTTAAGAAAAGGATGAACTGGAGAAATGATTGAATTAGTATCAATAAAACAAATGTGTAATATATATTCCATATTACTGAAGCCAACATCCGTATATATAAGTATATGTATGCCTTAAGTAATCACTTACGTAATTGCACTTGGAAGAGGTTCTGATAACAAGGGTATATAACACAAACCCGAAGAAACACAAACGGTCGTGTCCCAAACGGGTTTGTGATATGTTTTGGAGATGATTACTACCGAATAAAAAGATTTTCCTTAAATACCATAAGATTACAACCAGCCGTGAGTCACACTAATTTCCATTTGAAATACCAATAAAACTTGACATATTAGTTTGACATACAACATGGCAAGTGATGAGGACATTGTTACACTCTTTTCCAAGTTTGGATTTGGAGATGCTAAATCTAAGGAGATTATCAAGAACAAGAAGGTTTCTCAGCAATTGTATGAAATTTTAGGAGACGATCTTTCTAGTTTTTCTGGTGAACTTGAACCAAAGAAGTTGGCTCTTTTGCATCAATTGGCTATTGATTTAAAGGGTAGTGAAAATGTTAGTAGTTCTCTGAGACAATTACTTACTGATGCCATTCTTGATGAAAGAATCAAATCCACTTTACAAGTTCAAGAAGGGGTCAAGTACTTGAAATCTACTCAATCTCCCACTGAAAGTGAATTGAATACGCATGCGGGTGTAGGCCAAGAGGTATCTGAAGAACAAGTGCATAGTACAATCTCCAAATATTTTGATTCTATTATGGATGAATTACAGGCAAAGAGATATACCATGGTTCCTTCAATCTTGGGACAATTGAGAAAGTTGACTGAGCTTAAATGGGCTTCTCCTGCATTATTCAAACCAATTGTTGATTCCTTGGCTTTGAAACACTTAGGGCCTAAAGATGAAAGAGATGTCATAAAGAAGGTCAAGAAAACCCCAGCAAAAGCATCTGCTCCTGATGCCAACAAAAAGGACTCTTCTGCTACAAAAGTGGATGCTCCAGTGGAGACTGAACGTTCAATGTTTAGTGAAGGTTTCTTAGGCGATTTACATAAACCAGGTGAGAATCCTCAAATGTGGCCCGAATTAATGGATGAACACTTGAAGTTCACCCATAGACAAGTCTTTACTCGTTTCCCACCGGAACCTAATGGATTTTTACACATTGGACACTCAAAGGCCATTATGGTAAACTTTGGTTATGCAGCTTTTAACAAGGGGAACTGTTATTTACGTTTCGATGACACCAACCCAGAAGCTGAAGAAGAAGTATACTTCAAGTCAATCGAAGATATGGTTTCATGGTTAGGCTATTCTCCATGGAAAATTACTTATTCCTCTGACTACTTTCAGGAATTGTATGATTTGGCAGAAAAGTTGATAGAATGTGACAGAGGTTACGTTTGTCATTGTACACCTGAACAAGTTAAAGAACAAAGAGGTATGAAAGCTGATGGAACATTGGGAGGGCAACGTAATGGGTGTTCTCATCGTGAACGTACTCCAGAAGAAAACCTCAAGGAATTTAGAAAGATGCGTGATGGCTTCTACAAGACTGGTGAAGCTACTTTAAGAATGAAGCAAGATTATACTTCCCCCAACCCTCAAATGTGGGATTTGGTTGCTTACAGAGTACTTGATGCTCCTCATCACCGTACTGGTGACAAGTGGAAGATTTATCCAACTTACGATTTTACCCACTGTTTGGTTGATTCTTTTGAAAATATTTCACATTCATTGTGCACAACGGAATTTAGATTACTGAGAGAGAGTTACGAATGGCTCTGTGACACTTTACATGTCTATCGTCCAGCTCAAAGAGAGTACGGTCGTTTAAACATAACTGGTACAGTCTTATCCAAGAGAAAGATTGCCAAGTTAGTCACTGAAGGTTATGTCAGAGGATGGGATGACCCTAGATTGTACACTTTAGAAGGTATTCGTCGTCGTGGTGTTCCTCCTGGGGCGATTTTATCATTCATTAACACTTTAGGTGTTACCACATCCACTACCAATATTGAATGTGTTAGATTTGAAAGTGCTGTTAGAAGTTATCTTGATCAAACCACCCCTCGTTTGATGGTGGTATTAGACCCCGTTTTAGTTGAAGTTGATAACTTGGGAGAAGATGAAACCATTGAGGTTGAAATGCCTTACAAGCCTGGTAGTAATCCAGTCACTCTGGGACCCTTAAGTGGTGGTAGAACCCTTAAGTTTGGCAAATACATATACATTGATCGTAGCGATGTTCGTGATGATGACCAAGTCTCCAAGGAATATTTCAGATTAGCTCCTGGCCAACCTGTTGGGTTGATGAAGGTACCCTTTAACATCAGTTTGCGCCTGATTGAACGTGACACTGAAGGTAATATCACTAAGGTCCTTGTGAATTATGATAAGGATATTAAGAAGAAACCTAAAACATACATTCAATGGATTCCAAAAAGTGATTGCATTAAAATTGATGAAGTTAGAGTTCAAAATGCTCTTTTCACTCTGGAAAACCCTAAGGACTACTTGGCGGAACTTAATCCTAATTCCGAGGAGATTTTCGGAAATGCTGTGATTGAATCAAGCTTCAAAGAAATTGTTTCTAGAAGTCCCATGAATGTTGAAATTCCTGGAAGTCAATTCAATATTAAAGAGAAACCTGGTAACAATACAGTAAGGTTCCAAGCTTTAAGAGTAGGTTACTTCTGTTTGGATAAGGATAGTAACGACGATAAATTGATATTGAATCGGATTGTTACTTTGAAGGAGGATTCTTCCAAGAAGTAGTTTTATATAGGCTGTGTATATGGGAACCGTCCCGCTATTTTAGTATTTAATGGTCAGATTTACTAGCTTTCGTACATCGCATGCAATCCGGAAACTATCATTTACGAGACTGCACATAACCACGCCAAAATGATGACTTTGAGTCAAACGATTGTTTGCTTTTAAGCCTCTCCTGATTATATACCCCTTAGGCAATCCAATAAAAAGCAAAAAGCAAACCTCCTTCCCCACATCAGGTAGCTGTTTCGAAGTTAAAAATAATTAAGACCTTAAGAAATGCCTTCTACATGATGCACCACATTTATTTTGATGCAAGGGCAGGCAGGTAGTCCAAAATCTTTCTGGTATCAGCTTTAGCATGCGTATCAATAGAGTCATAGATAAGAAGCCTCAATATGACACTGACATAAACCATCCAGGCTTCCAGACACTTATTGTTATATTACAATTTATTATTAGGTAGTTCTTTATCACGGTAACTCATCATCTGAGGGGAGGAGGGGGGAACCGTTTTGGTGGGGAAATAATAAGATTGCTGGTTCGAAACTGTGGCAGTTTTGTATTGGGAAAAAAAGTATTGATTGATAAGAGGATTATGCCTAATCTAGACACGAAAAGGGATAAAAACCATGACAATATAACTTTGTAGTTTTGAAAATGTCTTATGAAGTTATAAGTGTAACTTATTGCCGTGTGTATGTAGGTAACTATGTCGGTACGGTACTAGCCTACGTGTGTGTGGGGAAGATGGTGTATAGCCATTTGAAGAATTCTATGAGTGATGTGTCTACTGCAGTCCTGCCGCAGTGGAGTTCGTGAAGCCCAGATTCAAAGCAGGTAAATTAACTCTGCATCATTGAACAGGCATGAACTTGAATTTTCTTTGACCCCTGCGTTACTTAGGGTACAAATTAGATCAGAAAGTAATAGGGATTAAGTCAATGGAGATTAATACCCGAACCTTACAACAACCGCTAAGGGGGAATACCAGGCGATAAAAAATTAGAAGTATTACGAACGAAAAAAATAATTGCGTTAACAAAACGGAGTTAGGAGTCGCGATGGCACCATAACGAACTCACCAAGGGCAGAGAGAGTGTTGGGCTTTACTCGCAGCTCAAAAATAGAGAAAAATGTTTCAAACATATGCAAAACAAAGGTGTCAACATTATTTTTTTAATACGGAATGGTGGTCTATTATACGTACCTAGTATAGAACAGTAGACCTATCAAGATCATAAGGTAGTTGGGGGAGGGCATAAGCGTAAAGCAAACAAGACAAGGGTCATCGGCTGTTAACATCTTTGATGCAACCTACAAAATTTAGTAACATAGTTGAGATAAAAAGTGAAAATATTGTAGATTCAGCTTGAGTCATCTCCATCCTTCGCAACTTTAAGTACTGCATACACAAGAGCAAAGCGGCAAGCTAAAAAGTCTGCATTTATTTACGTTGGTAGGCTTTTGTAGACGCGGACTTTATACTTATATGCCAGAAACGCGGGGCAAGCTAAAGGGCGTAGATGTACAAGTTATATGGAAAAGCTAACAGGATAAAAATTCGAAATTTGGTACATTTAGAGTCTTCGTTGGCACCTATTAAAACCTTGGTTACCTCCTTATATCTAAAAGTCAAGTGGTCAAAATCAGTATTGTTATAATGTACATATAACGTCCCAATCCTGATGGCCACTAGCGGAATACCTTAATAAATACAACTAAGAGATTCGTGTCATAGTGGGGTAGTGGCTTTGAATTTTCTTTTTTATTGTTCTAAAACACCTCTACTCTCAGGACAACTAGGGCATTTCATTTTTTATTTGTTTTCTAATAGGGACTATATTATCACTCAACATACGCTTGTCACTGGCCCAGAACATCTACTACCTTTGTTTTGATTTTTTGCTGGTATTGTATTAGCTATCTTATTATATTTTGACCAGTTGTTGAGGCTATGCTGAAATCAAATTGGCCATCTAAAGACCAAAGTATATGCAGTCCGTAATAAAAGTTTGAAAATATTATTTTACTAAGGACAATTGTATATAGGAAAGTAGTCAAGTTTGAAGATGTGGTGAATTTTATAAAGTTGGCTGGAATTAAGTCACCAGCTGAGTAGTCACAATTTCCCAATTGGGATGTGCGATAGCGTATTTTTGTGGTTGGCACCACTCTATAATAACACCCCAACTATGTGGTAAGGATAAGTTCATCGAATTCATCAATGTGGGGATCAATCTTTCAAAAAGTGTTGCTGTAAAGGACAGGAGATTGTAACTCCGGATCAGGCATTCCCTTAGCGTTTCAAATCAAAAGTACGGTATCTTCAACAGGTATTCCGGATATGGTAAAGCTTGATTAATCCTTTGGCATGTCCCTCTAAATCCAAATGACGATAGGAAATATGCAGGCTGCCACGTTACCAACAAAATACACGCAGAGAATTTTGTCACCTCCAAATATATCTCCTGCACTTGATGCACCCCCATAAAGCCAGACATTAGTTAATTAGCTTAAAAAGATGAGACTGAAGAAAGCGAGATGAGAATAGTAAAGGGGCGAGAGAGCCAGAGAAGCAAGTTTGGCGAGTAAAGGAGTTTAGGGATTACATTTTAGACATAAATGTTGGAGTGTTGAATGATCAACTGCTTAATGACATTTCTTTGGCCTTGATTAAAAAATACGAACAGAATAAAAATTTTCTTTTGTTTTTTGCGTTCTTTTGATTAAGATAAGGATGAGGTAATTTGACACTAACCTTTTGTTAAACTAACTAGGCGATGCTTAACAATGGGACTTGGATAGGGCTTAATATATTTTGATGGTTAAGAACCTCTCTAAGATTTCGGTCCGGACGTTATTATTACCACCGGAAAACCGTTTGACCAGTAAAATTAGCACTTTATCATTATTTGTATCTTTGAGCAGAGCCATATATCAATGGAATTTCGATGCTAAGAACCGCACCACGCTGGCGATCAGCTCAAAATAATCTGATGTTGTGACGTTTAACTCTGTAAGTACATATCTCTAGCAGTTAATAATCATTACCTCTTTGAAATAACCGATAATCTTGATTTTTAGGAGTTTATAGCATAAAGGAAAATGGGTGCCTTCGGGAATATCAAAAGTGTTACAAGAGGTAATGTCTACGAATTTTACCCTGGTTAACACTATTACCCTTGTTAACACTATTACCCTTGTTAACACTATTTACACTTACAAAAAGAGAAAAAGAGAAGAATCTTTGAGGGGTGCTTCAACAATTAGAGGTAAAATAATCCATCGCTTAGATCTTGTGTGCGTGTTGTTTCACTATTAAGCTTGGACAGAAACATCTGACTCTATTAAACAAATTAAATATTTCTGAGTATTCTCAAAATCACTTGAGGCAGTTCAATACCCACATAACGGTATCTTCTACGGGATGATAAGAGCTATTTGATAGTCAATAGACTTTACAGGCCACGAAGTTAAAAATCACCTGAGACCTTTTTAAATGGACTGATAGATTACTGCCGTCTTTTTTTAAGATTGACGTAAACAGGCTCATTGCCGACCTTTTCTCCACTCATCAATGTAAATTATGTCTGTTCTTGCTCATTTGTGTCGGAGGGGCTCAAGCCAATAGTTTTTTTGCAGACTGCATATAAGCAACTTAGGCGCACTATCACTACTCAATTCAAAATTAAAAATTGGGAATTTTGGGTAATACGCATCGAAAGCCTTATTGTTCAACAAGTGTGAACGCTTATTATAATCAACAAAATTGTCTCCGCCTTCGGTGCTTTATATGCACACTCTATTGTGAAGTTCATTCCCTTTAATAATTTGTAAGCCATCCCATTAGTATATAATTATGGGCATATCCCCTAATGAAATTTAGTAATGTTTTTTCGATCTTTTCTTTTCTCTTTCCTTTCTTTCATCGTATTTTATTTATTTGTATCAGTATACATAGTAATATATACACTTGTATATATCAGCATCCCATTACCCCATAATCTGGTACCGTCATTCCCATCTGGTTACCAACTTTCATATTTCCTTATCTCTGCCTGGTGCAGCATTCAATTTTGAGATTCGGAACTCACGGTTTTAGCTTACTCATCATAGCTATCACCTATTTATTTCACATTGTACATTAAAATAATAGTTATTAATCGAACTATTAACTTTACAAAAAGATCAAAAACAACAAGTACATTTGCACCAAGATTATCCTTTTTTTCTTGAAGAATAAGTGATAAGTATTTTAAAGGTTTTGCATTTTAATAAGATTATAACCAAAATATATATATAATGAGTACTGTCATACTACGCAAGACAAGAACCCAATCACCAACTCCTTCGAGTGCACCTGCATCCTCATTATCTCATAACACCTTATCTTCAAGTGTCACCAGTCTGGGATCCGCACCAGTTACTCCTGCTGGCGTGTCTATTACCGCCACATCTTACTCAACTTCAAAGGTCGGTAATGTTCCCCTGTTGAAGTTGTTCCCTGCTGAATACCTTCTTCCTAAGTCTTTATCTACATCATCATCTTCAAGTGTTCCTACTTATGTTACTGCTAGCTCTGACTCTTCCGAAGCTACTAAATCAGTGGCTTCAATTTCCAACATTCCTCCTTGCACTCCAACAAAAGAAACTCATGCTGGCATGCTTTCTATTCCCACTTCTATTGACTCTGTGAACTCAGGAATCTCACAAACCACACCTCCTTCTCCTTTGCTTAGAAAGAAGTCTGGTGAATTAGTCAAATCATCGCTCAAATTGCCATCACTTGGAAAGTCTATGTCTACTACTAACATCCCAAATAGGGATAAGTCTGTTCGCTTTGCTCTGAGATTGGCTAACATTAAAATGTTTGATGGTCGTGAATCTCCTGTTACAGTTTCTAATGAATGTACTCCCTTAGGTTCTCCAAAACAATTGGATGATGAGTTGTATCAACCAAAGCGCAGATCCAAGTTGACTTTTACTTGGGGAAGTGATTTTGACGATGATTTTGATGACGATAACCTTGGCTTTTCATCTTCAAGAAACACAACCAGTACTTTTGAAGACGATGATAAAAATTCTTCAGATGAAGAAAGCAACTCACCACCAAAATACTTTATTGAACATACCGATGTACTGAAGAATCCTCAACGCATCATGTCCTCACCAGTTTATTTGCAACTGATCAAGTTAAACGAGGCTGCCAACACTTTAGTTGGTGAAATTCTTGCAAAGAACATTGCTTTTGAAAAGAATCTTCTGCTTAAACTTACATTCAACAACTGGACTTCGAACTTAACAATTAACCTGGTGTCTTATGTCAAGTCATTCGGAAATTCTGACTTGTTTAGATTTGAGATTCCATTGATGGGTTTATCAAAGTATCTTAAGTTGGAATTGGTTGTCCGCTATGATGTTGCCGGTCAAACATACTGGGATAACAATGACAACAAGAACTATCATATTACATTAAAACCTCAACCTAAGCCAAAGTCTCAAGCTGAAAGCTCTGCTTCTTCGTCAGGTTCTGGCACTCTCAGAATGAAAAGTGTTTCTCAGTTATTGGATTCTGGTGAATTATTTGAAAGATTGGATCGCTTACAATTTTCCTCTACTAATAACAAGAGTTCTTCAAGTGGGATTCCAATTAAGCTGAAGGGTAAGTATTCATTTGAAGATTCATTTTCAAATCCTGAACCTGCTCCATTGATGAGATCATACCTGGAAACGAATTTCAGCTCAACTGGAACCAGATACTCACAAGCATACAAGAACAAGAAGGGATACAATGATTTATTGAACAGTTATTGTTTTTATAAATCGGACAAGACCACCAGTGCTTCTCAAGAGTCTCCTTCTACAGCATCAAGCGGCGTTAAGAATGCATTTACCGTTTCATCTGGTAATGCCTCACCAATCTCAGCTTCAGAGTCTGCACTTAGTAAATCACCATCCGGCTTAAACTCTGCAAGCTCCACCGATTACTTCGGCTTCAATTGCCACACCAGTGTGGGATCCGCATTCCACTCCTTTAGTGACTCTGTCCACGTTTGAGTCAAGTCTACAAACATGACTCTTTCAGCCATATTTTTCTTTCTTCATTTCATAGCAATCTGTCACCTTCTATATTTGCACATTTGGGATCAGTTTTTTAATATTTCATATTTATGACACTTCAGGTATATTTTTTTAATAGGTTTTTTGATTGTTTTGTTAATAATTTACATTATATAGTCTTTTATAGTTACTCATTAAAATACATATATGGTTTCGTTACTTTTAATTTAGAGCCCTAGTAGCATTTACAAGTTCCGGTTTGACCGATTTCGATACAGCTTTGAACTGCATACAAGGGACCGTCATTCACCTAACAGTGTGTTAAGGACATAGGGTGGGTGGTGCATCATTTTTAGTAGGCTTAGGGTTGAAGAGGACATGCTCAAAGTTAATAGCTGAAGATGTAACTTGTGGAATTCAAGTTTCTTACGAGCGCCGTGGGGTACTCTTTGACTGCATTGCGCAAACATGAACACCCCATGGGGTCAAAGTGGCTCAATTGAATCGGCGTGGAACAAACAATCTGGCGATGGATTCTAAATATCACAATATCACTGTACACTGACATTCTTTGCACTGATCTCCAACTTGATCTCTACACCCAATTGTATGGTGGCCTAAAACTTGGATGGACAAGTTGGCTTAGAAAGGGGGTTCCTTACCGTGTTGATGGAATAAACGCGAAATTGAAACAAGTTGATTGCAAAATTCTTACCAAATTCGGTCAAAAATTATCCCTGCTTGGAGTTCCTTTGTTCTCAAATTAATACTAAGACATGGTTGCTAGAACTTGATTAAGAGGTAGATTAGAACGAATCCCTCCTTGTAGGTTGTCATTATGTACGACTTTTACTTCGTGCTTAATATAACTCCTCATTTTTTAATGCATCGCATTTCCGTTCCATACAAAGTAACAGACATCGAAGGATAAACGCGTTCAGTCGTTGAATTTTGCGTTCTAAAATTAGGTCTAGTGCGAAGGGGCTTTTGTTCTCTAATGAGGAGAAGAATTAATAAGGAAGGAGGGGTTAAGTGGGGTGATGTTGGGGAAGCGAAGGATAGAAGAATAGTATGTACCACTGTTTAAATTCTAACAAAAACTTTTCTGATTGTATATGCAGACCATAGTGTCTGATTTGTCTGAATAGATTTTTGTCAGAAAGATTGCACATCTGAATGCAAGAACTAATCATCTTCTACATTGGTTTTTTTTTTTTTCACTTTTTCCGACTGAACCAAAAATGTCCAAGTTCACCAAGCCAGCTAATAATGATTCAATTTGAAGGCCAAATATATTGGTGAATTTATCGCTGATCATAAAGGATATCAGAGAGCTTTTTAAAAAGGGAGAGTATTCTACTATTTAAGTTTATTGTGTGGAACTTTCTGATTCATGCTAAGGCCCTTCTTCCAACCGTGGATTAACACAATATAGATCGAGTATTAGGGAGTTACAGTATAAGCTCATTGAGGTGAACAAATGCTAATGTTTTCCACCTGATACGATTTTACGTTTAAGAATATCCCGCTTTTAACTTCATCATGCCCATTATTAAGATAACGGTTATAGAACTACATTATTTGAATGCAATCACGTCAAAATGAGTCATAATGGTGCAATTTTTACGGGATAACGAATATCTTCTTAATAGTATTTTAATGAAATGCAAAATACTACGCTTCAAATAGAATGTTCGAGGAATACAAGATGATTGGTCTTGCCAGGGCGAAAGAAGAAGGACAACTGTACCCCCCAATTGCCGAGAAGCTTTTGCAGCAGCTTTTGTGAACAGCGATTATTATTTCTCTCACAAAACCGAACCCACTACTTAGTGAATTCAAGCTTGAGACTACCTAAATAGTCTTTCTGGTCCATATTTAGGTAGTACATTCCAGTTTGGGTGGTGAAAGGTGAATCACCTACTTTATATTATGCTGTATTTGATTGTGCAAAACATAAAGTTTTAGCCTTGAAGTATAACTGTACAGCCATACTATATTATATTACCAAAAACTATTACGTTGAGCGATTACAAAAAAGTACAGCCACCAACGTTATCACTACCCTTATTTTTGGCGAATTCGCTTGAAGCCTCAAACTTTACAGAGCGGAATAATTTAAACTGTTCATACTTAAGAATGTGCTGCCAAGTCTTTCTCAATGTTCTCTTAAAGCCATAAGCACTCGAGTGTGAACTTGTAACTAAAACATGCAAACAGTAGCTTTGTTTTGATTTGGCAACCCTAGCTTTGATTTGATTCGGTAACCCATGAAAATCATGTAACAGTTTTGCGATGATTTGGTTTCATCTCAGAAAGGCGGTATGCTTAAGATATTTGCTACCTCAAGTTCTATGAAACATTATAAACTATTAGCAGTTCACGACCTATTTGTGACTCCAGCATGTGAACTTAATTACCCACATGAAAGTATCTTATAGAATGGAACTGGAATAGGTCATATGGGTTACCTTGTAGTATTGTTAAGAAACCTACTAGTAAATCATTGACTATCTCTGCTCGCTTAAATTGTATACCCGCCAGGCTGAATTACTTTCAACTGGATGTTCTAGTCCTTTACAATCGAAAGTTACACAAAACCAGTAGTAATAAGGCTTTGTGACTCCTAACATTAGGGCAAAAGCATACGCAGTTCTCGCTTCTGAATTAGGGCGTAATCAGTGCCTATTAAACATATTCTTCTACGATTGACGCTAAAATATAGTTGTGCTCCAACTTCCACTACAGTAAACGATCTTGACTTTATACAACTAAATATAGATGTGGTATTATCCGTTGGAAAGTCCCAGAAGCACAACTTTCCTCTGGTAGTTAAATGGATACTTAGGTTGCTTTACTTAGAGTGATCTTTTACCACATTACTACGTTGTTTTAAGATTGCTCATCTGGACTAGTTTGGAATGAAAATTCTAACCGCCTTTGGATTTTTAGTTGAATCGGGTAAACAATTCGATTCGGTGGAGATTAAACTTTACATTGACACTCTTTTTCTTTTAGTTGATTAAATATAGAGGACTGGCTTCGCTTAACAGTTGCTGATTATTTATTCTTGTAATTAGGCTTGACCTTATAATTACTAAGCTATAATTAAAAGGACCCTTTGTGATATAAGTCGGGTTTCTCCTACCACAGAGATTTTTATAGATCTCACTGACTGCCAATCTCACTTCGTGAGTCCTGACTTCCTGATCTATTGAACTAAAGTGTTATACCACCCTGTCTTTCTTTTTTTTAAAAAATTCCATATACTGCTTTATATACTATCCTGGTCTTGATATAGTCTGCACTCAAGATCCATCCCACAGGCCCGGTTAGTGATTTATAGCATTTGACTTGATCAACATTGAATCACAATAGAATTTGACGTTTGCTATCGTCACAATCGTTGAGTCTACAAAACCTTGATCTTCCCACAAGACCATCATATTCATTCGATAACGTACCATGGTAAGGCGAATATATATTAAATTCTTAGTTTCCTTGCTATATTTTGTAAGATGGGCATTTGCGGATTCTTACTTCCAAATCAATTATGAGATCCAGAAAGTCACCTTTGTTCAGGACAACTATCTCAATGTGCTATCTAATAATAACTTTAAGCTAGCATTGGTGAGCAGTTTGTCATTTTCTGCTGGAACAAGAGCAAGTGAACCAGCTTTATCAACAATTACATCGTCGGTGACAACGGCAGCTGCTACCTCAACTCTAAGTTCATCTCTGATACCTGCCAATGACAAATTTGTCAACCAATACGTGAACTACTTGGTAAATGTATTTGTTGGATCCAACTATCAAAATATTACATTGTTGCTAGATACGGGGTCTCCAGATCTGTGGGTGAAGGAGGCAGATTCCAGCTGTGTTGTAAAATCTTTAAGTAGTGGCTCGATAGCCACGCAAACAATCACATGCAACGACTATGACAACTTTAGTACAGACACATCATCGACGTTTCAAAGCCTAAACATTCCTTACGAAGGAGAATCCTCGCAATGGTTTCAAGCCAACAACTCAATCACTCTGGGAAGTTGGGGCCAGGATACGTTGATCATAGACAAATGGACAATGCCACGTTTTCCATTTGGTGTTGTCAATCAAACAGATTCATTCTATGGAGTATTGGGAATAGGCATTCCTAATAATTCCTCTAACATAACTTCCTTATCGAATCTTCCAGCAAGGCTTAAGATGGGTGGGATAATCGAAAAAATGGTCTACTCAATGTACCAACTGAGTCAAAATTCAACCAGGGGAGTAGTGTTATTTGGAGCGATTGATTACAGTAAGTTTACTGGCGAATTGTTGACAGTGCCCATCACCACATTGCTAGAGGATTCGATGTACCTACCCAGATCCCGTATAGAAGTGATTGTTAATCATTTGCAATTGAGTAATGGCGAGAAAAAAGTCAATGTTCTGACAAATTCTTATCCAGCAGTGCTAGATTCATCGACAGAACTTATCCAAGTTCCTCGTGCACTTGCGAACAATCTCAAGTACATTCTTAATGCCGATAATTCAAGTTCAGCATATGTTATCAAATGCCCATCAGATTCAAGTCTCACTCTTGATTTTGAATTCAGTGGATCCTTTCTTAGTATCCCAGTGCTGAGTTTGGTGACTTCTAGATATGCTGGTAATTGTACATTGGGAATAATTCCTCAAGATCAAGGTAACTACATTATTCTTGGAAGAACATTTCTCAAAGGTGCATATGTCGTTTATGATTTAGACGATAGAGAGGTTTCACTTGCTGTTCGAGACTTTAATGAAGGTGCACTGTCGTCCATAGTGGTCATTAATTCGCTGATTGCAAGCGCAGTCGATGCACCCAATTACTCAAGTACACTGTTGGGTAGTATATCCAGAGAGCCTAAGGCCACAGCAACGCTCAAGTATAATAAATTGCTGATGGCAGTATCAAAAGATGGGCTAGCACTATCGATAAAGATGACATTAGCAATCGTGTTGGCTGTGGTTTTACTAGTTGTGTGATGCGTGTGTCATACGGTATTGGTTTCATTGCATATCCGCCAAAAATACTTTGCATTCACATTTACCTTTAAGTATTTGTGTTCATAATAATAGAGTAATAAGAGAGCGCGTTTACGTCACTTCTGCTAACGATTGCCAGTTTTACGTGATCGTTCGCTCTATCTTGTTCGTAAATATGGAAGCTGTAAGTTGGTAGCAAACTGCGGTCGTAATTTTCATGCTGCACTGTAATGTATCTGTACAATTTTTGGTGGTACACAATGTACATGCTTAGCGCCATGCCATAAAAGACTTGTTGGAACTTCCTTGTAGAATCATGTAGTCACACTTTGTCTGGCGCACAGCCTATGTTGCTCGTATTTTTTGTATCACCTGCATACTATTATCTCATTTGTTAGTTTATAGCACATATCCAAACAACTATAAAAGCCTTCATGGACCGAAGTTCCATACCCTGGACCATAAAAAATTACTAAAGGATAGAATGGCTATGGTTACACATTTACTAGGGTTATGCCTCTTGTGTACAAGTGTCGTCTTGGCAGACGATTCTTCGTACGTTAAGTTACACTATCGAACACCTTATGACTTGCTATTCTTTAGCGATTTTCTTGTCAATGCCACATTTGGAAGTTCTTCCGAAGAGGTCAGCATGCTTCTATCGTTAGACTCTGCTGATCTGTGGGTCATTGCTGATAATGCAGTATGTTACGATAACGGGACTTCTGAGGAATGTCCGCAAGCTTATGGTTCATATAATTTTGATTCCTCTAATAAAGTTGGTGGTGCCAATGATTCCTCATTCGAGTACCCCAACTACTCAAGTAACGATGGGTTTATCAACAGAGGTGTATGGGGCGAGGACAAGCTTTCTATTTCAAAAGATGATGTTGATTTAGACGATTTCAAGTTTGGAGTGGTGGAGAAGGCAAATTTAACTGGTCAAGATCCCTATGGTGTATTAGCTTTGGGCTTCAATTCAACTTCAGATGATTCGTCTAATCTCCTTTCTTATTTAAAGGCAAAGGGGAAGATCAACCGTCGTGTTGTTTCATTTATTCACGATAACCTCACGGAAAATACGGGGTATGCTCTTCTAGGAGCTGTTGACCAAGCCAAGTTTGTTGGTGATTTACAATCATTACCGATGGTGAACTCAAACATGTATCCTTCAAATTCCAACTTCTCCTCAGGTAAGTTTCAAGCAGTATTAAGTGAGTTGGCTATCAATAATCTTAAGTCAAGAACTGTTGTCACTAAATCATCTTACCCCGTTGTGTTTACTACCAACCTGGACTTTGTCTACCTTCCTCCTGCAGTATTTGAAAACCTTGCCATATTGTCTAATGCAAACATCAGTTTTGCAAATTTTATTTTTGATTGTCCTAAATACGACAGCTCCATCTACATTGAGTTCAATTTCAACGGAATTAACGTTACCATTCCTTACACTAGTTTTATGTTTTCTTTTGTTGAAGACAAATGCAATTTAGGTTTTACTGTTCAAGAACAAGGTGATTTTATTGTGTTGGGCCGGTCCTTTTTGAAGAGTGCATATGTTGGCTTTGATCTTGATCTGTCTGAAGTTCTTTTAGCTCCAAGATATTATACTTCTGATGAGTTGATTGCCGTTGCCGATGCTAGTACAGGAGTTCCCGACGTAACTAAGGCTAGTGCTTATTCCTCAACATCAATATCATCTCCCACTGAAGTACAAGCGACGGCTTCAGCAGTCAAGTACTCTACGGCGTAGATGAAGGAGACGAAACTTTAAAGTTTGATATAAGATCAAGCGTCAGCTGCATGAGGGAATAACCAGAAAGAATGTAGTACGAAATAGATATTGGAAGAGTTTAACAATAACAAGCAAAAGATGACGACTACGACCTACTCTAGTTAAATTAAGAGAAGTAAAGCACGCCTTGTAGCATTACTGCAAATGGAAGTATTGATAATCAACACGCCTTCTTGACAACGTGCTATGCGAAATCTCTTACAAGGTAACGGTAGACGATATACTATTGTACTTTAATGATGAGTACACTTCACCAAGGTATCTTCCATATAAATACTCTTAATGATTTGCTATTTTTTTTTAATACTTTTCGTTGAATTCACCTTGACGAACGCTTGACTACGTCAAACTTTCAATCTTGAAGAGGAATGCGTCTGGTGTCTGAATTGGCTTTTAAAACGTGAGAATCGTGTCCCATTCGTAATCCCATTGATTTAGCGCACGCCTTTAGTGTACCGTTAGATTAGGCAATTTCTGCAGCCAGAAGATCTGAAACTTCTTATTCTGGCTCAAAGGAACAAGGAAAGCTTTTCACTACTTAATCTTGTTCACTACTTAATCTTGGGCTACAAGCTGCCTTTGATGGTAAGGCTTACTATACTGTATGAAGCAACCTCACGAGCAAATGATGTAGACCTACAAGTGCGGCGTTTGATGGGATTTGATAGAAGGAGTTGCTTTAGAGATTGCGTACTAGACTCTTTTTTTCATCTTGCCAAACACTTTACCAGTGTTGGGTACACACGAACGTAGTACATACTGGACTTGAAGATATTTGTGGATTACAAAAGTTACCACAAGTAGCTGAGAGAAAATTATACGCACCCTAGCAATATGATTTTGATTAATATTAAGTCAAGTTGTCTCGCGTAAACAACTTTTCAGTACTAAAGCCGATCACCTATTATTGTAGAAATTCATTTATCCACTTATGATTATAGTAATGCATTTATTTCATTAATACGGAGCTTGGCAATTGCTCCCTTCACAACTCAGCCACTAGAGTGGAGTATAGATAAAAATGGCAACTTTGCGCGAGATCTCCTTATGAAGGAATTTATACTACCAGGAAACCGTTGGTATTGAGTAGCCGAAACAAAACTTGAAGTTCATAATGCTTATATTAATCAATGAATCAATTGCTTCGCATATCTTTGCCATGTACTGCATTGTGTCACTATTGTTTTAAGCACTGGAATGCCTGATTAAAGATTCTTCGCCATTTCGGTACCTGGAACAAAGAAAGACTCACAAAAATAACAAAGAAAGGAAAGTCTGGATCCCGAGAGGCACCGGTGCGTTCCTGAAAATGGGCTCTTCACAAACTGTAAACTTAGTCAAGCAACTCGATCCACCGAAAGTCTGTACAAACTCACTCATAATGCTTAGAAGCAATGTTTCAAGTAATCAAGGTAAGAATACTTTTATAAACCGCCTTGGTAGAAAAATTTGTAGTAAAATACGGTTTCCAGTTGTGGTATAAAATAGGGTTCGTATGCTTTGCAGCCACCACGAATACGTTTTCGTTGACACGCGCTGCACTGCAAAATTGAAACAGTATATTTAGCCTCATAAATACCATATATTCTTACTTTTTAAAGTAGCTGTTAATTTATTACTTCTTAGTTCCATTTTGAAAAGTCATTGAGATAGAGATAGATATTCCTGCTGGTTCAATGAAAGCATCGTTCCAATCACTAATAGTAATAGTAGCCCTTGTGGTGCCCCTAGCAGTTGCAAAACCAGTACATCTCCACTTCGATGTTGGGAATCCCCCACTGTTCTCCATAAATTCGTTTTTAGAGAAGAGAGGCAATACAGCCATTCCAATCAGCAATAGCAATATGTATTACATGGCAGAATTAATATTGGGTTCAGACAATCAAGTTACTAGGCTCGTTATAGATACGGGCTCTTCAGATATATGGGTTATGGCATCGGACGTTGTATGTATCTGCTTAGATTGCTACGCCAACAGCAAAAGAGATAGAACTTTCTATCCGGGAAATATAATCCACATGTACAACAATGAAGAACGTGGATCAGTTCATGGTCTAATAAATGACCAAAATAAAATCCATACTCAGATAAAGAAAACCAATCCCATAAATAAGAGATTTCTTTTTGATTCCACAGTCAGTTCATGGACTACTACTGCAACATGCACACTGTATGGATCCTTCAACACTGGTTCTTCAGATTCATTCCAAGCCAATAGCTCTGCTCCAAAGTTTCTGATCAACTATGCTGATGGGTCTGAAGCATGGGGGGTTTGGGGAAGAGATACCGTCAGTATTGGAGATATTAATATCGGCGATATGTCATTTGCTATCGGCCAACATTCCACTTCTGAAATTGGGGTATGTGGTATTGGGTTGCCAGGTTTGCAATCAACTGCTGCTAAGGGGTATGAGTACCTAAACTTACCAGCCAAGATGTTGGCCGATGGTATCATTCAAAAGAATGCATACTCCATCTTTTTGAATAGTTCAAAGGGAACACAAGGCTCTGTGCTCTTTGGTGGAGTTGACCGTTCCAAATATAAAGGTGATTTGGTAACGCTCCCTATGGTCAATACATACTTCACAGGTAAGCAAGTCAGATCAACTATTGCCCTTAAAGACATCACTCTTGCAGTTGGAAGAAAAAAAGTCAAAGTAACAGATGGTAGTTATGGAGTTCTATTGGATACAGGTGCCACGTATACTTATGTTTCCGAGAGTGTATTCCATAGTATTGGAAAGAGCTTAATGGGTAAATATGATTCTTCCTTAAATGCTTATCTTGTTAATTGTCCTGGGAAGGATGCTGGAACTATTAATTTTGATTTCAATGGTATAACTATTGATATACCTTTGGGTGATTTAACTACTAGCTTCGCTGAAGACATTTGTATGTTGACTATCTTTCCAAAGATGGGCAGCAATTACTTTACATTGGGAAACAACTTTTTAAGATACACATATGTTGTTTTCGACCTCGAAGACCTCGAAATCTCATTGGCAAAGGCTAATTATGGAGGGAACCCAGATATTGTTGAAATTTCAAGGTACATTCCAGGTGCAGCAAAAGCTGTAGGCTATCTGAGCACTTCAATTGCTAGTTCATTTGGTACGGGTACCATTGTTCAAACCTTGAAGTATGCTACAGCAAGCGGTTCCATTGCCAGTAGTGAGATAAGTGGAGAATCCACTAGGAGTAGTAGTAGCACCAGCAACAGTATGCTATCAACAAGTACATCAGTAAGTGCAAAGGTACTGTCACTGTCTACAGCTGATGCAGGGAATGGAGCAGGGTTACAAGGGATACTAGGGTTATTGTTTGGTGTGCTATTGAACATTTTTGTGTAGGCCGTAAATATATACGATATTATGTAAATGACTTTTAGGTGGGGAAGTTAAACGCAATCTAATCGTATAAACTTTTACGAAGAGTTGCAGTCTATGATCATGAACCATGAGCGTGGCAACATCAACTATGATTTTATTTTCTATTTCAACATCGTGCCCATGATATCATACCTGGGGAACAAAGAAAAAGATACGAAGAAAAGAAAATGTGTATTGTAGTCAGTCGAATTACAAAAGATATGGAATGACACTAAGGAGAACAATACCAGTGAATATCAGATGACAAAAGAAGAAGTAATTTGGATGATGACGAAGATGAAGAAAGCAAGAAGAGAAAACGGCAAAGCCACGAAGCATATCATTTGTCATGAATACTTTTGTTATGCAAGCTAGTTGTTTTACCCGCACTAACTTTATAGGTAAACTTTACGGTAGATATACGGTAAACCTATATGATAAACATTTACCGTAAATCTTCATGGTAGTAAAACTCCGCTAACTGTAATCATTCTAAATGACATCATCTGTTAACGAGATTCTTCATTATTAAGGTGAAGACCTTCATTTAACCTCATTAATTTCGGGGCAAAGCAACTAATGAACGACCCCACAAAAACTTTGTAGTCTTGGCCCTATGGGCAGTGCCTCTTCCTTGGCAAGTGATACAGACGCAGAGCAAGTTACATTATTCATTATAAATAGAGGGCCTTGTTGGTAGGCAAGTGATGGTAAATTATACTCTACAACGTGGGCGTATCTCATTGCAAATTATCTACATAAATATTTAAGTTCAGATAGCCATTTTGTCTAATTCATACGCAGAAAACTTAGCTTAACTATACATTAGCATTTGTATTAGGGTATACGAGTAACTATGAGAATACTTAATGTGGCTTTGGCCATAATGTTAGCCGCCACTGCAACTTTAGCAGACCCCATTCAAATGAACTTCAAAGTGGGTAAGCCTCCAGCAGGAGAAGCAGTAAACTACTTACTTAGAAGAACTCCTGAAGAAATGCCCATTGAACATCAAGGTTCTTTTTACATGGTTGAGCTTGAAATTGGCTCGGATAATCAAAATACTACTTTATTAATTGACACTGGATCTTCAGATATGTGGGTCATTGCATCTGATGTGGTTTGTATATGTTTAGAATGTTATTCCCAGACCAAGAGAGATATAGCATTTAATCCTGGTCAAATTATTAAGCACTACAGTAAAGAACGTCTAGATGGGTATGGTCCGCTTTATGGATTGGCCAATTTACGTCCTTCACCTACCACAACAGACAGTCCTAACCTTGATAAGAGAGCGTCATCGACTATTTCTTACATCACACGTGACACTTGCACACTGTATGGATCATTTGATACTGGCACATCCGATTCGTTTAAAGAAAACAGTTCGGTTTCTCCGTTTTATATTGCTTATGCAGATGGAAGTGAAGCTAAGGGTGTATGGGGAACAGATAAAGTTAGTTTTGGTGGAGTTTCTATTGAAGACTTATCGTTTGCAATCGGCGAATATTCAAGTTCCAATGTTGGAGTCCTCGGAATTGGGTTAATGGGGTTGGAATCAACTTCTTATGAATATTTGAACTTACCTGCTAAAATGAAATCTGAAGGTCTAATAAAGAAGAATGCCTATTCTGTGTATTTAAACACTCCTGGAGGCAAGGGTTCTGTTTTATTTGGAGGCGTTGATCGTTCCAAGTACGAAGGAGAGTTGCAAACTTTCCCAATGGTTAATACATACTCTAACCGACCCCAAATAAGATTAACTATGGCACTTAGTGGGTTGTCAATTTCGGTTGGCAATAACAATGTTTCAGTCATGGATAATTCATATGGTGTTCTTTTGGATACAGGGAGTACTTATAGTTACGTTTCGAGTAGTGTTTTGCGAAATATTGCTGAAACTTTAGGTGCTGATTATTCTTATAAAGCTGGTGCTTATTTATTGAATTGTCCAACTGAAGATGCTGGTACAATTAACTTTGATTTCAATGGGTTTACTCTTGAAATACCTATTGCAAACTTTGTTGCTCCTTACACAAGAAACACCTGTATCTTGACCTTACTTTCTAAGAGTTCATCCAACTATTTCACTTTTGGTGGCAACTTCATGAGAAGTGCCTATTGTGTTTTTGATCTTGATGATCTTGAAATATCTTTGGCTAAAGTGAGTCATGGTACTAATGAAGATATTGTTGAGATTGAAAGTACAATTCCCGGAGCAGTGAAAGCTGCTGGTTATAGTAGCACTCTGATTGCTTCATCCTTTAAAATTGAATCAGAGCAATCTGTTACTTCATTGAAATTTTCAAGCACAAGGGCTTCTTTTGCTCGTTCTACTTTAACTTTGGATGGAGATACAGCAACAGCATCTAGTCGAACCACTCTGCGAGGACTGACATCTACTTCGACAAATTCTCCACGTGTAAATGAAGGTAGTACTATCCATGGTTCAAATGGCTTATTAACGATGTTGATTTCCTTCTTTTTAAACTCTGTTCTATTATAGTATATACAGAGCTTAATAAATTGACGTTACTCTAACAAAGAAATGGTCTTGAATCCCAGAATTCATCTTTAATAAGGTCTATATGGTACATTACAATTTTTGCCTTATTTCTCTTCTTTTTCTCCTTTTCTAATTGAGTTTTAGATAACTGCTGCTGTTGATGATGATCAGTTGATGTATGATCTTGATATTCTCTTATAAGGACCGTACCCTTTTTAAAAATCTCTGGTTCATTATTGTAGTTGATTTGGAATTGGGAGTATAAGATTTCATTTTTATCACTAGCCAAAGTGCCAATAAGCCTATTTTCGGCATCTTTCGGAGTCATGTTCCCCTTACTGACCAAAGCCCAAAAGACCGTGTTGTACAAGTTATTGATGTGGCAGTCAACTTGTCTCCAACTGAAGTAGTCTCTAACATGCTTCAACAGTGGATACACGACTGCTCTAGCGTCAAATATTGGTAGTTTACTTTGTCGTATGGGTTTTTCAGGGAACTGCTTGTTCCATTCCATAATATAATGGGTGGACATCATAGAGCCAAACAAGGTGATGAGTTTCATCTCTCGTCTTTCGTACAATGCACATTCTTTCCTCAACAAGAAGGAGTACTCATCCAGATCACCATATGCCATTAAAATGTCTGGGAATGCTTCCACTAATCTGGTAGCAGTTTGGTTCATGACCATCAATGCCCCAAGATCATTGGGTTTCTCAAAGCCATATTCTTGACTGAACTTGTGGAACCCTTTGCCGTCCACGCGTACAAGAATGTAGCAATCAGGTAAGAGATGGTTCTCTCTCTCAAATGCTTTGACGTATTCGTATTTGGAGTTAGCCATTACCGTGATGAAGAGTGGTGGTGCGAACGAGATGAGATGGGATGAGATAAGAACTGAGATTGTTAAGAGTGGTATACCTAAAACGTAGTCAACACATATAACATACAGTATACTGGAAAATATAACAAAATATGATTCAGTATATAGATATACAGTCGAATCGAGTTATATGATATAAGGATTATTACTATTACGAGACAAGACAAGACAAACGCCATTTCACTGGAGCCAATTCTTGATGTGCCAATGATTCACTGGGTGAAACACTAGCAGTTTACAAAATCAAATATCTACGCTTATTTGGTACTAGGTAATTTATAGTACAGGCTCACTCCAGTACATTAAGATCGCACTAACAAATTGCCTGACACTAAGCTTATGTCAAACATAATATACAATGAGCAATATACAATATATACCAATCAAATCATAAGTCTACTTGGCTACTCTTACATACACCTCAATACAACTCTTGAATACGGTATCACTTACACTGGGTGCCCATGTATTTGTATATATACCTAAGCAAGCAACCTGCATATAGACCTCATCCCATCCCAACCACAAACCTCATAACAATCTAAAAATTTTACAGTCAAAATGTAACTCTTCTCCTTAACATCATCAACAAAGTCAACAATATCGATGGGTGTCACTCAGCTTGCAAAGTTCGGGACACTCGAACGGGAGGAGAGATTTAAGAATCCTCCCAAAAACAAAAAGGAGTTGTATCCACTTTTGAGAGATGCTGTTGCTCCACACGTTGGATCATTCAATGCCTTAACTGAGGGGATCGACGGAGGGTTATTGAACTTGGCCGTGAAAGACATTGGATCCAAGACGATTTTTGACTCTAACGACTCTGATAGATTGGGGAACAAATTGAGTATTCGTGTTGAATCTGTTCAAATCGCTAAACCTGCTGTTCCTCAAAATGACAAGTTGAGTCTTAACAGAAAGACTTTGCCCTCGGAATGTAGAGAAAGAATGAACTCTTATAGATCCAGATTGATGTTGAAAGTTTCCTGGAGTGTCAACGATGGGGAGGAAGTGTCAGAAGTGAGAGAAGCTGGTCAAATCCCCATCATGCTTAAGTCCAACAGATGTCATTTAGAGAATATGTCACCATACGAATTGGTAGAACACAGAGAAGAAAGTGATGAATTGGGTGGTTATTTTATTGTTAATGGTATTGAAAAGTTGATTCGGTTGTTGATTGTCCAAAGGAGAAACCATCCAATGGCTATCATCAGACCCTCCTTTTCCAATAGAGGTACCAGTTATACAAAATATGGTATTCAAATAAGATGTGTTCGTCCAGATCAAACATCCCAAACAAATGTTTTGCATTATTTAAGTGACGGTAATGTTACTTTTAGGTTCTCTTGGAAGAAGAATGAATATTTGGTGCCCGTAGTGATGATTTTAAAGGCATTAATTGAAACTAATGATAGAGAAATTTTTGACGGTATTGTTGGTGCTGACACCACCAATTCCTTCTTAACCGATCGTTTGGAATTGTTATTGAGAAGCTACAAACAGTATAACTTGTATTCCAAACAGGAAACATTGGCTTATTTGGGTGATAAGTTTAGAATTGTTTTTGGAGCAACACCTGACGTTTCAGATATCGATGTTGGGAAAGAGGTCTTAAGGAGAATTGTCTTGGTACATTTGGATAAAAGCTCAGATAAGTTTAGAATGCTTTTATTCATGATTAGGAAATTGTACTCTTTGGTTGCCGGGGATTGTTCTCCTGATAATCCAGATGCTACTCAACATCAAGAAGTGTTATTAGGTGGGTTCTTATACGGTATGATCATTAAGGAAAAGATTGATGAATATTTACAGAATATCAAATTACAAATCCAATCTGATATAAATCGCGGAGTGGCAGTTAATTTCAATGACAGAAAGTATATGTCCAGAGTATTTCTCAGAATCAATGAAAACATTGGTCAAAAATTACAATACTTTTTATCTACTGGTAACTTGGTATCACAATCTGGTTTGGACTTACAACAAGTTTCTGGTTATACTGTTGTTGCTGAAAAGATTAATTTCCACAGATTTATTTCCCATTTCAGAATGGTTCATAGAGGTTCTTTCTTTGCTGAATTGAAGACTACTACTGTTAGAAAGTTGTTACCTGAATCCTGGGGTTTCCTCTGTCCTGTTCATACTCCTGATGGCTCTCCATGTGGGTTGTTGAACCATTTGGCTCATAAATGTAAGATTTCCACTGTGGCTTCCGATGTTTCTAAAGTTCCTGCTGCTTTGGCTCAATTGGGTATTTCGCCTGCCAATTCCTTTGCTGCTGGTCCAAGTTTATCTTGTGTTCAATTAGATGGTAAAATTGTTGGGTGGACCACTCATGAGCAAGCTAAAATTGTTGCTGATACATTAAGATTTTGGAAAGTTGAAGGTACTCATGGCTTACCATTAGATTTGGAAATTGGTTATGTTCCTCCTTCCTCCAAGGGTCAATACCCAGGTTTATTTTTATTTGGTGGTGCTGCTAGAATGATGAGACCAGTTAAGTACCTACCTTTAGGTAAAGAAGACATTTTGGGTCCATTTGAACAAGTTTATATGAATGTGGCAGTTGTTCCACGGGAAATTGAAAACAATATTCATACCCATGTTGAATTTTCACCAACGAATATCTTGTCTATTTTGGCCAACTTGACCCCTTTCTCTGATTTCAACCAATCCCCAAGAAATATGTACCAATGTCAAATGGGTAAGCAAACTATGGGTACTCCAGGTGTTGCATTGGCTCATAGATCAGACAACAAGTTGTACAGATTGCAATCTGGTCAAACACCAATTGTCAAGGCCAATTTGTATGATGAGTATGGTATGGACAATTTCCCTAACGGTACCAATGCTGTTGTTGCTGTTATTTCATACACTGGGTATGATATGGATGATGCGATGATTATTAATAAGTCTGCAGATGAAAGAGGGTTTGGTTATGGTACCGTTTACAAGGTTGAAAAGGTTGACTTATCCCAATCCAGAAGAAGAGGTGATCCCATTGCTCAACACATTGGGTTTGGACCAGATGAATGGCCTGAAGTGTGGAAGGAGAAATTGGACAGTGATGGGTTACCAACTATCGGTGTTAAGGTTGAAGAGGGTGACCCAATTCTCGCATATTACGATGATACTTTAGGTAAGACCAAGGTTAAGACTTACCATTCTTCAGAGCCAGCATATATTGAAGAAGTTAAGTTATTGGGCGATGATAATGGAGATCAAGAGTGTCAGCAATTAACCATCAAATATAGAATTACGAGACAACCTCTTATTGGTGATAAGTTTTCATCTAGACATGGTCAAAAGGGTGTTTGTTCTAGAAAATGGCCTCAAATCGATATGCCTTTCTCAGAAACAGGTATTCAACCCGATGTCATTATCAATCCTCATGCTTTCCCATCTCGTATGACTATTGGTATGTTTGTTGAATCATTAGCTGGTAAGGCTGGTGCATTACATGGTATAGCCCAAGACTCTACTCCATGGAAATTCAGTGAAGATGACACTCCAGCAGATTACTTTGGAGAACAATTGTTGAAGTCTGGCTACAACTATCATGGTAATGAACCAATGTACTCTGGAGCAACTGGAGAAGAGTTGAGAGCTGATATTTACATTGGGGTCGTCTACTATCAAAGATTAAGACATATGGTTAACGATAAGTTCCAAGTCAGATCAACCGGTCCTGTTAACTCCTTAACCATGCAACCTGTCAAAGGTAGAAAGAGATCGGGTGGTATTCGTGTTGGTGAGATGGAAAGAGATGCTTTAATTGGTCATGGTACTGCTTTCTTATTACAGGACAGATTATTGAATTGTTCAGATTACACTCAAACTCCTATTTGCAGATCATGTGGATCGCTTTTGAATACCCAAACCTCTGTCCCAAGAATAGGTACCAGTGCATCAGTTAGATGTAGAAGATGTGCTACGAAGCTTGAAAGCTACACTCAAAAGGCTCAATACGTTAGCGAATCTGATATTTGGGAAGATGGGCAAGGAAAGAAATTTGTTGGTGGTGATAACACTACGTCTGTTGCTATACCATTTGTCTTGAAGTACTTGGATTCTGAATTGGCAGCCATGGGTATTAGAATGCGTTATAATGTTGTACCCCAATAGAGGTGGGTGGAACGCTTGTATAATAATCGGTGATTGGGGTTTCACATTGCATATATAATAATAACATTAAAATAACATTAAAATTAGAATGAACTGTTTCTGTAGCAATACAATGTAGTACGGTTTGATTAACACAACTACACTCGTATATTGGTACTCGTAAATTATAATCGTAAATATATCTTATTTGATTTTAAAGCTCGTAAAAATACATGCAAATAAGAACGGTACTGAAAAGCAAAGGCATTACAAAGGGGAACGCCTTTCTAAGAGTTTATCACCAAGTCGTAACTAAAGGAGTAGTTCATAATATATTCTGCATTCTTTAAATCGTTCAAGTCAACTCTAGAAATAGCTTCTTCTTCATTGGCAGCTATTCCTGCTTCCAAATGTCTTTTAATAAGTCTGTCTCTCACTACTCCCAAATCAGTATTAATAAGCCAACTTTCATCAACCAACTGGTGAAGCTCATTCCATGGTTCGTCTTTAAGATTAACGTAATTTCCTTCTAAGAGTACTACCACAACATCTGAAGATATGGAGATATCATTTTCTTTGGGGTTCTTCAACTCGTGATCAAATGAAGGTCCGTAGAGGTCCTTATAAGGTTTGGTGATGGCTTGTTTCACAAGACTGACATATTTTCTTGCGTTAAAGGTAAAAGGAGCACCCCTACGGTCTATGGCCAATTGAGGATCTTCAAACGTTAACAACTCCTTTCTATAATAGTGGAAGCCATCTTGAGGTAAGATTTCGGTCTTTATGTTCCGTTTGGTTGTAAGTTCATTAGCCAACCGTTGAACGAAGGTGCTTTTGCCAGCTCCAGGGACTCCAGCTATAGATATAATAACTCGGTTTGGACACTTTCCAACAGTCAAACTCTCAATTCTCGCTACCAACGAGTTAATATCGTCTATATTCACCATAATGGCCATACAGTGGAAGGAAACGTTTATACGAGAAGAGGGGCCTGGTGGTTTGACTCTGGCCGTAAATAGTTTCGTATATTGCTTCACTCGCGTTTCCAGTGGTTGTGTTTTCCAATTAACGAACTTCAAATTTGTGTGGACAGAACAACTTGATCTGGCAGATATAATTAGACGAGGTCGTCTGTTTGGATATACTGATTTACGATCGACGTCCAAGCGAAATCAATTGCTAGCAGTGCTCAATACGGTCATCAATGGTGTTCATGCGTCTTTGGCATTTACACCAAGCAATGTTGAAGATGACAGCAGTATACGAGTTTCGGTGAATTGTGATGAAGTCCGATGGGAGTTCAAGCTTCGTAAATTATCGGAGTTAAAGACATCAGAGTTTTTTACTGGTATGAATTTCCAACAATTTGGTCAAATGGGGTATCTTAAGTTCCAGATCTCCGAACTTCAAAATCTCTTAACAAGAAAGGATCATTACATAAAGTTCCTTACAGAAAACTTTAAGCAAGCCAATGGGGCTCAGTTCCTTCAGAAATATAAGAAGAACAATCCATCATCAGGAGAGTCGGTAACTCCATTTGAACCAATGGAATGGTTGACCAAAAAAAGGACGCTGTATCGTGAAAAGAACAAGAAACTACATAGTGGTGGTAAAGAGGAAATCAAACGGAATTTGGTTCATGATGCTGTTTCGGATGAATGGACCTTTGGTGATATCAATGCAAATGCCGATGAAGATGCCGATGAATGCTTTAAAGACGAGACTACTAGCAGCAACCCGAGTTCACAACCTCAATCAAAGTCAACTTCTCCGAAGAAAAGACAAAGACTTGGCATAGTTTCAACTAGAAAGAAAAAAAAGTCTTCCTCTCAAGCTCAATTATCGTCACAACTTTATAGTCTTCTGTCGTCCCAGGTGCCGCAATTATCAGCTGAAGACGATGGTAACAAATTGTTTCCCAGCAGTCCCACTAAAGCAGAGATAGATGATTAACTTATAAGGTTTTGCCAACGATTGTGAAGCAAAAGAAGATCTTCATTCTGTTTCTCTGTCATGATTTGAGAATATAAGATAGTTAAGATGTCGTTCCAAAACTCAATGAATTCAATGGCCTCATGCTTGGAATTAGGAGTATTTGTATGAGTAGGAACCTTGTTATTATAGCTATTATGCTTACTATTATCTTGTCTTTCAAAGGGTAAGACGTTGGATCTTTTAAAGTACCCGGAGAATACGGGTATCCAGAACCTTATCATGGTCATAGTACAATCATGTATAGTCTCGATAGAGTCCATATCTAAACCCCGAACAAGATCCAATTCATTGCCATATTCTTTCTCCAAACAATGCTTTATTACTGATTTGAGTAAGATGAGCACTTCATTTGCAATTGTTTCGGGTATATCGATACTCAATGTTGCATTATTCTTGTTACTGTGAATCACTGAATTCATAGCACTCAACGGTACTCTGAGATTGGTGCTAGCACCAGAGCTTATATCCGTGTTCTCTCCGAATCTTTGTATGCTCTCTTGGAGTATTGTTGATGCTATAAGTTCTGGAGTTAGTTCGTTTTGGTAACTAATGGTTAGTACTGAATTGCTTAATGCCTTGGCACACAAGTTCTTATCATTAGATAAAAGCACAATGATACTGGTAGGATTATTCTCGTGAAAGTATAGACAACAATCCAATATGGAATCATCGTTATTAAGATGTATCGAATTAAGTTTTTGTCTTTGTTTCTGACCTCTCACATATAAGTTATTCTTTGCCAAAACAGAATAGATCCAATTATTAGCCCACCTTGCCAATGAACCAATTGATTTGCCTCCTGTTGATTCCAGCACTCTTGAAGAACTCTTTAACCCGTCCAATTCCCTCATCACGGCAACGGGGATAATTATCCGTAATTGGTAATCGGCCGCAAGCTCCATAAGCTTATTTATCACGCTTAGATGTGCCAACATGAAGTTGGTATCAACTATCAAGTATGATAAATTACTACTAGTGATTCCCACCGTGGTAAACGGTGGAGCAGTTTCAAAAACATCTATTTCCATTTCGTCAGAGTCAACTTTGGTTCCTCTTATTTCAGTTAATACTTGCGAGATGGTTCTTTCCTCTTCATCCTCATCTATTGATACCATCTCAATGTCTGTATCAGTATTAATCGGGGAGACTGGAGTTGGCTTGGAAATCTGTCCCTGTGACGGTCGACGGTCAATGGTGATTGTGCGGGAAGAGTCCTTCATACTAATCCCTTCTGGCGCATATTTAGAAGGTAAAAAAGACATTTAATGACAAGTAGTATCTTTTTGTTTGTATTAGTAGTATATGATGTGTGACTATATAAGGTTATATTAGTTCTGGATGCGCTACCATAAAACTAAATTGATATGGGAGCGCCGATAAAGACTGGTAAGTATCGGTTATACTAGGTGTCACCCAACAGACACTGACCAGACAGCAGACATCAAAGAGCTAACAGACTTTGAGCAGAAAGTGGACAACCTCTAAACAGAAATTTCATTCCACTTTAACACTTATATTCAATGTTATAAAAAAGAAGGTCTTGTGCCCAAGTGAAAAATTGTTGCAAAATTTCAATTACAGGAAATTCTACAACTGTTACCAAAAGTATTGAGTTAGGTCATTCACTATATGTCAAACTTACTGTTATTAAAACATATGCATTGAAATATTAATGGACATATTCGGACAGCCGTTATTGAGGTTAAAGAGCTAAAATATGTCCTATCTTGTCTATAAAATTACACCCTTCGCGTAATATACTCTTGCATTATGAAAACCAACTCAGGCAAGTAACACCGAACAAATGCAAAACAAATACTTAACAACTGCTCAGCAGATGCCGAAAAAATGCCGAGCAAAAAGTAGACAGATGCTGAACAGACAGCGATCTGACGATCTGACATACAAGCTGAAATGCAAGCAGACACTGAACAAACTCTGAGCAAATACCAAACAAATACTGAACAAATACCGAGCGGAAAGGTGACACACTCTGAACATAAATCAAGCAGACAGTTAGCAGACACTGAATAGGTAGTAAATAGACATTGAGCAGATATTGAACAGACATTGAACAGACACTGAAAAGGCACTGAAAAGGCAATTAGCCGACAGCAGCAGAAACCAGCTTATGATAATATGTCTCAATTGGTTTTCTTACATACTCCGGTCTTGACGCAATGATCTTTGCACTTCATTGCTTCAAAATGATTAGCCGTCATTCGCAGAATATGGACATACTCATGACCAAAGATATAGTCAGGTCCTCTTCCTTCATAATATGTAGCGCACTTTAATTCTCAAACCTTCAAGTAGATACCCTTCCTGTCCAATCCAATTGCTACCAAAGCCAATACCAACGAATATACAACAAGAATACCGAATGCCAAATACCCAGGAGCATCTATTGTGTTAATGGACATGTTAACAAATCCAGTTCCGAGATTAGCTAGTAGAAACAAAGCTAATCCGTTTTTATTTGTTGCATCTAGAATTGGTGAAGCATTGGGGTCTGATGATGATGATGAAGATTTTTGATCATCAAAGAACTTGTCAATAAAGTTGTATACAAATAACATTGTTGAGTTGTAAGAAACCACCCACATGACATACGCAATATTTGCAATTCTTCTTGAAACTTGATGGAACTCAGTAGAGTTTGAAATGAACCAAAACATCAAATGATAAATGAGTGTCAGGCTTAAAAGACCATCAAAAGTTGATACTGAAAGTGATTTAAATGATTTTCTCAAGATTCCACATTGTCCTAAAAGACTATTTGGTGTTGGTTTCGAAGGTAAGACAAAACTTCCAAACAGTTGACCAAAAATAAAGATACTTAAAAACCCAAAGAAGGAACATATGCCTTCTTTATTCATTGTAAAAAAGTTTTGTAAGCGGAATTCATCTGTTAAAATGATTTCCAAAAGATTCAGTTTAACCAATAAGAATTCGTACACTAACAGTATAGCCAAAGCAATGAAAGCCCGAGGAAATGCATGGAAAAATGGGTCTAAAATTGCAAGGAAGATCGGTAAGAATCCTAAAGTTATAAAGAAGTTCCAATGAATACCATATTCAGTTACATGTTCTTGATATTCTAAACCTTTAACACTTAAAAGTCTAACAATACCCAAGACCAATAAGGGCAAAGCTTTCTTGGTACTCTTGAGAATAAGTTGACCATACCTGGACAAGTTGAAAGTGTACCCTGTTGTAGTCAATTGGTTCTTTAATATTGTTCTAGAACTTACTAAGCCCATGGAGAAAACAAATGATCCCACCCCCAAGTCCATCATTGAAGTACCCCAAGTTTCTACTTTAGCAAGACGTCTAGGGAAAATTTGGAAGTCCACTGCCAAAATCGAGATATTGGTTAGGATTAACATCTGTGATCTATAAGCAGTTAGGAACTGCTTTTTCGGAAGAGTTGCACCAGTCTGCAGCAGCAGGGGAACCAGCAGAGACAGCTTGACTGACTTTCTGTTCCAGATATAATATCCCAATGCTGGAGCCAAAATCAATGTTTGTAGCTGAATGGGGACATTACTATACACAGTAACTGCAGTTATACAACTAAGACAATTCAAAGCAAAGTCTATAAGAAATGAGTCCTGTTCAGTAACAGCGAATAGTCTATAAGCCAAATAAGATACCACTGGGACCGTTGTTATGCTGTAGATCTCTCCTATGGAACCTCCATAGAGTCCCGACACAAATTGTTCCTTCCTTTCCTTTAGACTCATGTATAACAATGTTAAGTAATTGTGTATGTATATGTTATTGTATGCTGTGGAAACGTATACGCTTTTATAGTGAGAATTTTTGTACACCAAAATGTCGTTACTACTACCCCACGATTCATTAAGCGCATGGGTATCATGACTGACAAGACAGATGGCAAATGTTACAGGTCAGATATGGATGATACACCTATCCCATCAGAATGCAATAGGTCAGATTTGGAGGATACACCTATAAATGATACACCTATGCCTCCACCATCATTCACTACTCATCCCACAATGACCATATCCTCTCCTCCTCTGAGAGATAGCTCTGTTGATGCCTTTGTCATCTATTCAGATAGCGATGGGGATGGGGGGTCACTGAATTCATTGGACATCCCAAGACTGTCCAGAAGGCGCAGGTCTAGAACAAACCAAATCAGCAGCACTCGTTCCCGTTCCCGTTCTAAATCTACAGAGATTAAACTGGAGGGTAATAGTCCTGACATTGCTGGAACTAAACGAAGATCACGTCCTAGACGGAAGTCTGCTGGGTCAGGGTCCCTGTCTTTAGAAGGATCCCCCAAGCCGGGTAAAAGGAAACCTCGAAGAAAGTCTACCAAATCTGAAGGGGGTTCATCAATCTTTGCTAGTGGATATACTTCAACTCCTGCTACGGGTAAAATCTTTAGAAACTTACTTATATTGGAAGAGAACCTTCGACAGCAAGTGATTCAACAAAGAGCCCTAAGAAGGAAATACTTGACCTTTTTAGCTATTCTATGTTGTTTAATTACATCTATTTCCCATGTGCTCTATTTTAACCAATCAGAGGCGACGACGATCAAAGGCCCCTTTAGAGTAATTCTACAATTGATCTTATTGGCATTATTAGTTACTATCATGTTATATCACTTGTCTGGAGAATATCAAAAAACCATTGTTCTACCTCGGAAGTTCCTTTCATCTTCAAATAAAGGATTAAGACAATTAAATGTCAGATTGGTTAAAATCAAAACCCCTTGGTCCGACCAGTTTGTGGATATCTTGAGAGAAATGGGTCTATTTATAAGTACAATGTGTTTGAAAAGTGTTCATAAAGTTTACCCACTGAAAAGGAATAACCCCAATTCAAAGTTAGAAGTGTTTTTGGTGTCTTGTCTACTGAAATGTCAACCAAGATTAGGGATAACCGATGTGAAATTGGTCTTGAATGCTAGAGTGTTTAAGACTCACGTTAGAGAAGGTTGGGACCTATATAGAAATGAATTCTGGATTCAGGAGGGCGTCCGTCGTCGGAAACAAATGTTAGCCTTCATTGAAGAGCAGAAAGGGAAGTCATTAACAAAGAAAAGGAAAAGGGCCGGAACAAGGCTGACAGAACCACAGTAATAATGATGGTATATATGTTAATCTCCTGTGATTTTGCCACTGACAACTGTGCCAAATACAACGCATTCTAATAACGATGATCCTCCCAACCTGTTGCCTCCATGTAACCCTCCACTTACTTCTCCAACAGCATACAAATTAGGAACAATTTGATGATCTTTGTTCAAGACTTGTCCATATTTGTTGATTTCAATCCCACCCATTGAAAAATGCACCACCGGTGTAATTAACCCAAAATAATACTCTTCATTTTCTTCATCAAATGTAGAACCAAAATCTTTCCTTCCATAAGTGTCATCTTTCTTTGAAGCAATTGCATTGTTGTAGTCAATCAAAGTATTCAAAACAACTTTCCCGTCGATTTTATCGTTGATACGACGTAAAAATTGAACCATGTCTGTTAAAGAACCTCGTTGTAAAAGCTTTTGCGAAGTATAAAAGTCAATATGGTTCTTTGCCTTTTCATAATCATTTTTATTAACCACAATTAGCGAAACAGCTCTTCCCAATTCTATGCCAATGTCATTACTCAAACTTGTGGTAACTCCACAATTATCCAAAATTGCTTGCGTCACTTGATCTCTTCTTCCAAGTTCGTTAGTAAACCTTTCTCCTGTTACCGGAGATATGAGAAACCCTCCAATACCTCTTATCAATTCTCCACATAGAAACTTCCATTTTTCGTTTATAGAAGTAAGCTTCAAAAACCCAGTGGGATGAACTTGAACTTGATCCATATGAATCAAATTGGCTTCCACGTCTCTAGCAGCAACTTTTTGACCATCTCCTGTAGTTTGTTGCCCATTGGTAGAAGGGAACGAGACCAAGTCAGGTCTAAATTGCTTTAATAACGAGCCAAAATCAGCAGAGTAACCCCCGGTGGCTAAAACAACATTCTTGGACGTTATGTGACGTGTCTTCTTATCTGAATCAACATATTCAATTCCAATAACATTGCCACTATTACTTTTCAAGATCTTATTTAGCAATGACTCCTTAAGAACAGTCACCTTCTGATCCCTTTCATATTCTTCAATCCTCTTAATCAACAGGGACATAATAGCAAACCCGGGAGGTAACTTCCCACTACCTCTGTGGGTCCTAGCATGGCTATGACCTCCTAATTTGGTTACCACAGATAAATCTATTTTATTGTGTTCTGTTAACCATTCAATTGCATTCTTGGATTGATGCACTAAGACTTCAACCAAGTCTAGTTTCGATAGCCCCTTCCCGGAAACAACAGTATCGCTTTCAAAAGATTCAACAGAATCTTCATCTTCTTTAGCTGTTTGATATTTAGTAGGCGTACCGTTAATTCCACTGGATGCTTTCATAGAGTTTCCTCCAAGTCTATCCGTCTTCTCCACTAAAATAACAGGAACACCCCTCTCCAACACTTTAAGCGCAGTAGTTAGCCCAGCAAGGCCTGTACCTACTATCACCGTATCTGTTTCCATACCTTTCATGCCCATTAATATTCTATTCATCAAGTGGTGTCCTATGACTGACAAGAGGACCAATGTAACCACCGCTTTAATTGCTTTTAGTAACCGAATTTTGGATCAAATACAAGACTGTTTTAAGTCAATTGACCAAGAAAAACCATCTTCACTATTATTTATGTAATATTCGTTTAGCTTACTCCAAGATAACTAACACCACCTGATATTCCAGTGTATAAATCCTGCATTTAAAGAATCCGCCCTCGGATTTATTGGATCACGTGGTAGCTCTGTTTTGTGTACCTTTAGTTTCTACGTAACTGTAATTCTAAAATATACAATACACCTTTTACTAATCTCTACCACAACTCCTTACTACAATGCTACAGTTGAATTCTGTTATTCACCCAAACACATCCGGGCAACGGTTCAAGTTTGAAGCCTTTTTAAGAAATGAACACAATTTCGGACTTGATCCCGATAGACCAGTGTGTCAGTTTTTCACTCCGCTGAACCCTGGAGCCTGTCCCAATGGAAACAATTGTCCCAATAAACACGTCCCAGCCATGTATTCCAATAAGATTGTGTGTAAGCATTGGCTCCGAGGACTTTGTAAGAAGAATGACAACTGTGAGTTTTTACATGAATATAATTTAAGAAAGATGCCTGAGTGTCTGTTTTTCTCCAAGAATGGATATTGTACTCAAACACCTGAATGTTTATATCTTCATGTAGATCCTCAACTGAAGATTCCTCCGTGTCCCAGTTATGAGCGGGGGTTTTGTCCCGATGGACCTAAATGTTCCAACCGTCACATAAGGAAAATGATGTGTCCGTTGTGGGTAACTGGGTTTTGTCCTAAGGGTTCTGACTGTGAGCATTCTCATCCTAAATTCGAGGGTATCATCGACAGATTACGAATAAAACCAGACGAAGAAACGAATCTGGACAAGTGAAACATATATGTATATTTAGGACCGTTTCAAGGATATTGTGTCATCCCATATAATCAGGTATTGGGTGCAGTTATACTTGAAGGTGGGCAAGACAAGGTATATATGGAGGTATTATTGAACATGCGTATAGCTGAACAAAGCGATGGACATGTTAGTAATAACCGTGGTGATGCTAATGACAGTGATACTGACAGTGTTAGTGGTTCTAATGAAGGTACAAAATATGCCGACGTTTGCTCTCGATCAGATACAGTGGTGTCCAGTTCAAGTGAGCCAAATCGAAGTGATGCGTCTACAAATGATGATTTGTGTCCACGGAATGTTATATTGGAAGCAGTTCTTGAGAAGAAGTCGTACCGTTGAAGTCTTTGAAAAGTATGAAGAGTCTGTTGTTTGACCACACAATACGTCTCATATCCTGACTTGCTGGAAATAATGATATATATATATATATATATATATATATATATAGCTGTAATATATTGTACATTAATAATAACATTTTAATTATATCCGAAGTTTCCTATACTGCTTCCGTTCTTGTGGACTAAGCACCCAGTTTAACCCATCAGACAACTCTTCATCACCTCCTAAATCGGTTTCATTATTGGAGTATTCATCATCATCAAGTCCTAACAAGTATACAAGCTGAGTGATGCGCACAAACTTCTCTTTTAGTTCATAGTTATCTCCGCACGCAGCGTTGATCAAGAACGAAAGGTCTTTGTCCAACTTTAAGGCTCCCAATTCATTGATTCTAAACTTCTTAAGCATCGACAAGATTCTCTTTTCCAAAAAGTTGGATAAATTAACAACTATTAGTCTCATAAGTTTGCTTAGGATCAATGTCTTATGGCATGTTTGTCTGTAGGGCCCAATTAAGTTTAACCAGGTGCTCTGGAACTTAAGCAAGTTGGCTGTTTCGTTCAATGTCGATGGCAGATGAATAATATAATGTTCATTGGCTTCTGGAATGAATTCATTGACCATCGTTGCCAATCTATTCTTGAATGACTTCTCAAACATATTAACGATATTGTCACTGATGATCCTGTTGGTACTATGGGTGAACGGAGTTAAGAAGTCGTCCTCAATGATCGAATGCATTTTTGTTGAGTCATTTCCATAAGGGAACTGTTCCTTCAAGTATCTGGGGTTCAATACCTTCTTGATAATCTTAGTGAAATACTCTTGTCCCACAGCAACACTGTTCAAATAAACAATAAAGAGATCTAACCTATTGGCACTTACCAATTGTTGAGTAGTAGAGGCAACAGAACTAACGCTTGATCCAACTACATTCCCAATAGCACCTTTGAAAAACCCCATTCCAGATGCTGCAGCTCCTTGATCAGGCATAGGGGTTCCACTTCTTGATCCAAAAGGACTATTAAGAGCTGGTTTGGAAGCAGCCGCAGCTGCTGCTGCAGTGGAAGTGGTGACCGGATTATGAACAAGTTGTTGGTTGTATCTAGGTTGGAATTCAGCTAAAGTCTTCACAAAAAATCCTTCAATCAAATGTTTTTGAACAATCGTAAAAGAATCAACCATGAACTTCTTAACAGTAGAAGGGATACAAGTCTTAGTCACGCTAACCACACTGGTGTTAAGCACTAATGTCACATCCTCAATCACAGATGAAACAGGAGGCTGTTCTAATGAAGTGAAATTAGGGTTAGGTACGAGCATCAGGTTAATATCTGGTAAATCTTCAATAGTAATTGCCTTTTCAATGGATCGTTTGATGTAGAATTCCCATAGTTTCTCATAAGCAGGAAGTAATTTATCATGAATTTTGCTATTGAATTTAGATTGGGAGATTATATCCGGTAAATTAAATTCATGTTCTTCTTCGTGATGTCTAAAATATTTGGAAGCAATAAATTTACCAAAATCATTCCAATAGTATAGGATGTTCCCCAATTCAGACATCAAATCACTGGATTGCACTATACTTACCAACTCATCAGAATCGTTGATACTAAGATCATTTAAAGAATAGGAAACATCATTCAGCCTATTATGCTTGTTCAAAATGGGAAAATCATATAACCTGATGTCTTGTAAGACCTTATCAACTCTTCTGATATCATAAAAGGTATCACTTATCAAGCCAATTTGAGAGTCTACCTCCAATTGAATTTTAGAAACCACATATTGCATGGCATTAGGGTAAGTTTTGCTATAATATTTTCGAATCAAAGGATCATGTTGTAACAACATTACCAGGACATTTTCAAAAAGTTGTTGTGTGATTTGACCAAACATCAGCAGTCCAATATGATTTTGGGTATTTTTAGTTAAAGTTCCAACCAATCCACTGGAAGAATCAGATATGATTTGACAAATGAACCTTGAGTAGCAATCCAATCCAATCTTCTCTTTCCCAATAAGTGGGAACAATTGAAAGTATTTGGTGATGTTTTTAACATCTCTAATTTTCACGGCATCTTCAAAATTGGTTTTGAATTTACTACTGAGCATATCAATCCAATTATCAATAGTTGTTCGAGGTAATTCGGGGATTTCAGTACTTGGAATAACAGCAGATGCAAACTTACCGTCTATAAGATCTTTATCAACGTTAGACAATATCTCACTAATACAATTAGCTGCCAATTCACAATCGTCATGCTCAATGGCATAATTGGCCTGATTGATATTATTTTTTAAGATCTGAGTATCTCGAACATATTTAAGCGTCTTATTGACATTGGCCATCTCCTTATCAATAGCCTTGATCTTGAAAGTTAACAGGTACCCCAAATCATTGGCATTGGAAAATACATTGGTCAACTCATTACAACTATTGATGGCCGTAGAAAGTCGGGTACGGTTAAGCTCAACACTCATAATATCCAGCTGATGTTTCTTCAGTCCAAATATAACAAATTTATCCAAGTCTCTACCCAAGTTATCATTCAACTCATCTATTTCGTCTATGATGTTGTGAGCTTCCTGGGAAGAAGTGATTTGCAGTGCCTTTTGGGAGATAGCTTGAACACGTTCTCGGAGTTCAATGGCTGAGTACGTTAAATACTCTTCCAGAGAAACATGACCATTGGCAGTCGTCATTATTGAGGAATATAAAGTAGTAAGAGTTACGCTACGTAGTTTGTATGTGACATTAAGTTGTTCACCATTTAATACGGACTGCATATAGTGCATCGAGTATAAACTTACACCAATCTATAATACCTTTCTATCAGGTATATGTCAGTGTATATCCGTCTGCAGTCGTGTATACCCTCATATACCCTTATTATCTACATGGATAAGTCACTCATTAAATTGCCTTGCTTATATACTTATCTATTTCTGTTCAGAGACCCAGTCGTTCAAACCGTGTCTGTTTCTTGCAATCTCAAAAGCATAAAATTGAATACGAACAGCAAATATGGTATTGTGTTGAGTATATTCTTCATCAGACTTCAATCTTAACATAGTACCGAAGTTAAAGTCTTCGATGGTGTTGAACTTTTCACAATAAGCTCTCCATCTTTTCTTTCCTTCAACAGATTTCAAATCTTCTTCCTTAATAGATTTGACGGATTCAGCAGTGCTATATTCAGGGAAATCCTCAATGAAAGTGTTGTAAATATCATCATCATGTTTAGTCAATTTCAATTTAGATCCAGGAATACTGGACAATAAGTTCCAGTAAGCTTCCAACTGTTTCACAGACTTGACAGCAAATTGCTTCTCGATATCCTCCAAATTGTCGGCGTTCTCAGCGTCGAATGTAGACATGGTTTTGTTTTGATAATACGAAGAAGGTTGAGTGTAGTAGTAGCATTTAGAAATCTTCGATGGGATTCTTGGGACACATTTTTCACTGTGTTACACAAAATTTACCGTATTGTATATAACAAAAGAGTTTACCATCTACATCTAATTTATTACATAACAAAGTTAACATTACTGTTCCACATATAATACAAATGCACTTGTTCATTATTATCATTAAATGTTTCGACAACCATAAAAGTCTATAAGGTAACGGTTGAATTATAACTTGCTTGAGGTCTTCAGAGCAAAAGCCTTTAAGATAAACTTGGCTTCTCTCATACCACTTAACCATGCACCATGTACACACCCGGCACCTTCCAGAATTGTATGTTCGCCAGCAAATCTAACATGAGAGTCTAAACCCAAACCAACATTAGGAAATTCATTCGAAAGCTGAATAATACAACCGTCAGCATCGTCACCTGCGTGAACAGCAGAATAAGACCCTCTAAAGTAAGGGTTTTGAGTCCAACTAGTGGTGAGGACTTGAAGGGGATCAGGAATAGGTCTGTTGCCAGTGACAGAGAGTTTTTGAAGCATTGGCTTATAATATTCCCAAGCCTTTTCAGGGTATTTCTCAAAGTAATTAGTCAATGGAGCCTGAGTTAACAATACTAAGGAAGGTTTGTTGGGTGAATCGTGGACTTTACTATAGTTAATGGCATAAGCTGGAAACTGGAAAGGAATTGGTGGATTTTCTGGAGTGAATTCAATAGGAACTGGAGCAGCATCGTAATCAGGTAAAATAGTATATCTATCTTGAGAATAATCCCACCAGACTTGATCAAATTCAAGAACGATTTTACCTAAAGCACCAAAATGGATACTTTCAAGAGATTCAGTTACATTCTTTGGTAAACTAGGGATCCATTCAATACCTCCAACTTCATCTTTATCCAAAGCAAGAACGCTTTGAGGTACAGTGACAATGATATAATCAGCTTCAATTGTTAAACCAGTTTGACAAACAACTCTAACTTTATCACCACCACGATAAATCTTCTTAACTGGTTGACTAAGTAAGATATTTTCAACACCCTTTGCCAACTCTTCGGGCAAACGACCGAATCCCTCCTTATTATACAAGTTTCTGCCTTCATGTTGTAAGATCCCATACTTGGCACTCATGACATCCCAACTTATACCATGCCATAACTCTAAGTATCTGATCATACGGACCAAATAATGCTTCTGTTGAGGAGTAAGCAACTTGTCAAACTTTTCAATGTACCGTGTAGCAATCTCTTTTAATGGAACATCCTTATGATCTAACAGAGCATAGTAGTATTTTTCACTGAATTTTTCAGCATCAAGTAAGATTTGGTTTAAATTCAAGCCATTAAGATCAACAACACCATCTCTGTCATACACTACAATATCCTTTTCATCAAAATAACCATCTCTAGGAACTTCGAACTTCCCCAGGGCCAACTTGTAATCCAATACAGCGTTGTCAAGACAATCATGAAACCAAGCAGCTCCTAAGTCATAGGGCAATCCATGAACAGAGCTAGTTCTATCAGTGAACAACCGACCTCCGATTCTATCTTGAGCTTCAACAACGTAAACATCCCTTTGATCCAAAAGAGTCAACAATTCATTGGCAGCTTTCAATCCAGAACAGCCTGCACCGATTATAGCAACTTTGGTGTTAATAGTAGTCATTTCGTCAAGGTTTTCAGTGATAATCAGTGAAATACGTTGTGGAAGAGACTTTGCAATTATACTATGTGGAGGAACTGATTTAAAAACTATTCCCTTAAGCTTGCTAAATATTTCTTTTAGTTTATACCAACTCAGGAAGATCAACAGGTTCAAATAGTAGTTCATGATCTCCCCACTATGGTCAGATCCATTCGTTAACTAGCACAAACGGTTTATTAAGTGCACTTTTTAGCCGCACTCCGGTTGCCGTTTTTAGTCGTACCGCGCGCAAGGGAATCGATAGCCTTCAGATGCTGTTAATCATGGCAATGGCAATGGCAAGTGTCACCAATGAACAATATGTTACACACTATGGTGCAATAACGATTTTAATATCAATTGTGCGTAAAAATAGTACAAGTTCAAGCAAAGGAATGAGATCACCATGTAACTTGGTGCAGCTTCTTTATGTCATAGATAAGCAACCGAATATATCGATCAGCTGATTCGACTTAGTAACTACATGGATACACATAGTATCATAGACTTGTTAAGTGCTTCCAAAAACGGTAATAGTAGCCGCAAGTATGTAGTCCTTTAACACAATTCATATAATTGAACTTGGCCAGTGTATAGTTAATAGCGCTGGGTCCAGCTATTTGTCGTTTCGATCTTACTTTTCGAATTGAAAAATCATTCCATGGTACAACACTAATTATGGTGAGAGCTATTAAAAATATGGCCCGAAAAAAGACATGTACTATTCAATACCCTGCCAAATACCTTCTACTACATATGTATTACTCTATGCTAGTTATGATCACAATCCAAGTGACTTGGTCACGTGATCACGAATCTGTTTATTATACTCAATTCTGTCATCTCTCCAAAGCTTACAAGCATCAATATTAGCACCGCTTTCTGGATTAGGTTCGGCCAACATTGAAATGACACTCAATAAGATCTTTTCCACACTTTGTACTGGTGACCATCTTTCTTCTGGGCGCTCGTATTGATTTGGATCTTCACCTGGAGGATGTAAAATAGATATACAAACTGTTCCATCAGCATAAATGTTAGGGTGAAGAAGTGGAGGATCAAATTTGAGAACTGGTGGTCCTAATGGATAATCTGTTGGGAAGCTTAAAATTGCTGGAAATACACCATTTTCATATGGAGTATCAGAAGGTCCTTCTACTAAACATTCCCATTTGAACAAATCATCATCACTAATAGGTCCTGCAACAATTCCTGGTGGAGGATCTCTACTAAGTTGTTGGAACTCTTTGAAAAGTCTCCTCTGTGCAGTCAGAACCATATTATAATCACTTTTATATAAATAAGTCTTCTTATCAGCCAGGTACAAGTAATAGTAGTATTAGTAGTAGTTAGTTGTTGGGTGTCGTTTGATTTGATCTCACCTGTTTTTGCGCTACCAATGAAATCTTTAAATTTTGTATTTGGATCTCCAGGTCGTGTGCAAGTGTCAAAATAATTATCATAGATCGATAACAGATACATTAACCCCCTAATGATCTTTTGCCGTCACTCTTTCTTTGACTAAAGTCTTATGGCTATGACTGTGATTGCTTCTACGTTCTACGTTATTCTTTTACCTAAATATCTTAGTCACATATAAACTCATAACCATTGAAGTTTATTTCACCTTGTCAAGAAACGATGTAAGTAGTTGATCAGTTTGGGAGACTGCTTATCTTCTTTGCGCATTAGCTGTAATTGTTTTTCAATTTATTATCAAGCACCAGTAAAGGAATGACGGCGATTGTTGATAGATCATATTTAGTTGGACCTTATCATAGTGATTAGAATTGAGCTTTGTGCTTTATCTACACAAATGTCATATTAGATCATTATTGTTTACCTATTTATCTCCACAGTCTATTGGGAGCGCCGCCTGGGCTTGTTGTTCAAATTGAAAAATTTTGGTTTGCAACTTTAAATCAACCGATTTTATTATAGAATAACTTAAACTTGGTTCAGATAAGAACTAGTGGTTATAAGAATTGTAATTGAGGAAATTCAATTGACATGTCGTTTGTTGCCAAAGTGAAAAATGTACTTAGTGGTGATACATTGGTGCTTATTCCAGTTAAAAGTACTCAAGTGCCAGTACCGGAACGTATTTTAACATTACTGTATGTTCGAACTTCTGAAAATGGATGGCCTTCAAGAGAATACCTTAGACAGTTGCTTATTGGCCGTGATATTAAGGTATCTGTATTTTACAAGAATCCAGCTACTGGAAGAGAATTTGGTGATGTGAAAACTCCTATTTTTGATTCTTTGATTGTGCATTTGTTGGAAAAGGGTTATGTTCATTTGAAGGATAATGTTCAAGATGATGGTTCTGAGTTATACGAGGATATTATCGCAGCTTCTCAAAAGGGTTCTTCTCAAAAGCTTGATACAGAAACCGGTCGTATTGAAATAATTCCCTTAACAGAACAAATTCAAGCAAGATCCCAAAAATATCCTCTTACTTGTGTTGTTGAGAGAGTTATCAGTGGTGATAGAGTCGTAGGCCGTATTTTTGTTAGATCTAACCAACACATTGAAAGTCCAATCTTATTGGCTGGGATCAAGTGCCCAAGAACCGACGATGAAACTGCTAAATTGGTCAAAGTGGGTGAACAAGCAAAGCAATTTGTTGAAGAAAAATTATTAACTACTAAGGTCGAAATCAAGGTTAGCATTATCGGAGAAAATAGTGCAGGCTTGCCAATTGGTATATTCATTCACCCAAGTGGTAACTCTATTCATGAAAAATTATTGGAGTTAGGTTTGGCTGAAATTGTCGACTGGCAATCCCAATTTGTGGGTTCTAAGTTAATGGTGGAATGGAGAAAAGCTGAACAAACAGCTAAAGCTTTGGGTAAAGGACTTTTTGCTACTTCAACTGCTGCAAAGCCAGCTACGATTTCTACTGGTGTGAAATCAAAACTGTTGAAGCCTGGCTCAACTCTTGACAATGTTCAAGTTGGTCGTGTTTTACATGCTGATACTTTTATCCTTAGACTTCCTCAATCTGATGAAGAAATCACTGTTCAATTGGCCTCTGTTAGAGCACCAAAACCAAACGATTCAACTGTTACAACTAATGTTCAGGTCCAACAAGCATTGGTCAATACCGCTAGAGAATATGTGCGTAATGCTGTGATGGGTAAGAATGTCACTGTTTACTTTGATGGTTACAGACAAGAAGATAAAGAGAGGGGCTTTGATGCTAGATTTACTGTGAGTATTAAGTTGCCAAATGGCTCTGATTTATCAGAACAAATAATTTCTAATGGTTGGGGTACTGTTATTAGACATAGCAAGGCCACATCTGGTGAAAGATCAATGAACTGGGATAAATTGGTTGAGCTTGAAGAAGCATCAAAGAAGGCTGGCAAAAAGGGGATATTCACAACTGGTGATATCTCCAAGGTATTAACTGTTGGTACTAGAATTGTTGATGCTAGTGAGAACTTTTCCAAAGCCAAAACATTTTTGAACGGGTTCAAGCAAAAGGGTAGAATTGGTGGATACCATGTTGAATATGTCAATTCTGTGAATCGAGTCAAGTTGTATAATCCAAAAGAAGGCTTGAAGTTGACATTAATTTTGGGTGGGTTATCTAATGAACATAATAAATCTGATGAAGGTTTGAAATTTGTTAACAAGAAATACTTGCAAAAAAATGTTGAATTTGATATTTACGATACTGACAAGATTGGTGGCTTCATTGGTAATTTGTATGGAAGTCCCAGTGCGTTGTCACCAGTGCAAGTTCAATTATTGAATCAAGGGTATGTGAAATTGCATGATATTGCTGTTAACAGCAATAAATTTGCCACTGAATTCTTTGAAGCTGAAGATGAAGCCAAGTCTAATAAAAAGGGACTTTGGTCAAATTACGATGCTGCTCAAGAAAAGGCACAAGAGGAAGCTCAATTGGCTCAATCATTAGAAAAAGTAGCCATTGAATCAAAGCCCAAGTTCTTTGATATTGAAGTCACCGATGTTGATCCTACCACTGGTGTCATTTCATTTCAAAACATCAGTCCATCAGCCGTTGCTAAATTCACTCTGTTCAAGAATGAGTTCAATGAATTCCATTCCAAGGCTCCAAGTGCAACATCTTCATCTGTTGACTTGCCATTTAATTTGAATAAGCCTCCAAGGAAGGGTGAATTGGTATCTGCCAAATTTTCTCAGAATGGTAAGTACTATAGAGCTCGTGTGATCAACTATGACAAATCTAGTGGTTCATATGAAGTCAAACATATTGATTTTGGAAATGTTGATAAGGTTGCATTATCAGGTTTAAGATCATTACCAATTAAATTTAGTTTGGCGACTTACCCAGCTTTTGTTAGCACTACAACATTACAAAACTTGAGATTACCACCTTCCAAGCCAACTGACTACTTCACTGATGCTATATATGCTTTGGAAGACTTAACATACGATAAGAAATTGGTTTTGAGTGCTATTCCTGGTACCATTACAGATTACACTGGTGTTTTGTATGATTCAGAACAGCTGTTAAAGGATGCAACTTATACCATCAACAAACAATTAGTTAAGGAAGGTTGGGCTGTTGTAGATGAAACAACTTTAACTGCCACTATCAAAGCTTCTGATTATGTTTCTGGCTTATTGAAGGTACAAGCTGAAGCAAGAGCTGAACATGTTGGATGTTGGGAGTTTGGTGACGTTAGTTTTGATGACGAGACATTTTAGACATCACTAACTGTATAGAGAAGTACAGAAAAGAAAACGAAACAGTCATTGTATAATATCAGTATAGTATGATGAGGCCATACCATTTTATTCCGAGGGCATTTCCGGTGTTGATCTGGTCGGAAATCTATGGTGGCGTGGCTGCAGACAATTTCCTGTGTTCGACAGCGTAAGGCATAATTTTTTTTTCACCAGCTACCAACAGATAAGCCAGGTGTTTCTATTCTTCTTTCAACACCATTCCAAACCGAAATGAATCCTATGGCTACCAACTTAGTCATCATGCTTGGCATGATGCAACTCGCTAAGAAGATTGACTTTGAGAACCCGGACGTTTTGTTTTGGGTCAGAGTTGGGTACTTGGGATGTCAAGCAGTAGCATTGGCAATCTATTTTATCACCAAAGCTAAGATCAACTCTAAGAACGATTTGACTACTTTGAAGTATGTTGAACCTGCTAATCCTATGAGTGGAGAATCCGAACCCAAGGCTGTTGTTACTACTGTTAAGGAATATGATTTGAAACAAGTTGATGCTGCTTTAAAAGGTGTTTTCCAAGGTTTGGCTATGATGGGATTCATGCATTTGTATATGAAATATACCAACCCACTTTTCATGCAAACCATTTCTACTGTTAAGGGAGCTTTAGAAACCGACATTGTTAAGATTCATCTTTTCGGTGTTCCAGCCTCTGGAGACTTGAAGAGACCTTTCAAGGCTGCTCCTAACTTGTTGCAACAATTAACTGGTGCTGGTGCCGGTGTCAAGACCGATAAGGCTTCTATTGATGCTGCTGAAGTCAGTGGTGCTGGTGGTGTCAAGGAAGATTAATACAATAAACTATATAACTGTACTAGATTACTGTGTTGGTGCAACTAATATACACTCTTGTTCTTTTCCTCTTGTGAAACTTATCAAGTCCAATACTTTGGCACTAATGATAAGCTCGTCAACTGTCCATCTGCCAACATTGTATACATCAGGAACCATCCGGTTTAATTCTGGTATTAACCCTTGGTAGAGTTCCTTATACTGAATCACTTCCGATGGCTGAATAGTGGTCTCGGACACGACCCTGACAAAGTAATCGTGAATCCATTCAGGTAAAAAGACTTCATCTTCAGTTAAATCGTATTCCTTTCTATTGTAGCATCGGATTAACCATAATAGCCAGCATTGATCCTGGAACTGAGCTTCTACCATTTGTTCAAAACTGGTAACTCCAAGTGCTAAGAGTAACGAACGTTGGAACGGAAGATCTTTCTTCCATACGCTCTTCAAACTTATCAATTGGCTTTTGTGTTCTGCTAAAAGTGTCTTCTCTTGTCTCTTGATGTTCTTAATGGCAGACGACATAATACTCTTTTGAGACTTCAAGTAGATCCCTATGTTCTTCAATTGAATGTCATTCTTGTTTTTATCTGTTGGTAATGCGACATTCTCAAGAATAACTAGTTTACTTTCAATGGCTTGTCTCAATTGGTTTAAACCACTTAATCTCATTCTCAAACTAAGCTTGGTCTCATACTTATTCTTCATCAACAATTGAAATAATAAGATCAAACTATCAGGAATGTGAGTCTTTGTAATGAAAAAAAGAAGTCCATCTTGGTATTGGGAGTATTTATTAACAGCCTTTTCATCATTGTCTTCAACATTTTCACTTCTATGAACAGCTGTAGTATAATCATTCATCGTAGGTAACTTAACTCCCTGCAGCTCCAATTCAGACAAAAGTTCCATTGGCACTTTGATCTTCAACGCAGCAGAGTCTGCAGTATTATCTTCTAGGCAGAATCCATAAGCAAGAAGAAGCTCCTCGTTACCTTTCATCCCATAATTATTGTATAATTCACACCCTTGAACTCGTTCAGGGTTCTCGCATTGTAATGTAAAACTGCCATCGGTTTCATCAACTAGCCAAGTCACCTTGGCCTTAGGGTTATGGTTGGTCAAATCAATAACGGGGATAAGCACTGCTTCATCTGGTGCTACTTTCCGACTCACATGCTTGGCAAACAAGTAATAGGGGAAGGATCTGGATTTCAATATAAGTGATGCCCACAAATAATTGGGGAAACTCGTCCAATTTTTAGTATCAACATCAACAGCAAAATACTTGTAAATATCATCATCCGTATAGAATTTGTATTCATAGTAAAATTTCATGTTAATAAAATGTTCTTCGGGTTTAGCAACCGATTCAGGTATCATGTTAATTACTTGCCACCATTCTTCAATTAAAACAGTGATGTTATCTTTTAATGAATTACCCAAATTTGTTCCCTTTAAAAGCGCCTTATGTTCGCCATCCCAACAATAGGGAGTTCCAATTTGCTCTGATTTGGGCAACAAGTCAACGAATGCCTTGAACTCATTCTGAGGTTCACTGCGAAGTTTACTCAAGTATAACTTAAGTATAGCATTGACATTGCTAGTCTTGGAGTGCACTGGTCTAGCCCAGTCTCCAAAATACTCTATAGCCTTATCAATGGTAATAAGAGCTTCGAATGGTATCTTCATCGTTGGAGTTCCATTATCGATGCCATCGCTGTCATTGTATACGGCACCTATGTAACCTGCCTCCAAATATCCAAACCCAACATTATTGGAGATCACAGCACCTTTCAGTTTAGCCCAAGTTACTAATTTGTTGATTTCTTCCGACATAACTAAGAGTTATATTGAAGTCTGTCTACGAATATACAAGCATCTTAAGTATCTTCAACTATCCCATCGCTCAAATTGGATAACCTGTATAGTTGTTGTCGTTTGCTTAGGTAATAATGTGCGCACATAACATCTGATCTTTTTGAACAAAGCTCAACTTAGTAATACTAACTTTGAAAGACCTTACTCTTTCTTCACTAAATCCATTATGAAAGTTGGAATAGCAAGAAATGCACGGGGTTTGACTCCAAGGATAAGTTTAAAGAACTTACAAGTATCCAGCGTCCGGTTCCAACATCAAAAAGTTAATCCTCCATCTGAGGAAAACAAACCGGCGAATGCTGATGCACCCAAGAAGAGAAGACCTTTGAGCAGAGTGGCAATTGGTGGTAGTCAAGATCATGAACGGAAGTATGCGAAAGGTACTATCGAATTTGCTGCTTGGAAAGCTATCTTAGTACTCTTTGGGGCTGGTGGTTTAGCTACATGGTGGTTCCAAAGAGAAAAGGAAAGAATTAGAATTCAAAAAGAAGTTGAAAGCAAAAGAGGGATTGGTAAACCTTTGATTGGTGGGCCATTTTCATTGGTTGATACTGAAAATAAACCCTTCACCAATTTGGATTTAGTTGGTGATAAGTTTTCTATTCTCTATTTTGGTTTCACTCATTGTCCTGATGTTTGTCCTGATGAATTAGACAAGTTGGGAGAAGTGTTGGATACTTTAAAGAAAGACAACAACACTGAATTACAGCCAGTATTCATTACCTGTGATCCTGCTAGAGATTCTCCTGAGGTTGTCAAACAGTACTTAACTGATTTCCATCCTAGTATAATAGGTTTGACGGGTACTTATGAGAATGTAAAGAATGCTTGTAAGAAGTACCGGGTGTATTTCTCTACTCCGCCAGATGTGAAGCCCGGTCAGGATTATTTGGTTGATCATTCGATTTTCTTTTATTTAATGGACCCAGAAGGTAATTTTGTTGATGTAATTGGAAGAGAAGCTACTGCCACTGAAGCAGTGGAGAAGATCAGACTGCACATTGATGCATTTGTTCCAAAGGAGGAAATGGAAAGAAGAAAGGACTCTTGGTTAAGTTTCCTTTATAAGTGAGTGTAAATAAGCTTCAGAAGAGCTTCTACTTGTACATAGAAATATTATATGCTATTGTCAATTGATTTAATAGTAAAGTCAATTTATAGAAAGCTATAAGATATTGCATATAACCTAGGCTATTGCTTACGTAAGAATGGCTCTCTTGAAGGAACCACAAGATCTACATTCTTCTTGATGAACAGCAATTCTCCGTTGGTTTTCAAGTGGATCCTCGGCTTCCTTTGGTTCAGGCCATTCCAATAACCCATTGGTGTAGTTAGGGACATAGTCTGGTGGTAAGATTTCCAATCTCTTACCGTAACCAGTAACCTTTTTCCAATCTCTGTGAACATTGTACAAAGACTCAGACATATAAGCAAAACATCTTTGGAACTTCTTCAAATTCAATGGAGTGTTCATTTGGGGCTTAAAGTCGCAATATTCACTCCAAGCTTCCTTAGGGTTTGCCAAAATATAGTCAGTTGCCTCTTTAACAGCTCTTAAGAATCTCTTGACCTTTTCTGGGTTAGCAGCCAAGAATTCATCATTGGCAATATATAAGATGGTGCAGAAACAGCAACAACCTAATTCGGCCAACTTATCAATTCTAAGCATTTTAGCATCAGTAACTGGTCTACCAACAGAACGACAGTACTCTTCCAATTCAACCAGTTGAATACATTCGATACCAATACCTGCATCAATCTTTCCTTCAATGATGTATTTTGCAACATTCATACCACATCTAACAGCAGTATAGTCATTGGGAGTCATACCATAATGTTTGGTCAATTCATCCACTTGAATCTTACCAAATTCCCCAACATATCCAATACGTTTGCCCTTAAGTGATTGGAAATCGGTAGTGATTCCACTACCTTCTAAATAAACCACTCCGGTGAAAGGTTCATCTAAAAGTGATCCAACAGAAGTAACTGGGAACCCACGGGCTTTCGCAGCCAAAGTATGGATCATAGCTTTCAAACCCATATCAACCTTACCCAGACCAATTAACTCAGTTACATCCGAAGGGTTAGATGGTTCTAAGATGGCCATATCAACTCCATGCTTAGCAAACAAACCTTTAGTTTGAGCCAAGTAAATAGGAATGTGATATGGTGTTGGTTGCCAGTTCAATAAGAAAGAGATTTTTTCAGTAGACATTTTTAATGCTAATGATAAAGATAAAGATAACAATTAAACAAATTAAAAGGAGAGAACTCTCTATATTTATAGAATTTTTATCCCTATAACTTTCACTTGAATCATCCTCGTCCCCTACATCCCCCAACAAACCATAGAATGTTGTAATTGGCTTTTGCCTGTTGGGGGTTTGACTTTATATGGTCGTGAACACACCAAACCAACATGCAGTACGTTTTGCAATGGTCGCAACTTCTTGGCTTGTTAGCGCATGAGACTTTGGGAGCAGTACCTTCATCAATCAAACTTACAGCCAATTATTTGGATGGTCCCCTTCATATTTGGTAGCAAGGATAATGGACTTGGCTACATAAAGGTGGCGAGAATGCCGTATGCGATGTCGGCCCCTTTATAAGTATGCGGATAAAGATCCCATGTCCCTTTTCCCCTGACTTAGCATATTATGAATCTACGAAGCTGATCTTTGATTGAACCTGTGACTTTCAGGAGTATAGGCAACCTATTATGAATAAATTTACCTAGTGTTAATGATTCCAATTGGCTTTCTGGGTTAGCACTCGTCAAGGATAACGTAAACTGGTATACTAATGGTACTACTCACGGTTGTGCCACATAACATTAATTTACTAGTAGAGGTCAAAGGCTACTCGCATTTATTTGATGTATAATGACTTTGATTTTAACTTTGACACATTATCTCTTTGATAAGTGTACTAGGCCGATGCTTTGTCCCTTTTCGTATATCTGCTCCTTGTACTTATGCGTTTAAGAGCCTCGCACTTGAGGCCTTTGGGTGCAAAAGAATGCGGGGATACTGACACAGAGAAATAGTATGAGCATGCCTTTAGTGGTATGTAGTAGTGTTATTGTATATTATTCTTTTCACGTATGTTATCGTGATATCTTTGTAATATTCATATTTATGGCTTTGTTCCTTCCGAGGGTTCCTGGAAATGCAAAGAACTCCATTCTCAACCTTAATTAATGTCAATAATTACATAATATGTCGTGGTATCATCAATGCTCTTATTAGCTCAAATTTGGTGCATGTGGTTTCATTAAGATAATGCAATAATTCTTCATTTAAACCACTAGAATCAATTACTTTGTTGTGACCCTTCTATCTGAGCAGGTTCATTTCGACTCATTAATTGACATTAAACCAATTGGGTAATTAAATGGTTACCCGGACATGACGTGCCTATACCAATTTTGAATCTTGATAAGGACTCTTTCAATATTAAATCCAAACATCAAAACTACTGTCTGTTATCAATTCAATTATGTTGACTCCCGAACAAGTGGCACAATACCATGAACAAGGGTTTCTTTGCTTACCTGATTTCCTTAGTAGGAAGCAGATTGACCAAATGAAGCAAGAAGCTACCAAGTTGTTAGACCAATTGGACATCACAAATCACCCTATGACTCAATTCAAAACTGATGATAATGATCATATTGGAGACCAGTATTTTTTTGACTCGTCCGATAAAGTGTCATATTTCTTTGATACGGACGCTTTTGATTCCAATGGGAAGCTCCAATTCCCCAAAGAACAAGCCATAAATAAAATAGGTCACGGATTACATATGCACAACAAAATCTTCGAAGATATCACACTTGAGAATCGTGTTAGTGAAATTGCCAAGGTGTTGGACTATACTGATCCTAGAGTATTACAAAGCATGCTTATATTTAAGCAGCCAGTTACATCAAATGATTCAGAAAGAGATAACGCAGTGCCTCCACATACAGATGCTACGTTTTTATACACAGATCCACAATCTGCAGTTGGGTTTTGGTATGCTCTTGAAGACTGTACTGAAGAAAACGGATGTCTCTATTTTGTTCCTGGGTCTCATAAGCAATTCCCTATCTGTAAACGATTTGTCAAGGTCAACGGAGGGAAAGGTGGTTGCAATTTCATCCCTTTATCTGACAAATGTGACCCCACTGCAATAGGAAATGCTATTCTGGAAATTCCAGAATCAAACTATGTTCCAGTTAAGTGTCCTGCTGGATCATTGGTATTGATTCATAATTCAGTACTCCATAAATCGCACAAAAACAGATCAACCAAATCTCGTTATGCCTATGCTTTCCATATGATTGATGGCACAGCCAAATATGATCATCTTAATTGGTTACAAGTCCCTCCAACAGGTGGTACCAACTTTACCAAAGTCAATGTGCATTAAAGCCAATATAATAACGTTATATTATTATTATACTAGTATCTTATCGTTTCCTTATCACTGAATCCTGCATACATGGTCATTATCAAGGTACTGCACACTGCAGTAGCCCTCCCACCTCCTCTAAATGATTTTAAGGGGCAAAGGGAGAAGTTTTGTCTTATAAATTGTTTCTTTCTACAACTGTTTTTCTTTTGGTTTATTTATTTGAACTCATCACTGCTGATACTTACGATTGACTCGGAACCGAAACTATAAGAGTTGACTTTGTTTTGAATAACTGATTGATTCTAACTGAATATATTGCATTCTGACTGATTGGTTACATTAATTCTAACTGACTGCTTTCATTTGTTCTGACTGACTACTTACAGCTCTATTCAAATATTGGTCGATGGTCCCTCAAACAAGAAAGATTACCCTAATAGAGGGGAAGGAAATTGCTATCAAGAGAGCATCAGAATCAGATGATTCCAGAGCTCCTGCTCATGATAATTTGTTTCTTGTGAACTCTCATATTTCAAAGCAGCATGGTGCTATTAGATTAACTAAAGGTGACTTCTATATTAAGGATAGTTGTTCCACTTTCGGTACTGTTCTCAATGATTGCTTTTTAATTCCAGGTAAATGGAAAAGACTTGAAGATCACGATACGTTGGGATTTGTGGTATCTCGACACTCTTCTTCTATTCAGAAGATTTTAAGTCGTTTTGATGAAAAGACAACTTCATCTGTTCCACTTCGTGAGTTTGGATTTCCAACTGTGGCTCTCGAATATAAAGTTGAAATTGATGGTAATACTCTTTTACTTATTCCTTTAAATGCTCCAGTACCTCCTTCAATCTCCAAAGACAATTCAGGTGTATCTTCAAGTACTCCAATTATTTTGGATGGTGAGGAGACCGTTGAGAAGGATCCTTCTTCAGATTCAGGTCCAGTGTATGATAAGACAATGGACATTTCGACTGAGGTTTCTGAGCCCCACCAACCTGAGACCACAGGAATTATTCCAGATATGGAAGAAAATGAAGGCTCTCTTCCAATTTCTTCAGTGCCATCTTCTGTAAAGAGTGAAGATGCTGATACTGCAGAAGCAAATGTCTGTTCTTATTCTGATGGTGAAATTACCATTCTGGAGTCTGAAGTAGACGAAGAAGAGAATGAAGAAGAAGTGCAAGTGTTTGCTTTTGAGGACTTTTCAGGTGTACTTCGTCCTGATGCCATTGTTGTACATAATGAAGATGACCTGGATGACCTGGATGACCTGGATGAAGACGTTGATGATTACAATGAAGATGACGATGAGAAGGATAAGTTATCTACATGTTCTGGGGATCAAGTTGTGTGGACTTCAGAAGAAGATTCTTGTGACTGCGTTGAGTATGAGGGAGAATGTTGCGATAAAGCTGGCGTTTCCTCTTGTCATCAAAGTGTCGAGGAACAGGATAGTGAAGGAAAAGAGGATGATGATGATGATGATGATGATGATGATGATGATGATGATGATGATGATGAAGTGGAAACCGATTCTCTGGTATCTAATGATAACTTGGGGTGTATATGTAAGGATTATTTTAAGGAAAGGTTAGAATTATGGCCAGGAAGTGAGATTCATTGTGTTAGTTATAGTGAAGATAACTGTGATACTTCTCGAGGTTGTTTACAAGATGTTTTGGATGATTCATATAATTCGCTAGATGATTCTGATTTTGAATTATGTAACGGAAGAAAGAGATCGTTTGATGCTATGGAATCTGATGAAGAATCATGTCTTGAAGAAGAAGAAGATGGCGAAGAAGGTGTAGGTCAATTAATTAAATTAACCAGGCCAATAAAGAAGGCCAAAGTGGAACAACCATCAAGAATCAAAGGTTTACTAAAAGAAGTTGGAAAGGGACTTTTCTATGTCACTGGTACAATTGTGGCACTTGGAATGTATGGCCATTCAAAGGCAAAGTCCTAAGGTATTATTATCCGTCCTACCATCTTCCTTGTACTTCTTCCTCTTCTCTTTATTAGTTTATTATTTGTTGGTTTGCTCATTCCAGGTTGGGTTTTTGTTTATGTTTGATTTGATAATGAATCTAATTCTTTATATTCTAAGTATAATATAATGATGATCTCTTGAATTCAGCTCTTTTTAGCATAGGGGTTCTTTTGTTGCATATGTTGCATCATTTGTTGGTTCATCATTTGTGGTGAAGCTTGTTGGGAGTTCATTCCTCCTGGTAGTGACTTCCCTCCAACATTGCTATAATTTGGGTTCATGGGCATTCCCAGTTGTTGGTTGGTAGGTTGTTGACCTCCTCCTCTTCCTGGTCCCATTTGTTGTTGTCCTTGTTGACCACGGCGTTGTAGTGCTTGTAATTGACGTAACTTCTGATAATAAACCGGGAATTTCTGCATCAACTGTCCATGAAGTGCCTTGGCTTGGGCTAATGCTTGTTGCTGTTGTGTAGGAGTCAATCTTGTTCTATTTGGTGCCACACCACTCAGTCCAATTTGTACCCAAGTATTAACCTTTTGGTGCATTTGCTTGAATAGAGCCTGCTCTTGTTCTGTTAATAACGTTTGGAAAAGATGTTGTTGCTGTTGTTGAAGCGTACTGGAGGTTCCTTGTCCTTGTCCTTGACTTGGTCCTGGTCCTTGTCCTGGACCTTGGCCATGCACTGGTAGTGGTTGTGTATTCATGTTCTGTCCTGGAGCTCCAGTACCTTGTTGAAGACCTTGTTGTGGGAGCTGTTGCTGTTGCTGTTGCTGTTGCTGTGGATGTTGCATCTGTCTCATCTGTCTCATTTGTTGGAACTGACGGAGTTGTTGCATACGCTTCTGTTGTGCCTGTTGTTGTTGTTGTTGTTGTTGTTGCTGCTGGTGTTGTTGCATGTCTGGAGACCCTTGAACAGCGGGAGATCTATTTTGCATCACAGGAGTTCCGATATTAGAAACTGGCTGTGAATTCATGTTGGAACCAGGTGTTGTGTATTGCATTGCAGGTGACATTCTTTGATTACCAAAATTGGGCAGTTGCACTTGTTTTTGTTGTTGCTGCTGCTGTTGTTGTTGCTTTTGTAATTGAGCCTGCTGTTGTTGAAGGTGTTGCTGCTTCAACAACTGAGCTCTTTTGGCTGCAACTTGTTTCTGCTTCTCTGCAGCAACTGCAAAGTTTGGATCAGTTTGTGAAATATTAGCTACCGGAGGGGGAGCAGATGTATTCAGCTGTTGTTGTTGTTGCTGATGCTGAGATGAAGATGTTGGTGGTGGTGGTTGTGTTTGCTGTTGTTGCTGCTGCTGCTGCTGTTGTTGAATCAGAGACTGAACTTGGGACAAATTATTTTGCACAATCTGTTGCCTTTGCTTATTGAGGGCCTTATTGGTGGAACCCATATTGTTATTTGCTATATTTTGAGCCTGACTAACTGTTTGACTAACAGTTGCTTCTTGTTGAGCACGTTGAGCTTCCTTCCTCTTTCTAATTTCTTCAATGAACCTTAATCTCATGAATTGCCCCGTAGCAGAACCACTAGTGGTTGTTGAAGGTGGTTTAGGATTTGATATTGTGGATGTTTTAGCATCAGGTTTCTTTGTCGATGTTTCTTTGGCTTTATTATTGGCACCAACTGAAGCCAGTTGAGGATTAGAAGAAGTGCTTGCAACTGCTGCTGCTGCAAGAGATTGTGAACCAACAATAACAAGTTTTTTGGCAGATTCATTCAAATCTTTATATTTATTGGATAAGAGAAGCATCAATTCTTCGTACTCAGAAGATTTATGCATAACCATTTCTTCTTGATGTAATTTCCGTAAAGGTTTATCTTCATAATCTGAATGGTTAAAAACCAATTTATAATCTTGAGTCTTTTCATCCCATACCTTCTTAGGATATTCAGATTCTGGTTGGAGATAAGAATCACATAAATATCCATTCAAGGGAACCAGAAGGTCCAACTTTCTAATGGTTAAAGTCAAGATTTCTGACTCCATTTGCAACGCCACCAAATCATTGAACCCAGTTAATGAAGAATCAGATTGATAAAGTAAATCATAGTATAATGAGAGTGGTGTTGGACGTAATAAAGTTCTGTATGTCTTAGGTTTTGTTACAGCAGCACTTGGAACCGATTTTGAGGAACTACCACTACCACTACTACCACCAGCTTCTTGGTTTGATCCATTAGAGTCAGATTTACCTTCCAGTTTAACTTCAGTACCAGGAGCAGCCTGTTGTTTAACAACCGGAGGTCGACTGGAGGAAACAAGATTTCTATGATCATAAACCTGCAAGATTAAGCACCCGTCATAAGACCTGATTGCAAAGTCTTTTAAAAGCTCACTCATCTCCAAAGGAATCTCCTCTCTAAGTACATGATGCAAAAAGTCTTTGATCATGGGAGAATTCTTCGGTATTCTATTCCCGTCCAGAGTATTGTTGAACTTGTAATAGTTCTCGTAGATATGGAAATTGATCGATGGAGGATATTTAGCATACTTTCTAAGAATTTCTGCTGAAGTCTTGGGGAATTGATACGTCTTCAAGGTATTTCTTATCCTCATTTGTTGACGTAACAACGTTTGTTGTTGTTGCTGTTGTTGTTGTTTCCGTAACAATTGTTGTTGTTGTTGCGACGACATGGCAGTGTTCCCATTGCCTCCGCCATTACCACTGCCATTATGACCATTGCTACTACTATTACTATTAGCATTCATAGTTGATATCCCTGTACAGACACTTCCTTTAGTAGTAATGATAATAAGAAGACAGCTCTCTTCAAAGTTCGCCAATAAACTACGTTATATGAAGTAGAATCCTTGTACAGATGGTCACACCAGTTGGACCTCAGCTAAGTGTTGCCTTCTACTGTTTGAATGAGTAGTTGATGATTATGTTATGTTGAGGTTGGGCTACATTTTACGTTTGAAAAAATCCTGCACATAAAACGTTGTTCTAATACCATTGCAGTAGCACTAAGCTTCTACCGTACTACTACCGTACTACTACAGTACTACTACAGTACTACTACAGTACAATACTGTCATACACTAGTATCTCTATCTTATATTATAAACAACCTGTGTTAATTATCGCTACTGATTATTAGTGACATCATTATTCAAACAGTACTCCAAAGTCTTAAACAACTTCATTCTATCTTGTTCATCATACACCCAAAGTCCATAGACTTCTCCCAATACATTCTTCACAATAATAATTGTATCGTTCAATTCAACTGCCATCTCAAACATAGGCATGTGAGGCAATCCTCGAGGTAAAAAGTGTCGATTCATCTTATTAGAAAGTAATCCTAGTGAGAAATTCTCGGGCTTGGTCCGGTTAAGTAGTATAAGTCCGTAACAAAACAAATTCTGTAAATCTTGATAATTCAATGGATCCGCGCGGTTCGCATCAGGAAGCTTGTAGTCTCGTAAATATAATAATACTGTTCCTTGATAATCTGTTTTGATCCAATCTTCTTCTTCTCCAAACTTATAAACCACACAATGTGATGATGTGAATAGGAGCTGTTTGATAGCTGGATCGTATCGGCTGATAACGTTGAAATTAAGTGTATTTCGATATAAATCTACTGCTTCGGTTTGTGTGATCTGTTCTGCAGTAACATCCACCATCTTTAATACCAAACTGCTAATGAACCCTCCTCTTAAGTGTGTTACATTGTGGGCCTTTGATACTCGCTTCAAATGTATATATTTGGTCGTGTACTTCTATATGGTAGCACTGAAATGTTGAAAATTTGTGTAGACCTATATGCCGGTTTCTGTGTGGACAAGTATATCGTCAACTTAATTACTGTGGGGAACGAAACAACTTAATCCTTACCCCCTGTTGCTCCTTATAATACTCCAAAGCTAAAATTAATATGTTGAGAACACTTCAAAGCACCCGTTTTATGCAATTGACCCGTGGATTCAAGACCTCACCACGTGCATTCGTTGCTGTTGGTGATTCCATTCCTAAGATCACCTTATTTGAAGGGTCTCCTGGTAATGCAGTTGACTTACCCAGTGAATTGAATGGAAAATCCATTATTGTTGGTATTCCAGGGGCCTTTTCTCCTGCCTGTTCTGCTTCACATGTTCCTGGTTTTATTGAGCGCATTGATGCCTTGAAGAATGCAGGTGTTTCCAATGTCTATGTTGTTGGTGTCAACGATGCCTTTGTCATGAAAGCTTGGGGAGATTCTTTAGGTGGTGGTGTTAAAGGTATCAGATTCTTAGCCGATCCTGCTGGAGAATTCAATAAGGAATTGGGATTACTATTTGATGCTGAAAAGTTCTTTGGAAATAAAAGATCAAAGAGATATGCTTTGGTAGTTGAAGATGGTAAAGTCTCCTCTGTTTTTGAGGAACCTGATAACGTTTCTGTCGATGTTTCTGCTGCCGCTAAGGTTCTTGAAAGCTTGTAAGGATATATAAAGTAGTACCCTAACTATATGCACTTAGTGATGAGTGAAAAATAAAACCTGTAGTATGTACTCTTACTCTTTACGTCATTACCTGTTTGTCCTTACCTTTATACGTCCATGTTAGCTATACGATCCTGCTTTCGCCAATCTATATCTTCATTCCTGATTCTACGATTCATATCCACTGAAACTGAGTATCTGAAGCAAGAGATCAACAAGGCCCGAGAATGGCTAGACACATTCAACTACGAGAAGATTCCCCGTAATTATTTTGACATAAGTTTCAGTCGATCTTCGGGTCCAGGAGGACAGAAAGTTAACAAAACATCGTCCAAGGCTACAGTAGCGCTTTCAAGTGATCGATGGCTTAATCCTCAATTCTGCTACTGGATTCCAGCACCAGTGCGAACACAACTACAACATAACCCCGTTAGATATCAGACTAAAGTTGGAGGATTGCTTGTTCAAAGCGATTCAAGTAGGAACAGAGAAGATAATACCGACGAGTGTTTCCGGAAGTTGCTTAGAGAAATCAAAGACAAGACGTTCTTTGTTGCTGAAGTCAGTGAAGAAGATCAAAAGAGATGGAATGAGATCAGGAAACAAACCAATGAGAAGCGACTCTTGGAGAAGAAGAAACACAGTGATAAAAAGAAGCTTAGATCCAAGGCCTTTGACAAGAATAGTATTAACTACTGAGCATTGGTATATTTATCGGAAGAAGCACGGCATGGCACGGCACGGGCCCTAATGGAAGTAGATATAGTAGAGTATACCATACCGTAAGGACCTGGTGGGAGTCGTGAAGGTGCTGGTATCAGATAATGTTACAACTGGTATATCCTTGTATAAACTGTCGTATCTATACATCTTTGCGTGTCTAGGATGTTTCTATGCATGTAGTGTATTTCTACCTCTGTATATACTGTGTCCATTGCCTACAATAATGCTAAGTGCGAATCAATAACTACTTTAGACCATACTCTTCTACAACTAGGATGACATTGTCACAGGCAATTGAAACTACATCTGATGCCATATCACACGCATTGGATGCCATTAGCGTCAAGGAGCCAAGCATTGTATTGAATCATCCAGTCGACCCCTCCAGTTTATCTCAAGTGGCCAACGTATGTCGCAGTCAACTAGCTGATGCGGTACAGTCGTCATTATCACCACCAAATATTGATGTTGACGACGTGGAAGATCAAGAGACCAAAGCGAAGGTCAGTAGCTTTAAAGATCTGTTTCTAGACAAGTCACAAGACTTAGTGCTAGCCATTTCATTCCAGACCCTAGCCGATAGACTTAATCAAGAGTACATGGTATCCTCTAATTCTTCGTTTTCTTCTTCATCACCATCACTGTTAAGATCTATCCCAATTGAAAAGGACGTTGTGAAGAATGTATCAGAGGAAGATTTGAGTTATTTCAGTCGGCTTTTCATATTGCTCGATGCCTTTGCTTATTTGGTGATCTCCGACTATCCAGGCATCAAACCAAGTTTCTACATATGTATATCCAATATCTTAGATGTACTTTTCAATGTTTCCCCCAAGGCTATAGATATCTTTTGGTATTACATGGAAACAAGGTTTGAAGTATTCCAAGACAAAGTGTTCGATGCTAGTGCAGTCAGTGATCGGATCTCGTTGTTGGAGCTCACCAATAGAGTAACAGATAAGTTTTGCATCTACAAGAAGAAAGATTCCTATCAAAAGGATTCCTTTAATGATCGCTTGGATGCTCGGGTTCGTTTATTTGTGACCAAAATCTTACTATTTGAAGATAATACGGGGTTAAACAAGTATTTCTCCGTTAGTAACAGAGTTATTAATGAATCCATTCCAACAGGGAAGTTCAAGTCAAATAATTCGTTTCTTATAGGAGCCATTCAGCTTCAAAAGCTCTTAAAGGATCCATACTACTTTTTGAAGCAATCTAATCATAGAGTCTTACGTGAATATGTTGATATCATGAGAGATGTAGTCGATCATTTACTACAAGAAGAACTCAAGTCCAAGAAGCTTAAGGCTACTACTATACCTACTACTCATGAACATTATTCATTGGTGGCTCCTAAGAAATCTGATCTTGAAGAATCCAATTTAAAGACTAAGTATAGTGGTTTGAATTATTTCCCTGAATTGTTTTGGCTATCACCATTTGAAAAGCTGCGTGGGGCAGAATATGATGAACTTAAGTCCAAAGATTTGGAGTTTTGGGATGTCCAATTCAAAAATCCCAAGTTTAGAAGAATTTATCTCCTTCAAATTTATATTATTACTGGAATGTTAGTTGAGTTAAGTGCTAGTAATAAGAAGGAATTATTAAAGACCATTAGTGCACCTGCTAACATCAAACATATCACTGAAGATTCATTGGTAGAGACATACTTACCGTCTATCATACGTATTCGAAAGAGATTCAGAGATGTTATGAAACAATGTGATGAGAAGTTCTTCTTCTTATTACAGCACTTGGCAGTGAACGAACTCTATTGGTGGGGATGGTTAATCTACAACAAAACTGTTGATGGGAAACCGTTTTTCAATGAGGCTCCTTTAACTTCCAACGATATCGATTTAGTGAAGGACAAGTTCAAGACAGTGATACCTTTCAAAGAGAAGCGGTATTTCAACTTATATGGAACACCTCAATTGTCACGGAAAATGAAGACACCTACAGGATTGGATCTTTTAAAGAAAGACAATCTGCCCGATATTGACTTGTTAAAGGGAAAGTTGGCTACACTTGAGAAATCAGCTGAAGATGGTAATGTGAAGGAACAGATTAGTATACTTCGATGGAAGATAATGAAGGTTGAACGAACATATGAATGGCTTAATTTTGGTACAACTATCGATAAGCAAAAGTTTATGGATAAAGAAGAAGAAGAAGAAGAACCAGCTAGAAAGAAGGTCAAAGTGGAAGAGACGGAACAGATGGAAGAGGACGAGCCAAATGAAGCCACGGAGCAACCTGAAATCTCAGGACAACCTGAAGTCGCAGAGCAAACTGAAGTCGCAGAACAAACTGAAGTGATTGAAAAGCGTGCAGTAACTGAACAGACTGAAGACACAGTACAACCTGAACAACCTGAACAACCTGAACAACCTGAACTAGATCAGACAGTGACTGAAACTTAACAATAAATGTATATATAATAAGCCTATGTCGTATGTCGTATGTCTCTATACTGTGTGTCTATGTATCTCTATATGTCTCAAAGTCGCACGCGTATTCAAATCAGATGAGATCAAACAACCGTGTACTATTTACATTACCCCACGTCTTACCCCATAGCCATATCTAATTATCTTAACCATGAACTGGGAGTCTCCTGTCCAGGAGCTCAGCTCATCCCCGTTACAACCACGAACAAGCCATCTCACGTCCCCCCTGCGAAGGATATCCAAAAGACACGCATTGAAGCGAACTCGCGGTGGGACCTCAGTCCCTTCATCTCCACTCAAGAAGCAAAAAATGGTGATGTTCTCTGATGATCTTGTCACTGATTTGGAGTTGTCTTCTCCAATGAAGTCGTCCCCTATAAAACATGATACGCGAACGCCAACAATGAAGCCTATTTTAAAGCACCGTTCCTCACCTATAAAAGATATTAAGAGTATCAAAAGTTATACCAATAATACCAGTATTCTTACCAATAATAATAATAATGATGATGATGATAATTCTCATCATCATCATCATGTTTCTCCAGGTAACCCTGCTTACTGGCAGCAGGGGACCATTGTTCAAATGAGTGTAGATGATCTGACCAAATCTTATTCCAAACTTATCCAAGGTTCTATCCAAGTCTTAAGTATAGATAGCTTCAAATTGAGGTTCGAAGTGTATGCATCGTTGAATCAGTTAATTTCAATTGCTGAAAAACCAACAATTCCTTTATTTGCAGAAAGAATGGCTGCCATTCTTTCTGTTGTTAAAAGAGATATCACCAAATTGGAAGTTCACCTTGGAATATGTCTGTCGAATGATGATATTGCTGCTGTGGATACTTTTGATGCTATGGATGTACGGAAACTTTATCAATGTTTAAAATTCACCACTTCTATGATAAATATCCTGTTCCGTTTAGGTTCAAATTACTTTGATTCAATAATGTGGTACTATAAACATGCTACTGAAATACTACAGAATGAGAATCTTTCAAGAGGTATATTGGGGCCATATATCTCTATTATTAAAGAAGTTGTTCCCCTACAAAAATCCCAAAGAGATTTCTTCAATGCTAATAACCTTCCAGCCATAGCATTAGATGCCGTATTAAATATGAGACAACTTAACTCATCAGCAATCATTTCAGATCGGTTTCTTGCAATAAGAAGTCTTGTAACACATTTCCCTGCTACCATGGCTTCAAGAGTCCAACGATGGCTCCCCTCATTATTGGTTAATATGTTGCGTATGCCTCCAGTCATCCAATCTAAATGTCAAACAATTGCAATTCAAACACTTTTTGAAGCCGCAAGAAGTTTCATCGATGATACAGCCACCTTATCCAAAATCCAGATCCTTATGGATTCTCCTATACCTTTTGATATTTGCTTCTTCTTCCAAGGAGATGATATTCAGAAACTGTATGAGGGGAAATCACTAGTGGAGTTTGTGATTGAAGAATTACGTCTATTGGCACAAGTTGAAGAGTCCAAAAATGCTTTGGATATTTGGACTGCCATATCTATTTTAATTGGTGGACCTCATTTCCATAAATGGTCTCCATTAAATCTGTGGATACAGTTCCTATTTGATGTACTCCTCACTTCAAAGAATGAAAGCATCCAAAGAAAGTCCATCCATGCCTGGAGAGCTATAGTTCATAACACTTGTTATTATTCACTAGCAAATTCAAGCTATCTTCTGAAACAGAACAATAGTACTACAGAAATTGTTTCATTATTGCTTCGATTATTCAACCATTTGGATGACAAAACGGTTTGGAATAGTAATCCTATTCTCTTCAATGAAATCTCATCACTAACACTTTCAATAGTGTATTCTTTGCTTAACCAAAAACATACCCAAAAATGGCATACATTCTATTGGACAGAAATCATTAACCCTTTGTTTAAACAGAGTATATTTAAATTTAAATTTGAAGACGAGATTGCTTCTAATCTTTTCAAACGGTTGTTGGCTTCTGAAGCTGTTGCTGTCCAAGAAGATTTCAACCCGCTTCGATGCTTATCACATGATTGTGTTGAGGTTAAGGAAATCATTCCTCTAACTCAAAAATGGGTCCATTCAAATATTCCAATCTTGGCCATATACCTTGAAGGAATATTGCTGTCAGTCCAACCAATTCCAATACTTATGAAGTTTGAGTGTTTGAAGTTATTGATATCCAAAGTAAAGTCAATTATAAAAAGAGAACTCAAAGGTTCAGAAGGTACTAATAACTTACTTCATCATCTACCAAAATGGAACACCCTTATAATGGAAAGTGAAGGGTTCACAGTGCAACCGTATATTGAATACATGAGTATGGTATTTGATATCTTTGATAATAATGATTTAAAAAATACCTTTATTCTTCAAACATTAGAAAGTCTTTCAAAAATTGGTGCTCTATCAATAGAAGATTTGCAACGGGTTATGAATAAAATCTGTGAGTTTGTTGATGATAACGATTCAATTTCTAGTATAGTTGAGCAATTGCTGTCACGTTCAATCTATAATACAAATTTACCATTTGTATTAAGACAAGTATGCAAATCAAAGGAGATATATTTGAAGCTTTCAGGCAAGATTTTAACTTACTGTGATAAAGATTATGAACCAATAGTTGAAGATATTCTATCCATGTCCCCAACACGATTTGAGTGTGCTAAAGATTTCCTGGAGGTTTGGCTCCCAGTGAATATGCATCTTTGGAAACTCCAAGCTTTAGGGTATCTTGCAGTTAAGGCACATGCAACTACGCAAGTGAATGTTCGTGCTTTGGTTGTACGGTTCCTCAAGATTAAAATAGAAAGTCATATTGATACCATGAACATTTTAAGATTCATGATTGACAATGATTTATATGATTTCTTATATCAAACTGGAGCAGTAATGTTTGAATCTTCCAAGTCACTTGAAGTACCGGAAATTGTTGCCTTTACCAAGTTATGGAGGAAATATCTTCTGCAAAAGAGCAGGACTAATGATTTCAAGTCATTGGATAAATTACTTTTGGTGACATTCACCAGTTCAGAAATTGATACCCTTACTTACGTTAAGGGAAGATGGGACCAATTGCCTAAGCTTAAGAAGAGATGGCTAAAGAAATATGGTGAATTACCGGTATGGAACGAAGACGGAGATAATAATATTATTAATGGTGATGATGATGACGACGAAGATCTTAAGTTGAGTGAATCTGATTCTGGATCCAATGGCAGCTTGTTTTCCAGCAACGATAATGGGTCATTGAGGGAACTCTCCAGTTCATCGCAGCTATCTAGAAGAAACCCCGGTGAGGAATTATCAGAAGAGGTTTCAATGTCAGATAATAAGGATTCTTGGAGTGATCACGAACCATTGAAACATCAATTGGAATTAAAGGGATCGAATTTGTTAAGTCCAAGAGTAGAAGTTCCTATGACCCAAGAAGATAATAGTAGTAACCACAGTATCACTGCCAAAGTTATTGAAGCATCTAACCAGCCTCAAGTGATTGTTGAATCGTCAATTGAATCTTCATTGGAAGAGAATGCAAAAGGCCAAGACTCAATTGCTTACAATGTTTTGTCCAAGAAGTCAAGTGGTGAAGGAGTTGAACCTGTAAAGACAAGGCAACTTATGAGGTTAATTTCAGAAATAAAGAACCTTGTTGGGGATGAACAGTTTCTTGAAGAAGCTAATCATCTTTCTTCGGCCAATGGGATTGCCTTGAACGGTACGCTTTCAGAGCTTATAGATGTTGCACTACATGTTAAGGCTAATCTTCTTAAGTAGAACTTCTATACTAATCAAGTTACGGTAACCTCGGTTGTAGTTACAAGGGAAACCCTACATGGTAGCGCGCGGCCTAATATTTGATCCCCCACAATTCAACCTCTAAGACACCATTCACCACTATCAGACCTTAATAAGACTCCAATAATGTCGGTAGTGCCTTATAACACAAGCAACAGAATCATCTATCGGTATCCAGGACACGGGGTTGTAGTGGTCCACAATAAAGTAGACAATACCCTTCAACTTATAACCCAAAACAACGGTGACCACTTGGGAATATTGAGCTTGGATAAGAGTAAACATAGGAACGGTAACAACAATAATAATACGTTTCAACATGAAGAATCGTACGCCAAGTGTCCCAATTGTGGATTCTTGTGGTTGTCTGGTCAATTCCCAACTTCTAATGGCACCAACAGTAACAATACCACTAGTAAAGGAGGTGGTAAAGGAGGAGGAGAAGATAATGAGTTCAGTAATACTCCTCCTATATTGGCAGGCGGCAGTAATGGCCTATTTGAACAAGAGTTTATGCATCAGGATTATTTCAAGCTTTTAAGTCGACTTCCGGCTTCTTCTTCGCCTTCTTCGTCTTCAATTGTTGACGAGATAAAGGTCAAGACTCCTAAAGGATTACCTGATCAAATCTTTAATCAGGACTATTTCAAACGGTTCTTCAAAAAGGTTCCACCATATGAACTTGGATCAGGCGCACATGCTCAAGTGTATAAAGTGGTTCATGTCCTTAATAATATCCCATTAGGGACATATGCCGTTAAACGAATCAGCATAGGAGACAAGATTGAGTTTCTAGAACAAGTTTTAAAGGAGGTACTAATTTTATATGAATTATCATTGAAAGGAGCCAACGAGAATAATTTAATCAGATATAATCATGTTTGGCTTGAATTAGGAGATCTTCTGGACCTGAAGGCCTTTGTACTTCCAGCAAACGAATCATCAGCTCCACCAGAATTCCATAATAAGGTTCCATATGTTTTCATATTGCAACAATATTGTGATGGGGGTGATTTAGAAGGAATTATCAAGAATAATTTCCCCTCAGACAGTTATGCTTCCTACAGAGATAAAGTTGAACGAGAACGAATGAAACGTAGGTTAAGGAAACGACAAATTAATGATACCGATAATTCACCTTCTTGGTTGAATGCTCTTGAAATTTGGAAATTCTTCAAAGATGTTATAACTGGTGTTAATTATCTTCATATACACGGCATCTTGCACCGAGATTTAAAACCTTCCAACTGTTTGCTTGAAGCCAAATACGAGATCAACAGCTGTTCAACAGTATTTGAGTCTCTAGAAGATCTTCTGAACGAATTGGAAAAAATACCTAAAGTATTGGTCAGTGACTTTGGAGAGGGTAAATTCACTGATAAACATAGTATCACAGAATCTGATACTGCATTACTGTCTATTCATGAGAATAGGGAACGGAAGGGGAATACTGGAACCCTAGAGTTCACGGCCCCAGAGTTATGGATGTTATCAGTTTATGATCCTGCTAATCATAAAAGTGATGAGCAACAAAATAGGTTTACTCATGACTTCACTTATGAAAGTGATATCTACCTGTTGGGGATGATCCTATGTTGGCTTTGTCTGGGGGAACTTCCATTTTCTGCTTCAATTGAGAATGAACAAGATCCTGAAGCTTCAAGAATTCAAATCATCAATTGGTATAAGCAGTTAACCCAATCTCAATTTTTGGAGTGGTTTGCACATCATAGAAAGATTTCGGGTGAAATTATTGATGATTTTGCTTGTTTGATTTTTTCAATGATAAAAGGTCATGATCTTGTTTCTGAAGACCATAAACGTATCCTGTTGCCTGATGTAGCTGGGTTAATGGATGAATTCAAGTTTAAATATTTCATTCCTAGAACAACTCAAAATCTGTCTGATCACACCATAAGTGTTACTGCAAATGATCCAAGTATTAACAATATTAACAGTGATGATAAGGATACTTTATCTATTTGTGATGCAGATGCTCTTGAGTTACTTGTTACGTCAGATGATGCTTTTGAGCCACAACTTCATGAAACTAAAGTAAATTCTATTCCAGAAAATGTTGCTACAGATCTTGTGGGTCTGTATGTGTCCATATTAGCTTTAGTAGCTGCCATGGGGACCTTTGATACCCAAAAGAACACCTGTCTGTATGTCATCCTTGCAGTACTAATGTGTCTTCTAGTGGACACATATTTTCTTCAACTGTGGCGTTATAGGTTATGGCTACTTGTGGTGTCCTTTCTTATTGTTATTTTGGTTGGCTTAAATGTCATAGTATTCAATTACAATTTGTGATAAAGTTGCAGCCAAACAGCTGGGTTGCAACCAAGCATCACCAAAGTCGTGTGTTGTCCAAAACCTTGAATATTTTTCAGTGAAATGAGTTTGAGTTAGGGAACACCAACCATACGTTTAAGCTTCTGAAATTATAGGCTTCAGAACGTCATGGGGGTCAAACGGAAGAGCCAAGCCGTTTCCGCTAACAGAAATAAGCGACAGAAGAAGAAAAAGACGGACGAGTTAGCTCCACTTGTCCCTGGAGGGTTTGATGTTCTTGCACACACTGACGATAGTGATAGTGAAGTTGTGTATGATTTTGCCCTGAAGGAAGCGTCTCGTGAACCCGAGATTGTGTTGGTGGAATCTGGAGACGAATCTGATATAGTGGTGCAGAGTGATAGTGGTGAAGGGAATGATCCAGTTATAGTTGGTGATGATGATGCTGACGATGATGACGATGATGAAAGAGAAAAGACTACTACTAATGAGTTAACGAATAATCAAGACTTTATTGAGTTTGGGTTCAGTTCTTCGGAGAACGAAGAGGATAATTATAATGACTATTCTGATGACGGAGTTCTTAGTAGTGATGAACATAGTGCTGTGCATAAACTGGTAGAGCCAAGTTCTGCTTATCCTTGGATCAAGAATAGAGACCATTCAAGACAAGCGGAAGTAGCTGATTGGTTAACCAATGAGATGAAGGATTTTGTTGATTATATATCACCATCACTGGAGGAAATCATGACTCGGAACAGTGTTATAAATGGATTAAAGAAGAAGATTACTAGTTATTGGCCAGAATCTGAAGTTCATGTATTTGGATCAAGTGCTACTGATTTATATTTACCGGGTTCTGATATAGATTTGGTTGCTGTATCTGCCATGGGGGATTTAGAACAACGACTGAAATTATATCAATTATCATCATATTTAAGGGCCAGAAAGTTAGCCAAAGACATTGAAGTGATTGCTAAGGCAAAAGTCCCCATTATTAAATTTGTTGATCCTAAAACAAACATACATATTGATATTTCATTTGAGAGAATGAATGGGATTGAAGCAGCCAAAAAGATTAGGAAATGGTTAGAGACAACTCCAGGTTTAAGAGAATTGGTATTAATTATCAAGCAATTCTTGCGGTCCAGAAAGTTAAATAACGTTCATGTAGGAGGATTAGGAGGTTATGCCACTATAATTATGTGTTATCATTTCTTACAATTACATCCTCGATTATCTACCAAAGGTATGGATGCCATGGACAATTTGGGACCATTATTAATTGAATTCTTTGAGTTATATGGTAGGAATTTTTCCTATGATAATTTAGCACTTGCTATTGATGCTGAGACTGATTTGCCCAAATATTTACTAAAGAGGGATTATCCTGAATTAAATGCCTCGAGAAATCCCTTTTCCATAGTGATTCAAGATCCTTCAGATCCTAATAATAATATCACTAGATCATCTTATAACCTACGGGATGTGAAGAAGGCATTTGGAGGAGCATATCAATTATTAGTTGAGAAGTGTTTTGAATTGAATGCTGCATCTTATAAAGAAAGACTCAATCGACTGATCTTGGGAGAGATTATTAAATATCGAGGCAAGGAAAGAGATTTCAATGATGATAGACATAAGATTACCAATGATGCACTTGTTAACCATCGAGAAGAAGACAACAACGAAAATGACGATGATGACGATTCTGATGGAGCCAATGGGAATGATAAATACTACTTTTCTGATATGACAGTGGAAAGTGATGACGAAGACACGACATTCATGGAGGCAGCACAAAAGATCAAGCCTCTGATCAACAATACCAAGAAGATAGCAGACATAATGGGAATTGATAGTGATTCAGAAGAGAATAAGAATAACAGTAATAACAACGACAATGACGAAGAAGGTTCTGATGAGGAGCCACCACGGAAGAAGAAACCAAAACAGGATAAAGAAGTGAAACGAGAGTATTGGAGACAGAAAGGTCTTGAATTGTAATTATGCATTTAGTCATCGTAATAATAATAATAATATCAACAGCATCCATTAGTACTATTATTAAGGTTAAATCCAAGTTGTATATCATCTTGCATCATTTGCTGTTGTTGATATTGTTGGAAGAAGTCGTCATCTATCTCATCCACTACCACATCAAACAAATGAGCTATGCCATCACCAGTCTTCGCACTGGTCTGATAAAGACTGAGTCTATGTTCATTACAGTAGTCTTCCACTTGAGTTAACGACAGATCGGTAGTCATCAAATCACTTTTATTGCCCACCACTTTAACTTTTATATCCGATCCACCTCCCTGTAGTGGCAACTGTTCTATCCAGTACTTGGCTCGGGAAAACGTAGACTCTATGTTACTCAAGTCAAAACATACTAAAGCTACTTGTGCATTCCGATAGTACATGGGGGTAAGCGATCGGTATCTCTCTTGACCTGCTGTGTCCCATATTTCAAACTTAACTTTACGGTTCGGGTCTTGGACTCCACTGTGGAACTTGGTGATGAAGGCTGCTCCAATTGTATTGGCAGTGTGTTGATCAAAGGAGTTCTTGGTGAACCGGTGTACTAAGGATGTCTTTCCAACAGAAGAATCCCCTAGAAGTACAATTTTATATGGCGGAGCGTTATCATATTGTTCCATATTGTATTATTAATAGTATTATTATTATTATAAAGTAATAAGAGAATGTACTATTATTTGATGATACTTGTAGAATACTCACTTATCCTTATCGAATGGTAGCGCGATATCTATCACGTGAATTCAATCTGATGGTCACGTGACACTAGTTGAATGCACTCCATTTAAAGAGTGATTCACTAGGATTAATCAATTCATTATCAACCTGATCAAACTTCAAACCTTCACCTATCCCAATAAGTAAGTTCAAATACAACAAGAACTTAGAAGGGTCGAATCCTGTAGCCCAAGTATCCTTTGCCAACTTTTGGGTTTCTTCCCATGTGTATGACTTTGACTTCAATGTGACCCCATTGATAGCTTCCCATCTCTTCACAACATCCTTGTATGTGATCTTACCAGAATGAATATGTAAAACATCAGGTAATACATCTTTGTTTTCAAACGTGGCAATGGCTGCAATTGCCTTGCCAATATCATCCGTATTAGAGAAAGAGAATTGTGTATTTTCCGGGCCATAGTAGGTAACTGTCTTTTCTTCAGGATCAATTCCAGCATGTTGAACAAGTGTGTCCAAGAAAGACCCCTTAGTAAAGAAAAGTGAAGTAATAACATCAACAGTCTTAACACCGGATTTTCTAGCATTAGCAGAATGAATTCCCTTTGATGAAAGGAATCCAGGGAATACCTTTTCTGTGGCTTTCAAATCAGTACCAAATTGTGAGGGGATAAACAACTTTGGCTTGACAGTGCCAACAATCTTTTCCATTGCAGAATCTAAAGTTGGATTGCCATTTAATAATTCAATGATAACATCAACATCCTTTAACTGCTCAATAAGTGCACTCACACCTTCGTCAGATGTTAAATCACCTTTAATGTATTGGACTTTATCAGTTGATTCTTGTGGGGTTCTAGTGATTGCCTTAATTGGAAAAGCAACTTTTCCAGCAAATGGAGCACTAGTTAACGCTTCCAAAGTTGGGCCACCCAAGGCACCGTTTAAACCAAATACTGCGATCTTAGACATGATTTCTTATTATTATTATTGTTATTGTTGTTGTTAATTAACTTCGTTAATGATTATCAAACATCGGTTCAATTCATGGAACCTTCCCCTGTTTATATACCATTGGACATGGGGCGTAATGGTGTGGTCAGCAATGACATGTGGAGGGTGTGGCGTACTGCAATACAGCAATATAGCAATACCATAAGACACCGTAATCTATTTTTAATCTGACCGGATCTAAGATTACCATATTGGTCGATATGACAAATGACAATACCCACTTCTCTTAATAACAGTCACGTGCGCTTTGTCATCTTACTAAGATTATTAATCGTACTATTTCCAACACTTTGACACAATTTCTAAGTTCAAACGGGGCTTGTTTTGGTCGATTACTGGATCCACACCCCACAAAATGTGAACGAATATAGAATTATTATTGTCTCAACTCGTAGTCCCCGAAATACCATACATTCCCAAAGAAAGAATGACACTGAGACAACAACTTATATCCAATAACGGACCAATTTTGTGCTACTCCAAGGCTCACACTGACCCTGTGGTTTATGTTTTTCCCCAACATGCTATTTTCTAAGTAAGGGCTCTGTGGCCGAGCGGTCTAAGGCGGCAGACTCAAGTTCTGTTATCGTAAGATGCGCGTGTTCGAATCACGTCGGAGTCATCATACTATACTTCCTTACTTCATCATTTTTTTAATTTACAACTTCTATAATTTAGACAGCTATTTAATCAGGTTCGTTATAGTATTATAGATTTACAAGGATTAATAGTTTAAGACTGTGGCAAAAATAGCACATGACTAGTTAAAAATTATATGGACATAATTGGGGAATAAATAACGTCCCCATAGGAATATCTTTTTAAGAAGAAAAACCCATTTTCTTTTGTGGATCACATCATATCATACTGTCTTATTATCTTCCTCCAGTGAAAGCACTGGCCAATTGGGAGACACCACCATTTTGTTGAAGATCAACCATGAATTCTTCCAAAACTGAAAGTGCAGCTGAAACACCAGCAACTATACCGGCACCTCTACCACCACCACCCAAGAATTCGGCAGCAAGAACGACAACTGCAAGCATGAAAGCACCCAGAACAGCAGCTACGGGAATAATACGTCCCAATTCATGAGTAATGGAAACATCTCTCTTACCAGGCATAGAGATACCTTGATCTTTAAATTGTTTAGCGATATCCTTTGGAGAGCTTCCTGAGATGAAGGACCAGTTGTAACCAAACCAAGTGGATAAAAGAATGACAGCAGTAGAGAAAATAATTGATCTAATAGGTGTTAAGATGGTATTGATTAAACCAGTTGGAGGAACCAAATAACTTAAGACACCTGAAGTTAATACCAAATCATTTGAAGATGGATCAACGGTGTAAGATCCCAAGATAGTAGCTAAAAATGGAGCAAAGTTTTGGAGTAAATGAATACTATAGTAACCGAGAAGTTGAACATTAGCCAATACGGTATAAGCAAAAATAATAGGTAAGGCACCAGTATACAACAATTTAATGGGGAAGACATTAGCCATACCTCTAACCTTAGTTGATCTGATTGGTAATTCAATTCTAAAATTTTGCAAGCCCATAACAATCAACACAGATAAAATGGAAACAAACAATTGTACCAAATTAGGCAAGTTGGTTCTAACAAATGCAGACTTAATAGCACCAGGTAAACTTGTTAAATCTAAAGAGAAAATCTTTCTCAAGATAACAGCCAAGGCACCAACTGGTTCTTGAACATCTGAGTTTGGCAAATTGAAAGTATCCAATCCAAGAGTTTCTCTAATAATGTTGGTAGCGATTTGAATGGCCAAAAGTGATAAAGCACCACCACCAAAGGCAAATCCTTTATCAAAGACTTCAATAATCAACGTTGTGATAAAAGACCAAGAAACAACTTGAAGGAACACCAAAAAGTATTTACCATAAGGAATACCATCTTCCAAAGCATTATATCCACTCAAGACATCATCATAATAACCGGAAGCAATTAAACCAAAGGCATAAACAATTGCCAATAAAAAGGAAGTCAATTTTTGACCAGTTTGGTACAATTCGCGATCACCTCTCAAGTTCAAATTAACGTTAATTAATTTGAAACCAGCAGCCAATTGCCATACAAACGCTGCGGTAAATGCAGGTAATAACCCTAATTCAAATAAGGTACCCTTTTCACTTGCCAAAATTGACCTAAAGGGAGAAATAGGATCATGTAATAAAAATGATGCTTGGGATACAAGTCCATAAACTGGTAATTGTCCTAATAAAAAGATTACTCCAGCACCTAAAGTGAACATGATCTTTTCATCAACACTAATCTTTTCATCAGAAGTTTCACATTCTGGCAACAAGGGCAAAAAGAACTTAGCCAAGTCAAGAAGACGAACTGATATGTGTTAGTATATACAATAATTTATTTGACTTCAACGTTGTAGGGTGTGGTCGAATGATTTGTAACATCTTATCTTATCTTATCAGTCAAAAATCAGAAGACGATCCATAACAACTGAATCCAAAGTAAGAAGGCCACTATCCTCGGATCAAATTTCGGAGTAATACACTCATATTATCATCATATACATACATCCACCCATGTCTATGTAACTAATTTTTTTCCACTAGTCTTTCCGTATATATAAGTATATACGGTGATTAGAAGGCTATACCACTTAGCATCAAATTTTTCGACTGGAGGACGTCGGATTAAGTCAGATTGAGTGTGTGCACGACACTTGGTGGTCGTGTGTGTTCCACGGTTTTGATAGGCAGAAAGGAATTGAAACGAGCCTACTACTTACCTCCTTTGCCAGTGATAGTTATTATTGGAGAGTTCACCAAGACTTAAGTTGAGTTAAAGCGAATTTCCATTATTGCGTTACAATGTCACTTGGTAAAAGATTATTTGCTAATGAGTAGACTGCAAGCGAATCGTACTGTTGACCTGAAAATGGTTCTTGCAATTGATCGGAATGGGTCTGAGAGTCCCATTGAAACGGAGTCACTTTCCAATCTCCTTTCTAAAATGGTTATTCAACCATCTTCTATTCCTGAGAGTAGCAATAAGCAAGGTACTGATACAATAGAACCATCTAAAACCACTAATACTATATGGAGATTGTTTCTGGAACAAAGGATTTCAAGTATGATTCATTCTTCTGAGATTTCACTTTCATTGATTAAAACGAAGGAATTCCATCGTGAAGTTGCGTATTTGAAATCCATTCTGAAAGATCCACCCACGGAATTATTTTGTTATTCAACAACAAAAGATGGCGATACATTTCTTGGATCTCTATCTTCTAGAAAGCTTTACTTTAATTCTGAAATATTTGATGAAAATCATCAAGTAATATCAAACATAGATTTAAGTAAAGGGTATCAGACTTTTAGGAAAATATATTCTCCTTTTTCTAAATATAAGGCATTTCAAATCTATGAAGCTCAATCAAATAAAAAGACTAAGTTTGATATGCATTTTTCAAGAGGTTCATTATCAAGCTTACTACTTTTACCATTTAACTACCAACCAAACAACCTTTATTTCTCTGTTTTGGATGGTCAGGTCTTTGTTCATGATGACAATAAGATTCGGTCTAAGTTAAATCAAACGAGTATGACGGGAGTTAACTTTGAACACCTTTTAACAACAGAATGGGATCAAGTATCTAATGATGATGATGATGATGAAAAAGAGAAAAGTATTGAAGACTGTTCAAGGTTTTGCACTATGGTCCAACATGATCTTCATTATCAAGGCGTTGATTTGAGAGTTCTTGTGTCGTGTGAAGTGGATGCATGTTGGGAAAACCCTTCAAGTATCCCCAGGGAACCTGATTTTACTAGTATGGAAGCATTAAAGAACTACGTTGAGATCAAGTGTCATAAAGAAACTAAGACACGAGTGGATTCAATTGCAGTTCGAAATCAACTTGCTGGATGTGAAGATATGATTATTGGTTATAGGAATGAGAAGTTTGAGCTATGTTCGATGAAACAGTGTAAAAATTCGAAATTAATGAAAAAATCATTTAAAGATCCTAAATTCATAGATGTATGGTTTGTGATGGTTATAATGTGGATAAATAATGTTATTAAAAGTTGGGATACCAAACCTGACCCAGATACGATTTACCAAATTGATCTTGCAAATGGAGTAATGAATATCCATCCAACACAACATGATGTTGAAAGCATTATTCCATCTCATTTCAAAGAATGGAGAAGACAATTCTCTGAGGAAGGTTACCTCAATAAACCTGAGGGAAAAGAAGAAAAGTGGGCTAATCTTGAAGAACTTTCTCTCAAAGATGAATCTGCTTCAAAGGAAGCTGCTGCAAAAGAAACTTCTAAAAAGGACTCTCTCAAGAAAGAGTCTTCTAAGAAAGAGCTTCAAAAGAAAAAGTTTCCTTCTAAGGAGTGTTTAAAAGTAGAATCTATTGGAGAATCGGATGAAAATACTGAATCCATTGAGTCTTCTAAGAACCAGTGTCAAGGATTAACAAAAGCAGGTCAGAAATGTAAAAACAGAGTTAAAAAAGAAAACAAGTACTGTTGGAGACATGACCTGGAAAGGTCACTCACTCCACATAAGGCATTCACTAGTCCAACACCACCCCCAAGTATTATGTGTACTTGAGGGTATGACATGGATATTCTATGTTAGTTGAAGACCTTCAAGGACTGCTACGTGAAGGCGGTAAACAAAAACCAAACGTTGACGAACATTATTATGAACGCTATAGACGATCTACCCTAAGACAAGTGAATAGAGTGGAACAATTGCACCATATCTCTCCAGAAAAACTATAAATATCAGAGGATTTCCTTGCATTTGAAGAAGAAACTATTACATAAAGAATGTCTAATACTTTTATTTCTTCTCATAATATCAGCTTACATTTACGGCTTGTAAGTACCTGAATCTACTGCTGATACCCGTACAGACTATTGTGACTATGTTTATAGCTCAATTATGACTTTCAACGTGTGACGGCCAGAAGGAACGGTCTATATATAGGTAATCTCAGTAATTTTTATATCAGTTTGGACTGGTGGGAGGTAGCTACAATGATAAACGGTACAACCCAGAGATTGCCAGAATCGGTTGATTAATTGTCGTTATAGAAAGTCTTACGAAATTACATGAAATATTTACAACTATTATTATTACTAGTCTACTATTGTGATCATCAGTACAACAACTCAATAATGAGTTTAGCTAAATGCTACGACGTGAACAGGATATGGAGTAACTGTCAGAGTAGGCTTAAATGCCACCATTGGAAGAGAATGAGAAGGATAAGCTAGAGGATGATGATTAAACGTGATAAATCATTCCCAAAGTTGTTTCTGAAATTGGTAGATGTGGTTGCAAAGGGTGCCAATTTCTGATACATACAAAAGACGTAAGGATGGGATAATGATGACTAAGGAATCTGGTGGCAAAAGAAGGGGATGTGTTAAACCAGATAAGACCAAGTGGTGATAATAAAGGAGGTTGAAAACAAGGAGAGTGAAACATAGGGGATAAACGACGAAGAAGAATGAGAGAAATTGGAATATAAATTGAGAAAGTACTACGGCAATTCATTCGAGCTAAAACAAGTACCACCAGAGCCAGTCATACTCAAGGTCCATTCAATTACAACCACCCAAATATTGAATATTACACGACCTACGTACACCAAATTACCAACAGAAAACTGTTCTATTGTTCAAGATATTTTCCATAATGATATCGGAATGCTAACTATTTAGCCATGGTTCTCTTGGTAAGTTCAGGGCAGTTTGCGGCAGCTTTCTTTTCAGGTTTCTTTGTTGCCGCTTCAGTTCTAGCAGCATGCGTAATCGTTAAAGAGTGTCGTTGCACCTTTCTTGCTACTGCGGGGCTCATTAGATCAGGAGCAGGAGGAGCCAATATGCCTATATGCTTAAAAGTAACAGCCGTTTGGACTGTTCTGACTTTCTTTGCTGTTTTTTTCGGAATAGCTGGTTGGACATAGATGAACCGGGACCTTCCAAAGTGAATGAGATTGATGCGGAACGGTCCAAGATATGATCATGTTATTTATATGGTGGTAAAATACCTACGGTATATACCTATTTTATTATTATTATTATTATTATTATTCTACTATAAAATAAAACCAACCAACCAACTAACCAACCAATAATAACCGTCCTTATCATATCCATTTTATCCCATATGATCACTCCATTGATTTGAACCTCCACAAAGTAATAGTGAATTAGTAGTATTGGTATCGCTCGTCTCCAATGTCTTGAATGTACTCAAGTAATCCATTGTTTTCAAACTCATATAAGGTTGAGGAGATCGACTATCCTGTAAATATTTCCACATCATTTGGTCCATTTTAGGATTCAAAGCCAACTTATTCTGTTGATGAATTTTAATAAACTTGGAGAAATCAACTTTACTCATGTGTTTAAATAAATCATCACCATAAAATGCACGATCAAAGTATTTGGGGGTCGATAATCCTTCATCGAGATCCCAACTGGCAATGTTATCGTCAACGATTTCATCCTGTTGGTAAGAAGATTCATTCCAGTTCTCAATCTTGGATGAAAGTGTATCTTGGGTAGTAGTAATGGTGTGTCTACTAAACTCTGATTCTTCACCACCAACAAGTGCAACGGTAGCACCTGCAACGGCATCTGCTGCAGCTTCGCTGGTTCCTCTCGGCGTATTATTGCTTGTAGTCAAAGAAAGTATATCTGATTCATGAGCACTTTGTTGTGTGTTGGTTACACTTCCTGCTGTTGATAGTGGCTGGAACAACACATACAGTGATTGATCATCAGACAATATGCTATTGGATTCCTTCAAGTCATATTCTTGGTCAAGCACCAGTAATGAGTTCTGTTGACCCGATTCCTGTTGTGGCTTCGGATTGGGGTATGTGAAAAGCTTATAATGGAACGAAGTCCCTTGATGTTGTGCCATGATATACTAAAAAATAACTATAGCAGCTAGCAGTAATAGATGACAGTAACAATACACTAATGAAACAATACAGTACTTTAATATAGTAATAAACAGTGTATGAATATACTTAAGCACGGCTTTAAGAAATCCGTAAGTCAAACGTGATTTGTTGAGTTGTGGCATCCCCATTCCCCATTCCGATTAGGGTCAGTCATTTGATATCCGATAAGGAGAAGCTCTATATGTAGGGATACTGGTAGCGCGTAGGGAAGATCTCATAAGGTAGTGAGACGTATAAGGTGTGTAGTGCTACCACAAGTACAGTACAACATACTAGTAAATGGACACATACTGTTTAGTAGATACAACCAATTACGCCACTACAATTACAAACAGTACGACTTATTGATGGTGACTCAACAACCAGTAATGTAAACTGCGCACTTGGAATAAGTTCGATTCCATTGCTATAACTAATGTTAGTGACAATTCCCAAGTCAAATAACAACAGGTAAACGGTTGGTTAAAATATCAGATAGGGGTGAAAGACTATTAAGATGGAAGTTTTTATCAACATACAAAATTCAGTTGAACTATGCAATAAAATTTGTATCATCACTTTAACATTTCATAAACCTGTAGCTTATTAAGAACTCAAACATACCATTAAAAATATCTGATCGTAGAGTTTTATCAAACCATTGTTGTAGTAATAATTTAATCTGTTTAAAAGCAGACAATAATGTACAACAAGAATATAAACTTTTAAGAAGAAAGAAGTAGTTGTTAAAAATTTTTCCATTGAATTGATGTCTTTCTTTTTATGTATGGAGATTTCAATCGCAATATGAATAGGTCGTGCACTGTGTCAAGAACATTCATTCAACCACATTTTATATTCACCTCATGACTAATGTAATTATGTTCACTTCTTCCTATTCACTACAACAATGGCAGTCAAGGGATTAGGTCAATTGGACCTGGAATATGATGGTATGTGTTGGAATGAAAGAACTACTACGTGTTGTTGATAGCTACTAACAAATATCGTTTCAAGGCTCTGACTTAAGAGTTGGGATCATTCATGCAAGATGGAATAAAAAGATCATTGATGCATTATTAGAAGGTGCAGTTAAACGTTTGAAGGAGTTCGGTGTTAAGGAATCAAATATTATTATTGAATCTGTTCCTGGATCCTTTGAATTACCTTATGGCAGTAAATTATTTGTGGATAAGCAAAAAGCATTGGGAAAGCCTTTAGATGCTATCATTCCTATTGGAGTACTTATTAAAGGTTCTACCATGCACTTTGAATACATTTGTGATGCTACTACTCGTCAATTAATGAAATTGAATTTCGAATTGGGTATACCAGTTATCTTTGGTGTGTTAACTTGTTTAACTGAGGAACAAGCCTTTGCCAGAGCAGGTTTGATTCCAGGTAAAATGCACAATCATGGTGAAGATTGGGGAGCAGCAGCTGTAGAAATGGCTATCAAGTTTAAATAGGTAATTGTATTTTGGTTTAATTCTTATATAACTATTTACAATGTTAACATACTCCACTTAGAAAGTTAATACATAAAATGAAACTATACCAAAAAAATAATGCCTTCACTCAGATTCGAACTGAGGATCTCCTCATTACTAGTGAGGTGCCTTACCAACTTGGCCATAAAGGCTTGAATATGGGAGAATATGCGACCCCGGTGAGGATCGAACTCACGATCTCAAGATTAACAGTCTTACGCCTTAGCCAGCTTGGCCACGGAGTCCCAATTCATGTCAGCCAAGGAGGGATTTCGGCCAAGATGTACCAACGTGGCGTGCGGGAGTAACTTCAAAATTTGGATCCAGGTAACCTCTATGAATGAATAGGCATTCTATAATTCTAGGTAGTTTTCGAATATACGGTCTCTTTCAAAAAATGAGAACCTTTCATACATAGTAGATTAAATTCAACAAATTTAGTTCTTCTAATTATTAAGATAATTTCAATAAGGCATTCGAAGACTCTAATAAACTAGTATCTCTCTATTATTTTGAAGACGACTTTACTGACTAGGAAAATTATAATGTGAGCTTCTGAAAATTACTGAAAAACCACAAAAACTTAACTATTGAAGCTTTTTGACTGTAGAACCTTCAATATTCAGACGGAACCCTATTGTGTAAATTATTAAAACGAAAAAAAAAAAAATCAAACAGAGAAGCAGTAAACCGGTTCATATACTAGACTTTTGTATGTGGCAGCCTCCAAAGACCTATATTCCTGAGAATTTCTGATTATTTTTAACGAAATACACAATGTAAATACCAGCAATTATGTCTAAAAGACTCAGCTCCACTCAATGAATCTTATTACAACTTCCTCACCTTCAAATGCAACTGATTTCTAAACTTTATTATTTCAGTGCCCAAAGTATCTTATTTCACACTCACTATTATATTAAGATTTTATGGAGTATTGCATTAGTGTATGGCTGAGGTGAATTATGGGGACTGTTTGTGTAACTACGGAACGCGCGAGGCAAAATTCAAACTCAATCCCCAAATAAAACCAAACAACAATTGTCCATCATCCCTATACATTAACCAACCATAATCAATTGAGAGGAATAATGTTGAAGTCCGCTGTTCGTTCGTTTTCGGTCTCTGCCACCCGCAATGCTTTCGCTAGAATGCAATTGTTAGGAACTGTCGGTAGTGTTAACTTCAGAGAAACCAAAAATGGTACAAAGTTCATCAACTACTCATTGGCCGTCAACCAATACGACCCTTCAAGCGAAGATAACAAGACTACCGATTGGTTCAACGTTAGCGTTTTTGATGAAAAACAAATCTCTGCTTTTGAAAAGTTCTTAAGACCTGGTGCTCAATTGTTTGTTGAAGCTGATGTAAGACAACGTGTTCTTGTGGATGAAGAAGGTGAAAACAAACACACATTGACTTCTTTGAAACAAGTCAGATTCGACGTTGTTAGATTCCCAAAGAAACTCGAAGAATCTGAAGATACTGAAGGTCATTAATGTCCATTGACCGGTGTTGTATTATTACAAGGCAGTTTTTTTACTTAGTATTATTATGAGATATCTCCATATATGTATTATCCCTGAATAAAGATTTCACTTAACTCTTTGTTGTAAATGTACCACATATACTCATGTGAATACTTAGATAAAACAACATAGTTTACGTTATAACATTTGTTCAACGGTAGCGCGCACTCATGAAGTGCACTAACCAATATATTTAAAAATTTTAACAATTATAAACACAAGTCAAGTCTAATCAAAGACTGTGATCTACAATTACTACTACTACCCATTGATCGAACATCGGGAATCATGCTGTTACTAACAGCAAGTAAGAATTCTTCCCAATTGGGACAGACATCGACTGATTCCAAATTCATAGCCCCCACTTTACATTTGTCTGATGCAGCATTCGATGGGTTGCAATTTCAAGAACAAGGCAACAATATGGTTGATAGTTCCAAAGATTCTTCTAGTAGAAGATATTTTACTTTCAGAAATATGGAAGCATCTAGTGAAGTCAATTATAAGATCCACGTTTCCAATTTTGCCAATTTACCACCCTTAAAGTTGGCTTCCAAATATATATCTGATTTGACCAAAGTAGATTCCATGACTCCATCAGATATTTATTCCGATGAGCACATAAACAAGTCTGGAGCTGGATTGGATCATTATTTTTTTGATTATGAAAAGGGATTAGGAGAATTATCAAGATTTGAAAAGATTAAACAACTTGATTTACCCAATAAGTTTTTTGAAGAATACAATTCAACAGAATGTATCACCAAAATTGGAATGTTTCCTGAAATATCTAGAGCTTGGATAATTGTTGATAATAAATTAACTTTATGGAATTATAAGTTACCTCAATCTTCATTTAATGAAAGTGCTCAATTTTTTACTATTGATCAATTAAAGCATTCTATTTTAACTGCTAAATTGGTTAAACCAAGGGAGGGAGTTTTTGTTAAGGAAGTTAACTATTTGCTTATTATTTCCACTGTAACTGACATTCACATATTCTTAATCGAATATAATGAATCAACCAACTCTTTAGAGGTTTTCAATCCCAATTTGTCAGTGTCAACTCAAGGATTAATCGTTAATAAGTTTGCAGTTCATCTGAAAACAAATGAAATTTATTTCAGTGGAGAGGGCAATGGAGTAAATGTGTGGAGATTAGAGTACACTAACAAGTCAAGTTTCATTAAGAATAAATGTGATAAAACTTGTTTAACCAAAAGTGGTATATCAAGTGTCCTTCCCATTAGTAAGATATCTGGCTTTGATTTCTTTTCGACTGATTCATCATCTAATACTAATACTAATAATAATAATACAAATAAACCGGAAAATCAAAAGGTTCAAGAATTTATTTCTCAATTGGTCGTTGATTCCGAAAGAGATGTCTTATATACCTTATCAAATAAGTCTTGCATACGTGCTTACAAGTTATCAAAGGGTCAAGAACAATTTACTCAACATAGTCATATTTCTCCATCTGAAATATTCAAAGCAATTGCTTCATTGTTTGTGAATTCCCAAAATATCAAGGCGTTTCTGAAGTTTCGTATAATGACCATCACCACTGTTTCAGCCGAAGAGTCGTCTAACGTTCAACTTGTTGCTGTTACCAATTATGGCTTTAGAATTTTTTTCAAGTTGGGATCTTCTGCTTCATTTTCATCGTATTTTCTGAAATCATTAGGAACGTCTTATGGATTGAAAATGTCTGTTGTTACAGTTAAATTTCCTCCATCAAAGGATTTACCTCAAGCAAATCCAGAATTAGATTCCTTTACTAGGAATAAACAATACCTTTCTCAAATGGTTTTAAACCAACAACAGTCAACTTTATTACAAAATACAAAGCTTGGAAAGGTTATAAGTCCTGGTGTGTTCATTTGTGTGAAAAGAACGAAAGGCTCAGATAAGTTGTATGTTTCCACTACAAATTATGGAATCTTGAAGAAGACAAACAAGGTTGTGGAAGATGCAGAATTTTTAAATATTAATGATAGAGTGGATGAAAACTCTGCCATTTTCATACATGATATTGTTCAATTAACTCCTTCAATGAATGCGACCAATACCCCCAATGGATATGCCAATATTCTTGCCAGTCAATACACAAAGGCCCCATTGCAATTTGCAGTGTTAACCAATTTTGGTATCAGCATTTATCAATATAGAACTCCAGATAGAATTTTAAAGGCTTGCAATGAAGAGGTCCTTGAAGTATTTATTGGTGAAAACGGGTTTGAAGAAGCATGCTCATCATTATTGTATTTGGCATGTTCGTATGGGAATTCTACTGAATTATACAAGCAACAAGCAAAGTTTTATTTTGCAACATTAGGGAATAATGCTAGACTCTTAGAGTATTCTCCGGCATCAGCACAAGTTGGCGAGCATACTTTGCCCTATAATCAAATGGTCAATATTGCCAAAAATGATTCACATCCCACAGTTGAACAGGTCGTTTTGAGTGATAGATTTTATGGTACATGTATGTTGATATCAAGAATCTTCAGGGATTATTGGAATAGCAAGGTATTTATTCCATTACCGCATATTAAAATTGATTCTAATGGAAGACTTGAACTTTCCTCCGTGAGCGATGATAATTTGTTGATAAAAGGATTAGGCATTAATAAGAAAGAGATTGAGTTTTTTATCGGATCAATCATTGTGTTGATTGAATTTTTTGTTGAAAGTGGAAGCAAGATTCAAGGTTTGAACACACCAAATTATAGTTCTGATCCTAATAAGTTTGCAGCAGAGGTTTGTATAAGGGCAGAACACATTGCATTTACTTCAGTTTTGAAGTCTTTAGGAGCTATTAAAGAAGGTTTGAGTTTCCTTATGGTTTTAATTGAAGAAATGGAGACCAATGAAACCAACTTTAGTGATATTATGAAGTTTTTATCACTTAATATCCAAGTTAACTTATTACAGTTGACATTTAAGGATTTATTATTGCCTGGAAGAGACGTAAGAAATTTAATCAAAGATTTACTTTCTTCCATAATTAATAAGAATATCTTGAAAGGTGGTTCTATTGATTTAATTGCTTCTTCCTTAAAGGGACGTTGTGGCTCATTTTGCTCTGCTGATGATGTTTATATTTTCAAGGCCATTGAGAATTTGAATAGAGCAAAGAATATTGGTAACAGAGACAATGAGTTGAAGATCAAGTTTTTAAAGAACGCTGTTGAACTCTTTGAAAAAGCATATGATTCACTTACTTTAGAAAACATTGAGAATTCCATAAACATCATGCTTGATTTGGAATTTTATACTGGAGCTGTTGATTTGTTACTTAAATTAGCACTGAAAATTGGGACTTTACCAGCTATCGTTCTTCCAGTGAACTCTGAATTATTTAATGGTGATTTACAAAAATCATCAAATGCCATTACAAAGGCCAATGAAAATGCTAAGAAGAAGAAACAATTATACGACATGGTTTTTAATATATTGGTAAGAGTGGATGTTAAGACAATTCAAGTCCATGAAACACATAATCAGCTTAGGATTAATGAGCTTGTGGAAATAAGAGATACGGTGTATCAAATATGTTTTGCCTCAAATGATAGAGCTTTCCAATATGATTTCTATCAATGGTTTATGAATCAAGGTGCAAATGAAAGATTATTGGATATTAATACACCATTTATTTTACCATTTTTAGAGGAGAAGGCTCAAAAGGATTTGATATGCAGTGATTTATTATGGTTATACCATGCCAAACGGGAGAACTATTTTGCAGCAGGACAAATTCTTTATTCATTGGCCGTAAGTGAATTCCATTTAACATTGGATCGTCGTGTTGAATATATGTCTAGAGCTAATGGGTTTTGTAATTGTACCTGTCCTCCTAATTTGAGACAAAAGATGATTCAATTGTCTACACAACTTCAAGAGTTACTTGATGTGGCTTCACTTCAATTGGATATATTGACTACTATTAGGAACGATTCAAGAATTAGTGTGGAAAACAAAAAACTTGCTGAAAATGCCTTGGGTTTCAAAGTTTTAGGAATCAGTGAATTATTCAATGATTATACTGATCCCTTGGGATACTATGCCTTAAGTTTACTTGTATTTAAGATATCTGACTACAAGAATTCGGATGAGATCCTAAAGAGATGGACATTATTGTTTGAAAAGATTTACCATAAATTCGTTAGCATGGAAGCTGGATCTCGTGATGCACTTTATGTTTCTATTGAGAAGATCTTCCATTCTATATCTCCCAAATTATCGTCAAGTGACTTGATATTCCCCATTGACGAATTGATAAAGATGATAGCCAAAACCATTCACGAAGCGGAAGCTGAAACCAAGGACCCACAACAAAAACCACCTCAAGGATATCTCATTGAGTTATTCATCAAATCTGGTATCAACTATGACAAGTTGTACCATGTGATAAAATCGTTGATTGAACAGAATGCCTATGAAGTGTATCCCAAGTTCACAGACTACCTCAAGAAGGAAATGCTATATCTTATACAGCAATGGTATAAGACGGATAAGATGTTGAGAGAACTTATATCTGGGGATAAGATCCGGGGATTGACTTCGTATTCATTAGAGAGTGACCCTATACTTGGACTCGAAGGGCATAATATTTAAAGTACATACCTATACATACAGTTAGTTTATTTCATAGAAACTTCCCTTTTGACCATCAAACTTCTCCTTATTGAAATGTTCCATAGGTCTCAAGGGGATAGAAGTATGCGTATGTGAATTCAGATCTATGGTTGAAAGATAAGGAAGTATACCATCCACCAATAAGGAAACCGCATGAGGTTCTGGACCTCTGGGCATGACTACGTCAGCGTATTCCTTTGTGGGAAAGATGAACTCGCTCATTTCCTCTCTAGACTTCTCCATGTATTCATATAAGATGTCTTCCAACGTAGATACCTTGTTTTGAAGCACATCTCTTCGTATCCACCGGATCAACCTGGTGTCCAGATCACTGTCTATGAACACTCTCATATGGGAGATGTTGCGAAGCTCTTTGTTGTACAAGGCATACAAGCCATAGACGATGAATACTGTTTGGAAGTCTTCACTTTCTGAATTGGCTTGAATGTAATTCCGTACTCCATCAAAGTCGAACCGGGATGGTTTGGTTGAGCACGAGGAGGAATCAACAACCTTATAGTCTTCCAAGTCTAACTTGACGATGTTTAGCTTATTTGATTTCTGTAATTTCTGTAGCTCCTCTTTGAGCAAACTAGCCGTCGACTTCTTCCCTGCCGCATGACCCCCACCAAGGAGGACCACTACACATTTATTGGTCATGAAGATGATGCCCGAAGTAGTTGGGTGAAGATGACGATGATGATGATGAGCATCGAAAATTTTAATAAATGTATAACATAGCATTACATCAAGTCATTTCACACAGTCGTTACAGTCAGGAGCTCTCGCAGGACCGTTAATCAGACAGTCATACAGTCAATCATATAGTTACTCCCACTATGGACCAGTTTGATAGAGATCAGGATGACGAACTCCAGTTCAGTCACAAGTCAAGCAAGAACATTAAAGTGCATTCAACATTTGAGTGCATGAAACTCAAACCAGACCTACTCAAAGGTATCTACAGTTATGGATTTGAGGCTCCATCGGCTATTCAATCCAGAGCCATCATGCAGATTATCAATGGTAGAGATACCATTGCACAAGCCCAATCAGGAACAGGGAAAACAGCCACCTTCTCCATAGGAATCTTGCAAGTGATAGAGTCCAAATCCAAAGAGTGTCAAGCATTAATCTTATCTCCCACGAGAGAATTGGCCGTTCAGATCCAAGGAGTAGTCAAACATTTAGGTAACTATATGAATATTCAGACCCATGCATGTATTGGAGGAACACAACTTGGAGAAGACCTAAAGAAGTTGAAGCAGGGCCAACAAATTGTTAGTGGGACCCCAGGAAGAGTATTGGATATGGTGAAAAGACGGAACTTAAACATTAGAAACGTCAAAATGTTAATATTGGATGAAGCAGATGAGCTTTTCCTTAAAGGGTTCAAAGATCAAATCTATGAAATCTACAAGTTCTTACCAAGTAATGTTCAAATTGTCATTGTTAGTGCCACTATGTCAAGGGAAGTTCTTGAACTCACCAATAAGTTTACCACTGACCCGGTGAAAATCCTTGTGAAGCGTGACGATGTTACATTGGAGGGGATCAAGCAGTTCCACATTCAATGTGAAAAGGAAGACTGGAAGTTCGATACACTCTGTGATTTGTATGATTCGTTGACCATCACCCAAGCAGTCATCTTCTGTAACACGAAGGTTAAGGTCAATTGGTTAGCAGAGCAGATGCGTAAACAAAACTTCACGGTAGCTTCAATGCACGGTGATATGAAACAAAATGAAAGAGACTCCATTATGAATGATTTCCGTTCGGGTAGTTCAAGAGTGTTGATCTCAACAGATGTGTGGGCCAGAGGGATTGATGTTCAACAAGTGTCGTTGGTAGTCAACTACGATCTTCCTTTAGATAAGGAGAATTACGTCCATAGAATTGGTAGATCCGGTAGATTTGGTCGGAAGGGGGTTGCTATAAACTTGATCACCAAAGATGATGTTTCGGGACTTCGAGAGATTGAACGGTATTATTCGGTTAAGATAAAGGAAATGCCTGCTAATATCAATGATCTAATGTAATATACAGAGTATAGACCATACAGTATACAGACAGGCAACATACAGACAACAGACAGCAGATATTCTATATTCTACTATAGTGACAGTAGAACATACAGACAAAAGTGTATGCTAATCATGTATTTGCACCCATTCCCAACCGGTGATCTCATCGGACAGTAGTGTCTCCAGCACAAAAAACCAATACTCATCTCATGAGATTTTTTCAAACCGTCTCTAATAACAATCTACTTCCCTCCCTTCTACTCCTGTGAATCATTAACTATGGCTGACTTGGATCCTCAGTTCGTTTCCTTAGTAGAATCTACCTTGTTGGAGGCAGTGGACGCAACCACTGCCGGCAGTGCAGCTGAAAAGTTGAAAAGTTTGACTGCAAATGAATCAGCCATCCCTGCCTTTATCAGCATAGCCCAAACTGGACGTAATGATATTGGAATGTTGGCTTTGGTTGAAGCCAGAAAGTTGATTAAAGCCAAATGGGAAACTTTGAACCCTCAACTCCGTGATTTCATCAAGCAACAATTGTTGACTGTTACTTTTGAACACACCAATGAAAGATCAAGACATCTTTGTGCTGAATGTATTGCTGCAATTGTTCTTACTGACGCTGAACCGGAATTCTTAACCCAATTGATTCCTACTTTAAATAATGCCATTCAAGATTCAGTTCAACAAACTAGAGAAACCGCTGTGTATACTTTATATCTGATTTTGGAGACCGAACTGCCTACTTTAGTTGAAAATGCTGGTGATTTTGTTTCCTTATTTTCAAGACTTTTAACTGATTCTTCAAGTCAAGTTAGAATAGATTCTATTCGTTCTTTGGACATTTTGGGTCAATTCCTCGACCAATCAGTGGACAAGCTTCCAAGACAACATGTTGAAGCTTTCCAAGCTTCCATCCCTGGTATGATCGCTATTGGTAAAGATACCGTTGTTTCAGACATTGATCAAGCTACCACAATTTTCCAAATTTTTAACAGTATGCTACTTTTGGATGAGGCCGTTTTAGGTGACGCTTTCCTTTTGTTACTTGAATTCTGTACTGAAGTAGCTGCTAATGCTTCTGTTGACGAAGACGTTAGAATGTTTGCTTTGAATTGTTTGATTGAATGTGTTGACTACAAAAAGCAAAAAATAGTTTCCAACAAATTGGGTCCTAAGCTTACTTTATTAGCAGCCAAGATCGCTTCTGAAGAAGTTGACGCTGAAGAGGAATTGGAAACTGAAGATGAAGAACACGAAAACGAAGAAAGTTCCTCTAATGCTTTGGCTTTAAGATTTATCCAAACTTTGGCCAATGAATTACCTGCTTCCCAAGTCATCGTACCATTTTTTGATGCTTTCAACTCAATGATCTCATCTCCAAACCAATTTGAAAGAAGAGCTGGCTTCTTAATCATTGCTAATTGTGTTGAAGGTTGTGAAGAACACATTTCCTCCTATCTTCCAAAGTTGATGCCAGTTTTAATCAATGGTTTAAAGGACCCTGAAATTCTTGTCAAGTTGGCTACCTTGAAGTGTTTAAACAACATTATCTTCACATTAAAAGATGAGGTTGCTTCTCATCATGAACAATTGTTACCTTTGGTTATTGACACCATTGACAATACCAAATCCGTCATGGTCTACAAATATGGTTGTCGTGTTTTAGACTCTCTTATTGAGTACATGGACCAAGACACTATTGGTAAGTATTTGGAACCTTTGATGAACAAATTATCTCATATGTTACAAGAAGCCAATACTTCTTCTTTGAAAAATGTCATTGTTTCTGCTATGGGATCTTCTGCATTTGCTTCTGGTAAGATGTTCACTCCATATTTACCTACTGCCATTCAAACTTTCGAACCTTTCATTCAAAATGCCGGTAATATTGAAGGTATGAGTAATGATGATATCGAATTGAGAGCCTTGACATTAGAAACTATTGCTGTTATGGCCAAGGCTGTAGGTTCTGAAGGGTTCCAAGATTATGCCAGTCAATTGGTTGAAGCAGCATATGGTGCATTATCTAGTGAAAGTCACAGAATTCGTGAAGCTGGATTTGCATTTATTGCTGATATGGCAAAGGTTTTCGGTACTCAATTTGCTTCTTCTTTGAACAATATTGTTCCATTAATTCTTAAGTCTTTGGAACAAGAAGAACCTCTGATTTTGGCTGATGTCAATGAAGAAGAATACGAAGAACTTCTTAAGGTTTACACTGGTATTACTTTTGAAAAGGAAATTGCTATTGTTGCATTGGGTGAATTGGCTTCCGGTACGGGTAAAAGCTTTGCACCATTCGTTACCACTACTCTTGAAGTCCTTACAGAAGAATTCAAGAATGGCACTTTAAGTGAAGTTTCTTTAAATTGTATGTGGAGAATTGCTAGATCAATGTATTTTGCATCTAAAGGTGAAGATTTCAAATACCCTAAGGGAATTCTTACAGAACTGTATGTTGAACCAACTGTCTTGGAGTTAATCAAACATGTTAGAGCATTATGTCTTGAAAACTTACTGGAAGATGATGACGATTACACCAACTGTTCAATCTTAGAGAACTTGAGTAATGAAATCGATTTAATGGGTGCCATTGTTGTCATGGATCCTCATGATGGAGATCAATCGTTATTTAAACTTTGTGAATTGGTTCAAGCCATTTTAGCAAGAATTTTAGACGAATCTGAAGCTGATTTCATTGAAGATTCTGCTCAACTTTATAAGGACTGTTTGGAAGTTTTGGTTTCCCTTAGTTCATGTTTAGAGGAAGGATTTGAACCAATTTTCACAAAATTCCACCCTGTTTTAGTTGCTAACAGTACTGTTAAGGACAAAGAGTTTAGATTGGCATCTGTTGGAGCCTTAGCTCAAATTTCTGCTGGATTAAAGCAAAACAACCCCAAGTTCCAAGAATTATTAGAATTGTTCATCGACAGATTGACCAATGATAAAAATTTGGATGTTCGTGGTGATTCCGTTTATGGTGTGGGTATTATAATTGAGAATGCTGAATTCAATACTAGCCCCATTTACCCAACATTATTAAGCTTGTTGAATGATTTATTGAGTAAGACTGACCGTAGAGCTGGTAAGTTAACCAGTTCTGCCGGTGAAGATGATGAAGAATTAGAAGCCAAGTTGGAAGTCATCAACAGAGCATATGCCAATGCTTGTGGATGTGTTGGTCGTATGGCTTTGAAACACCCTGAACTGGTCCCATTACCTGTTGTGTTACCAATTTTATTGAATCATTTACCATTGGAAAATGGATTAGAAGAGAACCAACCAATCTTCAATTTATTGATCAAATTATATGAAACCAAGAGTGAAATTGGCGTTCAAGCATTACCTCAAGTGATTGATATGTTTGCTAAGGTTTTCACCAAGGAAGCTGAAAGATTGAAGTTGTTAGGATCTTCCACAATTGGTAGAGAGGAGGAGTTTGAAGGGTTGAATCACTTCCCTGTGGAAGGATTGAAGGAAAAGGTCATTAACTTGTTGAAGTTTTTAGACTCTGAGTATCAAGGGGTTGTCAGTGGCAACCAAGTGTTGAAGCTGGTTATTGCATAAAAAATATAAAAAGAGTTAGATTGCTTATATTATTAGTGACTGTGTATTGTAGTGTATAGTTTACATTTATCAAATAGATGATAGTAAAGATTTCAAGCAAGTTTGCTCTTCAATTAGGTAAGTGTGGAATGATCCAGACCCGTAAAGTGAATCAGCGAAACAGCAAAACGTCGACAACTATTTATTTTATTAATGTCTATTTGTTTAGCGTAAGCAGAATAGACTAACTTGCAACCAAAAGTACATGGAACAAATGTCTCGAACACTTATTTAATTATGGGAGTGAGTTTCGCAACTTTTGATGCCAGTTTCTAAGCTGAAAGTGGTGGAGAGCAACGTTATCGAAGATCCTACACTACGTGTTGAAGATTCCCGTTTAGTGTGTGATTACTTAGTGTAATTGGAGCATTTAAATGAAAACCGCATTGGTGTACTCGGTGTCGCTGGTGGAGCTGGCTATTCCATTCTACATAGAAAATCTCTAGGTGGAACGGAACTATTAGTTTCAGACATGGTTTTCATCAAAAAGGCTACAAGATCAGGAGAATGTCGCTGTTTGCAGCTTTTATTTAATATAAAACTGACCATGAGCTGCAAAGTTATTTCTGAGAGGTTTTGTATCCATTACTACCATGGGCTTCAGTTTCAAGCAACTAATGTTTACTGCGAACAAGCCCAAATTGTATTACCATACTCGGCTTTGATCACCTTCTACATACACCAAGTGCGGCATTTAGCATTTTCGCTAAGAAGACTAACAAGTGCTTCTAAAACAGAGATTGAGCTTAAAGTCATTGATATGCTTAAACAGCAGCATGTTATGGCATGGGAATATACAATTTTCTTATATCTTAGTTCACTGTAAACTTGCTACCGCGGATGTAGGGTTGGAGTTGCATTATTTCCATAGACGACCACATTCGGAAGGTGTAGCGACGAAAAGAAACAAATGAAATCCAAAGGGTCTTTGATTTGACTTGATTAGTTCACAGGAAAAGGAAATAGTATGGCATGCATGACAAGAGAATGACCGAGACCAAGAGCTAAAGAGTATAAGGTTTAACATTGTAACTTAAACCGGTCGTGTACCGGTGACTCAAATCGGTTAACTATTACTCAACAATCGAGAGTGTACAAACGAATTCCTGGCCATTCCCACGACTTTAGACGGGGAACTATCACACACTACCATCTCAGTTCCCTATACTTTTGCATTTTACATATATATTGGGATTGTGGTACCAAAAATTTAATTTGAGAAATGGTTGGTTTCATTACAACTAAATATTGAAGAAACATACCATTATAATCGGTTTCCCTTTCCTTTAGGTTTTGTTATCGTCCTATTAAGTTTCAAACTCCTTGTTAATTGCATTGATATCAGTTGTGGATTATTACTAGTTAATATTTCGTTTACAGCAGCTACAAGCTTTTAACTCACATTCCTTTATTATTATTTAGTCTTCCAACTATATTCATTCCTTTCCCTTATTAAAATTCTCAAACTCACTTTCCTTAATTAAGGTATGTATACTTTTATTCAATCTATCCGAGCTACATGAATACTATTCATCCATTCATCCAACCTTCCACTGTATTTCAATCTCAACCTCCATCTTCGACTTCATCCACCTCTATTTTCAAAGCTATCACCAAATGTCTCCCAAAATGTCGCACTTTTTCCGCTGGCTCATTTTTTTTCACGAACCAGCCTTCACGACTTCTTCCTGTTTGGGACATCCGTTTTTTTTTGTGACAGTTGCGTCGTGAACAAAGTTCGTGATGTTTACCTTAAGGCCTTGTTGGTAACAGTGACCAACAGGCTATGAACGCCATGCCATGTGGCGTCAACATATATCAAGGGAACTTTATTGTCATATTTATACGTTAAGTACAATCACGATAATGATGACATTTGCCATTATATATGGCTAATGTCAACGTCCACTCCGCGCTACCACGCGGGTGTTGGTGTTGGTGTTTGCGCATTCCGATTTCACCTCCTTTTGCCGATTCGTCACAAAACACGCTTTTACAATTTTCATTCGTGTATGAAATTTGTTTTGGTCCTGCCCAATGGTGACACCATACTTTAAGTCCCACCTTCAGAAGGGGTTTCCTACCACGACTCAATAAGGGGTGAATTCTTTACGCGGTTGCAGCCTTAAGAATCTATTAATGGCTATGGTTAACATTCCAAACCCCATATAGAGGCTTGCGAGCACCAACCAACACAACATCATTACTCCTTTCCCGCAGGGTTGCCGATCACATTGTCCTTTAATTCCAAGTACAAGGTAATAAAGCCCATTGTATTTGTCATATTTGTTTTCCGCACTATTTGACATATGGTATTGGCTTGAATTTGAGTTTTGGTTTTGGTTTAGAATTGGTATCTGGTTTGATCGTGTTTTTCTTGTTTATCTTTCCATCTTTTTTTTTTTCATAATAACTTTTGAATTACAGTCTGGCTTTTCCTTTTCCATCGGTACTCTGGACCAAAAGTGCTAGGTCATTCATTCCTTTAATATTCTCCTATCATAACTAGTGGATGCAATCACATTATTATTCCTAAGCTCATACGTTTATTGATTCTGATTGATATACTAACATTCTGATAATTAGAATGAGATTCACTAAAGCTACTATCCTTGCTTTCGCCTTGACTTGTTTGGTGGATGCTGCTCCAGCTCCTAAGGACGTTGTTGATCCTGCCAACAAAAGAGATGTCAACTGTGATAAGCCTTCTTACCAGGCTCACCATAAGCACAAGAGAAACGTTGTTTATGATTACGCTTATGTTACTGTTACCGTTGGTAACGATGGTCAACCTATCAGTTCTACTGCAACTTTAAATGTTCAACGTGCTTCATCTGTTGCCACTTCTGATTTGGCCAATGCTGTTTCTGCTGCTCAGGCTTCTGTTTCTGCTCAAGAAACTGAAGTTAAAACATCAGCTGCACAAGCAACTACTTCCTCCTCTTCCGCTGCTGCTCAAACTTCCACCTCATCCACTGCAGCAGCTGCCTCTTCTGCTGCTGCATCTAGTGGTTCATCTAGTGGTTCATCTAGTGGTTCTTCCAATGGTATCTATGGTGATTTAGGTTATTACTCTAACCCATCTGTTGAATTCGAAGATGGTGTCTTGGACTGTTCTGAATTCCCATCCGGTCAAGGTGTTATTGCCTTGAACCACTTGGGCTTTGGTGGTTGGTCTGGTATTGAAAACTCTGACGGTTCTACCGGTGGTCACTGTAAGGAGGGTTCTTACTGTTCTTATGCCTGTCAATCAGGTATGTCCAAAACTCAATGGCCCAATTCTCAACCAGCTAATGGTGTTTCCATTGGTGGTTTGTTGTGTAAGGGTGGTAAGTTGTACAAGTCGAATTCCAGATCCAACTATTTATGTGAATGGGGTGTTGATAAGGCTGTTGTCGATAACCAATTATCTCAACCTGTTGCTATCTGTCGTACTGATTACCCTGGTACCGAGAACATGGTTATTCCAACTTATGTTGAAGGTGGTTCCACTTTACCTATCACTGTTGTTGATGAAAGCACTTACTATCAATGGCAAGGAAAGGGTACCTCTGCCCAATACTACGTCAACAATGCTGGTTTGGACTGGACTCAAGGTTGTGTTTGGGGTACTCCAGGTTCTGGCTTGGGTAACTGGTCCCCATTGAACTTTGGTGCTGGTTACGCTGGTAACATTGCTTACTTATCTTTGATTCCTAACCCTAACAACTATGACTCTTTGAACTTTAATGTCAAGATTGTTGCTGATGGTGATGCAGTTGTCAGTGGATCATGTGTTTACTCTAATGGTAAGTACAATGGTGGTGGTGCTGATGGTTGTACTGTTGGTGTTACTTCTGGTAAAGCCAAGTTTGTTCTTTACGATTAGAAGTGTCATCCTATTTCTGTTTTTTTATCGTTGTTTATCAGGAGTTGCTCATTGTCATTTAAAAACCCGTTGGTTTTATTTTATTTTGGACTCTTGATTTATTTGTTGCCAATATGATGACTATTTGTATCTCTTTGTTTCAGTCGAACATTCATTTCTGTCAAGTGGCTGCAAACTATGTCTCATTTTGGCGTTTGTTATATCTGTTTAGCCAGTTTGTTTTTATTGTTATAGTTTGTAATTGTTAACATCAACACTTACTATCAGTTGTAGATCATACATGCACTAAAGTCAATACTCTTTTTACTATTATTATTATTACTATTATGCATTAAACTTTCTATTATACAAATGACTATTATTGTCCTATCACTCCTAGTTGATGATAGCCCAGAACTTCTCCCATAAAGTAGTAGGAACAGACTCTTCCCAAACTTCATCATCAGCTTCTCTAACACCAGAATCAATATCACATTGATCTATTGGAACAATCAACTTATCCCAAGAAAAGTTTAATCCATTGTACATGATATGGAAAATCAACCAACACACAACGAAAATGATCAATGACACATAAGAAGTGAAAAAGGATGTCGCCGTAATACTGTAAAAGGCTTCATACCCTTGAATAAAGATAAGAACGAAAACAACAATAGCACAGTAATAAGATCCATAAGGCATAAATTTGGCCTTAAAGGGTAAAGAGTCTCTGGAGATGTTTCTAGATTTCAAGATATTCATAAATCTTATGTGTGCCAAGGAGATGAAAAGCCAAGCAATCAAACCGGCTAAAGCAGTAATGTTCAATAACCAGTTAAAAGCATTCAGTCCACTAGAGGAAACAGCAAGGTAACCCAAGGAACCCAAAATAGAAGTACACACCACAGCATAGTATGGAACTCCCCATCTGTTGGTGATCATAAAGAATTTAGGTGCAATACCAGCTTGAGCTAACCCATAAAGAATACGGGAACCGGAATAAATATTAGAATTACCAGCGGAGATAATGGTGATTAAAATGACGGCATTAAAGATATCAGGTAAAATTTTTGTACCTGAGTTAAGCATGGCAATGACAAAGGGAGAAGAAGCAGCATTTTGAGTAGAATCAGCTTCACCGTTGTAGGGTAACCTTGGATCATCCCAAGGGACCAATAAACCTATAAAGAAGATGGACAAAACATAAAATAATAAGATTCTGATCAACACTTTTCTAATGGCAGATGGAACAGTCTTTCTTGGGTTCTTAGCTTCACCACAAGATAAACCAACCAATTCACAACCTTGGAAAGTGAATGCAGCAGAAATCAAGGAACTAAGCCAACCTAAGAATTGACCAGTGGTTTTATTACTAGAATGAATACCAGGACCAAAAGCACCTGGGTTTCTCCAATATCTGAAACCAACTGGACCACCTTTACCACCACCAACAACCATGATGAAGGCATAAATAATCCAACCGGCAACAGCAATAACTTTCATGAATGCAATCCAGAATTCAACTTCACCATAGTACTTAACAGGGAAGAAGTTAAAAGCAGTCAAGATAACGAAAAAGATCAGAATCCAAGCGGCAAGAGGTACGGCAAAAGTCCAGTATTCAATAACCTGACCAACAACGGATAATTCCAAGGCAAAAGTAATACCCCAGGAGAACCAATAATTCCAACCGTTGGCAGCACCTAAAGCAGGCGATAACCAACGAGCTACAAACTGGGTAAAGGAACCAGAAACTGGAATCAACGTAGCCATTTCACCTAAACCTTGAGTGACAAAATATGCAATTGTTGTAAAGAATAAGTAGGACATTAATGATGATGCTGGACCGGCAACGGCAATGGTATTACCGGTAGAAATAAACAACCCAGTACCAATGGTACCACCAATGGCCAACATGGAAATATGTCTTGCTTTCAAGGCTCTTTCCACTTCAGTACTTTTCTCTTTGTTAGACTCTTCATCGTGATAAACATAATGCGTTTCAGAGATCTTTTCGTTATTGGTACGGTGAGTAACCGAGCTTCCGGGAATGGATTTTTCAAAGTCTGACATTTTAAGTCGTCGTTAATGAAATATCAAGAAGTTGATTAGAACTGAAAGTGGACAAAAAAAATATTCAAACACTCTGTGTAAAAAATTTAGCTTTATGGAAGGATTGCTTATTATTTATATATAATTTATTTTAGAAGTTGTTTCTGTGTGCACGAATGAATTGTTCACCGATATATGTGGTGGAGAGGGCAACGATGACTTTTTAGTTATAGACTTTGTGATATTGAGATATGAGAAAACAAAGTGATGCAAAGGGCTTATTGCTTTTTTTTTTCTCTTCTCTGCTTGTTTGTGCATGTCATTCAATTGAGCGAGTGCCTGGATTGATAAGGGGACGCCTGATAGCGGCTGATGTAGTGGTTGCTGTTTTAGGAAGCCATGGCTACTGCAGGTGGGGAGTTCGCGTGAGGCTTTACATCTGTATCTTTGCATTAGCATTGGATGCTCAATCAATACTCATTCGTCCATGCACTCCAACTTAAGAGAGACTCGATCCCTGCCCGACTTGTGAATGATAACAGCTGCAGGTGGTATTTCGTTGGCATTATCAGCACAAGTTCTTACTATGCTGTGTAGTATAATGTTGGAGCTACAATGTAACATGTATTATTATCGTAAGGTGTGTAGTATCCAATAGAGTCAGTGTATTTTCCGGTAGAGAGAGATGAGGTAGTGCTTGGCTTAATGCTGGGAAAAAAGAAAAGAAACCAAAAATAAAGCTGGTCTTAACAGGAACAAGGGTACCGAGCTTATGGAAGGAGTCAAGAAGTAAGAACGTAAGACACACCGATTTGCAACATCTTTAGCAACATTCGGTTGAGGGATGTCAAATATCAACCCCACAATCTATAATTACGAGATCACACAGGTGTCTATTAATGGAAGTCGATGTGCCGCTAATCCTGACCCAAAGAAGGTCAGTGCGAGATCGAGTTGCAATGTTTCCTCTAAAGTACATTAGCACCGAGGACCTGCCAGAAATGAAATTGAGTATGTATCAACATTCAGGTCTCACCTGCCGTTAGGGGTGTGATTGTGCAAAATTCTTGACAGGTTGGAGTAATGGGTTATTTTCTAAGGCATTTTTTCTTTTGTACAGTGAGACCTTTTCTATTGTTCTTTCAAGCAGAAGATGCCGTTAGAGGTTGAAGCGAAAAAATAAACTTGAAAGATTATGAAGTGATTACCATTTATTGTTGGGGGTTGAAGATGGAGCTAAGCATAATGTAATGAAGAACTGGCTTAACAATATTTGCTAAAGCAACAAACGTATGGGTTGCTTAGAGGTGTAAGAATCATAGAATACGGATCTAAATACTAAACAAAAACTAACCGTTTCCATTTTCTTGTTTAGTCACGGCATTGAGTTTGTGTGTACGGAAATCGCCATGGAAATTGTACCAGTCCCCACCAAGATACGGCATCTCCTCTATTACCAGAAACTGACACCGACGGTTTATATACACGTTTTGAATGCATGTTCTTGGCTCCGTGCACGACTTTTGTATATATCCCATTGAATCTCCATACGACTTCAACTATTGTCTACAATCTCCGATACTACAGGTAAGTTTACAATTGACTTAAATTCCAGTACTACACTTTATTTTACAATTGACTCTTTAAATTAAACAAGCAGTGCTCTAATCATGGCTATTTAGGTTTCCCCTAGAAATAAGAATATTCATAAAGAATCAGCACCCTTATCATATTATCTAATGTAGTTTAATCTGTGTATCTCGTTAGAGAAAATCGCTTTCAACTGCCCTCAGGAAAAAGCCATAAACGCACAAAGCAAACATCCATAACCGAAAGCGAAGACGGAAATGTTTCTAATTCAAGTAACCTTTACAGGTTGATGCCCCACACAAACAAGGAATACGTTCAACATCATTGGACTCACGTTCAAATTTGTAATCATAGGTCAATTCCTCATTGGCATCAATGTCTCGTAATGCGTAAATGACAATTCTCTTTTTTCCTTCAACTTTAATGATTTTGGCAGTACAACTTGGATCACAACAATGATTAATAAACCTGGCTATGCCTCCCTTTTTGGTGGCATCGATAACAGTATTCTCATCAATACGGAATAAATATGATGATCCAATTCCCAGCTTCAAGTATGACTTTTCTCTATGTTCTGCAACTTGTTGTCTAATCATTTCTCCAACATATTCAATAATCATTTCTTTGGCAGCAATCGGTTCATTGGCATATAGACCCCAATTATGAATCAGTGAACGTGCAAAGGAAACTGGCTTCTTCCGTTTAGTTAATGCATTAAGTGATAAGATTTCCAGATCAGCTCCACCCAATTGAGCACTAACTTCTGCTGCGAACCGTCTATTGAGTGCTCTATTGACACGAGAACTTTGATTCACATTTCCTATGTCATCTTCATCTCCATTTATGTCACCATTCCCATTACCTGTGCTGTTGGAAATATTCATGCTACTGCCACCACCACCTCCTCCAGGAAGATCATTGGAATTTTCCAAACCTCTATCTATATTGTTTTCATGTTTTCTCTTTCTATCTTCCAGCCCATTCAATTCCAACTTGCTTTCATCATCAAGGCCATCTTCATCATCACTAGTGCCCCCATTATCGTTATGATACATAACGGTCTTCAATGGCTTTCTAGATTTTTGTTTCATATGTGGCAAGTAAACCTTCTTGGTCTTGCTTATCTTCTTATAACCTTCACTTCTGAATGAACCAGTGAAATTAACCAAGTCTTCATCCCCATACAATGCCGAAGCAGAAATTGCATCATCATCATACTTATTGTGGAGATCCTTCCAGCACATATAGTCCACTTCAATTTTACTTGAAGGCTGCTCATTCCAGAAACCTTCAGGATCAGCTAAAATTTCTTGTGCAATTGACAAATCTTCATCATCTCTTAATAACCTCCGCAAATGACGAACAGAATACCTTTCAAATGATAATTCTTCATATACAGGTTGTGAAACCTTCGGAGTAGGACGATATTTAAGTGCAAGATTCGAATAGTCATAGTTTCCATCTTCTTGAATGCTAGCAATATCATCCTGTGATTCAGAAACAGATTCTTCGTCTTCACTATCTAATTTAATTTCAACACCTACTTCCTTCACGGGATTTTTTGACTCAAGAGCCACAAATTCTGAATCTTCATCTTCGCTCATAGATACCTCGTCATACATGCTTTGACGTTTAGGTTTTTTCACCTCTAGTTGATCCTCGTCCTCATCATCACTTAGGCTATGCTTAAGATTGACAGATGTGATGTCAAGTGTTGCACTAGGGGTAGCCGTCAGCAGACATGGACCTGGAGTGTTTGAACCACTCGTCCCACTATCGTCATCACTTGAATCACTGCTTTCATCATTATTATCTAAGTTCAATGCATGTTGCATAGGAATAAGGTTACGCCGGCGACGATTATTTTTCATTAACAATTTGATTAACTTGTCTTGCTTGGTCTCTCTCTTTGGAAGAGTTGCGTTTGATTTATCATTGGATTTAAGAAATAATAATGTGTCTTGTTTCAATTGAGACTGAGACAAAAGCTCTTTTGTTTCTTCAGCCTTTTCTTGCTCTTTGGCTCTTAACTCACTAACCAACTCTGGATAATTTTCATGGCTTAATAGGTTTAAAATTGCAGGCGCAAGAATCCGCTCTCGAATATCCTTAGCAAGAAATGTCTGGAAGTCTTTAATTAATATATTTGCAGCTTCTCCAACCGCATCAATCTTTTCCTCCTTCTCAGAGAAAGAGGCTTTAAGTGTATAGCCTTCAGGAACACATAAATCCATATACATTCTGTAGGCATAAAAACGTTTCCCGTCTTCATCATAAAAACACTTTTCACAATCACGAAGACTATTAAATATAACAAAAAAACCATTCTTATCCCCTATAACCCGAGTCCAACTATATCTTTCTAATGCACGTTTGATATCCTGTGTTGGGATTTTTCGAGTGGGTACGTATGCATCATCAATAAACAAAAATGGCCTGTCTTTAACATACCTGGTTAATTCTTTGGGAAGAAATACACCCGAGACAACCTTGTTCTTATTTCGAATAGACTTAATAGTGGTATTGGACTGTAAAGTATTCGCATGGTTGGAAATAGATGTAGTTTCGGATGGAGAAGGTAACGTATCCTTCACGCTAGTAGATCTCAGCATTGATTCAGCATTTGTATTGCTGGTAACTTCGGTCTTTTTCCTATTCTTCTCTGCCGTTCTACGTTCTTCGTCTTCTCTTCGTTGCTTCTCTTGTAAGTCTCGTTTTCTTCTATCTTCATCCTGTTGTCTTAATCTGTGTAACTTATCCAGTGCTTGGGCAACTTTCTTTTCCAACAATTGATTATCATTATCGTTGAGTATTAATTTGAACTCGACTCCATCAATTCTCGGTAATTCTTGCTTCACCAATGAAATAAACTTTTGAGCAAATCGTTGGGATTTATCAGGTGCACCTTGGAATTTGAAAGTAGCAATTCCTAATGGCACAGCATTAACAGGATCATTATACAATTTCAAGTCACGAAGTGGAGGATAAGTGCTGTCAAAACTCCGTATGAAATTAGACAAATAGTTCTCGTTGACAGAGAAGGGTAGATCCCATATCACCAACTCTGTTAATGGGGCTGGTCCAAGCGAGTCTTTATCAAATGTGAAACGTGGTTGTGGTAACTGCTTAAAGGGAAATTTCTTAGACCTCTTATTTGGCTTTGTCATATAATGCTGCATTGACTTTCTAGGGTCCTTACACTCTGGAACAAAGTCCACATCATCGAATGATCGAGTGCTCACACGATACTTACGCTCTCTTTTCTTTCTATCTTCTTTGGACAACAGCTTGTCTTGATCCGGGTCATAGATTACTTTATATGTACCTCTAGGTTCTCCTGATTCATAGGAATGATCATCAAATGCTTTATAGGTCATGTACAACTTCAATGTGGGGAATGAGGCATCAAGCGGATTAATACCAGTGAGGGGGTTTGAAGCAGGGTATTCTATGTGGCCCATTCTGTCATTGACTGATCTTGTCACGCCACTCGTTGAAGGTTTTGAGTTGCGGTTCACAGGAACAGTTCGAGTTGGAGGGATCAGATTCGACTGTCGCATTGACGCCCCATTAACTGAAGTATGTGTAGTAGTAGTAGAAGATGGAGCACCAACGAGCCCTCCTCCTTTGAAAGGTGCAGCGGTTGTTTGTGAAACTCTATGGTCTATTCCAACATCCTTATTGCTAAAGTAACGCTCTCGATGTATGGAACTTTGACCATTAGCTGGATGTGGACCATTTGCACCAGATGTTGGAGTGGTGGGGGTAGCTGGAGGTATTGCATCCTGCTGATCTCTGAATCCATGGGGTTTATGAAGGCCAGATCCTTGTCTATATCGGTCGTGGTATCCACGAGACTTATAGTACAGATGGTGGTTGTAGTGGTTGTTGTTGTAGGGCATTATTTGTACTATGGATTGTGATTATCAGTGAGGTTTGATTTCTATATTGATAATGACATTAAGTGGTGGGACTAAAAATGATGAATACGTAATCATATACTAGGCTACTCCTTTTGCCCAAAAAGAAGTTGATACAGCGTTAGGTACTCCAATCCACCTAAAGTATCCACTAACGGTAAATAAATAAGGTATTACTATGGAAGCGATACTTTTGAGGTGCAAGACTTGATGGAATTTTCTCTCCGTGTTGAAGCGCGGTTTTCTGCAAGACCTTTTGTGTGTGATAAGTGATCGTTGAGTTGAGAGAGAATCAGAGATGGAGTACAATTACAACAATTACAACGACAATCCCCGTCTTAATACAATTTGACTAACATGGTAAAAATCATAGGCTGATACAAGAACGGAATTGGGGTTGTCTGCTGCCTTTGATTCAAACATAAAATTACTCCATTTGTTGTTGCTGACATTTTTCCTGTTTTAACGTAGTATAATTGATATGTGAGCTATGAAATAAATAAATGTACAATCTAGCAATGCCGCGTTTATTGCATCTACTTGGTTCTGATATGCTTCAATGGTCCCTTGGAGTGAAGGAAGTTAATGGAATAGTCCTTTTGTCTGAAATGTCTCTTCTTGGGTTCTTGTACATAGTAGCCATAACCTTGGCCTTCAGCAAATCTAATAGCTGCTTCTTTAGTATCAAACTTGATCTGTGTGGCTTGCATGTAATCTGAAGTACTTTGGTACCCCATCAAATCGTTCTCCCATCTGTTACCACTACCCAACACATCCCAATCTATTTTCCACACACTTCCATTATGTTGACCACTTTGAGTAGCTGGCTTGGCTTCTTGGAAAATACGACATGTTCTGGTGGTACTTAAACCATTGTGAGCACCAGATGTAAGTTCATTAGCAACGGTTTTCTCATCAACAACATTAACGTTGGTTGGTAAGGATTGTCTGACAGCAGTTGTGCATGAAAAAGCACGCACTCCACTGTATCTCAATATGGTTCTTGACAACATGATAAACCAATATATATATATGTATATATGTATAACACCAAGGGTGATTGTACAGTATGTCTTTCAAGAGTTCACATCTAATTATTTTCCATTGCTCGTTATTGGCTGACGAAAATTCTCACCGAAAGAAGCAACTGGTGGTGTTACCCGGATAACATAATCATTAAAGGTAACAAGACTAACGTATTATGTGTGATGCAATTGATGAATCTTCACGATCATTACCTGTTTGGAGTTTATTCAGACTCATATATACATATCTGAGAATCATCATGAATAATATCAAAGGAATTCTAGAGGAATTGATTCCAGGGTATAACAACGAGTTCCCATCTAAAGTGATTACATGTGCTGAAACTTTATACCGATTGAGTCTAAGAGATAGACCAGTCCTTCCTAATAATAGTGAAATAGCAAGATCTCATATCTGTGTGTTTGTAGCAGCTACAAAATATCATGAACAATTAAATATACCGTCTCCTCTGGCTAATAAGATTCCTGCTCCCCCAAGAGTTGCTACAAAATTGGTTACTGATTTCACCGATAATTTGCTTAACCAAATCGTTTCCGCAGCATCCACACCCGTGACTACTCCCAGAAAGCGTCGAATAACAGGGCTGCTGGATTCTCCCATCAAGTCTCTGACTCCATCGCCACGCAAGCTTCAAAATTTAAACAATAATGCTCCCAAAACCAGTTCACCGTTGAAGAGGAAACTTCAAGATCTACAAAATGAAAAGGATGATGATGAGTTCCCTTCAACCCCAACAAAGACTCCCAAACGAAGTGCTACTTTACTTGATGACTTTGAAAACGAATCCCCTTTCAACCCCAAATCAAGTCCATTGAAGTTACTGAAACAAACAAAATTACTGCTGCCTACCAAATCCATGACTGCATCATCTCCTACTTCATCTCCGTCAAAAATATATGTGTACGATAAAAAGCATGTCAAGGTTACAGATCTCATTACCTTCTGCAACAATTTCCATATTCCAGCAAAATTCACTCCACTGATCATCCAAGCATTCTTAGAACACAAGCATAAGTTTCATAAGAAGACAGAATGGCTATTAGCATGTGGACTTGTACATGCAGCATATGTGCGTATTAATAACGGGCTTTTGCAGGGGAAAATGGGAGCTAAAACCACATTTCAAGATCAACTCTTTACCTACCAAAAGGGTGGCCTTATGAAAAAGACCATGCTTTCATGGTGTAACATTATAGAAGATGCATTTAAGGCTGAGAGCTGGATCATGGATATAGAGTTGGAGTATGTCTACAAAAACAAGTCCATAGTGGAAGCCAACGAGTCCCGTGAAGTGGAAGCAAAACTAGGTAAAGGTTGGGATTTATTTGAGCTCATGGGTAGTATGATAAATTCAACAACAGTTTTAGACTCTGATTCTCAATCAGAATACTATAAGATCTGGACTCAACTGGCCAAAGCACAGTTACATTCAACCTAAATTAATTAACGAAATATAATGACAATATTATCACTCAATGTAATACATCTACAAATAAGAGGCCTTATCAGTATTCCTATGGTACGAATTTTTAATATTAAAGTGAATGGACTGACTATGTACATGAACGTGAGAATTATATCATACTCTCTCTAACCCAACATCTTCTTCAACTTGCTAACATGGCCTCCTTTGTTATCAACACGAACATAACCATTTAAATGACTCATACTGCTGGCACTAAAACCACCATTACCATGATTTCTACCTGCTTGTCTTCTTTTGAACCCTTCTCCAGCTTTAACAAATCTCTTTGCTGCTGCCTTGTGAATTCTAGACTTGCTTCTCAATTGCATAAGCATCTGGACCGCAGGCCGTCTGAATGCCGCTCTCAAATTAGATTCAAAAATATTGCCCAACATTTCCCCTCCTTCTGTTGATATGATGCTGAATTTTGTCTGTATCTGACTTTGTATTATCTCTTACTACACTTTGAAATAGTGAAAACTTTTGTCAAAACTTTTAGCTGCACACTACCACAGATTATAAGCTATATACTTGAATTAGATCTACCATTGTCATTATTAAATAGTCTACTTATATCTAAACCGACCTTATCTAGTTTTCTTTTAATACTTCATCAATAAAATCTTGATCAGGTATAGAAGTTTTTTCCTCAGTAGATACGTCATCTTGTTCTTGTTCAGGAACCTCCTCAACATAAACACTTTCCACTTCTTGAACGTCATCCCAACTTTGACTCTCTTCAACCTTGTTATAAGAATCCTTGGAAAGAGCAAAATAACGAGGCTCATCAAATACATGGTAGAAATGACCTCTAACACCTTCACCACGTAAAAGTTGAGGCATCCGAAGATTTTCGGGAACTTCAGATTCATCAATGAAGTGATTTCCATATAAGAAATCAATGTCATACTGATTCTTTTCTTCATCACTCAATAATTTGAACTTGGCAACTTGTAACTCAGTATCTGTAATAGTACTTCTAGAGATTCTGGCATAAGCCACCTTCTTTAAGTCTCTGAATAAAATATATTCACACCATCTATCCCAATCAGTACTATCAATATCCCATACGTTGGAATTCTCACTAACATAAGTGTTATAGTTACCTTGGCCAGGTTCTGTGACTAAATAGCTTAATAAGACCAAAGGATTTGTGGATTTACCCATGATATCACTTATTCCTAAACTTTGTAAACGACGATCTTCAACGTCTTCTTCTTGGCCCAGGTGGAAAACAACAATGTCAACTTCTTGACCATAAATATCCAAAGTTGCGTGAATGGCAGGAGCCAATTCTCCAACTGGTGATGGTAAAAGATGATGTTCAGATTTAAGAATTGGGAACTTAGAAAGAAGTGCTGCTCCCCATGTATGCTTATTAGGACCTGGTCCATAATCAACATACATTCCCAAATCTTCAGCGATTTTTTGGGTAAAGTCTCTGTTACCGCCAATTAATCTTTGGGTATCAGACTCCAATAAGCCAATAACATCTACTTGTGCATCACGAATAAGGTCGAGCATTCTCGTTTCACTTGACCACATATCATTGTCAAGACCAAAGTGAATACACCAAATACCGGCGGTAAAAGACCCTGAACCATCATTATAGGGAGTGGGTGTACCAATAGGATATCTCTTGACATATCCAGTAATAGAAAGAGCAAGAAGTGTAGTGAGAACAGCCAAAGCTTGCTTGAAAGTCTTTGTTGTTTCAAAGCTGAACCTCACAATTTTTGATTCTTTTGCCTTTAAGGTATAATTTAAAACTCCAAATTGTATACAAGTGAAGGAAAATAACAAAATAAGATCGGTTCTTTCACGTAAGAGGGGTCCACCAGGAACAAAGGCATAAGCCACAATCCAAACACTTGCTAAAGCCAAAACTGTCTCGAAGAAGAATCCAAAGAAATACAATACACCAACATTGTGACCAATAACTGAATAAGCAATCAATCCACTAAGGGAAGATAAATAAAATGCATATACCAAAGCACCACAATAACCTGCCCAGTCGGGGAAAGAGTATAACGTAAAAGCACTACCACCACCAACAATGGCGTTATAGAACGTAGAAGAGAAGACATTTGGATGGATCCCAAGAGAAGCCAAAATACCAACTATCATAGCACCAAAGAATGGAAGTGAACCTGAAATGGGTGTTGGCCCATTGATAGGATAACCACTCCAAGTCCAACTAGCAAGAGTACCCGAGTCACTCAATAACGCATGTAAAGAAAAATAATATCCAGCAAACCCTAAGGCAGCAAACAAAAGAAAGCCATGCTTTGCTGCTGGAGAAGTATGACTTTCCGTCGTCTCATAAGTCATTGGAGTCAAAAAGGCAGATGTTAATCCGATTGCTAAGCCTACTTCGTTATAGCCACCGTTGGTTTCATTCATAATTGGCCAAATTGGATTATTTGAATAGTTCAAAAACTTGAAAGTAGAGGTAGCCAACAAACCAATAATAAAAGAAATATGATAAGAAATATACTTTGAAGTTGTAGGAAGCTTTGACCATGTATAGGACTCCGTTATGTAAGCCACTGTAGAAAAGAAAGTTCCAACTGACAAAATAAGTAATCTCAATTCAGGGTCTTCAACCTTATAAACTCCAACCCCGAGCAAGACACCAATAAAACGCGAAAGGAAAGGAACGTTAGTAAAGAATGCTCTTATAAAGGGAAGCACAACTAAAATTGGAGCAACAATTGTCACTCCAATAGCTGCTTCGTAACCAGATATACCCATATGCCATAAAGGAAAGTACCATACACACAACACTAATGCGGTCACATTTGTCCAAAACATGTAGGCATTGATGACATTGATAATAAATTCAAAACAAGTAAAGTCGTAGTTAAGCGAAACCACAGTGTTTTCCAAGAGTTTGCTTTCAATTGTTTCAATTGAAGTAGCCTTGTCATCCTTCGAAGGTTGAACTTTAGTGAAATGGAGTCCATTTCCACTAATACCAATTTCGATATTTTGTAAGCCAAGTATTGACCACCCATCGAATGAAACATCCAAAAGAATTAATGCCCATTCAAAATAGGCGTATACTGAATAAGCACCAGCAACAACATGAACCTTATGTTGAATGAACCAATAGACCAACGGAATCAACATCAAAAAGAATAACCAACCGGTGTAAAAACGACCCTTACGTTCACAAGAACCCTTGGGTGCACCTAAGGTTGTACAAATATCCCATGGAATTGTCAAAATAATATAACTGATCATAAAAATATCATGCCAATCATGGTCATCTGTTGATGTTATGTAGACCCAACCACCACAAGTAAGCGTTCTTAATAGTCCTGACACCAATGCAATATAAGGGACCACAGATTTAGGCTTATAAGCAGCTACAAAGTTGAAAAATAATAGTAAAAATCTAGGACCGGAACAAACAGCAATTAAAACTTGAAAAAGAGACCTTTCAGGGTACCTATCACCTATTGTAGCGGAAACACTGGGAAACCATTCATCAGGGTAACCAAAACTTGAATTGCGAACAATCTTTTCATAGTGAAGCCAACAACCCACAATCAAAGCTCCAACAAAAGGTGCAATTGCAAACACAGTATGAGCATAGCCTATGAAGCTAGCATTAACCGTTATCACAGGCTTTAAATTTGAACTGGATTCTGCCATATGTCAATTTGTCTCAAGTGATGTCACTTTCAAGGCGCAAATGAGTTATAATACTTCGATAAAATTGGCGGCGGAAATACAACGAACAAATACCACAAATGTAGTATACCACCACGTCTGTACTTGTGACTTATGGGACGAAGTGAATAAATCAATTGTCTAAAGTTAAACTTCGTTTTAGATATCCAAAGGTGGTCACTGATAGAATTGGAGAAGCAGTTGCACCACCCCAGCCCCGAGGTTATAAACAGGAAGCCAGCTTAGAACTTTGGAGATTGATTATTTTATGCGAGAACGGTAGCGCCAAATTGTTCTGGTTGAAGCAGAACTTATTGGTAGCACACCACTAGTTAGTCGGTAGTACGGTAGTACACCACATGGTTTGTTCCAGGATCGTATAGTAAGAAATATCCTGCACGAGATTGAGCCGTGAAGAAGCTGTGATATATATCTCACGATACAGGGGTGACAGCGTCGTGAATTTCCTCTTTAAGTGTTCTTAAAGGGGATGAGAGGGGACCTCTTATAGTGAAACATGTGGTTATATGTGGCAATATAATAGGTGAAACTGGGACAGCAGCAGCCCAATTAGATATTAGAGAAGGGTGTAGTACTAAAGGAAGGACATTTGAAACGAACAACAAAGAAGGAAAACAAGCAATTAGAAAATCTAGGCATCTTCAAGCGTATTGTGGATTTTCAGAACCCATAAAGAGACGTCTAATGAACAATAAGTAGTATTTCGTTGATTCGCAAAAAATAATACCAAATAAACTACAATTAAGTGAATTTGACACCACGCGACTGATAAGCTAGCAAATGTACAATTTGGTACAAGGATTGACCACATCCAGATAACCCTACAGTATTGAGAGGGGAATTCATGGAAAGTGTTGGTGAAATAAGGTGAAACAAAGACAGCATTATTTTTTAAACGGCTGTACCTGAAACCACACTGAGTGGTCAGTTCTTACGGTCATTCATTAAGTGATGCAAGCTGAACCAAAATAAGGGTGAGGCCATGTAATTACAAGGCTGGAATGGAAGCACAATGGATATCAAAATCGATAAGTTTCATTCCACAGATCTCATCGCGTAGACCACAAGTCTGGACTTCCCAATGCAGGTCACATTAAAATAGTGTGTACAATAGATAACCAGATCTGGTCAATTATAGAAGGAAGGGGTAAAGTCTTTGTTCTGGCGATCTATTGCTTGTTTGCCTTCTACGTCAGCCTACTTAATTCGGTACCAGTGATCTGCATGTCTCATCCCATCAAACCAATTGCTGCCCCGTGAGAATAGGTTTTTCAGTTCCAAATCTTTGGGGCTCTTCCTTATACCTTTTAACGTTTACTTCGACAATTATTATTTTGATATATACATTCTAAATTATAACCGATCTTTATCTACAATATACATATATATATTTACATATTTTTTATGTATATACGTATTGAAGAATAAATCCAATAGCGCTATTTTAGTTATCTACTTTCATCATTCTCAAAATGATACAACCACCACCTCCCCCTAATTACCTTCCTCAATATCCTCCTCCTCCTCCTCCTCCTCCTCCGTCTGCTATCAATTATCCAGTATTTCATCCTTCTGCAACCCTCCATACACCACCAGAGAAGATTGCCTTATTGACTCAAGAAATTTACCCCAAGATTCAGTGCAAACGCTATTCAACACTGGCTATAGACCCCCGACGCAATTTCTTGACAGTTTATGAGTACGAGATATGCGGCCACTGGGTTATTTGGGATTTTGAAACCGGCTACATCCATCTCACAGGTATATGGAAAGCTGCGTTGGAATCGCAAGCTAGGCTCGGAAATAATGGCTTACTAACGACTTTGGAGAGAGCTTCGGGAAGATTAAGAGCAGCAACTCCTTCTAGTTCCCGCATTAAGGCTGATATCTTTAAGTTGTTAGAGTCAACTCCAAAAGAGTATCAACCATTGATCAAACGCATTAGAGGAGGCTTCTTAAAGATTCAGGGTACTTGGTTACCTTATGAACTCTGTAAAGTTCTCTGCAGCAGGTTCTGCTGGAACATTCGCTTTGAATTGATCCCATTATTTGGTTCGGACTTTCCTTCAAGGTGTTTGAATCCTTCCTGCGAAGGCTATGGCGAACTTAGACTTGACATCAACAGATCATTATTGCCTCCACCTCCTCGATACCATGCATCACTTGATATGCCACCATGCAAATTACCTCAGTACTTCCATATGGTAAATTCTAAATCGTCTACTTGTCAAAGTAGTGCCAACCACCCTCATATGAATACCAAAGGGAATTTTAATATCTATTCATTTCAGGAAACGTCAATAACGCCTTCTTCACCCCTTTTATATGATACTAATGATCCACAAATTAATCAGCATTCATTCAATTCTATTCTTCCCAAGACTAAGAGTCCAAAGCAATCAAGGGTTGCAAAGAAGAGATCAAATAATAATGATAAAAAAGCTAAGAAGCCTCCTCCACCCACTACCTCATTGGTTACTTCACCATTGAAACCAAGGTTTACTCCCGTCAACAATAACTTCAATGGAGATATGCAATGGGACGCTTCTACGTTGTCGTCAAATGAGATAGTTGATATTTTGAATGCTTCAAGATGTTTGCAACTTCTTAGCAAGGGAATCTATGATTACACACCTTCTGTAGTCGAATCAGCAAGACACGGCTCTCTTGAAACAACTCCAAGTCAGTTCCACCCAAAGCAGATGACACAAGTATTAAAGGAGAATTACAATTTCAACTATTCAACAACTCCAGCTTACCTGGGAACATCACTTTTAACTCAAGCCAGTACTTGCACGGATCATTATATCCCTGCTACCCATAAGACAGAAGGTGTCAATAGGTCTTATAAAAGCAGTGTGTCCAATCCATTAATGGCAACTGAAACTAGACCTGTTTCAATGAACGAAAGTAAGTTAAAGCTGCATTCACGGAACTTGAGTATCAATGATCTTCTATCCTGATCCTATTAGCAGAGCTTGATGATTTATGTACTTCGACTCCTTTGGACATTTTGAAACAGCATTAGTTTCCGGTTATCTTTTATGGGGGACTCTGAACCCACATGTTGGCATTTGCGTTCTCATACTCTTCAACAAGCCTTTCATGGGTATAGTAGTATACGCTTGATCTTGTTTTCGATTTTTTTGGTTTAATCATATGCGTTTTTATGTATGCATTAGTTAAAGAAGGGCTTGTTGGCAACTCTTTGATTCGCCGTTGGGCTTATTACATATTTTCGTGGGCTGGACAGCATGAGGAATGTTGGCCTCTATTGGTTTTAGTCTGCTCTACTTGTTATTTTCTTCTTGCAGGCTTTTACGGTGAATGACTGTATTTAGTGATATAGTATATGATATGAATTTCAAACTCATTTGTGCAACTGGTAGCAATCGAAGTCAAACGTCAGCTTATAGTCAATGTTGTACTTTCTTATTCTGGGGTGCGATCTTTGGAAAATTGTTGTTGATAGTTTACTACCTAGTACACTTGTTCTTAACAACGACCCAGAGTACAATTAAAATCAAGTGGGGTTGTTATGGACTTCTTAGACTTTGAATCATCGTTCAAGGATGATGGAGATGCTATCCCACAGCCACCACAGCCAGCTTTGGCATTACCAATTTCCACTAATATGGAAAACTTAGGTAAAAGAATTACTAGTTTCAACAATATGACGCGGAACTTGTTAAAACTAGGAAATAATGAACAGGAAGAAGTTAATGGTGGAGAGAGCGATATAAGGGATCAAGATACGCTTGCTAAGAAGTATGCTCAAATGTCCATCAGCTTTCTTAAAGCTGAAGATGAATCTTCAACTCTGACTCAAGAAAAAGGACTTGGTGCGTCTCAGATAGAATCATCAACAACAAAAGATACGACAACCAAGACTAAGGAAAAGAGAGCACGCAGTAGTAGCATAGTAGAACAAACGCTTTCGGCAAGACTTTCTCGAGTGCTTAATACAACGGTTTCTGATTCTACTATTCGGACAATTTTCAGTGAATTGGAACTGAAATATGCCAATTATGATGAATTGATAGATCCTGGTTTACTTGGCTCAATTTCAAGAAAGAGATTACTTAGTGACATTGAAATGGATCTAATAAGAGCACATTCATCATCCATTAAAGAGTATCTGCCTTTGATAAAACAATTGAATGCATTATCAGGGAAGATCAAACAATTGAATGAAACCCATGAAAACATTGTTAGCAGATTGACGTCCAAATCAGATATTTCAACCAAATCATCATCAGATATATATAGATTGAAACATCAGAGACTCGTTATAAACTTGAAGAAGAATATTTTGATGCAATTTAAAGCCAAGTTTACTCTAAATGAATATGAAGAGTTTAGCCTTTTAGAAGGGGAAATCAATGATGACTTTTTTGTTGCACTAGCTAAAGCTGAAAAGATTCAAGATGAATGTTCAATTCTTTTATCAATCGATAACCCTCAATTAGGTCTTAAGATAATGAATCAAATCACAGATACTATCAACAAAGCAGTCAATCGAGTTATACAATACGTCAATAAATCATTGGAGAATTATTATTCGTTGAACACAAGACTTGAAATCTTCCACAAATGTTTGGCATATTTGGAAGATGATGATAAAGAAAAGTCAACAAATTTCAATGTGATAATTAATAATTTCACCAACACTCGAGCAAAGCAACTAGTTGATGAATTTTACAATCAAATATCTGACAATGGCCCAGATCTGATTCATGGAGGCGAAGCTTTCATTTCACAACATGATCCAGTTAGATTTGTTGGTGATTTACTTGCATATATTCATTCGGTAGTGGTCAATGAATTTGAAATAATTGAAAACATATTCACTGAAAAGGAAAGTAGTGAAGTTACTACCAAGATTTTAAATGCATTAGCCAAACCTTTAAAACTGAAAGTGGATCAAGTGATTACCAGCCAAACAAAAATAAATATCACCAATCAAATCTTCAATTTACTCAGCTTGTATCAAATCATGTTTAGTAAACATTTGAATCCTGAACAAAGTGAATTGGTTCAATGTTTAGGAGCAATGGTGAAATCTACACAGGATTCAGTAACAACGACAATAAGAAGTAAATTGGCAACCATCAAGAGTAGTAACCAGGCCAAACTTGATGTTAACCTTGATCTTCAACCTCCCTATTGGATAATGGAATTTTTGGCGGAAGTTTTACCAATTTTGGATCAACCAACAACCGCAGATACAATTCTTGATTTCAATAAAGAAGAAAACGCAAACTTTTTACATCTCATTATAAATGAACCTATTGAAATATTTGAGAGCCATATCCAAGAGAATTCCAAAGTTTTTGACAAGAAGCTGCAAATTTTAATTTTAAAAACAAATTTCTTAGATTTAATCCTTTCCAAGATTTTACCCTTGTCTTTATTGAATGACAAAGTTCTTGAATTGAATGAAAGCATGCATGATTTGATTTCACAACTATCACAATGCTTTTTCGATTCAATGGTATCAGAATCTGGCTTGTTTGACTATTACAATCTTGTGAATATGATTTGTCCATTAAACGATGAGTTCTTTGAAGTTTCGATTTATCAACCTATCGTGGAAAATGTCAAATTTGACAGCGAGCGATTAAATCAGTCTGGTATGGTTCTTCGAGAATACTTACCAAATGCGTTGATAGAAATACAATCCGCATTGCTCCGCTTGAATTCTCCGTTAACGGCATCAGATATCACAACTGAAGCATTCTTGAATTACACAAAGTTCTATAGTAAGTTGATTCAAATAATAGGTGAGTATGCACCTGAAGTTGATTTTGGTTGGACTGATGAGGAAGTTGCCACCATGCTTGGTATTGAGAAGGAATATGCTGAATACTTGGTCGGCCTACTGAAACCACATTTGCCAGAGTAAAACAAAAAAACAAAGGAACAATACATAAGTTAATAGTTATAATTATATTATGCATATATCATATAACCTCATGCTTTGGCACCTTCCCTCTACCATAACCTTCCTTGGCATAATAGTCCATGGGATAGTACTTGTCATTCCATTTGGTATCCTGTTCTACCATCACCATAGCTTCATATGGTGTAAGTAAAGGTTTACTGAAAGCATACCCCCAATCTATAGACAATCTCGGACATGCTACTTGCACAAATGCATCTATATCGTCAAACATTGCCAACTTTTGAGGGAATATCTCACTAAGAATGATCTTAACTACTTCTATTCCTCTAGTGGCAAATTGTGCCTCCAAATTTGCAACTGTTATGGGGTTCCCTTGACGTCCAAGAGCACCCAAAATAAGTCCAATCTTCTTTGCCTGAGATGCAGTGGCCACAGCATCAGATCTCACACGTACCAATTCCTTTTGGTCATAGTATTCACGAGTGAATTTACGGGAATATGGATCATATCGATAAGCAGGTATCTCTGGATTATGAATCATAGCTGACTCTAAATGGAAACGTCCATCTCCAATATAAACCATAGCATCATAAGACTCCTTATTTAAACGAGCAGATGTACAACCCAAAACTTCACCTTTAGATAATGGCATTGTCTGAGGAGGTGAAATATTGATAGGATGATCCAGGTCTATTTCCAACTTAGCTTTTACACTATGAATGGTAGGGTTGAATTGAATCACACCAAACATAGCAATATGTGCTTGCTTAGGAAAGTTCACCTTCATAGTGGCAAGCAAATGGCGTTCATCTATACTGATGGTGACAAACACATAAAGCACCTTAATTGAAGTGATATCCACAGGGACAAGACATGAATGGGCATAATGGACAATGAAATCACAATCTAACTTCCTAGCAGTATAGTCATCTATACAGCATGCTCCATATGATATATCTCCCATAACCACAGTTTCAACGTTACAAAACTCTTCTAAGATATCACTTATAACAAGGGCATAGATCAACAACCCTTCGGGCATTTGAAGAGCCACTCTTTTGGCATTATTCTTTCGAATGTTCCACACTGTCTTATGAATCTCAAAGTTGTAATTGGATGGGAGAAGTTTAATGGCATTATTGAGCTCAGTATCGTTAAGAATATCATCTGGAACCTGATTAATGGCTCTTCCTATCGTTCGGGGCGCTCTTGTCTTTCGCACTAAAGCTGTGGGATCATCTCTGTTAAGTGGCTTACCTACAAACCGACGACGTGGTTTTCCGGGTTTACTTCTTGAGCTGGAAGAACTAGAAGAATCTGCGGCAGAATCTTCTGCAGAATCTTCTGCAATATCTTTTGGTTTGGAATCAACCTCACCATCGTTTTGCATTGAATCAACTTCCGTGGTGTTGATCTTACCAATATCACGAACCACATCACCCGTATCATTTAAACCAATCTCCGTCTCTCTAGAAGCATCACTCAGCTTGGAGACATGATCCACGTTCTCATTTTGAATCGCCTTGTCGCTATTGTCATCTATTGTTGCTCCCATTATTGGTAATTGTGCTTTGCATTTCATTTCACAAGCCTTCTCAACGAATTTTTGTAGCTCATCTCATTATCACCAAATTTCGCGACCGATGCCTACTAGCAAGTATAACTGGTTACTACCGTTAAGTACAACATAGTATTACTACTTTAGGTGATGATTACTCCTAGTTTTACAATTACTCAGGATGATGAGTTTATATTTATTCGAGTGAAGATCTCCCATGTACGATTTTCAGCGAAGGCCATTGAAATGGCAGTCGATGACACTCGATTCGTCTTCAGTATGACACCATATTATTTGCGACTCAGATTACCATATGCATGTATTGATGATGAAAGAAGTAATGCTACATATGATGCTTCCAATGAAGTAGTTGCCATCAAACTTCCAAAAGCTGTTAAAGGACAACACTTTCCAGACTTGGACTTGTCTGCAAAGTTGCTTGCAAGAGCTCCACCACAAAAAACAGGACCTTTGATTGAAGAGATGCAGCCAAATACAACAGAGCCTACAAACGAAAGAACTAGTAATGATTCTACTGCTGTGCTAGCAGAAGAAGGTACAGCCTTCAACTGGGAAATTGAACAAGAAACACCATTAGAACTACTTGGTGAATCGAAAGAAGTTCAAGATAAATCCATTACTCTTGAACCTTCAAAGTACGGATTCTGTAACCAATACAGCGATATTGTTGGAGTTTCTGTGGCCAACGGAAATGATATTAACGACGTAAGTGATCCCGAGCATACTTCATTTAATGACCGTGTGAGTGAACGTATTTCCAAAGAGAATTGGAAATTTGATCCTGATAGTTACGTATCAGAATACCTACTGTCCAAATATCCATCTCCTGAGGATGGTGAGTATCTATACGCTCTGATAATGTCATGGAAGTCACCAGTAACTAAGACATTTCTCACATGGTATAAACTGGTACAACAAATTCCGATAGACAAAAGACCTCAAATAATGCCTGTTGAATTCACTAAGGAAGAACAAGATCGTATGCTTGATTTACCTCGTCGATCACTCTTGATTGAACCTAATAATCTACAATCAATATTACTAACTATTACTAGCATACTTTTCGCGTACCATTTTGAACAACGGGAGAATGAAGGCGACCATACAATTGAAAGTGCATGGACCATTGGTATTCTTACACCACAAATTGCAAGTCTTGAGAGTCAACTCATTGAAATGCCAAACAATTCCAATAAAAACCTACTTCAAGCTGCAATCGTCGCCTCCATTAGAAGGGCCCTCAGCTACCCACTTCATCGCAACTACGACCTATGTATGAAAGTGTGGGACGACGTTTACTATAATATCAGAGGAGGTAAAAGATCGATCCTCAAGTCACTTTTAGATATTCGTGAACTCTTCCGAGTCCACGATGTTCTTTACGTATATGATCGTATTTGGCTTCAAGACTTATGTCTCTTTATCATGAGTGACAGCGTTAGCGAAAATAACGTACGTGCACTCGCACACGATCTCAAGAAGCAATATTCTCAAATCACCAAGAATGACATCGTTTTCGAAAAGCTCCGACTCGAAGACCTGGATGAAGAAATGGATACTAATGAAGAGGCGGTTGAAATAAAAACGGGGTATGATGTGTGGAGTGTAGCTGAACTTGAACAATTGGCAGAAGCAAGCTATTCCGATATGCACAACAGCTAAAACGCAATGAAGGCTGGAGAATATGCAATATTCCTTAATTTGGTTTTCAGCCTATCAGAGTCCGTGATAGCTGGTTTTTGAACCTAACCAAAATTTCCCTTGCCCATCACAGAATTTGGCTTGCTACAATGCTCCAACATATTATTAACTACGTGACAATATATTGAGGTATACGTCTTAGTCTCTGTGTCGGGAATACCACTACAATTGAGTGAGTCTCGATTCGAATGGCTAAAAATAATCAGTCCATTGAAGTACCCCTGAACTTTTTCTCGTTAAAGAGTCAGCCTGCGTCAAACGAAAATACAACCCAATACAGAAAACTATTGTTAAAGTGCCTGTCTATCACCACTTTTGACTTTTTCGGGGAATATTGGTGAATTTGATGCCACTAATTGATTATGTTGCTTCGGCTATTATGACAGAGTTAAAGTTGCCTTAGTCATGTGATCTAATGTTCCTGGTTAAGGTATTATTATGTCTTGGGGGCAAACGAAGGATGTTTCATCGTCATCCTCTGAAAAGATAAAGCCAAAGGAACATCTGGAGAATTGGATTTTTTAGAAAAAATAGTACTCACTTCATTTGACTTTGGAAACCCGAAATCAATTGATAGAAATCCCATGAACATATAGTATCAAACATTATATTTATCTTTCAATGTATAGATCTGTTAAAAGGCCTGATGTCATCATTAATGACCCTGAACGTTCTGGTATAAGCGTGGAGCAAAGAGTGCCTATGATGAATGATTCCTATGGTAGACCACTTTCCAAAGCAACTCTAGCAACAGCACAAGCTCTTGAAGATGCCCGTTTTAACGGTCCAAATGATATGACATACAATCTTCAGCAACCTATGCAACAAGCTTCCTCAGCACCTCTTTCACCAGCCTCATCCGTTGTTCCTGCTGTTAGCTCCGGTTATAATTCCAATTATTATGATCCTACTTATCCACAAAATGTTGAACTCAGATATCACAGAGGCTTATGGGGTAGATTGCAACGTAAGTTTGGTACTGATAGATACAGAGTTCCATTTGTACAAACAGCCCCTTTGCAACCCGAAGTTGTTGTTCGTCCCGGAGGTTCTACATACTATAGAAGGTCATTCCAAGATCAAAGTGATTTTGCTTGGGTTTGGGTTGTTTTGATTCTTGTTGTTCTTTTACTTATTGTTAGCCGGCGTTGAACCCAATCTAGTTTTTCTTTATCGTCTTTGGCTATCCAAAGTGAAGCATCATCTTCTGTTTGGGCTATAAAGTTTCCCTCTTTGTTGTTAAAATCGGCCCAATGGAAACTCCCACAATCTTTATTTTGGTATGAATTCTCACAACTCCAGAAATATTTCCCTCTAGTTTGGACAGTTTTGAATGCCCTTCTTAAGACCATTGTAATATTACACTTGCATGCTGGAATATGCATAATAAATTCATCTGAATAGCACCTAAATGTTAAGTTTACTCTTTCTGAACCATATTTCGGGTGCAATTGTATAGCGTTTTTCATTGCATTAATAGAATGACGAAATTCTTCTTGACAACCTGGTTTCATTACCAAAAGACAATTATGTGGTAATTCAAGATAATATTGAATAGCGGCATCTTTTCCGTAGTTCTTCCTCATTCGAAACTGTCTCGTCGATCCCAACAGCAATGAGACCACATAGCAGTGTGGGCCAATATGAGTGAGCCTATCTGAGTGATAATCCAAATGACTTTGCATGTCTTTGTAGTAATTGATAACCGTATAGTGACTATCCCAAGGCTTTAGAGATTGGAACGGTAACCGTTTGTTTTTAGGTATGACTTCCTGGTTAAGAAACTTAGATATTAATGAAGAAGCTTCCTCCATATCATCGTTGTACATCGTACTTACTCTCTTCTTACCATTGTAAACCAATCTATCAAGAAACAGTTCATCAGGTGATCTTTTGGAATGGGCAACTAATGTGCTATGCAGAGATACACAATCATTATCAAATAAATGAAACTCTGCGGGCTTGGCACCCTTCTTGACTTCAGGTAGCATCAAATGATCGAGTACTCGTGATGCTAAATCATCAGGAAGAAAGCTCTTATACATTTCAACATAAGTTCCGAGATACTCTTGAACTTGTTGCGGGGTATATATTCTTATAGTCTTGGGATTATTTGTTTCCGGGATCAGTAGCGAATTTGTTGATAATATTGTTCTTGTTTTCTTCAACATTGGAGTTATGGAGGACTGATATTTGCTGTTCGCCTTCGCTGGGCTAGTGAAACCATTGACATTGGCACTAATAGTATCATTAATATTATCTGTGGAGGCAGTATAAGGTGTTTCTCTTTTAACGTCTTTATCATTCGATTCAATCTCTTGGTGTTTCCGTTTTTCGGTGGCACTATTGGCTCCTAACAAGAGCCTAGTCTTTTCCACTGACCCGCCACAACTTTGTAATAATTCCTCTAAAACTTTCTTATCATATAGTGGGTAGGAAGCCAATAGCATACGGACCTTAATACTCTCAGCCATACTGCTTTAGGGTAAGAGTCGCTAGAAACATCAGGTGAATTTCAATTTTGATCTCGATTGCTTTGTCATCAATGTTAGATCGCTATCTAAAGTTACATATTGTACCACGCTTAGAGTAAGATTTACGTCCCGAAAATTTCATTGGGACCACCAAACAAAAATAATACATTATACATGCTCATCTGGTTCGCGAACTAAACGGTAACAACCGCTTTTGTGGAAAACCAATATTAGAATTAAAAGGTGCTTAACATTTGATAATGCTTTGTTTTATCCGTTATCCTGTTCTTTGCCTCAGGTCTGGTTGAACAGGGCATTTCACACCATATAGTATCTTTATAAGATTATCCTCTCGAAAATAGTACCGCAAACAGGGAAGCATTAATAGCACAATTAATAAGTTAATTGTGGTTAAGAAAGGTTGAACGAAACATCACAACTCATATCTCATGACATCAGAAGCACCCAGAGCTTACTTCGCTGATCCGAAGGAACTGGTCAACTTAGAACCTTCAAGACAGGCAGATATGGAGTATCGCCCTAGTATGGACGTAAAAAGTGAATTCAGTGATGGTGCTTCAGGTTACCGTCGAGATTCTAACGAATGCACAGAGTTTTGCATTGACTGTTTTCTGTGTTTTGGAACGTTTGACGAATGTTGTCCCTCATCAGGTGAAGGTTGTCTCACTACGACAGCTACGCTTGTTGGAAACATATTGTTTGTGTGTTGTAAGAATATTCGTTAGAATGGCCTGTTACAACGGGAGGTTTTATAGAGATCGGTGCTATAAATGGTATGGTTCCACTTTGGGAGATTACAGATCGCATATAGGTATATATTGTCAAGGAGAATAGAGATATACTTACAAGTATTCACGATATTTCTTCTGTTACTGTAGATCGACTCTGATGACAATGTGGATTTCAAACCAATTGCAAAACCTTGGCTTTAGTTTGTACACCTACTATGTCGTCGAATTATTGGGCGATCCAAATTCAGATCCTGTTTCAAAATTCGCGCGATGTGGTGACAGGCATGCTTTTTTGGGTGCAAAATATCCTTTATTGGAACCCATATCAGTAGCGGTTAACCTTGTACCTTTGGTATCAATAGGTGTAATGGAATAAAAGAATATGGAGAAAGCATCTAATCATACACGACCTGTATTAAATAGGTCTAATTCCTCTACACAGTCTTATGAAAGGAGAAGAGCAGCGACTATTTCTGAATCGACTTACAACCAACCAGATTTTGAAGCAGATCCATCATGGTATTCGGAGGGAAGGTTTTCCTCTGTATTGATATCTAAAAAGCCATTAACAGAGGGAGGAGTTGAAGAGCAATTGCTTCTTGATGTTATGTCTACAGTTAGTGTTGCAGATAAAAATGTATCAGAACCAAGTACAAGAGTTGTTTCTGAAAGGATCCTAAGTCTAGATGAATCTGAATTCCCACAAAATACCCTTGAGATGGCAGATGCGGAGGCTATAATTACTGAATCAACTTTGGGAGCTCATACCTTGTCCCGCAGAGATTCCATATTCAGAGAGACTATCCCCTCTGGCAAATCAGAGATATCCAAACATATGTTGGAGTTCCCTACAAGGAACAGCAAAAGAAATTGGATTATGAGAAGTTTAACACCCTGCAATACAATTTTGATGGTGGTTATTCTTTTGTTAATTATAATATTTGTGCCTATTACCGTTTCTTTCTCTGTTGGGAAGGAAAGCAAAATTATTTCTTACTTTCGAAGTGGGGATAGAACAGCTCTCTTAGAAAAGTTAAACAGTGAATATGGATGGCAGAAGAAACAGAGTCCCCTTTTGAAAAGCACATTAGCTCCCCGACCACAGCCTGGTCGAACTGGGGTCCAATGGAGCTATGAGAATGGACTAACTCGTACTTCACAAAAGGAGGGAGGAAATCTTGGAGTCAAAAACTCTTTTGAAGGAATCAATGTTGAGTTCAAGGAAGATAATGAAATCAAAAAGTTAATGAACCTGCCAAAGGTTAATGGACCCATATTTTATGGTGTGGCATATTCTCCTATGAACGGTATGGAACCTCAATGTGGGTTTACAAAACGAGATGCGCAGTTGGATTTGGCTTTGGTATCAACAGTGACAAACAGAATACGGAATTATGGAATGCAATGTCTACAAACAAGACATATTCTTGATGCTATTACATCCCTTGGTTTGAACTTGACCTTATCAATGGGAGTTTGGATTGGTTCTGACAGTCAAATAAACGACAACCAGATGAATGAAATGAAGTATATCCTTCAAAACTACCCCAGGAGGGTATTTGAAAGTGTCTTCATTGGGAACGAGGCCTTATTCCGGCAAGACCAAACCACCTCGAGTCTCGTAAACTACATTAACGATGCCAAAGAGTTTGCTAAAAGCCTTGGGTATGGAGACTTAAAAATTGGAACTTCTGAAATTGGTTCATTGGTGAATGACGAGCTTCTCCAGGCATGCGATATCATAGGTACAAACATCCATCCATTTTTTGGTGGGGATGTGGTTGAGCATGGCGCTGATTGGACTTTGGATTTCATAAAGTATCAAGTAGAGCCTAAGAATAAATTTGGAACTGAAATAGTTGTCACTGAGGTAGGGTGGCCATATAAAGGTGGTTCCCATAAATCTTCCATTGCGAGTGGAAGAAACTTTGAGTACTTTCTACAAGATTGGTGTTGTAAGGCATATGAGAGCGATTATGCATGGTATTATTTTGAGGCGTTTGACGAGGAATGGAAGCGAATATTCCATGAAGATAACAATAAGTGGGAAACTGAATGGGGTGTATTTCATTCCGATAGAAGCATGAAACTCAGCAACTTACAACCATATTGCAACTATAACGAACTTTCAGTACCATCCTAATAGTCAACATCATATTCTTAAGGTGTACATACAAACTGCTCCGGTGGAGCTACTAGAGGAAACTATGGTGTGCTCCCATCTGTTCATCAGTCCGTAAAGAACCCAGAATTGGGCCGAATGTGGTAGGCCAATGAGCGACACAGGCTCACATCCAAACATGATCCCGCCAAAGAGAACACCGCTTTGAATACCATGTCTAGACCACCCCATACTGTGTATGTGTATCAGATCAATAGGCTATTTAAAAGAGATAAATATAGTGTGCTTTTCAGAGTATAAATAGTGCTAATTGACCACCACTACGTATAGATTTATTGCAGCACTTACAATCTTGAATGACAGTACAAATGGAATATGACTAGTCACATCACAGAACAGTGGAGCATTGATACTTAGCACTACTGAAGTACGGTATACCATTGTCTGTCATGCAAAGTGTATCGTATATTATTGGGAAATTATCTTGTAAGCTGAGTATGCTATATGCAGTAATATCTGCTATCAAATGAAAACTTCAGGGTGCAAAAAAAAGGAGAATATTTGTATGTAAAAGCGAGAAATCTTTTGAATTCAGGTACGGAAGAAAAATAAGTGTGAGGAAAGCTATAGTATACAAAACCTTTGCAAAAGTGAGAAAAGGGCCTGGAGGAACTTCATGCGATAATACTCTAGTAGAACTTTTCTCCAGTAATTAATTTAAGTATTTCTTGTCGCACTAAGCAAGATTATCGATTAACATATAAAACTTACCTCTCACATTCTTCACTATTTGAAATATATTTATTGATAATAATATTATAAATGAATTCAGTTATCCAAATACACAAACTGTGTTTGTACGGTGATGTTAAATTATTTGAAAAATTAACTTTAAATCTTAATTTACATAATTTGCGGTTAAATATGAGGATACCATGAAATATTTTCTTTATAAGGGAGCTTATATTAATAAGTATTTTTTTGATATTATAACAAGATTTGATAAGATTAATGATCTCGATTTTTCAGTTTATAGAAATTTATATAGTGTTTATTATGAAGAATCTAAATATTTATTTTATAATATTTGTAGAATAAAATTTGATTTTTTCCAAATATGTGACATAGATGATGTATTTTTTAATGGATATGTTGATTGTTTTGATATTTCAGTTTTTGAAGAAGACGAAGATGCAGAAGAAGATGTATATGGTAAAATGATAGATGCTTATGGTATTATATATTTTGATAAATACTTTTTTAATTTATTTTTGGAAAATAAATATACTAGTAATTTTAATTATAGTTATACCCCTCATGATATTTTACGTAATACTGATCTAGCAATGTATCTTTATTCTAGAAACGAACATGTCGATTTATGTTTATCTAGATTTCTTCTTGTAGATTTCGAAAGAGCTTGTAAATTAATTAATAAAAATACATTTTTTACATTCTTTTCTTTCACACCTAAAATAGGAGAAGATCCAGAACAGGAAGGCATTGATATTGATTTAACCTTATTAGATTATAAACAAGTAATGTTAATACATTATTATATTCTTCTTTATAATCAAACCATAGTAGGAACAATTAAAACTGAATTTCTTGAACAATTCGATTTTGTAGAATATAATATTTTAAGTTTACTTAAATTTTTAAATAATAAATATTTAAATTTTTATTTCGATAAACTTTTAAAGAATCGTAAAATCGATAAATTATTTGATATTACTAGTAAAAAATATATGTACGAGGAAATGAGCGAAGTTAAAGCTATTTCAGAATATGAATATAAATGTCTAATTTATAATTCTTAGACTCTACATAAAGGAGGTGGAGTTCTTTTAATATTATCTAAATAATATGTATTTTGCATAAACTTTAGATGACCAAATGTTTGTGGCAATTTAATTTTAGTTAAATTAAATAAAATTACAGAATATATTGGTAAATATGATTTATCTATATCTTTTTCAAGAGCAACAATTTTATTACGTCCATTAGCATTTAATTCTTTAGTACCGAAATCCAGAGATGTTAATGAATGCATGAAATATATAGATATAAAGATATTGAAAATATAGAAAATGAAAAAATAAAAAAATTACATAAAGCTCAAGAATTATTAAATTTTTGAAATTAGATAAATAAAACAATCTTAAAAATGAAAAAAATAGCACTATTTACTACCGATAAAAATTATGAAATCAAAAATTATATTAGAGAAAAATATATAGTATATATATTCATAGTAAAGCTGCATGATGAAATTGAAAAGTTAATTCCATTATTAGATGTAGATGAATATTTAATTGAACCAGAAATAAATCATTTACTAGAAAAATTACGCATATAAAAATTCAAATGTGAATAATGAAAGCAGATTTATGCTTATGCTATACTACACAACTATCTAATATTTCCACCGAATCATTTTATATTAAAAATGCAAAATTATATACTGATAACCAAAAGTTTATGTACTAAATTTTTTCATGTAAAAATCATCCTGAAATCGACAGAATCATCCATTTTGAAACTTCATCTCGCAAATGCCCCCTAATTCTCCGTTTTCCTCAAAAAAAAAGTAACCTAAATATAACCCTTTTCACATTTATCTAAACAATTAAAATGTGTGCCTCCGTTATATGTGAATAATATAAATCACCAGGAATAGCTTTATATACAAAAATAAAGTAAAATTAACAGCTTTAGACATAAATCTATATTAAGAACTAAAAGATGTTAATGAATGCATGAAATATATAGAATATATAACTAATATTGAATATGAAGATATCGAAAATATAGAAAATGAAAAAATAAAAAAATTACGTAAAGCAAACTTATCTTATGATTTCGATGAAGAATGATAAAATATAGTCTCTAGAATATAATACCCTACGTTTAGTTAAATTTTTTAATAAATATTATTTAAGTAGAAATTTTGATAAACTTTTAAAGACTCGTAAAATTGGTAAATTATTTGATATTCCTAATAAAAACTATATGTATGAGGAAATGAGCGAAATTAAAGCTATTTCAGAATATGAATATAGTGTTTAATCTATAATGCTTAAGCCTTACATATAGAAAGTGGAGTTCTTTCAATATTATCTAAATAATATATGTTTTTATAATTTTTAATAAATCTGTTTTACCAGTAAATTCTTTTGTTTCATTTAATTTATCTATATTTGTTTCAGTAGTAATTTGTAATCCTTTGTAATGTATATTTTTATTATTTTTTAAATATAGAGCATTTACGTTTAATAATCAATATTATCAAGCTTAATTCACACTATGGCGTTAGTAGGGTACAACTTCTATTAACTGTTGTAATTAAGGGAAAAAAAATATTGTGGTGAACGATGTTTGGATATAAGCCCGACGCGGGGGTCGAACCCGCAACCTTTTGATTGCCATGAAAAGTAACTAATATGAAGCAATAGTTGATAAAAAATCAAATAAACATGCTTCTTTCAGTTCAAAACGTAAGCTCTATACAACAACCATAACCAGAAAATTCCAAAGTATGCGAAGGAAATTGTTGTGTTCAATATGAGCCATAAATCAGGATACCTGGCTGGAGGTGCTAAAAATTGATCACTAATATGGTATGTTAGCATTGCAACATAAGATGATACGATGATCAATTTCCAAAATAAAGAATCCTTCGGTATCATTAAAGTATTCTTTTTAACATTGAGTGCACCCATGATCCAATTGGAAACAAGAAGACAAGTGAAATATTGCAAAACAAGATTATCTTTCTTCAAAAGTGGGTACATGCTGAATGAAGTCACATTGATGATCCATTGAATAAGCACCAAGTCAAAACGATCTCTTGTCAATGCAAGTAATAATGTTGGCATTAAGGGTACCAAAACGGATTTTTCATGGACCTGGAATGAAAATAAAAAGAACCCCCATGAGGTAATAGCGAACCCTAAAAGAAGAATAACAATTCTATGAGTGGAGTTCTTAGTGAATTTCTTATTCATCAATAACTTCCATGCAATCAACAAATTTGGTGGAATAATGGAAGCAAGAGTTAGCAAAAGCAGCAAACGAGTTAATTGAGGTAATGTGAATAGTTCACGATACTTAATAACAAGATTTGTAGTACACCAAAAGTTAGCCACCTTATCTTCAAACAAACCTCTTTGGAATGGGAAAACTCTGATAACGATTTGGCGTAATATATCAAAGGTAAATCCATTCTCAAAAGATATCCAAATAAATGGCAACAATAATACAACTTGAGTAAGTAAGACAGCTATTCCCACCAGAAAGACTTTTGCAAAGTTGAATGACCGAATCAATTGCCTGTATGATTTTGAAACATCATAGTAATTGTAAAACATGTTGGCTAAAATATATGTAAAAATGAATGGTGCATAGTATAATGCCATTTGTTTAAAGTTTATGGCTAGAACAAACCAGATTGAAGCCAAAATATAGTTTTCTCTGATTAACTCAGCTACTGCAAAAAGAAATAAACCAAGCATAACTGAATTATATTGAAAATGACCATTATCAATAAGAATCAAACCTGGTTGACATAAAAAAGCAGCAGTAAATACAATATGGTCAATTCTATTCATGTTAAAACGCTTTCCTATCAAAGATAAAACATGTATCAAAGCAGGTCCATAAACAATGAAATCACTTATTATGACCAGAAATCTCATAAAGTATTTAATTCCTGGATTTTCAATACCTCTTGAATCATTTAAAGCAAACCAAGACCAATTAAGAAACAATCCCAACTTACCAAAGATATACGAATGGTATGCAGTTAAAGGAGGATAATCTAGTCCCCAATACTCTAAATCAAAAAAATACCATTGACTAACAGGTAGATGATTAGTGATCTCCATCCAATGACGCTGAGCTTCAAAATCTCCATGAATTGGAAGTTGACCTTCTCCCAGATACGAGCCTAACCCAACAGCACTTTTCAATATTATTGTACTAAAAATAAGAATATATCTTGCAGCCCATTGGTCTGGAGCTCTGTCAAAGTATTTGAGTAAATCATAGATTGGTGCATCTTGAAAGACATGCAAGTTACCTTTTCGAGATTTGTTCAAAACTGCTTTCTTTGACTTCTTAGATGAAGAAGGCTTAGCTCCTCCAGCTGCTGCCATTATAGTTGTCTGAAATACCTATTGTGGGTGGTGAGTATAATGTCGTATATGTTGCTTACTCGGATTATAACTGTTAAATCAGACCAGCCTAGTGCATTTTAAAATACGGTAGCGCGGGTTTGAAGATATTGAAAGTTATGTCTTCATGAAGAATATAGAGCTATGTACAATATCATGTATGTTCTAAAATCCTATAAAATGGGCTTAAAGGACCAAATATAGGTATAAAGTAATTTAATTTATTTGTTACCTAAAAATAGGTTTTTTGTGGTGTATTTGCATTTATGTCAATCATTAGTGAATAAATACAAATTTGCGAAGAAGCATTTGATTTCCAACAAAAGTTGTTATTTTACTCAGCATCTTAGCAAATAATAAATGAAAACTAATTCGTCCCTTTGTAAGTTAGGTTAATTATAAATTCAATTTCATATATATAAGTAGACGATTCAATTGTAATTATCTAATATCATTGAGGTATCAGACCCTTCCGATCTCTACGCATAGTTGTAGTGTTTTGATGACACACGACATAAGAAAAATAATATTTAGTGGTTGAAAACTTTAAACAAAATTAATAACAAGAAACGGGCGTGTGGCGTAGTTGGTAGCGCGCTTGCCTTGCAAGCAAGAGGTCACTGGTTCGATTCCTGTCTCGTCCATTTATTTTTTTTTGTGATTTGTTCCGCACAATCGCGTTAGTGATGTTATCAAAGTAAACATTAAACAATAATTGATATAACTACGGAAAAGACATACATTAATATACCTTTCTCCTTTTTTTACATCTTAATTTCATTGACTCAACTAGCGTTTTGTATTTCTTTATTTAAATAGATTTGAATGCCAGGGTATGTGCTTCCATTTTTCTTATGCTTCTTTTCGAACGTGAATGATGTATACTAACCTTGAATATCTAGTGAGACTGTTACCCTTCAAATAGGGCAATGCGGTAACCAAGTTGGACTTCAGTATTGGAGTAGACTTGCGTTAGAACACGGATTACAAGCCGATGGAACTACCCAACCATACCCTATTAGTGAGGTAGAGAACCACTTAAACGATCCCAGTACAGGGTATAGGCCCAAACGAAGTGAACGAGATGACCGCTTGGATTTATTTTTCAATTTAACCGAATCAAATAAGTATACACCCAGGGCAATTCTAGTTGATCTAGAGCCTTCTGTGGTATCTAAAGCCACAGCGGAATTACCTATGTTTAATATGCGAAATAGACATTTGTGTGAAAATGGAGCAGGTGCTGGGAATAACTGGAAACACGGATATGAATATGGTTTAAATCACCAAGAAGAGCTCATAGACATAATCGATCGAGAAGTTGATAAATGTGACAATTTGGGAAATTTTCAGTTGATACACAGTATTGCAGGAGGTACTGGAAGTGGTGTTGGATCTTTACTCCTAGAGTTATTAAATGATCGATATGGTGAAAAAAGCTTAATCAACACGTTCCTGGTATTTCCATCAAATGAAAAAGCAAGTGATGTGGTGGTACAACCTTATAACACAGTTTTAACCTTGAAACGTTTAACTGAATTCAGTAATGGTACGTTTGTTTTTGATAATGATGCTTTAAATGCCATTGAAGAAACTTCACTTAATTATGATCGAAATCGACGTTTCACCAGCAAGAGCACTGCTTATGCCGAGGCAAATAAACTAATAGCATTGGCACTGGCAAGTATCTCTAATCCCATAAGATTTCCATCATATATGTATAGTTCAATGGAGTCTATTTTGCTGTCATTAGTTCCTACGAATCAGTTGAAGTTTATTCTGACAGCTGTGGTTCCTCATAAATTAAACGAGCAAGATATAATATTGGAATCCATTAATAACAGGTATAAATTAAATACGGTTACCGGGCCAGTGAAGTACATAACAATGTTGAACTATGTGATAGGAAATAATGTCAATCAGATGGAATTAAAGAAGGGGCTTATGAGAATTAATCAAAAAGTGGATTTTGTTCCTTGGTGTCCAAGATCAATAAACTTAGTTATGGGTAAGAAGTCACCTTATATCCGAGAGAGAACATCGGCAGGCCTTCAAGCATCAAACAATACAAGTATTATACATGTTCTCAATAAGACATTAAACCATTATGACAGACTTGCTAAAAGAGAAGCTTATATCAATTATTATACTGACTCTAATAATAGAGAGGAAATTTCCCGTGTCATGGATTGGTTTAATGAATGTCGTGAAGAGGTCCAAAAAGTAATAGATGAATATAAACAAGCTCAAGATATTAGTTATTTAGATGAGGTCGAAGACTACGGTGATGATGTTTTAGATATGGAGGAAGATGCTCAGTTTGAAGATGACCCAAGCCAACTTCTTGGACTATAGTTTAATGATTATGAGCTCAACTCAAACTTAAACAAATTCTTTGAGCGGCCCTATAGCGGCCCTCTGTCAAATGAAATTACTCATGATACTAAAATATACCTGATCGTTGGGAACTTGGGACGATTATATCCCCAAAGCAAAACTCGTTTTGTGATGATAGGCTTCTTTCGTCCCAACTTAGTTAAAACCGCAACCTGTAAAGTAACTATCAGATAACAAAGGTTTCGGTGACAAGATTCCGAACGTCACTTATCGTATGGTATGTTCGTGCCGCACCTTAATTCTAAAGGCCGCTTCATAACTCCACCGTTATCTTTTTTTGTTGTATCATGTGCGGATTTAAAAGATATAAATGGCTCAACTAACTGATTCATGACTAGTTTTGCCCAAGTAAAAGCTGAAAAAGTTGTGAACGGTCTTGAACTTAGGAGTTCTACTAAGGGGTATACATCGTTACTTAGAACTTGCTATTTGAATTGTTTGCAAATGCTTTAATCCGAAAGCTATGTATATTCAGGGAGTGCTTCCTGTAGACAACTACAGGTACGCCCGATTTGGCAATTATGCGGCCGCCCCCGATTAGAGGAATAGGGAAGTCCACCACAATGAGGGGAGATAAGAATATAATAAGCTTGAGAAAAAACCATAAAATCGTGGCTCTCTGATGGTTTTAAGATTGCCCCTGAAGTAGGTGGTGTGAATAAACACCGAAAGTATAAAAAGCAGAATAAATACTGCCTTTCTTCTGTCATAATTGTAGATCTTTTCTTTTCAAATCTAAATATCAGCTAAACATATTGGAGGAAAATGACTGCAGACTTTGAATTATCTCATTTGATCTCAAAGAGAGCGGCTTCAAGACAAACGTCTCATTTTAGTAGGGGTCCTCCACCAAAGGACACTCCTCCAGGATTCAAAGCAGCAGAGAAGTTCATCCCATTACATTGGGGAACTCCTAATGAAGGTTTCTTTCCCATTGAGTCAATTGATGTCAATGTTGTAGACCACCCTTTCCAAGCAAGTTTAGGAAATAGTTTAACTAATGCATCACTTGAAGCTTTATCAATTTCTGGTCAAGATTCAAAAAATCAAAACTATACAAAGGTTTCCATTAAAAAACACTCATCTGATCCCGATGCTTTGGATTTGGCCCATGGATTGCAGTATAGCGAAGTTAAGGGGACTCCTGAATTGCTTAAGTTCACAAGGGAGTTTATCACTAGGACTCATAAGCCAAATTATGAAGAGTGGGACACTATTACCTCCAACGGGGCTGGCGAAGGTTTGAACAAGGTTGTTGAGGCGATTTTAGACCCCGGAGATGTTGTTTTAGTTGAGGAGTTTACTTTCACACCCTTTTTACAAAACATCCGGAATGTTGGTGGAGTCCCTGTACCAATCAAATTAAACTTGTCCCACGATAGCGAAGGTCTTGACATAGAGTATCTTACTGATTTGTTAGAAAACTGGGAAGAATTAAAGCCAGGATTGAGCAAACCCAAAGCATTGTACACCATTCCGACTGGGCAGAACCCTACTGGATTAACTCAATCCATTGGCTTGAGAAGGAAAGTATATGCTTTGGCAGAAAAGTACGATTTTTTTATTATTGAGGACGATCCTTACGGATACTTGACTTTGCCTTCTTTCCAAAAGCCAAGCTCAACAATTAAATTAGACAATTATCTTACTGTTGAAGAATATTTGAAAGATCATTTAACCCCTTCATATTTGACTATTGACAGTAAGGGAAGCGTTATTCGTGTTGAGACCTTTTCCAAGCTTTTCGCGCCAGGATTAAGATTAGGATTCATCGTTGCTCATGAGCGGATTATTGAAGTTATGACCAAATACAGTGAGATTGTTGTTCGGTCGTCATCAGGAACGTCTCAAACCATATTAACTAATGTCATTAAGCATGCATTTGGTGGTGTTGATGGCTGGTTGAATTGGATTCTTAAAATGCGGGCAACCTATTCTCACCGTAAAGATATCCTTCTTAATACCATCTATGAGTCTAAGGCATACAAATCAGGTTACATTGACGTCATCGACCCTCATGCTGGGATGTTTGCGTCTGTTATTATCAACTTCCCTTCTGGAACAGATATTGAAGCCAAGATTAAATTGTTGATCTTCAAGTTTTTACATTATGGTGTGGGTGTTGTTCCAGGTATCAACATGGCAGCAGATAAGGAGTTCAGCAAAGAGAGAGGAGCCTTTTTCCGTATCACATATGCACCTGCACCCAATGACCAAGTTTTAACTGAAGGTGGCGAGCTTATGATGAAAGCCATTGTTGATTTCTTTGAAAAGGACTTTGAGTTCTAAAGCCAATCATACAAGCAGCATACTAAGAGACTGCAGTAAAAGCAACAATGAAATAACTTTTAATATTCATTACCAATTACTGTAAATGAATTGCATGTACTGACAATGTTTTGCTAGATTAAATTTAAAGTTAAATAAATACAATTATAACATCAGTAACTTGAATCTGCATGTGTGTAGGTATCTAATGGAATTGAGGTTGCAAAAAGACGGACGAGGGACCAGATGAGGCTTGGTCCTATCTTGTGCGAGTCAGATGTGATCTATTTGGGTGGCATAATCACGTGACAAATCCAAGGATAAAATTGGTCTGTTTTGCTAATCTTCAAATTTAACAGACTATATAAGTAAGTTGACCACTCAATTAAAGTTTATTACAAGTAATATCAATCTATAAGATACAGAGTAGCTGAAATGTCTTTCAATTTTGCTAATTTGACAAAAGATCTCAAGAGTTTTGGGGAAAAGATCAGTACTGACTTTGGACTGGAAATTGTCCCCTTCGCCCAAAGAACCACTCGTTTGGTTCAGGAAAAGATGGGAAACGTTTCTGCTAGTGAAATCAGTCAGTTACCTACAGAATATTTGGAATTAGCCCAAAAATGTAACAATCTTGATAAGTTGTACAAGAATGTCCTTAAAGTTACTCTGAATTATGGAAATGAAAGTTACGATTACCCAACCAATTTACAAGAACAAATGAATGAGTTGAGTAAGAATATTACTGTTAAAGCAAAGAATTTGAGTAAAGCTACCACTCCAGCTGAAGCTCAAGCAGCCATTGTAAATGATTCTGGTATCAAGCCTCCAAAAACTTTTTACCATGCTTTGTCGAGGGCCACTGATCCAGCCATTTTAGATGAAAACGTGCATTCTCCATTACCTACTGATGATCCATTTATTAAGGGTATCAAGGGTTATTCTGATACCATAAAGAAGATTGCAAATGCAAGATTAGGTCAAGATCAATTGATTGTTGATAAATTTAACAAACCATTACTGGCTACTTTAAGACAATCAATTCAACAAAGCAATGCAATTCAAAAAAGAGTAGAGCAAAAAAGAATTGATTATGATTTGGCTAGACTTGCCTTGTCATCATGTAACAACAGTACCAAGGAACCAGCATTGAGAGTTGCCATGGAAAATGCAGAAGACGAATTTGCTGCTACTGTGGAAGATGCTATTAACGTGATGCAAAATGTATTGAATAATGCTAAGCCTTTACATGAATTATTGGAGTTGATAAAGGCCCAATTAGCATACCATAAATTAGCTACAGAATTGTTAGATGGAATGGTTACTGAAGTTGAATCATTAGCAGATGACGGTGCCTCAGGCAAGGACTCAAAGAGTAATGAGTTTTCCATTTAAGAGCTTTTGCTTTGTTGAGAAGAGCAAAACCAGCAGTTTTAAATACACTCTATTATATATGTATTAATTTGTGTTAAATTCTATGTATAAGTAATAACCATTTAGTTATTTTATTTATGTCCTTTGACCATATGTTGTTTGGCGGTCATTTAGGCCAATTTAAGTGCCTCTAATCTTGAATCAACTACTTCTTCTTGATCATAAGGAATTTCCAACAACTTGGCATGAATGGATTGTAAAGCTCTTATAGTGTCCTTAGCATCAATGACTGCACTGATATTGATTTCGTTAGCACCTTGTGAAATCATCTCTATATTTATCTTTTGATCTGCCAACACCTTAAACATATTTCCAGCAATACCAATGAAGTTCACCATTTGTTTCCCAACAAGAGAAACAATTGCCATATTTCTTGTGATGTCAACCAAACCCATTTTCTTCAACTCAAGTATTGCAGCCTTCAAATTATGTTCTTGTTCAGATCCAATCTGTAATGCCATGGAGACGTGAACTTCAGAAGTCAGGATCAAATCAACAACCAATTTGTATCTATCTAAAGTGATGAAAAGGTTGGCCAAAAAGCCATGACTCAATGTTTTCTTATTAGAGTGGACGTTAACAACAACAATGTCTTGCTTTGCTGTGATAGCAGTGGCTGATCTCTTCTTTCGTGAGGTCAAGTATTTCAATGGAATAGTTTCTAAGGCTGTAGGAGGATGTGGAGGAGTAGCTTCACCACGACGACCAATATTATCAGGATAGATGATGGTACCCTTACCAGTAGGGTTATCAACGTTTTTGATTCTAATTGGGATACGTGCTTTTATAACTTGTTCCATAGTGAAAGGATGAATAACTTCACTTCCGTAATAAGTTAATTCAGCTGCTTCTTCTGGAGTAACACTTTCTAATAATCTGGCATTTGGAACTTTACGTGGATCGGCAGTAAAAATACCATCAACTTCCTTCCATACTTGCAACTCTTCTGCTTGGGATCCCACAGCCACCAACGCAGCACACAAATCAGTGTATCCTCTACCTACGCCATTAAGCAAGCCACCTGGGACTGTACCAAAATAACCAGTGAAAACAGGCACAACATCATCATCCAAGGAAAGAACCTTCTTACCTAATTCTGTTGAAAGGAACTTATAAAAGGACTCATCAAGTCCCTTATCACCAAAATGATGATCTAAGGGAATGATATGAGACAAATCAATGTATTGAGCATTTAAACCCCGATCGTTCATCAAAGCAGCCATGAACAAACATGATAATTTTTCACCAATGGACATTACTGAATCCAATGATCTGGAACTGATTTCACCAATGATTTGACATGCATCCAACAATTGCTCTGCCTTGTTAAGTTCAGCATTGGTATCAGCAAGTAATTGGGTCTTGATCTGAGAATCTGTAATACGTTCTTCAGCATTAGAGACATGATCATCTCTAATCAACTTGATTACGTTATGGAAATCGGAGCCTTCACCTGCCAAATCAGCTGCATTCAAAAGTCTCAGAGTAGTACCTTCATTTTTAGTATATGATGAACGAGCTGAACAAACAACAGCGACTCTGTTTTCCTTTGAAAACACTTTAACAATCTTATCCACAATATTTTCAGGGAACTTTCCGACTGAGGTTCCACCAAACTTTTGCACCACCCAACCAGGGGAACGGATACCTTTCAAGTCGGTGACTGAGTTATAAGATGCTGCGGACAAAGCCGGCGAGGGAGCAGACATCTTTATTAATAGTAATAAATGAACTAGTAAGTAATAGGGAATGAAATTCCAACTAGGAACAAATGTCCAAAAGATTTAAATCACTACTTAGAAAAAGTACTCGAGAAAGAAAGTATAAAAGTTCAATACTCACCATATTTATTTAATTAAAGTGAAATTGTCTACATTATATCATGAATCATTATTGTTCATGAGTCATCGGGTTAGTGTAACAAATATCGAGAACGCACAAAAAAACTCAGGAAATGACCGAAATCTCAGTAGATTGGGCATTCTATTAGTTTACCAAACATGCAATACTGCTAAACTGGACTATCTGCCACCTACTACAGGCCTTAGTTTAGTAGTTTAGGTGGTACATTGGTTAATAGGCTTGGCTTTGTCGGGCCAGTACCCGAAACCGGTGTAGAAAAAATTTCATCTCCGGAATCAGGTGACGTATATGCAGGCATAACGGGTATTGTTATCCCACGTGACTTGATTTCTATTTATCTCGTAGGGGGTTCTTGAAGGAAGTTGTGGTATAAACTAACGGACCGAGGTCGTGCAACTGAGGAAGAAAGAAATAAGGTGTAGTGGGTGCAAAAACTTTTGCGACTGACTTTCCAACATTTGGTTTAATGTTAATATCCCCCACAAATCAAGTTTAAATGAGGTTGAAAACTCCTTGTGCATTGTTGGAATGAAATGAGGGACGATGTATGTCCGCTTGCGGTTAAAGAAAATGTAGAGTGCAAGATGAGTTAAGAGTTAGGACGAGTTGAAAGTGAAAAAGTTATTGAATTAAATAAGCTTAAGATCATATTCTAAATAAGCAGTTGTAGTATAATTCTGCCATCTGGTGATTCTAATGTATTTCTGACTAAATTGCACTACTGTTAAAGATGAGACGATCTGACAGTATGAGATGGCTTTGCGAATTTTATGCAGGTGCAAAGTTTTTATAAGGTGTTTGTCGGTAGCCATTATGAGAGCAACTAGTATTCCTTTTAAAACAAAATAAGTTGACAATGACTACTAAACGTAGCAGAGAATCTGCTGCTGAAGAAAACCAGAGAAAGCAGTTGGATACAAATTTCAATAAGCTGGAGATTTTGTCTTTCTTCAACAATGAAATCTTCAATGATGAATACAAAAATAAGCTAAAGGAATCAATTGCAACAAGTCAACCATATCACTGGGGTCATTTTACGAACTTGATGGATGATACTCTTCTCAGAAATGTACGCAAGGAAGTGCTCTCAGAAATCGCTTTCACAAAGAAGGAAACTGATATTTATAAGGTTTATCAATCAGGAGATCTTGCCAACTTAAGTGGGTTGGATTGGGACGATTTAAGTAGATTGCCCAGCGTATATAAGTTGAGAGCGGCCATATATTCTCAACAGTTCAGAGATCTTGTTTCTTACGTGACTGGATGTGGAAAGCTTCTGGGAGTCAAGACAGATATGTCTATCAATACTTACACCAATGGTTGCCACTTACTCACTCATGATGATGTTATAGGTTCACGTAGGGTTAGTTTCATTCTTTACATGCCAGACCCTAATCGTCAATGGAAACCATCCTATGGTGGAGGCTTAAGACTTTACCCCTCTATTGTCCCTAATGTTCCTCAAGCAGACCACAGTGCTAAATTCGTTCCACAGTTTAACGAAATGGCATTTTTCACCGTTCAACCTGGTCACTCATTCCATGATGTTGAAGAAGTCAGAGAAGATAGGCAACGTTTATCTATCCAAGGATGGTTTCACATTCCTCAGCCTGGCGAAGATGGGTTTATTGAAGGTGAACAAGAGGAGACAGAGGCAAGATCAACGCTACAACTGTTACAATCTAAAGAATTACAGGAGTATGATTTCCCCAAACCAGAAAGAATTGATACCAAACCAGAAGAATTAGAATTGTATCACCAATACGCTGAATCGTCAGATACGTTTTTAACAACAACGGAACAATCCTATTTATTGAAGTATTTGAATCCAATTTACTTAATTCCAGCCAACATACGAGCCTTAAGAAAAGAGTTTGAAGAGGAACAAGTTGTTGAAATTAAGAACCTTTTGCGGCCAGAATATGCTAATCTTCTTCAACAGGCTTTGCGCCATTCTGAATTAGAACAACATACACCCACAAACTCTACTGAAGTTAAAGCACCTTGGAAATGTGCTATCCCACCACATAAACAAAGATACATGTATATTGATGGTAAATCACAATTTGAATTGAATGAGGAAAGCATTGCCTTTATTAACCATATTGGACCACAAGAATATCCCAACTTCGATCTTGTACCTCAACCACAAGACACAGAGAAAATGCTTTGTGAAGTGGTAAAAGTCATCAAATCTGTTCTGTTTAAAAAATGGCTCATAAGTATAACAAGTTTAATACCCACTAGTGAGCAAGCTTTGGTAAGAAGATTTAGACCCGGCCACGATTTCATTCTTGCAACTCCAACAGATAAGAATTTAGCTAGGTCGGAGATGGAAGAGAATGTTCTTCTTGAGGCAACATTCAATTTAACGCCTACTGCAGTGAATCATAAAAATTGGGAGCATGGCGAATATGGTGGTTACGAATTGTGTCTTGCTCTTACAGGAGCAGACGGTGGTGAATTTGATCAAGACGATGATCCTGCGATTTACCGAGCCAATGATTCCAATGATGACTCTGTTTTATTTACCAGTCAATGTAAATGGAACAGTTTGACTCTTATGGTACGTGACCCTAGTGTGATGAAGTTCATTAAATACGTTAGTATCAATGCCAAGGGATCTCGCTGGGATATTAGTTGTCAATGGAATGTTGAATCCGCTGAAAAAGATAAAGAAGAGGAAGAAGACATTCAAGCAAAATAAAACATTACATAGCATCCATTTGTAACACGACTAAATATGTTAATGACATTCAGTATAGCACATCACAGTACTTTCTATACTCCACAGATCAACATTCTACAAATATGCTTCTATGATTTGACCACCCTTCATTAGGCAACATATGACATCTATTGTTCCATTTATCCGTATTTGAGTATGACACAATCAATACATCTGTGTATAACCTGGATCTCATGTCCTAATTCGGGCATTGAACATCGAACATCCCGAGGTGCGGGTAACTTGATCTGGTATCTGTTGTGGGAAGGAAAAAATCAGATGGAATTTTTCTACTAAACAAGTATACCCTAGGTAATAATTTGTCCAAGACTGTTTACGTATTCTTTATAATATATATAAGTATAGTACGATCTGACTTTGATCTATTGTGTTTAAATATTATTTAATACTTGCTCAACTGTTAATATTTAATTCGTCATGGCTTTTATCACAGAGGATGCCAACCCATTGGCAGTTTTTGGGACCATTGCCCTGATCATAGGGACATTTGTAGTGATCTACCTTGTTAAGTCACAGCAAAAGGCCAAGCCAATCTTAATTCCTGATGAGTTTCAAAAGTTCCCTCTTATTAAGAAGACAAGAGTCAGTCATAACTCAGCTGTCTACAGATTTGGTTTACCAAACTCTAGTGATAGATTGGGTTTACCAATTGGTCAACATATCTCACTTGGTGCTGTTATCGAAGGTAAGGAAGTTGTTAGATCATACACTCCTATTTCCACTGATGATGAATTGGGATATTTTGATCTTTTGATCAAGACTTATGAAAGTGGTAACATTTCTCGAGTTGTGGACAAGTTGGAAATTGGTGATACTATGGATGTTAGAGGACCAAAGGGTTTCTTCACTTATACCCCAAACATGGTTGAAAGTTTTGGTATGATTGCTGGTGGTACTGGTATTGCCCCTATGTACCAAGTTTTGACTGCTATTATGAGAAACCCTGCTGACAAAACCAAGGTTACTTTATTGTATGCTAATGTTTCTGAATCAGACATTTTGTTGAAGGATGAATTGGATCAAATGGCTAAGGACCATGCCGATCAATTCAAGGTTCACTACGTTTTGAACCAAGCTCCTGAAAACTGGAGTGGTTCTGTTGGTTTCGTTACTCCTGAATTAATTGATGAATACTTACCAAAAGCAAAGGAAGACTGTAACATTTTGTTATGTGGTCCTCCACCAATGATTTCAGCCATGAAGAAGTCTTGTGTTGGTTTAGGTTTCCCCAAGTGTAAGCCTGTCTCCAAATTGGGTGACAAAGTGTTTGTTTTCTAATCTTGATCACATCCGAATCAATGCATATAAATTTCATTATGTGCATATTTATTAACCAATTGTATACAATTTCTACGTCATGTGAAGAATTCCAATAGATTACTTATGTAACATTTGTTTACATTTGTTCGAGGAGATTCCTTTTTTGTAGAAATCATAAGTTGTTTTTTAGTTTACGATGTTTATACGAGACGTGGAATAACCGGCCATAAAATGAAATGAAGACCTTTAAAAATTAACTTATTACTGAAAATAAGACTAATGCAAATTATGCCATAACATTTCACACTTAAAAATATCTATTATTGATGGTACTAAATCCATTGACGTATACTGCAAGTATTCCAAAGGTACGTTTCTTCCCCACTATAGTATACGGCTAGGCAACTTCAGGGAAGCGCGCTACCAAATGTGGTTCTAAAAAATAGGAGTTTGAGAACCACTTCTATCTGCAGTACAATCGTTCCCGTTATCTCTCCTCCGATGTACCAGAGAAAACGATCATCCATTCTTGAATAGGAGATAACTTTTACACGTTGTCTTTGAAATATATACATATACATATATATATATGTTTATGCTTACGCTTATAAAAAGATTACCATAGGCTTTTTGAAAACCAACGTTTTGTTGCTGCATACAACTTTCGGAGATTGTTATAACTCCGTCTGGTAGTGATACATTATCGATACTAATTCCTGACTATAGTTGCTTCCGCACGTTCCAGCTATTTCACACTACGTCACAACTAAATTTACATATAATATCACGAAAGAATTGCAATTTAACTATAGTACTCTATCAAATACATTTAATGCGTTTATGAATTGATAGAAGATATTGTTTTTGTTGGATAAATATTTCTGACTACATTACCAAGATGTTTAGCACTAGTATTATGACTGGCACTACTCATGTTCTAACAGTATTGTTTGCATTGGCAAGTGTTGCTGAGGCAATACCGTCAAGTCCATTGGCTTTTGAACATGCTATGAAAGAGGCTCTGGCCCATGTTGATGGGCTATTAAAATCGCCACCCAATAATTTACGCAATCTCCCTCCAGTGATTGCAAATCCAACTACCAACCAAAGAACCATAAAGGATGGAGAAATCCCTCGCTATGTAATCGATTATGCACCTTTGGTTCATTTATACTCCGAAGAAAGATATCTCCCATATGATGTTAAGGAGTATGTTACAAATCTTCATGTTGAGTTTGAAAATGGAACTACAGTACCGGGAACAGAAAAGAATATGAACATCCGAAAGTTGGGAGATTTGGCTAAAGATTATCCCAATGAATTTCTTATAATGACATCAAACTCCAATTTTGATGCTGACCCAGAGTGGATTACTGGTGTTAAGAATAAACCCAGTTTGATAGATGGTGAAATAGAGAATGCACCTGCTACTTTGATCGTTGTAGATAAAGGTAATGGATGGGTTGATTCTTATTGGTTTTATTTTTATTCGTTTAATTTAGGCCCCTTTGTGATGGGAGCTGGTCCTTATGGAAATCATGTTGGAGATTGGGAGCATTCGTTAGTTCGATTCTATAAAGGTACCCCAGTGATTGTATGGATGTCTGCCCATGGGGGTGGTGGAGGATTTTACTATAAACACTTGGAAAAGTATGATTTAGACCCTAAACATCCTATAATATTTTCTGCAAGAGGTACCCATGCCAATTATCCCAGTGTGGGACAACATCCACATGATTTACCATACGAAATTTTATGTGATTTCACTGATAGAGGACCACTCTGGAATCCAACCAGAAACTATTTAGGTTACACCTATGATGGGGTAAAAGTTCACCCTAGTATCGGAAGAAATGCCAACCCTAAACATACAGGTAGAGAATGGCTGTATGGAGACTGGTTGTACTTTAGGGGAGCGTGGGGGGACCAAAAGTTACCATCATCAGATCCTCGTCAAAAGTACAATATCATTGGCGGTTATAAATACATTCTTGGACCAACTGGACCACTTCATAAGAACCTTGATCGGATAAAGCCTTGTGAGAGAACCAAATGGTGGAATTTCTGGGGTGGGTGTAATATAAGAACCAATATAAAGTGGGGAGTTGGAGTTGAAAGTGAAGGGAATAATTGTGGGAATATGTTCAATCATATACGACCACTTTGGCTTCGGAAAGTTATCAATACCGTTACTTGGGGAGGAGGATTTTGCTTTTTAGTTGATATATTTTATGGGTAAGGGGTGATTGTTTTTATTTGATTTTATATTTTCCGTTAATTAATAATGAAGTTTAGAGAGGGAGAATAAAGTTATAGTTGTTCATAGTTATTTGAAGGACGTTTAATTTTTGTTAGGGGGTTAATATTAAATCCACCATCATGTATAGGAAGTAACGCAAAGAGTATTTTTGACTTCTCTATCATAGAGCGGCTTAATCACCATTGAATAATTAATTTAGTCAAAGTAAAAAGAAACAAAAAAAAGTCTACATGCATACAGTTCACCCTTTAATAATTGTATCATGGTAATGGCGTTCAGTCACCTCCCCCTTTGTCAAGATTCTTCACCAGGTTTCACCTGAAAATTAGTTCCAGCCTTTGCAGCAAAAAAAGAAAATACCAACAGAAGCATAGACAGATACAATAGTGATGCTTGAATAATGCCTTAAATTTAACTAGTCAATCGGTTAATCATATTCTCGAGTGCTTATGCTTGTACTTGAGAGTCAGCTTAGCTAATATAATAAATAGATCCATTAGTGGCATTGTCCCGAATTCACCCGGCATTCAAATTGACTTTGTAGCCTAAGAGTCATCGGCAGATGTGGCATGCATATAAGAACACTAGTAACAAGAGAAGAGAACGGCGTTTGCAACAAAAGAAAACTGTCGACTTCATCAAGATGACTCGAGCGAATGATCATACATACAGTAAGAAACCTTCTGCGATGAACTTGTATTAATTATAATATTTAGCTTGCATATACGAATATTCACTCCCATATATATATAATAAGATTTAGCGCGGTGTAAGTTTTCCCCAGTAACTATTTAATCACTGTTCACTATAAAATTACTATTACTATGGGTGAAAAACTGAATTCCAATAGCAGCACATTAAGTGCCTCCAACTCTGTAATATCACCGTATGGTGAAACGGAGTCAAAGCACAGATGGCAAAACTTTAAAGACTCTTTCAAACAAGCTAAGAAACCGGAATATGAACAACTTGATGAAGATTCACTCACAGAAATCCAAAGGATTAATATCAAAACTGCAACATCACTGTTGCAAAGAGAACTTAAACCAAGACATTTACAAATGATTGCCATTGCTTCGTCCATAGGTACAGGGCTTTTCATTGGTTCAGGGTCTGCTTTGAGTACTGGTGGTCCAGGCGGTATTCTTATTGCTTGGGTTCTCACTGGTTCTGCCATTCTTTGTACAATGCAAGCATTAATTGAGTTGAGTGTAACATTCCCCATCAGTGGTTCATTCAATGTATATGCTTCAAGATTTATTGATCCCAGTGTTGGTTTCAGTGTTGCTTGGAATTATGTCTTCCAGTATCTTACCTTGTTACCTTTAGAATTGGTTGCAGCTTCTATTACCATTCAATATTGGAACACATCCATAAACCCTGATGTATGGGTTGCAATTTTTTATCTTGTGGTAATTGCTATAAATTTTTTCGGTGTCAGAGCTTACGGTGAAGCAGAATTCATTTTCTCTTCTATCAAAGTGCTTGCTGTTGTGGGCTTCATCATTGTTTCAATTGTTTTAGCAGCAGGTGGTGGTCCCACAGGTAATTACGTAGGAGCTAAATACTGGCATGATCCAGGTGCTTTCTCAAATGGATTTAAAGGTGTCGCTTCTGTTTTTGTCACAGCTGCATTTTCGTTTGCAGGTACTGAATTAGTTGGATTGACCGCTGCTGAGGCAAAGAATCCAAGACATGCATTACCTAAGGCAACAAAGCAAGTTTTCTGGAGAATTCTTATGTTTTACGTTGTTTCATTAACTTTAATCGCCTTTTTAGTTCCATACAATGATCCAAGATTAATGAATGGAAGCTCTAGTGTTGATATTTCTGCATCCCCATTTGTCATTGCCATTAACAACGGTGGTATTAAGGTTTTGCCATCAATTATGAATGTTGTGATTTTGATTTCTGTCATTTCCGTTGGTTCATCTTGTGTTTATGCCACAACCAGAACGGTTACCTCATTAGCCGAACAAGGTCTTGCTCCTCTGTTCTTGGGATATATTGATCGTAAGGGAAGACCTATTATTGCCATTGTGATTACCAATATTTTTGGTCTTTTAGCATTTATTGCTGCCAGTCATAAACAGAATGCCGTTTTCACTTGGTTGCTTTCGATTTCAGGCTTATCTGCCATTTTCACTTGGTTGTCTATTAATATTGCCCATCTTCGTTTCAGAAGGGCTCTTAAGGTTCAAGGGCGTTCAACTGAAGAGTTGATTTACAGTTCCCAAACAGGCGTGATAGGCTCTATTTATGCAGCTTGCCTTAACATTCTTGTGTTGATAGTTACCTTCTGGGAAGCTGTATGGCCATTGGGTAGTAAACCTAATGCCGAAGCATTCTTTGAGGTATATCTTGGATTTGTCATTCTTATAATCTTCTACGTGGGTCATAAGATTTATAGAAGAAATTGGGTTCTTTTCATCAGAGCAAAAGACATTGATATTGATTCTGGTAGAAGAGAGCTGGACTTAGAAGCTTTGAAAGAAGAATTGGCAGAGGAAAGAGCCATTTTGGCAGCAAAGCCTTTGTACTATAGAATATACCAATTTTGGTGTTAAGTCATTCATTTATAATTCAGTCATTAATAGATCATCAATAATAGAATCATTGTGTTTAAATCTACGAAACCGTTGTCAATAGAACTGATATCCGCCTTACTTGTATCCATTTCACATAATGAAAAATTACCTTGGGGACATGTTTCAAATAGCGTTCGAAAATTGTTACATGTTAAAGTAAATATTACTAGTACGAACTCTCGTCTGTAGAAGATAGGTCAATAAAATTACGCACTCAGGTTGTGACTTCAAATTATTATCTTACCTTTCTGCGCTATATAGTAGTTTATTTCAGTTGTTTGGGCTTTCTCCTGCCATAAGCCATGGTAAGAAGCCCGCGGTATTCAATTTAGGTTTCACGTATTCGATGTTAAAATATCTTGCCATATGAAATGAAGCCTAACCATCGTAAAATATGTCTAACTTCATTTGCGTTTTTGAATGCCAGGAGCAACGCAACTTTATTGCTTTCAGTTTTGGATGTCGTTTTAACTCTTTACTGTTTCTTCGAATTCCAATCAATTAAATTGCCATTTAAATAGATCACTTGGACCGCTACCAAATCACGCTCTTACCTGTTGGAACACCGCATTGCAGTGAACTTCAACAACGAACTGGCCTCGCTTGTGTTTGAAATTATCTCAAAAGATAGTGATATTCTTACCCAATGTATTGTTCACACGTCCTAAACATTAAAGCAGCTTACAGAATGTACCAAATTACCCTAATTCAGTCCATTTAGCAATAGACTTTTGACATTTCTTTTAGCAGGTGTTGAGTGTGAGCCGTCCACCAAACTTGTTAGCTCCGCATATGCACCGTTTGCTCTTTATGGCTTCACCATTGCCCAACTTCTCTTAATTATATGCAAAGTTAATTTCGGATATACTGGACCTTCATCCCTGATAGGTAATTTCTGTCTTTTTGTTATGTCATTTTTGCCTGTATTTCTCTCCTACATAGAACCGATATTTCAACAGTTATCACACATGACTTTCAAAGAATTATAGAGAGGTTAGTAACTTCATGAACTAAACATGCACTTCATTACGTCTTTGAGGCTGTCCAACCGAGATATTCGATTGCTATGGGCTTCTGTATTTTTCCGGATGTTGAGTTACGGTCTCACCAATCAAGTATTGGTTTTATTTCTTGAACTGATAAAAGTGAAGCCATCTCAAATAGGTGGCTTCATGACATGGACTTTAATAGGTGATGCTTTAATATCTTTCTTTCTCACCTTATATGCTGATAAAATAGGTAGAAGAGTAGTATTAATAGTTGGTTCCATCATGATGCTTGGTGCTGGACTAATATTTAGTAGAAGTACAAGTTTTCCAATCTTATTATTGGCTGCAATTGTTGGAGTTATATCACCATCCGGAGATGAAACAGGACCATTCAAATCAGTGGAGGAGGCTTGTATAGCCCATTTAACTCCAACAAATCATTTACCTGAGATTTTTGCATTACATGGTTTGATATCTACTGCGGGGGCAGCTGTTGGAGCCTTGTCTAGTGGTTTAATTGTGGATTACTTTCATAAGGTTAGAGGATGGGAGATTTTGGAAGTTTACAGAAGTATATTTGTCATCTATGCGGGGATGGCAGTGGTGAAGTTATTTATTTTTTTGCTTCTTTCCGAAAAGTGTGAACTAGGAGATGATAATGTCAAAGAAAGCACCACTGAACTTCCAAACGAGACAACACCGTTGGAGGTGTCTTCAGAAGAGGGTAGCTTGATTGAATGTGAACCCGAAATTAGTAAGAATGCATTGTCAACAAGTACTAGGAGGAATTTGTACAGTCTCTTGGCTATTTTTATGCTTGATTCACTTGGATATGGTTTCATGCCTTCAGCTTGGACAATCTTTTACTTCAAAAAATTTTTCAAAGTATCTGCTACCCACTTGGGTATCTTATTCTTCATTACAAATAGTGTTGATTCAATATCTTCCATACCCTCAGCTTATTTGACTAAATTCCTAGGCCCTGTAAAATCAATCTTATTTACACAGGCACCTTCAGCAGTCTTCTTTCTTCTTATTGGTTTCATATCTCAGTTTTGGGTGGCTGCTTTTCTCCTCATTCTTTACTATTTGACTATGACAATGGATGTTGTTCCTAGACAGGTTTTGCTTGTGTCGATCATTCCGAAGAAGGAGCTCTCTAAATTTCTTGGTTTAGTGAATATTGGAAAGACATATGCTAGATGCGTTGGGCCAATATTTACTGGAGGATTAGCTGAAAAGGGTAAGTTATACTATGGCTTTTTTATTAACGGTGCTTGTGTCTTGTTAGCAGATTTGATTTTGGGAACTAACTTTTTGCACCTTGATGAAGACATTTCTAAGGATTTGCACAAGTTTGAACAATTAAAATAAGCGAGTCAAGCCTTTACAGATAGCGTGTAATTGAATTGTACTGGAGTTAATATGTAAGTAATTTATACATTGCAGTTGTTACTTAAATAATGTATGATCTAAACAAGAGGTCGTGCATTGATTACCCCATATTATACACACGCTCGGAAATACCCCGGAATTCGAAATGGCATCAATGGATGTTTTCACGATGGTCTGGATTTCAAGTAGGTTAACTGAAGTTACCTTTGCAAATCTCGAATAGACGTACATTTATTATAGTTTATACAACCCGGAGGACTTTAGATGTCTACCCACTACCCTAATATCTCTGCTGTATCAGGGATAGGAAGCGTGATCAAGTCACTCCGAAAGTCATTGAGGTCAAGTTCACCTACTCTGTCCCAAAATGTCCCTGTGATCAACCCTGTTGTAGTAGGAGGAAGAGAAGGTCAACAGAAACTACTTCAGCAATTAAAGAGTGGACCTCTACCATCCAGAGCAAATGCAGCGGTGAAAGTTACCGAATCATTAGAGAAATATAGCATATCATCAGTTCCAGAGATTTGGTATATGAGTAGAGACCTATGTGAGGGTCGAATAACATCGTCAATTAGACGAATAGGAATTAAATTGATGATAGAGTGTATTAAGCATGATGACTTGACAGTCAGTGGTAAATTAATGTACTTTGAAGACATTGCTCGATATTGTCAAATCTCTGAAAGTCACATTGATCCAGAGTTTGATTTATACTTGCTAGCATTAAAGACCTTATCCAATAACGGGAAAGACATCCATGATCTTTATATTTATGATTTCCGAAGGAACCTTCCTACATTTTTAAAATCAGCTTTGGTTTATCTAACCAAACAAGCAAAGTCTTTTAATACCCAAAATGAAAAGTTATCCGAAGATAGAAACTATCAGAACTTGCATAAGCTTCTTGAATATGTCAAGAATTGCTTAAGACTTAATTACACTATATCTGATAAAGAGTTCATTGTTTCAGTGTGCGATATTGCAACTGAATTGGGATATCAAACCACCAACGAGACATTGGTATCTGATTGTGTGGAATTATTGAATACAGTAATTGTCTTTGGAACTATCCAATATTCATCTTTCTCCCGCATTATACAGGTGTTTGCATATGTATATTCAAAGAGGAATGACCAATCTAAGATTGTGAGTGAATCATTAGTTAATATGATTTCTGAAACTACCTTTCCAACAGTCTTTCTATCACTTTGTGATGTTGCAAAAAATTATGGGAACCCCATTACAGAACGTGATACCATAGTTGTTCATACTACTATAGGTGCATTATTACTAATTGAAAAGCTTTTTATCATTGCGTCCACTGCAAAGGCATCTAAAATTGACTACATTCACAGCGTGGTGATAGCAGCTGAAGCATACGTTTTAGAACAAAAGATCCCTGCATTGAATGTGATAATACTTCAAATGCTAGATAGAATGTTTGATAAAACATCTTACTCACAGAATTATTCTACAACACCTCAAACAAGTGAGCTATTTCCATTCCAAGTGTGGTATGGTTCTTCAACCACGTTATTTGATGTTTTATCTCAACTTTCAGTGAATCTGGATGAAGACAAAATGCATATGAAGAATATTATAAATTCTTTAAGAGAACAGTTCCAAGAACACGGTTTAAATATCCCACGATCTCGTTTGGTCAAGTTCTTTGTCGAGTACCAAGACCTTTTATCGCTTGATGATGTCCTTTTTGTGTTGACGTATTATAAAGACGAAAAGTTATGCTCAGCTATTAATCCCCTCTGGAAGGAAAGTCAACAACTAGTGCTAAACAAATTTGTCTACAATACAGTTGTAAGGGACCCAACAGAAGAAACAGATATTATAAGACTTGAAAGTTTACGTGTTATCAAAGAAAGTCATTTTATCTCAATTGCAATTGTACCAAGTTATGAATTAGAGTTTGACATTCTAAAGGACATATTTATGAAATTGCTAAAGTTGAACGATCTTTCAGAAACAGTATTACATTATTTATCTTATGAATTTTTCACAGATGTACTACAGAATGCTCCACTCAAAGTATTTGAAGATTTCACAGAAACAATATTGCAAGGGATACTTTCAATGGGCAGAAATGTTGATACACTATATATTATAAAGTTTACAGAAGCAATAGCCAAATTCTTCATAACAACAAAGGAAGCTGGCAAGGCAGCAAATTGTTACCTGATTTTGATCAAACTAGGCAACTTTGCGTTCAATGAACCAAAGATCGATGTTTTATTGATCGTATTACGAACATTGATACGATTGAGAGTCACCAGCGAGAATTTTGTTTATCTAACGAGTCCAAAGGATATGGAAGGTCTTGCTACAGCATTTAGAAGAACAGCTCACACGATTAAAGAAGATGCCTTAAGAAGCGCCAGTCAAAATGGTGCTGATGATGATGTGGATATTGAGAAAGTTACGAATAATTTTACTGCTCATAATTATCAGTGGAGTTATCCAGAGAGCTTAGCCTATTTGCCTGAAAGATATTTTGATACCCCCACAAGTAAGTTATTAATTGAGTCGATAAACTCCCCTTACAGTCAACGAATAGACAATGAGGAAGCTTTAGACCAGGATATGGCTACCATAGATATTAATCTCTGGTTACAGATTGTTCTCAAGATTGTTGAAGAGTACATAGATTGGGAGGTTTATACCTTTGTATGGGCCCATTTTTGCTCTCAATTATCGAATTTGCAACTTTTCAAGGAACAATTTGAAAGCATTGGGAAGTTTCGTCGTATTTTAAACGAACATATTTCATTGTCCAAGTTGCCAAATGGATTTGAGTTCCCTACAAACGTTACTAAGGCAGATCTACAAGTTGCGTGTATACGGAACCTTTCTGCTTTAATAGGCTATAAAGCATTGTTTTCAAAGACAGAACTAGAACAAATGATTAATTCCACCTTACTTGGAGTGGATTATTCATGGGAGAAAACTGCTATTCCCATCATCAATTTCTTGACCGTTTGTTGTTATGATATTCCATTACTGCTTAAAAAATATTTGCCAGTGATTTTATCAAAATTGCAAACAAGAGTTACCAATGTATTTGCAATGGCTCATACTTTAGAATTTCTCCTGTCATTAATTGATCTTCCCGCTGTGATCTCCAGTATCAATACAAACGAATACAAATCGGTGTTTGGTATTTGTTTTAAGTATATTCAGTACTCCAATGATATAAGAAAGAGAAATCTAAGTCCTGGTGGATTACTGTCAGATAATAGAGATCTACAAGCACATGGAGTAGATGCCATTGTGGAGCTGACTCCAAGTACTAACGTTTATGCTGTGACGCCAATTATTTCCCAATATTTATTGCAACTTTCGTATGATGTTATTGCTTACTGGTTTTTGAAGGTTGCAATGCATGAAAGGAAAATGATTTCTCCATTTGTAATAAAGAATTTGATTCTTTCCAATGATAGTGATATGAATGAACAGTTGATCTCAATGCTTGATTTTGTTGTTAGATTTACCTTTTGCGATATTCCTGTTAAGGTAAACCAACTTCAATCTGTTGATAAAAATAGTGTATCAACAAAGAGTTGGATCATTGGTTACAGTGTGTTGTCAATCATCAAGAAAATGAATGGGAAATTCCAAATTATTATAAGAAGACCGACTGGTCATATTTACTTTGATATCAATTTGAATGTCGATGATAACATGGTTGATAATGAGTATCTTCTTTTACAATTATTTACTAGTTTTGATGAGCACAATAAATCCAAACCAATACCATTAATCGACGATTCCCTAACATTACGGAATTTGAATATGATTGATCGGATACCAATGATCGATTATCACAAAATTGGAATCCTCTATATTGGGAAGGGCCAATCGACTGAAGAAGCCGTGTTACTGAACAAAATAGGAAATGAAGAGTATGAGAAATTCATAAGACAAATGGGTTCAATCATACGATTAAAAGGTTGCAAAGATAAGTATGTTGGTGGGTTGGATACCGAAACGGATATGGATGGAGAATATGCCATTCATTGGAGTGACAAATTGACCCATTTGATTTTCCATACCGCTACTATGATGGAGAAGAACTTATGGAATGACGAGTTACAGGTATCATCAGAATTCGGGAACTCAAATGATGATTCCAGAATACCTACAACTATTAGTACAGGGCCCGAAAGTACTTCTGAACATAGCCTTTACATGAAGAAAAGACATATTGGGAATAATTATGTCAACATATATTTTGATGATAGTGGTGGTATCCCATTTAATTTTAATTTGATCAAGTCACAATTTAACTTTATCAATATCGTCATCAGTCATCATACTTATTCCAAAAGCTCAATCACGGGGCATAGAGGCTTGGATGTAAGCATAAGTGGTGATGGTGCTGACTTAGACGACATCGACGGTGATTCACACAGATTACATACAGGTGGGAAGCATTATAAGGTCAAGCTTTATCGTCGTAGTGGTGTCCCTGGAGTTCTTTCTGCATGTCACTTTAAAATTGTTAGTGAAGAGAATCTAGCTACATATGTGAGGAATCTAGCATTAAGATCAAGTTTATTTGCCAATACTTGGCATTCGAATGGAGAATTTTTTACAACTATTTGGACTCATCGAGTGAAACAAATAAGTTTACTAAGAGAAAAGACAATTAAAGCTCATGAGGAATTGAAGAAAATGGAAATGGAAGAGGAATCTGCTTGGGATTTAGATGATCCGTACGGAAATCGTGGTCGTTCTGAAATCGGATTTGCTGGTGGTCATGCTGGTATTGGATTCGGAATATCCAGTGAGAATAAGAGTATAAGAACAGGCTCTATATTTTCAGGTAGGACCTCATCAATTTTGAGTTCTGAAGGGAAATCTACTACAAACATTACATCTGAATCGGATCCGACTCAATCGTTTATGCAACAATTGAATGAAGGGTTAATCTCAGATAACTCTGCTCCATTACGAAGCCCTACTACTCCCACAACTCCAAATAATCCGCAATTTGGATCATCGATGGGCACACCTTCATTAAGTGCTAAAACAAAGTACATTTACAATCATTCTAGCAAACATAGTGGGAACAACATGGGAAGCAGTAACGGGAACGACAATGAAAATGCCAAAGAACTTTTCCTGCTTTTCGAGTTTAATTCATATACTTAAGACAGTCATTGCTATAGTGAGCATGCTCTAATTCATGTTAATAGTTTATCTGGAACAAGTGTGGCGTTACCAAAATGAGAATAAACCCAAGGCATGCATACGGAACAATTATACTTTTACCACTTGGAACCACTTGAAACAATAAACGCTTCCCGATTCTCGGAAAAATTGAAGGGATGTATTTATCTGTCCTATCTGCCTGCTTCACAACCACTTGAATCATATAACCTAAAACTGCTATTATCAGAAATGAAATCCACACGCAAAAGACAAGTGGATGCATCTAATGTATTAAATAGCCTAAATAGTTATTCCCCACTTTTAGGATGAGAAAAAGTCTGGACAGGTGTGGCTGGACTCACTAATAAATGTTGCAATGCTATTACCTTGTTGCCAGTTCATTAGACCCGTTTTATAACACAAAAGGTCTTGAGGCGGAGTTAGGTTTTTATTCGGAGCTACGATTATTATGCAATACCTAACGATGACTATGTCTATTCTTGATGAATTAGCGATTTTGGGATTCTTTATCTCCTACATCTAATTAGTCATCGTGGCGAGTCAATTAGTTATTAGACAATGAGCAAGTTTTTGCCCTTGGCAAATGCAATGGTAAACATACTCCATTAGAACAACGTAGACCGATTATTCCTAGTTTAATGGTTGGTGGAAGCCATTAATTCTACAGGTGGAATTGGTGGATACAGAAGAGCGACGGAGTTCCTAATGCAACGATTAGTCCTTTTTCTCAGGACTCTCTCCTCTTTCTATAGAGAATGATAGTGCAGGCAAGCTGTCTAGACTGTTATACGACATGGCTCCGTTTTGTGCCAAACCGAATAGGAATGGTTCGCGGCGGCGATGACAAACCAAAAGGGCTGAATACCCGTCGGTATTTCTTGTAACTTCCACATAAGTATGTGAGACGGTATGACGTAAAGATAGAGGTTATCCATTCGTTCACGTACAAATACACACACACATTCACACGCACATATATATATATATATATATCAATCAGTAAGCTTTCAATCTAGTTGCTAAAGTTCAAGTTCCTCCAGTTCAAGTTGACTCCAAACAGTTGATTCGACAGTAAACCATCGTATCCAATATCGAACAGACCAATATATAAAACTCCTACATGTCTCACGATTTCCTTCGAAGAAAGGCGTTGACGTCTATACAGTCAACCTTAGCATCTCAATCTACAGCATTAGCATCTGTCTACGCACAGTATTTAAATGATGAATTTGTTCAAGAACAGACTAAGGAATCTATAAGGACATTATTCACCACCAGTAAAAATGGTGGTAAGATCATCTTTTGTGGTGTCGGTAAATCATTCAAGATAGCCAGCAAACTTCTGGCCACAGCAAATTCATTGTCTATCCATGCAACAACGTTACATCCTACGGAAGCTCTTCATGGTGACTTGGGTATAGTGAAGCCAAAAGATTCAATGATTATGATTTCAGCCAGTGGGAATACTCCAGAATTACTTAACTTGATTCCTCATATCCCTTACAATATTCCTATCATACTTTTAACATGCAATAGAAATTGTAAGTTGGCCCCATATCTTTCGCTGATGTTATTGGTTGATTTGCCCACGTTTTTAACTGAAGAACATGTTCACGGACTCCCCGCACCCACTGTTACCACCACATTATCGCTTTCAGTTGGTGACGCATCTATAATAGCTCTACTGGAAATCTTGGAAGAAGATTTGGCTCTCCGTCGACGCTTGTTCTCGGAAAGACACCCTGGTGGTTCTATTGGGGCCAACATGGCTCATCTTAATGATAACGTTACTAAGAGAGTAAATCCCACTTCAAACTCTGTTATACCACTGGCACTGGGTGTTTATTCATCATCATTGTCCCCTGCATCCAATGGAAAGGGGTCTTCCTTACCTATATTTTCTACAGTATCTTCAAATTCCTCATACTTGAGTCTTTATCAGTTGAGGCAAGAAATCGCGGCCCAAGGTGCATGCACCTCGCCAGTATCAATTGGTTCAGAAATTGATGTGGGTGAAGGCATCTTGACAGAAGTGAACAACTCTACTGCTACACTCCAGGAACAATTGATGAAGGCTCACCCTTCTTATGTTCTTTTGTTTAAAGATTGGGGTGTAGTAACTGTTGAACTTTTATTCCAGTGGACTGTATTGTATGACTACTTGGTGTTTCACAGTGAGCACTCAAAAATGGCTATACCGTCTTCAGATTTGAAGAAACTCTTGAGACTCCACTATAATGTCGTTCCCACTGAACAAATTATGGACATTGTGAAGAAGAGTTTTAAGGAAGTGATCATTTGATATGCCTATTAAGGAGTTTATTGTTTGTTTTGATTTGATGAATGATGCCGTATGATATAATTTTAAGTAATGGATTATTATTACACTATAAACAGTTAAAAATATAAACTATATAAACTTGGCGTAGATATTTCTCTCAAGACTTTATCAACATATTTACAAAACTTTAATAAACAAATAAAAACTCTAATGGTATCAGAAAATACCTTAGTTGGTGTCAGCTTCCACTAAAGCAGTTTCCGCAACAAAAATCATCTTCTCAACAGAAGCTAAATGCTTTCCGTAACCATTCTTAGAAGATAATTGTTTTAAATATTGTCGTAACTTCAATACCAAAAGCTTCTTTTCGTCGGATTTGGTATCGAATGCTTCAACTAATTTTTGAATAACATAATTTGCATATTGATCCTTCATCATCAATGCCAAGGGTGAATCATCGTTAACAAAGTCAAGTTCCAAATCTTCATTATTGAGCATTACTTCATGAAGAATCTTCTTCTTTTGCGTTAATGAACAATATTTAATACATTTTTCAATGACGTTCGAAGCAAATTTATGTTTTGAAAAGTTCACAACTCCTCCCAATACCACTTGTAAGATTTCTTCTCGATCTTCTTCTGAACCCCTTTCTAATATATGTTGCATCACGTAGTTACCATATTGATCCTGAATCAAATAGAAGATAAATCGATTCAACTCATCCAAGATCTTCTTTTGATCTTCCACATCAGAAAACTCCAACAATCTTTGAATCACACGACATCCATAAGGATGAGTTGATAAATGATAAATATGGTTATCCAATGCATCCAAGATAAACCTAATTCTGTCAAAGGGAATTCTTTCAATGGATTTTTGAATCACATGATTACCATTTTGGTCTTTGGTGCACACAAGGACATGATCTTGCAATTCCTTAATAATTTTGATCTGGCCATCCACTTCAATAGCTTCAAGTGCCCTTTGAACAACACGACAACCATACATCTGCAATGATAAATCATAAATGTGACCCAACATGTAATCAAGCAAAATATTAATTTGCGTTGTACTTCCATATTCAAAGTATTTTTGGATAACATAATTCCCAAAAACATCGGTCATCAAATCATAAGAAATACTTCTAATTTCATTGAAAATCACTTCCTTTTCTTCTTCGCTAGCACTAGGAAGCTTCTGTTGTATGAAACGAGATCCATGCTGATCCTTTGTGAATTCAACAGCATGCCCATAAATGTCCTTTAAACAGTAATCTTTTCCTTCAGTATTATTCCGAATTTCTTCTAATAATGGAGACCGGTAAATATGACTGGGGCCCTTACTTGATTTCAAACCATTCTTACGTTTACCACCACCAGTTCTGTTCCCAAAATTTCCCGTACTATTTCCACTACCCGCAGAACCTCCTTGATGCCTTTCGTTAGAGGTATTTCCAGTTTGAGATGGTGCATTAGTATTTGGTCTGCCATCAAACATAGGTGGCATCATTGGTGTTGATTGAATACCAGGAGTTGCAGATCCAGGAGGCATTTGAGCAACCGGAGATGGGGACTGCTGATACATGTAAGGGTTGAAAGGTTGAAACATATAACCTGAAGCTGAGCCCCCAGGCATTTGACGGCTCATCAATCCAATACCATTTTTTCCATTTGGGGTATTGATCACAGGAGAGTGGTTCTTCACACTCAGATCATTGACCTTTTCCTCAGAAGTAGAAGAAGAGATTCCAGGAGTAATTTCATCAACAGCATTATCAAGTTCTCCATCATTTTCAGATTTTTTAGGTGAATTTTCAAATGAAACAACATTATATAATGATGGATCAATAAACAGGGGAGGAGATGCCATTACAAATGGTGGAGGACTCACAGGCGGAATACCTTGACCACCATTTCGGTAAGGTCCAAAGTTCATTGGGAATGCCATATTCCCTGAGTTATCCATCAAATACCCATAACCCCCAGTTGGCGCACCAACCATATTTGGAGTGAATGAAGTTGCCGTAGCTGGGTTCCAGAAAGCAGGTTTCCCTCTGTTGGCACCAGGTTGAGAATTTCCTATGTTGTTGCCCACAAGCGGTTCATTATTTGAATTCAAATCTGAATGAATGGATAAGGCCGCAGTTGACTGGATTGGTGAGGAATTGTTGTAACTATCTATCTTTTCACTAATAGATTGGTTTCGAGAGTTACGAACAGGCATGTTAAGATTTTCATTCAAGGAACCGGAAGGAGAAAAAGGTTTGAGTGAACTCTTATTTTCACCAAGACTTGTTCTACGTTGTGGTTGTGAATCCAAACTAAGCTTTCCAAGTCCATTTGAAAGTTCAATATCTCTTGTGGCATCTGTAACCAGAGCAAACTTTTGTAAGAATGATTCTTGAGGAATTTGATGCCTACTTGCAATACCACCACTGATGGACGCCGTACCAACAAAGTTTAAACCTTGGTTATTTTGAAGATAATTTCCGACAGGTGCAGTTATAGCGGAAAGGGAAGTCTTCTTGATGCCAAATAAATTATTATCTATTTCACTCCCGTCATTCAAAGATAAAGGTCTATCGGAATTGGATTGTGTTGCCCACAAGTTGGCTACCTCAGGATCAACCTGATCCAAGACGCTTTTGTAGGTAGCGTTTGATGCAAGTCCAGGATGAGACTGGATAGGGGATGTATTATTTGACCAAATGGTTTCAGAAGGCATTCTTTATTTATGTACAAGAAAAGCAAAAGCAATGGCTGAATGGTTTCACAGATAAAACTGGAGAAATTAAGGTCTACCAGTTAGTATAAATTCTTCTGCTTTCGAGGAGCCCTTACACTGTGAATATGATACGATTCCCACTAATAAAACAGATCAAATATTAAGGTGTTTGACCTGTAGCAAAAGCTATGACAGAGTAAAATCCGCCAAAAAGAAAGTGGCCTACTCGAAGACTCGGACACACGCTTTAATAGCCGTTAGTAATGTTCTTCAATGACTTTTAGCTGCACAGTCGATCACCTTGTAGGGAATAATTTGAGTGGCATAAAATTTAATCTCAAATTTTTTGTTCGGGCTGTCGGCATGGTGGGTACACGAAAGATATAATAAAGCCGTTTTAGCCAATGTATAAAGTAGTAAAGGAAGCGAAAGATTTATTTATGATTGTGGAAGCACTTTTATACATAACAATGGTAAAGTAGCAACATTGATCAACACTTTTGTCATATATACTTCACGCCATAATAAGTAGAAGGGTCAATATAAATGAATTTGAATGAATTAACTAACCGGCTTGTCTTTCAGAACCGGAACAAATTTGCAGTACAAACTTATCACGTGACTAGATCAAAAGCACTTGTATGTGGAAAACATCGACCTTGTTGGTAATAACTTACACTAATGAGTTACAATCGAAGTGCACTATGACTAAGCTACCGAAACTGGCTTCCGATAGGTTACTAAACTTGCTTTATACCACCACGTCTTATGAAGTACAGTCCAAGGTTCCTTATATGAGTAAAGTACTCTATAACATTGGTCAGGATGATGCTACCAAGGAGAACCCAGTAGAGCATCGTTCAATACTTGACGACTTACAAGCCAATGATTGGAAACAAAAACCAGTTTCAGAAGCTGTTAGAGACCTTGTCAGACTCAATAAAAGCCATCTATCTACCAATATTCTCAAATTCAAATGTGCTAATTCGTTTATACTGAGTTGGGATTTCTATAACATGTTCCCCATTAACAGAGAAAGAACGTACTTACTCCCTTCTAAGCTACGTAAAAAGGGAGTAGAATTTGAGGTTGTGAAAGCACGAGATCCCAATACTCTTCTTTTCAATGGGTCCTATTATCTTATATTTCCCAATCATATTCTGGCATCAATATATTGGCTAGAAACACGGCTAAAAACTATTAATGGTATGAATGTTAAATTTGAGTTCGTCAAACCAATAGAATCAGAAATGAAGTACATGTCTTCCCCATATTTTGATTCAGAACTTGTTGGAAGTAGTAAGTTGCATTATAAATCAAATACTATTTCTAAAGATGGTGGTTCAAGGAATACCCCAATAAGAAATATATTTAAGGATTCAGAGTCGAAATTGGGTTTAATAGAAGAAGTTTTCAAGTACAATAAAACATACAAAGATAATAATGAAGATATTAACCAAATTAATCCAATTTACACACTGTTAAAGAGTTTTATTAGCATGAACACACGGTTGAATAGTGTGTTGGTAAGAAATCTACCATTTGGATTGTCTAAATTTGCATTACCCAATCTCTTATGGGATTATGATCTAGCTCCATTGTCCAGAGTTTCTGATTGTTTTACTACTATTGCTAAAGACCCTCTGTTACAGATTAGCTTACTGATGATTCAATTTGCGGATCAAGAAAATGCCAGACGATTTGTTAGAAGCTTCCACGGGAGGTTATGGCCAGGCAGCGTACAGAGTAAACAAGAAATGGCCATGGACCAGCCGTTAATATGTGAAATCATAGATTAGATTATACGATTATGCATTGACAAATTATCCGCTTCATGCTCATATGTACATAATTAATATAGACACTGTAGATCACAAGTGCACTTATTCTCCTAATTCCAGGAGTTTCTTCCAACCCGTCCGTACTATTTCCCAATTGGTGTGTTTAGATTGAGAATATCCGTCAAAGTATTCTGATGACATTTGCCTATTATGACTACCATTGGAAACTCTGTCTGAAGTATGCCCACTCGGAATTTGTTCACGGATAGTGTACTTCTCCCATATTCTTTTTTTCTTCCATATAATAACCACCGTATCATTCCCGGACCAGCCGAGAGTACCCAGATCGTGAGAGTTGAGCTCGTCATCTTCATTGTGGTGGTATTTGTTTGTGTTAATAGAACAGAAAGACCATGTGGATTGAAAATATCTGGGGATCGGAATGGGTAGTTGTAGTTTCCGTAAAATATGCTGTTTATTTGTTGGTAAACTTTTGGGGTCATTAGTATTTGAATAGGCGGAACCGATTCCCGAGTTATTGCTTTCATTATACCGGGTTGGATCTTGCATTGTGAATACATGAAGAGTATTTTTATCCGACAATACTGCCAAACGGGAATCATTTGGTGAAAACTTCATCGATGTAATTATAGCTCTATCAATACCCCGTCTAAACTCATAGAGTAATGCTGTTGACTGTGTTGAATGTATTCTTATAATCGTACCTGTTTCACTAGCACTTGCAACAAGTGTTCCTGATCTGCTTAAAGATATTGCTCTTATTTTAGATTTGTGGGCTTTAATGATGCTAACCATATTCTTATTTTGACCGGCAGGAGACACGTCTACTATTTGAATCTGACCAATAGTTTTCCCAGGGAATGCTAGCGTTTGATATTTGGCTGTTTCTCCAAATGGAGATGATGATGACAATGTCTCATTTTCATTCCCACTTTTAACACTTCCAGTGGGCAGTATGCTTGTGCCTGTACTCAATATACTGGCAGAAAGATCAGCTATGCCATGCTCATTGTCAAGAGTTTCATATTCCACTATTTGCTTTGGAGGAGCAGAAAATCCATACACTATCACCTGGTTCCGAAGAACAACTATGATTCTGATCCTCAGGAGAAAAACATTCATCACTGGAACCATAAATTCTAAACTTAAACTGTTTTTACGCTTCAAGTCGTCCCATATAACTACGTTGTTGCTTGCAAACTTGGGGTTTCTACCACCGCCTACCAATGCAAGATAATTGGTACGATGAAGCATGCAAATATGGCCAATCCCAGATCCTCCAGAAGCAGAAGTAGAATGCGACGAAGTCACATTATACTTGTTCTTATCATTTGAGGTACTACCACCACCTCCAAAGTTGCGTTTCACTCGGAGATCAATAGGGTTGGTATTATAAACCACAAACCCTCGTTCATGGCCAACGGCAAAACATCCTTGATCTTGGTTAAAAGCAACACATAAAATGTCTAAGTCACGATTCAGCTTTTTGGCATCAATTATGGGATGGGATGTATTCATTGGTGTAATAGTTATGCAATTGATTTGTTATACTTGAGATGTTTTAGGTAGGTTTTATGTAGTGAAATGGAATGCAATCCGTTCTCTTCCAAAGGGATGAGTGGGAAAGTTATTTTGTTTGTATCCACACCACCACCAATGACTAAAAGCAAGCCTGTTGATGTTTGCCTAAAATAATGAAACAAATAGCTTCTAATAAGAGAATTACCCACAAATTTCACCGTCCCATGTAAAATATTAGTTTACTAAATCGTTTGTTAAAGTGTGAGTCTATATGGAATTTCGGTACCTATAGAACTAAGGAACCTTACACGAATGCTTTCTTACAAGCAGGAGACCTTTACGTAGTATACAGTTTTGAGGGGGAGTGAAGAGCACATTCTGACGTGCTTGGGAAACGGTCGCACCAGACAAACAATCCATCGGATGTAAATAGTACTAAAAGTCGCTCGTGTAAACAAATAAACAAACTCATATTTTCTAACTTTTTATTTTTTGCCGACCCACAGATCAAACAATCTGGAGCGATGATTCAAATTCGATACATAAACTGTCACCGTTAATCTAGATACCACTGACATGTAGCAAACCTTTTTAATGCCAATGACCCCTGGTGCATTAGCAAAGATGATAATTATATCTTTATTACTTTGATGGCGGTGGTAAAACGATCTGCGTGACTTGCATACCGTCATCAGATCTAAACTTTTGAAACAATAAAGGGGTGAATCAGTCAGTCCAAAGGTTGATAAACGTAATCCGAAAAAACTCCTATAAATCTATTTTCTTATTCGATTTCCATTACTTCCTCCCCTTCATCACTCGAATCTTCTCCTGTTTGAAGTCTATGTGCAACTTCGCTGGGGTCTTGGTCAAGTGCCGTATTTTGAGGCGCTAAAGGTTGTGCTGGGGGAGGAGGTGGTGGAAGAGGTTGACGAAGTCCTCCATTCAACAGAAGACGGCCAATTTGTTTGTTCGCGCACTGGAAAAATTCCCCACTGGCTTCTTGATTGGCTGCTAGGGCCCGAGTAAGAATGTCACTTGCAACATGATCATGGGGAGCTATGGCTAAAGCATTATGAAGAGTATCTATGGCAGTAGAATACTCTCCTAATTGTAGATGTATAAGAGCAATTGATGAAAGTAGATTGGAATCATTCTTATTGCTTATACGTAAAACTTGATTAAAACAATCAAGAGCCTTAAAATATTGATGTCCACGTCGATTTACATGTCCTAAATTAGAATGAATTGATATCCAAGTTCGACTATCAGAATTTAAATTCTTTGCTGCAACTAACGCCTCTTGGAGAAATAATTCTGCCTTGACTAAATCAGCTTTTCGAAAGTTTAAAACTCCAAGCTCATTCAATAAAAGTGGATCGGTATTGCAAATCTGATAAGCTGCCAACAAATATTCCTCCGCCAAACCTAAATTATTCATTTGAAGATGTTGCATTGCAAGAAACAAATTTGGTAAATGTGTACCAGGAAATAATCTAGCTGCAAATGCATATGCACTAATTGCTTGTTCATGTTCTCCTTCGGATGCAAATGTATGTGCAAATCCTATCCAAGCTTGACCAAAATTAGGACTAAGAATCGTAGCTTTACTGAAAAACTTTCGAGCTTCAATAGTTCTACCAATTGAAACATAATATATTCCAATGGCTAGCCATGTCATAGGATGCGAGGGATGGGTTTCTGCCATTTGATGTGATTTCAAAAATAACTTATTCTTAGCACCTAATTCATGTAAACAACTTAAATAATCCGGTATCACGTCAAAATTGTATTCATCGATAGCAATGATTTTTTCACAAACTTCTAAACACTCATCAAAATTGCATTGAACATACAAATAATTAGCTCGATTAAGCAACAAATCACAATTATCTCCAAGTTCAAATTCATCTCGTAAAATGGAATCAGCTTCTTCAAATTTGGCTCCATTCAAATATTTGCTTAATTTTGAAGTGTATAATAACTTTATCAATTCATCGTTATTATCAGCATCTCTAAAATTCAAAGTATTAATAAACTGCCACTGTTCTCCGGGATTCATTAAATCATTGCTAATCAATTCATTAAACGCTTCATAGCATTTAACGTCAACTAGACAGGCCTCTTTATAGCATTCCTTTGCTCTTTCAAAGTTATTACGATTAGCGTAAACAATCCCACGCAAATAACACATTGAAGCTTCTAATTTTATACCACCATCATCACTTTTAACTTGATAATTATCATCTCTAACAAATGGATTGGTTTCACCAATAAGGTCAAGTGCTTCATCCCATTGTTCCAATTTAATTAATGAATACGCTGCAAGATACCGACAACTGACAGCTTTCTCATACAACAGCTTTCTTGTTAACAACTTTTTGGCCCGCAAGTAGTTGCCATTATTGAAATATACTTGAGCTAACCAGAATGCATCTCTTGGATCATCAGTCAAGGACAATACTTTATCCCCAATGAATTCAGCTGTTTTATATTGGTGTTGCATTAAAGCATCATGACGCCACAATCTAAGCTTTTCCACTTGTGTTAATGGTTCATATGGCTGATTACTGGTGTTTCCTCCCAAATCCACTGTATGAGTCGATTGGTTATTTGATCTATCGAAATGGAAAAACAGCGAATGGTTTGAATTGGGGGAGTCAAACAACGAGTTCACAGGCTTTGCGTTCGTTGGAGTAATGAACACATCCTTATGTCGGTTGGTGATGAGCGGAGAAATATATAAGGTGGAGTTATGTTGAGAGGGAGTCTTTTGTGGTTGAACCATTATGTCCTTTAGGCAATTATATGATAGATCACACAAGTGAAATTCAATTAGTGATAATGTGTTGTTTACTAAGGAATGATTCTGGGCCACAACTAACAAAGGTTCTTAGTGGAGAATGAAAGGTGTTTTCAATCTGTTATACGGAAACCCAATGACTAGGAATCTATTTACGGTAGTAGTAATGATGTTAATGGTGGACTCATGTAGTCATGGGAGGTATAAACAAACACTCAATAAACTTCGCGGTGACGGACACAAAAGCGGGCGAAAATTATGGATTCGTTCTGACATACATTAGTGCGATGAGATGATGGTTCTTTAGAAACATATACTTATAAACAACTTTATACTTAAACAATTATAGGAAACTTTATAAAATGGCTATACCAAAGAAGTCAGTAGCTGTGACTGAAAAGCCTAAGAAGACCCCGGAAGCCACAGAGAAATCTCCCGAGTCTGATGAAAAGCATTCCAATATATCAAAGGTCCAATTCAGAATATTAGCAGGTTCTTATGAACATAATCTTTTATGTCTTTCAGTATTGGTGGATCCTAAGAACACTAAGCAACCAATATTCCAACCGATTTTCCATTTCCAAGCACATGCTTTAAGCATCAAGTCCATCGATGTTGCTAAAAGATATCTTGTGACAGGATCTAATGATGAACATATTAGAATTTATGATTTGCAAAAGAGAAAGGAGTTGGGAACGTTATTGAGTCATCAAGGTACTGTCACCACATTAAAATTCTCCAAAACCGCTAAGGAAGCCTCTAATGAAACGGAAGATGAATCGTCAACCAAATCAGGTAAGTGGTTATTATCTGGCTCTGAAGACGGGAAAATTATCATATGGAGAACCAAGGATTGGGAAGTATTTGGAACATTGAAGGGTCATACTGGTAGAATTAATGATTTGGACATTCATCCTAGTGGAAGAGTTGCTATTTCTGTATCTCAAGATCAAACAATTAGGTTGTGGAACTTAATGACAGTAAAGAAAGCAGCTGTATTGAAAATTAAAGGTAGAGACCATTTGGGACAGAATGGAGAATTTGTCAGATGGTCCATTAATGGAACACATTTCTTAGTTGGTTTATTAGACAAATTGCTTGTTTATAAGACCCAAGATGCTAAAATCTGTAAAAAGATTAAGTTCAAATCAACTTTGATGTGCATTGAAATCATAGAAATTGATGGGACAGAATGGATTGTTACAGGACACTCAAATGGTTCAATTGACTTTTATGATTTCAAAAATCAAATTATACCGGATGATTCTAATAATGACGAAGTTGAAGATGCTGATGCTGATTTTGTCACACCCACTTTTAGTTTACAAGGCCATGCTAATCGTATTAAAGATTTATCTTTCTATAAGGATAATGCTGAGACCGGAGGAATTCCATATTTGGTTTCAGTTTCTTCAGATGGTAAAATAGTAGTTTGGGACCTAACTAAATCTGTTCGTGATCAAGTTGCCGTATACGATAGTGGTGAACGTTTGAACTGTGTTGTTGTATCACCAGAATCAGTTGAAAAATCCTCTACGATGAAGAGACGTTACAATGAAATTGATACAGAAGGTGCCTTCAGTGAATCTGAATATGAAACCGATGGTGAAGAAATCAAAAAAGTATTGAAAGCAGCCACCAAGAAGGGAAGAAAGGGTAAAAAGTCAAAAAGAGTGAGTGTTCAATTAGAATAAACATGATAGAAAGGTCTCTGATTAAATATAATTTGTATAATATATATATTCATATATTTACGTCTCTATTAATACCAGTATTAATACAAGAATTTATCCCCGTTCCTTAAAAGGTATTTACAACTTAGCAACAAAACGGTCGAACAATTGCTTAGCTCTGACCCAGACAGGAGCGGTTTCTCTTTCGGGTAATTGCATTAAGGAAGGCAACAAGTCTCTGGAAAAGAATTCTGAAGCTTCTCTTGGTAACAAAGAAGGCAAGTGATCAATAGAGCAAACAGATAACTTGGGACCTACTGTGGTTTCAACAAGAACAGTTGGTTCATTGAAAACAGTAGCAACAGTATAGACAGGGACAGGGTTGTGAGGGTTTGTTGTATCAGCAGAGACATCGACAATTGTTCTCAACTTTCTTTCAGGGGTATTCAAAGTTTTCAAATCAATGAATGGAGCAATTGGCTTGGACAAGTAGATACAATTGACGAAAATATCACTTTCGGCAATTTCTACAAATGGACCACCACGGGCAGTTTCCTTCATATCCCACTTCAAAATCTTGTCATCTGGGATGCCAATCTTTTTGAATAAATCAACAGCACCAGAACCACATCTACCTAAAGCTCCAATAACCAAAGCTTGAGGGAATACACCACCATTCTTAGACAAAGCATCATCCAATGCAGCCTTGACATCCTTGATCAAAGAATCTTCATTAGGATATGGTTCAACACCTGGCAATTCTTCATTATCAGCATGAGTTTGCTTGAAAGCCCAATCTAAGACTCCGATAGCAGCACCAGCGAAGCCAGCATAGAAACCAAAAGCAGCAACTCTTCTTCCACTCTCGTCTTCCAAAAATTCCAAGTCATACAAGGTACCATTTCCTTGAGGAAATCTTCTTAAAACATCTTGCCAGCCAGCTTGTCCCTTGTAACAGTGAGCAAATTGAATATGTTCATGTACTAATGGGAAAGATTCTTCAGGTAATTCCTTCAAACCAATGATAATACGATCCTTTGGTGCATCAACCCATGAACCTTCAGGTACTATAGTGGCACCAACGGCTTTATATTCTTCAGACTTGAAAATTGATTGAGAGGATTCTTCAACGAAAACTTGGAATCCAGCATCCAACAACGCCTTAGTGGTTGTTGGAGTCAAAGCTGCTCTGTGTTCCAAAGGCTTGGTTTCAGCTCTCAAATGTAAAATAACTGGGGCCATTATAGCAGATAGTATTACTTGTTAAGGTACTCAATACAGTGTGCAATGAATATCAATTCTTTCTAGAATAAACTTTGTTTAATGGTTGACTTTCTTAGCCGGTTTTATATGGACTGAAAATTTACCCATTTGGTCACCTGCAGACAGTGCCAATCCTAAATGAGTCAAGTACCGCTTTTTTTTATGTTATCAATACGGCGCGCCGGTGCCCCGCTGACTCATCTAAGAATCCAAATAGATAACATGCTCATAGGCTTCCATTGAATTGGCGCTACCAAAACCTGAGATGCCATTTACTCCACAATTCACCCATTTAGTCATAAGCACCAACATGTGATGTAGTAATGACAGTTTTAGCATAGTACCAACTATCAGAGCTACAATGAAAGTTCAATGGTTTATATTGAAAAAAAGGCAGTCAATTTATTTATGATTTTATTACGGGCTTTGATAACATTAATACACCAACAGACTTGACTATGTAGATGCAATTAGACATATATTCTCAATACTATCTACTCGCGAGGTTATACACTTTAGAGGTTTTAATTTTCAAACAATTCTACCAAACCTCTCAAAGTGTCTGCATAAATTGTAGCACATGTTTCCTGAAAATAGGCTCTGCATCAATCCAGTTCTCCGATTCAGCAAAGGAATCTCCCCATACCTTCAAATGCTTTTTTATAAGAGTCACTTCCAACTCCCCAACCTTACCGTTTGACGCCAGTTTCTCTAAGATCAACTGTGCGAACTCTCGATCATTTCGAGAAAGGAATGCAACAACCAAAGCTTCTGTTAATCTTCCTGACGGAGAACGATTGGTTTTTTCGGATGTCTTTGTAGACAATTGAGATATGTAGTCATTGAAAACTTGTATCAGGTTATCGGCATCAAATACAGCGTTAGCAATAATTAACAGTTGTAATTGAGCAACAGTGATTTCTTCGGTGAGTAAAGAGTTCATGATTTGTAGGTTAATTTCTATTTGGGTGTCAACCAGATGATAACCGTAAATAATCACAAGCTGGTTCTGTAAAAGATGGAATTCACTCTTGGCATGTGTTGAATAATAATGATATTTCTGTAATAATTTGGGGAAGTCGTTCAATCGGTAAGCAAGGTACTTCATGAGTTGTAAGCGAATAGCTACACTTTCTATTTCTTTGGATTCAACGATGGCAAAAATACTTGCTAGATCTACCAGCACAAAGGGAATGCCCAATCCCTTAGCAATAGATTCCTCATGGGCACTAATTGATTTCAACAGCTCTTCATTGTTGTTAAGGACCTCGATCGCATTAACATAGTTGGTGATGGAATTCAGCTCACCTTGTTCCAAATAACCAAATAACTTCAAGTAAGTGTACGGATTTAAGTCATTTCCATCAAGAATGATAGAAAGTGCTTGTGGTGAAATCTCACAGACTGTGGCCATTTGGTCAAGCATTGAAATAGCATTCAATTTGTCTAATTTAAGAATAATTTCCTCCAACAAATCCGTGGACACTTGAAACTTCTCTTCACCTTTCATCAGCTCTAAAGTTTCTAAAAGCTCTTGCAACTCCATTTCGAATTCCAGTGCCTCGTATCTCTCACCTCTAATAACCTTTTCAAGTAGTTTAAGCGAAAGCGATGGATGATCCCGGGCAAATTCTTTAGCAAGTTCTTTAGACAGTAAAACTCGACCTGGGTTCAAGTCTAAAAGACGTATTTGGGATTCAAGAGGTAACTTAGATACTTGCGGAATCTTAAAATATATGCCAAAAGAATCTATACCATCAAAGATCATATTGATAAGTTCATTTTTTGATTGATTTTCTGAAGCGATGAGTGCTTGAACAAGATTGACTAATTCATCTTGTGAATGATCGCCTTTGGAAAGTTTACTTTGAAGTAAAGACAAAGTGATAGCGTTTGGCTTTGCAACTAGCGAAGATATAAATCGTCTGGATACCAATGACATTGTGGATGGTCGTTAAATGTCGTTCAAAGGAAGAAGTATATATAAGATCAAGACATTTTTAGTAATTTCGCAACATACTTTATACATGACCAAATTGAGCGAGTCTACAACTATTACACCCCTTTGTTACTAATAAAATTGATTGGTTACTAATTGGCTATTTAATTATTATTTTGTTATTGAGTTTTCTAAAACACTCAACAATCCAATACCCAAACTGTAAGATTCAAACAGAGAATCCACATCGAAACTTTCAATGTACTGATCTTTCTTGTAATACTTTTCTAAATATTCATTGTAGTCAATAAGTTGGTTTTCTTCCTCGCAAGCATAAGACCAAGCAGCTTTATAAGCTCCACCCAAGGCACAGGCATTACTAATTTCCACTTTAAAGTTACCTGCCAGGGGACCTAAGATAGTACCAAATTTCCGAATGATACTGGAATTGTTAGAGGCACCTCCAACATAGAAACATCTATTAGGGTGTGATGAAACCATTTCCTTCGTAATCTTGGTGCCATCAATAGATAAATCAGGGAAATAGTGAACAAGATCTTTATATGGAATGGAATCACTTGCATTTTCTGAAGGGTTGTTATCGATTTCAGGTGTCGCACTTTTGGAACTCTTACTATGAGCCAGCATAAATGCCAAACGAACACGACAACTTAAAGCTTGAGAGTCAACAATACCACAAACATCGTTCTTAATGTCCCACAGAGATTTCATATTCACAGCTCCCGTTGTGGGATCAAACTCACATCGGCGATATATCTTAGCTGGGGTAGTTGGAACAATTTCACCTAATGGGAAGTAAATACCCAATTTCCCATCAAATTTCGATTGAGAGTCTAGTATTTGGTTGAACTCATTCCAAGTTGAAGATTCCAGTAACTGATCTCTAATTTGCTCTCTTGCTAATGAACCATTGCAATAACAAATCATCCCCATATAATGGTTGTGCAATGTGGGATGCTTGAATAAATGATAATTAGGAGATGGATTATAATTGTCAGTGACAATAAGAACAGTTGTTGATGTTCCTAAAGATACAAGAGCATCATTTGCTTGAAGGGGCAATGCAAGAATAGTTGCAAGATTGTCACCTGTCATGGGATAAATTTTGCAATCTGTAGTGAATCCATATTTAGAAACAAAATATGGAGCTATTCTTCCAGCATTCTTATACAATGAAGATGACGACAAGGCATCAATCTTACCCAACTTTCTTTTGATCTCTTGTAATGCTTCATCACGTTCTGATGCCGATTCAACGCCATCATAAATTTTGGAATGGGAAGCTGCAAGCAAGAGTAACTCGTCATTCCAATCATTCGTATTCATATCAAATAAATTCATACCACCAGCATCAGCCAACTCCAAGTCAGAATAATCCCCCACAAGCAAAGTAGTGATAAAACTTGACACCAATGAAATTCTAGAGGTATCATTATAAACTTCGGGCATAGTTCTTGAAATCTTTCTAATTTGTAATCCAGTAAAACGCAAATGACTAGTGGATCCCGTGACCTTAGGTAAATCAATTGCTTCTTTAAAGATTTGGGCTTCCTTTCCTGTCGAGTGGTCTTGCCAATTAGGAGAATAATTATAACTAAAAGCCCCCAGTAACTTTTGCAGTAAAGGTTCATTTTCATTTGTTGATTTCAAGGCATCTTGTAACTGCTCATTTGACCATTTCCAATAAACACTTCCATGTTGTTGCGCAGAGCCACAGATACCCTTAACTTTCAGGAATTCAAACCCATCATTCTTCATTTGTTGCAACACCAGATCGATTGCATCAAGCCAAATTTCAATTGGAGATACAATACAACCCTCTCCTAAATCTAGTACTCCTTTACGTACACCATATTTCTTTCCAATGGGCAACGTATCAAACTCTACAGAATACACTTGAAGAGGAATCAAAGTATCCAGACAAACCAATATCTTCAACTGTTGAGTCAGCAAATCCCACCCCAAAAACATGTTTAAAACTCTATTCTAGACCACTTCACAGGGTTTTTATTGTAAATTGGCCACGCAGGTAAAACGAAAATAAGTAAAAGTGTTAGAAGAATTGCAGCAGGATAAAGAATGTACACTACTGAGTTTGTATAAATGCCAACTATTAATGACAAAAAGCCAGCAAAGTATAAGTAGTTGTTAATAAGCGAGTCGACAGCTTTCTGGCCTTCAAAGTCAATTGATTGTTCAATCCAAGGATGAGGCATCGGAGATTCTCTTGATATGTATACAGAGATACGATAAAGTTATTGTAAATAAGTACAACTAATCTTGACATAAATTCCTTTAGTGACAACAATTCGAAAGTTGACCAGGTGACTAAAGACTAATACGTCACGTGATTCGAATTAAGTAGGCAAGTACTGCTTCATAGTTCAACATACTTTGTCCTTTGAATGAAAATCGAAGATGGTTCCCAACTTATTTCCAAGGTTTGTTTTCTACCATGTATAGCTTTAGAGTTTATTGGAATTAGTATAATGAATACTTATGACCACGTTATTCTACTTCATGGAGAGCAAACAAGGTTTAGCGTGTGAACTTTACATTATTCATCTACTTAAGTTTTTGCACAAATTGCGAAATACTTACCATAAGGTTTTAGACTGCCATTGATCACCTTCTTCCCTGGATATTACTCCCTGCAAAAGCCACATGAGTATTAAGACGATCACCTCCTGATACACAAGATTGTTCATGCCCCTTCAAAAAGTAATGAGGGCATTAACGACCAATTACCGCATGCAGTTCTTCGCTTCTACTGATAAGACATTTTAATTTGTACATACTTTAGTCTCCTTTGCCTTTTAGCATGTCCAATGTCTTATACTTGGGTGATGTCATCATCTTCCCCTGGTACCTTACAACCCAATAATCATGATAGATGGGCTACTAGAATGCCCCACCTCACATAAGTGGGGTATAGTTGTCCAATATTTCCTTCAGTAATGTAATTTCTTCCACATCAAACCCTATTCTTTAAGATTTCTCAGCCTCCAATTTCACATGTTATATACTATCATTTTAATCTTTCCTTTTTGAATATTACCATTATTCCCGATTGGAACTACAGAAGGAGCTCTGGAAAAGAAAATCTATCAAAAAAATGATTACTATAGTTTGTGCTTAATGTGATATCGTAGTTGTTACCCTATACTAATCAGCATCACTGTAGTCGAATGTTGAGTTTGCCAAACTGATATTGATTCCCCACAATTAGAAATAAGAGTATCAAAGGTTTCGAGTTACATTTCCTGGTAACCCCATCGAGGATATGCTTCAAAACTTGATGCACAAAAACGTGCGTAGGTTACCCTTTCTCCGGATTTTGGAACACATGGGGGGGAACATCACAAATGTCGGGGATGTTTGTCCGACAACAGATTTTCTGGCATTGACGAGTGAAACTAAATCAGAAGTACATGGTTTTCGAAATCAATAAATAAATAATAAATAGTAATAAATAATAATTGTTATAATTGTTATAATAATAAATAGGACTTCATCAAACTATTTCATACACAAAAAAGGCAAAATAAACAGCTTTCAGAAAATAGTGGTGAAAAATAATCACCTAACATCACCGTTGACTACCCGTAAAGTAGAAAACGTAATTGTCATCAAACACATAACCAAAACCCAATAGAACACATAAAAGAAGAATAACCAAAACATAGCAAAAGATATAGATAAAAAAATAAGCTCAAGATAGATAACTGAGACCCTACCTCAACATTGATGCAAACGTACCAATTAAATGTACGTTCAAGCTTTAAGAATTCTAGTTCCTCTTTATAAACCCAGTTTTTTAATTGAAAACCCCATTTTCTAGTAAATCTTCCACATTGGTGTATTCTTCATTTGATAATTCCATTAAAGATTCATTATGTGGATCAATGGATTCAAACGAAAACTTATAGCCAGCATTGGAATCTATACTTGCATCAGTGGGGATATCATAAACTTTATGTTGGTGAAGATTATGGGAATGGTATGGGAAAGCAGAATTAGTTTTCACCAATGGTTCAGTAGTACTGACACTCGTAGACCGAGTTAAACTTGTCATCAAACTGTTATAAATGTCTAAATCTGAGAATGGAGAAGACGAAGTTCTGGACAAATCACTTGTAGGAGAAGTAATATCATCTATATCAGCATCATCTTCATCATTGTGCATGAATTCATCATCTTCAAAAACACCCTTTGCAACACTGACAAGGGGTTCTTCTGATTCTTCTTCTTCGATTGTTTCTGGTTGTTTTTGAAATTGTTCCGAATCTTCGGGATCTATGAGGGAGTCATTAAGAAATCGTAACATATCGTCATCGGCACTAGAAGGAGTAGAATAATTACCAGTCAACTCTGTGAAAGATCTTTTGCGGAAATTAGTGTGATCCAGGAAGAAATAGTTGTTCCGAGATAGTATAATGTGTGCAGATGATGGCTGAGCTCCAATTGACTTGGATCGCATAGGAATTGTTGGAGCCAATGCAGAAGGAGAACCTCCTGGGAGTGGGGAGTTAATAGGAGAATTTGTGGTTGTATGAGAAACAGAAGGATTGATGGGAGTTGCCCCATTCCCGTGATTTATAGATTCAGTTGTCAGAAGATCAAGATCAAGGCCTTGATGAGTCTGAGTAAAGCTTTGGTTTGTTTTGAACATAACCGCATTTTTCAAATGCTTGTATTCATTAATCAACAGCAAGAGATGATTCTTCAAGTTGCAATTTTCTGAATCAATGGCGGTTATTTTAGAAGTAAGCTCCTGGGTAGGTGTGTTTCTCTTCTTGCGAGGTTTCACTGCCTTTGGACCTGAGGTGGCAGCGGAAACGTTCATGGTATCATAAGTTTATTTTGGTGGAGATAATACTCAATGCAATGTATAGCCAGGGCACATGCCACTTTATAAGAACTATATAAAAAGGGAATGAATTAAACGTGTAGAAGAAATAAAACACTACTTTGAAAAAGACGTGGTGATTGGTTGTTATTTTTTTCGTTTCTTTCAATTAGCACCTCATCGACAGGTGTAAATTGAAGAACTCTTTGTATATATATATAAAGTGACTCAAGAATATACATAAGTATATAAAAAAAAAAGAGTCGGCCGGTATACGCAGTCCGCGCTGGCGATAATAGCTTCGGTCCCCCATAGGATACCAGACAAAAAGAAAGCCAAAGGAGGATTTTTTTTATTTTGGCACTTGCCTTAGCTACGTACCACAAACACAAAGCGAGCTTGCGGATGGGCACAAAATGCATGCTGACCTTTTCCGTGTTCCTCACTGATCATTGACAACAGGCTTTAAATAAATGGTCATAAGCATGAAGAACTGATTGCAGTTAGAATTAGGAATCTAGCATTCTGGTTTGTAGAAGGAGGCTGTCTTAGTGGTAGAGGCACATTACCTAAGGTGTCTCTAAGTTTCTTTTAGAAGTAGAAATTGTGCATTGGGTTTTGCTTCGTTTAATGTTGGATCGTTCATTGATTAACTGTCGGCCATAATACAAATATATCTCATTCACAAAGCAAACTGAAAGCTAGCAGTTATTTTGTTTGCGTTGATTGAAAGCGTATACGTATATCGCCGATTTATTGATGCCGATGCCAATTAATATTTCCGGAGATGATCCAGATATTATTATCAAAGCCTATCCATAGCCATAGTCAAAATCACTCACTCACTAAATCACAAGCAGGTAGCGCACGTTCCGCCGGCTTTCCGTTAACCGGGAAGGAAATTTTATTTTGGTTATTTGCATTCAACCTGCATGCATCCGAATTAAGCCTCATTTTCCAAATTCTCCCGTCATTTCTTACCCGATAATTTCCGTTACCGTTCGGGTACAATACGTAATGACGAAGTTGACCCTTTCATGCAATTTTACCTCACAACTACAATCTCTTCTACTCTGAAACGACAATCTTGACCTGCTAATTTTAAGTTACCATCATTACTTGTAGCTTTTACCGTGCTACCGGTCTGTCCGATTTGATGCCATTCATCTGATCAGTCTTATTTTACAAGGGCTACGTTATGGTACACTGTTCATTGTTGAAATTTTATACCCGGCAGCGTGCCAGAACCACGGTCTATTTATGGGTGAAATGGACCAAGTAAAATAGAGTCAAATCCCATTACACCATTTCCAAAAACCGATGGGCCTCCATAATATTTCTGGAATTACATAATACAATAGACACAAGGAAGTCGTTGGAATCACTACTTTTGGCTTCTGTCGACCGGCCCCAGCAACAGTAATTAAACGAAGATAATAGTTGAAAAAAAAACACACATTCTATAACTACAGTGTGCGAGAAAAGATGTCCGAGATCTTGGAATAACAGCTTTCATTCTCTGTCCTGATAGTTTTAGCCTTTATCATCTGCACCCGATGGGCGTTGGAGTGAGCAACCTGTGGAATACGTTTTCGAATACCTCATACTACAATCGCGGAGGTATCGTAGATTACGTATGTTCCGAGCGGCTCTTAACACCGAGCTATGGTATATTTATAAAGCCTTATACACGACTCATCTCGTTTCTAATTTTTTTACACCCCTTGCAACAAAGATTAACAATGAAGCCTGAGATTATTATGGCTTGTTCCAGTTCAACCTTCACACATCATCAACAAACTATTATGTTGCTTTTACTGCATTTCGAGTATTGCATCAATGGTATAATCAAATGCAGTCGCAAATCGAAACCTAAGCCCTCACTCATATAACAATTTCCACTTGGTTACAGCATTTCACACACTAATCAGTAGTCTAACTAATCTCACAGGAACACTCAAAGCAATTAGGAGCGTTTGCCCCTTTTGCGTGTTTATACTTTCCCATCTATCCTGTTACCCCAGATTCCTCTCCTGATGTTTTTCTTCCACATCTTTGTACAGGCACTTCACTTTGTGAATGTGTATCCATGTTTCCCGGAGAAAAATCATGCAAATCTGGGGGCCACAGCGCTGCTTCGTCTATACCAAATTGATGGTTAAGATTCAGTATTTTAAATCACCGGAGGTAAATACTTAGGAAATAAAGGCAAGACTTGTCAAAGCAAGCCTTATCAATCTTAATCGAACCACCACGAAATTGAATCAATTTTGTTACGGAAGGTCCTAGCAACTCCGTTCGCTGTTTGGAGCAACCCCACAAAATTTTTTGGTACCTACGCATGAAAGGTAGACATCAGCACACTTTATGATTTTTGGAATGCATACGACAGTCTCGGACTTTCAAACGGCTTTCTGGACTATAGCCAATATGTGTGTATATGATTGTAATCTTTGAACCAGGAGGTAGTAAGTTTTCACCATGAAGGAGCATTATAACTTAAACGAACATAGACTCAAGAACAGGCTTTTAATTCATTGTTCGATAAAGACGCCCCGGAAGCCATTGGCGGTGGTATTTTTGTGGGATACTAACGTGTTTTCCCTCGTACGAGGACGTCATGGTTTACTTGTATCGCGCTTGCTATTTCATGTTGTACAAGTAAAGTCCCACTATGGCTTTCACTGAAATTCAAATGAGTACTTTATGTAGATAAACGTCCAGTAGTACCGTAGACACAGTAGGACCCAACTTATTGAGGTTTTCTAAAGTGGAGTACCAGAGAAGGACGTTTTATTTATCGGGAACTTAGAGTGCAAGCCTATGATTAATCTCAATGATCATGTGTACTTACTTTAAGTACATCTGGTAGCAGCAAAAGAAGGAATACTCAATGATTTATTACTATCATTATATCTCAATGTACTTCGTATAACTGAAGTTCCTGATTACTGGCACTGGCTGGGCATTTTACTGGTATTATTCTAAGCCATTCAACACCATCATTATGTACTAAAGCACTCTTTTCCTTTTCTTCAAACAGGTCTTTCACTAAACTAATTGCAACATCGATTCTGGGTGCAAAAAAATAGTCCGTCCCAGTTTATAGTAATTCACATTTAGGGTTCACATGCAGGACTTTGGACGATCTAAAAAAGTTTTGTTGACAGAAAGTATGTGCAAACATAATTATGACGCACCGGAAGACAGATAGTGGGCCAGCATTAACTACCTCTGACTCTGATAACGACTCGTTTGAAATAATGGAGTATGTTACAGACGCTGCTCTTGAGGATTTTGGAGGCACCGGACTTCAATCATTGGTGCCACTCCTTGAAGCTCAGTACTCCAATACTGATGAAAAATTGCTGGTGATCAGCACCATTTATACTGAATGTCTTGTGTGTTTCGAAGCTGAATTGATCCAAGACCATTTATTGGTGCAGTTGTTCTCCGCAGTGATTACTGATGATGTGCATGCTGTTTGTCTTTGTCAAGTGTTTGATTCGTTTAACTTGTCAGATTCAATACCATTAGTGGAGCTTCTCGCACTGTTGCTTCGTAAAGGTATTTTGAAGCAATCGACTCTCGCTCAACACATCTCTACACACCTGGTATTGGCTCAATTGGGCATTTTTAACAAAGACTCTTTCCAAAGGCAATTAAATATTCACAAACGTGATCAATTCTACACTCAAAGGAAATATAACTTACTTCATGAAGAGGTGGAAGGTTATTCTAAATTCATTTACGAACTTACCTGGATAATCCAATCTCCTGATTCCAAATATCAAGTGGACAACGCTCACGAGATAATTCTTTCTCTTGTTGGTCATTACCAGCTTGATCCCAATCGATGTCTTGATTTATTGTTAGGATTGTTTTGCAATTATTTCATCAATTCACCCACATTTTGTATCCAATTACTTAAGAAATCACAATGGTGGCCGTCAACTCCAGCTGATTCTGGTAAGGATTTTGAATCCTTAATCATTGGTGGAAACGTCAACGCTGCTAAAATAATTGGATTAACTTTGACAAAAAATCCAAAAAAAAAAGATTTGACAGAAACTTATAGAATCCTTGTGGCATGTCTCATTAAAGAAGGCTTTATAAGTTTTGGACAAATATACCCTTATCTCACTAGAGATGATTGTGAAATGCTGATTATCGAAGCTCAATACAAAAAGGAATTGGACGACCAGGTTTTTAGAGCCAGTGCATCCGCATTAGCTTTAGCTGCTCCTTTGGTCGAAGAAGAGGAAAGCGGTTTGAATACCATAAGCAATGGCACATCGAAATCATCAAGAGAGAAAACTGAAAACAGCTCTGTAGTTAAAAAGCAGTCAATTGGTGATATGTTAGCTTATAACTATAAGTTTCAATTCCTTCGAGTCTTTCTTGGAAACGGACTTTACTGGCCATCCATATATATATTGACCGAAAATCCTTTTCTTGGCCATGTTAATCCCGAGATTCCTCAATTGATTTTTCGATTACTTAATGTCATGCTCGAGCCATTATATTCCAAAGTTCAACCTTTTAGTACAAGTCAATTGTTAGAATTGAGTGCAAAGAAGAAAATTTTACTGCCCAGGTTTAACTCTGAAGCCACACAATTTGTTCATTTTTACAGTTTCAAACCAACGATCCAAGGCTTTGCATACAAAAAGTTCCATTATATTTATGAGGATTGGGATAAATCTTTGCCCTTAGTTGAAACTGTTGACGGTTTATTTGAACGCCTGGAAGAACTATTCAAATTTTTAGGAGTTCATTTAGCAAACGATGTTGAGTTATTCATCAAACTTTGTGAAATTGCCAATTGGGATTTAAACTCTCACAATATTACCAATGAACGTAAAGCTAAATGGTTGCAATTCTTCAGGAGATTCTTGTATCCTGCTATGGGATCTATTGAGGAGAATTCCATAGCAGTTGACAAGGCTTTTGCTGTTTTGAAGAACTTTCCACTTGAAGATCGGTTCAATTTATATGGTGAGCTTCATCAGGTGACATCAAAATCAAATCCTTATATTAAATTAGCCTATAATAAGGCTGAAAAGGCAACAAAAGATGTCTTGAAAAGACTTTCCAAGGAGAATGTTCCTTCAATGATGAGACGATTAGCTAAGATTTCGTTTTCCAATCCATTGCCATGTTTTTTAACTGTGTTCCAACAAATTGAAAGTTATGATAACTTAAATACTTTAGTTGTGGAAACTGCACGGTATTTCAACAGTTATGGATGGGATGTACTCACTTTGGCTCTTCTTATGCGTCTTACAGCTGCTGGTAGGTCTACTGTGCAAAGTGATGGACTTTTTGATCGTCAATGGATTCAATCGTTAGCAAGTTTTATTGGTAAGATATGTCATAGATACCCACTTGCGATTGATTTAACAACAATATTCAAGTTTCTTTTGAAAGCACTTCACAACCAAGAAACAATAGCCATTATTATTCTAAAGGAAATTTTACTTGCAATGGGAGGAGTTCAATCTATTTCTAACTTAACATCTACTCAAGTTGCCATGTTGAACAGTGAGTCCAGTGTTGAAAAAATTGCTTTAAAAACAATTATAGATTCACGCTATGATAGAATCAAAAGTGGTGCTGTGCTATTTAAAACATTATTCAACCTAGACGCAATTAATGAGTTGTTCATACTCTTATGCAAGTTTAATCAATCTTTTGTGCATCAATCAGAGGAAATGGTGCACTTAAAGGTTATGTGCAATAGAAGTGACGAATTGGAGATGTTGCTTCATTCTTACATTACATTTATAAACTTTTTTGGTTCGGAAGCAGTCGTAGTGGATCACTTGACTCCTATGGACCAAATGTTTTCCGTCTTTCATCTTGATTCAAAGTGGATCTGGGAGTTATGGAGGCATTATTTACCATCGACTATGCCACTTTCAGAGGAAGTCAAATTAGCAATTAAAAATTCTATGTTTGGAGAGTTGGGAACCAGGGTGTCTTTAGATTTGTATTTGACGTTTTGGAATCTTTCATTGTATGATATCAATTACGATGAAGCTATTTATTCAAAGTCACATGAAAAGATTGAAGCATCACTAGCAGCACTTAAAGTGAGCTTCGCCCAATCTAAAAGGTCTTCAAAGGAAGCAAGAGCAAAAGCTGATAAATTGAAAGATGAAATCGAATTAACAGAGCTAAAAATTGAACAAGTTCAGTCTGATAAGCAGAAACATGAACAGCATTCAGAACTGGTATTGTCATCTATGTCAACTGAAATTTCGAGTTGGTTTGCATCTGGTGAACATAATGATGAACAGATGAATGAGTTTATTTTACATTGTATCTTACCCCGTTCTATTCACTCTTCATTTGATGCAGTTTTCAGTGCTAGGTTTATCTTTATAATGAGAAAGTTACAAACACCTCATTTCTCCATCCTTACCTGTTTGGATAAATTATTCAATTCCCAGTTTCTTTTTGGGACATTGTATACGATGACTTCAACCGAAGCTGAGAATCTTGGGTTATTTTACGCAACTTTGTTGACTCAATTACAAGAATGGAAAGCAGAGGAAACTTTTTCGGTTGTATCATTGGTGAATAGTGACGGTGACTCACTTACATTAGCAGAGTTTGGTCGTGTATTATTTTCTTACCACGAAGCATTACTGAAGGAAATTATCAGTTCATTAAAGGCAACTGAATTCACCTGTATTAATAATGCTATTATATTTCTTAAGAATCTACTCGGAATATATCCTGTTGTTGAAGATCATTGCGAGTTACTCATTAGTATTCTTGAGTCCCTAATGAAGAAGGAAAGTCGCCAAGATTTGATTTTATCACTGAGTGCCTTGCTTGGTCATATCAAGTCAAGAACCAAGGAGCGGGTACATATGTGGGACTTTTATGAAATGGACCCTGAAGAGAAGCAGAAGCAAGTTGAGTTACGAGAAGGTTTACAAAAGGCAATTGCTGAAGCCAAATTGAAGATTCAGAGACAGAAAGAAGAGCAAATAAAGCAAAGAGAACGTGAAGAACGGGTCAGATTAGAGAAAGAGAAAGCTGCTGCTGAGACGAAAAAGGCCAATATTTATGATGAAAAATTACCCAAGTCCATACCAGCTGGTCCAAGCAGTTCAAGAAGTACAGGCATCAGAAGCGGTACAGAGACTCCTGCTAGGAGATATGATTACTACTCGAAATATGAAGAGAAAAAGTCTACTGTTAATGATGGTGATAAAAGCAAACAGGAAAAGCCTACACCTAAGAATGCATTAGAGGTTCCAAAGGATAAGATTTCAGCTAGTGAGTCTAAATCAGACTCGAAAAGTGTTACACCTGCACTTGTGAACCCAAAGATTACGAATATTCCTAGTCAACCCAAATCACAAACTGAACTCTCCTCTTCAACAGCCAATGATAAACTTCAGAGGAAAATATCCGATTTGAAGAGTAACATTTTGGAGAAGAGACTAGCACCGGAGAAGCCAAAATTGCGTGACAATGGTCAGGGAGTATCAACACTTCCTCCACCACCACCACCTCCTCCTCCTCCTCCTCCTTCTTCTTCCGCTCCTCCATCTTCTTCCGCTCCTCCTTCTGCTCCAAGCTCTCAATCATCTAATACTTTGCAATCCAAGAAACGTGAATTTTCTAGCGTTGATAGGTCCAAAGAGACCGAAGGAAGATCTTTTAAGAATGACAGACCAATTGCCCAGCCCCGTTCCAGCTATTACGATAAAAGAAGTGATGCTGGATTCCGTGATCGTGAAAGAGACCGGGAATTTGATCGTGACATTGAAAGGGAACGCCAAAGAGACCGTGATAGAGACCGCGATCGTGCCCGTGATCGTGATCGTGATCGTGATCGTGATCGTGATAGGGACCGTTGTAGAGAGTCGTATGGCTCGAGAAACAAGTACAACACTAACTCTGGTTCCGGAGGTGGCTCGAACTTTGTCAATGGAGGAGCTTCCAGGGACAGAAGGTTTGAAAGTGATAGAAACATTGGGTTTGCCCCTCAAGGACCCCTGGGAGGCAACCAAAGAAGTTCTAGACCTAGCGGGTCACAAATGAACAGGCCAATTGGCGTTTCTAAAGCCAGTTCACAAAGCCAAGGGCCATTGCCTCCCCCACCCCCTCCACCTCCTCCACCTCCTCCCTCTGCACCTTCATTTCAAAGTAGATCGGGTACTCAGCAGAATAGAGGAAGATACGATGGAAAACGGAAGTATAGTTCCGATCAAGAACGTATCGTCAAGAAACAGCGCCACTGATACATATGTCCATTACTAATACAATTTACTATATAATCATTCCCTAATATGAGCCAGTCCAGCTGTGAGCAGCTTGAGTTCAGAATCAATGAGATCATCCAATTCAAAGTCCTGTTCCTCCAAATCGATTTCGGTATTGTCAAGTTTCTGAAACTTCTTTTCTCTTTGGTTATTAAACTCAGAATCGCTAATAGTTCTCTTACAACCAGCGTCAGTTTCTTCTGGTGTCGGCAAATCATTCAATGTCGAAAACTCCTTTGGTGGAGAGTCGTCCAAAGTATCGAGAAACGCATTGATTTTCACTAACGAATCGGCATGCCATTTCAAATGACGACGGAGATCGTGATCTCTTCTGAACTTCTTGCCGCATTTGGGCTTGGGACAAACCAATTTTTTGGGGTCATAATTGTTCAGAATTAAATCTCGAATTGAGGTTTTCCCCGATTTAAGTGCAACATTCAAAGAGTCCGTTGAGATTATAGATCTTTGAGATTCAGATACATTGTATGGAGAAGCATCTCGTTTCATTCGGTGCTGTATATTTTCTTCTTCTTCATCGGACTCTAATTCGTTTAAATTGGAGATAAGTGTAAGGTCTTTAACATTCAGCTGATGATTCTCAGTAGCTTCCAGAAGCAATTGATCCAACTTCTCCTTGTCTGTAGCCTTTAGAAGATCTTCAGGTATATTCCCATCATGTAAATCATTATAATGTTCAATCAAATCCGCTTTTTTTATAAATTGTCCCATATCACAATAATTGCATTTCCAATTACGTACCATCTTAGATTCATCATGCAAATTGGTCATATGTGATTCCAACCCCACTTTACCAACACAGCCTTTCCCACAAATAGGACAGATCAATTTAGGATGGTCGGTATTGATATGAAATCTCAAAGCAGACCAGTTTTTGAAACTCTTGAAGCATCCTTGATGATCGCATTGATAAGTAGGCACTTCTCCATGATACTTCAAATTATGTTGCGCCAATCTATAAGGACGAGAAAATGACTTATCACATTGATGACATACTAATGTATTCTCATGTACAGACATGATATGATGTCGAAGAGATTGGTGCTTGTAAAATGTTTCTGTACATTCTGGATATGTACATGCAAATGATTGAGTATGAGTGATTTCATGTCTCTTCAAGTGTTGTCTTGAATTAACACCTTTCCCACAAACAGAGCAATGGAATGGTTTGGTATCACCCTCTTTATGGGACACCATATGGGCCTTGAGATGACTATTCCTCAAAAAGGATGCTTCACAATCTCCCTCTGGACATTTGAATGGTCTTTCATTTGTATGAGATCTCTTGTGCTGTTCTAAAAGTGATGGTCGATTATATGCCTTGTTACAATTAGGAAAATTACACACATGGTTCTTTCGTCGCACAGACGTGGATGATGATGCTGAAGTCACTGATGATGCGTAGCCCATGTAGTTAAATGTTAAATTTAATCATTGCAATTACATCATGGCATTATAGTCATCACTTTACTAACCTAATTTGATCGTAGATGTCGCACTTAGTGTCACTTTATATTCGTGGGAAAACCAATGTCGCATAGATTTGTTTTCCTTGTCTACTTCTTCTATAGGTAAGGAGAAATATAACAAGAACTTATCCTCATGGCCCAATGGTTAAGGCGTTCGGCTACGAACCGAAAGATTCCAGGTTCGAATCCTGGTGGGGATGGTTTTTTTTCAATTGGTTAATTACTACTTTTGGTATTAATAGTTTTTTTTATCACAGCACCTTTCCTCATGTGGATTTTTATACGACACTCTTGGAGTCATCACCTCCACTCTAAAGCTTGTGTTAGATGTTTAAACATTTTCACTAATATGGTGGATTTCTATGTGAAATTGTTCCTTTTCCTACGCCACGGACGTGCATTCGCACGAAATATTTCCCAAAGAATATATGAATCTTTCACAGAAGCAAGATCTACAGGCCCTATTCAAAACTAAACTTCAATACTATCATTGGTAAAACGTGTCTAATCTTACACATTGTAACACGTACTTTAGTCAATGTTCCTTTTTCATTTAACCAAAGTGGTGGTACGATGATTATTCTTTTAGCGAAAACAACCTGTACATGCGCTTATTAAAAGCGGGGCAGAGGCTGGGAAAAATGGGGTACAATAAAGCTTTAGTCGAGCCTATCAGTAAAAGCCTACAAATAGCTTAAGTACACTGTAAGAAATGCAAAGTAGCATATACTGGTAGTATAGTAATGGTGTTATAGTTATGTTGCCAAATGTAGGCTATTTAACACAGGAATGCTTGTAAAGTAGTATACTACTGTGTAGTGTATGAAGGGAAGTTGGAAATCCGGCTAAGGCTTTTCTATTACTAAGGTAAGTATGCTGCACCTAAAAGTGTAACTGGAAGCGCCGGACAGGCCGACGAACATTATTACGACGAGTACACAATACCATATAAAAGGGGGGTGGGGGAGGGGGAGGAGACTAAAAGATCTTGTAACAATTTACATATAAATAATTTGCTTCTTCTTCCATTCAATTAAACTTATTAGACGCCCATTAGACGCCGACTTCACCACCATGTCTACTAGAACGGTGTTATTGAGGTTGAATAACCACGGTGAGCCTGTAAACCATGAGAAAGCTCATAATGGAGTACTAATTGTTCCTCCATTAGAATTACCTGTTGATTATAAAGTGGGAGATGCCATTTATATTATTCGATTCCATATTGGAGCCACATCTCCTTTAACCCATAAAGGTGTTTTCCACATCAATGCCCCCAAGAGTTCCAATGATGAATTTCAAAGAGACAAATTTTATGAATACCCAATTGCTAATGACTTTTATAAGGATAGTATTATTGATATACCCTTATATACCACTGGTTCATTTGCCTTTTATAGTTCTTATGAAGACGGCAATGGTACTGGAGAAGGCAGTAAAATTATCACCAAAAAGTTTTACTTTAATGTGGCACCTAACTTGAGAATCCAAGGTAAATTTGTTGCTTTAAACAATATCAATATTCAATCGATTTGTTCAAAATTCATTGGACCTATTGACAAATGGGATTCAATCTTCAAGTATATAAGAAAAAAGGGTTATAATATGATCCATTTCACTCCTTTACAGTATAGAGGAGAATCCAATTCTCCTTACTCTATATTTGATCAATTAAGATTTGATCCAACCTTATTCTCTTCAAATGATGAAGCCATTGCATTCCTCAAGAAAGTTGTCACCGACAATAACTTGTTTGCAATGACTGATATTGTATTAAATCATACTGCCAATAATTCTGAATGGTTAATTGAACATCCAGATGCTGGCTATAATGCTGAAACTGCTCCTCATTTGAAATCAGCCATTGAATTGGATTTGGCCTTGAGGGAATACTCCAATTCTTTGGGCAAATATGATTTACCTACATATATTAACTCCACAGATGATTTGCACCGTATTATGGAAGGTTTATCGGAGCATGTCTTTGTAAAACTTAAGTTATGGCAATATTATGTCGTTGATAGAGTGGGAACTTTGGCTAATTTGGAGGCTGCCTACAAAGAACATGGAGCTAATATCAGTCCAGTAGATGTTCCATCTGATTTAGACAGAGGAGATTTAAAGCAAGTTGCAGATTTCACTTGGAGAGTTGCCGGACCTGGTGATGGAAGAAAATTAGAAAGCAGATTTAGTAATGCTTTGAATTCACACAAGCTTTTAGCTATTGTTTTGAAAATAGTTTCCAACGATTCAGATGCTTCCAGAGTACTTGACGAAGCAGGAAGAATTATCGATGAGATTAATGTGGCCTTTTACAAAGATTATGACGAAGATGTTCATACTATAAAAAACCAATTGTTCAATAGAACAGCCTACTTATATTTAGATCATAATGGTCCCTTAAAAGGTAAACAGATTACCGAAAAGGAACCGTTCATTGAAACTTATTTCACCATATTTAAAGATTCAACTGGAAAACAATGGGAATGTGCCAACAATGGTTGGTTATGGGGAGGTGATCCATTGGTTGATTTCGCTTCTAATAAGTCTAAAGCATATTTGAGAAGAGAAGTTATTGTATGGGGTGATTGTGTGAAATTAAGATATGGTAATGGACCTGAAGACTCACCATATCTTTGGGAAAGAATGATCAAATATTCCCGTTTCTGTGCTGAAGTTTTTGAAGGTTTCAGAATTGATAATTGCCATTCAACTCCTTTACATGTTGGTGAAAGATTATTGGATGAAGCCAGAAAGGTGAATCCTCATTTGTATGTTGTTGCAGAATTATTTACTGGTTCTGAAGAAACAGATAAATTGTTTGTTGAGAAGTTAGGTATCAATTCATTGATTAGAGAAGCAATGCTGGCCTGGAGTGTTCAAGACTTATCAAGATTAATCCACAAACATGGTGGTAAACCAATTGGGTCATTGACATTATTACCATTAGATGAAGTGTCATACCCCTGTGCAAATGAACCTGACTTTGCAACTTATAGGGCTTGTGCAACAGAGTTGGAAATTCCCACATTTGTCTCCCATCAACAGCCACACGCTTTGTTTATGGACTGTTCTCATGATAATGAAACACCATACCAGAAGAGAACTGTTGAGGATACATTACCAACTGGAGCATTAGTTGCATTTTGCTCTTCAGCAATTGGCTCAGTGTTTGGGTACGATGAATGCTACCCATTTTTGCTTGACATTGTTCATGAGAAAAGGCAATATACTTACGGTAAAAATGGTATAGCCGAAGTAAAAGCCAGATTGCACGAAGTGAGAGAGAAATTGGCACTTGAAAGTGACGACATTGCCAACGACCATGAAATGTACATTCATCATGAAGGTCAATACATTACAATCCAAAGATACAATACGAAAACTGGTAAAGGTTGGTACTTGATTGCTCGTAATAAATTTTCAGATTACTACGATCAACAAATGTTAAGCCCTGTTCATTTAGGTGGTACGCAAGTCAAATTAGAGTTCGCTTATTCCTTAAAGAAAACAGTTGACCCAGAAAAGAATCCTGAATATATTACGGGAATTCCTGTTACGGTTGAGGAATTGGAATTACCTCCCGTTCAATATGATGGTCATGAAAGTTTGATCACTGTTGATGAAAGGTTTGTCCCTGGGTCTATTGCAGTTTTCTCAACTACTATTCCACATGTTGATATTACCTTGGATAAGTTTATTAGAGAAGGTGCCATTGTTGCATCTGAGAAATTAGACTACAATGATTTGAATGCATTGTTATACAGATGTGAGAATGAAGAACGTGACTACAGTCATGGTGCTGAAGGATGTTACGATATTCCAGATTATGGTAAATTAGTTTATGCTGGGTTAGGTGGTTGGATTTCTGCTTTGAAACCAGTTATCTATCAAAACAACCTTGCACACCCTATCTGCAATCACTTGAGACAAGGCGAATGGGCAATGGATTATGTTGTCAATCGTTTAGACAAGTATGCTGAGAACTCATCTGGCTTAGGTGAGTTCCGTGATTGGTTGAAATCAAGAATCGAGGCTATTAAAGTAGCTCCTTATTTCTTAAGACCTCATTATTTTGCTCTTGTTTTGGGTATTGCCTATGAAGCAGCACGATTTAGAGCATTGAGATTATCTACCCGTCTTATTCAAGTGGGTGGTAACTTCTTACAAGATTTGGCACTTACTTCAGTTCAAATGGTTGGGAAAATGAAGGGTCCCTCTATTTTCCCCTTTGAGCAAGTTCCATGTCTTGCAGCCGGTTTACCTCATTTCAGTTCAGATTACATGAGATGTTGGGGTAGAGATGTCTTTATCTCATTCAGAGGTTTATTATTAGTCCCTGAACGATATGAAGATGCTAAGTTGCATATTCTTGGGTTTGCCAAAACCTTGAAACATGGTTTAATCCCTAACTTGTTGGATTCTGGTAGAAACCCTCGTTTTAATGCAAGAGATGCTGCTTGGTTCTTTATGCAAGCTATTCAAGATTACATTATCAAAGTTCCTAATGGTATTGAGATTTTGAAGGAAAAGGTTACCAGAAGATTCCCATTGGACGATACCTGGGTACCTGTTGATGATCCAAGAGCCTTTTCTCATGAATCCACTATTGAGGAAATTGTTTATGAGATCTTCCTGAGACATGCAGGTGGTATCAAGTATAGAGAAGCCAACGCTGGCCCTAATTTGGATTCGCAAATGAAACCTGAAGGGTTTAATGTTGAAGTTTATGTTGATTGGAACACTGGTTTAATTCATGGAGGTTCACAATGGAATTGTGGAACTTGGATGGATAAAATGGGTGAAAGTGAAAAGGCAGGTAACAAGGGATATCCTGGTACCCCAAGAGATGGTGCTGCTGTTGAATTACAAGGGTTATTAAAGAGTGGATTAAGATTTTTCAATAATTTACACGATAAAGGATTATTCAAGTATTCATCAGTGAAGAGACAAGACGGTTCAACCGTTGGCTTGAAGGAATGGGAAACCTTAATTCAAAATAATTTCGAGAGGTGCTTTTATGTACCAATTGATCCATTAGATGATTACAAATTTGAAGTGGATGGTCTGATTGTGAACAGAAGAGGTATTTATAAGGATTTGTTCCGTCTGGGTAAACCATTTGAAGATTATCAATTAAGACCTAACTTTGCCATTAGTATGGTTGTTGCACCCGAATTATTTGATGCTAAACGTGCAGTTGGAGCCATTGATGTTGCCGATTCTGCCATTAGAGGGCCTGTGGGTATGCGGACTTTAGATCCAAGTGATTGGAATTACAGGCCATATTACAATAATGGTGTGGATGATTATGATTTTGCAACTTCCAAGGGAAGAAATTACCACCAAGGTCCTGAATGGGTTTGGTGTTATGGTTACTTTATGAGAGCATATCATCATTTCAAGCAGGGTACTAATCAACATCATTTACATGAATTGAACATGAGACTTATGCATCATGTTGATTGGATTAAGAATAGTGAATGGGCTGGTTTAACTGAATTGACTAATAAAGATGCTGAATATTGTAAGGATTCAAGTCCTACACAAGCATGGAGTACAAGTTGTTTGTTAGATTTGTATCATGATGTATACCATGGCCTTAGGTGAATAAGTACGTGCTACGCAGGATTTTTATACGCGTTATTATGAAAATAAACTATAGTAATAAGAGTTATGTTGAACCATATATATAGAACCATATGTGACAGCACGGAACCCGATTAGGAAAGTGCACGCGGACAACAAGAAATGGTGATTTTGTGTAACGAAAACCGCTCGTACCTCGATATCCGATGGCTACAGCCCCTCCCTCGGTGGAGTTAAGAATGGGGGGGGGTTAGGAAAGGTGGGCTAGACGGATTTGATCCGGATATCGAGAAAGAGGAGAAGAGTTTCATGGATCATATGAGTACAGTAGTGCACACGGTGAAAAGCTTCAATAAAGTGAAGTATCACGGTGAAAAATTATTAGAAGAAGCCCATAGTAATAATCACAGGGAAGAAGTGCAGTGAAGGTGAAAAATTCCACACCATATGAATATGGAATTGAGATTCCGTATAAGATAGAGCACAGGCTGTACAGTACACTGTAGACCCATGGTTGTAGTATGTGTAGTACAATATAAGGTACAGTATGGCACAGTATAGGATACAGTAGGACACAGTGTAGCGTACCACAAATAGCATACCTCAGTGTACCACAGGAAATGTTAATGGTCTTCTTCCGCGCATACATTTTTTGTGTAGAGTTGGGTGCTCCGGACATGGGTAGCCGCTCCACAAACCGGCCGCGGTGAAGGTTTAAGGTAAAGGCATATAAAGCAGTATCTCTCCAATAGATTTGAAAATTGTATTATTTTTTTCATTCTTTTGTTTGTAACCAGTCTCATCATGTTGTCTTCGCTCAGATTAACTATTCTTTCAAACCAAAGATCCAGCATCAGATTAGCTACAGCTATCAGAAGATTGAACTTGGGCACTACTGCCACCTCTTACCCCACAAAACATACTGGAGTAAATGATGAACCCTACATCACCCCCAGTTTCATTAATAATAAGTTTATCAAATCCGAACTGAGTGAATGGTTTGATATCCATGATCCTGCCACCAACCATGTGGTTTCCAAAGTTCCCCAATCCACTCCTCAAGAGTTGGAAGACGCCATTACTTCTGCTCATGAAGCATTCAAGATCTGGAAGGAATATTCAGTGATCAAAAGACAAGGCATAGCTTTTAAATTTGTTCAATTGTTGAGGGAAAACATGGACCGTATTGCGTCTGTGATTGTGTTGGAACAGGGCAAGACGTTTCCGGATGCCAAGGGAGATGTTTTACGGGGTTTACAAGTGGCTGAAGCAGCTTGTAACATCACCAATGACTTCAAAGGTGAAACGTTGGAGGTTTCCACAGATATGGAAACCAAACTGATTAGAGAACCTTTAGGAGTTGTTGGATCCATTTGTCCCTTCAATTTCCCTGCCATGGTTCCATTATGGGCATTACCTGTGGTTTTAGCTACGGGGAATACTACAGTTATCAAACCATCTGAAAGAGTCCCTGGCGCTGCCATGATCATTTGTGAATTGGCTGCTCAAGCCGGTGTGCCTCCAGGTGTCATCAACATTGTTCACGGTAAACACGAGACCGTCAACAAAATCATTGAAGATCCAAGAATTAAGGCTATTACCTTTGTGGGGGGTGATAAAGCAGGTAAATATATTTATGAAAAGGCATCTGCCTTGGGTAAAAGAGTGCAAGCCAATTTGGGTGCTAAGAACCATTTGATTGTTTTACCTGACACAGATAAGAAGAGATTTATTAATGCCTTGAATGGTGCAGCCTTCGGAGCTGCTGGTCAAAGATGTATGGCCATTTCAGTATTGGTTACTGTCGGGAAAACTAAGGAATGGGTAGCTGATATCATTGCTGATGCTAAGAAATTGCGTGTGGGTAGTGGGTTTGATCCTTCAAGTGATTTAGGTCCTTTGATTAATCCAACCAGTTTAACCAGAAGTAAAGAAATCATTGCTGATTCTGTTGCTGCTGGTGCCACTTTGGCTTTAGACGGGACTAAGTTTGTTCCATCGGAAGAAAGATTCCAAAAGGGTAACTTTTTGGGTCCAACCATTTTAACTGATGTTAAACCAGGAATGAGATGTTATGACGAAGAAATCTTTGCTCCGGTACTTTCGGTTGTGAATGTTGATACCTTAGAAGAAGCTGTGGATTTTGTTAACAAAAACCCATACGGAAACGGTGTTTCTCTCTTCACTCATTCTGGTCCTGCTGCTCAATATTTCACCAAAAACATTGAATGTGGCCAAGTTGGTGTGAACGTTCCAATTCCAGTTCCATTACCCATGTTTTCCTTTACTGGATCCAAAGCTTCATTCTTGGGTGACTTGAACTTTTACGGGAAGAACGGTCTTATGTTCTTGACCAAACCAAAGACTATCACCACTTTATGGAAAGTTGACGAAATAGATGAAGAATTGAAACCATCCACCTCTATGCCTGTTCAACATTGAGTATAGTCATTTGATATGACTGCATCGTACTATATATATATATATATATATACAAAATATTTAATTAAAATCGGTTCTTATAGTTGCAGACTTAAACATGGAACGAACATCTACTCTTGGAATATTAAACTCAACATCAGGATATTCTCTTCTAACGATGGCATTGGTCTTGGCGATAATATCGGAGAAACTTACTTCATATTCGTTCCATAACTTCTCCAATAAGATCCGTTCAACGCCCGACTCACTGGTTGGTAACAAAGCTTCCATCTTACGATGAGTTTCAACCACTTTTGAAGATAAACTGTGTATATCATAACCACTTAGTGCTTGTTTCACAGCCTTCTTGTTATACTTCACTTGGTTCACCTGAGAATGTATACGAACAAATTCTACCAATTTACCAATAGATTTGGCCATCAAATCATTAAAAAATATGGTTTTGGATTGTTCATAGTATTTGGAAACAGTACCGATTAATTTACTCAGTTCCTTATTCCCAATTTGTAATTGGTCCGTAAGATAAAAGGTGTTCAAGATTATGGAAACATTTCTTAAACTTCTTTCTTGATCATCAAAATCACTATTCTTCAATAACGGATCTTCTCTTTCAAACAAATGAGTTAAACTCAAAGTAATATCCCCATATGACGATTCAGCAACTTTAGCCATCAATGTACCGTTATCAAAGCCATCATCTGTATCAGTGGTGGATTCTCCAAAAGCTCCAATTGATCCAGAAGAATTCAGAATAGTAGGAGTCGTAGTAGACGAGGTTGACGTTGGTGGTGCTTTCATCAGAGCTTGTGCTTCAAGAATCTGAACCACTCCAATAATTCTTCTCAAACATGATAAGACATGTATTTTGGATCCAATGGTTGATTGGTTAACTTGATCTATTTGGGCTTGAACATGTCTGTTCCACAAATTAATATACTTATCCTTTAATTTCTTGATGAAATTGAAGATAAGGAAATCTTGCATTGCATTACCAATGTTCTCATTGGTAGCCTTTTCTAGTGCTCTAACAACCTTAAGAACAAACGTTTCTGATGGGATAACTACTTTGGAAAATTGAATCACATAATTCCCAAATATAGCCATCATATTATTAACCAAGTCACTAGTACATTGTCTGTATACCTTATCAATTTCAGTGAAAGTGTGTACTTGAGACAACCGTACTCTTTCACTAAAAGAGTTTTCTTCAACATACTTCGGGAATATAACCCCATCCATTGGATAATGGAACAATGTGGTTAAAATATAGGCAAAGCTTTGAACCAATGCCATTGTGTCAAAAATCAATAAAAATACTGTACGTTCAACTTCATATTTGGAATCTCCAACGTTAATACCACTAAGCCGACTTATAAGTCTTTCCTTTCTTGTAGATAATCTTAATCCACCTTTACGAACCAGTGAGCCATCTGGACTTTCAGGTGGATTCAACTTGGATGTCACATCTTCAGCCTCTTTAGCATTGGCTTCTGCTACTTTAACCTTATGATAATCTTCTAATCGATATTTCAACCATTCATTCACCAATTCTGAAGCAGATTCATTAAATGATTCTCTCAAGTTAACAAACTGATCATTAGAAATATCCTTAACAAATAAAAGCAACCCCGAAAAGGTTGTCCATCTATTGATATCTTGAAATAAAACAGTAGGTCCTATTTTGGAGACATTGGGAATAATACCATTCATAAACCTCAGGATTGAACTCTTAAAATACATCAGAAAGTTTTCCGAAAACCGACTGGCAACAGCCTCATAAGTTTCTTGATATTGTTTAATGGCCAACATCTTATTTAAACCACCAGTATCGGTATCTCTGATTGTATACAAGGCTGCATATAACCTAACCAATTTAGTTTCCAAGCCATTAACACTTTCCAAATTTTCATAATCTGAAAACTTAGAGATAAGTCCCAAATCATAATCATCAATATTCAAATCATCAACAATAGATTGTAATTCATTGAGAAGCATTGCTTCATTAATTGTCTTCATTTGTAAACCATCAGATTCGTTTTCAATATATGCAACTTTTGAACTGATACTTCTGACGTCAATACTTAATTTGGTGAAAATATGGGATAAATTATTCACTTCTCTAACAGAAAAGTCAATGTCATCGAAAACAGATTCCTTTCCAAAATCAAAATTTACTAGATTTTTTGCATTGGTCAGTTTAACAACATTCAATTTCTTTCTAAGCTTTTTCACCAACAGTTCTGAACCTTCAACTATATCCCATTTTAATTCTTCCAATATCTCTTCAATTTCAGGATCCTTTTCCAATTTTTCTTCTGAACTTTCAGCATAATCATCATTTCCATCATCTGATATCATCGATGGAGCATCATCCTCTCCAAACGTTAATGAATCTGAGTGAGTGTCTATGTTGTTCAAGTATTGTTTGTTATTGTTGTCAATAGCATCTCTTTTCTTTATATTCAAAGCTGGATGTTCTTCTTCTTCAATTTTGATTTCTGGAACTGGAACCATGTCATTCCTGAATGTTTTACTTAACTGTCTATCCATATAAGCCTCAATTTCTTGAATGGACGAATCAATAGGTGAAAGATCGGCATTCTTAACTGGAGGAACTTTGGGTGAATTCCAATCTACACTACTATGATCACTAATTTCTTCAATTTCAATTTCAATTTCATTTTCAGTTTGAGCTTCACCAATAAAATTCACCCCTGGTTCTGTGTCAGCGAGTTGGTCGAATGGCTTGGATAATGGGGCCGTAGATGATGATGCATGACTCAATTCACTTTCTTTTCTTCTATGAATTACTGTTGTTGCTTGACTCACACTTCTGTTTGGAGGATCAACCAGTGAACCAAAATTGAAGTTATCTTCAGATGCCAAAGATTCTTGAGTAATTGCTCCTGTTACAAGGTTAGAATAAGGATGTTGTCCTGGGGTTGGCTGTTTTTGGGAAGCAACTTGATGACGATAATCCAATTCATGTCTTTTTTGTTGCTTCGTCTTATCGAGTTGATTAGGATTAGGAGATTGTTGCAGGGATGAAGAAGCTGATGAATATGATGGGGCCACCATAGAATCTGCACCAATTACTGGTTTAGGAACAGTTATACCTGGATGATCCATACCCAGAGCTGCTGCTGATGATAATCCCAAGCCCACTATTTCATTATTATTAGGCTGATGATTCATGGCATTCTTCATTGGAACATTAGGTAGAGCCAAGTCAGCGTTTTCAAACCCAGTGATTGCTGGATATTTCCCAGTGTAAGAGCCATAAGTTCTAGCCAAGTTCTTAACAAATAGCCCAAGACGGTCTTGACCTTCAGAAGACTTCCAATAATAGTTTTTGTTCAATACCAATATAAACCCATCAGAACCACATTGAACTATTTCTTTCAATTCATCGATATCCCAAGTTCTTCCAATTTGGTAAACGTATTTGTGATCATTGTATTTACCTTTTTGAATAAGGACTCTTCCCAGCAGCTTAGCACAAATACATAAGATCCGATCCTTAACACCACCCAATTGAGCTGGTGTCAAGTTTGAGGGGGGCATCAGTTGGGGATAACTAGAATATTCTTTGATTTTCATATGGTAGACATATTTAACGTCAAGTACCAGTTGCCCTGTTCTTGGGTCTGTGATCGTCTTGGAGTAGATATCTCTAATGATTTTCTCCTTCTCGTCCACCCAGGCATCAAAAGGACCATTCACTGGCAGGTGGAATCGTTGTTGTGGTTGACCATGCTGAGCATGTTGAAGGTGTTGAAGTTGTTGTTGTTGATGTTGTGGGGGAAGATGCTGTTGATGTTGCTGGTAATTGTATGGTCCCGTAGGTCGTCCACCGGGAACACCTCCATACACACCAGGAGCACCGCCATACATGTTGTTACTGTTGTTCATTGTAATGGAGTGGAGTTGCGACGGAGAAACAGTGCGTGTTGACTGAGTGAGTTGAAAGTTCCGAGTGCGAAATATTAACTGTTTAGGGCAGTGTATGGCAGTGCAGCAGTAGTAAGGTAGCAGTCGTAAAGTAGTAACAGTACTATGAAGGTTATTGTAGAATGTAGTTACAGTATGTAGTTACAGTATGTAGTTACAGTATGTAGTTACAGTATGTAGCCACAGTATGTAGCCACAGTATTATAGTAACAGTATTATAGTGCAGTATTATAGTACAGTTTTACAGTTCGGTATGTAGTTAAGTGTGTGTCGGAATAGTATTGAGTGCAATAATGTCGGCTTACTATACTAGTTCTTCTTCTTTGGTTTCTTCTTGTTCTTAGAATCAACTTCAGTACCTGTTAACTTTTTCAATTCAGAAGCAGCAGTAGATTCAATTTGCCATAACTCGGCAAATGCTTCTTCTCTTTCATTCATTATCTTTAATCTTCTTCTTAAAGCTTCATTCATACAAACCTCTTGACTAACAGGGAAAAACGTTGGAGCCCAACCCTTTTTGTAAATATCACATTCTTGTAAAATCTCTTTCAATTCAAGCTCCAATACTTTAGATTCAATCTCAAATTGTTTATGAATATCCTCACCAATTAATCCTTCTTGATATAGTTTATTTAAACCTGGTTCCAATTCTCTCAATTTAATAGATCTAAGAACAGCATCTGAAGCCCTTCTAATTAAAGCAGCCTTGAGTACTCTATCATGTGGTTTATCTGGAGTTGATAGAGACTTCAATTGTTGATAGATTTCTGCAGCATAATTCTCTTTTAATAATGGTTTCCGTTGTACAATCTTTGCCAACCGACGCTTACGATATTGGAAGGTGAACACAATAAAAGTAGTCACAAGAAACCCTAAATACAAAATAGGTGTTAACACAGAAACATCAGCAATGGCCTCTGCTTTGGCTTCAGTTTCAGACATGATGATTACCTGTAAAGTCTATGTCAGTAATGTAGTGACCGTAGGGTAAAAGTAGTTGACACCGTTATATATTTTTTTTCACTTACTCTCTTGATAGTGCGTGTACTTACCATTACTGATTACACGTATACAGATCAAAACTATATTGATTGGCATAGTAATATAAAACATAAATGCAAAGCATAGTAATTGGAAGGGTACTGTAGTATATTCACCATTCAGGAGACCCACGTCTCACACCAAGACCCAAATATTGAGCTAATAAATTAAATAAATCAATTTCTTTCTCATCAGTCACAGCTTCCACTCGTTTATCAAAAGGTATGGTTTCATCGATTAATGTCAAATCATAAAACTCGGCAAGCAGTACTAAAGCAAACTTTTCAATCGATTCCAATTCACTAATGGTAGCAGGAAATAACAGTTTTTCAGGTAATTCACCATCCTGATTAATTAATGGAGCAATGATTGTTTTAGAACTAGAATTAAATGTCCGACGAATCAGTCGCTCATCTAATTGTTCTAATTGACCTTGTAATTCGGCAACTAGTCCAACCAAATCGTCATTGGTGACAAAGTCATCAAAATCTATCTTTGAAAGGTCTGGAGTGGTATCAATTTCCTTAAGTCGTTGTTTTTGAAGCTCTAAGAGTTGTTGTCCAGTACTAGCAATAATCTTGGATTGCTTCTGACACAAATGAGTTAAGGCCTGAACTTGTTCGTTCAATTGTTCCAATGTGACTTCCCCCATGATCCGATCAATTTTTGGAGAATGAGTGGTCAATTCTAATGAAAAGCCACCATTCAATTTCATTTTTACTTAACCCATTATAATATTCTTCTAATATTATTATGTGCAGTTTGATTTGGTACTGACTTAATAAATGGTCGGATATTACCCAATTGGGTCATTGACAGATGACATATTTGCTTGTCACTGTTCTTAAGTTTCATAGTTTGATAAGATTAGGTTGGGTCTATGTGCCACTGTGTGTCAATTGATAAAGAATTGCACAATGAATCCTCATTGCCCCAACAAGACTATTTCACATGATAAGATTGAGTAGTAATACCAATAATAGTAGCAGTAGTAAGAGTATTAATGATAACAGTAATAGTAGCAGTAGTGAGAGTACTAGTACTAGCAGTAATAGTAGCAGTAGTAAACAATGAGTTGTGTACACCTCTAGTAACCAAGAAACGTACCTCATACACCCTTCCAAAGAGCTACAGTGTGCTTCTTACCAACTTGCCTATAACAGTTGATTCGTACACGACTTAGATTAGAAAATTCACGATAACTTTCTGAAGCAAGCGAGTGCACGACTAAATATCGATAACAACTTACAACTAACAATACAGTAGTACACTACGTTAACATAACCCTTGCGTAACTACTTACAAAACAGTATTGTATACCTCCACATCTATTGGTTATTGTAGTGTTATCTGAGTACCTCCACCTTTACTTGCCCAGATAGGCGGAATTCTCACAAAGAGTGCGGATACTTCTCAAATAGGCAATTGCATTGTATATTCGTTATCAGTTCTTCCAAAGATAACGCTTCATTATGCGAAGGATGGATGGGAGTACTTCATTTGGTCATCGTTACGGAGTTTTAAAGCACCTATCCAGATCCTACGGGTTTTTGTAACCTTGTGCCAGTGGAAAGGTGTAATAGTAGTACTGAATTCTTGTAAAGTCTCGGATCTTGCGCTTCAAGAACACTCGATAATGATAAGATATAAATACGCATCATGATCCTCGATAAAGTTTTTGATAGATACCGTATTATAATACTGAATTACTATTTTTAAATCAATACAGATAATCTCTAAGTAAAATATGACAGAGGCTGACATCGTCCCCGGTACCATTCATTTGGTTGACATGGAGGGTTTCCTTCATGTTAAGAAAGAAGCAGGCTCTAAACATAACATTATTCTTGTTCCTCAACCAACATCTGATCCCAATGACCCTCTTAGATGGTCTAAAACTAAAAAGAACTTACAATTTTTGCTTGTATGGTTCTGGGCCTTTATGTTAGCTGTTGCTGTTGCGTTTTTCGGTTCCTTATATGGTGTTTGGATTGCAGAAGAAGGTTATACAATTACCCAATTAAACAACATGGTAGGTTTTATTTTTGCCTTCTTAGGTATAGGTGTGCTTACTTTACAACCAACTGCATTGAAAATGGGTAGACGTTTTGTCTACTTGATGTGCTCTATAATTGCGTTGGTAGGTTTGGCTGTTGGTGGCAATGCAAAATCAAAAGGCTATCTTTATGCCTTTGGTATCTTGTGTGGTTATGCAGCTGCTCCAGTTGACTCTTTGGTTGAAATCAGTGTGACTGATACCTTTTTCAAACATGAAACCGCTACATATTTGGGTTATGTTTTGTTGGCTCTTTATGCTGGTTCATTCTTGGGTCCCACAGCTGCTGGATTTATTGTTCAAAAACATAGTTGGAAATGGACCTTTTGGACTCAAATTATCATTATTGGAGTCACATTTATCGTTCAAATTTTTTGTATGCGTGAAACCATGTTTAGCAGACTGAGATTCACTACAACTGATGATAAACTTGAAGCCGAAATCATCTCTCAAATCCAGTCTCATGCCAGTGGTGAATTACCAGAAGAATCTGAGAAACATAACAATATTGATGTGGCTATTGAATCAGACGTTGGATCTTCATCTCAAGATATAGAAAACATGGGAGATGTGGATCCAACTATTGCACCTCGTTCTTACATGCAAAAGTTGAAGCCCTACGAATTGACTTACAACGATGAACGTAGCTGGTTGGCCATTTTCATAAGACCATTTTCATGTTATTTCCCAGGTATAATGTATGGAGCCTTTGTTTATGGTTCCCAAATGGCATGGCTTTCGTTATTAAACACAACACAAGCTACTTTATTCGGTGCCCCACCATATAACTTTGCTCCGGATATGGTTGGTACTACTGGTGTGGCTGCGTTTGTAGGTTCTGCTTTTGGTATGCTTTATGGGGGTAAATTGTCTGATTACTTGATTATTCGTTTGTCCGAACGGAATAATGGTGTTTTTGAGCCTGAATTTAGATTATGGGCCATGATTATACCAACTTTATTCAATGCTGCTGGTATTCTTGCTTATGGGTTGGGTATTAACAATGGTGTTCATTGGGCAGTACCTGTAATTCTCGGTAAAGGGATGTTAGGTTTTGCCATGAGTGCTACTGGTTCAATTACATTGACATATGCTATTGATTGTTATCCTAAGATGGCTAGTGATGCCTTTGTGTTGATGTTGTTTATCCGTAACTGTATTGGATGTGCCTTTACCTTTGGATTTGAACACTGGTTGGAAGCTTGTGGCTTGAGTCAATTGTCTTGGTTGTTGTTTATGATTAGTATAATTATCAATGGTTCCTTTGTCTTTTTCCTTAAATGGGGTAAGAGCTTTAGAAGATTTACAGCCTCAAGATACTTGAGATTAGCAGAAACCGGAGGTTCTGCTCATTAATTCGTTCAATATAATTGTTATTGGTATTATTGTTATTATTGTTACTATTTATCTTCACTTCAAAGAGAATTAAGAATTCTTGTAACGCATCTATAGTTGAACTACATATGCTATTTCTTTAATACATATTTACAGTGGTAATTAGTGGTGTTAACTTGTACGTAGTGTCGCACTAAGCGTGTAGTCACCATGAGGGCCCTTTACAATCCTACATAGTGGTCGGGGGTCCCTTACTTAGTATGCTCTACATGTAGGCCCAGACTATGGTATTCCATGTCACAAAGCCAACAGCTTCTTGGTGATTTTTTTTCCTTTAAGTGACCAACGGGATCACCATCATCATATCTTACAGTTACTATTATTACAAGCACCATTGTCTGTGGTATCACTTAAGTGAAATATATTCAACAACATTGTGTGTTGTGTTTAGCTGATCTAATACTGTCAACGGTCACGGTCACAGTCGCAGACACACGGTCCACAGTTAACCACGCACTCACCCTCAAGATCACAGTCAACTAGCACCAAGTCTCACAAGCTCACAGTCACATACAGAAGTACATTAAGGTTCCATTGTGATCTTAATATAGATTCAATAGTATCACATTTTGTTCGGATGGTCTACGTACTTCATTAACTTCCATTAATATGACTCCTTCATTCATTGATGCCTCCACTCATAAACAGTCTGGTACTGAAAAGGATACACGTACAAACACCACCACAAACACCACCACATCATCATCATCATCATTGCTACCGCTGCATGTAATTCTGCCTGCAAAACCTTTACTCCCTGATTCATATGTTCTCACGCAAGCTCCCCATATCCATTCTCCCTTAGCTAATGAAGTCGCTACTATTGATACTAATACATCGTCGGTATCTCCTACAGATCCTCTTTCACTGGACCCTAATCACAAGGTGGATCCTAATAATAAGACCTCATCCGGTGGGAAGTTAACTGGTTCATCTAACAAATCTTGGACTCGATCTCAGGATCCAACTCCACTTCCCATGACTTCGGAGTTGGGGTACCCGATGGGAGAATCGACTTCACACTCCTTCAATGTCAATTCATTTAACACGTACAACATTCCAGGTCAATCAAGTGTGCCGATTTCTCGCTCGTCCTCCGCGTCAGGGACAGTAAAAGAAACAAATAGGGTTCACCTTGAATATGATCCGGTAAATAAACGGAAAATACTTAACACCTATGAAATCCTCCGAGAGATCGGCCGGGGGGAACACGGTAAGGTCAAATTGGCCAAGGATTTGGAACATAACGAATTGGTAGCTATAAAAATTGTTAGTAGAAAGTCCAAAAAGAATAGACCAACTCTCAGATTCAAGCATAGTCCTCAAGATGTTGCTAATGCTTCAGATAGGTTTATCCACAAGTTGGATGATTACGAAAAGAAGATTAAAAGGGAAATCGCTATCATGAAGAAATGTGACCAAAAACACATTGTCAAATTAAGAGAAGTATTAGACGATAAAAGAACATTTAAGATCTACTTGGTTCTAGAGTATATGGAAAAGGGTGAAATTAAATGGAAGAAGACCTTGAAGGAATTACATCAATGTAAAAATAACAATGAATGTGGTGATGATGAAATCCCCTGTGTTTCTAAAACTTGTGCTGTTGTTCAACCAACAACCACTGCTATTGATTATGATGATGACGATGATTATTTACTAAGTGAAACCTATGCACCAAATCTTACCTTCAAGCAATCCCGCAAGATATTCCGTGATGTATTGTTGGGGTTGGAGTATTTGCATAAACAAGGGATTGTACATCGGGATATAAAGCCTGCAAATTTACTTGTAAGTGCAGATAATGTTGTTAAAATCAGTGATTTTGGAGTTTCGTTTGCTTCTTCATTGAATTCTAATGACGAAGGGGTTTTGATGAATGAATTAGAGTTGGCGAAAACGGCAGGTACACCTGCATTCTTTGCACCTGAATTATGTCAAACTAATTTCAGTGGGAGTTCGATTAATTTGACTAAGAATATTCCTCCCAATAATATCAACTATAAGATTGACATATGGGCTTTGGGAGTTACTTTGTATTGTCTTTTGTTTGGGAAAGTACCCTTTAATGCTGATTCTGAATTCAAACTCTTTCAGGTTATTGTAAATGATGATTTGAAATTTCCTGTTGATAGATTCTCCTTCAGTGCACCTACACCTGTGAGTCAAGAAGAGTTTGATTTGGCTAAGGATTTATTGACTAAGTTACTTGATAAGAATAGTGCTACAAGATGGGATATTGCAGAAATCAAGCAACACCCCTTCACATTAATGGATTTGAATGAAGGTACAGAAGAATATAATGATTTTTTCCATCTTAATGATCTTCAGAATATTAACACTAATACCGGAGCCACAACTTCAGAGTTACAATCACAGGTAGATTTATCTTCGACGAACATGCTGCTCTATGCCTCGCCGAAAATGCATTCATTATGTCCTTTATATGAATTGGATACAACAAACTCTAGTTCTGACAATAATAGTGTTGTGGGGCTAGGTGCCAGAGTCAAGAAATCTTTGTTCAATGCCTTAAAGAATGGGATGACAGTTGAGAAGAATTCATCGACTGAATCTAGTGAACAAAGTTCTCATTTCAATTCCAAGTCCAATTTATTTCATTCTGATCCTTCTATTATCATTTCAGAAACTCCATATTCCACATTGGCCCTTAATACTTCCAACCCAGATACACCACCACCTTCATCTCCAATTCCAAGTAGAAATGTGTTACCCAGTGGTGGAGGAGGAGGAGGAGGAGGTATTAGTTTGGTGAGTTCACCATGTGTTTCAGCAGCTACAACTACCACTGGGTTGAGCCCCTTTCCCGTTGCTGGCATTCGGGACAGAAATATTTTATTGCTGGATGTTATTGAAAGTGAACAACTGGGAAGTCGTCGTAGCTCTGTCGGTATTATTTCGGAAGCACCTCAAGTGGAAACCAAACGGAATGCAGTTGGTGATGTTTATTTAAGAAATCAAAGCATTGTGGATACCTTTAAAGACATTCAAGAACAAGATGAACGAAGACGTTCAAGTGTACTTTCGGGTCTTAAAACTACCAGTTCCAATCCTACAGGAACATCATCTATATTATCGACTGCTTCATCATCTGCAAGTCCCAAGCCTTTCAGACCTTCTATTTCTTCCGATTTCACTCCTAGTTCAACCAGTGTTCCTTCTCAACCAATTAATAGAAGAAGTACATGTGGTTCTTCCATTGATGATAATGTTGTTACGGTAAAGGTAGGACCCATTGATATCAATAAATCCAGACGGGGATCATCTGTGATTTCTCTTCCTGTTTCCGAGTCCTTTGCTTCCTTGGATTCCATTGATGATGACTATTTGGCTCTGAAATATCAAGATTATATTCGCAGTAAGGGCAAAGATCCTACTGACCAACTTAAATCCCGACGCGGATCCGAGGTTACTCAATCAGATACTGCTTTATTCAAACAAGAGGGACTTCACAACGCTAGTCACCATCATATTGGAGATAGTGGGGTCCAAGCAATTACAGATAAGTTACGCAATTTCAACATGACAACCAGTATGAATAGTGAACCCGAAAGTAAGTCACGCTTTTATAGGAGGACCCAAGGTGGGTTCGCATTTGATGGTGATTCAGATGATGATGAAGGAGCTATTGGTTTTGGAGGACCCAAATCCAAACCAAAACGACCTCCAATGCAACCACCACAACCACCACCCATGCTTCGGAATAGATCGAGTTCTAGTTCTTGTTCATCATACAGCTCAAGCGGTGGTGATGAAAGCGATGGTGATGGTGGGAACTTAACGTTGGCATTCACGGCTAAAGTTGACAGACCTCAAATGTTTGGACTTGACAGTCGAGTTAGATCTCATGAATCCAATTTACCCGGATTAGTTCATACTCCATCGTATCCAGATGTTCCTATAATATTCCAAGACCAAATACCGGAGTTTGAAGATGTTCCGGAAATGTTAATGGAAATGCCGTCAATAGGCAACAGTACCAGCAGTAGCATTGCCATGGGACCGTCAGTGTCTATTATTTCATCCACAGGATCCCAGACTACCATTACTCCTAGTTTGGGGTATAATAACAATAATAGTACTACTACTGCCCTAAAGACTCCTCAGACAGACAAGTTTGTGATGCCACCAAGTACTCCAGAAGTGTTGGGTACTTTATCGATCTCCCATTCACCAATGACTCCAAAAGTAAGTGGCCGAGAGTTCTCCTCTCCTCAACAGCCACCACAACCACCGGTATTACACAACGTGTTTCGGCCCCAACGGAAAATAGTCACGTCTCCTTTAGGACGTCATGAACCAGTTTCTGCTGTTATTGATTCCATTAATGAATCCGGAACAAGAACGGAATCAAGTCCCGGTACCGGTACCGGGACCGGTCCAGATCCAACATTTAATCTTGATCAAACACAAGTTGCTAAGAAGACATTAGCTCATCTGTACAACAACCACTACAAGAAGGAACCTCTTCGGTTTCCCTTCCCAAATGCTTTACATTATGATCAAGAGAAGATATCCGCAGACCACCGTCCCTCTACAAAAGCGGCGGTATCTACTGCTACTGCGAACCGGTTGACCACTAAGGACCGGTTCCGGTCCAACTCCATCACCATTGGGATCTTGCAACATGAACCACTGAACCGTATAGAGATCAAGAAATAAAACAGAATAATAGTTGTATTATATTAAACACGAGTATGCAAAAAAACCACCAATAGAATGTTAACTTTCCCTTAACATAATTTCACTCCCAAATAAAAAATAGTATAACGTAATAAAAAGTATTAGTGATTGTAATAATCACATTAATTCCAACTTCTTCTTTAACACCGCTAATCTGTTGCCAATGCTAACAATAAACTTTTCAATCATGGCTCTATCTTGATCATCAAGCTTTTCTTCTTGGTCTTCGTCATCCAATATGGATTCCAACATCCAAATGGCCGTGGAATAAGCCAATTCACAACCTTTCAAGTCTTCTTTGACTAATTCATTAACAGCTGCGTTTCTAGACATTTCTAAAGCCCGATCAAATATTAGTTTCTCAGCCACTGCTCGGTTAGAAGGTGTAGTACTACTACCACCAACACTGCCTTCGGTAGCTTCTTCTTCAAGCTCTCCCTTGGGGGATTCTTCATCAAATAATCCTGGAACAATGCCACCTCCATCCCTTTGCTCTTTACTTAAAGTCAGATTAGCCTCTTCAAGACGAAGTCTAATAAAATCAGCTTTCCCCAAGGCATCATTGAACTTCTCTCTGATCCATTGAACTAGCGAATTGATCTTCATTTGAACTACAAGATCACGTTGTTGTTCAGATCCAGACGACAGTACAAGACTGGTATGTTTCATTCCTTCAACAATTGTTCCACTACTGGTATCGTCTTGTTGTTCATACCACCAATCACTGGCTATTGTCATGCCTTTGGCAAGAATAGACAATGTCTTGACATACAAAACCACCCCCTCCTCAGCAATATTCTTGATGATTCTTGGAGGAAGCGTATCATTCTGATGTAATAAGTCATCATCTAAACCATCTCCAATAGATGGTGGGATTGGGATCAATTGAGAGAACTTGACATCTGCAAACAAGTTAATGGCATGAGACATCGTAGCGATTGTCTCCAACTTATTCAACACCATCTCATCCTTTGTTAATGGTGTTCCATTAGCATTTAACCCTTGACTATTATTATTCAATTGAACAAGTGATTGTTGCTCAGAAGACGATACAACCAATGAATTGGGTAAGTTGAGTCTTTGCAATAATAAGTTATTGGCAAATGTAGGTGACGATATCACCGTATAATAAGCATTACCACCAATAGCACTAGAAGAAGAAGATACTTCATCATTCTTAACTTCAGTCTCAGTTTGAAACGAAGTAGTATTATTGTTGTTGACTTTGGAACTATTATTATTGTTATTGTTGTTGTTGGTACCAAAAAGACGGTTTGAAGCCAAGCCTATTGCTCTGTTCAATGCTGTTGTTGGGCTAATTGAGATAGAAATCCTTCTATCAGCAAAACTTGGTCGTCTTTTGGATTCTGAAGATGATCTCAACTTTCTCTGTCTATCTAAATTAGTCATGATTCCAGCATGTGAATTGGATATCATACTACCTGTGGAATCTGTACTTGATTTCCTACGAGATGGAACTATAGCAAGTGCTCCACTTCCAGCATGAGCCAATTCATCTGCAATAGCATTAACTTCAACAGCACGTTTCTCAACAACAACATAATCCTTCTCCAATATAATGTCATCCTTGTTCCTAATAGATACTTCCCCACCGCCTTTACTACCGCCTATTTGTTTACGGGTTTGATACTTTTGTATCGAATAAGCCATGTTGTCTGGACTGGGGGAATTATTATTGATAATCTCTTTAATTTCTTCATCCCGAATCTTCAATTCGTCATTTTCATTGATTGGAATAGGAGTAATATAATTCTTATTATTATTTGCTCCTGAAGAACCATGCGACATTGGAGAAATATATTCACTAATGTATAAGTTTTCATCAACTTCTGAAGCATCTAGAGGTTTATTGTTTCCTTCCAAGGGAGACGTTATTAAAGGATCAGAAAAGAATTCATTGAATGAAATTCTTTCAGTTGGGTTGCACTTTAATAATGCACGAATTAAATTCTTTAAGGAATCTGGAACTTGAGCCAGTGATGGAAATTTAATCTTATCATTTGATCTTTCAATATTTTTCAATAACTCCATATGATTTACAGCTTTAAAGGGGGGTCTCCCAACTGTCATTTGAAACAAAACTGCTCCTACGGACCATAGATCTGCCTTAGCATTATATTTTTCATAACGTAAGATTTCTGGAGCCATATAAAGTGGAGATCCACAAAGAGTTTCAGCCATTGAAGTTGACGGTAAAAACCTTGCAAATCCAAAATCCGCAATTTTAAGTATTGGTAATTCCCATAACCCCACAAAGCCTGATTTTTCAAATTCAGTTTGCAGATGTATTGGTGGACATAATAACAAGTTTTGAGGCTTGATATCACGATGGACTAAAGATTTGCTTCTTAAGAATTCCAAAGCGGAGCTTAATTGTTTAAGGAAATGAATCACCAAAGTTTGATTTAATCCATGAGAATTCGAAGGAGAAGGATATCTTACCAAAAGTGATTGAATCACTGGATGAGATTGAGCCAATTGATCCTTTTTACGAATAAAATAAGACAAATCTCCCATTGAGCAATAATCCATAACCAAATAAAAATGATTTGCAGTTTGATAATAATCCAATAATCCAACAATATGCGGATGTTTCATATTTTTAAGTATGGAGATTTCGATTTCCAAGTTTTCCATCAATTTCTTGGATTTCAATTTCGACCGTACTACGGCTTTTATGGCCACAGCATGATGGGTTTCAATGTTAAAGGATTTATAGACGGTTGCAAAGGATCCACGACCAATTTCTTGGTTAATTGAATAGTTGCCCACTGTTTTGGTTGTACCTGGAGGTGGGGGGGCATTTGAAGGTTGAGGTTGAGTTGTTGGAGGGATTGACGACATTGATGATGATGCCGGAACAGATTTGCGAGCAGTTGTTAGATGTTAGAGAGTAGAGGTAAGAGAGAGAAATGCTAGCGACACATGCAACAACTGTATGCCGTGTAGCAGACAGACGGAAATAGTAAACTCACAGGATAGACGAAAGTTGTCAACAGAATCAACTGGCAACACTCCTATGATGACTATCAGAACAACTCAAGTATAATGAGTCAGCGATCGCCAATAAAACAAGCTGAATAGAATAGACTGTAGTATGGATTAGTATAGACTAGTATGGACTAGTATGACCTGACTAATACACTGTAACTGTATCCTATATTTGTTATGATTGATTTGTAGGGTATCAAAGCCAAATTGAGTGTATTTACTTTGGCTTGACTGGTGGCAAAAGGACAAACTTTCACACCAACACAAAGAAACTTAAGCTCAACAGCAGATCACGCTCGGTTAGTTAAGGGCTAGCACGAGTACGTAAGTAGGAAAGAAGAACAGGGGCGATATCAAAAGTTAAATGCGATTCCTTTGATCTTGAGGATAAGTCATTTGTACATGTGCAGGCATTAAGGAACGTAATATTACAACTCCTTAGGACCGCCACAGATGGATGGCGATACCATAAAGGTATTGTATTGTTAAACAAGGAGACAACTACGGTGATACACTAACGTGGTAGTAAGGATACACTAATATAATAGTAATGTGTTATAGTATGTACTACTGTACCACTGTACTACTGTACCACTGTACTACTGCACTACTGTATTCAAAGGATAGTTTCGGCTGGTACTACTGTTGATAGCTGGTAGTCATGATTATCTCGTTTCCTACCCCTCGATCCTTATCTGTCCGGTCGTGGCCTGATTTGGTAACTAATGACATGAATCTGTTTGTAGAGCTTGTGGTGGGAAGTAGTGTAGTATACAATACTGTTTATCACTGGTGACTTCACGACACAACTACTGTGTTGTATGCTGTAGCACCATACAATATATAGCAACTATGCGCGCTACCAAGTTTGAACTCCGTTACCCAACACTGATTAACAATACCACCACTATAAATTGTACCACACACTTTACTCTACCACACGTTTCTCCTTACTATTACCTAACATGTTTGAGTCACTTGTAGCAGGTATACTTAACCGTGTGCTTGGTTCATACGTCGAGAACTTTGATAGTAAACAATTGAACATTGGAATCTGGAGTGGTGATGTTAAGCTTAAGAATCTTAAACTAAAGAAAGAATCTCTTGATGAATTGAAACTTCCCATCAACGTCAAGTTTGGTCACATTGGAGAATTGAGTCTCAGCATCCCTTGGTCCAATTTAAAAGGTAAACCCGTTAAAATTGTTGTGGAAGATGTTTATCTCTTAGCGTACCCCATTTTGCCTGAATCATATGATCCCGAGGAACAAGCACAACGAGAATTCAAATTGAAATTGAACAAATTGAAAGAGTTAGAAGCAATTGAGTTGGCAAAGATCCAAGGAGATCAATTGAAACCCGATCGTGATAATAATAGTGGCGATAGCGCTGCTACTGCTGCGGCTGCTAACAATCAGTCATTTGCTGAATCTTTGATTACAAAGATTATTGATAATTTACAGTTTACTATTAAAAATATCCATATAAGATATGAAGACGATGCGGTATTGACGGAATCTCCTTATTCTATTGGACTTACTTTGAATGAATTATCTGCAGTTTCCACAGATGACCAATGGAATCCAAGTTTTATTAGTATAACCCAATCATTTACCAGGAAGTTAATGACTTTAAATAGTCTTACGTGCTACATGAATACCAACTCCCAAGCTCTTAATGATGACTCAATGAGTACTTTGCTTAGCGAGTTCCAACATCATCATAATGATGAGCTGAATAGCTACTTGTTGCAGCCAGTATCGGGTACTGGACGACTAAAGATTCATAAACCTGGAGCAACAGATTCCACTCCGCATATTGAGTCCGATGTCTTCTTCCAAAAGTTTGCCATTGATTTGCATTCCCAGCAATATCATGATTTGCTTTGGACAGCTTCGAAATTCCATTGGTTCATCAAAACTAGAAGATTTAAAAAATCTAGACCAAAGGTATCTCCATCAGAAGATCCTAAAGCTTGGTTTAAATATGCTGCCAAAACCATTCTTGATGAAATTCATGAAAGAAATTATAAATGGTCTTGGGAATATTTTGCCAAAAGAAGAGACTCAAGAATTAAATATGTTTCTTTATGGAAGAAGCATTTATCTGAGAGTTTAACTCCGGAAGAAGAAGCACAACTTGAAGAACTTCATTTTGAATTGTCTTATGAAGATATTCGGTTCTATCGTTCTTTAGCCAGAAACGAGTTGAAGAAAGAAAGAGTAGAGCTTGCTCAGCATCATCAATTAAGTAACAAGCAACACGAGCAACCACAGAATAAGGGATGGTTTTCGTCTTGGTGGTCTTCTGATACTGCTAATAAGACTGAGCCTACTGAATCAGATAATCACGATGATTCTATTGACTTATCTTTAAATGATGAACAACGCAAAGCTCTTTATGATACGATTGATTATGATGATTCTCAAGACCTTTCTTCATCAATTGAAATACCCAAAGAAAGGGTTCTTATTCAAGCTAATGTGACTTTGGAAAGCGGTGGGTTCTCCATTAGATCTGATAAATTCCAAGGCAATTTGGCTGAAATTGCTTATGAAGGTTGTAAGGTTCAATTCTTTCAACGACCAGACTCATTTTTTACCAATTTCCAATTACAAGAGTTTAGAGTTGAAGATGGAACCAATACTTCTATTTTCAAGCACATTGTTAGTGTGAAACATCTTCATTCTCATTTCCATGAACAGCCTAATACTTCTTCATCTTCATCTTCATCTGGCATTTCCGATTCAGTACCGTTCTTTCAAGTTGCTTTTGAAAATAACCCTTTAGATGGGTCATCTGATTCTGTCTTGGTGGGGAAACTAAGATCAATGACTATTTTCAATAACGCAGAATTCGTAAAGGAAGTCATTGCATTTTTCAGACCCCCAAAGGTTCATTTAGATACCATTGGTGCTATAATGAATGCAGCAGAAGCTTCATTGGAAGGAATTACTCAACAAACTCGTATTGGCTTGCAATATGCCCTTGATGAACACAAAACAATCAATGTCAAATTAGACCTTCAAGCACCATTAATCATTGTTCCCTTGGATCCTAAAAGCTATAAATCTCCAGTAGCAATATTGGATGCTGGTCATATTAGTGTTGTAAGTAATTTGGCAGACAAGCAAAAGATTGAAGAGATAAAAGAGAAGGAAACATATTCCGAAACTGACTGGGAACAATTGAGTGATTTGATGTACGATAAGTTCACTGTTGAATTGAAAGACTCACAATTTCTAGTGGGAAGTGATATAAAATCAACCATGGAACAATTACATGGGGCCATTGATAACAATACTAGTGATAAAGAGGATCGGGTTTCAGCTCTTATCTTGGATAAATTTAACATGGGCTTTGAATTAGGGATCTCCATTATGCCTGAAGCGTATTACTTACCCAAGTTTAAAATTGGTGGTGATATACCTATGGTTAATCTCTCAATTAACGACTTCCAATATAAGACTCTTATGAAGATTATGGATGTGGTGGTGCCTCAATTTGTTGATTCGGATTCTGAAACTGCCAGTGTGTTTGAAACATTTGGTGGAGGTGATGATAATACGGATACTGAGCAATTGGTTGAAGATTTAGATGCTCTGGCATTAGTTGGTGCTCATACTCCAGCTATTAAAACTGCTGGTGAAACACAGGTTTCCAATGCTGCTAAAGAACAACACACTTTTGACTTTGATTTTAAGGTTGAAGTCATCAAAGTTTGTCTCAGAAGATGTGTAGATGGTACTACACTTCGAGCTGAGAGGTTTATTGATGTAGTTGGAAGTTCATTGAACTTACATTTGTACAAGACTGAAGATAACATGCATCTTGAGCTTGTGCTTCAAGACATTGATCTTCTTGATCATATTGAATCGTCTGGAATACCTGAGTTTGAGAAGTTGATATCATCTAATAATTTCACTCCTGAAGAGAATCGGGTCAAGAGTAAGGATTTATTTGAGTTGAAATATGATCGAATGTTAAGAATGGTTGATTTTAAAGGTGAAATGATTGAATTGTATGACCAATTCATTGACATTGACATAGCAACTGTTAAGTTTGTTTTAACCAGAAAGTCTATCTTGAGTATACTTAATTTTGCATTGAATACTTTCACTGATCCTTATGCTGAACCAACACCTGCAGATGTTTTAATTCATAATGATTCTAGCAACGAAGCGACTGCTCCTCAAAAGATCCAAGTGAATTTGAGTCTCGATAGTATTATAGTGGTTTTGAATGAAGATGGATTGAAACTTGCAACAATGGAATTGTCAACTGCCATGATTGACGTTTTACTTTGGCCACTGGAAATGGAAGTTAACGGGAAATTAGGTGGTTTAACGTTACATGATGAAATTAACGAAGGGTCTCCAAGAGATTCTTCCATAAGAAAATTAATCACTATGGATGGTGGGAATTTGGCTGAGTTCACTTATAAGACCTTTGATCCTCTAACCAATAAGAAGTTATACAATTCTCTTATCAACTTTACTTCTGGACCTCCAACCATTAATCTTGTGGAAGATTCATTTAAGAGAATCATCAACTTTTTAACTTTATTCTTGAAGATGAAGGAAGTCTATGATACTACAAGAGATGATGCTATAAATCTAGGAACAGATTTAAACAATGCCGATAAGATCAAGTTTGAAGTTACCGTGAATTCCCCAAGGATCATATGGCCCAAATTGACTACCTTTTCCACTAAGAGACAGTATGATTCTGTGACGACTTATTTGGGAGAATTTTACGCCTATAATGATTATGAAGACGTTGAAGATTTAATTGTTAATAAGATTAATGTGGGACTACGGAATGCTACTCTTGATTCCACTATTCATTTCGATAATGCTAAGCAATCACTGAGTATTTTGAACGGGATGGATATTGTGTTTGGAATAGACTACGTGGACAAATATAAGGCACAAGTGCCCACGTTTTCCATTACTGGGAAGTTACCTGAGGTTGATGTCAATCTTACTGAGTTACAATTGCAATATTTGAAAGAGATGAACGAATCCATAGTGCGAGTCTTTGCTACAGGAGGTGAACATCATCATGAGGAGTTGGAAGATGCTAAACTCGATGCCATTCATGCTAATGCGGTCATGAAGCATACAGCAGATCTAAAGAATCCTGGAACCAGAAGAAGAAGTAGTATCACCAGTATGGTTTTATCAGAAGCAGCCAGTAGTGATACACCTCCTGATCATATGTTGGTTGATTTCAAGTTTGAGATGCCCAAAGTGTCGTTAACAATCTATAATAATACCCATGGGTTAGGAGAGTTTAACGATAAAAAGATATCATTGTTTGCCTTGAAGAACTCCCACGTCAAACTTGCAATGAAACAAGATACTCATTTTGTTTGTGACGTTGAAGTTGAAGCCTTTGTGGTGGAGGATGTTAGGGTCAACTCCGGGAACAAGTTCAAAGAGATCATCCCACCGATTGAAAACGATAAGCAGTTTGTATTATCAGCATCATCTGATGGGAAACCCGAGAAGATGAATGTTGTAGTGGTGCTCGACATCAAGAATCCTAAGACCATTCTAGCGCTTGATTATATGTTCGAGCTTCAATCTTTTGTTGAAAAGGGTTTAGAATCAAAGACACCGGTGATAGACGAAGAAGAAGAACAAGAAGAAGTAGAAGAAGGTGATGTTAACAATAATGATGTTAAAGGTGACAAAGGTGATGCTGATAATGTTGCAGACCTGGCTTCAGATTCAAGTATGACGTTTGGATTCTCTATAAATTTAAAGGAGCCTTCCATTACTTTGTTAGCTGACAGTTCCAAGAGTGATACCGAAGCTATTGTATTCAACGTGGAGCAAGTTTTGTTTACAAGCCAACATGTGATTTCATTAGCAGCAAATAACATTGGGATGTTCTTATGTCAAATGGATGATCAAGCGAATAAGAATTACCGAATCATTGATAACTTTTCTGTATCATTTGCCCATGATTCTCGAGGCTCGGATGCTACTCACTTCCTCTCGAGTATTGAGGCTTCTATTGATCCGATTCTTATTCGAGTCTCGTTACGGGATATAAGATTGGCCACTACCATTTTCAATCGAGCCAATGAATTGTACAACAAGACCCATATGAGTAAACGTTCGAATCAACAAGATCCATCGTTCTCCAAAGAGTTCCAAAAGGCAGTGTCTTATTATGCACCTAGTATTTTATCTAATCGGTCTAGGCTTTCTCATAATGCTGGAGGCGGTGAGGGTGGTGCTTTCCCCGGTGGAGCAGCAGCTTCCACTACTATAGTTAAGGGAGAGGTGTTGAATGTTTCTTTGGGTGGAGCCAGATTTGTTCTATTAGGTGATGTTCACGATATGCCAGTGCTTGACTTGAAGACAAATCCTTTTGATATAAAGGCAACAGATTGGTCGACTGATTTATATGCGGAAACAACGTTTGAATCGTATATAAACATCTACAACTACGCCAGAAGTTGTTGGGAACCATTGGTAGAGCCTTGGCCTGTTTCTATGTATGCTTCAAAGAAGTCTGGAATTAAACAATGCTTACTGATTGACATTATTGCTAGAGAATTGGCTCAAGTGACTGTATCTTCCAGATCAGTTGCTCTTCTTTCTCAGATCTTCTCCAGAATGTCATCTGATATCGAATTGAAACCAAGAGGTGAAGACAGCCCTTATAGAATCGTTAACCAAACGGGTCTTGACGTCAAAGTGTGGTCTAACAAGGAAAGTAGTGATGATGACGATGACAATAACGCAACACTTATCAAATCTGGTGAAACTATTCCCTGGGCCTTTGAGAGTTGGACTAAGGTTAGACAAGATCTTGATGTTGATACCAATACTATTGCTTTGGGGATAACTTTTATAGATGGAGTTTATGATGATCTTCAACAAGTGGCATTGAATGGTGAAGGTGTTCAAGTCTATATGTTAGAGCCTGCCAGGAATAAAATCCATAACAGATTATTATGTGATATTACTCTTGGTGAAGATAATGTCAAGACTGTTGTGTTAAGGTCTACGGTTAAGATTCAAAATGACTCTGATACGGGTATTAATATCTTATTATTAGATGAAACTCATAGTGAAAATAATGCTGAATTACTTATCCCATCAGGAGGATCTTATGCTGTTCCAATAAATTCAGTTTATTATTCAAGATTAAGTGTTAGACCCAACGTTTCAACGTCCTACAATTGGTCCAAAGAGAAACTATTCTGGCAAGATATGTCAGCAGCAAGTACTTCATTAAGTTGCGGAGCATCTGCTTCCAACGACAATTCCTTCTATTATTATCATGCTGTTGGCCATGTTGCAGAAGACGAACCATTGGCTACCATTTATCCATTTATGAATGTGGCCATATCTGCACCCATTGAAATTGATAACTTGCTTCCTTATGATTTGGAATACAGATTGTATGATAAGAATAATGAAAGAGAATGGAAGGGTAGACTCTCCAAGGGTATGAAGAATTATGTTCATGTTGTTAGCTTAAAGAGTTTACTCTTGTTAAGTGTTCAAGCTATAGGGACCTCATTTAAAAAATCAGAATTTGCTATTATCAATAGTCCTAAAGGATATAAGTTTCCTCGGGAAAACAAATTACCCATGAGAGGACCTAGAGGTATGGAAATGACATTGAAGATCCATTATCCATCTTCCTCGAAGACCAGTGCTGGGTCTAAAGCCGTATTGTATGCACCATATGTTATTCTTAACAGAACAGGCAAGGAAATAACTATAAAAGATGGGAATAACTCCATAGTATGTCCTGCTAGTGAACGAGATCACTTCACTCCATATATCTTTTCATTTGTTAATGAAGAGAATAAATCCAATAGAGCCTTTTTACAAGTGGAAGACTCTCTTCCAACTTCCCCCATTAGTTTTGATGCTATTGGGCAAAGCTCGGCTGCCACTGCCCAAATGCAAGGTCGACAATTGGAATACAATATTGGAGTTCATGTTTCAGAGGGAGAAGGGAAATATAACTTGAGCAAAGTGGTGACTTTCACTCCACGATATGTGGTTCGAAATCTTTTGGATGAAGACATTGAGGTTATTGAATCCGGCTCCACCCAAAGGTTCCAAGTGGGGTCTAAAGCCATTACTCCATTATATGGTTTAAGAAGAACTAAAGATAAAAACATTATGATCAAATTCACCCATTCATCCAAGACTTGGACTGCACCTTTTTCTATTAATGAGGTTGGACAAATCTTTGTTAAAATCAATAAACTGGATGTCCAAGTATTGGTCAAGGTTAATCTTGTTATTGAGGATGCAACGTTATTTATTCAAGTTGAAGATGCCAATGAAGAGTGGCCATTTTCCATTAGGAACTTCACCAACCATGAATACTACATCTACCAACTGAACCCTAATTTGAACAGTGAAGGTGAACAAGTACGCAATGATTATTATAAGCCGATATATTATAAGATCCCTCCGAAATCGGTGATGCCATATGCTTATGATTATCCAAGTGCAATAGTCAAAGAGATTATCGTAAGAACAAGAGGAAGAGAAAGACCAGTTAATCTAGCAGAAATTGGTAATCAAAAACCCTTTAGACTACCACCTACTGAGAATTTAGAACAAGCAATAATTGATTTGAATGTTATTGCAGATGGTCCATCTCAATGTCTTGTTATCACCAACTATGACCCTTCTTTGAGTCTTTATAAGTTGAAGAAACAAGGCTCATCCTCGTCTTCTTCAGCTATTGAAGTGGACAAGATTGAGACTTTGGAAAATAATGACTTTTATTATACCAAATTGATGTTCAAGAGTGAAGGTGTGGCCTTCTCTCTTTTGAATACCAGAATGCAAGAATTGGTATACATTACCACTAGAGGGATTGAATTAAGATATAATGAACTGGATATTTATCAAAACATTAGTGCCAAAGTGAAATGGATCCAAATTGATAACCAATTGAATGGGTGTGTTTTCCCCATTATATTATATCCAACCGTTGTTCCTAAATCAAATAATGAAATGAATTCTCATCCAACACTACTGGCTTCCATAGTAAAAGTCAAAGATGAAACCCATGGAGTGGTGTTTATTAAATATGCCACTATATTACTTCAAGAATTGACTCTTGAAATAGATGAAGACTTTTTGTTTGCACTCTTGGACTTCACCAAGTTTCCTGGTGCTAGTTGGAACCACAGATTACAAGATAAACTCTGTGACGAGAATACTGAATTGCCTGTTCCACTGAAATCTTTGAATGATAGTGATTTCTATTTCGAAACCTTGCATCTTCAACCCATGTCGTTGAATTTGAGTTTTGTCAGAACAGAGCATATCAATACCCAAGACGAAGATAAAGCTGGAGGCAACAGTAATGGCAATACCTTAATGTTCTTCTTCAACATGTTAACCATGGCTATTGGCAATGTCAATGAGGCTCCTATCAGATTGAATTCATTGTATATTGAAAACATCCGAGTCCCAGTCCCAGTACTTATTGAAACCATTCAGACCCAATATGGACAAGATTTCTTTTATCAAGTGCATAAGATCTTAGGATCTGCCGATTTCTTGGGGAACCCAGTCGGGTTGTTCAATCAAATCTCTTCTGGGTTTTTGGATATCTTTTATGAACCGTATAACGGGTTTATTATCACAGATAGACCTCAAGAAATCGGTATTGGATTAGCCAAAGGTGGTGCCAGTTTTGTTAAGAAATCGGTGTTTGGAGTATCTGATTCTGTTGCTAAAGTCACAGGATCAATTGCCAAGGGGTTATCTGTGGCTACTTTGGATAAAAAGTATCAAGAACGAAGAAGAAGGTTGGTTCAAAATAGAAACCGTCCTAAAAATGCCCTATACAATTTTTCAACTGGTGCCACTTCATTCTTTGATTCGGTATCTTCTGGTGTTAGTGGAATAGCCACTGCTCCAATTGAAGGAGCAAATAAAGATGGAGCAGCTGGCTTCTTTAAAGGGTTAGGTAAAGGTATAGTTGGGTTACCTACCAAGACAGCTATTGGTATATTTGATTTTGCATCTAATATGAGTGAAGGCATTAGAAATTCCACCACCATGTTTGAATCTTCAGAATTGGATAGGGTCCGATTACCACGATATATTTCGTATGATCGAGTGATTCGACCATATTCTGACCGAGAGGCATTAGGTCAGAATTGGCTTAATGTCATGGATGAAGGGTTATATTTCAAGGAGAAATATTTGGCTCATTTGCTTTTAAGTGGTGAGGAAAGGGCAGTGATTGTTACCTTCAAAAAGATCATCTTACTTCAAGTTCATACCTTGAAATCGGTCTGGGTGATCCCCTATGATCAGATCAAGGTTATCACCATTGAATCCACCGGTATCCAAATCGACTTGAAGACTCGGTCCGGTCCGTTCATTCCTATACCGGATCGTGGTGGAAGACAATTCTTGTATAACCGGATGTCTGTTGCGGTGACGGAGTACAACAATAAGTGTAAGGTTACGTTGTGAAGAACTTTGATTGATTTGAACCTGTTTTCTTCTTCAATGAGTGGAAGAAAGCTTTAGGGGTTTCCGATCCATATGTTTCAACTTTAACGGAACTCATTTGAATAGCACCATCGATCGTCTTTACTATTAGTTTGTTGTCGTTATCACTAAGTTTGAATCCCCCAACAGGCATGTCTATGTCAGAACCGTCCTTTAAAGGTGATATGTGTTCGAGAAACACTTTATAGTTGGTGTTGATGGTCTTGCCCTTTCGGGTCAATGATACGGGGATATACGTATAGATTGGGCCCAAGGCATCCTGAAGTCGTTTGATCTGATTGGTTGTCATAGTGGGCCAATCAACAAGTCTTTGGCTGGGTTTGATCTTCGGGGCCAATGAGAATGGGTATATGGGACTAACAAATTGTTTGGACGTATATAGTTGTTCATCTATAGCTTCCACTAGTAGCTGACCACCAATAGTTCCGAGTTTATCAACCAACTGCGGGTACGTATCTGAAGGAGCGATGGGCACGGCACCAGACTGTAAGATGATATCCCCATGATCAAACTTTGTAGGGTGTAATGTCTGTAAGGTGACCCCGGTTTCCTTGTCGTCATTCATCAAGGCATATTGTATTGGAGATGAGCCTGAGTACTTCGGCAAGAGCGATGGGTGAACATTCCAACCTCCATAAGTACACTTTGAAAGGAACTGATGGGGGATAAGGCATCCATAAGACACTGCTATAGAGAGATGATAGTGATCGTTGGTGATGTTTATGATATCGCTCTTGGAATCGGCCCGGATTATCTTGATGTTGTTGGCCTTGCTGAAGACTCCAATAGGTGATTCAACATAGGTGGTCAACCTTCTACCGGTGGGCTTGATGGATCTGGTGATCACGTCTATGTTGGATACCGTTGATGGGTTGGCTTTGGCATACGACACGAGACGAGAAAGCAGATGAACGCTGAAGGCATCGGAGCCAAAGAAGGCAATGTTGAGGGGTTTCATTGGAGAAAAGCGGTACCAGGGACAGATGAGATGAGATTGATTGTGCTCTTGGAAGAGTACGCACTAGACAGAAATATAGCCATACTACGGACGACTCTATATATTCCTGAAGATAGTGGTATGGCTACTGGTGGTACTAGCAGTTTAAGTGGTACTAGCAGTTACACAGGAGACTACAAGTTGCAACACACTCAAGTGTAAAGCTGTTTGCTCTGATGGTATATGTTGCAAGTAGTATGCGTGCAGTTTCAAGTACAAGTCTGCACTGTATTCGTACTACAATCGGTATCTTTCTAAGCACAGCATTTCATATCTATACTTTATACCACTAGCTTTGTCAGATAAGCAGCATCAAATTAATCTGAACCAAATTGAATCAAGTTAATCGTAGCACTAGACTTCACATACTATACAAGAGAAGCATCTGATTGCACGAACAATGTATGAACCCTGCTGGGTTAAATGGTATCGTGGTTCTACAATAAGAATCAACGAGGCCCTTGGAGTCAAATCCAACAAGAAGGTTTCAAGCACCCTAGTAGAATCATACCATTCAGAGTCACAGACTGCATTTTATACATGCTTGAAGTCATTGAAGTTATTGATACATACGCAATAGCAAACCAAGGTAACTTGTTGTGATGGGAATACTATTTCAGGGTTACCCGCACTTAGATCATACATGTCTGTATCAGACTGCTATTTATATACGTGTGATTAAAGTATATATGAATGGTGTTCAAACAATAACATGATGGATCAGTTTCGCTGTGATGAACTCCACTACTAAAGCATTGGTGCTTTTATCTTGTACTCTTCCTGGTCTTATATGTGGTACACTTTACGTGTATTCGTCATTCAGTCCCCAATTGGCTGGTCAACTTCAATATTCAGTTACAGAAGCCTCCATTTTACCCTTGATAGGAACAGCTGGGGTTGCACTTTCCAGTCCAATAAGTGGTCTAATGGTCGATAAGAATGGGTATACATTGCCATTATTATTGGGTGGCGTTTCCATTGCGTTGGGATATAAAGGCTTACAATTACAATACGATAATCAATATGGTCATTTACAATTAAGTGGATTGTTATTGTTTATGATTGGTATTGGGTCTACATTTATCAATCTGGTGACTCTTAACTGTTGTGCTGTTACATTCCCAACCAGGAGAGGTTTAGCTACCTCATTACCATTGGCACTTTATGGTCTAAGTGCTTTGTTTTATTCCTCAATATGTTCTACCTTCTATGATGATGACCCCAGTGGGTTTCTAAAGTTTCTTCTGCATTCATCACTGCTAATATTTGTCATAAGCTGTCCAATGCTAATTTATTGTGATACGATTCATAAAAGGTCCCAATTGATTAATAAACCAAAATCATCATCAACCAAATTTTCAAATCTAGATAACTTGCTAGATAAAAAGTTTTTGCTACTATTTGTAGTAACGGGTCTTATGGCAGCTTTTGGTCAAATGTATATTTATTCAGTCGGGTATATGATTAAAGCTTTATTAAATGAGGATGACGTGCACTTCTTTGCCCGACAGCAACAATTACAAGTGGGGATGATTTCCTTTACTAACTGCTTAGGAAGACTTGTGGCTGGGTTACTATGTGATAGTTTACATTCTAAACACAACAAACTTATCTTACTTTATATCCCCAGTATAGGCTTTTTTGTATCTCATTGTGTTGTTTACAATGTTGAAAGGTTCATTGCACTTGGATACATCTCTTTAGTTACAGGGTTTCTGTATGGGTTCACATTTTGTCTAATGCCTATACTAGTCTGTGATATGTTTGGTATGAATGATTTCCTGTTGAATTGGGGGGTAATGAGCGTGGCCCCCATTTTACCCAGTTATTACTTGACCAAATTGTTTGGTCAGATTTATGACTCTCGTTCAATCATCTCAACAAACGGTCAATTCACATGTCCGTTCCATCAATGGTGTTACAATGCGATCTTTAGGATATCTCTTCCATTAGGTGTGATTTGTGTGGTGGTGGTGGCATACTTGAATCTATCAAGGGCGTGTGCGTGACAAAACAGACATATTCATTGTCACTGTTCACAAAATCAATCTATCATTATAAGGCGTACCCTCCAAATTTCTTTAGCATGAACCATCATCATAAATGGCGTCGTAGTCGGAACGATGATACAGCGGATCTGAGTAAAAGAGAAGATCGGCTAAAACGATTTGACCACCCGATCAAAAGTGCAAATAAATATGGGTTAGTAAGTAGAGGGCTGGAACTGATACTTCAACATAGTCAAAGAGAACGACAAATATTCTTTAATCATATTATAGAGTGTTTTATTCGTTATTGCAGCACTTCTCTTGTTGATGATTGGAATATAGAGATCCCCACATCACCAGTAGAGTCAACAGAAGCAAAAGAAACGAAGTCACAAATATCATCACCAGTTACCACTAGTACTACTACTTCTGAATCGTTACAAGATATATTATCCGATCTACGCAAACTAAGAGAACTGTTGATTGCTAATCCATTCACAGATTTCACTCGTCAAGTGTTTCTCTTCTCAATGCGCATCTCTAGCAACATTGGCCATTATCAATCATATTTCCCTAGTGCAATCCACCTTCTCGCCAATGAAGAGTGTCTAAGTCCTTTAGAAGTTCAAGAAGTGGCCACAGTTATGGTCCTTCACTTAAGTCATCATAATAATGCTAATGGTTCAGCTTTGATATACTATTACAAGTATCTAAATGATGATCATCGTTTACTTCAAGTATTAACTTCATGGATAGGTTGTGATTATTATCTGTGGATTCGAATATACAACAGTGAATCCAATCCTTATAAACTGCGTTTAATGAGATTCGGATTAAAGAGAATGTTAGCTCATTTAATCCAATGTCTAGAGAAACTGTATTTCACTTTACCTTCGACTTATATGGATGAAATCTTACCTAACGGAATTACTCTAATGGCATTGGAAGATGATTATGGCGTTCATTGGAAACGACAAAATAACACTTTGATTATTAGAGAACGTAAATCAGTTTCAAAGCCATAATAGATTAATATAGTCATATACTTTATACTTCTAAATTGGTGTACAGTGTTGCGCTACCATTTTATGAACCCTTAATGGTAGCGCTTTATTAATTTATTTTAACAAGCAAAGTATGGCAGCGTAATCTTATTACTACAAGTACCACTCTTACATTCTCTCTAATGACAAGTGGTAATATTACAGGGCTGCTGCTGCTGCTGCTGCTCCCAGACACTATTAAAATCGATGACATCACGTCGGGGAAAATTCTGCCCCAAGCCATGTATGATGAGCTTGATAGAATGAAGATCCAATTGAATATTCTCCGAAATGATATGCTGGTATTTATACAACTGTTAGCAACAATACCTAGTGATCTGAGTCAACAACAATACTTCAATTCAGTTAAACTGAGACTATTTGTGGTACAACAATCAATAAAGGAATATTGTGCTCAATATAATAAACTTCTTCCCATAATTAACTTGGCTCAAATCCGTCTTGGAAATGAGCTAGAAATAGTAGCACCTACTGTTTCAGTTAATGGTAATGGGATGGCTACTCCAGCTACTATTAATGGCAGTTCTGCTGCTAATACTCCATCGAATGTTGATAATGGTCCTGATAGTAAGAAGAAGAAACTATCAATATCGGGGGGAGCCTCATAATAGTATAATTGATGCTAAGCAGACATGGATTGACATATGATATACCTCATACGTTGACATAAGACTTAATGTTAACATTTCGTTAGCATACGTTGCACGTTGACATTACTGCATTCCTGCATTCCTGCTGGCATTATTTATTACTGACACTACCTTGCTACTGACATTACTGTACTACTAGCACTTCAATTTAATCTCATAAGCTTCGGGATTCCATCATTAATACCAACTAACAAACTTAACATCACCTATTATCTCATACACAAACGTATATTATGCCTGATGGTGAACTACTATTGGGGGGTTACCCTGAACTGACTCATACGTGCTCTCCGTCCGATATATAAGAGTGAAATTTTCCACCTTAACCAACGATTAAGATTTATTATCACGACATCAAGATAACAACTCCTCTTCTTGATTTGATACATTAAGATTTCTATTATGGCTAGTTTGTTGAAAGAAACATTTGCCAAGTGCAAAAAGGAAGGCCGTAGTGCCTTGGTGAACTTTATCACTGCTGGTTACCCCACAATTGAAGACACAGTTCCAATTCTTAAGGGAATGCAAGATGCTGGTACTGATGTCATTGAATTGGGTGTTCCCTTCAGTGACCCTATTGCTGATGGACCTACTATCCAGGTTGCCAACAATGTTGCTCTTGAAAATGGTGTTACCGTTCCCAAGTGTCTTGGATTGGTTAAACAAGCGCGTGATGCTGGTGTCACGGTTCCAATCATCTTGATGGGTTACTATAACCCTATTTTGAAATATGGTGAACAGAAATTAATTGAAGACTCAGCTAAAGCAGGTGCTAATGGGTTCATTGTCGTTGATCTCCCTCCAGAAGAGGCTGTGAAATTTAGATCTGTTTGCGCCCAATCGGGTTTATCTTACGTCCCATTGGTTGCTCCTGCTACTACTGATGCCAGATTGGAGATCTTGGGTGAAATTGCTGATTCTTTTATTTATGTGGTATCTAAAATGGGTACCACCGGTGCTTCTTCTCAAGTATCTCAAGGGATTGCTGAATTATGTGCTAGAGTCCGTAAGTTTGCTGGTGACATCCCATTGGCTGTAGGGTTCGGTGTTTCTAATAGAGATCATTTCTTAACTGTTGGTGAAGCTGCAGATGGTGTTGTTATTGGTTCTAAGATTGTAACTGTTATTGGTGAATCTGAAGTTGGTAAACGTGGTGAAACTGCTTCCTCGTTTGTTAAATCCATTTTAGGTGAAGATTTTAAGGTTGACCCTCCAAAGGAATTTATTCCCTCTTCAAGTAGTTCTTCTCAAGTGAAACAAGTTTATGAAGAGGATCACAAATATAACCCAAGATTTGGTGATTTCGGTGGTCAATTTGTTCCTGAAGCTTTACATACTTGTCTTTCCGAATTAGAAAAGGCATTTGAAGATGCTGTTGCCGACCCAGAATTCTGGAAAGAATTTAAAGGTTTATACAGCTATATTGGAAGACCTTCATCTTTACATAAAGCTGAAAGATTATCTGAATTTGCTGGTGGAGCTCAAATTTGGTTGAAAAGAGAAGATTTGAATCATACTGGATCTCATAAAATCAATAATGCTTTGGCACAAGTATTAATTGCTAAAAGATTGGGTAAAAAGAAGATTATTGCTGAAACTGGTGCAGGTCAACATGGTGTGGCTACTGCTACAGCATGTGCCAAATTTGGATTGGAATGTACTGTTTTCATGGGTGCTGAAGACGTTAGAAGACAAGCATTGAATGTATTCAGAATGAGAATCTTGGGTGCTAACGTTATTGCTGTTACTAATGGTACTCAAACTTTAAGAGATGCCACATCTGAAGCCTTTAGATTCTGGGTATCAAATTTACAATCCACTCATTATGTTGTTGGATCAGCCATTGGACCTCATCCATATCCAACATTGGTTAGAACATTCCAATGCGTGATTGGGAATGAAACTAAGGAACAATTTAAGGAATTAAATGGTGGTAAATTACCCAATGCAGTTGTTGCATGTGTTGGAGGTGGATCCAATTCCACTGGTATGTTTTCACCATTTGAAAACGATTTGGAAGTTAAGATGTTAGGAGTTGAAGCTGGTGGAGATGGGTTGGATACTGAACGTCACTCTGCTACTTTAACTGCTGGTATTCCTGGAGTTTTCCATGGAGTCAGAACTTATGTTTTACAAGATGATGATGGACAAGTTCATGATACTCATTCTGTTTCTGCTGGGTTGGATTATCCTGGAGTTGGTCCTGAATTGGCTTATTGGAAGAGTACTGGTAGAGCAGATTTTGTTGCTGCTACCGATGCGGAAGCCTTATTAGGATTCAAATGGTTATCACAATATGAAGGAATCATCCCAGCTTTGGAATCTTCTCATGCCATCTTTGGTGGTGTTCAATTGGCTAAAACCATGTCTAAAGATCAACACATTGTCATTAATGTTTCTGGTAGAGGTGATAAGGATGTACAAAGTGTTGCAGAGGTTTTACCTGTTTTAGGTGATAAGATTGGCTGGGGGTTACGGTTTGAAGCTGATCCCACAAAGGGTGCGTAAAGTGTATATACATGTATATATATTAATTGAATCCACCTCTTCTCTTTTTCCGTTTAGGATGTTGGCCCAGTGATCTTTGGGAGAGTGAAAGTGCTTGAGAGAGTCCAAATCTTTGTGATGATCCAAGTAACAGTTTCCTAGGAGATGATGGTGATTGTGAGCCCAAATTGATAGCCATTTGAGCTCTAGGAGACGTAGCAATTGGTTGTTGGATAGTATGATTATTTTGGGATTGTGTTTGAGTGATTCGGATGGTTGGTATTTCATCAACAACTCGAGTCGTCAGTGCTTCATCTTTTCGTTCAATATTATGTTGATGTGGGTCTTCGTTTATAACCGTGTCCCAGCTGTCAAGGAGATCCTTGACAAAATCATCACCACACATTTGTAACTCTGATTCAAGGGTGTCGCTACTCTCAGTAGCAGTGGTCGCACTGTTACATCTTAGGAGACTCAAGCCAACTAGTGTAACAAACATGCTCAAATTGTAGCTTGAAGCATGGTTATTCTTGAGCCACATGGCTTGCAGTTCAAACAACGACTCCAAATTATCGACCCCAAGTAGTTTCGCTAGTTGTGAAGTTGATATGGTGATGTTCTTGGTTTCAAAATAAGATACCAATTGTTCTATCATTGAGTCGAATTCCTCCAAGTCTTCACTCTGAGGAATCTCTTTGGCCAAATCCAATAGCGACACTTTGGAGTCTTCCACCTTGTTAAGGGCTGAACCCAACTTATACGCGTAATCTTGGACCAACTCAATGTCCATATCCGGTTCACGATTATCAATAGAAATGTCAAGGGTCTTTTGTATTTGCTGCAACATCGGTCTAAACTGTTTCTTACTGAATCTTTGAAACACTTTGTGTCGTTCCTTTGGCTGTGACTTTGACTTCGTCGGTGACTTTGATACAATTTTGTCTCTGGTTTGATTCAACGATAGTCCTTCTTTGTCAGTTAACAATGTTGCTGATAAACAATGAGAGCAATTCATTTCAAATAGTCCCACGACCTTTCGATCTTCTTCTTCTTCTTCTTCATCCTTAAAACATTCCAGAAGATTAATCAACTGCACATGTTGGTTACTTCCGATGCCTTCTTTCAAGATGTATGGGTTTGACCCCATTATGGGCTTGCCATTGTCCAGGAGCCCAAATCGGTACAATATGACCACTTCATGTAAAACAGAGTAAATCACACAGTGAACATCGTTACCGTCTTCAAGCAAGGTTAGCTTTAGAGATGGGTCAGTGTCTGAAAGAAAATGTTTCCACGAGACTTCCCTGGTGGTGGTAGGAGTCGTTCGAATCATAATGAGTTCCTTGGATGTAAGTAAGAACCCGTAGTGTCTATTGGTCGAACACACCTTGAAATCCAATAGTTTGGACCAAGTATTGGTCGTGATGATGTCGTAAACCTTAGGAGTAGAAGACGACAGAACTTCATATTCACGCATACCTGAACGACAACCAATGTAGAGACTTGAAGGAGTACTGCCCCAACAAACCTTCTTCCAAGAAGATAACTCCGTTTCATCTTGGTGATACTTCTCTTGAAAGAGTATCCCCCCGTCAAGATGCCATAGGATGAAGTTGCCTTGTTTGTCGATGGCACAGAATAGTCGAGGATCAAAGGGTGAGAACACAGCCGCAGCAAACGAGACTCCTTCTATATCAGAAGCTGTCAACTCCATTAAAAGTCGATTATTATTGCTGGACTCAAAGATATAAATGACATTGTCCGTCATGACCATGAGATGGTATTGAGATGTTGATGATGTTGACGTTTTCCGTCTTTCTTCCACTTGCGTTTCTTGAGACCACAGAATGTGTTTGATTTGTTCGTTGAAGTCAACTCTAAAGGGATCACCAGCGATTTCTGGTATAGACATTGAATGGACATTAAGCTCCGAAACCTCTAGCGTTGTGCCCCCACTTCCCGTGGCGCAAGCTATCTTTTGAATGCCAGAACTTAGCGTGACAATATCAAATAAGTTGCAGACCGTAGGGTCATAGCCATTTTCAACGAGAGTATTTGAGTCACTAAGTGATGATCTAATGATATCATTGGGTATATATGAACCAATGTATTGATGTTTATTGTTAGTGGTAGTATTCCCAGTAGCAGTGCTGTTATTATTATTATTATTATTACTAGTAGCATCAACAAGTGTGAAGCGACCGTCATGTATTGGAATCCACTTTGGCCTTGCTGCTATCTCATCGCGTGGGAACTCTAGTTCTACACTAAGAGTATTGGTGTTGGTACGTTCAACCACATTAGCAAGGCCAGAGCCCCGTACACCCAAGCTTAGAACATTCCCAAGCCCTTTCTTAGAGGCCCACAGCATTCATATACCGCATACCAATGGCAAAGAAGAGTGATGATGATTAGTGCGAACAATTCAACTGTTTGTATGTCTAGATACTAAGTATACAAGAAATGTATACAGTCTGCTGCTGCTGGTTAACTAGTGATCTACAAGTACGTAAGCATACTTAACGTAGTATACTCACTAGACTACGCTCACTAGACTACGCTCACTTGACTCTCAGTAGACCTCAAACGACTTGGTTGACTACTGATGTCGCCCGCTAGCGTGCAATGAGAACGTACTGCACTGCAGTGTATCTATAAAAGGATGGTACCACCATCGGCTGTATCTCCAACTGTATCTTGATCCGCATCACTGGTAATCAGTAACTGGTGCTGTTGTCTACGGTATCACCACCTTTTTTGTCTATGATGGACTGCGAACTGCACTAAATTGTTGACTGCGACTTGGAAGTCGACCTCAGCCTCAACTCTTGTTCTCTTCCAACACACTGACTATGATTATTAGATGGTTATTATTCTTGGTCTGGACCCATTGCGTCCATGGCGCTGTGGAACCAGACCAATTGCTTTGGGGTCCATATCGATCCAGTCATTACTTTGGGGTTAGATCTCGAGTACCTCAATCACTACTCTGTGGATTAATGTGGTATAATGCTGATGATTTCATGGCCATTAGAAACATAAGACACTTTTACGAATTGGGTCATGATATGAATAAAGCCAATTGGGTTGAATATGATCCTCGTTTTGGGGGGAGACAAATCATAGACGACAATGAGTTCCACGTAAACATCACCATCGATTTCGTGAAGAATGTTGATGGTCATTCATGGGGGGCCAGAGTTCAACTGGTGCCTCATAAAGGGTTTGAAAGTTCCAGAACAACTTTTATATGGTATTGTGGTCAAGAAGGTGAATTCAATGGGTTATTTTTACAAGGTCCCCTTGAACCCAATGGGTATGATAATGGAGTGGAACTAGTTGGTGAATCCACGTATTTGGGTGCTTATTCAATGTATTTCAAACCAAATCAAGGGATTATTGATAAGACAAAGGAAAATTTGGTTCTGAAAGATTTAGACCCTACAAAGACTCATCATCTAAGCTTAAAAGTACAAGATGATCATGTTTGGAAGGCAAAAGATATCTTGGTTACTATTCTTCAAGATTCTCTAAGAGATTTGATGGGCAAATATGAAAATATCGATTCAATGTCTCCTTCACAGATTTATACCATGAGAGATATGAACAAGTATACGGGTAACTTACATTTCATCCAACATACATTTGAAGGCAAGGCTCAATTTGACATCTTTTATAATGAAGAAGGATCTTCTGAGGTTATTAATGAAAGTAATATTGCCCCTATGGTCACTCGTACTTTGGATAAGGTGTCTACCAAGTTTGAACAGAGTTTCATGCTCGAAAATGTTCATCACAAGCAATTTGCCCATGAAGTGTTATCTGGACTTTTAGGAGGCCTTTCATATTTCTATGGTGATTATTTGGTTGATAGAGATACCAAACTCGATGAAGAATCCTTTGAATCTCATGATTTACATGGGAAACTTGAGGGGCCCTTTGAATTGTTCACTCTTGTACCGTCAAGACCCCATTTTCCTAGAGGTTTTTATTGGGATGAAGGATTCCATTTGATGCCTTTAATCGATTATGATTCTGATTTGGTATTTGAAATCATCCAATCTTGGTTTAAATTAATTGATGAAGATGGCTGGATTGCCAGAGAACAAATCTTGGGACCAGAACTGAGATCTCGAGTGCCCGTTGAATTCCAAGTTCAACTGCCTGAAATTGTTAATCCACCAACATTAATGCTTGTATTGAACTACTTGCTTGAAAAGATAACTGGCATTGAAGAGGTTGTAGAACAGCCAATCAAAGTGACGGAATACGCTGAAATGGATGACTCCTACGGTGGTGGGCTGACATTAATGAATAATAAGGAAAAGTTGAATAAATATATTGAAGATATTTATCCCCAATTGAAAAAACACTATGAATTTTTTAAACAGACTCAAATTGGTATGTTTGATGAATTTGGTCGGAATGAACATGATCCTGCCAATACTCAAGCTTATAGATGGAGAGGGAGAACGTTAACTCATAGTTTAGCAAGTGGACTTGATGATTATCCTCGAGTCTTACCTGCTGATATTGCTGAGCTTAACGTTGATTTGTTGTCGTGGATTGGAGTCATGAACAGACTGGTGAAGATCTTAGCTGAGCTTCTTGGCGAAGAAGACGATGTTAAGGAGTACACGGCTATTGAAGAACAAATCAAGTCCAACATCAATCGTTTGCACTGGTCAGAAGATGATAGAGCTTACTGTGATGTTAGTGTTGATGATGAAGATGAGAATGTGTTTTATTGTGCCAAGGGGTACATTTCAGTATTCCCCTTTATTACTAAACTTATGGATCCTAAAGATACTGATAAAATAGAAGCTATGATTGATATACTCTCTGATCCGGATCATTTATGGTCTGATTATGGTATTCGACTGCTTCTGAAATCCAGTCCCTTGTACAAGACTGCTGAAGATTATTGGAGATCACCAATTTGGATCAACATTAATTATTTGATTCTTGATGCCTTGAAATACTACCGTTCTGTTCTGAGCGAGTACGCCAATGAGGAATTACAATCAAGAATGAGTGTCTTGTACAAGAATTTGAGAGCTAACATCATCAACAATATGTTGGACCAATGGGTTAAGACTGGTTATGTTTGGGAACAGTATAACGATGAAGATGGCCATGCCCAAAGAACAAAGAACTTTTTGGGTTGGAGTTCTTTGGTTGTAGAGATTATGAAAATGCCAGAACAATTGTAGAAACTTTGTATAGTTACATAGAGCTTAAAGCATATTATGCTGGTGTTCGGGTGTTTACGTGATAGTGTTCAAAGAAATGTTCCCCAGATTTTCCAAAGGGGGCCCCTTGACACATTCATACAATATACTAAACAATGAACACTATGCCGATAGATCAACTTATACTCGATTACTTTGTTCAGGAAGGATATGAAGAAGCAGCGCTTAGTTTTGCCAAAGAAACACGTACCAATTTATCACCAGATACCTTAAGTCCCAGTGCACTAGCCCGAGGGTTCACCACCATTCAAAAACGTAAGGAGATTAAACGTCTTATCTTGCAAGGGAACATAGAAGAAGCCATCAAGAAGATCAATGAGTATTTCCCCACGATATTAGATCAGAATAATTTGCTTCATTTTTATCTACTTCGACTCAATCTAACGGAGCTTATCCGGAACCACAAGTTCAGGAGTAATCTCAATGACATGGAGGAAGAAAAGGAGTTCTTGAGTCGAGTGTTGACGTTTGTAAGAGAGCACTTGATATCCAAAGTGGCTAGTTCGTTTAAATTACTTAAAGAGTTGGAGATAACTATGAGTTTACTTTGTTTGGACTTTAACAAGCCTCAAGAATTGCCTGAAGAGTTGCAGAGTTTATTTGATCTTCAACTTCGAAACCAATGCTATCGTCTTGTGAACAAGGAGATATTGAACTTTGAGCCTTCGAGCAACTTAGTGATGAACGGTGAAGTACTTCCACAAATCAATGTGGATGTTTCGTTTAATAAAGACCATGATGTTGATGATGATGACGAATTGTATGATGATCTATTGACTACTTCCAAAAGCTCTGTGATAGAAAAGCTAGCCCCTACAGAAAAGAGTGTGGGGCCAGATATCAACATTCCCCTTGACTCTAAGTTGGAAACAGTACTCAAACTTTGGATCTTAACCGAACAAAAGTTAATTGGAATGAATGTTAAAGACAAAAGAGAACTGCTTCTTGATGTTCTTTAGTCTCTCATCTTTTCATATTTGAATAACTGTATCAATGACACTACCGGTTTCAATGCCAACCTTACTCAAATATTCGTCATCTGAATCGCTCTTAACTTCAAGGTACTTTGGATCATAGACGAGAACAGCTTCAGATGTCAATTTTTGCGGCTGCTGTTGACGCAATTGCTTGTAGACATCCAGATCATTAAACAAGGTGATGATTTTCTGTCTTAAATGAGAAACAGTGGACCCCCACTCAGGTTCTTTATTCATTTCGAAATCTTGAGGACTAAACTCAAAATGATACTTGACAAACTTTGGAAGTACAAATATCTCCAGCAGTAATTTTGTTTCTCTTGTCCAAGTTGTAAATGCATTACTGGAATGCTTTAATTGATAATACTCGTTCAATTTAGTCAAATCTTTAGAACGTATCACGTTAACTCGACAATATACATGAGCACAATGTACTGGAATCTCCTTAAATATGTCGCTGGCATGATACTCCCATATTCCTATTTTGATCCCTAGCCAATAAACGGTCTCATACAGTATAAGTCCCACCAAACATATGAATAGGAATTTGGTGATGATCTCAGATACTGTGGTGCTGATAAGGTTGGCTGTGAACGAGTGTTGTCTTAAGAACAGAGTGAACTCGTTATCTAGTCTTATAAGATATTCCAAGGGTAGCATCTTGATATCAATGCTGATCTATAATTCACGTAGTTAGCGTGAAGGGCAGCTTAATAGTCAATTGAGAGGAGACATTTGTTGAGAGAAATGTCGCAATGTCGTAAACTTAAATCAAAAAAAAGAAAAAGAAAATATACGGTTATAATGCAAATATATATTATTATGTACTCTTCTGTTATAAAGATACCTTTTCCCATTTCTGTATCACCATGCCGTCTTCTAATGTAACCTTCTTCTTCTCCAACTTGTAATTGCCCAATTTGGGTCCAATTACAAACATACTAAACCAATAAAATGTACACCATCCCAAAATAGAAAGTGATAAAATTGGATAACTTATCCAAGATTCTGTACCTGGAGGATTGGAATTACCAAACAATGGTGATACTGACAAGTAGACACAAATCAACATAAACAAGCCTGTCCCAATCATTGTTGATCTGATAGGAGCTCTGAATTGAGGATCCCGTTTTCTGAGGATGAAAACACCCAATGCAACCAAGAAGGTGAATATTTGTTGAGGGTAACTTTCCAAGGCAATGATATATTCATAAAAGTTACCTCCAGCAAACAATATCATAACAATTGTACTGAAAGTACAACTTAAAACGATTGCTGGTAAGGGGGCCCCAAACGGTTTATTACTACCCATTATGGATCCAAAGGGTAAATAGCCATCTCTAAAGACTTCTTGAATAGTACGAGCTAAAGTGTACAACACAACAAAAATGTTTCCTCCAGTACTTAAAGCAACACTAAATACAAGAATCTTTTGACCCCACCCTTCACCAAATAAGGTTTGGAAATATCTTGCGCCCACCAAAGTCCCTGATTCCAAAAATTCCTTCTCTGGGATCGATAATAAATATGCCAAATTGATCAAAACATAACTTACAGTTGTAAGTATTAAAGAAGTTGGACCAGCTATTTTAAATGTTCTATTAGGGTTTTTAATTTCATTGGTCACGTTGTGAACTGTGTTCCAACCTGAAAAGGCATAAGTGGCTCTAATAGTAGCACTAGTGAATGAAGTAACACTCATAGGTCCTCCTATGGGGTTAACTCTCCAATGTAGTTCTTGTTTATCAGGTTGAAGAATTGAGTAAGACCCAGCCAAAATGAAAAACACCAACATTCCAACTTTCAAAGCCCCTAAAAAGTTTTGAACTTTGACTCCCAGATGAATGCTAACTCCATGGAATGCGGCGACAATGTATAAAAAGATTAATCCACAAACCTTTATTTGAGTATCAGTTGGTGTACTCAATCCAATAGAGTGCAAGAAATATTCACCAAATATAAGCACATTTGATATGGAGAATCCAAAGATCACACTAAACACCAGAAATGAAACTGTGGCTAATAATTTAGGTGATTTATAAATATATTCAAGGAATACTTTATTCCCTCCAGATCGAGGAATTATACTCCCTAATTCAAGATAAACATACATCCCACAGAATGACATGATGCCTGCTATCAGCCAACTGGCCAAGAACCAAAACACAGAATTCCCACAATCTCTATAAATACCTGGAGCCAATGCAAATATCCCTGAACCTAACATTCTAGAAATAAATAACACGATGGTGGAAAACACTCCCAAATGTCGTCCTTGTGGCATATCTTCAAGATCCAAAAGATAATGCTGAGACTTGTTTAATTCTTCATCCCCCATAAGCCGCTCATTATCAGATGTATCCAGTCCAGATGTTGCGCTATGTAAAGATATGGCATACGGTATTTGTCCCATTTGTATGTTATCTGAATATGATGATGTTGTTGCTTCTGGTAGTGTATCACTTTCAAGTAACCGATCTATGGTGGTATCTTCGCTTAAAGAAAACAAACTATTCTTCTGGTTATGGCTATCTTTTCGTGAATTTTGTATTTCCTGAGGCATAACCTTAATTTATATATGAATCTCCTTAAAAACTTATAAGGTGTGTGGGTATTGAGACCATTCCTATTATTGTTTCTGTGGTTTGATAAGATCACGTGCCGTCACCCCTGGAACACCTGAACAAAGCCACATAACTAAGACATTGGTAATACTAATATGTCATCAGATCCAGAATGAAGTAGTAAATTATAGAGGCTATAAGTATATATATGCATAAACAATATCACATGATACTACTGCCTTTACACTCCAGGCAGCATATACCAAGTACCACTATTAAGCATTGCCCTCGGAGAGATACCCTTTGGGGTAATAGACGAGGTGGTGGCCGGGACATTTCCGGGCAATTTCCGTCTGTATATTCTGCTATCAAGGGCATCATCAGTACACTATTCATGTACCCAAGATATATTCATATGGCTTCGCCTCGTAAAATGATCTGAAGTAATGTCTATGTCCTTTTTTTTATTATAATCTTAACCTGAACTTAATGTATGGTAATAACAACGGTTGGGGTAGTGGATATGGGGGTCCTCCCCCTCCTGTCCCACCACCCTACGGCTTCAATGGGACTCAAGGTCCTCCACCGGGGCTACAGAACTATGGAGGAATGCAATACGGATACTCCAATTGCCAAGGACAGAAGAAGGCACTTTTAATTGGAATCAACTATTTCGGTACAAGATACCAATTAAATGGTTGCATCAATGATGCTCGTACTATGTTCACGTTCTTGACTCGAGAATGGGGTTATTCTCCAGACGATATAGTTATGCTTACTGATGATCAACCAAACTATCTCAGCATACCTACACGGGAAAACATCATTAGAGCCATGCAATGGCTAGTCAAAGATGCGCGACCCAATGACTCATTAGTCTTTCATTATAGTGGTCATGGAGGTCAGACTCGTAACTGGGATGGAACGGAATCTTCAGGTTACGATGATACAATTATGCCTGTTGATTTCAAAATAACAGGAGAGATTGTAGATGACATAATGCACGACATTATGGTTCGTCGACTTCCTCCTGGATGTAGATTAACGGCACTATTTGATTCATGTCACAGTGGTACAGCCTTGGATTTACCCTTTGTTTACTCCACTAGGGGAATCGTTAAAGAACCAGACCCAATAAAGGATTCCGGGTCGTCTTTATTACAAGCAGGGAAGCTGTTTCTACTTGGCGATATCAACGGAGGATCCAATGGCATTAACTCCGCCTTTAACCATTTGTCTGGTAACGGGAGATCCAATAGACAATACCAAATAGCTTTAAAGTTCTCACCAGCAGATGTGATCTCAATATCTGGTTGTAAAGATGGTCAAACGTCTGCAGATTCAAGTTTAGGTGGTGTAGCAGGAGGAGCAATGTCTAAGGCATTTATTGAGGTGATGTCCCAATATCCTAATCAACTGTACTTATCACTATTGAATAATATGAGAATCATCTTATTCAATAAGGGATATCCCCAGAAACCTCAAATGAGTTGTTCACATCCTTTAGATATGAACCTACGATTTGTTATTTGATAATCTTATATTTAATGTAACTAATTTCTGTTGGAGTTTTTCTTTTCAACATAAGCTTCCTTTGCAAGCTTGATCAAAGTATCAAGCTCACCGGAATTCTCACACATACTGTAGAATAGTGATTCACGGTTGCTTATCAAAACATAGGGGTTCTCATATTCAACAACTCTACCAGCATCCATAACCAAAATCATATCGTAATCGATAATTGTCCGAAGTCTATGAGCAATGGTTAAGATCGTCAGGGAATGGAACTCTTCTCTAATGGTCTTTTGGATTATGGCATCGGATTTATAGTCAATAGACGAAGTGGCTTCATCCAATAACATCACCTTGGGATTCTTCAATAATGATCTGGCCAAACAAACCAATTGTCTCTCACCCTGGGACAAGTTACCACCTCCTTCAGTGATGGGATTGTAAAGATTTAAAAACTTATTTTGGTTCTCTTGACTGGCTTGAGAAGAATTGGATTGAGATACAATTCCAACTTCATCATCGGCACTAATCAAGTTAACTCTTCTTAAAGCTGCATAAATAGCTTCATCACTATACTCAACAAATGGATCCAAGTTGGTTCTAATAGTACCACTGAATAAAGTAGGATCTTGAGGAATAATGGTTATAGCTCTTCTCAAATTCTTTAACCCAATAGATGTAATGTCAATGTTATCAATCTTGATAGAACCAGATTCAGGATCTAAAAACCGGAAAAAGGCAGTGATAATTGTAGATTTACCGGCACCGGTACGACCAACAATGCCTACTTTATGACATGGTTCAACTTTAAAGGAAACATCCTTGATGACTCTAGGTAAATCTGGGGCATATCTCAAGGAAACATCTTCAACAATAATCTCACCCTTTTGGGGCCATGAATCTTCTGGTTGAGTTTCTGGGATCTCATAGGGGGGTTCTTGTTCTATTTGAAGATATTCCTTCAAACGTTCCACTGAATTCATATTCATTTCAAAGTTTGAATAGAAACGAACAATCCATAAAGCACTTTCAGAAAATGCAATAGAATATGATAATGATAAACCTGCTAAACCAGCATCAATTCTGTTTAACGAAAGCAAAATGAAAACACCAGAAAACATCATTACCATGGCTCCAACAAAATCAACTCTCAAAGACAACCATCTATTAGCAACCCACAAGTAAAAGAATGGTCTGTTATTGTTGTCAATGTGTTCCAAGTTTTGTTTCATAAATCTAGATTCAACACCATAAGCTCTAATCGTGGCAACCCCAGTTAAGGATTCAGAAAAGTGTTGATGAATAGGGGACTTGGTAACAGATTCGTATCTCTTCAACTCACGAGAAAGCGTCAAGTAGAAGAAACCAACCAAGTAATACAAAAAGGAAATGATAATAGCAAAAACCAAAAAGCCCGGAGTGATATAAGTGATTAAAATTAACGTGGAAACACATTGAACAAGACATGCAAAAATGGCTTCACCAAAAGGTGTCAATTCTTGATCAACAGATTCCACATCCTTCAGAAATCTATTCATAATACGGCCAATGGGTGTCTTATCAAAGAATCTTAATTTGGCCCTTAAAATGGTGTCCAATAACTCCTTGAAAATCTTATTGGCAGCAACAAGACCAATGTAAAAGGTAGAAAACACTCTACCAACAGCCATAATAGAATAAAGAACACCAATCAATGCATAAATGATGATATAATACATAGTTGTATTTTCCTTCGTTAAAATATTACTTGAACCAGTAGCCAAAAAATTGAAACCACCATCAAATGATTTAATAAATGGCATACCCTTGAACTGAGTAACATCAAACACATTAGAAGTTCTGGCCATGGCATTTATTTGGAATTGGTTTTCCAATTCACTTTGATTGGCCCAGTTTCTTAACCACCATGATTGAAGAATATAGATACCATTTGCAGCAAAAAAAATCACAGCCACAGCCATAATTGTAGGGAGTCCACCCAAGAACTTGGCATAAAAAGCATAGACATCAAATCCAACAGCACCATCGGCTTTGGTTTCTTCTTCAGTCAACTTACCATCAGATTTCTTAAGGTCTTCAGCAGCAGCGTCTTCGTCAGCGCAGAATTTCTTTAATTTGTCTTCAATGGCAGCTGCTTTGGACTTCAAATCAGCATTCTTATCAGCCAAATCAGGTAAATTAGTGGAGGATTGGTTTCTTGAGTTAATAACAGAAGATTTGATTAAATCATCATCTCCCAAATCACCCGTCTTCAAAAGATCTTCAGGGTGTCCTTGGTTTTTCACTCGACCATTTTCCATAACCACAATCCATTCAGCATTTTGAATAGTTAAGGCAACATTATGAGATACCAAGATACAAGTTCTCCCAATCATTAAAGGACCAGAAATACAATTTTCATAAATCCACAAAGCAGTATGGGAATCAACTGCCGACAAGCAGTCATCCAATAATACATGCTTAGAATTGGAGTATAATGCTCTTGCCAATGAAACTCTTTGTTTCTGACCTCCAGACAAAGTAATACCCTTTTCACCAATTTCAGTAGCATCACCTGCACTTAAAATCTCCAAATCACGAGCCAATCCACAAGCTTCAATAACTTTTTTATAGCGATCCTCATTAAGATCTGATCCAAAAATGATATTGTTCTTAATGGTATCATTTAATAACCATGGTGATTGGGAGCAATAGGCAACTGAGTCTGTTAAGCCGCTAATAGAATCTGGAGTCAATTCATCTTTAGGAATAGTACCAGGAAGGAAAACCTTACCCTTGGTGATATTCATTTCACCCAAGAGTGCCAACAACAATGAAGTTTTACCTGAACCAGTAGCACCAATGACAACATTTAATTTACCAGGCAAGAAGGAAACGTTCAAATCTCTTAACTTGAAATCCGTTTCAGACTTAGAGTTCCAGGAGAAGCTAGCATCTTCAAACCCAATATAAGGTGAATTTGGACCAGGTTGTTGATTCAATATATCATACTTGGTGGTTTCCTCTTCATCCAAAAATTCATCAATTCTATCCAAAGATACCTTTGATTGCATAACAAAAGATGTCATATCAGATAATTGATCCAAAGGAGATCTCAATAATGTAAATAAGGATAATGCAGTAAAGGCAATTGGTGCAGTTAAAGTGTTACCTTCAACAATAGTGTAACAATAGAAAGAAATCATTGTAACCAAAGTAGGAGTGATAAACCAAATAAATGAACCACCTGCCCAAACAAAAGTTCTGTAAGTTAAATACTTCAATTCATTGGCTCTAATTTTCATTACATTTTCAGAAAATTTATCTTCCCAAGCAAAGAATTTGATGATTCTAATACTTTGGAAAGTTTCATTCAACTTTTGGATTCTTTTATCGGTAATAGCCAACATTTCCTTTTGTAAGTCACCAGAGTAACTGGCAATCTTATAATTGACTGGCAACAAAACAATAATAGACAAGGAACCTAATAATGCAGACCAACCTAACAAGCCATACAACAAACAAACACAAATAATGATCATCAAGAAGGCGCCAACAAAGTAATGCAAATAACCACAAATTTCAGAAACCTTAAAGGCATCAATTGCCATCAAGTTAATAATTGCACCGAGTTCAGCTGTGGATTTTGGACCATCTTCTTCTTCAAGGTCTTCTTCGCCCTTACTCTTTGATTGATCTTTCTTCTTCTTCTTCTTATCATTCAGCTCTTCAGCATCATCCAAGGAATCATCAGTAACTTCGGTAACAGTGATTTTTCTTCTGAGGGCCTTTGCATATACTTCACCAATAATAATAGCCTTCATTCTGAGGCAAACTCTTCTACCAACATACAATGAACATCCACTGGAAATGGCATCAAGAATCTTGACTGCAGGTAACATAAACACTAATGACCAAGCAACAGATTTAGGAGTAATTGTAGGATCTTCAACATACTCTAAGATCCTCTTCAATAAGATTGAAGGTAAGAAAACAATAAAAGATTGGAGAACTGCCCAAAATGCTTGAATAGCAAACAACCATTTGAAATGAACAAATAACCTAACTGAAAATTTAAGCGTCGATTTTGCAGCTTCAAACCCATTTAACACTGTTCTAGCATAATCATCTTGTCTCAATCCCCATATATCATTCATTTTCAATTCTTGTTTATAAGATCTCCATACCATAGAATTAATCCATGAGTATGTGATAAACAGCCATAAGCTTGTTACATTTTCTGGGGAAGGTTTGACTCCATCCGTTGTAACATAAAGCGTAGCAGGCTTATCTCCGTTCTTGGCTGTAAAGTTTAAAACAAGTAAAGCAAAAGAGATCCAAAAATCAGCATAGTAGTAATGACGCACATATGACGATTTTATATGGTTAAGAATTGCTGATCTAAAGGGCAATAATCTTGAAAAAAAATTGAAAAAATAAAGGGTAGTAGAATGGACCCATAAACTTGGCATTCTTATAACCACACGTTTCATATTCAAAGCTCTGATGAAAACTATCATCAAGATATAAACCCAGAATACGGTCCTGATGAGAGGAGCATGAGAATGCTTAAACTCCTTGTGGACAGACGGCACAAAGTTCAATGATAAGGTATAAGCAAATTGAATTAGCACGAGCAAAAATTCTAGAGCGACACGGAACCGTTCACCACCACTTTTGTATACAAATTGAACCACACCATGTAGCGAGCCATCCTCGTTCGTATCGGGGATTCTGTTTAAACTAAAATGTCTATCTTTGACTGAGACTTCAAGAGGAGGTGATTGGGGAGATGATTCATCTGTAGTAGTTATAGCACCATAAGCGTCTCTATTAGCTAAAAGTGGACGGCTTTCATTACCGCCACCTTCTTCATCATTTTCTGGTAATTTTATGCGATTAGGAGCTAATTTATGACGGTAAATGGACGAAGCGCTTTTGAGTGCAAGAATAGTTAAGGATACTGACCCAAGGACTATCGGCACCAAAGATTCAGTTTGATGACGCCAACAAGACGTAGTATCATCGTAGTCCCAAAACGAGCAATTGGTGGAGTTGGTCGACAGCATGGTGATAACGGTGACCGAAAGAAAGAAAAGAAAAGAAAGCCCGGGTTTAATTTCTTATTTAAAGTAGGCCAATAAATAAAGTTAGATATGGAATGGAATGGCAGACCTCTCGCTTGCCTGTATATATGAATTTTCACTTGTGTCGCGCTATCAATAAAACGATTCCGCAGTAGATGATCGTAAACTATATTGTGCACGACAACTGGGCGTATAGATCTTAAAGACAATAAGTATTGGTTCTAGAACACATACAAACAGAGTTGCTTGGATGGATTATATACATATATATAGTAGTAGTGGTATTACATACAGCGATGAGTAGTCTACGATTAGCCTCCTTCGATATGACTCACTCCGTTATGGGGATACGGAGCCATACCAGCTTATATGGAGTGGCAAAATTTGGGGGCAGAGGCGATGGCTGCCGTACAGACAGTTGGATGTCAAACTAATGTAGGACAAAATATATTCTTATCATAATGGGATGAGATTGGCTACAATTGTATTGCATTACAGAGTAAAGGTTTATACAGATAGAAGCTAAACCAGGTAATATATACTTGGAGGTTATTGTTGTTCTTGTACGATGTCTTTACTTTTGAGATTATACACCCACTTGAACTGTTTTAGGTGATAGCTTGGTACAACTGATGGCATCTTTGGCAGGTTCAAATGCAAAAAAATAAAATGCTTAGATATTCAACAATAGGGAGGTAATGTAGTGATATTAGGATGTTCCATATTTGGAAGTGCAATGGGCTATACCTGAAACTAAAATTATACCTAGTATGAAGAATGCCATACAGTGTAGATAATTAATGAGCATAGTTATGCATTGAATAATAACACTGTAGAGACTTGTAGGTTTACAGTGGCTAGATTTTATCCGTATTTGATTGACTTCATTGCTTTCATTCATTGCTTTCATTCATTGCTTTCATTGCCTTGAAGTTAATCAAATACTTATAACAACAGGGGAAGATACTTACAATATGAAGGCGAATTAGCTATAATTAGGTTTGCTACAAGGATAGCAATACTTACTCCTTGTAAATCCTATTACGGTGGCAAACGCTTGATAAAGATTACGGAGTTTATCCGTTGCTACTAGGTGGGGTTATTTGAGTTATGACTCCATCATAAAACGTTTCAGTGTATACCGTTAGATGACATCAGATAGGAATAATGGTACGTGCGGCACTAAATAATGATGTCTGGTGGCATCTTGTCATTCCCGCAACCCATTTGGTCTTGCAGCCTCATCATTATCTCTCCAACTCTATCAACTCTTTTCCTTCTATGGTAACAATACAATAGAATAATTTGTCAAGAGCTTCTTACTGAAACTTTTAGAATATACGCTAAAAATTTAGATCTTTCCGGGTTTTATATTAGAAAACTATTAATGCACAAATATATAAACATAACATTTAATACATTTAATCTTGAGTCTTTTGAGAACCTCTCAACAAACCAGTTCTTCTGGCGGCGATCAAACCAGCCTTTTGACCTGGAACAGCACCTCTGGAGATAGTAGAAGCCTTACCAATATGTTGATGGTTACCACCACCATGAGGGTGATCAACTGGGTTCATGGCAACACCTCTAGTCTTTGGCCAAGAGTTTCTCTTAACTCTGTACTTGTGGAAAGCTCTACCAGCCTTCAACAAAGGCTTATCGATTCTACCACCACCGGCAACGACACCGATAACACCTCTGGCATCAGAAGACAAAATCTTCTTGGCACCAGATGGCAACTTGACTCTGGTCTTACCTTCATCAGGGTTGTGTCCAATGATGATAACGTAGTTACCAGAGGTTCTACCTAAAGCACCTCTGTCACCTGGCTTTTCTTCGACGTTGGAAACAATAGTACCTTCTGGACATTCACCCAATGGCAAGATGTTACCGACGTTCAAAGAAGCCTTCTTACCGGCATAGACGAATTGACCAGTGTAGACACCTTCGTTGGCAATAAAGGTTTCTTCTCTCAACTTGTACTTGTATGGGTCTCTGAAGACAACCTTGGCCAAAGGAGCACCTCTACCTGGGTCGTGCAAGATTTGCTTGACGACACCTCTGATGTAGCCGTGTCTTTCAGCATAATCCAAGGTTCTCAACTTGGCAGCACCCTTTCTCAATCTGGTGTGAGAAGTGAAGATGGAACCAGCACCCTTTCTTTGGTTACGAATGACTCTACCTGTAAGAAAACTGTTAGTATAATGTTTTGATGACAAATTTATTCAATAATGTATCACACGGTTTGTTTCAGGATTGCTAAATAATGATATCAATTTCTATCATATATCTTGACACATGGATTTGGATTCAAGTCATCAAAACAACTAATGAGAACATAATCACATCAGGAGAGAATTAAATTGTTATGGTGCAGTCAAACTGTTTAGTAGATAGCTTTCATCCTATTCTCTAGGACTTGGTTTGATCATCTTCTAAAAATTTTCACTCCACTCAATGTTTTCAATATGTGACTTTACTTAACGTTCCCATATCCACTGGTATCCTATTTGGTTCCACTAACATATTAATAATACATATTGATTGTTTGTAGTACCCACTACATACCCATTTTGCTATGAAGATAAGTTTGGTTACTTCTGAAAGAGAGAACTAAAAGAGACACTCTTTAATAATGTTTCTGAAAAATTTTTTTTACCAACCAAGGTCGCAAACCAAACCCCATGGCGAAGACTAAGCTACCAAATTTTCAGACCTGTACACTATGTTTGGTCATGTGACCTTTTGGTATGAGAGAGAAAAAATACTATAGATCACCAAACGTTACCAAATGATATCAAGTAATAGTAGCTATTCAAAGGCAATTTGTAAAGCAAAATCAAATCAATCATTGCGCAAATGCTATATATCTTGAATGTTTTTTATCTATAACTCTATACGTATACAATATCGTAGGGGTGTAATGGTGAACCTAAGCAATCATAGATGTCGCTTTTGCAACCATAATGTACCAATCCAAGAATGTCGCGATGCTTGGTATGACGACATTTTCAACTATTTAGGTACGAGACTAACATAAATCTAGTACGGTCACATGTTTGTGCAATAAATTAAATACTCACGTGATATTAGGGCTATTTCAATTTAGCCCTTTGAAGAATATTTTATGGCTATCTTAGGGGGGTAGAAATGGTTTTTATTTAAGGGCTGACCATTCATGTCACTTGCGGTGTACATGGTTTATCAGTTACAATAAAAGATAAGAATAAAATTATAACTTAAAACATGATCTTCAGGTTTAGATAACCTAAAAATAGAGCCAGTATCAAGACCAGAATTCAGTGGATTACCAATGAATTTAACATGCTCGGTAGCATCAATATATTTCTGTATATATATGTTTCCACGTTTTAGAGTGAGAAAAGTAGTTAAGTAGATCTGTATTAGAAGGGGTGTGCGATAGTGGGCGATTATGCTTCAACGGAAGCCTCAGCAGGAGATTCCTTCATCTCCAGCGTTGAGTCAGGATTGGGTGTGTTTCTATCTTCTGATGCTCTTGTATCCACAGCAATATCAACTACAATTGGCCGGCCATTCAATATATGGCCATTCAATTCCGCAATTGCCTTCTTTTGAGATTCCTCATCTGCCAACTTCACAAAGGCAATACCCTTATTCCATGGAGCTCTGAATCTCCTCTTATTTAGCGATGAGTGTGGTACTCTTTGTTTGGGTATATGTATCCATACAAAGTCCAATTCTTTGAATAAATGAGTCAAGTCCTTGGTGGTAACTCTATAGTTCAAATTAGTGATGAAGACTGTATCTTTCGAAGGGGTTCCTTCTGGGGGAGTATTCTTTTCTCTTTCCCCATTATCAGTAGCATTTGATTTGGAAGGTTTCTCACCTTGCTTCTTCTTTGGAGTAGGGGTTTTCTTAGTAATGGTCTTCTTGGAAGTTCCATCATCTTCAGTTTTCAGTTGTGTTTTTGCTTCTGCACTAGCTTCTTTGGCTGCCTTGTTGGCTTCTTTTTGTTTTGCTTGTTTGGCCCAATAAGCCTCATTTTTCTTTTGTTTCTCTTCTTCGGTAGGAGGTGGAACTGCCTTCTTCATGTAAAGTACTCGATGTTTAAACAGCTTCCCGCTATATTCTGCAATGGCTCTATCAGCCTCAGCATCATCTTCGAATTGAACAAACGCAAATCCTAACCGTTTCTTATATGGTATCTTATCAGCGCCACGAGTAATTTCTTTAAAAGGAATGTCAACTTCTGTAACCTTGTACCCCTCAAAGAAATCTCTCAATTCATCTTCGGTTACTTTGTAATTGACATTGCCGATGTAGATTCTGTTTTGAATTACAACCCTCTTGTTTTCTTGAGATGTCATGATGCTTTTTGTATGTTATAATTGAGTTTGCAGTGTTAGTGGCGTTGGAATCGAGTAGTTTATTCTCTCAAGCATTTTTTTCGTTGAAAGCCAGTTACAAAATTTGTGGAGAAAATTGGCTGAGATATGGACAAACAAGCCCCAAAGGGGAACGCTCAAAATAGTGACAACCAAGATTAATGATCTTATTTAACGAATTTGAACAACACGTTTTGTATACCCTTTCATGGACAGGTAATGAATATCACTGAATGAAACAAGAATAGAAATAAAAGTGTATAGCGAATATTGAGTGACATTTCAATATGATCCAAACCATGGGTGTAACGTGGTGGCAATGGTTTGATCAACATTATTTGCGTTGCTCGAAACATTTGTACTTCCAGAATTTTGTAAACGTATTCAATTATCAATTCTTATTGACGAGAATACTATGTATCAAAGAGAACGTATGATTTCAAACCAAGAACCAGTGTAAAAGGTCTTTCATAGACAGGTGGTATTCACATAGTCTATTTTCTCGTCTCAACTTGGGCCGTTGATTCCTTTAGAGATATAAGTTGTCTGGCTCATTCAATCGGGCTCCGTGTAGTGATAGAAACCTGGTTATGAATAAAATATGATTAAAGGGTAACTTTTGTGCTGGGGTCATAGACAGGGGTCACTAATAGATTATGGACTTTGGGCTTCAAAGTTACTTTTATCAATAACACAAGAGATTCATATGAATCAAACATTACTCAGAAGAACTATAACTAACATTTTACAAGTATGAACTTTACGAATAATAGAATGGAAACTTTTTTAAATGTTATTATGCAGTGTGTAGGTGGTGGTCTAAAAGCGGCGAATGCCCAATGACTACTCAAACCAACAAACGTAACGATATATAGAATGAACTTAGGAGGAATATGAATAAAACCAGAATGAACGATACTGAATAAGTGAGAAAAGGAACTTTGATAACTGAATTTAAACCCGTAATCACGCTGGAAGAAGGATAAAAGAATACTATTCATTATGACAAATTAATTTCCCTTCATTCATTCACAGAATAAGTATATGTTTTTATCTCTTCCTCCTTGGCAGTTTTGGAATAATTCATTGAGTTGTGTCCGTTTTGATCTTTTTTTAAATATGTTGGTTGGGTGGTGTATGGATGGGGATGAATAAGTAAAAATACTGAATTTTTATGTAACAGAAGAGGATAATTGTGCAATTCAATATTGGGAAGAAGTATAATGTATATTGTTTGCTGAGCCTGCTTCTAAATTGAAGTAAGGAACAAAGAAGCTTACTTCAACTTGAAAAACAACTTGGGGGCAACACAGTCGTTGATACAGTGCTGTAAGTGGAAGAATTCTTCAACACAGTCTTCCTTGTACTCCAAGTGTTCGTAATCAGGATCTTCTTGAGCTTTGGTAACTCTGTCAACACATTCTTGGAAGTGGTGAGCGTATTCGTGACAAGCAGTGGACTTTTCACATTCTTCCTTCAAAGTGTCCATGGGGTCAACTAATTCATCTTCATCTTCATCTTCTTCTATTTCTTCGTCTTCTTCTAACTCTTCTTCCTTATCTTCTTCAACAGGAGTTTCTTCCACTATCAATTCAGGCTACAATTATCTATGGTTAGTATCTTCAAAGTCATATAAATTAGAGCAGTTTTATTGATTCGGATGGCCCAACATAATGCTCGTTCCACTGGATAAAATGGTTACAGTGACCACTTGATTATCTCCTTTTTACTTCACTGACCATTATTCTTTAATGCGATAACCAAACCAACTTGCTCAACTCAGAATAGCTAAATGTGCACATACCTCTTGTTGTTCTTCTTCAGCGTATGCAGTTGGCATAACTGATTCTATCAAATCTCTGAAAAACGACATGGTGATATTAAACTATGTTGCCAATGGGTTCAGCACTGTAAGAGTAGTAATAACAGCTTCTATTATGTCTAACTAACTGTCGACCCTTTTACGTTTTGAAGTTTTTTTTCGCAGTGCTCAATTGGATATAAGGTGGTTGGCTCACTCCAAGTTACACAAAGGAAGGTTTTTATTTAGTTGTACTGAAGATATTGGTGCGGATCGCACATAAAGCATTATTGCCTCGTTGTTATTGGCTGTTGAGTTAGGCAATTAAGTCACGTGATACATTTGGGTAATCATTATAATGAGGAATTAGCAATCCAGAGTTAATTGTTTAATCAAAGGAAATCTTAAAATATCCACATTATCACTAGCATTTAAGAGTGGGATTTGATTAGAGTTCCAATGGAATCCCTTCTCTTGTAAATATTGTTATTCATTCATAATTCCTTTGCACCGCACATTATGAATGTTTAGGTTATTATTGTTTCTTTCTAGACAAACTCGAAAGGTTAAGTATAGAGATTTGAGAGGTTGTGATTCGAGGTTTCATACGAGTTTAACTAATCTTCTATTGTTTGTTCTGAGTAGGAAAGCTTTTGTTAAAGTATTTTTGGTAGATAGTTCTTATCATATGTAATTGTCTTTTATTTTCTACATTTAATACAAAATTGCTGCAAAAATCATACCTTTATTAAATGTCACAAATACATAGCGGATAGGACACGAAAAGTATGGAATTTGAATGCACTATATTGTGATTGCAGTAACGTCTAATACAAAATGAATAGATATAACGATTAATTGGATTAAGCAGGTTGGCTGATACTATAAGGTTACAGATACATTAAATATATTACAATACGAATATTATATTGATATTATTATAAGGGAGTAAATGTACAATGCAGACAAGTTAAGAAATCTAATCCTTCTTAACGATTGGGACGTCGGATCTCTTAGCTCTCTTCAAAGCCTTAGCTTGAGCCTTAGCACCCATGATACCACCACCCCAGTGCTTCTTACTGTCTTCGTACTTTTCAACAAAGTTAGCGTTGATGGTAGAGACCAACTTAGCCAAAGCAGCTTCATCTTCAGCCTTAACTTCAGTCAAAGCAGCGACGGCAGCGGTCTTTTGGTGAACCAAGGTACCTAATCTGGCCTTACCCTTCACAATGGCGTAAGGAACACCCATCTTCTTACATAAAGCTGGCAAGAAGACAACCAATTCAATAGGGTCAACGTCGTTGGCAATCAAAACTAACTTAGCCTTCTTGTTTTCGATCAAAGAGACAACGTGGTTCAAACCGTACTTAACAACAACTGGCTTAGGAGAGACATCCTTAGCGGACTTACCTTCAGCAATAGCAGCGGCTTCCTTGGTCAATCTTTCCTTCTTTTCAGCAGAGGTTTCTGGTCTGTACTTGTTGAACAACTTAATGGTTTCAGCAGCAGTGTTCTTGTCCAAAGTGTTTTGGAATTGAGCAATGGTTGGAGGAACCTTCAATCTCAAAGACAAGATCTTCTTTTGTCTTTGCAATCTAACATATTCAGGCCACTTGACAAATCTGCTCAAGTTTCTCTTTGGTTGAACAGCTTGACCAATACCAAAGTTCTTTGGAGTTGATTCAATCAAGGGGTTCTTAGAAGCGGCAGACTTAGCAGTCTTGTTAGCCAATGGAGCTGGAGCAACCTTCTTACCTTTTGGAGCCATTTTTGTAGTTGGGTGACAGTCTAACAAGTACAAACTTACAACAAAAGTACGGTTTTTTTTTCAATATCTTTAGGAGCCACCTACAATCGTACAGTCCCAGCTGAAAAATTTTACTGCTTACAGGAATGAGATTGATGCTCGAAGTTGAGATTTTCGCAGCACAAAATTCAACGTGGTTCACGTGATAATAAACACGTGGATAATTCATTTTTAGGGTTTCATGACCTTGAAGTCTGGTACCAAAGCGGCCGTATGGAGAAGATGATTTTGATGTCTCTACAAGTTTAATTAAGTGAAAAATAAGGGGGGATTGAACAGCCAAGCGAAGTTTTGCCCCACTGTGGGGCGTATCGTAATTGTGGATACATCATGCCAGTTCTTAGGTAGTTTGCCTTACTCTTACCCGACCAACTTGATCAAAGAGAAGTTCCCCACAATTTTCGGTGAAGACCAGACTCATCATCACAAACTTAAAAATGGAAAAGTCAGTCATTCGTTCCATAGGAACAGAACGGTAGTGTTCCAATTAAAGTAGGTGGCTTGTATCCTGCATTCTATAGCATAAATCTTAAATGATAGCTCAAAAATCGGAAGCGCATTAAATGCCAGATCTCGGCTTGACGTTGGCTTGATAACGGCAATTTTGTGCTGCTATTAGTGGAATGATGAGCTAGTAGTGTTTCGTTTTCATCTTTTTGGTTTTTGTCACACTTGTCTAATCAGGATTGTGAAAATTAATACATGGACGGCAGTTAACCACGGCACCATCGGAGCACTAAACCAAGCCATCACAACCGGTTTATTGTATGGGATAGGCATTTGCAAGATTCTATTATTATAAACAATTTGAAAGGCAACGGCACAAAAGTGATACCCAGGTAAACCATTGTGATGAATACCTCAAACAGGCATCGTCCCAAAATTGTACCTGTGGAATGCTTACAACAATGTCGGGTAAACGGTTGAGATAGTATGGTGTAACTACTTGGTGTGACTACATTATTGAGAGAATTAGCCAGATAATTTGACATTAAATAATAATAATAATAACAATACCCAATAATCTATATAACCCAAAATTCAAATGAATGCAAGAAGGCATCCATAAAATAAATAAATAAAATAAAACAGCCAAACCAGTAATAACAACAATGTAAAACCAAAAAGAAATATTAGTACATAACAAAAAAATCACTTGAGGGCCGGAACTTAATCCTCCTCAGTAAGTACTTGTGGGAGCCACCTTGGGTTACACCATCCTTTGATGGTGAACTGTTCTCTAGTAACACCAGAATTGGGACTTTGTCCATTTAATAAAACCTTTCCTGACCTTAAATCGCCAGCAGGTTTTAAGCTTGGTTGAGATTGACCCCAAGGGAGATAATTCAGTTTCAACCTTATCAAACTATTTGAAGATGTAGATTTCTTAACTCCATGGGAATTTTCCTTGTAGCCTACAAACACATAACATGAACCATCAACAGTTGAAGCAGGATGATTATCCTTTCTTGGAGGAAGAATCACATTTTTCCAAAGCTTCTGTCTAGACTTATTGGATAAGTCGTTGAAGTAATCAATTTCATACTCATTCCCAAGATAATCACAATATTCATCCTCATCGGAATCTGATAAGTACATTAATCCGAGTACCCTCAGATTGTAATCATGAGCATAGAGTCGGAGAAATTGAGAATTTATACGCAGATCTCGTTGCTTAAATTGGACCTTGGTTTCCTCAAAGGACAAAAGCAGGTCTTCGGGTGTTTGAACGTTAAAAGTTGCCATTTCTTGAAAAGAATGCGACTTGTTTGTAGGTCTAGCATTCCCTGAGACAGAAGGGTTAAAGCACCTAGCATGCTGATTTCGTGAAATTATTAAACTTTTGTCGTCAGTAGACCGAGGATTTAACATACTCAGATAACTGTTTAAAGATATAGTTACTTGAGTCTTCAATGTACCAAATAAAGTAGAAATCTTAGAAGGAAACCTGGATTTCTTCAACATTTTGTTTAAGCAATCTTCAGATTTCTTTCTAGATAAAGAATTATGAATGTGGTGGCCTCCATTTGAGGAGATAAGGGAAACAGTAGGTAATGAGGGAACAGCACCAATGTTGCTCATCAAGGAGTGAGGAGGTAATGGAGTTGAAAGACGAGTACTGACATCTTTCGTAATAGACGGATTCGGTATTGAGGGTTCATCGTGAGTGTAGTTTATTTGGCTATATGGGCTAATAAGATAGTCATCCACATCAACCAAGGAAGATGATGGTGAAGGTGAATCAAGAAGTGTACTTGAAGAGCAAAAGCTATCACTTTCATCTTCATCTTCAGCATCGTTATCGTCTTCACAAATCATAGTATTAAAAGTTGAAGGAAGTAGAGGATGACAGAATGGAGTTGGGGTTGCCAATGTAATATCTGAGTTACACAGGTAATTTAAAGGATGGCTTTTTTGTAATCTTTCGTGGGAGAAATCATTGATACTTATACATCGCTTCACACGAATATGAGCTCTTGAATCTGTAAATGAGCCTCTTGAAGTATGAAGCATAATTAAAAAATTATGACAAGTCTCAAAACAGTTAGTAAACTTTTAGTACCTCAAAATTCCATCAGGACCCCACAGAGTATAAATACTGGTTGCGGGTTAAGGATGTGTAACTAGGATAGCGGCGGTACCAGAGAGATCCATTATGGTTTTGGCGCACTTTTCATACGACGGCGTCTAGTTTGAAATACACAAGGAACACAAACAAGAAAGCCGTCTGTTGTGCATACTGATTATAGTTCCACTAACTTCATAGTTACGGCAAGGTTTATGTAGGTCGCCCGTCTGCTAGAATAGGTAATTCGCGCCGATAGATGCTTTTCCCATACCTTGTTTTCTTGGTTTGCACACAAGACAGTAGCCAAATTTTGAAGGAGGGATGAATGACCATGTATGTCAATGGTAATACATACAATAAAACTATACAATAGCGTTCAACTTCACTCGTATTATTACAACTAGTTACATTTCTGGCTTTTGTGATTGGACAATGTTTATTACTAAACGTAAAGAAATATAATCCCATTTGATACTTGGTATCGTTTTAGCATCAAAGGGTCAATATATTGGATTTATTAGGGAGTGTACAGATGTGTTACTACTAAATATACTTTGCTCCGTGCATGGCACAAATTAAAAAAAATTCCAATCTTTGTAGTTCTCTTGCGTCTTGCGTCAACAAGCTGCTCGCTAACCCGGAATTTTTTGAATTGGATATTTTAGGCTTTTTTGGAGATTTTCAGGATACATTGTTGGTTAGTACACATCATTTGTGAGGCTACAATTCTTCGTACGTATCTCGTGTTTACTTTACCCCCTCGTCCTGGAGAGGCTCTCGTTTATTACTAAATGAGTGCCATAGGATAAAAGTAGTAAGTGGATCGGTTGTTTATCCGTACGGTCAACGGCTCCTTATCTTCTGTTGAGGTTATCCTCGCAAAAGTCTCGTAAAGTATTAATCGAAAATGTGTTAACCGATGTCAACTCATGTTCTCGTCTAAATGAGCTCAAATTCTTCCCTTCTGGGAACTTAATAAGATAAAAGTACAATTACTCAATTAAGCCAGGGAACTTTCGTTAGCGCGACATCCTATCATAATTATCTTTATCATAGAAATGTATGCTTGATAAAATGATACCGCCGCAATATCACGCCTGTAGCAGATAAACTTGTTTCGAGATAATAACAGATGTAACACAATATACTCTTTTGATTTGACTGATAACATTACATACTGTGTGCGGGGCTCTTGTTCATTTATTTTCGGAATAAGAATTAACTCCTATTTCCTTTTTTACGCCCCGATGAATTGAAAGCCAAAAGTTTTTGAACAAAGATCGAATTTGGTTGTTTCAAATATCTGTGTATACTGAGCCACCCTCTAAATTGTAAAACGGTTTGAGCGCAATGGATTGCCTATTTGGGCAAGTCCCGTAGCAAACAATTTCTGTTTAGGATAGCCTATGCGGAAATATATTTGTCACGTTTCCATTTTACTTGCAACCACCTAAAAGGATCCAGTAACCAGGTTAGGAAGTTCTGTTAGAACATTATCAATTAGTAGCTATAATGGGTTTCGAAACCCGTAGAGAATAGTTATAAATTTATTGCTTCAAATTAATAATTTAATAATTTTTAAACAAAGTAACCATACATAGTTTTAATTATGAAGTAGCTCCCTTGTTTATTATGTCCCTCTAACTATCTGTATGATCGTTTTTAACACCAATTCTGGGTATATTCTCAAGTTCAAAACTATCTTGTGTTAACAATGTATCACCCGTAGTGCTACCATTTCCAGGTCCGGGATTCATTTCCGAATTGATAAAATTCATTGGTATAGGCGTGTGTTGTGCCTTCTCATCACCAAACATTTTATCAATGTCCTCCAATTCAATACCTTTTGTTTCAGGATAATAGAATATAACACATATAACACTAATAACACAACTCATGGCAGGGAATAAATACATTGCCCAACCAATTGATTTTTGTGCAATGGGGGTCAATTGACCAACGATCCAATTCGCAAACCAATTAGCTGCAACTGCCAAAGAAACACCTTTTGAGCGGACTGCCAATGGGTATATTTCTGGTGGAATTAAATATCCAATTGGACCCCAACTGTATCCAAAACAACCATTGTATATAATGACCAATATTGCTACCAGCATGGGTGTGTATGATTTATTTAAAAACATCATCAATGATACCAATGAAAGCAGTACGCACATAGTCAAACCACCCAGTATTAATATTGGCTTTCTACCCCAAACATCAACAAGGAAGAATGGAATCAAAGTACATGCCAAATAAACCGTGGAATTGATTCCCGTCATTAAGAGAGCATCCGCATCTTTGAAACCAGCCTCACCAAATACCATAGGTGCATAATAACTGATAATATTAATACCATTAAATTGAGCAAATGCTAATGCAGAACACCCGATAAAAATCCGAGATTTATAATTTCGGAACAACAGCTTCCAAGAACGAGTATGCTTGGGATATAATTCTCTTTCCTTAAGAATGGAATTTTTGATGATAAAAAACTCCTCAACTGGCTTCTCTAACAGTTTGTCACTATCAGCATATAAAAGACTAAGAACATTAAGCCCCTTCTGATCTAAATCAACATCCAAAAGCCATCGAGGCAGCTCAACAACAAATAGGCCACCAACTAGTAAAATGAAAGCTATGACAACTTGAATAAATAACGGGAGTCTCCATGCAAGATGTCTATCTTTATTTGTATCGAGAAAGTAGCAAAAATAATCGATCCAAACACTTAAACTATAGCCTACTATGTTTCCAGTAAATTCACCACATACAAGCTTCCCTCTCTCCTCACTTGGACTAATTTCACATTGATACAGCGGAACAACTGTCAGTAGAACACCAACTCCAAGTCCACTGAATACTCTCCCCACTGTGAACACAGCCAAATTATTAGCAAAGGACTGAAGAGTTCCACCCAAAATAAACACTGTTGTTCCCAATAGTATTGTCCTTTTACGTCCGATGGAATCAGAAACTTTGCTAACCAAAATAGAGCTGACCATAGCACCTATCTCCAAAATTGAAATGACAAACCCTAATGTCTCTGGATTGGGATCATGGAAATAGTTCTTGAACAGCTTGAATGTAATAATACCACTACATACGCCTTGTTCGTAACCGAATAAACTAACAAAGAGAGATACGAAACCACTGGTAAAATAAACTAATTTCTTACCTTTTAGCAGGTGTTTGGCTTGGTACTTAATAAAGTTGAAATCAACATCAGTGTAAACGTTTCCGAAATCATCAATATAATTGTTCCCACTTTTCCCATGATATCCCATGGGTATAAATGGTGACTCGATATCGATATCCGTCTTGAAATCGTGGTCAAACACGTCTTCATCGTTATGCCCTGTTACGTTTGAACCCTTCACTGGATTCGTACTATTTTGCGAGGACGATTGATGTGATCCTGCCAATTCAGTAATCTCTTCCTCATCAAATTCATTATTGCTTACGACGACAAATGGACTTCCATGTGAATTCTGAGAGTCATTATTGTTGTTATTATCCTTATTAAATGTGTTTATCTGTGAGGGGGGATCTCCAGTGTGCAATGGCTGATACTGGGTAACCATCTTGAACAAGCATTAGTGATTAATTTAACAACTTATTATGGCACAATTACCTTCACCATTTAGTCCCAAATGTGAGTGTGAATTTTTACTTGACTTTTGTTTTAGTTTACGGGTTGGATGTTTGGTCGGAAAGTTGTGGGGTGTGTGCCACTAAATAATTATGACGTTGTGCATTCCTCAACTAGACTACATATCTGATTTTCCCCTTAAAAGTGTCGCGCTACCTACAAAACGCGGCACGAGACTCTTGTTTTGTACCAGCGACCTTTTTAAACCGTTTTGTATTACATTTGTTGCCCTGACGTTGCAAATACTTATTAGTTAACGGCGAATATATCAATAAATGAATAAATACAACCTGTTATGACCAAAAGCTAAAAAAAAAAAAAGAAAAAAGGGAAAAATGTTAAATGTTAATAGTTGATTGTCAGGTCATCTGTATCTTATACAAAACAGGCAAATTGAACGTCTTCAACTACAACAAATCACACTAAAAGTTCCAGTCAAATGCTGCAGGTTTACGGAGTATTTGTTGTTTGCTCTCAAAATGCCATCAACACAATCAAGCTTTCTTAGTGTTACGCTTTAAATAACTTTCAATATAGAAAGCACCGAATAAAGCAGTAAGAGGTGCAAGGTACCCGACATTCATAAACAAAGCCAATGCTTGATCAGATGTTTGTATGCAACTAGTCATGATTCCATCAGGATCGGCCAAGTAGACAAATGAATGGAATGCAGCTAATGAACCACCAATAACGAACTGAGCAATCTGCATTGAAGTTAATGATCGTTTGAAGGCATTGGGCACTCTAATTTTAAGGCACAGCAAGCTAAAGTAAAAGTACATTAATGAGTGAATAAATGAGTTGAAAACAACGAAAATCCAAATAGGAGGAGATTGGAAACGAACACCAGCCCACATACACATCATAGCTCCAGCATGATGGTAACTTTGTAACAATGAGGATGGGCGGCCCTTTAATAAGATGATAATGGTGTCAAGAACTTCATAAAACTTGGACATATAAAACCACCAACCGTAAACTTGTAAGTTATGGTATGCAAACTTACTAGAATCGGCAAAGACTCCATTTTCAATATCACAAACTGTGTGCCAAAAAGTATCAAATCTAGAACCACCGGTAGTATGAGTCCATTCAATGACATCCATAGTTTTTCTTAAAGCAGCGGTAAAGCCAAAAAACGTCCAGACAGAATAAACACAGAGAAAGACGTTGTGCAAAAATACAACAAACTTGAAGATATTAGTTTGAGCAATTGCAAATGGTGCAGCAGGAACCTTTTTGGTTTCCTTCTTGGACAATTGCTTGTCCGTTGGAAGACCAGCCTTTCTCAACTGACGCTTGACCACGAAGGGATTGACAAAGTGGACAAAAGAGAAGTAAACAAGAGCAATGGTCATGGGGAATGATAAATCCATTGATGTTTCATAAATTTTGGTTAACCAAGTACTTTCGAATGGAGATTGTTGGATAGGACTGTCCATTTTAGGAATGGAGAGAAGTGCTCCGGAGGGGAGCCCAAACATAACATTACCCATTTTGATCTAAAGTTGATGAGAATAAATAAGATAATGTGGAAAGGAAAAGAAGAAGAAGAAGAAGAAGAGGAAGAAAGGAAGAAAGGAAGAAAAGAGTTGGGCTGTGGAAATCATATCAAATATACAGAGCAAAAAATTTGATTTCGCAGTATTTGGTATTCCTTGGGTGCAGCTCCTATAATGGGGAACAATCCAACCTTGGAGGATGAGCCTTAATGCAGTTGCAGTAGTCTACTGCATCTTGTGTTGCATAAATAAGGGCAGTTTTAATGATTTCCGGATTATGGACATTTAAAGAACAAGCAAACTCCTGGAACATAGGGATGTGGCTACTTTAATTTAAAAGGGCCCATTTGATCCCATTACATGGTGAATTTCAGTATGATTTGGTTCTTCAAAGCGATGTACTGCCCCAAGCAAATGCAGTCCAACTCTGTTTGTAGTTATTGTGGGGTGGGTATATGAAGGATTCGGCTTTTCATCCTGTTATCCTACAATCAAAATCTAACTCTCTACCCAACACAATTGCCTATTTTTTTTTTTATTTTTCTACCACCGGTCGTCAGCTCAACGCAGCACACGACTGACATAGAATATCCGGCGTTCAAGTGAAATGCCCAACTTTTTTGATTTCAAGTGAGGCTATTTGTAGACCGACTTTGTGACAATCATAAAGATATCTTTCTCCGTTGAGACCATATTAGCATTTTGAGTAAAAGGATGGGGTTCGAGCAATATCCAAATACAGTTAATCACCCCCAAGAACTAATTTTTTGTTGGGATTGTTTGTATGATTTTCTAAGTATATTTCCATAAAGGGCAACTTGGGTGTAATGTACGCTGTTTATGTCTCATTACAGAGGGGATGATTTCATCGAGATCATTCTTGTGTAAAACTTAAGCTTTACTGTGAAAATCAACGCATTCGCTAAAAAACCTTAAACTATACAATTGCTGCGAAATAATATGTAAAGAACTACATGGACAATAAAAAAGTATTCATTTATTCATGTGTAGTTACAAACACTCTGAGTATACAACGGGTATTAATGCGAGGCATACGATATGCCAATTTCGCTAGTCAAAAACCAGACTAAGTGATGATTTTCTTACGTCTATTAGTATTGTGATAATTCATGCCAATCTTGGAACGAGCCAACTTTGAAGTGGAAACCTGTGGTGTAGGCGTCAGGGTATTTGTGATAGTTCTCAACTTAAAGTTGGTGCTAACAAACACGATTGGATCATATTTGAGTTCTTGCTTATCTAATATCATAATACGGTTCTCCCTCAAATATGTAGTTAAATCTTTAATAGCCACCTGGGCTTTATCATCTTCGTAATATGACAATATAATTTGTTGACACATTGTGTTTTCCTCGTATATAGGACGGATTAAGGCTTCTACTCCAAGCATCATCTTAAAGGGAATAAAACATTTCAGGAACATATCCAGTGGTATCTGGTGGTTAGTGTTGTCAATCAATTTGAATTCAAAGTTTTGAGGCATCATTGACTTCAATTTTTGAGCACATTGTTCAGGTTTTTTATCGTAACCCATGATTGAAATAACAACCTCTTGTTCCACTGTACTATGAAAATCATCCAACAGTTGAGGCCATTTTATAAAGCATCCAAATTCAAGCTCAAGTTGATGGATTTCTCCCAATTTATTGTGCGCCAAAATTAACAAATATTGAGACTTGAAAAGCTTGAAACGAACAACGTTGTATTTGTGGTTACTCAAGCCACACATGCGGTCAATTTCCAGCTTGACCAAAAGAATGTTACGGGCATTTTTCTGAGGACATTTGATGACCACATTACTATCACGTGTAAAGGTGTATCTATTGCTATTGGTGATAGTTTCATTTTTGCTTTTAGAGCTAAACTTGATGAACACATTGTATTTTTTCATAATGGATTGAATAACACTTCCTCCGTTTCCAATAATGGACTTGTGGAATAAGTCTGGAACATTGAACTGTAAATCACATGGTAATTCCAATTCGAACAACTCTACCCCCTTTATTAAAGTATTGATATCATTATTGAGAATCAAGTCAATGTGGAAGTTATATTCATTATATGGCTTAAATTTGATGACCAATTTTTGGTTCAAAGTTGTCAAAATCTTTTGAATTTTACCATTTTTTTTTCCACTGATGAAGTCCTTTTGAGAGTTGTTCAACTCCAATCTTAATTTCAATTGAATCTTGTTATCGAGATGTTGTGATACTTGGTCATGACTCATCATCATGAGCATTTCTTTAACTTCCATTGAAGATCCAACTATTTGAGCTCCAAAATGATTGCAAGTCAAAGAACAATTTTTCTTTAACAGCGATATCAAATAAGATTCAAGGACTTGATCATTTTTTCCAATGGAAGTGAAACTAATGAAAATCTGATAGAATTGTGAAGTTAATAACGCCAATTCATGAATAGATTCTTCGACTGATTCAGCGTTAGTACCGAAAACAGTTATTTTATTATCAATACATCCTAACCCTGGAGCATCGATAAAAGTTCCATGTTTAATCATAATCTGAAGAAAATCTCTTTGATTTTTTAATAACATCAAGTCTAGTTTTGACTTTGATATTTCAATTTGCTTTGCATATACTTTGTATGTGATGTTGCTAATCAAAGTTTTTGTTAACAAGATCTCCAGAATATCCCGAGCACTCAACCAAATTCTAACTTGATCTTGCAGGTCTTTGGAGGGATCACCAAATATATAAGGAGTTAAATCTGGAATATAGATATTGACATTCAGTTGTTGAGCAAGTTGAGTGAAATTTGTCAAGTCTGCTCCACCTATCAATGGAATCAAGTTGAGACTAATATCATAGCTATCAATGATCAACCCTTGAATCATGGAATCCACGAGTATTCTTAACTGAGATTCGCAAGCTGCAATTTGATCATGATTTCCCAATATATAAATTGGTGAATTGCCTATTGAAGGGTTAATTCTATGATGAAAGTCTGTTTGATAATCACTGAACATGTCGATTTCAACGTTGTAAAAACTGGCCAATTTATTCAATCCGTTAACAAAATCTTGGGTAATTTCATTGAACTCATGATGATTCAATATTATCTCTTTGAAACTAACTTGATTGTATGATTTAAGAACTAAAGGGCGAGTTTTTTCTATGAAGTCAAGTGTACCCTTGAGAGAAACAGAAATAAGACTGGTTAATCTTCCTGAAGACGACTGCTTCAAGATTGAAGGCTCAGTTAAGTGAATGCTGTTGGGATGATGGCAATTAGAATTAATGTTTTGAACTGTCTTCCAAAAAGGGTCCAAGTTATCAATGATATGGTATTCATCTTGAGTGCTTAATAATTGTTCAATCCGCCATAACCCAGATTTGCTTTGAAATACTGGGATCAAACTCTTTGGCTTAATTAAGTAAGAGTATTCAAAATTCAACACCACCGTATGAATGTCTGACATTTTTTTGTTTGCAAAGTATATTATTATGCTGTTATAAGATTCAGTCAACAAAATACAACCAAGGTAGTCACACTTGTAACAATAATTATTGGTACCGTTTGTGCTGCTGCTTACTGTTTGTACTGCTGCTTCTCAAGCTCCTCCTTAGTTATTTGTTTCTTTGTTCGACTTTTTGCTGTACTATATACCCCAGTGTCTTTGGTAGCTGGCTGCGAAGGATGATGTTCTTCAGTTACCCTTTTGGGAGAATATGTATACAATTAAGGAGGTTATGGTGGAAGCACGTAAATCAAATGGGAGGGTCCCTTTGTATCACATAAGAGCCATTACTATTCCGAATTAGGTAGTTTTTCAAATCACCGATAACAATTTACTCTATTTAGCATTTTGGTGACAAAACTAAAATACTGCCCAATTGGGCCATTTAGGTCATAGGATATTGCTTAAAGTGGTACTTGGATCTTTATGTAGAGGTCACAACAGATTATGATAAATACCTATAGAAGTAATAGTAACACTTGATTTACTGGTATTTGCTGGTTGCAAGCGTTCAAATCAAATTGTTTTAAGCCGGAATATGTAATTAAATAATCTATGATCTGGACTTTGCTTTTCTTAATATTGTATTATGTCTTTAAAAAATTGTCATGTCATCATCAGACTCGCTTGGCATCCCATACATAAACCATTTCGTCCCAACCAGTTGTAGTTACCCATCCAGGTTCTCCCCACAATGAATAATCGCATCCAATTACAAATTCTTTATGAGTTCGGAATACCCCACGACATCCTCCTCCCATTTGCAGAACCCCGCGTGCTCCATTCAAAAACCTTGCTCTTTCATTCGATGAGTCTCGCCAAATACGGCTGGTCATATCATAACTTGTAGACATTAACTCTTGAGCATCATGAGGAGACCACTGTACTTTTCTCACAGCAAATTCGTGACCCAAGAGCTCATTCATAGGTGATGGGCCGCGGGTATGGTATGCTGGAGAAGGTGCCCCAAATGCATTGGGTCTGTCTATCATACGTAAATCCCAAATCCTGATGGACTTATCTGTACCTCCAGATGCTATAACTGTAGGCTTATACTTGTTCCAATCGCAAGTTAATGCCTCTAATCCGCCGTGAGCTATAAAGTCTAATTGAAGCATGTCGGGCGATCGTATATCCCATACAGATACATGAGAGGAACCATTGCAACTTAAAATGGTAGAGGGTGAATGAGGTGAAAACTGGGCATTGTAGACGCAATTAGCAGTACTTCCGGGGTTTTGATGATTTGCTTGATGTGACATAGGAGGTTGATTGATTTGAACTGTCTTTGTAATGGAATCTATTTGAGGCTGTAACGTCATAAGACTGGTGTTCCTAGACGGAGTCCATACTTTAATCAGACCATCCCATGATGCAGTCACAAATTTATCTTTCTCCACTAAGTTCCAGTTCACACTGAAAACTTCTCTTAGATGTTCTTTCCAGTTCATCACTGGAAATTGTCCTACAGTAAAATCGAACAATTTCACCAGCCCATCTCCACTTGCTGTGGCAACTTGGTTCTCATGAACCTCACTCCAACTAAGGTCGAATAATCCATCTTGGGTTTCCCAGCTGATAGGAGATGTTATGGAACCATTGGGTTCAATATTGAGAATATAGAGTCGACCATTCCCAACTAAACCATAGTTAGCAGCAGTGGCAACTGCTAATTTACTATCAAAGAAAGGTGAGTACTGAACACCGTAGCCATTGTAACCAGTCGTTCTGAATGAAAGCATATCCACGCTGAGATTCTCTTGGCTAATAATGGTTAGTCCGATATGGTCTTTGAATGCTTGTGCGAGGTCTCTTGCCAATTGGAGTCAAAGATATACTTTAATCACGTGATATTCATACTCCAATATACATTTGTTAGTTTACCATTACACAGGATATGTTAAATGCAATCATTATATAATTCTATGCTGTTTCTAATAAATACACTACAATTCAAAAGGCTTTGCGTCCATATATTTGACAGCTGCAAGGGCCCCAGGGCTCAAGTCCAGCTTCTCCAACAAACCAAATTGCAAACTATCTCCAATAAATAAAGCTGCCTTTTGCCCAGCGTATTTCAAATAATCAAAGTCATCATCCGATGATGTAATAGCTTCTTCTACTACAATGCCATCATCATTAGCAGCAGATGGAGGTGTTCCAGTCTCTGAAATGACTAAATTCTCCATATTGCTTGTGATACTATAAGTAGAATCAACGACCCTTTCTTGCGTGGAATTTAAAATTGCTAATTTATTAAGGGGACCATTCTGGATAACACCCCACAAACACCAATAAGTCGAAACAGAACTTCTCCAGAAGATACACTCATTATACAATTTTTTGATTTCAAAGTTGATTAACTCCATCAAGTTTTTTGCTTCCAAGGTATCATCAGCTTCAGTCTTCAAATTCGAAGTGGGGTACTGGAAGTCATATTCAACATAACTCTTGATGAAATTCAATTGCTGATTCTTAGTAGGAAATTTGTTTTCATCCATATAGTAGGAACGAGTTTCGTCATGGTAATCTGCCATCCACTCACAAAAGTGATTAGCCAAATCAAAAGCAGGGAAATTTGCACCCAGGTACTCAAAGTCAATAACTACCAAATTGTTATCACGGTTGTGTGAGGTGGAAACAAATTCACTGTCATTTTCACTACCATCTTTGACAAGTACCTCACTTTTATCAAACAGCTCATGCAAAAGTAAATTACCATATTGAGCATCATTATGACAAAATTTGAAGTTTGAAGGAATACGCTCATTGTCGTATTTGCCAAACAACCAACTTTTATATTTGAAGATTAACTTTTTGAAATCGGCAAATGACATGAGGAAAACTTTCTCTTGCAATTCTTCCAGGTAATCAGCTAAACAATCATTCTCAAAAACATTCATCCATTTGTATATGAATTTCCAACAAGTGGGTAAATCACTTACTAAATCCTCAATGTCCAAATCCATCTTATAATGTAAGTCTTTCATACGTCTCCCCAATATTTGAGATAATACATTATCCCTAATATCAGTTTTGTTTAAAGTTCTAAAGCCTTCCAAGAATTGCTCAAACCGACCATTAGTGAAAATTCCGAGCATACGAGGTCCAATTTTCTTCAGACTCAACTTAATTAAACAATTCAATTCCAGGTCTCTATCAATAATCAGTTCAGTAGACTTACCATATACACGTAATAATAACAGTGGTAATGTCTTTTCGGAATCGCGATACTCCAATTTGTAAACTGAGTTTGTCAATGCACCACTGATACGGTTAATGGACAAATTAGCAGGTAACAATGTACGTTTGTGCCATTTGCTAATTTTTAATACTTTAATCAATGCAATAACATCTTGTTTGAAAAACTCTAATGGTAAAGAATTATCCAAGGTAGTCAGAACAGAATTAACTGGCTTATCCCCTCCCTTTTCTAGGGTGGACAAACGTGGTAATGACAGACTACTCAAAGATCGTCTGGAAGGACCAAGTGAAGGTCTTCTGGTTGCGCTAGTCGACCTGGAGTTAGCAGTACTATTTCTAGTTCTTGACCGTGACCGATTTCTCGTAGGTGTATAAATGCTTGATGCTGGTGTGATTTCCATATTTTCTGTTGCAAATGCCAATTGTATATATACAAAACTGAATCTCTCGACCAGAAACTACGTCACAGTGTAGAATTCTAAACCGTTAAGGGTCCAAATAAATGGACTGCTAAAGGGCGATATGGATATAATACGATCTTTATAGACGTCCGAGCGCTACCATGATTATTTATCCGCGCAAAGTTTCCACATGCTTCTCAACAAAGATATCTGTTGTTAGGCCTGATAACATATATATAATATTTGATGATACATAGTTGAGCCCAGATAGGATAGCCGTAATGGGATCAATACCTGATTGGACACGGAGATCATTGATTTATAGTAGTGATTCGTTTAGTTTTGTAACTGGTAATCCCCAGAGTGGAAACACAAATGCATCGTGTACTCTTACTTGACATGACCCACATTTTTGAGCTATCAGTTGTTTTGAGCTACCCATCATTACTATCCAAATAAGGTTATGTCGCAAAAATCTCGAAACAGCAAATTGAATCATCTTTCAAGACATACCAAAGTCAAAGAGATCTGATGTGGAAAATAAATAGAACACACATTACTTTGGACAAGGCAGTTGTTAGCGTGTTCGTCGCAAAGCAGGATGTACAATGTCGTTGACTACTATTCTCTTCTTAATTGTGATAGTACTTCTGTTTATTGTGTACTTCGAGGTTAACAAGAAGCCAGCACAGACAACTGACGAAGTTGAAAATAAGTATGAAGACCTAATTTCACAATTACAAAAACAATTAAAAGAAAAGTCATTGGAATATGAGAAGTTAAAAACTCAGCATACGGCTCTCGAAAGCAGGGAAAGAGAAACTAAAGTGTCATCTCTGAGTTCACTCAACGTGCTTAAGCAACAGCTTCATGATGTGAACTTGCAACACGATGCTTCAAGAGCATCTCAAAAATTATTGGTACAGAAAAACATGGAGATGGAGTCAGAAATAAAGCAGCTTCTGATTCGTGTGTCACAATTGACGTCCGAGAATGTCGAAAAGACTAAAGAATTCGACCAATTAGAATCTCTGTATGATTATAAGTTGAACAAAGAAATAACAACTTTAGTAGCATCAAGAGATTTACAGATTGCTAACTTGGAAGCGAGATTGAGGGCAGAAGAAGAATCAAATACTAAAATTAAACAAATAACTGACGCTTTGGTGGCCAATGCCACTAAAAATATGACAGAGTATACTATTCAAATTGAGCAGCTTAAGGCCGAATTAGCCGATGAAAAGGTAGATTTGGAGACAACAAAGACCTCCCTTCTTGAGAAAGGAATTGAATTACAAAGTCTTAAGGGTGACCGTATGGATCTTAAGAAAAAGTTGGAATGTACTGAGTTAGAATTTGAAGAAACCAAGATGGCTCTCACGGAATACCATGAAAATGAATCCAAAATCACTAAAGAGAAAGAGTCTTTAAGTGAACAAGTTAATGCTTTGAATGAAGAGAAATTGGCTCTTAATTCTCATGTTGAATCCTTAAAGTCAGAGGCGACCACTTTGAAATCTGAAGTTGCATCTTTGACTCTGGAAGTGGATTCTTTGAAGACCACAGTAAATTCATTAGAGAATGAGATAAACGATTTGAAGGCAGCTAGCATTAAACAATTACCTGATAAAGAAAAAGAAGATAATGGAACTCAAGTTGCTGTTAAAGAAGGAGAATCAGAAACTAACAATTCAAAACTTGATGAAGAAGAATTCCAAGTTGAGAAAGTTAGCGAGATTCCAGATGCCATTGAGCCTAAAGTTGATATGGAAAAGGGGACACCAATTGAAGAACATATATTAAAGACTGATGAAAGTAAACGGGGAAATGACGAGGAGATACAATCATCTAAAGAGGCCCACACAAGTCAATTTAAAATTGAGACCCTTCCTACAAGTGAAACCAATGAAGTTCAAGAGGAGCGTCAAGAGAAAGTAAGCGACACTGAAACAGATGAGAAAGAGCTTACAGATAGTGATATAAATATAGAATCAAGTAAGCAAAATGGAAGTAAACTTGGAATTTTTTTGCACGCAACAGAAGGTACTGATAATAATTTGGGGGACCAATCTGATGCTGTTCAGGTACAAAATGAACATGACAACAATGATTTTGAAGAAACAAAAGAGGGCCAAGCACCAGATAAACGCAATGCCCGCGACTTGAAGAAGTCTGAAATCATTGAACCACAAGATGGCAAAAGTCCTGCGGAAATTGAGGAATTGAAGGATACAGAACAAGAATCCATACCCGACTTGGAGGAAGCTGAAGCTGGATCTAATGTGACATTAAATGCCACAATTAGCAATGAAAATAAAAGCAAAGATTTAAATGAAACTACAATGGAAAAAACAATCGATGATGATGTCAAGTCATTAGCTAATGAATTGAACACTGACAAAGTTGAAAGAGGTGATAATTTTCTGAGCGAAGAAGCCAAAGAAGAGCCACCGGAGGAGTTACCTGACGAGAACCAGGACTCCAAAAGGGAAACTGTCATTGAAGATCAAAATGTTTCAAAAACCACATCTGACGCACAAATTGCCCCAGAAGCCACAAAGCCAAAGACCTCTGAAGAGGTCAAGGAGCCACTAGAAAATGTGATTCCATCACAAAAGAAGCTGAATGAGGAATGGGAACAAGAAAATGCTGCTGCAATTACGAAATTACAAGATAAGATTGTTCAACTTCAAAATTCAGTTGAGGGAACAGAATCTGATACAACATGTACGGAACTCTTAAAAGCTTTAAAGGACAGAATTGAAATTGAGACAAACAGAGCACAAGATTTAAAAAGTAAACTAGATTTGCATGAAGCAGCCGAAAATGTCAAAACACAGGCAATGCGAGAGCAATTACAGACATTAGAAAACCGAAATGAGATTTTAAATCAAAAAGTCGAAGAATTGGAAGCTTCAAGCAAAGTACTTAAGAGTAATCTGGCAAACCAAGACATTCTTACCACTAATAATAAGGCAAACGATGTGGAACACAAAACAGATGATTCGGGAGTCGACATGCAGGAGGAAGGAATGATTACTGATAAAGACGATAAAGTAATTCAAGACGATAACGAAGACGAGGAGAATCAGCAACTAATGGATGATGAAAATATTATTAAAGCACAAGCCACTACAGGAATGTCGCCACTGAAGAGAAGCCCCAACAAGAAGAACAAGAAAAAGAAGAACAAGAAGAATCTGACAACATTTTAGAGGACCAATTTATTGGGTTCCGGAGGTCCTGTATGGAATTTAGGTTATTATTAGAATTGCTGTGTTGCGATTACGTAATAATGTTAACTTACTGACCGAACCTAGGTTTACGAATTAAGCGGAATATTCCCAGAATTCTGCTCGTATTTTTTTGTCAATGATGATCAACCAACCGACGGAAATAAGTATAACCACCCCGTTAACTTGTTATAGTCAAAGTGCCGCCATCATGCCGAAATCTGCTTTGGAATTGTTCATGCTAAAAATTTCATCGAAACAAAAATAGCAGCCATGCATGAAAAACTTTGATTCCGATAAAGTAATGGAATATCCTTGTTCCAAATAAGCGAAATTATTCTTCAGTTTCATTAATAGAATTATAATGTAACGAACACTACATCACACCACACACTACTCTACACTACAGTAAACCACATTTGTATTATTTACTCTGTATAATTCACCCTATATAATTCATACTACAATATGATAGACAACAGTACAAAATATTATAAAAACCTTAGGGTCTACTTAAATTAGGTAGCTTAATTTTGTTCGACGACCTTACAGCCAATTCCACAACCGACTATAATTGCATTCCACAATGCATCAAGCGAATGTCGTTTCAAAACCAAAATAGAACTATTGTTGTGAGCACCCCCTGAAGCGATGGGGGAATACCAAGTGGAAATTGTAAACAGTACGCAGAATGGTTGCTTTTCTCAGGCGTTATACACACTTTGTATGGGGATTACTTTTTCTGTCGTCTCTGATGTTAGGCTATTGCAATATCTTTAGTATTGGACAGACAATTCTTTTTTTGCATAACAGTATTTTATTTTGTTGGACCATTTATTATAACTAGTTTACGGTTCTTCGTGGGTGGTTTTTAGTTCTTTTACTATTATCAGTGACGTTCTTTCCACTTATAAGGCTCTGTATTACATTTACATTCCTTAAGTTAACCTTTACCACGGTACCGGTTGTATTCCTCACGCACTCAACGTTGTCAGTTAAAATTGCCGTGCCGAAGTGGTGATCTAACCAGGAGAGTTGCTCTGAGATCTTAGACACCGGTCAGTCATATTATTTGAATTGCACCAACAATCGCTACATTTATTTCGTTTTATTTACAGAACCAAACCTTCCCATGAGGCATGTCTAAGGTTTTTTCCATAACCAAAAAGTTATCAGTTAAGGCAGGCCTTAACTCAGGCAACCTGAATAAAGACATTCAAAGTGATCCTCAAACTTTGCAGAATACAATCCCAATTGCTTCTAATAAAGCTGAACCTTTGTCATCAAAACCCTTTCGTAATAATGGTAACGTTAGAACAGAAGAATCCTCCCTTTATGCTTCTCCTATACTTCCTAGAACCCCCACGATGTCCACTTTTGGTTCCTCCACTTCTTTAAGAAGCCCCAACCCGTCAACCCGTGGGCCCTCGTCGTCTCCTCCATCAAAGTTGATAAAACAATTGTTGAAAAAATATAAGAAACTAGAAATATCTTTAACCAGATTTAATTCTAAATCAAATAGCAGAACAAAAACAAATATCTTACGTTTAACATTGTTGCCATTTTTACGTCATAGCAATGAGTTTAATGATTTGAGTAAATACACTGACTCTAATATCTGTGGATCATTAAATAATGTACTTCTTACAGTGTTGATAAAATGGTGGGAAGCTCTTTTATGTGGTTTGCTTGATAAAGTGCCTCCCTCAACTGCTACAAGTAGTTTATCTTGCTCTCCGAATTCTCAGCAAAGCTCTGAGCCTTCCATGAAAACCAAGCTTCCCAATATTCCCGAATCTCAACATCATTTTATGCCAGCTCCTCACTCCCAAGTTGGTTCAAGCGATAGAAACGCATATTTAGAGGGTATATCTCGTATCATCGCTCGTCGTGAATGGTTCGCCTTGCATAAGAAGTTGGATAAGGATTTGATTCACCAATTTGAATATCTCTTGGAGACAACTTTGGATTGCTGTGTTTACAAATTACAAAATTATAAGCAAGTACCTTTATCTTTACTGTCATTCATTGGGAAAGTATTTGCATATCTGTTTTTCCATATTCCCGAAGTCGCTAAAGCTCTTATGTTTCTATTAGGTACTAAATTGTCGCAGCTTGATGGAGTTAAGAAGTGCTTCTTAAAAGAGGAAGACGAAGAGGTGCACGATGATGAAGAAAGTTGCCAATCGAAGTCAGATATGATGAAGAAGATATTTACTGAAGCATTCCCTCCACATTTACACGAATTCATTGATTTCAAAGGTAATAGGGCGAATACTCAATTGACGAGAGGACAAAGTACACTTATTAATGCCGTCCCTCCTCCAAAGCATCCTGTCAGAGGAATCAAAGATCCAAATGGTATTTGGGTTAAGCGCTGGAATTCTTATGATTCAGATATCTTTTGTTCGTTTCTCAGACATTATTTGAGCATTGTAGAGGATCTTATCGGTAAAGAGAACAGCTTGGGTTACCAAACGTTAGTAAGGTACTGCCCAGGTTTAAGCATTGTGACTGCGCATATTTTGCAGAATATCAAAAATGTGGTTTACAATAGACCCATGCTTTCATCGCCAATGATCCCTGCTAACATATCTATGGATCCGTCAGGCACAACAAAGGCATCACCTTTGCCTCCTACTCCAACCAGAGGTAGCAATGGAAATGCAAGTCAAAATGGGGCGACTGCAAATGAAAACCAGGGCAATAACAAATATTCCTCACTCATTAAGATTTTCAATGTATTGCGGGACTCATTATATCACTCCAATACAGTGCTGAGGGAATTCATTCATATTATTGATGGAATATTGATTTCTGAAGCCAAGTCTATATCAGTATATGATGTGAACAAAGCGAGCCCTGTTTTCAACTTGGTATATGAGTTTGCTAACCATATTGATGGTAATCCTTTCGGCTATGATTTGAATTGGACATTTTGGTTAGACTGTAACTACAGAATGCTTAACTGCACGGATCACATCCAGTTAATGTTGAAATCATTATCTTTTATTTTTAACTCCTGGGATTTAATTCCTGTTGGTTTCAACTTCTCACCGGTACCGAATATTAATGAACCATATGACAATAACGATGACAGTTATCCATGGATTCTGTTTGCTGAGTACGGTGACAAGTTGAACTTTTCACGTTGGCTCATCTGCCAAGAGACTTTTGAAAAGTTTTTCATTCATTGGCATCCGATAGTTAGATCTTACTACATTAGATTTCTTGTATGGAGATTGATCGGAGTTAATAATCTGGAAAATACAGTTCAAATTGATTTGATTTCAGAGTTGAATTCCGTTTTAACAACCGGTTTTAATGTTTTAGTTGAGCACTTGGAATGTTTCGCTCTGACAGGAGCAAGTTACTCTTCCTTGTCTGCATTGGATTTCAAAGTTGATAGTCCTTTAGCTAACCGTCGATTAAGTGTTATGGCCATAAGAGATGAATTTTTGGACTTAGAATGCTTCCATGACTTGAGAAAGACTCATCCCTTTGAAATCTTTGATGAGGCAGTTTATACTTGTCTTGCATTAACTGTCAACCCTTTGGTTAATGTGAACAATAGCCTGAATAGTGTTGAAGCTAGTGCCGGTTCACTGATTTCTAAGAATGAACGGTCGAATGGGTTAGTAAGTTCATTGGGAAAATTTTTGAAGGGGTTAACAGTGAAGGATGAAGAAGAGCTAAGTAGATCGTCCCAAGATTATTTGAGTCAACATCCACCCAGTTCTTCCACCAATTCAAGCGGAACCAGAAGCACTAGTTTGGGGAGCATGGGAATTGATTCCAAATTTGGATCTTTCTCAACGTTAATTCTGAGATCACCCTCTCCTTCTTTATTTTCTTTCAATCTGGATCCTACATCGTTATCACTGTTTAGCAGCGAAGATGACGATGAAAGCGACATGGATAAAGTGTCATCAAGTTTGGATGAAATATTTGCATATGGAGAAGAAGAGTCATATGGCGTCACTTGTGGTGATTCTGTACATTCAACTCCCAAAAGTAGTCAATCACGTCGGGATACTACTCCAGCCTCTCGTGCCTATTCATCAAGAAAGACGATATTCAAATCACCACCAGATGTCATTAGACCCATCTACAAGATTGATATTGTCATTGATCACGATTCATTCAATGACAAGCTACGGATAGTAAATAATAGTGTTCGTGGTGGCTATCCATGGGTAATCTCGTTAAGAAATCAATGTGAGTTACCACCTGAGCCTACCATTCCTAACATGTCAATTTTCATAACAAATGACCCATTCAATAAGTTTTTGATCCAAGAAGAATATATGATATTTAGCAATCAGCCTGATGATGATCAAAATTGCCAAAAAAAGAAAGCATTCGAGTCCAAGCTAAACATGAATGTAATCAATAATTTGGGGAAATCTTTATTTGAATATCATAAAGTTGTGGAAGAGTTTAAGTTTTTTTTGAGCAAGAGAGTTGAGTTTGATCACTTGAATTCATTACCAACGTTTGCCTCCAACTCCGCAACCAATAGAGATGTTGATTCGGGTGTGCCTTCAAGTGGCAATGGATTTCAAGGATTTGCAGATGGAAGTTCGCTTGATGAAGCAACATATTTGAGGAGAATAATGCCCAATTTGTGTATCGATACTGAAATGGGGTTTGCTAATGCTGGATAAATCATTTTAGATCCTCTGGTAGGGTCTGAACATTTTTTTAGTTTTTTATTTGCGTTCTTTCTTTCGTTTACATTTCCAACAGTTTGCTTTATTCTTAGAAAGTAAATATTTTCAATATTATATTGTTCATTGCAATTTGCATTATTGGTAAAATAGAATTTTTCATACTTACTTTTAATATTTAATGGTCTATGGCAAAATTATCAGGGCAGAAATTTACTTCATTAGTTAACCTTTTTAGAGTCTCTTTGCAGTGTGGCAATGACGTTCATGATGAAACTGGAGACAAGCATGACTAGCGTACAAACAGCATAAAACACTACTGATCCTATTATTAAACTCAGAAAGTAGTAATGGTACATATAATAACGCATTCCTCTCCAAGCCACATCTAACATCAAGTATGACGAGGTACTATATGACTCCTTCACCGATTCGTCTATTATAAGCTCGAGTGCCGTCTGCTTAAGGAAAGATCCTCTAACACCCCGTGCCACGGGTACTAAGAGAGAATAAGTTTTATCCCAATTGATCCATTTGGGGAACACTAGCCACCGTAAGGCATAAGGAATGTAAGGATTGTTATGCTTGTAGACATTCTTCCAATCACAATTGACTAAAACTGAAGACTGCAACTGGGGACCCGATTCTGATTGCAAGGAATAATGCGCCAAGTATTGAGCCGAATCAAAACACCAAAGATTTAATCGTAGCAGTAAGTCGTAGAACACCTCCTTTTTGATAGTTGACAATTGAGTAATGGAGGATATTTCATTAATTAAAACCACCTCTTGTGGAGAATTGGGTATTAGTATTTGGTAGAAATAGAGGTACGCAGCCACCGCTAATGGAAACACTACAACCACATAAACCCAAGTAGTTATAGTGTAGAGAATTGGCTTCCTAGAATGAAGTAAAGTTCCCTTAATTGCGTTTAAAAGTGCGGAGACAATAAACATGATTGGGGGGAAGGGGAAAGTACCGATTGGTGATTTACTCCAACAACAACACAACGGTGAAGTTTCTGGTTTCAACCAATGATGGGAAATCCAAGCTACGCTGGATAGGGAAAGATGTCAAAAAGCTTGAAGTTAAAGCCAATCAATCTTATATCAAAAGAAAGTACTTTGATTGCTACTGTATCATGGACTTGATTGTGGGAAATGATTTATATGTTCGCACAATTTAGTGGTTTAACTATCTAGAGCTACACTGAGGCATAGTTATATAATATATACTTATTACACTATTCCAATGCTCTACATATCTACACACTCTAATATACATACATCAAAAAGAAAGAAAGACCTTTAGAAAATACTAATATCATCACTAATACAAACACTATCCATTTAGTGAGTAGTGTGTCCCCTATGGTACTTTAAACCATTCAAGTTCTTGTATCGTTTACCGCATACCTCGCATCGGTATGGCTTGTCCTTCTCCATACTAGCTCCATCTAAGTAAGGAGTATTCAGCTCAGGGTCAATTACACTAATTGTCCCATCAGGGTTCTCTTGAAGCATCTGATTCTGGTGACCATGAAGTCGATGGTACTTCAACCCATTCTGATTCTTATACATTTTGTCACATCCAATAACTGGACATCTAAAAGGCTTATTTTCAGAATTCTCCATAATGTACAAATGCCTAGCAGGATCATCAATATACATCGCATCTTCATCCTCATTGCCTCCATTCTTTTGAGAACGAGAGAATGAACTCCCGTTTCCAGAACCTTGACTAACACGTTGTTGCTGCCGTTGGTTTGATTGCCGCACTTGAGACAAGCTGGAATTACGTTGCTGTTGCTGGTGGCTTTGATGAGCTTGAGCTTGTTGATGACTTTGTTGCAGTTGATGGTTTGGAGTTTGAGGCAGTTGATGACGACTTTGTTGATTTTGTTGCAGTTGTGACAGTTGCAGTTGCAGTTGCAGCTGTTGTTGATGATGGCTTTGATGCAGTTGCTGCAGCAGTTGTTGCTGTAACCGAGCTAGTTGTTGATTTTGTTGCTCTTGTTGAATTTCTTGGTTGACTCTGCCAGAGCCCGCAGAAGTTTTCGTATTAGAGTTGCCAGGCCTAGAAGAGTGAACGGATTGTTGCTGAATTGTCTGTGGTTGGATATTGAAATGATGACTCTGAAGATTTGAAGAGGTTGTCGCCAGAGCTAAGTCTAGACTTGCTCCAGAGGTAGCAGGATGATGCATGCTAGTGTTTGACATATGATGTGGATTATGATGTCTATTGTGGGTGTTATTCAAAAACACATCGTTGGTAGAAACTGTTTCCATTATGCTGTTGTTGGTGCTAAGTTGAGCTCTAGCACGAGCAAACAGATGAGGCGATTGAAGTTGATGATGGTGGCTCAGTGCATGGTGTATCATGTCTTCATCCATTGCATCAGGATCATGAGGAATATCGTGGGCTCCAGTACCATGGGAAGCATGGTGCAAAGAACCAGGAATACTCTGGTTGGGGTCATAATGATGAGGGTTGTGAATCTGCGGATGAGCGGAATGGTCTGATGGGGGTGATGGAGAAATGTGGGCTTCCTCGTAATGACGCAACAAATCATGAAGCGTAGGAAGTAATTGACCACAACAGGAATAGTCCTTGCAATAATCTGCTTCCAAGTCAGGTAGATAAGAAGCGGCGGAATGCTGAATTGGTGGAGACATTGAATGCATGTAATTCATATTAGCATTGTGATTGTTGTTGTTGCCGTTGTTGACGTTACTGTTGTTCATATTGTTGGGATTACTGTAACCATTACCATTGTTGTTCCCAGTAAACCGAAACGAGCCTCTACGAGGGTTGATAAGGGGATAGTGATAATTGGAGTTGCTACTTTGAGTGTTGGAACCGTTATTATTGTTGAAAGCTGCTGCATTGTTAGTTGTGTTGTACATCATAACTTCATCTTTCAACCAGGATCCGATAGTGATGGATCCCCAACTAGTAGAAACATCCCTCATCACCACAGACTCCCTTCGGAACGAGTTACGGTGAGAAACCGGCCTGGTACCATGGGAAGATGATCCAGAAACTGACATATTGGACTGCGTCATTCCAGTGATGTCGATAGGCTGGGGCGTCGGTATAGCCAAATGGGATGAAGATAGGGAGTCACTTCCAGAGGGAGCAGTGGCGGTAGTTGAAGTGCCACCAAATCCACCCGATCCGTTCCCGTTAGACGTGGGAGCAGATTCAAATATCCTGGTATTAAACATGGCGTTGAAGATACGATCTTATTTCAAGTAGGAGCCCAATGATTATAGTATTAATAATGGTAATAATAATTTGGGAATGAGATGACGGTAGCAGTGGACAAAGATAGGGGACTCCACAATATACCAAAAAAAATAACAAAAGGTGGATATAGCCGTCACTGATCGTCTGGCAGTATATATGAACTGGCCGTAGGGTAACACTAGTTCACTGCTACTTGAATATTGAGGAAAGAAGTGATGATGGAATATAAACTTAGTTTGGTTTTTTTTTTTCAGGGAACAATCCGTATTTCAAAGTGCGCTTATAAGACGACAAAAAGACGCACACTGCTCATACAAGTACGGTGTAGCTAAAAGACTATAGTACGATACCGTAAAAGACTAAACCTAAGGGTAATACAATAGACTTAGTAATTACAAGCGAGATTATGAAGTTTACTTGAAAGCGTAATAGTAGTATTAGTATATTAATCTGCCCCTCAAATTAAAGGCATCGAAGCATTCATACTTTATACGACCACAGAGTACCATTCCATTACTCATCTAACACACGCCTAACCTGCAAAAGTTTAGCTGCTACAAATGGTCGTTGCTTGTTTACACAGATTAAAGTGCAATACACCTAGCTACTAAACTGTAGCGCATCCCACATACGGAACATGCTGAATTACAGAACGCTATGTAATACTGAATTGAAAACTATCGCTAATAATCATGATGAGATATATGTGCCAATAGGATGGTGCCGCTTGTGGCTATAAACTCTAGGGTACAAACCGCGGCGACCTAAGCATGCCAGCGAATACGGGAGACGGTACGAGATGAGGTGTTATGCTTTTGTGCACACACACGGCTAGTGATTGGGGTCGGACGAGTACCGCTTTCAGGTTTACCCTATAATAATTACACAGTGTGACGGTTTGCATCCCTTACCGTACTTTTACACCAGAGTTCACCATAATTGCATACGCCTATAATAAATGGTATCAAAGTGCCCTGTCACTTCCTGTCAACAATTGAAAGGAAGTTGAATCTGAAGGGATGATGACAATAAGATAAATCTCCGAAATCCATTGGAGTGTATTTAACAAAATGGGAGTACCAACTTCCAAATCCCATGTCCCTGTAGTCAACGCATAAATGTTATCCCATGATCTTTCTACAGTGCAGTATCGCATCCAGTACAAGGTTAGTAGAACTGATACAATATGATAGCGGCCCCCTCCTTCTCGCTCTTTTCCCAAGTCCGAATAAACTAGGTTACTTGGCTCAGGATAATTGTGCTAAGTTTAAGTTTCTTAATGGTGAAGACACGTTTGTCTCTAGGGAGAGCACTCGAAACGCTTTATTGTGTTTTATGTAGGTTATGTAATTGATGGTCACAGGTAATAGGAAGGTAGACAATAAAGTGAAAAAGGCGCACGATGTAATCCGAATAAATTTCAGGTGCGTGCATAGCGTTAGACAGAAGCGGGACGTACTATGTCTTAGATACCATTATCGCATACCAGAATAGTACTTTACAGATGGGAGTGTAATAGTATTGCTAATGAGAGTCTCCCAGGTCAATAAGTAGATTATCGGATGTTCTAAACAGACTTCGATTAGCCTTTTAAGCCTTGTTACTTTACAACTAAAGTGTTTTATCTCCCGTACCGAAAATGAATCATGAGATGACGCATACAGGATAATTTTCCATCTCAACACCACACACGCCTTTTATAATAACTAAGTCTTTAGCTTTCATTTATGCATGTATTAAAAGTTACAACTGCACCCTATTCTATTCTATTATATATATGTACACAATCCATTCACTAGTAGTACGGTGTTTGCCCCAGCGCATCTTGATTTGTAGTTGGTGTTTGGTTCCGATGACTATTCGGGGTATACTTCTCGATTGCTCCAACAGGTACAGCTATTCCTTGAGGCCATTTACTATCTTGACCAATATCTTTCCAGTCTTGCACGGTATCGAACTTGAGAGTATCGTTCTCTTTGGTATATTTAACTCGAAGACGAACAAGCATGTCAAATAAGTAGGTCAAATCTTGGGTCATATGGATCATCTTAGCAAAATCCGACTTATTGTAGTTCAACTCTGCTGTTGATTGCATATTCTTGAGCAAAGAATCTTGCCGATGTATTTTCAACCATTCACGAGCCCTTTTACCACTACCTATATCGTCACTAATTTTGCGACCTTGAAGTGTCACGATTCCAAAGTTAACTAGTCCTATTGCTTCCCCAATTTTATCTTGCTGGTAGTTGTCAATAGAGTAGAAAAGACCGATGTACCCCATAATGTATTTGCGCATCACAACTAAATAAGAATACCATGAATTGGCCTCTATTGACCATTGTTCATTAATTTTGATCATTTGGTCACTTTTGTCAATAGCCATAAGTGCTCTGTTTAATTCCCCAAGACAATATATGGCTATTCTTGTTAAAGTACCATTATTTTTACTGATTAGTTTGCCTCCATCAACATCATCGAGTGATCCAAAATTCATACGGTTTACCCAACCAGATTTGATTATTATACCCAATTGTAAGTTAAGATTATTGATATGTGTCAAAAATTCTAACCATAAGTTCGATCCGATCACCTCTTGACCATAACGAACGACACTTAACAGTAGTTTCAAAAGATTTGTAGTAGTTTTCCATTGATGATCTGCTTCGGGACTCGCATTATCACCCTGAATGAGCTCTTCAGTCCGCAGAGCCGCCATTGACATATATGCTAAACTAATTGCTCCAACTACCATGCTTATTTCTTCTGTAGTAGTCCACACCGTGGATTCTTTGCTGCTTTCAATCACAGATAGTTCCCCTTCACTTTCTTTGGTGTTATATTTTTTTAATTTATCCTTCAATTTATCCTTCAATTTAGTCCTTGTAACGTTCACAGTAGTCCACGGTCTCAACGAACCATTTAAAAGGGCTATATCTCGATGTCCCACTAGCCAGTCCAAATATACTTCCAATTCCTCTAAATAAGAGATCTGCAGAACTTCCGCTATGGAGATGAGGCCATTACGAAACTTTTCACATTGACTTAACAAACACGGTACTCTTACTGGAAGCGTAATTGTTTGTGGTCTAATCATCTCTGAATATGGTGTTCCTATAAAAAATATAATACTTTATGGAGTCGTATATTCGGCTTTTACCCCAAAGTTCCATCGGTAATCATTTGGAAAAGTAGTGCGAAGATCACATACAGGACACTGAAAATAAATGAGGAACTAAAACTCCTATAGTGTCGTAGACCTTCTACCTAGTTGACCGAAAACAAGGGAAAGTCAATTACAGCACCATAAGACTTGTGTGTTAAGTCTGCTAATTCAATTTAATTCTGAAGAATATATGAGTGCTGTTAATAAGAAGTTCTTTGAGGACTTTACTTCAATCCCTATTCGAGATCAATCACTTCCTAACCATTTTGATGCAGGTGAAGTGATCCACATAGCACTCAATTTCACTGGTACACGATTAGCTTATTCTCGTTCAGATGGATCTGTCAGAATATGGTCGATGATGAACGAAGGTGGCAGAGAAAGTGTAGTGATTGAATCCCCCCACACCAAGCCTGTAGAGCTGTTGTGCTTTAATCCACAAGAAGAGTTTGTGTTTCTCACCGTGGCCAGAGATGAATATATAAGGGTTTGGAGGACAAATGGCGTTTTACAACGTGAGGTACAAGTCAAATCACCTGTCAATAAGTCAGGGAAAGGTAGTGACAAAGCTAATGTAATTTTACAACATGTTGGCTATTCCAGTGATGGACAAATTGTAGTCGTTGCCGACAGAGAAGGTTGGATATATGGCTTTGATGCACTGTTTGCACCCATATTTTCGGTTGACGTTGGTGAATATGTTTATTCCATTATGTGGTTTCATTTTGAGCACAAGTATTTTGCTTGTGGATTACAGGATGGATCTATTCCAATATTTGAACTTGTTGAGAAAAGCTCAGAACATCAACTACTTTATGAAATAAGAAAATTGACAACTTTAAGAGGTCACCGGTCATCGGTAACTTGTTTGGCCATTGATCCCCGAGGAATCTATTTTGCAGCTGGATCAAATGAAGGTGTAGTACTGATATGGAAGAATGAAACAATGCTCGTTACAAGAGTGATAAGCGATATTGATGAAGCAGTTACTGATTTAGATATTTCACGAGATGGAACGTATGTAGCAGTTTCATTTGATAGAACCGCTTCTGGCAAGATTTATGATATTTCTTTGGGTGATAAGATTTATGATATTCCTAATAGTCTGAGTGGGTCACAAGTAACCCCCCAAATAAGGTGGTTTCCTCAAAAGACAACATTTGTATATGTGGGTGATAAGGGTCGGAATGTGGTGCTTATGAAACGTCCGGAAGAGGGTTTAAGAAAACGTGCTGATGATAAAATGGGCAGGCTTGGAGATGGGGATGGTGTTAAAGGCAGAGATATTAGAGATAGTAGAACTAACAAGGATCATAGAGAAAACAGAGATAAGAGAATCACCAGAGAGAGCAGAGAGAGTAGAGAGAGTAGAGATAACAGGGACAGAGACATTAGGCACAGAGATAAAGATACCCAGAAGAGAAGACTGCATCATCAACGGTATTAACAAACCTATGGAATTGTAAGGTGCTGAATCTTTTTGGAGATAAGTGTGTACTTGAACTGGGAGGTTCCTACCCCAAAACAGAAATTTTTCAGATACAGGAGCCACAGGAGTAATTCAATAATAGGAATTAAGTTACACCCATTCGGACTACAGTTTTAACAATGCTTTTCTCTAAAGCGCCCTTAAATACACAATAATAACCTACTACTATTTTTTCAAAGGCGCTATGTATAACTTATCAACTGGTAATATGATGAATGGCAGTATGGTCATGAATACAAACACTCATTATGGGTAGCGCCATGCAAGGTTATTTACGAGTGCGTTGACGAAGGAAGAAAATACCAAAAACACCATGAATGGTGTTGTTCAACAGTATATATAACGAACACTTAATAACTCCACTATCAAAGAAACAAATAATAGCGCTTGAGTTTTGGTATCCCAGCGTATTTACTGGAGTAGATTATACACATAAGCTATTTCGGGTAATGGTGTATGCTTAATGTAGGGTTATATCTGTACACAGAACTCATGTCACCTGTGCATTGAATGCCTAGAACTTATATATACAATATGTACATATTCAAATTTCAGAGATTATGGGAAGCATTTCGAAGCATTAACGGAAATCGTACCACTATGCAACTGCTATCTATGTAATTTGACTTTATCACGGGAGGTCCAACAAAGCTTTCAAGGCGTAGCAGGTACATTCTGAGTTGTCTCGCTACAATAAAGACCAATGGAAACTTGCCTAAATCGGTTATGTAAGGGGTAAATTTATGTCAATTCGCACATGTATTGAACCCCAGATGAGTACCTGGTTTCGCATTATTACATCATCAGCCATTCCAATAGATGCCTCGTAGGAGTCAGGAAGCGTACTTAGACAAGTAACACTACTATTATTATAATGAACTCATATCGCGAACTACACTTCTTGGTAACTTGCAACGTGAACAGAACCATGACAAAATGTAATATAAAATAGCATAGGAATAACGGATTGAATTAGTAATAAATACACAGTTAAAGTCAACATGCGACCGAGTTTCTTGCGCTGTGTGGAACCTTTAATTGCGTTCTATTTTCATGAAGGAAAAGTTTTCGAAAGGGTTTGTGCTCCAACCAAAAACACTCAGAACGAAAAATCCTGTTTAATCTGAACGTGTTTACAGTAGATAACTTAATATATATATTATTCTTTTACTGAACAAAGAGCATCATTACGTATAAGAGATAACATAGTTTCCTAGCGTACTCAAAGGCTCCTTTTACTACTCAAAAGGTTGTAACAACAGGTTATAAAAATTCCCTACTTTTTGAGTTTAAGATTAGTTTACTGCTCCTTTTAAAGAAATAAAAACAATATAGGAATAGTTCCACTTTACCGTGTTTATATGATAGGTAGACAGTCATTACCTACGATTTGTTTCCATTGTGAGTATCTTTATTAGCACCTATATTTTTTTCATTGATAGGTAGCTTCCAATTACGTTACCTATAAATTGTGATATATTGTTCCAGCTCGAACTAGTCATATCGAAGCATTGGAATACCCCTCCCTCCAAAGAAAGCTTGAAAATTGAACCCATTCAACTGAAAATAGGTACACTCCTTAGGAGAACCAGACTTACAAATCTTAACCAAGGCGTTGGATTTTATAACGCTAGAACGGCGCTACCCACCTACACTGCCCAAGTCCTGTAAAACAGCTACGGATTACAAGCCTACGACGAAACCAAGAGCTTCCCTAACCTTAAGTTCCGTTTACACATATTTTTGATTCCAATGACAACGATGGAGAATAGACTGGATCATTCTATAGCGTCCTCCTCGATACAACCACCCTTCAGAACCATTTCAACCCATTCTCTAGGGTCGGCTCTGGGGACCTCAACCCCTCCAATCACCCGAATCACAACCTCAATGTCACAACTCACTATGAATAAGCGATCTGTCGCTAAAGAACATTTACATTATCAATGTTCCGTGTTGAAAAAGAAGTTTAGTCTTATTCCTGGCATGGAATTGTATCTTTCAAGTTCTTTCAACCAAGCAGAACAATGTTGTGAACAACAGGCATTAGCATTATCTCAGGATTCAAGTAAAGAGAACCGTCTCAACAGTGAGTATCGGTCATCTGTGATCTCTTCAGGGTTTTCTATTCATTCTGACAACTCCGTAGAGGCAAACGGAAATTCAAATGGAGCACAAAATAATAGTAGCTCCACTTTAATGCCTAATGGAAATAGTTCAGTCGCCAACTACAACAAAAAACTGACAAATAATAATATTTTTACATTTACTGCTGGTGTTCTACCTGCGAATATTAGTGTTGATCCAGTTACTCAAGTGTGGAAATTATTTCAAAGGGGCGACCCTTTGTGTCTTTTGTTCAATAAAGTGTGTAAGGACTATCAAATTCCAATCCAGCCTTCATCAAATGGTGATGACATGAAAACGTGCAAAAAAGCGGTTTACGATTTCATTATAGCAGTAACACTGCACATCGATCTTTCTAAGTTATCTAATTCCAACTCCGACACTAACACCTTGGATGATGATGATGAAGATGAGCCAGAGATGTTCACAATTTCTAATGTATTTTCCGACTCGACTTCTGATTTGTTGAAAGTTATAAATGTAGTTAACAGATTGATGGACCTTGACAAGGCTTTTTTCAAATTGGATGACAATTTTACCGTTCCTGACATTGTTATAAACGATGATAGATCAAAGGCTTTTAAGGAACTCGTTGAGACAGAACGAAAATTTGTTTCTGACTTAGAACTTCTTCAAAAGTACAAGCAGCAATTGGTGAATGCTGAAATCATAACCAATGAGCAAATCCAAATTCTCCTTCCAAATATTAATGAAATAATTGAGTTCCAAAGACGACTTTTGAATGGTTTGGAATGTAATGTGAATGTTCCATACAAATACCAACGCATAGGTTCAATTTTCATACATGCATCGAACGGTCCCTTTAAGTCGTACGAACCGTGGACTATAGCACAGCTTCAGGCGATTGAATTGGTGACGAAGGAAGCCGCAAACTTAAGACGGTCACTGTCATTATTGGATCCCGGGTTTGAGCTTCAATCTTTTCTTATAAAACCTATTCAAAGATTATGCAAATATCCACTTTTATTAGACCAAATGATAAAGTATTCTCCAGAATCACTGGAAGATCCGACTCCCCTGGCTACGTTTGGCGAGTTGTTACTTGCTAGGCAGGCGATGAAAGAGGTTGCTAATGAGATTAATGAGGCCCAACGTCGGGCTGAAAACGTTGAGTTCTTACGAAATTTAACAGATAGAGTGCAAAATTGGCGTGGTTTTGAGTTAAGGGATCAAGGAAACTTGCTTTACCATGGAACCGTTGGAGTGAGAGATCAAGATAATGAAAAGGAGTATCAAGCGTATTTGTTTGAACGAATTATATTCTTTTTTGTTGATACAGCGAATCCCGGGAATACAGAGAATAATTCGAGTACAAGCTCTAATAAGAAAATGCGTGAAATTCTTTCTTCTAGGAAGAAATCACAAGCATCAACATCCACTGCCAATTTACTTGAGAATTTGAACTCTACTCGAGATAAATCAGTACTTGAGTTGAAAGGCCGAGTATATATCTCTGAGATTTATAACTTTTCCACGGCAAATGTGAATAATGGGTATACATTAATGATCTCATGGTCAGGTCGCAAGGAGAATGGGTCATTTACTTTGAGATACAAAACAGAAGAAGCCCGTAACCAGTGGGAACATTATTTGCGCCAATTGAAGACTGCTGATAACAACAATTCTACAGTGGTGAGCAAGCGAGTACGAGACTCTCATGGATCTCAAGCTACAAATGATTCTTATGATTTAACTGCAGCATATTTGGCATCAAGTGATGCTAATTCTTCACGGTCGTCTAGTGGATCGCAATATCAACGTCATCATAGCTCATCATCAACTTTATCTATGCTTAAAGGGGCCAGGAGGTCAAAGTCAAATGGCACTATTGAATCCAGCTATGGAAACGGAAGCAGCAGTAGAAGAGGATCAGTGCATCAAGATACACCTGTTGTTGGTATTAAATTGATTTACAATAAGATTGAAATTCCTGGGTTATTGAACGTGTCGCAATACATTGCCTTCCCTGATTTACAAGAACGTATCAGTATTCTGATTTCTCTGAGTCAAGTGGTGACTGAGGACATTGTGGTTAATAAGATGAAGTATAAAGATGAAGATGGAGATTTTGTTGTTTTAGAGCTGGCTGACGACTGGAATTTGGCTGTGGATATGTTGCAAGAAATGGCACAAGCCAATGCGTTGACTATATTTGTACTGTAGGGTAATTTTTGAATTTAGAACTTGGATTTTTCTATGGCGGTGTTTGGCTAATAATAGCGGTTATTTGCATAAATATATTTGTAGCAGTTTATATTGTGAAATTTATCGTGGTACGAGCTTGAGCTTGATGTATGTTCTAATGTATGTACTTCTTTGAAGACTGAGTCAAAAGAAAAGTTAAACTAGTGCGGCCAAATCCCGAGTCAAGGTTAGAGCTACATGGCTGCAGCCAATTGAACCCTCATCAAGTCAAGTAAAATTCAATCAAAATACACGCTACGTGAAATTTAATCGGATATTTTCCATTGTTCACTGCTATATTAATGCTTAACAATATATGCCAACACATCTAGCGACGAATGACTAAATAGCACCTTCTGATTTGACGAAATTAGTTTGTAGAAAATTTAGTGTGGAAAATTCTATTGTTAACGATGACTCAAACACTGAACTTCAGTTTGCAAATAATTACCATTAAATAGTGTACAGATTTCCAATTTCTTAGGTGATAAGTTGTTGTTAAAACATATACAGGCACATATATAAGAGTCTGTAAACTATTCGACGAGGATGATCTTTAGGGCTGTAAGGGGAAATCAATGTGCTTTAAGAGTTAAATCTACAATCACTCGAAGTAGTACTATATTATTTCGTCCAGCATTAAAATTCGCCGCAACACCAGCAAGATCTTTTGTTAGTTATCCATATAGGAGACAAGGAGCTTCGTCTGCCCTAAAGGATTCGCTCACAGAGGACGATATCGAGATTTTGACGGAAGAAAGAGCTGCAGATGCTGTTGATGTATGTATTGTCGGAGGTGGACCATCAGGATTAGCTACCGCTATCAAATTAAAGCAATTGGATAATGAGAATGGGTCTGGTGAACTCCGGGTGGTTGTTTTGGAAAAAGCCAGTGATTTTGGTTCCCATATAGTAAGTGGGGCTGTTATCGAGCCAGGCGCTTTTAGAGAATTGTTTCCTGAAAGCGAATATTATAATGAAGATGGCTCAGGTATACCCTTGCCTCCAGATATTGTTACTTTAGTAGCTCATGATTCCATGAAAATGTTAACTGAAAAGTATTCCTTTCCCCTACCAGAACCATCTCAATTGCAAAATGCTGGCAAAAATTATATTGCCTCTTTAAACAATGTTGTCAAGTACTTATCAGAACAAGCTGAAGAAGTTGGAGTAGAATTATACCCTGGTATTTCTGTTTCTGAAGTAATTTATTCTGATGAAGCTAAAACTGCAGTTAAAGGGGTTGCTACAAAGGATATGGGTATTTCAAAACTGGGTAAACCCAAGCCCTCTTTTGAAAGAGGAATGGAATTCCATGCTAGAATTACTGTATTTGCAGAGGGTTGTCATGGCTCACTTACCAAGGAATTGATAAATGAATACAATCTTAGAGAAGGTAAACTGCCTCAATCGTATGGGTTAGGAATCAAAGAAATATGGGAAGTAAGTCCTGAGAAATTCGATAAAGGTTATGTTGGTCACACTGTAGGATACCCATTGAATTATAAGGACTATGGCGGGGGTTTCCAGTACCATTTTGGTGAAGGTTTGGTGGCTGTGGGGTTTGTCCTTGCTCTTGATTACGCTAACCCTTACCTTTCTCCATATCAAGAATTCCAGAAAATGAAATTGCACCCATTTTATAAGAATGTCTTAGAAGGTGGTAAGTGTATTTCATATGCTGCCAGAGCCTTGAATGAAGGTGGATATCAAGCTATTCCTAAGTTATATTTCCCTGGTGGTGTTCTTGTAGGATGTACAGCTGGGTTCTTAAACGTGGCTAAAATAAAAGGAACTCATCTTGCTATCAAAACAGGTATACTTGCAGCTGAGTCCATTTTCAATGAAATTAGTGAGTTAGAAGTTCTTTCTGATCCTTCGGAATTAGAAGATGTCGAACCTATAATCTTGAAGCTGTATGAAGAAGCTTTTGAAAAGAGTTGGGCTCGTGAAGAGTTATTCAGTGTACGGAACGTTAGACCGTCTTTCAACTCACCCATGGGATTGTTTGGAGGTTTAACTCACGCTGGTTTAAGTACTTTAATAACAAAAGGAGCTGAGCCATGGACTTTAGATTTCCATCATACTGATGCTGCTGCCACTCAAGATGCTTCCAAATTCACTCCAATTGAGTACCCTAAGGCTGATGGTAAAATTACTTTTGACTTATTAACCTCCGTTTCAAGAACTGGAACTTACCATGACGAAGATGAGCAATGTCATTTGAGAATTCCCGATCAAGATCACCGTAAACACGCTGAAAAGGCTTATCCCAAGTATAAAGGGGTTGAACAACGGTTTTGTCCAGCTGGGGTCTATGAATACATTGAGGATAAAAACGAACCTTTGGGGGTTAAATTCCAGATCAACAGTCAAAACTGCATTCACTGTAAGACATGTGACATCAAGGTTCCCACACAAGACATCGATTGGACTGTCCCTGAAGGTGGTGATGGTCCTAAGTACTACATGAGTTGATAAGATACTTTGTGCGATTAATGTAGACAAAGCATAAGTAAGTTTTAAATTTATAGTATACACGAAATGAAGAAAGTAAGGCGCATCAAATTCAAACCTAGCACAAGATTTCCAAAAGGCAAAGCACTGGGCCTTCAATTGACATAAAATGTATAGCATAGTTTGAAGTGGTTGGAAGACACCTTATTTGTAATGTAAGTGATCCAAAAATTTGGCAACTTGACGGTCACAGATGTCTTTGAATTTTCACTATCTTAAAATTCAGTTCACAGTAGCAATAGTAATAGTAGACATTCCTTTTCATTTTTATAATATTAAATGGGTTTTCACTTTTATTTTGTAGTTCTTTTTTTATAATTTTGACGACGATTTGTACATGGCTCAATTGTACTAATCATTTTATTTTGGGGAAGTTGTTGGAGATTAGAAATCGATCACTTTTCTAATCAGAAGATAAAAGAAAGTTTGAAGGAAGTTGATAAATGATGGAATATATGTGCAGAAAAATGGATGGTGTTTGGTTCATAAATCAAATAATAACACAATGTAATAAGAATAGAAGGAGAAATTGTGAATATTCCAAACGTATTCACAATAGGTAGATGTTTCTGAGGTCACCAAACAAAGAAATTTTTTTTAAAGTCCATTATCATGATAATGAAACTGCAGCCTTTTTTTATATCAGTTAGCCAAAAAATTTATCAATATCAGATAAACTAGTATCTTCAGGCGCTCCAATTTCTTGAGTCAAAAATCCTGATCTAACGACATTTAACCATTTTTTGTTTGGTTGAGGAAGGGTTTTCCCTGAGCCTTCATTGGATTTATGACTAGAAATAGCCTCCAAAGCAGCAGCATGAAGAGCAGCAGCTGCAGCGACAGCAGAAGGATTATGGGCTGCTGGTTGTCTTGAAATACGAGGAGCTGCTGCAGCTGCAGTTAAGAATTTGGACTTCTTATTGCATGACAAATAAGACATTGATTTAGAACGCTTACCATTTTTGTGAATCAATTCAACAAATACATCTTGATCTTCGTCTTCATCATCTGCTCCAAAAACTTCGAAATCGTCATCTTCTTCATCCCGATCCCCGTTAGCTAACTCCAATTCATCATCCAGATTCAAAGACAACTTTTTGGTTTCACCATTCAATTCATTGAGAGATGCCGTTACTGGCAATGAGGAATAAGGAACAAACAAGTTAGTACGTTCCAAAGTTGAATCTAAAAGGGTATGTTTTGTTCCCAAATCGAACATTGTTTGTCTTCTTTGTTTTAATGTGTGATTTGGTGTTTTGGGAAGCTCAAACGAACTATCAGTAAGGCCTTTCGTCTTGAACTGAATTTGGGGATCGGCAGATAAAGAAGTCAAATCGGTGGAAGAAGAGGTCAATCCGGAACTTTTAATTAAAGCTGATTTGTTGGAAAGTTTTGACAGAGTGGGAGAACCTGAGGACAGAGACTCACACCGACTACTTTGTGAATGTGAGTTGTGACCATTCAATAAAATTTGATTGTGTGAATCAGATTGACTTGATAATGGTTGCAGCAGCAGTTGTTGCTTTTGCATAGCATTCTTCACATGAAGATGGAAATCCTCAGCCAACAAACCTCTGTACACATAAACCATTCTTTTTGGCGAAGCATCGGCCCATTCTCTGGATAAGGCATATTTCAAGTTAACATCACCCTTTTCCACTCTCTTAACATAGGCATTCAATTTTGCACTTACTAAATTGGAAGTTTTGGTTGATAAACTTGCCATTTCTGGATGCCGTTCAACCAAAATATCACAAATTTGTTTTACAGTCATTCCCTTGCCTTCTGGATCCTTTTCATACAAGATGAGGAAAATAGCATATAACACATCATCTTCTAATGACAAGTCACCTTTTTGTTCAGGCCTTGGTTTCTCACCTGTAACCGGAATTGTTGTTGAGAAGCCAGTTGCAATTGGCACCCGAGAAGGGTTCTTTGGCTTTTTTGGAACAATACCCGAGCTTGCGTTGATGGAAGGGTTTGGCTGAGGACTGGATCCCCTAGATGAAGACAGCGAGGATGACTTACGATCCCCATTCATCAAGGAATCTGGAGAAATCAGTCTTGAAGATGGAGAGTCCAAATTTTCAGGAGTACTTTGTTTTAATTGTTTCTTTACTCTTGGAGAAATAGGAATTGAATTACTTTCGTGTCTCTGCTTATTAGGGGAGTCCATAATTGCGTTTGATTGGTTTGAAATGGCATGACTTTCATCAAAAGAATGAGTACCATCATCATTACTAGAGATCAAATTAATGTCACCGGTAGCTAAATCATCCAAATTCCCAGATAACAGATGGAGATCGTTATCGTGAATGTTTAAATCTATGTCAACTTCAGCATCAGCATCAATATCAACATCAACATCATCAACATCGAAATCGATACCTTCAGCATCTGATTCAACTGGGAGCACGTGGAGATTATTTTCAATTTCGTTAATGGAATGCAAGGCTGAAACTGATGAGGAGTTAAGACTATTCTTAGAGCTCATCAATCCCATTGATGTAGCATCAAATGTTGGGGAAGAAGGTGAGCCCACTTTTGAAAGTTCTATAGGTCTTCTGTCAGCTAAAGCCATGATTAAGGAAGTACTGATAGTATAATACGAGAAGGAGGAAAAGGAGACGGAGGATTTTTGATAAACAATACACTAAGTGTCCTCTAACAGAACATAAATCCCAAATGAAAAAGTTCTAATGGATTGTAAGGGAAAATATGAGGAGTAACGGTCAAACTACTACCAATAACAAACTAATGTATTCGTAGCAAATCTGACAGGATAAACGAGGAACTGGGCAATCTCTATTGATAGTAACTTTAGATAAAAGTTAACCAGACTACTTTGACAGTATTTTTCTTTTTTTTCTTTGAGCAGTAGGGATGCCACTTTTTGAAGAAAGCTAAAGGAGTAATTGGTTAATCATCAACAAAATTCTTAAGATGGATATTAATAAGTCAATAGTAAGCTAAGATCTCATTCAGGTTTAGACATACGATATATCAAAAATGTGTGTTATAAAAGGATGTTCAGCTAGTGCGCTTGTGTTCTACTAGAACTGGAGTGGCAGCCAAAAAAAAAAAGTTCTTTACTTGCTCTGCTGCTGATCAACTACCAAAAGCACTATGAAATGCGTCTAGGATACGGGGGGGCACACTGCAAACAATAGGCGGAAGAATAAAAGGGAGGGTAAAGAGTGAGAGAAGAGAAAGAAGAAGAGAAAGAAGAAGAAGGAGCTTGATTATCTTTTATCATGTATATTGAAAAGTATATCCAGTCCACTTTTCCTGTGTAACTTTTAAAGTACATTAGTATTTATTATTGTACCCTTTTGTAATTAGGGCTACCACATGTTAAAAATTTTCATTAGGGGAAAATGCATTTCTCTTCCATTATTGCAGGAAGCGCTACCAATATTGCACTGCATACATCAGCTTACTTTTGTGGCTTGATGAGGGGTTGTATATATAAACGTATTTTCTTTTATTAGTTGGTAAAAGAAATTTCATCTTCTATAGCGGTAGCACTATGTAATATTATGTATGCTGGTTACGTTATTTGAAGTCAGGTCAGGTTAGCGATTTATTTTATTTTACTTGGCTGACTCTTGGTGATTTTTATTTTTTGCCATATTTCCATCCAGTTAAACAATTCGTATTAAACTCGTCAAGTTAACAGTCACGTCATTTTGTCCTAAGTACAGCATGGCGTATAGAAGGTAAATCGGTATTTAGAACAACTACCATCAAAAATACCTTAAGGTAAACTATTTTCAACCTTCCTCATGAAGTCACTTTTATCACCGCAGGTGGGGGATGATTTTCTCTATATTTAAGCGGGGTTACTTTTAAGTGCATATTTAACTGGTGAGCGTTATTCTTTTTGACGAGCCACTATATATTTTCTACTCTTCCAATTGACGTAACTCAGGTAACGAAAGTGAATTGGCATTTATGATAGTTGGTTCTTGTAAATGACCCAAACTAATGGTAGCAGCGATCGTATCTGTTCAATTGATAAAAAGAAGTTCACACCTTTTTGTTCCTCGCATCTGGGGGTGCACATTGGAGTAGTGAGATAGAATTATCAATTTTCTCCACTTGCTGTGACATATGCCGTATGGAAATGTTCAAGGATAATTGTGTACCCCAAAATTGTGTAAACTACAATCCTAGTCCAATTCATAGCATAATCTTATCAATCACCAATTATTACAATAGCAAAAGGCAATGAGGGTGATTGATATACTCAATAAATGTAAGGGCCACTATAATTGGCTGGAAGATGATCGTGTAACACAAAGCCTACTCAAATAACCCAATCAAAAAAAGAAAAATATCAAAAATAGCACCAAAGAGGCTTTTAGGGGTTATCAGCACATAGTGGAGTTTCCCTCTATTTTTCTAACCCTACTGCGTGAAGTGGCATTACTTTGGTAGACTCTATTTCATTTCCCCTTAAATCAAGACCCTTCAAATTTAGTTCACTATGTCTACAAAGTAAAGGGAGTCTTGTGAATTAGATAAACCGTTTGCCTTATCCCTAAACCTAAGCATTATCTCTTATACTATCAGCAGGCATTCACAAACCTTTGTAACCTGGGTAGTTATCGTTATCACTATCGTTACCATAAAGGAAAAAATGCCTATTGTTGCTACTATCTTAACTTAGCCGGTACCGGACCGCCTTCAGGCTGAAAGTTTCGTGCAAACATCAATATGTTCTTGATAGGGGCGGCTGCAAAAGATTTAGTTGATAAATTCAACATAGCCATCCACCGTGAGTTGTCACGTGATGTATTTTAATTACGTGATCAACTTAGGGTTTTACCCTCAAGAAAACAAGATCTTTAGGACAATGTTATCGATACTCCGTATAAGACATTGTAACTGAACACGGAATTGATATAGCGTAAGATTCAATATTTTCAAGAGCAGCAATGAATCTCAATTGCTAGTTGCTGTACCGGTAGCAACAACGTAAGTACTACTACTTTGGGGTCTATGCTGGCTACAGGTTACACATAGCAGCTCTTAAAAGTGCTGATAGTCTTTTGTAGTAAATACTTTTGAATAAGGCGATGAAGCGGTTTTTGACTTGTTTAGAATTAACGACATATGGTAATTTTCCATTCCAAGTTATAATTGATATTCACAAAAGGTCAAGGCTCCATCTGACAGAGGTCGTCTTTTAATGTTCAAATGGATTGCAAGTGGTTTTATTGTTTTTCCTCTCTTATCTTTATCTTTAATACGGCCTACCTAATTAGGAGGTTTGATCATCGAGAATACATGTGATAAGCGGTCTGTGAGTTACCTTATTGTTGTATCTAGTGCATTCATTTTTATGACCATTTCATTCATTGATGCTGGTGTTGTGCACAATAAATAAATCGTACTAAAAGTTGTGCGGTCTTTGGTGGTGTCCGCATTATACATAGCTCCGAGTCCATTGCATTGATACGAATAAAATACAATAATAATCAACATGATTCACGTGGTGATCCGTCTACTTTCCTACATTTATGTTTATATGACTTTGAGTAGAACTTTGTTGTTTCCTTTAAGCCAGATGCTCCAATGACTATTTCAATTTACGTAATCACTATAAGAAGATTGGTTGCTATTGTGTAAATTTACTCAATGAAGCTATCCTTTTGTCAGTCTGGAACTCTATCACATGATCTAACACTGTCTTCAAAAGGGAATCACGTTGCTTGGTCTGGCCAAGTTAACAATCTGACGATTCGATTACATTCTTAGTTCTACGAAACATACATCAATAATACATCTAACATAGTTGTTTTTGTCTGCATTTTTAAAAATAGTATCAGACATGACATTTTTCAAAACACCGTTGACACAAAAATAAGCATTTTGTAAATCCCAGACAATTTTGAATGTGGAGAACAATCGAACAATTCAGCACAGCCTACATGAAGGACTTCAGATTCGACTTTTCCTAAAACAAGTGTGATATTACGATTTGATGCTGTCATAAACAATTTAATACCCATTCGGCAGGTAGGGGGAACTTCGTCAAAATTAAAGTGATGATGTCACGTGCAATGTTTTCGCTTATACTGTAAACGTCAACAAATGTGTAAAATGAGGAGTAGGATACTTCGTATTAATTTCTTTTCTTTACCAGTGAAAGTTCATGAACTATTCAAATCATACGAATAGGTAGTATACGATCACCATTACATAATTTTGAATTCCAAACGTTAGAACTGGAGTGTAGCGTACAGGAGGCGTTCAAGATTTCATGGTAAATTTCAGTAACTTGAGGTGAACTCATCGCAAAGTATAGCAACCTCAATTTAGACGTAAGAAAACTGAGTTTAATTCCGATTGGCTAGGTATTAAAGAACTATGTAGACATTAATTGAAGTTTCAAAAGAGTAAAGATCTAGATCAGGTTTGTCACAGCTTTTACTGCATATTTTTTGTGCTGCAAGTTGCAACATAACAGTACCTATGCTTCTTTAAGGGGAACTTGAAACTACAACTTTAAGGGATTTTAATTGGTTTGAAATCGTTGAATAGGTGTCATTTATTTTTGCATTAAAGTCATTTTGTCGCTTAATTGTGTCTTACTCGACAGGCAGATCGTCTGTTCTCTAGTAACTTAAAATTCTGACGTCAAATGTGTAACCTTTCTACGAGATATACTTAATTTTATTGTGCCTTGTGTTGGCCACAGTTAAACTGAGCAATTATTGCAAACTATTTAGTTATAAGTTGAGAGCCTTTATGTTTCTCAATCTTTCAATACCTCAAAGGTCAGTTAATGAGATGTACAGAACAGGTATAGCCCTCTCACATAAGGCATACAGCTGCCTCTGAAAATTAACCACAAAATCCTGAAATGGACAAGTTACTGCCTGTTATAAATTTGGGAATTTTCGAGATTAAGTGAAACCAGTACGACTTTTGATCGTTACAACACATTGAGTAATTATTCTGGCACTAGATAATGAAAATCGTTTACACAAGGAAAGAGTTTTTGATCTAACTCTAAAACCTTTAAGGATTTGAAATAATTGAAAAGAAATCAATTAATTACATTTCAACCACTCGGTTAGTGATCTTCTATCACTAGAAGGTACATTTGTTCTGAATTTATCGCTTGGTCTCAAGGGGTACAAATAGGTAGTAGAATTAATGTACCACCACAATCACCGCAAATGCTGCATTTGAGCGGAACTAGTAGCGTGTTTTCTATTGGAAATAGCATGTAGAATAACGGCCATACTCCTTGCTCCTTGCATCGTCGCTTGGATAAACCTCTTAGTCGGACAGAATGAAAATGTGAGTCGGATTGCGAAGTGTCTGATATCAGACAACGTTCTCGAGAGACAAAATAATACTACGATTGCGCAGACTAAGAAGAAATATTGCTTAATTGAATCAGACATTAGCAGGGTTCGAGGTAAGCAAGCACAGTGCGTTCCCAATAAGATTTCTGACTAGGGGAAGGCTGATGGATGCCACAGAATTTAAGGACTATAAGTTTTATATGCTCGTTTACTACCGTTGTTAAGTTGAGTGAAACTGGACGTAGCCGAAAAAGTGGTGTTGTGGTGACGTGTAAGTTTATGCCTATAGGTTCCACAAATAGTATCAAGACCAGGATCACAGGAATCGCCTTATTACGAATTGAAAGTAACTGCATATTATTTTTCTTTGTAATGAGGCACCATCTAAAAATGTAATATAATGAACATTTTTATTTCACTTACCCGAAAACGTTATTGTTGTGCTTCTGTGATTATAATACTTCAAATCCTACGACTTCCGCAAACAAAAGAATAGGCTTATGAAACTTGAAGTCTAACCAATATCCCAAATAAGTTAAATATTTCTATATCAAACTCTCAAAGCCCGCTTTTGTACGGCCCCAGTCTTCTACATAATAGCCATCTTTGTAACAATTGTTCATATCTTCCAAGTTATTAGGTGGTACCATCCAATAATTGATAGCTATGTGGACGTTTTCGAGTGGCGCATTGGCTCCACTTGTACCAAATGAGCTGACTTCGTGGAACCAACCACAGGGCAAGTACAACGCCTCACCGGGTTTCAATTCCACTACCATCTTATTTATCTTTAGGACTTCTGGGAAGTACTTTTCAGCAAAGCGTGTTAAACGTTGTTTATATTCTTCATTCAGGATCTCGTCCAAATGTAAAAGACATGGTGGAATAGTCGAGAAACTAGGTGGATCTAATTTCAAACCTTTGACTACTGTCTTGGACTTTCTGGCAACTTTAGATGCTTCCAAACTTTGTTCCAATGTCTTTCTAGTCTCGCTGGATAATGTATCATCAGTCTCCAATTTCCATTGAATTACATCTGTAACCAATGCTCCGTCATCTCTAACATGTGACCAATCTGGAGCATGTTCATCTTCGTCGTAGTCAATGATTCCATTTTCAAAGATTTGGAAAATAGTACCTACAGTGTGCAATTTTTCAGCATCCAATGGAGAAATCAAAGTAAATCTCTTCCTACCTTGTGCCAATATGTATAAATTATCCGCATGATCATGGTGTAATCCAGATGAAGTTCCCCCAGAAGGTATATACCGACCAAGGCCTAAATTCTTTTTAGTTTCATCGAGTGCTGGAAGCTCTTCCTTCAGGTCAACGATAGGATCGGTGGCTCCCATCCACAAATTTACTTGTTGGGGTACTAATGTTTTGAAAACTTCCGGTAGAATTGGAATCTTGCCATATAAGTTAGTTAATGGGGGCTGCAATAGTTCTTTCAAACGATATCTCAACTCCTCTTCGGTCATTTCACTGTCTGTTTCTGAGCTAAACCCACTATTATCAGAATCAGCATGTTCATTATCTACTGCTTCCTCTTTCGCTTCCTCGTCATCAAAATCATCATGAAGATCATTCATGTCCAAAGAGGCCATTGAGGAAGTATCTGAAAAGACAGTTCCAAACCCGCCATCTTCATCATTCGAGCCCTCCTCTTCCTTAGATTCACCTTCATTTTCACTATCGAAATCGGGATCATCAAAGTCATATTGTGTAGTCAAATAATATGACCGATCTCCTTTTTCAAACTCCTTTAAGATGCGTTCCATCAGGAGCTTTTCTCGAGTATGTCCACCACCAAACCCATAATTGTGTTTACGTTCAACCTGAAGGTCCAGATCATATTGCAAGAAATCTTTAATGTTCTTTGCTGTAAAGTTGGATAACTCGAGGGTGTCCTGCTTTGTGAACTTGATTGGTTTCCGTATCTTGATATATTCATTCCAGAACACTTTAGCACTGGGGATGTCTTGCAACACTGTTATCTCATCTCCTTCTTTAATTGAGTAGCCTTTATAATTATTTATAAGCTTCTGCTTCTTTGTTATGCTCATAGCAGTAGACGTAACCTATTTGAGCGGCAAATGTCCAATAGCCACGTAGACGTATTAATCAAATGCAAGTCGAAACAAATGCTTTGTCAGTGTGAAAGCCCTTTGCAATCTCATTTGGAGAGTGTCACGAGATTTTTCACTAAGATTTCGCTAACATTATGTCACTAAGTAAAATGAAATATTTACTAATAACGGCTTCAAAGGACTAAGCACTTTTACAATCGAATACCTTTTCGTCTAAATTCGTTTCGTTATAGTAATATACACAGTGATATATATATGCACAGTGGAGCATTGCAGCAGTTGAAATTGCTTATACTCTTGATTCTTGTTACCAAACTTAAAGAAAGTTGGAAAGTTGGGGTTGAGATTTACATCTCTTCATGTCACCACCAACGCTGTATTGGCAGCGTTGTTGTTGGCTGGTTCCAGAGATCACTCTGGCCGCCATTTTGTCGCAATCCATTTCTTCCCCTTCAGGTATAGAAGCAGTGAATAATGAGTTGGAGCTTTCATTGTGTTGAAATTCAAAAAGTGACTCAGCCTTACCAGATATGATTCTATTTCCTGTTCCAATGGCAGAAATTACCTCCGCTGTTGTAATTGCTGGATTAATAGTGACAGACTTGCTAAAAACTCCAGTTGAAGAAGAGTTTGCAATTGCAACCGCATCTTCAAAAGTTCTCTTTCTAGCTCTGACCTCAGTTGCACTAGCTTGACGTGCAGTAGGTTGTTGCTGATGTTGAATAGACAAAAATGGACCTGGTTCCTTGTCCTTTGGACTAATGTTAGATGACACAGGAGTAGGAGGTGAACAATAATGATTACCGTTACACTTGGGTGTATTTGGTGTAACGGGTTCCATTGTGGATATTCTCCGAACTCTTGGCTTCGAGCCATTAACAGCCTTACTACCTACCCCAAGCTGTGAATTAGCTGGGTTCATGAAGGAGACATTAGTGCCACTTTTTATAGATGCGTACAACCTTCTGTTCATGTTAGCAAAATCAATCACAGCTCTCATTAATCTAACATACTTCCCTTCCTCGCTAAAATACTTAGTTCTGATTGAGTTTGGTGGACTTTTCAAAATTTTGACCAAATTTGAGTATAATTGGTTAAAAGATGAGAAAGATAAGACTTCTTTGTGATCAATGGAGTAATTGGAAGCTGGTGAGTCAGTAGGACTAGAGACAGTAAAGCCACGTGTTTCCATAAGAGATCTGATGGCAGATGTTGGCAGGGTCACATTCTTGGGAGAGGCTAAAGGTGATGGCATTTCACACATTCCATTTTCAGTATAAACGGTAACTGATTCAATGTTGTTTACCACGTAAAGAGGACGATCACAGTCATCTTCTTGCTTTGAAATGCGAACAACATCATTGAAGAACTTCAAGTAGCTGTTGATGTTGATAGGAATTTCCAAAATTAACATACTGGTAATTACCGCACAGATTGCAATTTGAATTGTTGTGAAGCTGAAATATATGTTAGGATAGAATTGCATCAACTCGCAAACAAATAAGGATAAAATCTTGACATCACTCACTAATAGCCTGTTGAAAGCTTCAAACTTTGATGAAGTTTCAGACGACATGTTCAAACTAGCATTCTTAGAACCGGCTAAGAGCAAGTTTAAGAACAAGTCAATATATGTGTCATATGTAGGGGCATTGATAGACCAATTTAAGGAAATCAATAAATGATTCTCCATTTCTAAGAATAACTTTTTATCATATGATTTGCAGCACATTCTGCGTAAATCTTCTAAATTTGGTACCTTGAACTTAGAATCCAAGTTTTTGCAAGCGACCCATAAACATGTCAAACCTAATAGTTGAAAATGATGCTTCTTAACAATTCTTGTGGAGCAATATCTATCGATTAAGTTGACAGCAAGAGGAAAAGTGGCTTTAGACATCTTGGACTTGTTTATAACTTCCAAAAGAAAGTCTAACAATAATGGACGCATATTCAAATTTATCTGTGGTTGCTGTTGGATCAATCGAAGGTTAGGCAAAGATTTTGTTTCTTGATCTAACAAATGAGAAAGAACATCTAATTGATACTCTGAAACAGAACCACTATGAGCTTTGAACTCCATTTGTTGTAAGTTGATGTTAACAGCCTTTAGTTGGGCCATGTATATTCTAATCTGATGGAATCTATCTGGAGAAAGCATTTTGGAAGTATAAGGGTATCTTATTTACGATTCACAAATGATAGTATAATTTGGTGGTGATTGATTTAACCTCAGGAGAAACCAATTGCTGTTGAAAAATGATTCAAATTTTGGAGGAGTTCTTTAAGTATCAAGGAGTAGTAGAAGAAATTGATACTTATATTTTCGGATACCAGCTAAATTATGTATAAACAATTTTTTTCCGTATGTTAGATGTATAACAAATGTGAACGGAAAATGAATGTTTATGAATTTGTAGTAGTAATATGTATAGTTGATATAGGTTTAGTTGTGACCCATAGAAGATAGTTAACCAGAGGTGTAAAGGATTTGGAAGAAAGAAAGGAAGAACGGTTTATTCTAATGAAAAGACGAAAATAAAATAACCCGTAATACAAAAAAATACCCTAAATAAAAGAAAAATAGCCCAGTTCAAACGAAGAAAATAGAAATGAAGTTCTCTTTGAGAATGCAAAACGACAACTGCGTATAATAATGAGATAAAGGTTAATAAATCAAATGACGAGTCTAGTTCGATAATATGATTACCAACACTTTGTGATGTTTAAACACTGAAAAGAATTGCAGTATTTGGACCAGAATTGTGATGAGAAAACTGGACAATAGTAGAAAGCAAATATGAGGGACGAAATGTTTATAACAACACAGCCGCCAAATTGCAGAATAGATAAATGGATCCTTTTGAAATAAAGCTTAGCTTATAACCCCAACTCCTAAATAGTAAACCCACCTAAAGAGCGATCGGAGTACGGATAAAGAGAAAGATCTAAATCTTTTCTTAAGCTTGCACTTCTAAGTAGTGGGATCCTTCTGATTATATATCCAAATTCGAAGATCTGGCTATATTTCATTTTTTTTTTTTTTTTAGTTGTATGGTTGTATGGTTGTTGCAGCAATTGTTCTGGCAAAGCCCCTGTTATTTTTGTCAGAAGGCCCGCATTTGTAACTGTCTGGTGAAGTGAATAGCACACAGGTTTAAATCTGCACCGACAAATCCGTATTATCAGGAATAATGCACCCGGGATTTTCTTGCCAGACAGACAAAACAAAAAGTACTTCGGAAAAGTAGCTATCAACACCAGACATGTGGTTGTCGAAAATATGGCCGCCAGTGAATAGGCGTAGCTTTTGGTATTCTTCTCATATTTACCAGAGGTGGTATGCGTGCAGGTTAGTTTTGTGAGAATCCAGATTGCTGTTATTTTCATGGAGCACTGCAAAAGGAGGTGATCAATGTGTACCATCCTTCATTACCACCTCTTAAAGAAGTTAATATAGCCATGGTTATTCTCTGGAAACGAAAATATGAATATACCAAGTATTACAGAATATTTTTAACAGAAACTACAAGTCTGATTGTCTAGTAAGATCCGTATATTACCTATTAACTACTAACCAACCAGTACGAGGTGCCAAATGTGGTAAAGAAATTGCAATGACCTCACAATGCCATCCGATGAGCTCACTATATTATGTAGGAACCCAAGTCATAAACTAAACAAAAGGTGGGGTTTGTGTAGGTTTTGTGTTTATCATTCAATCTCTTAGTTTATCTTTTAACATGCTTTTTCTGTGGTAAACAACCCAAAGCTTTGACTAAGTGACCAAGCGAAAGTTGACTCCGGTAAGGTACGGTTAGGCCTAACAGTGTAATGAACCGCCCTATATCCCAACGTTGTGTCAAATATCAGTTACAACTTCCTGGTTGGTGGCACAGTGCAGATGCTGCCAATGTCACCGTCAATCATTCGGTTGCTGGGCAGCTTTAACGCTTGTTTCCCAAGAAATATTGGTGTTGACCCACCGTGGGGATATCTTTCGTCAGGGAGATTTTCGATGAAGGGGTTACTGTTTTGTGTTCATCTTTTGACAAAAAGAGTTACTGGCAGGAGTGAAAAATGTACTCCCAACTGATAAGCCTCAGGTAGGAAACACAAATACATACGGTCTGGCTCTTTTTAATAATGTTCATAGTTGTCTTGTTCAGCACATCGCAACTTAAAAATGCGGGAAGATTACCACCACAGATTGATTTCATACGCCTTTCGGATTATCTTTAGTAGTAGTTTTTTTAATTAAATCACATTGTAGGTTCCTGTTGTTTAGCTTCCAATGTAGGCATGAATCAAAATCATGATCAATCATTACTACAACACCATCGATTGTGTAGGTGTAGGTGAAGCTTACTTTTTGCAAGCAAATAGATTTTCTTTTGTAAGCGTTGATGTAGCCCAACTAACGTAGGCGTCCAAAGTTTGGTGTGGGCCTATTTTCACCGAAAGGCTTTTTGTGAATTCTATGAACCTTACCATTACTGCATTTGTTCTGGTTTTCGTCGCTAGCGTTACAAGTTTCCGAAAAAGATAAAGACAAGAGTAATTTGTCGTTCAACTGAAACAAAACGCAGCAATAAAATTGAAATGTATGTGAGCCTTAATTACTTGTGGTGCTATTATAGAGAGTAACAGACAGACACATTTCTCTGGATGGCGCCACCTGCATATTTCTACGAGCTAATCAATGTCTGAAAACTGTTGAGGACATTTTCTTTAAATTGTAGAACGCGCGCCATACACGCCATGCGCTCCTAGACGAAAACGTACATGTTGGAGGAAATACTCGAATAGTAACATTAGCGATCCCACCACATCAAGCGCTGCATTAACAAAATATGTATAGATGGGCCTAGGGTTTATTCCATGGGTTTTGAATTCAAGGCGTTGACGAATTCTATAATATAGTTGGAGCGGTTACAATCTCAAACCCTTGTGTTGACTCTGAATGAATTGTAGAGAACAATCTCAGAGGGGCTTGAAAGTATATCTAGAATGAGGCCATTTGTAGTAGTATGCTACAACTCCTATGTTTGCGCAGTTGAATAATTACCGACAAATTATTTTCGCTATTCCAGCACTAATATTCCATACTACGAAAATTATGCATTTGCAACATCTAGTTACCGTACTTGGGACACTTGTACTACTTCGACTTTGGCGGCTTTCTTCCTTTAACTTAAGTATGTATTCATTATTATTCTACGAAATATCCATGTTGATGAGTTGTGGTATCGTTACCACTTGCTTTTGAGTTCTTAATCTTCTTCATAATTGGTACACGTACTTTTAGCACGAAACTCTTACGACTATCAAATTTAACACTGTAACTCCAATGAGCCGGATTGGGTAATAAAACGCTTTTTGTTGTAATAGGTATTGGATACCCTTTCACTCTCTATTGTTTTCTGATGTACTGACCTCATAAAATAAAAACCGAAACTTAACATAGAATCGATAGACGCACCCAAGAACGGATTCGGAAGAACTTTTGTGCTAACATGAAATGGCACATCTGAAATAGGAGACCACCCGGCCATTGGGATTTCTGTGTGTAGATTAAAACTTATACAAACTTTTATATCGCAAAATTGATCCAGCCGAGGTAATCAGTGCCGTCCCCCACTCAACCTCAACTTGCTCTCGACAACTTTTTATTACAACCACTTAACGTTATTTTTCAGTGGTTGTTTGCTCCAAACGAGGGGAACTGAACCTATATTGTTGTTCAGTTCAATATTCAGCACAAGTTGTAATCCTGAGAGATATTACCTGCATTTTTGAACCAAGTGTTAATTGTTCAATTGAATCTAATAATAGTGATTAAGTTTATTATTGGCTCCTGTTATGTCTACATTGTAAGTCTTTTGTGTATAACGTCTTATGCGGTCGCAATAACTTTGCACTATGGGTGTAGAGTAGAGTATTACCTCACCTGCTTAGTTACGGTCGAATCAAAGTTTTTGTCGGACGAAATATTACTCCACAATAAAGCCCACACCTTTATTCTCCCAGGGAGCAAGTACAAAACCAATTAATACCATGTTACTCTTTTAACAACCACTAGTCTCTTATCAACAGATGCGATTATGGTTTCATGATTAGTTACTGAATCACAAGCAGTTGAAATTCATTTTTTTTTTCACTGTTTTCGGTCTGGGCAAAGAAGTATGAGGTGAAAGTAAAACTATGCTGCTGCATTACAAACACCAAATTGGCGTACGGCCTATCCGGAGGTCATATCTGCTCAAGTATAGTTTTATCTACGTAATTCCTGATCTCAATTGCGTCCTTTACCAGCAATTTGAACCTGGGAATGCCCCTATTACCTTTCCAATCAGCCAAATTTTTTTGAATACAACAAATAGATCTCACTGCACATAATTTTTTCGAGGTGCTGATGGATACTTGCATTATTATTCAGTCTTGTTTCGACTCTGATACCCTTTAGAAATTGTTTGAATAACAAAAATGGGGCATACTGACACGTTAAAACGAACCCCTGGTCTGTGCTAACTGAGTCTAGAAGTATGATTCTTGAGCCTTCTTGAGAGCGTACCATTCAATGTGCCACCTAATGAAGACTCTATGTATCTGTAAGCGCATTTCGCGCAGAGCCTCTTCTCCCCTTCGCATTTTCTTTTTGGACAAAAATGTTCCCAAAAGTTCGTCCAATAGTTACTATGCAAGATGCATCTCGTTCTTAGCGACTGTTGATTAGGTTTCGATTTTCAGACAAGATTTCTCCCTCACAATAGTAAAGCCTTGGTCTATAGGAGGAATGAAAACGAACACGACAGAGTTGTACAAAACTACTTTAGATTTTATTTCTCCTTATTCTTTACAAAACAGGTTTGATTGTTCTTAAGGAACAGTAAACGTAAGAATATTTCATAGTAGGTTTACTTTTTAAAGTACAACAGATGATGCACCCGCATGATATTGTTAAAGCTTTTTTATTTGGGGAGGTAGCTCGTATCAATGTGCTTGGGCTTTTTTTGGAATCAAATTTATCTGTCATTTAGAACTAAAATTTTCGTTTGACTAGGGAAAAAATGATTGCTTGAATCCATTTAGTAGTATGTAATACTGCATTATAGCCGTTGATTCACCTACCTGTGTCTGAACTTTTGTATACAAATTATTAAAATTATACCTTTATATTAAAATACCTAATACTTCTCCCGTTGGCATTTTTTTGTGTACTTTCGTCATTACGTCCACTAAAAGAGGGATTAGTAGCTTATTGTAAAACCTCAGCGAACAAACACTTGCCTTTGAAAGTTATGGACTGCATCGTCTCCCTACAGCGACTGTTACCTCAATCACTGAGTACCGTCCATAGCCACACAATGCCCCGCAACTTCTTTAAGTTCAACATCATGGCTAATTCTGAAACTCAATTGGCATATGCTTTCTTGAATAGCTGTAAATTTACTTTTTAAAAACTTCTATGTATGGGTATAGCCAAATTGAGAAGCCCTTTGCAATTGCCCTAAATCTGAGACATCTTAATCTTCACAGTCTCGTAATCCATCGAGATGGCTCGTAATTGTCGGACTGTCTGAAAATTTGATCAAAGTCATTTTGTAAATTTTAGGTGCCAAATATTTTGTCGGATTACAATTTCGTTTTTTGTCTGCAACGCCAAACATGGAGGAAATTTTCTATTTCACGGGAATATGTACGCAATCCTAGGCAACAGAGAAGGGACAAAGCAGTCTTTAAATTTGATTGCATAACTCATAATTCCATGAAATTGCTCTCACAAATATAGGAGTGAAACAATTAGTAACAATGGCTAACTATCTACAAAATTTCTGGACGATAAGAAACAAATGTGTGTATTCGACCCGAGAACCCAATTTCTGAAAACCAGAACCAATTGATTCTGTGTTCTACCATGACTACATTGCATTCTCACTCACTGTTGTAAATTAGGAAGTCATTTTCATGGTCATCATAGCTCTACTCCTTTCTAAGAGATTATGATTAGGGCCGGAAAGTAGGTTTCAGTGGTCGTGCGATATGATCACTGCAATCTGTGTCTTATAATGTGAAAATTTTTGACTATTTTGGCTTTAAGTAAGGCAGCAAACAGTCCTAATTACTAAGTTCACAGGAGTGTTTACTCATTCTCATTCAACTTTGTTACTTTTCAATATTAAATAAATTGGGTATTGCAAGTATGGACGAATTATTGGCTAAACATAAGAAGGAGAACCGAGATCTCATCGCCACAACCACAGGCTTGAAGAAACAAGCTACCAAGAAGACAAGAAAAAGTGTTCTTCAGAAATGTGAAGAGATGGAGAAATCACTCTTAAAACGTCAACAGAAGGAAATAAGAGAACTAGAAAATCCTGACGAAAGCTCTGAAACGACTTCTGCTGCAATTGAAGAAGATGAAGAATTAACACCTGAAATGTTATTACAACAAATGGAAGCTACAACAATATCTCAGGTAACGCCTGAAGAAAAATCATCAGATCAACGTAAGCCAAAAAGAAACAGACAAAAAGAAAGATTAGCTAAGAGAAAGGAACAGTTAGAACAGATTAGAGAAGAGGCAATCAAAGAAGCAGAGGGCATGATAGATTACAGAGCTATTGAAATTGAAAGTATGGCCAAAATTTTGGCCATCAATAACTTAAAATTACATGAAATCAAACCTGATGGGCATTGCTTATTTGCCTCTATTCAGGATCAACTTCAATTGAGACATCAACTACTGACAACTGTTGATGAGTTAAGAAAAATGTCAGGAACCTATATTTTGGATAATAGAAATGACTTCATTCCATTTATGTTCAATGAGAAAACAAGTACATTAGATGATTTGGACGAGTATGTGGAACGATTAACGACAACCCCTATGTGGGGTTCTGACGTCGAGATACTAGCCATCGCTCGTATTTATGACTGTCCTATTTCGATATTTTCTGCTGGTTTGTCAACTATAAAGATGAACGAAGACGGGCAAAAGCCAGAGTTAAAACTAGGATATTATAAACACTCGTATGGTTTGGGTGAACATTACAACTCTTTGCGAGATATCAACGCCTAATTACGTTGGTAGGGTTATTTATTAGATTTGGATATTTGTATGTCTGGTACTAAAAGCAAAGGAACTACATTTGGGTAGCCATTCGCACTTGCAAGTTTCTCTACTTGAAACTCCCTTCGTGTGAGAAGTTGTACAGATCACCATGTTATGGTCCAATGGTTCCATAAGAAGAACATACGTTGGCAGCGTTAGGCTCGAGTAATCTATCATATTAGTAGAAACCGAAGAAGGAAAAAGTGGGTGGCTCACGAAAGGTCTCAATACGACACAAAAGGGGTATTGAACTGCTAGATCAGAGTGTGGCTCGTAAATATATTGCACAAACATATGTGATTGAACATATTTTTTGTTTTGTGTCTTGATTTAGATCGGACATTATTTGTTTGCGTATTAATAACCTGCATTTAATAAATGTCAGATTCTTTCTCATATGCATAACTGTATATAAGTGCAACTGAAAATAATTTTTTACGCAAGTGAAAATTTGATTCGAGGGGTAAAGTTTAAAGTTGGGAAGCATTAGGTGATTTACGCTTTCCACAATACTTTGATGAAGAGAATGCAGCTTTAAAGTTGACTGTTGACGACAACTTCATTATGAAAGAATGGCTCACATGTTAAGTGGGCAACAGTACTGCTGTGGAGACAAGCAAATATACAGATAACTTGTAGCCATCGCTTAAACCCCTCCCTTGTATTTAAAGTACCGGAAAATCGAAGTAAAGCAAGTCAGCAAAGTGATGTAGGTCTTGAGTATTCAAGTTACATTCAATTCATGTTCGGGAACAGTGTTCGTAATCCATGCAATGAACTTTAGTCTAAATGACTGCGTCAACATGAAAGGGGTAATATGTCAGTAAACTGATATGAGTTGTTCAGATATGACAAGAAGAATGTACCATTCATTAGATTATTTCATTCGGGCATAATAGCAGCTTACAAACCTGAGAAAAAAAGGTACTAATATTCAACTTTGGGCATTATTAGTATCAAAATCAAAAGCATTTACGAATATATGTTGCAGGATATATGTGTTGTAGTATGAGAATGAACACAGCAATATAGAAATGTGGAGAGATGCGTATGCACTACTGCTAATACGCTAGAAAATATCTGATTTCAACTCATGAACATTGCGATATTAGCCGCCTCTCTTAGATTGTACCTTATGTTGTAATTGACATCACCTTAATGGCATGTTTAAAACTGATCAAATCCCACCGAAGGGCATTGTCGGCAAAAAATCTATTGTTTAAAGGTTAATTTCTACTTTTGTTGGCTCCTTCTACAAGGAGTGAGAATAACAATATTCGCCCCACTGAGAACGGCATCATCTCCTTTCCCGAATATCTTCGCTTTGCCCTTCAACATATGAAACAATCTGATCGAATGCTGGCCATGTAAAGTATAATCAAGGTGCTCCTTCTAATTTATTCCCTTGGTTTTTCTTCTTTCACTTCCCAACATATACCACAGTTGGTTAGTATCCCTTCTCATGCCTTCTTGAAGGGCCTAAATGTTATAAGATCAACCACATCGATCACTTCTTTCTCGTTGCTGGTTATTCATTTACACCTGTCTAGAAGTCTTTATTTTTGTACAGAATAAGTGCTATTACCTTTTATTACTTAATCATGTGAGTTGATGACTATTTGCTTACGTAATTGGAATATGTTTTCTACAACTTTGCATTACTAAACCGCATTCCAGAATAAGGTCATCTCAACCGTCATCGTAGTTAACTATCACACTAGCAGTTCTTAAAGTCACTTAACTATGGGTTGGTTTTGGACAGACAAATCAGAAGCTCTTGATGCCGCATCCTTGAAGAATAGTGCATCTTTCTTTGGAAACACCAAAGAAACTCCTTCATCCTCCTCCTGTCCCGTGCGCTTGAGCTCAACCACTGCATGTCCTGTCGATCATGGCAAGAAACAAGTTACAGAATCTGCTACTTGTCCTGTAAACTATGGAAAAGGCATTTCTGCTGGGAACGCGGATGAGGACTTGAACCCTTTAAATAACATGCCTATGGCTATCTCCTCAGAAAAGGCACCTGGTCAAAGGATCGCATTGCCTACCGAAAGGACTATTTCTACTATCCCAAAGGGAGAGAGTAACGACATGGGTACATGGGAATACCCTTCCCCACAGCAGATGTTGAATGCAATGTTGAGAAAAGGTAAGGGGAATGGTATTGATGAAGAAGCAGTAGTTTCTATGGTTGAAGTTCACAACTTTTTAAATGAAGGAGCATGGCAACAAATTTTGGAATGGGAAGACAAGTATACTAAAGATACAAAAGTGGAGCCCAGATTGTTGAGATTCACAGGAAGACCCAATGATTTGTCTCCTAAAGCTTCAATGTATTACTATTTATCAAAGGTATTCCCTCAAACTTTCAGTTCGGACTTACCTTTTGACAGACATGATTGGACTGTTTTGCGGTCCTCGGGGAGAAATGGAGATTGGAAGCAGGTTCGTTATGTTATTGACTATTATAGTGCTCCAGATGATGAAGAAACAGGGATGCCTGCTTTCCTGTTGGTTACAAGACCTGCATTGGACTCTCCAACTGCTTGTTGGGACAGATTCTCACATTGGAGTTATCCCCTTTATAAGAGAGCAATGGGGGAGTTTGACGATTTGTAAATCTGTAGATTGATATACTTCGGATCCTTCTCTTTCTCTTCCTGTAAATAGGTATATTTATACGATTATTAGAAATGAATTTTACAAGAATTCCAACTGTAGAACCTATGTACAAGTAACAAATATTTACAGGATATGCTAAGTGGAAGTTATTTGAGCAACTAATACTTTTAATTCAGGGCTTAAAGTATAACCTTCAGTAGCCAATTTGTTCAACAACCTTGGCAACTCATTTCCAAGGACTTTAAGGTTGGACATCTCATTAATCATACGTTGGATTTTAACGGTTGAATTTCTCTTGACATAATAGTCCAACAAGAAATAGTATGTGTAAATGTTTGGCATATGATCCTTATTCAATTTACCAGCTTCCTTCATGTTGTTGAAATAGACAAGAGCAAGGTCGTCTTCATTCTTTCTTAACAACTCTCTAATAAGAGTGTTCCATGTCTTGGAAGAACCATAACCTGTTTTTAAGATCTCTTCAAAATAGTCCTCTCCCTTACGAATATTACCATTAGAAATTTCACCTCTCATTAAAATACCCAATGCTCTTGGAATAGATCTCATTTGTAACTTTCTAAGACCATGACGGTACACTCTGGAGGCACCTTCAATATCGCCCATATTGACCAAACCGTCGATTAATTGAGTGTAAACATAATCGTTGAACTTAGTTTGGAACTTATCTAACGAGGTGAAAAGCTCCTCCATATCAGGTATGAGACCTCTTTCCTTATGAGCCTTAAAGAAGATTTCCACAAGAATAGAGATGGTGGCCACATCATCTGGAACCTTGTTAGCAGCCATGAAACTGGCAATACCCTCAACAGCTTTGTAGTCTTCTGAATTGGCATAATGGTTCAAGAAGGAGTTCATTAAATAGGTACTAGGAACAAACATTTCATCTTCTTCTAAAAACTCTTTCAATTTATCTTCAGCTTCGACCACCCTTCCACTAGCGATGTAGCCTCTCAAAATACCATTCTTGGCATCATTAGTTGTAGGGATATCTTTGTACTCTTCTAGGGCCTCTTCCAACTTATCAAATTTACCAAAGGAAGCGAGCGAACTAATAATAGCCGATTTAGTGGCTGGGGAAAACGCAAGACCATGGGCTTTCATAGTTTTAATAGTAGATTCAAATGTTTCAAATAGGGAAGTAGCTTGTGCACTGGAAACCTTGGCTAAGTATTTAGGGTTACCCAATGTTCTAAGAATGTAATTCCAAGTTGATAACTTGGGACTTTTAAGACCATTATACACCAGATCTTGGAAAAGGGAGATAACATTCTCATACGCTTCCATATCATAATAAGCACCCATCAAAGCTTGTAATGTAGATTCTGAAATGGGTGTATTTTTAGACTTTGAAACTTCAAACAAATCTTTAGTCAAATCATTTAACTTCCGAGGGTTCTTCTCTCTGACACATTGAGAAATTCTCTTCGAAACAGCCTTCAGGTTGGGGTCCAAATTGTTCATATACAACTTGTCAGCCATCAAGGTCATCTTGTGCATATCTTTATCGTATTTTTCAAATAAGCCTGTCTTCTTTAAAGAGTTGACCACATGATAGTTCTCAATCTCACTCTTATTACCAAGGACTTTGTAAACTATTTCCATATCAATCTTGGTATCTTGAAGTATACATGATTGCACAATAGAGAAGTAAACCAAATTGATTAAATGAATTCTGCTTAAATCATTCCACATACCTCTACAATCAATAGTACGTTCGCCTATTTCCTTGGTCATTTGAAGATATTGCACCCAGTAATTCAAGACTTGTTTATAAACATTCAACATATCATCATTTGGGGCATCATTCAAGGTTTTGATAATTATCTTGGAGAAATGACATCTGTGGACCACCTTGTGTTGAATCAAAAGGTTGAGCACATCTTCAAGGGACTTGTCACCTGTGGATACGTCTTCTTTTGTGATCTTGGTAAGCAAATCATTAATGATGGGTTGAAATCCAAAATATATATCGTCTTCTGGAATGTTCTCTGACAATTGGATTTCTCTCAAGTAAGATAACCCTTCGTCTAACATTTCAATACTTTCAGTTATGTCTGTTGTTGACTCGGAGACAGATTGTCGAATTTGGTTGGAAATATCTCTGACCTTTCTATGTCTTCTAGGACCTGTTTTATTAAAGGTCTTTAGCCCTTGTTCTTTTGCGAGCCCTTTAGCCTTCTGTGTAGTGGTAGGTTGAGTACCTGGAGCAGCTTGGGCATTGGTAGCCGTTGATTGGAACCGAACGCTCGAAGCAGTCGCCAACAGGGTGATCCCAGTGCAAATAACGGGAACTCGTGATATCCCCTTGCGCAATGAGGCTCTCAAGGGAATCATTTCGTTGCAGTTATAGCCAATTGGTTACCTCGTAGAGTTTGACAAATGTTAAAGATTGAAAAATTTTCGGCTGAAAATGAGTACAGGAAATCAGAACGAACCGAACGACCTTCAAATTGTCATCCCAAGCTAACTAGTTGATGATATACGAGGATCGAACATTCACTACTACAACTTCTACAATTGCTAACGATGTCAATCATTGGCATGCTACGACGGTAAGATTTTGTGCTTAGAGAGCATTTATTGTGGTACAATGACTAAATAAGATATAACATTATAAAACTAAACATGGATGTTAGCAATCTCTCAAAAAACAAGAGTTCGTTGTATATCCAAAAACCCTGAACTTGTGCATTGTCTTTGAAATCAGTTGTCTAAACAATCGTATCATAAACAGAACATCAAATGAGCTGGGTTATAAAAAATAGAGTCTTTCGTGACTCATTATCATCACCAAAGATCAATGCATAGAATCCAAGTAGTAATGGATATATTAAAAACAAGTGAATACACATACTATTAGCTGTTAGGCACATGACAACCGTCTAGAAACGCATCTCAGGAGCAGACATCCGCCTGCGGAAGTCTTGAACTCAATAAAGTTGAGAAGAGAAAGAAGAAAAGAAGAAGAATAGAAGTAGATTTGTTACAAAAAATTTTTGGGTCTTAAGATCCAAAGTTTTGGTTTGAGCACTACTTGTAGGTTTGGTCTCGCTCTTTAAGGAACTAGTCATGTTGATTACAATTCTACCAAAGGTCCATTTAGTTTGGCTTGCTTGGTGAGGCAATGGGGGCCAAGATGGATGAAGCAAAAGCCTCTTCTGAAAATGCTGCCGAGAATATTGAGCCGTCCGCATTACAATTTTTCAATTACCATGAGTTCCTTGTAAATGATTATGTTCCTTTACAGTTAAGTCTTATCAACAAAGGGGCTTCAATAGACGTTTGCCATTTCCCCAATAATTATGTACCAAAATATTCGAAAGCATTTGAGTCTACCAGAATTGTTCGAATACCTCGTGTGTTTGATACTGTGTTCCTTCCAGATTTGGTTCCTCAATTTTCAACCATGAGGCCCGGAAATGAACCGGCTGCTATTTCAAATGGTGACCCTGAATTTGTCTTTACGGGGAAGTATGAGGATAATTATTTTGGAATGACATCTGTGACGCCGTTGGTTGCTGGGTTGATCTCGGCAGATGAGCTTCATGAAGTGGTAACCAAGATTAACGATTTTCTTTATTCAGCATTCAATCCTTTTTCATTGCCATCTCTATTTGACGGTATTTTATTTGCACTAACTGGTGGACTAGTCGAGCACATATATTACCCTTATTCCAAGAGGAAATTGCTTCAGCTTGAACTGTTTGTAGAATCCGAGATCAATGGTAACCTTTGGAAACATAAGAATATCAAAATGATTTCTCCGAGACGTTCAGGGTATCTTTCGGTATGTATTTTGAGACGCCTTAATATAATCATAGTGAAAATCAGGATATGTGAACAGAATACTAACATTTGCAGCTTGATATTCAGATTCCTAAGCCAGAATATGTTAGGCAGTAAAGCTCATTTTGTATGCAGGTCAGATCTAAATCTGAGAATTGAAATTAAACCTTTAATAGTAGATTTCCGAGATGCCCCAGTCACTGTTTTCTAAATAATGATAAGGAAAGCCGCAAGAAGAACAATGGATGGAATATTTGCTGTTAATAAGCCTTCGGGGGTTTCCTCTAACAAGATGATTCTTGAATTACAGAACATATTTAGTAACTCCAAAGTATTTCAAGAGGACTTAAAAGAAGCCAAGCAAAAGTTGAGATCTGACTTGAGTAGAGACAAGAAATGGACTCCTAACAGAATTGACAAAAAGGTGAATCAATTAAAAGTAAAAATTGGTCATGGTGGTACTTTAGACCCATTGGCATCGGGAGTTTTAGTCATTGGTGTTGGAAAGGGCACCAAAAAGTTACAATACTATTTATCGGGGTGCAACAAATCATATGAAACGAAAGCATTGTTAGGAATTTCGACTACCACTGGTGATTCTGAAGGTGAAATTATAACGAAAAATCAAATTTCACATATTACTAAAGCTATGATTAAAGAAACAGGAGAAAAGTTCGTTGGTGCTTTAACTCAAACACCCCCAATATTCTCAGCGCTTAAAATGAATGGAAAGCCTTTGTATGACTATGCCAGAGAAGGTCTTCCTTTACCGAAGCCAATCAAGCCTAGAGAAGTGACCGTGGCTTCTATTGAAGTCCACGAACAAGATTCACTCCTGATAGACCATATTTTTAAGACACTTGAGAGTCAATTAGACGAAGATGGCAAACCCAAAGAACACGCGTTGGCTAATAACCCAACATTGAATGATTCCCCGTTGTATTTTTCTAAGGAATACTTAGAAAAAGCAGAAAGGGAAAGCTTACCAAAGTGTGTTGGTAAGCCCAGACCACTTAGTGACTCCGAGACTTTGCCAGAAGTTTTACCTATGTTTCATATGACTGCAGACGTCTCCTCTGGGACATATATAAGAAGTCTTGTTAGTGATTTTGGAAGGGCTTTGGAATCATCGGCATATATGGTGGAATTAATTCGGACAAAGCAATCTGAATGGGTCTTAGGAAAGAATGTTTTTGACATGAAAGACTTTACAGAACGTGACGAAAAGGTATGGGGTGGTGTTTTGAAAAAAGTACTTGATTATGGGGCTGATTTGAATCTTTCTGAGGTTTTTTCTGAGGTTTCTGAGAACCCAAAATTACAATTTGAACCTGCTGCAGATGACAAAGAAATCAAAGAAAATTCCATATTGCCTGAAAAAGAGGAAGAAGATGTCTCCGTGCCATTAGAGGAATTGTTGACAAGGAAACGCAACATTGAGGAAGTAGAAAAATAGATGCTAGGGCAAATTTGTACATAGCTTAGTTTGTATAATATTGAAGCCAATTAGAGTGCGCATACTAAAAGTAGTTAATCTAATTTTTCAAGATCACTAACCGTTTCATCATCTATCCAACCATCTTGGTATTTATCTTCAACGCTGAAGTCATAATGTGGTTGAGAAACTGCCAACGATATTTCAGTACAGCACGTTCTAATTACGTTCAATGTTTAGTTCGAAGTACGCTAAATACCAGCACTCCAAATCTTAGTCTCCCCACAGCATTTGCGGCCAAATCATTGGTTCTTGCCGCAACGCCTTCGGTGCTTCCTCACCTTTTCCCAATAATAGAGAATATCCACTCTCAAGGAATACAAGTTTTAGTTGCAGGTGTTGATACTATTCCCTTGAACAACCGTAATGGAGTTTCAGAGTTGTGGCTTAATGAAAAGTTGGAGATAAAAAGTCCTGAAGACGAAAGCAAGGATCATTCCCATTCCCATTCGGATTTGTCGTCGGTTCACAAGCTCAATAACTGGGAGAGTACCAAAGGTTCCTTAAGAATCAATATAAATGATAATTCCGTCGTCGATATGCAATTGGCAAATACGCTTTTTTCCACTGGTCACGATCATACATTATTTTATTTGGATAGCTCTCGTAGAGGCTCCGGTGAATTGACAGACCAATTAGAAGTAATATTACCTTTGGGATTGGTCAAAGAGGAAAAGGCAGCAGTCACTGACAGATGGACACCACTTTATGAAGGTCAAACATTTACAATTACTAATTGTGTTGGAAACTTGTTGAAACAAGTTGACGGGAAAGGTGCCTCATCTTATTTGGAGAAGAGCAAATTGCTCATGGACCTTGGTTCCAAAGATACTCAAGTTTATGTTAAGATTCACAGAAAAGCAGGTAACTACAAAACAATACTAAGATACGAGGTCATAGCGGGAGGAGGTGGCTGGGGAGCTAAAGCGGATATTATAGCACTCACACCTCACGCCACCATTTCTAAAGGTGATAAAATAGAGTTTTTTATGCTAACCCCCTCAGATAGATATAGCAGTGATAGCCAGTCACTGCGAAATAGCTTAGATAATAGCATAGTAATCGAGTGCAGCCAGGAGGAAGTTTCATACAACAACGGTGCAACTGGTGATGATGCCTCAACATTAAGCTATTTTGGATGTGGTAGCGAGAAAGGGTTTACATATAAAGGAGTGGGCCATGCCTCTTCAGGTGAAAAATTGGCATTCGCCTTGAATTAATGATATGATATAATCATCCAATTGTAAATAGTTAGTCCTTTATGGCCTTTATAAACTACATTAAGGGAGACTTATTCTCTCATTTGCCTCATACGAAGGATGCTGTATCAATCTTTGCCCATTCATGTAATTGTCAAGGAGCCTGGGGTGGTGGGATAGCTGCGGTCTTCAAACAAAAGTACCCTTTAGCATACAAAAGTTACCGTGACCATTGTCTTGCTTTGGAAGATAGCAGGGAGTTACTTGGAACTACATATTTGTGCCCCACCAGATCTCTGGAGCCAGGGAACAAGAATAGGGAAACGCCAATCTACATAGCATGTTTGTTCACAAGCAACTTTTCAGAATCACCTGAAGAAATAGTAGAGTACACTAGCAGGGCAATGAATGATCTTGACCAACAGATCAAGGAGCTTCAAGTACAATTTGAAATCACCACCACAGATTCTAAAGCCTTGGTCATCAATCTTCCCAAGATCAATTCTGGTATTTTCCGTGTACCATGGGAGGAAACAGAAGCTGTATTGAAGGCTATGAAAGACAACATACATTTTAATGTCTATGTTGTTTAATGACCATTATTTGATTATCCAAGTTACTCCTTTTGGTTGCCCCAATTATTTGATGGGCATTTGAAACTTTTGGCAGAGCACATGGTGATGTTTATTTTTTTTATGAACCAATTTTATTCTATTTGTAGGTATATAACATTCATTCACACCTCAGTAAATACCATTTTACACCTTTAAGTCATACTGATGAAGAGACGCCGATAAACGACGATTATGGACTTATTTAAGTTTGACGAAGAATCATTTGCACGCAGTTTCACTCGTGGCACAGAGCTTGAAGACGCTGATGAATTAGAAGATGGACAATTAGAGCCTAACACTCAAGATAAGAACGGGTATGCAGTCGAACTGTATTTAGGCATTAGCGCTAGTCCACAAACCTATAGGGAACATGGAAATGACATGTTGAGCCTTCCTCATTCTGTTGGTTCCCGTGTAAGGAGAAGATCTTCAGTATATCGCAGACTATCCATTCGATCAGCTGCGTCTATAACCACAAGTCAAAGTTTTTTAATTCCTGACAACTTTCATAGCACCCATGATGAGGTTGAAGAAGAAGAGACAGCTTTTGAAGGCGGTCGAAAGCTAGATGATTTCGAACCTATTAAGGTGCTTGGGCAAGGTGCTTATGGTAAAGTGCATTTAGTACAAGACAAGCGTAGTGGAAAACTCTTTGCTCAAAAGCAGTTAAGAAAGCCAATAATCAAATTGAGAGATCAAGCAGAAAAGGATCTGGCTCACTCCAAACAGGTAAGAAGAACTATTTCTGAACGGCAGATATTGACTGAACTTACTCATCATCCGAATATTGTTAAGCTTTTCTATGCCTTTCAAGATAACAACAAGTTCTACTTAATTTTAGAATATATCCCCGGAGGAGAGTTGTTCCATCATTTGGCTAGTCCACTTAACAAATTAGGGAATGTATTTCAAGAAGACCACGCTGCATTCTATGCTGCTGAAATGGCTCTAGGTTTACGCTATTTGCACACTTTAGGTATCGTTTACAGAGACTTGAAGCCAGAGAACTGTTTATTAAATAATGCGGGACATTTAGTTCTTACTGATTTTGGGTTATCCAAGTCAATTGGTAATAATGCAGAAGATGAACGTTGTTCTTCTGTTATCGGAACTCCTGAATATATGGCTCCTGAAGTTTTGAAAGGAGAAGAATATGACTTTGCCGTTGATTGGTGGTCTCTTGGGTGTGTGATATATGATATGATGGTGGGAAAACCTCCATTTACTGGGAGGTCCCATAAGATAATTACAGACAAAGTCCTTACAAGCAAGCTTAAATTGCCCTTTTATTTCACCAAAGATGCTAAGGATCTCTTGAATAAGCTTTTAAATAAGAACCCTTTAAAACGGTTTGACGTTGATGGGAAATGGGAAACTTTCCAAGGTCATCGATTCTTTCGAAAGATAAATTGGAAGAGTTTAGAAGCACAAAGCGAAGACACTGTACCTCCAATAGTTCCAGTTATTACTGACCCTAAACTTGCAGAGAACTTTGATGATGAATTCACCACTATGAAAATTAGTGATTACAATGACGACCAAGGAATTAATATCCCCATTTCGGCTGAAGGGAGGATGATCAACGATGACTCCGAGCCATTTATTGGTTTCAGTTATAATGCTAGTAATAGCTACATTGAGAAATACTACTGAAATGGTGAATTATAAACATAAACTTGAGCTTGGTTCAGTATTTCTTAGATCAGCTTTATATTTCCTGTATATAGTATATAGTCGTGTTCCAACGAAAAACTTCTCCTTTTGTGATTCTCATTTTTGATAACATGGCAACGAATATTTGAAGGCTAAGTCGTACTAGGTGTTGTCTTTTTCTGGTTAACACCTAATAACTTTAGACAGACAAACGGTTAGTTGTAGTGAGTCGAGAGATATCGAAAGCAACTGCTAAGTTTCAAAGATGGATGAGACATTGATTGCTACTATTAATAAATTGCAGGATGCATTGGCACCATTAGGAGGGGGATCCTCGTCTCCCGTTGATTTGCCCCAAATCACTGTGGTTGGTTCACAATCCAGTGGTAAATCTTCTGTTTTAGAAAACATTGTCGGTAGAGACTTCTTGCCTCGTGGTACTGGTATTGTTACTAGAAGACCTTTGGTGCTTCAGTTGGTTAATAGAAGGAACGAACCCCCAAGTGATTCAGCTAAATCAGGAAAGGATTTGTTAGATTTCGAAGGAAGTGGTGCCGGTAAGGATTCTGAAACTGGTCAAAAGTCTGAAGACAATGTTGAAGAATGGGGTGAGTTCTTGCATTTGCCTGGTAAAAAGTTTTTCAACTTCAATGAAATCAGAAATGAAATTGTTAGAGAAACCGATCTGAAAACAGGGAAGAATTTGGGTATATCTCCAGTTCCTATCAATTTGAGAATTTACTCTCCACATGTTTTGACTTTGACTTTAGTTGATTTACCTGGTTTGACTAAGGTCCCAGTTGGTGATCAACCTAAAGATATTGAGAGACAAATCAGAGATATGATTATGAAGTATATATCGAAACCAAACGCAATTATCTTGTCAGTGAATGCAGCCAATACTGATTTGGCAAATTCAGATGGTTTGAAGTTGGCAAGAGAAGTGGATCCTGAAGGTTCAAGAACAATTGGTGTGTTGACTAAAGTTGATTTGATGGACCAAGGTACTGATGTTATTGATATTTTAGCAGGTAGAGTCATTCCCTTGAGGTTTGGTTATGTTCCAGTTATTAATAGAGGTCAAAAGGATATTGAAAGCAGTAAGACCATTAGAGAAGCATTGAATACTGAAAGAGCATTCTTTGAAAATCATCCAGCTTATAGAGCAAAGGCACATTACTGTGGTACTCCATATTTGGCCAAGAAGTTAAATGGAATTTTGTTGCACCATATTAAGAGTACATTGCCTGATATAAAGATGAGAATTGAACATTCTTTGAAAAAGTACACCAATGAGTTAGCAATTTTAGGCCCAGAAATGGCAGAATCTCCTTCCAACATTGCCTTAAGTATGATCACTAACTTCAGCAAGGATTATACTGGAATTTTAGATGGTGAATCAAAAGAATTGAGTTCTCAAGAATTAAGTGGTGGAGCTCGTATTTCGTTTGTGTTCCATGAAATCTTCAAGAACGGTATTAATGCCTTAGATCCATTTGATCAGATCAAGGACACAGATATTCGTACTATTATGCACAATACTAGTGGTTCTGCTCCTTCTCTTTTTGTTGGAACTGAAGCATTTGAGGTTTTGGTTAAGCAACAAATTCAAAGAATGGAGGATCCATCAGTTCGTTGTATTAACTTAATTTTTGATGAATTGGTGAGAATTTTATCTCAAATTGTCAGTCAACCCAATTACACAAGATATCCCGCTTTGAAGGAGCAATTATCTCAATATTTTATTCAATTTTTAAGAGAAGCTTTGATTCCAACCAATACCTTTGTGTTGGATGTTATTAAGTCTGAAGAAACATATGTCAATACTGCACATCCAGATTTGTTGAAGGGTACACAAGCTATGGCGATTGTGGAGGAGAAATTCCATCCAAAGCCACAACCTGCTGTAGATCCCAAGACAGGTAAGCCATTGCCTCCAACTCAACAACCTCAATCCCCAACACCTCAGAATAAAGATGACAGCAACGGATTCTTTGGTGGTTTCTTTTCTAGTAAGAATAAGAAGAGATTACAACAAATGGAGGCTCCTCCACAAGTTTTGAGAGCTACTGGTACTATGACTGAGAGAGAGTCTATGGAAACTGAAGTGATCAAGTTGTTAATTTCATCATACTACAATATCGTGAAGAGAACGGTAAGTGATCTTGTGCCTAAGGCCATTATGTTGAAGTTGATTGTGAGATCGAAGGAAGAGATCCAAAAACATTTATTGGAGAAGTTATATGCTTCACCTACTTTGGCTGAGTTGGTAAAGGAAAACGAATTGACGGTACAGAAGAGAAAGGAATGTATTAAGATGGTGGAGGTATTAAGAAATGCCAGTGAAATTGTTTCCAGTGTTTAAGCAAGGCTTAATGAATATTCCTCTAGATGTTTCATTTGATTGATAATATAATAACTCATAGATATCTTACATGGATTATGTAATTTGTCCATCCATATATAGATAAAGATATACATTTTTGTATCATTTCAGTAATATAGGAGAGTCTTTGTGTACTTGGGGTAACTTTACTGAGACAATTAACTATTTCTGTATTTCACATGGAACACCCTTGATTCCAATGGAACAGCATTGAGGAACAATATTATTACATCTAATGATAGAGTTTGTGCGTAACTACTAGTAAATCATCACCTCCTTTTTACTTCGTAATTATGTACGCTTAAGTACTGAAAATTTTTTCCTTAGCAAGTCATCCTAGGTACGGGAAAAAAAGCAATTTGAGTCAGCCGCCTGAATTTAACCTTTCTTGCCCGCTTTTGTGTGCTGAAAAAAACGAAAATTTATACCTGCGGAAAGTCTTCTGATCTCTAAAATTACAACTTGCCTTTCTTTCTAAGCCGATACCGCTTACAAAACACCGTCGAGCGACCTACCTATTTACATATAAAGAAGCAGCACTAGTTGTCGCTCCTGTTAAATCTCATTTAGTCTACTTGAGTTCATTGCTTTTTAGTTGTTCATACCGTTCAATTGAGCATACCACTTGACCCAGAGAAAAGCTCTTTAGCTTACTATAACATCAACGAACGAAGTCCGCCAGATCTTATATCAACAAACTTTTATATACATATATATAATCGTTTGGATCCGGTAGAACAATTATTTACCCTTTAATCCCTGTGGTTTATGCCTAAGAAGCCTTCACGATCGTCGCTATACTCTGTTAAATTGATCAAACCTGGATAGCATAATTTATCCAAGTATTATCTTACAACAAAAGAAAAATCAATTGCTAAAATCGATCTCCTTCAACTTTTTCAAAATTGCCCCCTAATTAATCAGTTCTAGAAAGAAGAATTCACCGTTTTGTTTTTTTTAGTTTACATAAAAAAAATAAAAACCCTTGAAACGTTTCTTGCTACTTCTCTTTCCGTTTCTACCACCCGTGTGTGAATATTAGAGTAAGTTCCATACCGAAAAGCTTTTTTTTTGTTTTGGTTCTTCTTTCCTGTTACTGAATTGCTGCTAAGTATATTATAGCACACTTATTGCTTTGTTATTATTATTAAAATTATTGTTATAAGAAAAAAATGGTTGCCCCAGCTTACGTTCAAGACTCCTATGTCGATCACGAGTTATCCACTAATTTGGATTCTACTTATGCATTTGAAGGTCCTGAAAAGGTTTTGGAGGTTTGGCTCTACGAAAATGAGAACCAATTATCCTTCATCCAATCTTCTGAAGGATTACGTTGTATTCCTTTAGAAAAATGGGTCCGTATTTTGGATTTGGTAAACTGCAAAATTCTCTCAATGAAATCCAACTCACACATGGATGCTTATTTATTGAGTGAATCGTCACTTTTTGTGTTTGCTCATAAAGTGATTTTGAAAACTTGTGGTACTACAACCACATTAGCTTGTTTGGACCAATTATTTTCCACCATCAATGAGTATTGCTTTGCTCCAAACGATTCTTCATTCAACTCCAAGAACTGTTTCCGTACTTTGTATTCTCGGAGATCGTTTATGTTTCCAGATAGACAAATCCACGTTCACAGAGATTGGAAATCTGAAACAAATTTGTTGAACAAGTTCTTCGCTAACGGGAAATCTTATATTGTTGGTGATAGTTTGTCTGATGACCACTGGTACTTGTACCAAGGTGGAAAGGACAGTTCAACAAAGGAAGTGATTCCAAAAATGGCTCATGCTCAAACTTTTGAAGTTCTAATGACTGAATTGGACCCTGAATGTGCCGCTCAATTTGTAACTGACAGAAAGCCAGGTATGGACGATGGCACCGATGAAGATCATGACTTGGGTCACGATATGGGATTGTGCACTATGCAGAACTCTGGATTGGATTCCATTTTTGCACCCACCAATGCTTCTTCTTTAGGAGATTCGCTTTACACTGCTGATGGCAAGTTACTCCATGATGCCTTTTCATTTACTCCCTGTGGGTTTTCTTCTAACACTATGGGAGAAGAATTAGGTGGATACTACTATACTTTGCACATCACTCCTGAAAACGGATGGTCATATGCCTCGTTTGAGACTAGCTACCCATTCCTGGCAGAAAAGGCTGCAGTTGGAGTTGTAGAGGTCTTGGTTCGGATTTTGGGCATTTTCAAGCCTGGAAAGTTTTCTTTGAACTTTTCCACTTCTGACATTGACACTGATGAAAGGGTTAAGAGAACGTATTGTGCCTTGAAGAGCTGCGACCCAGTCTTGAATAAGTTGGGCTATCAAAAGCTCGAACGTGTTGCTTATGACATGAAGCACAACTGTAACTTGTTGTACTTAAATTTCAAGAAAAGAGCATCAGAATAATTTCGGTATTGTTCCGATTGCTCGTGATTTTAAGCAGTTATTAGTACTTTTATTATCTTCAATTAAATATTTATATGATTTTAAGATTTGTCGGAATTTCTACCGATATGTCCCGGAATTGATTCACTTGAACCTCGTAAATAGACTCATTTCCGGGCATCCTTCAATCAAAAAGAATGTCGGATAATTGACGTGTGCGATTAAGCTTACACTTAGCTGGGATCGGACTTAAGCACACATTATGCTAATATATTTAAGTCTCCGCAGTGGGTCTTACTACGGCTACGACTGCTTTCTGTTGGCAAATGCTACTACAGGAAATAAAAGTAGAGTATACAACGACAACCCCCAGAGAAAAGTTATTCCACAGGAAAACGATACGACACCAAATGGGCGGAAGAAAAGAGACAACAGAAGGACCCCACAAGTAGAAAAGTAAATGTGAGATTAAAAGTCATTTTTATACAAAACTACATTTCATACTTGTAGAGTAATTAGTAATTCGGCTTTACCATCACATACAAGATGCTTATTCAGTATATATCATTAATGTCTGCTACAATCAGTTATCAAGTATATCCTGGTCGTGCTTCAACCAGACATTTCTGTGACCTTGATTTTGTCTAATAGAGATAAAAATTTCAGCGGGAGTGCAGAATGCTATCCAAAGTCGTGTGTGTACACATGATGTCAGGATCAACGCGCTCTAATTGGCTACACTGCGAAAATTTTACTCACTAAGGGGTTTATCCTGATTTTGGGTGCCCTGCCCCAGGAAACTTGTACTCCGATCAGAGTCACATCTACGTACACATCAAAGACTAAATTGTGCTCGCCAATCCAGTAACTGATTGGCGAAACCTATCACAACACGAGAAGGCAGATTTTTGTAGACGGTCCAAGTATCATCAACCCGATGATATAAAATCAACGTAACCCATTGTTTTAAAAAATTTTCCAGCAACTACAATTGTAAAAAGCAATTAGAGATAAAGAATTCAATAATAAATTAACTATACAAAATTGAGAGAGATATGTACATAAATCAGTGCAATAAAGCTCAATAAGGGAGCAATACAAGCATCAAGATTTGACATATTCAAGAAATCAACACTCTAAATAAACAACGTAATTACCTTGAACAATCTTAATGATTGGAAGCACTCTCAAAGTCTCATCAAAGTTAATTAGTTAGTTTATTTGAACTTCTTACCGAACATGATCATTTGCAATTGATCGTACATGGAGATAACACCGGCACCGGCAACACCTCTCAAGATGTTAGCACCACAACCCTTGAACAAAGAACCAACACCTTCAGCAGCAACAACCTTCTTGAAACAGTCGAAAGCACCATTGTACTTAACGGCTTGACCAGAGGTCATCATCATTCTTCTTCTAACGGTATCCAATGGGTAAGAAGCGGTGGAAGCACCAGTGGTAACAGTCCAACCCAACAAGAACTTAGCCCAGAAAGATTCGTCCAAAGAACCAATCAAGACAACAGGCTTAAGGGAATCGTACAAACCGAAGTACAAACCTCTGTAGACAACAATACCAATAACTGAAGGACCGAAACCTCTGTACAAACCAGCAATACCATCAGAAGCCAAAGTCTTCTTGTAGACATCTAACAAACCGTTGAATTGACGTTCACCAGTACCCTTGGAGGACTTAGCATCGTTAGCCAATCTAGTTCTGGCATAATCTAAAGAGTAGACGAAAGCCAAAGAGGTGGCACCAGCCAAACCACCGGAAGCCAAGTTACCGGCAAACCACTTCCAGTAGTTGTCATCCTTCTTGAAACCAAACATTTGCTTGAACTTATCCTTGAAAGCGAAGTTCAAAGCTTGGGTAGGGAAGTATCTGATAACGTTGGCAGTGTTACCTCTCCAGAAAGAACCGGCACCTTCTTCGGTAAGAGTTCTCTTGAAACAGTCGATGATACCATCGTACTTTCTAGATAATCTACCTTGCTTGATCATTTCATCTTGGTTTTGAATCAACAACTTAACTCTTTCAATGGGGGCAGCGGCAGTCTTGGAGACAGCGGCGGAAACACCACCCATCATGAAATCAATCAAGAAAGAATTGTCCATTTTGTCTGGTTTTACTGAATAGATATATACTAGGTAATCACACAAGGGATACTAGAGGGAAAAAAAATCTAAAAGAAAAAAGATAAACTGTACTTCCGAAAATTTTGAGAAGAATTGGTTTCCTTTTTATACGCTGCTCCAGGTTGTCCTTTCTTCGTTCCTCCTCCGTTTGGATAACTTTTCTTTTTTATTTTTTTTTTTTATTTTTTTTTTGTCTGTTTCTTGTCTGTTTCTTGTCGAAGGTGTCTATTTTGGTTGTTATAGTATGGTCGTAGGCGGTACGCGATAATTTGTCTGAAAAGATAGCTAATGGCAAGCAAACTTATTGTATTTGAAGGCGTGTGTCGCTGAAATAATCACTTATATGCACATTTCTTCGCCAGAAAAGGAATCACCCGGGAAAAACCGGTCCTTCAGACACTCCCCCACCATTTTTAGGATGCCCTTTTAGCCAATCACAACTCGCAAAATCATATTTGTTGGTGCCGGGTAATAGCGAAGCTCGCATTTACTGTCGGTTGCGTTCTTAAGTTTGATGCAGCATCAATTATAGCATATCTTAGTCCGAAGTAACAGGAGTGATTTGCTCCCCAAGTCATCTCAAACTTCTCATTGTCTATACTACAGGTATTAAATCTTTATATACTAGCTATTATTTTGAAGTATAGGGCGTAAAGGGTTAAAAAAAGTTTTGTTCCTATTGCTAAAGTAACTTCCACCTTACAAGAAATCGGCACCGGACCTTCTAAAACAAACTGCGAACAGACTTCGCACATCCAAAGTCACACAAAATCCTGTAGTACTAACGACTTTTCCGGCATCAATTTTAGAAAAAAAAAGAAAAGTCTACTAGCTTAGAGAATCCGAAAAATATACTTTCAATGGGTGTTCAAACTTTAAACTTTAGTATCAATTAAAATCTGGATATCAGACAGTGTCTGTTTATTGGGGTCATTTTGATACTTGTGATTCGAAATTTCCATTTGAAATTTAAAGCTGTGCTTAGATTAGATTACGCATGTGCACCTGTACTCGTGTGCCGTAATTGGTCCATCAACGAGGGTATTGTATATATGCAGTATAATATACGCCCTCGGAAGTTGAGACACTGTAACGGCTTTTTTGATTTTGTTACCAGTGTTGCGCATGGTAGCACAGATGTAATGAATTTCGCACCCAAAAGTTTGCTCGTTTGGTCATAATCACAAACCCTAGACACCAAAGAAGTAAGTATCATTTCCAGCTACAAGGGTCTGTCTGTATATTTCAAAGATTAATGCCGTTAAATTAAATAAAGATAAGCAGTAATAATAAAGTTACAAAATGATACAAAAGAAACCGAAAGTCTTAAGTAATAAATAATCTTCCCTTTCATGACTGACGGTTATTAGCTTGACGACTTGCATCGCTTGAAATTCTCCGGCTCATACGACGGTTGTTATCGAAGTCTTCAAGAGCAATTTCTTCTGTAGCAAGGTCGGATTGACGGTTTTGATCAAAGCTGTAATCGTTAATCAATGAACCGTTATCGTAACTGCTGTAATCACTGAAGGAACTAGTGGCTTTTTGTTTTCTCTTGAAAAGATCAATGACCAGCTTTCTATTATTGCTTTGGGAAGCAATCGGTGGAATTTTTGTTTCTTCATTGACAGCTGGGACAGTGGCATCGCTTTCGTCAGTTGAACCCGGTTCGGCAGATTTATAAGGACTTGATGTAGAAGATTGTACAAAGGTAGATGAAGAACCAGGAACGTATACCATTTGTTCTTCCAAATCAGGAAAACGGCTTTCTATACTGCTTTGTCTTTGATGAGTTCCTGCCAGAAGTCTCTTAGTTACATTGCTAGTATACTCGCTGATCTTCACCTTATTTGGATCTGTCGGATCGTATGATTCGGGATAAGCATCGAAATCTCCTCTCTTGACACATTCACGGATGATATCTATGTCTTTGGGAAAGAGCATCTTTTGGGTAACATCGTAGAAGAATCTTGGGAGTAAGCAAGCAACAACTCCAACACAGGTGACAGCCCAATAACTAAGTTCGCCAAATGTTTCTGCTGCTGCTTTATAAAACTCACCAGAATAGGTAACAGAAGTCCATAACCCGGTCCAGATGTAGATGATCAAAATAGAAAGAAAGACAATGAGTGCTGAAAGATAATCCCACCGGTATTGGTGAAGCAAGATATAACCATTACATGAAATACATGCAATAGATGTCACGGAGATACCCATCCAGAATCGGTGATCAAATGGTTGGCCATCTTTCGATGCAAATGAAACGTAGTACATCAAGTAAGGGAAAAAGAACGATATCACCGATTGGTACACCGCATCAACCATGTATATCCAGAATTTGGTGTCAGTGAATTCACTCCGCATTATTCCTGTAATGTATAATTGAGGAACCAACATAGAGACTTTCCCACTGACATCCTGGTCGAATACACCCAAGAAGATCACCGGCAATGAGGTGAAGGCCAAGTTATAGAACATCAAATATGTGAACTCGAACAAATAGGTACCATCAAAGTCGGAATAGACTCCGTACCAGAATAACGCCACTGAAAAAATCACATTCTTAAAGAAAAAGGATGGAATCATCTCACTGAATCTCTTATAAGACCACCTTCCATGAGCAAGTAATAACTTAACCAAAAACCGGAATTGACCAATGGCATAATCAGATGACATTACTGCTTGACGACCTTCTTCACCAGCAATACCAACACCGACATCAGCAGCTTGGATCATGGCAACATCATTGGACCCATCTCCAATAGCAAGAGTCATAACATCCAACGTGTTCTTAACTAATTTGACCACAGCTGCTTTTTGAGCAGGTGAAACACGACAACATAAAACAGCTTTACATTGTTTGCAAAGTAGTAAGAACTTACGTTCAGTTTGCTTATTAGAAAGAGCGATCTTTAATGCGTCACCATCAATGACGATACCAAAACCATCATTTGGTGGTGTATGGTCCCCCCTTGCCTTTTCTAATTCCTCATACGAGCCTGTCATCTGGAAATTGTACTCGAGATACCTAGTAATGACTTGGTCAACTAGTTCAGCTTCTGATAATGATGCATTAGGATCAATATGTGCCTTTGCTTTCTCTTCCTTCGTCATTGTGTTCTTAATAAGCAACAAGTCCATATCATTTCCCAAAAGATTACATGAGAAACCAATGTTTATAGCAGTTTCCACCTTGTCACCAGTTAAAACCCACAACTTAATACCTGCTTGAGCCAAAATAGCAATTGACTCAGGTACTCCATCTTGTAATCTATCTTCAATGGCAGTACCACCTAAAAGGATTAAATCTCGTTCAATTGAATCGGCCACGGCTTCCATTTGACTTTCACGGTCATTCAAAGATGAAGCAGCTTCTAAATGCTTTTTGTTCCATTCAGTGTATTGTTCCCAAGTCAATTCTCTTTGAGCAATGCATAAAGTTCTTAACCCTTCTGTGGCATATTCAGCTAATTGATTTGATGTTTCTTCCAAAAGTTTAGAATCATTCTTCAGTTTCGATAATCTTCCATAAATAATTGAATCAGCTCCCTTACAAATCAAAAGTGCTTTAGACTTAGCATCTGGAGTATCTCCAGGAATCTTTATGATAGCACTCATTCTCTTACGGGTGGAGTTGAATTCAATAATATTAAGAACTTGGTAAACCTTTTTAGTTCCCTGGATATTAAGAATAACACCAGACTTTGTCTGGCCTTGGAATTCAAACCCAATTGATCTGGCCGTTCCAACTAAGGCAGCTTCGTCCGGTGACTGGGCCTTTAAAACTAATTTGGATGCATCTTTTGGATTTTCTTCAGCCAAAACAGAATGACAAAGAGCTAAGCAAAGCATGAAGTGTTCGGCACAATGCTTTTGGTACTCACCTCTCGCTCCCTTTAAATCGTCAACAAATTCACTTGAAATAAATGTCACTTCTTCTTCATATTCCAATGATCCATTTGAAGATAGTGATTTCAAACCCTCAATCATTTTAATCCTATCTTCTGCTATTGCTGCTCTCTCTACAAGAGCCTCGTGTTCCACATCGATTCCCATTCTCTTCCGCATACCAGCGAGTGCTTCGGTATAAGCTCTACCATAGCTTATACCATTAATAGTACATTTCTTGAATTCCATTAGATTTTGAGTCAAAGTCCCCGTCTTATCACTGAATACATATTCAATTTGACCCAAGTCATCCGAAATTGACCACGACTTGGGAACACAGGGGAAATCCAACCTTTCGTAGTACATGTTGATGTCAGAATAAATAAAAAACGCTTGAGCAGTTTTGATGATTTCGATGGTGATGTAAAGGGAAATTGGAACCAATGATTGATATAAAATCAATGCAACAAAGAAATCAACTAACCCATTTTTGAATGGAGATCCTGCAATTGTTCCAAATTCAAAAAAGTCACGAGAAACGTTCTTTTGTCGATAATATAGCCCATTAACCAACCCGGAAGCAAAACACAAAATGAAAAGTAATATGAAGTTTAAGAAAACATAATAGTTCAATTCACGAGATATTCTGGATTGTTTAGTTGGGGTTATGCCTGCGTTCAACATAATTTTAGTATCACTACCGGTGAAAACAGTTACTCCAATGACCCACTTGGTATTTCTCAAAGAACAACCACGTAAAAGCAAATTGTTGATTGTAATGGATTCTTGCTTTATATCTCCTGTTATGGTATCCGAGTACAGTAAGTTCCCTTCGTATAGATACAAGTTTGGATGTGGACCTTCCGATTCAATTTCAAACTCGTTGGGAGCTAAATCATCCGCACGCCGTATAATATGGTCCTTGAAACCATATTTAAGGGCTTGCTTGACTTTCAAGTTAGTTTCACCATCCAAATTTTTGGTCTCGACATAGCAACATCTATCATCATCTGAAGTGGCTAAAATAACCAAATCAGCTGGAATTTCTTCGTTATTATAAACTCTGACAACATCACCAACACGGATATCCTTCCAATACTTACGAGCAAATTGTAAGAGCTTATTAGAACGAGCCAAGTGGTTTGATTTTCTTCCATAGGTGCCAGATTTTCTACTGTATGTTCTTGATTTTCTTCCCATATCCATGGAAACTTTGGCATCAAGTGACTTCAGGACATCAAGTGACTTCCGAGGTATATCTGTGAATGGATTGGAAGATTCCATGGATGCTCTAGGGGATCCAATATCACCAATGTCTGATTCAAATGACTTTCTTATATCTCCTTGGTTATCCTCAACTTCTTGGTTCATCTTCCTTCTTTTTTTAAGTGCTCTACCTCTCAGGGTAAAATTCTCTCTTGATTTGTCTATAGTTTTGAATAGCACCCTGGTGTTCCACTTTTTGAATCTTCTCCAAAGAGATACATGCTCATCGTCAATATTATTATTTTGGTACTTGTATTCTGTTTGCGGGTTAGCCTCATTCTGTTGCAAAATATGTGTGATCTGGTTATTTACTTCCATATCTGACACAGTCCGTCGAGAGTCTTCTATCGCGTCCTTGAAGGCCGTGATGATGAGAATAACGATAAGTGGAACTGCTGCCAAAACAGGAGAAGGCACACCAAAAATGGGAAATGCCCCTAAAATAATCATTCCAAGAAAGTAAAAGTTTGCCACGTTATGAAGGAATTGGAATGTCACATTCTTGGGAATAAAGTTTAATGGTGTATACTTCGTTGTTGTTATCTTGTTTCTTGGGTAATTGGTTAACGGTTTCCCGGTTTCAGGATCTAGAAATGTTTCAGGCAATACCCTGTTAAAAACTACAGTTCTCTTTTCATGTTTCTTATCTCTTGGATCGATCACTTCATGCACTTTAGTTGAACCTTCGTCGTTGTCCGATCCCAGATCGTTGTCATCATCAAGATTTTGGAAACTGTCATCACTATTATTGCGGCTGTTCGCTAGGCTATTGGCAATGGACTGATTGTTATTGTTGTTGTTGTTGTTGTTCGATGTCTTGCGGCTTCCGGATCGCAGGTTTTCACCAGAATGAGGATGGAAAAGTCTTCTTAATGTTTTGGATCTATTTACATTTTCTTTCTTTGGTCTACCTTTCTTGTTTCTCGTAGTACCCCATCTGTGACGTTTCATGGTGTTGTCTGCATCCGTCTCACCATCTATCTGATACGCGTGCTCTTCGTCGTCTTCGAATTCTTTCAACGCATTATCGGATTCAAAGATAATGTGGTTGCTGGGATCAGCAAATGGTGACTTGGGCTGCGAATTGTGATACTCATGAAATGCAGCAGTAGTGCTTGGTGTATTGATCAACACTGGTGCTGGGGGGCTCGGAGGAGGCACGTTAAACCTGATAGATGGTTTTCGGGACGTGTTTTCTGGTATCAGAAGTATCCCACCTGCTCCTTGATTCAGTGGTGGAGGTGGCGGGCTTCTTGGAAATGAACCATCAACATTCAAATTTGGCGTCGGCAACGCACTGAATGCGCTGTCTCCGTCAGAATAGAAACCACTAGTATGTGAAATGCTGGGATATTGGGGATTCTGTCCTCCTTGAGATTGTTCTCCACTGGCACCACTGCCATATGACACGGTTCTTGGATTACTGTCCTGTGGAAGTGTATCCATTGGTATCACGGTTGTATTTATAGGTGTCGTTATTTGAGAATTATTATCAAGATATTGTTGATGCTGCTCTTCAGAGTCCATTGCAACATTGTTGTCGTTAAACGGACTAGTTGCGCCTTCAGATTCACCCATGGCTGGTCGTATGGGTCAGAATAGAGTTGAAGAAAACTATTTTTAATGTTCAGATCACTCTGGGTTCCAGGAATGCAATGGGGTTTCAAATGAAGCCGATGGAGTCCGGCTGGGATTTTTTTCGTGTTTTAACACGCGGGTTTCGGGTCGGAAATACGGCCAGAAATGAACACCAGCAAGTGAAGAGCTTATCCCTAAATTTAGCGAAAGAATATGGGATGGTTAGCTAGTTTGAAATTAGATTTAAAGTCTTGGAGACCCTTTGTTACTTTTCCCCGTTCTTTTTTAGGCTTATTGTAAAGGCGAAGAGATGCGAATGTCTGGCGGAGCTACTGGAGGTGTTGAGAATTATTGTTTAACGGCCGTCGGAGCGAAAGTTTTGTACAGTGAAGGAGTCCGACTTAAGAAAGCGCGCATCCGAATTTCGAAGCGGAAATTAGCGATTTAATTATTAATAGATGATTAGTAACCATAGAAATATCCCTGAGAGGTCCCCATATTTGGTGGTAGGTGTTGCCTACATCCAGTTAGCAAATGCCAGTAGTAAATTATATCGATCGAATGAATCACTTGAGAATAAGGAGCTCAGATCACTTATTCAGTGACATTCCGTTCCATTAATGGCTTAAGAATTAAGGTATAATGAAAACATTTAGTCATACCGGAATCCTAATGTTATTATCTCCGAAATCAAAAAAAACTTCTGTGGGCTGCACCGTTCACTACAAACACTCTCTCAAACAAATGAATTATGCAAGTTATGGTTTTCATTGCATTGATTTGAGTCACTTCACATTGATCTCTGTATGAGAACGGTTTATGGTATGATGAGGGAAGCCAGCTCCCTTTATGTTGTGTGCAGGCAATATGCCGATTTTAAAACCAGAATGCCGATACCTTAATTTGTGATGTAATTCTCACCTCCACCACAATAAGTCCTGATTCCAGAGTAACAGTAGGACTATACGTTATTAACAAAGAAAAGTTACTACCAACTGAGCATCTGACTGTGTTCATATAAATTCTGAATACTGTGTTTCAAAATGGGTCTCCATTAAGAATTAAAGAGTGAACCATCCTCTACCCAACTATCCCATAGATGTCCATACACCAATAAATCTGCATAACATTTATTAATAAAAATACTAAGATTTATAAAATGATACTAAAATATGAAGGTCGTTAGAAAATCTCCTCCACATTACTCGTGACTTTGACGGCATGACTTGCTGTATCACACACCGTGTAGCTTTAGCTCAAGTACAGCATGAATGCTAAACACTTTCTTCGGTGGTAGAGGTGGTGGCAATTTCTTTGCTCTTGGCGTACTTCTCTGTCCATTCTTTTGCAACTTGCACTGCCCTCTTTTCGTCCTGTTTCCAATCTTCAGCAACATCATTGGCTAACGGGTCGTCCGGGTTAGGTGCTCCCAACAACGCTTGTATCGACAATAGGATGGTACGGATTTGTAATGCCGGAGACCAGTTGTCCTTTAACACATCCAAACAGATTCTACCTAACTTATCAATGTTAGGATGATATATCTTGGTCAAAAACCTCACTTTAGGAGCACACATGGGATAATCATCAGGCAAATATAGTTCCAAGTCAAACACTCCACTAGAATATGGTGAGGAATCAGGCCCATCGATTGTAACATGAAAATACCGTAAATTGTCATCACTTGGTACTGCTGTTATTCCTGGAACGGGGTCACTCACCAACCGTTCAGTTTCTTTAATGATTCTCTTAGGTAATGCAGCCATAGTATGTTATAGGGAAATGTTTGATGCCAGAAATTACAACTTCAAGCTCACTCTATAATCTTAACTTAACTTTTAACAACTATATTTTACTGTGCACAAACTAATACTATGGAATTTTGGCCAATTATTCTCAATAAGCGATACAGTTATCCGTCCTCCCTTAATCATGAATTAAGCATAACAAAACTGTAGAAAATCTTGAAACACTTGTGGTTGAGATTTGGAATCACGTGACTTGTGAATTTTGAGCCCTCCTATTTGTGAAGTACTGAAATTGTCAAGTAGTGATCTCTTACACCATAGTAAACAGTTTAAGTCTTTGCCCTTGGGCTTCATGGATAAATCATTCTAGTATAAATACATTATGTCCATGCCCGCAAGGCCGAAGACCATGTTACAGCGACTTGTTGTGTCGGTTGTAGCCATAGGAGCAGGTATTTGGGTTACAGTGAAGACATCTCCCGCACCTATATTCCGGTATCAGGAATTCGATGAGGACGAAATTGTTAAGAGAAAACAAGAGGGTAAATGGCTTTCAATTCGGATAGAGGACCCTACACCCGAGCAAGTAGCAAGCAAGAAGGTTTATGAACAGAACGTATTAGAAGAACAGAAACGACAATACATAAAACGATGGGTTAATGGAATAATTGAAGAAAAGCGAAACGAAGAGCGTATGATAGCGCGTCAAATGCCCAAAGTCTTGCGAAAAATGGCTAGAGAACGGAAAGAGAGAGAATCAAAAGCTGTGGACGACATGACGAGTTCTACTTAGTATTGTCAGAGTTGTGGAGAGTGATTTGAAATCGTTCGGAGTTTAACCTTGAAACCGATGGTATTCAATTTTGGTGTGGTACTTGAGGTGATAGTGACCTCTTCTAGAGGCATATAATGGCATTATTATTATCTTTACAAAGAATAAGGTTAACTTTCAATTAATTCTCCACAATTTTATAGAAAGACTTTATTGTATTTATCAGTCATGTATATAGTTCAATTGTGATAAAGTGCAGTCAACAAGATTCAAGTGTGAGAAATTCTACAATGCTCATTCTCCTTCAAAGGACAATAATTGGTCATGACTAATTCAAGCTTATGCCATGCTAGAGCCTTGGCTGGTATGAAATTGTGGGAGATACATAGCTGCGCAGGACTTGAGGTGCCGGTAACTTTATTGTAGTTGAAAACAGTACCGTAAAGTAGGTATCCTTTTCATTAATATATTTAGCTTCTAGTGAAGAACAAATGCTAGATCAAAGGGGAGGTCAAATAGAAACGGCTAGATTATTCATTAATCACAACCACAACTAATTTCTAAATAAGGAAACAAGAAAGTTGACGATCAACGGTTGTTTATAAGTCCTTTCTTACACTTATAACATAGTTAAAGAGTAAATAAGCCTTCTAAGGCAAATATATATATATAAAAATACAATAAGTCAGCCTATTTGGGATCACACGTGATTTTTGAATGATAATAGTACTCATTTAGGGAAAGTGATTGAAGTTTCACAAGACTGCGGATCGAAATCAGACAGGGTGGGATAACTTCATTTTCACAGTACCTAATTTTGGTGCATCAGATCACATTATCGGGCTGTTTTAGTTTACATAGGCATTTGACAAAAAAACCATATGCATTTTTAATGAAGTCTTGTAGGTATATATATATCCTGAGTATTTCTTACAAAAAACATTAATAATTTATCTATTCTTTCCAACTGTATTATCTTGTCAGATTACTATTTTTACGAATTATGATTTCCTGAACCACCATCATCTTTCGACTCCCCGCTACTACTACAACGATTACTTTGCGTTATGTCATGTTTACCCCAACTGAATCTAATCGATTGTACTTCGAATCTCCCCTCCTCTAGAGGAGTGGAGTCAACCACTTCTCGAGGTTTAGCGCAACTGTGTCACAACGAATCGCAAAATTTTGGTGGCCTCGGTCACTTTTGCTAGTTGGCACTAAAACGACTTGGAAACGAATTCTAACCGTGGGTGTAAGCGACAAAGAGAGGGGATGATGCGTGGCAACGTAATGCTGTGAAATTCACCAATCATGCACAAAGCATCATATCACCAAAAGTCTGAAAAACAATAGTTGGATCGTGGAAATTTACCGAAAATCCAGTATATAGAACGGTTCTATTTTGGCTCGTAGCACTTTTACTGCTGCAGAAAAAAGCCTAAACCGGACTTTACCACAGGTGAGTACACCGGAAAGGAAATCCTATTGGGCTTTCAGGATGATGTGGCATCCAGAAAAGGCAATAGGACATTTTATCCCACGGTTTTTTTCTCTGAAAGTTTAGCATGGGTGTCAAGGCTCCTTGGGTCAATTTTTTACTACGTCAGGCGACCTAACCATGAAACCTAATACTGAAACGGTGCAACATAGTGATGTACGTTCTTATACGTTTCTTTGATGGAATCTATCTCCCCTAGGATTAGCTCTAGTATTCGTCAACTTATGTTTTATTCAGGGTTTGATTTGGTTTCAGGATCTTAATGGTACCTTAGACAGTGAGATAATGGAGCCGTCTAAAGCCTTCTTGACGTTTATTGTAGCGGCTACGACACCGAGTACGCGACCTGCACAATAGTCAAGTACTCGGAGATTGATTTAACCACATGAAACTAATTTTATCATCACTACGAAATGGGCGGAAATTTGTTGATGTGTAATTGAGAGTCAAAAAATATTATTCTAAAGCCCCCCCCCTATTGATAGTCAAAATGCGACATTTAGTTGCATCAGAAAGGAGAATGCCAATAATTCAAAGATAATGATTGCCATCGTCCAGAGAACGGATTCTTCAGCAAATTCATACGACTTATCTGAATTTTGCTATGTTCTGGTTGCGGTAACTACTTTGCGGTTCCATTAAAATAGGCGCACTAGCTTTGGTTAAGGAAGATCCATTCGGACCTCTAAATCTTTATGCAAAGCACGGAACGGATTTCACTCCTTTTCCCTTCCCTTGACAAAAACGAAGTAAAATTTGCCTTGAAAGAACGGAACAACTTTGCTATTGTCCGACAATCACAACCCCGAAAGGAAACTCAAGTGGTTGAAATATGCAAGGTACCCGATTAGGCATTTGAAGTGTATGTCACTAAAAAGTTTACTGCCTAATTAGGACCCTGCGTTTTGGACTACTAGGCTATGTACAAAGAGGATGTAGTACTTGTTCCCCTCCCCTGGATGTTGCTGCTTATTGATGCAACAGTGCGTATTTATGCAGGTGACAACTTGAAGGCAATCTTGAACTGTACATAAGTTTAATCAAGAACATGGGTGTTAGGACCTCGGTGTTGATTAACCTCAGTTTTCTACGCATATCCTTCTAACTCTGAGTGACTTTTGATCCTTCAACGGGTGTTCTGGAAACTTTCCTAGTTATACTTAGACTTTTGTCATATTGCCTAACTAAGTAAAGTTTTGGATTTTGAAATCCAATGGGTGTAGCAATAGAGACTAATTAGACATCCATGGTCTTAAACAGGAAAACACATCTTTATGGCACCTATTGACCTATCTAATGGAGATGATCACTATGGCGATGATCACTACAGACTTCGATTTTGGTTTCATTCCGGTTTTTGAATACTCGGACGGAACTTGAAAGGCGGGGAGATATCATGTACTACTTGTAGTAAGCAAAATTTCAAAGGTATGTTTCATTTGTTGAAGTAGGTGAAATTTCCATTAGCACTATATTAATAGTTTATTCAACTTGAATTATGAGTGATATACTCAGGTTGTATAGCAAATGCTATATTATTCTAAAAGGGGTTGGATTGTTCTCTCTTCTGGAGATATTGACGAGGACAAGTTAACAATAAGCTTATTGTTCATTAGATATGCATTTCATAACACCCTGTTTTGTTCTTATTAATTGCATTTTTTTATTAACCCCACAAATTACACTTGGGACATTTTGAGGTTTTGTTTGATACTATTGTTACCTTTTGCAATTCATCCGTGGCATAGTAAAGTTTTAAGGTGAACACATTATGATGTGTTTCTATAGAAAATACTTTATGGTAGTTGAACAAATAGTTACACAGCTACCTTGAACAGCTAAGTGCTCCCCAATGGAGTCGGGATTGATAATATTTTGCTTAATGATTCCAAAGAAACATTTTATGATATCGTAGTACTTGAATTTTAGGTAGCAACTAGTCGTGAACAATGTAGTTTCTTAGTCGATGTCCTCGTAAACCATTCGAATAGTCTTCTTTCAATCATCGAAGAGGGGTTACAAATTCAAGACATAGTGGTGCCTATTTAGTCCGGATGCTGCAGATTGTCTGCAAGTTACAACCTTAATAGGAAGTAATTAAATTGTAATGTTCTTGATTTCTTTTTCTTCAGCATCTCACGAAGAATGTTGCAGCTATTGTACTCTGGAGTGGCTCTAATTTGTTGCGCGCGAATCCGGCCATGCGGTTTACCCCAGGTTTTCCTATTGGCTTTTAATAGAGGTTACCACAATGTCTCCCCTCCTCTTGAGAATCGATAGACCGAGTATGTAAAATCATAGAACAAAGTAAACTAATCTCAAAGAAGTAAATAATTACAGCAAATTTGCATTATCAAGGGATTTATCAATTTAATCCTCACTCAGGGGTTTGGTCATACTGTTTATGGTATACCCAACAAGACCATGTTTCATTTCTTCTTATTCTTTTTTGGGTCCAACACCTTGGGTCAAACCAATAATCTGCCTACTTTTCGCTTTAAGGCAATTACAGTAATGAGGAAGTACAATCTAGTAGAAATTGACCCCCACAACAGTCTCGTGGTTCTAAATTTAAGCCATGATGTAAGAGATAATTATCCAATACATTATGCATAACACACTACTCCTAATACTGCCTCAAGAACTATGTTGCAACCTTACTCCATTTTTTTAAAAATGCATCAAAAATTATCATACATGCGTTTGCATATTCCTTTTGTGTACTTATGCATAAAATTAATGCACAATATTTGGGGAAGCGGTGTTCTTCTGCAGTACGGCTTAAATTTTAAGTTAGAGAGTTGGCGACTATGTAGATAAACTATTATGGTAAGTGACATTCTAGAGAACAATAAAAGTATTCCTAAAAAGGCAGTTTTCAAAATCGTAATAGCATAGTAATTGAGCTTTAATAGAAAAATTCAACCGATGATAGAAGTTATAGAGAGGAATTGATAACTATTTGAGATTTTATTATTGAAGAGGGGAGGAATGTTGCAAAATACTTTTACTTAGTTGAGAAAGGGAATAAATAGGAAGTTAAATCCCCTTGGTTTCTACAGTCTAACTTAAATCTTTTCTGAACACTTTACAGGTCTATTAGACAATTTTGATACCCATTGATACCACAATAAAAATGTATGTATAAGTTCAGTTTTCGGGTCTGATTATAAGTCATTCACACTAACTTCTACCTTAGGTCTACTACAGTATTACCACCAGCTAACGGAAAGAAGATGTGGAGAGTTAAAAGAAAGCCTTCTACATCTTCCGGCTCGGCTTCTAACAGCACCTCTATTGAATGTTTAAACAACTCATTGAAGATTAGTACTGCTGCTGCTTCATACGTTGTCAAGAGACCACCATTAAGAAGACCAAAGAACAAGCCAGGTAAGCCAAAGGATTTTGTCTTTGTTGACTTGTCTCCAGTTAAGAGCGAGGAACAGGAAGTTGTACCAAAAGTTTCAGCCAAGTCTACTTCCAACACTCTTCCATTACATCAAGCAATGCCATCTCCAACTTCATCTGTTGAAGACAGTGTCAATTCTTCCATCTTTGACTTTACTCAATGGGATGACAGCTTCAACTTAACTGAAGAAGGAGCATTAGCTACTGCTACTACTACTACTGAAGGTGAAAAGGAAGTTCTTCTTGGTTTAGGGATTCAATTTGCCGGCTTAGAGCAATGGACTGAACAACAAGAGGCAGCACAACCAATGCCTGAAGCTCTTAACAACAGTATTGAGCAAGGCTCAAATTTTACCGATCCTTTCAACTGGTTTGGTACATCTTCCATTCCTGAATACCCCACACAAAGATCCAGTTCGATGTCAAACACAGCTACTAATCAACAAAGTCCAACTCATAAGAGACTGATGTCTGCCGTAGAATACTCCAACAAGAGACAACACTTCGAAACTCCGAAGATAAACAGTACTGCAGTATTTTCAAATTCTCCAGTACGTAACAGAGTTATTTACCATGAACCACACACTAGCATATTGGAAACTCCCAAATTAGGATTGGATGACTTCTTAATGCTCAACTACCAATTTAGATCAGCCTTACTCGAACAACCTTCTGTCTCACAACAACAACAACAACAACAACAACAACAACAACAACAACAACCTATAACTACTTACCAACAAGAACCATTGGTGTACTCTCCACTTTCTGAGTACTCTGAAGATGATTCCTTGGGAAAACCAATTGGTGATTTCGATGCAGCACTCATGAAAGATCTCAACCTTACCTCATATATCAAGTCCGAAGACTTGGAACTTGGTAACTTTGTTACTTTCTAAGATACCTACTTGTTCTACGTTTACCATTTAATTCGCTCGCTTCGTCTTTTTTGACAATTTTGCTTTGCTTCAGTCTACATAATTTTGTGCCCTATAGAGTAGGAACATATTATTTATTTTCAATCCTTTGATACCCGGAGTGCCACCAAAGAGTCTCCTCGCAACTACCTTTACGAAAATTCACTTCTTTTGTATTTTATTTTACATTAATTGTTTTTAGCTAGTCTATAATAAACATTTCTTATTTATGACTCCTTGAAATCTTGTAAATTGCCGTTAAAGACTCATTTACCTTTGGTACTTTTGTGAGGTTTTCTCATCTCATCCAGTGAAAGACCACAGTCACTGCATATTGTTCCGTATGTACCCCACAAAACTCTTGCAGATTGATGTACGCTACCAAAGTCGCATTTGACGTGATTTCGGTTTTTGCACCCAAAATCTAATATTGTGCATGGTTCGAACAACGGGTGTTAGGACCTGAGTCAGGGCCACGGTATGCATGGCCGAAAAGGGCAGCAAAGTGATATGCATATGTTACATAATTGCATTTACAGCGAACACTGGGCCCATACAAATCTATACTGGCCTACAGTTCCACTACCACTATCTAAGCTGCGTGACATCTCTAATCTGAAGAATGTACTGCGTTGTTGGGTCTGCGTCTTCATAGAGATATGCCCATCGATATAAAAAGGCGGGGAATCTGTAAGAATGTTAATAGCTGATTGGGTGTTATCGCAGAATTCTCGTAATATAATGTGTGGGGCGCTCGTTTAGTGCGTAGATATCGAAGTTTACCTTTCATCCGAAGTCGAATTCTCGAAGGTCTTGGATCAGGGGTCATAAGGTCAGAGAAACGAAGGGAATTGATGGACTTAGTAGCAACATCTAGAATGATCAACAAAAATTTTTGAGCGTAAGAAATGTTCGGAAACGTTGTTGATGTTTCAGTGGCCTTGTGGTCAGCATTTTAATTTCATGAAAGCAAGTACCTTAGTTTGTTTCAACTGTCTATAAACGCTCCTTACATTATTACACTTCTCGCCTATACTTTTGTCCTTTTCCTATCAGGCCATCAAACTATGATAATAAAGCCATGTTTGAAGGATGGCTGGTTTCCATCGCTTCTATTTAATTTTTTCGGCTAATTTAGCCCTCTAAATGCACAGCTGTTTAAACTTCGTCTTCCTCGTTATCAGTTAAAACGTACTCATTGATTATGTCCTTCTCATTGTGTCTGACTGGCCATACAAGTGTTGGCTTGGCCGCTTGTAAGGAAAGCGTGCATCCGTAACATACGTCTACAACCCCAACCCCAGCCGCAGCAGAATTATCTTGAACACCGTTTGAGATTGATGGATATTCCCGATTGAATGCTTCTAGATTCCTAAGTTCTTCTTCTGTCTCTAGTGGCACGCCTTCGTTGGTGGTAATGTTATTCAACCAAGTTCTTGGAGGCAGTCTAATGTCCTCCCCACACATTCTACAATGAGATATCGCCGTTCCCCTTGGCTCACCTAGTTTTTCTCCGGACTTGAGAACGGTACTAGCAGTGTTACCATATCCAAGCAGATCTAAAGTCCGAAAGTATTGAGTAGATAAATCATTGACAGTCAAGTTCTTATTGACTCTTGACTTTATCTCCGTATACTTGGCAACATGGACATCTAAGCCGGTTAACTTAGCATAGGCATCTATTTCTGCTTGCAACACACCTCTTAAAGGATAAAGAATCTCAATCTGGGTGTCCTTGAAATGTTCTTTGTGATCGGCGATATCTTTGTGGATAATCCCCCCTCTTCCCTTAACCGTGAGACTTATGATTTCGTTGGCCAAACGAGTTGTGTTGTGGCCCATAACCAACGTCTGACATTTCTCTTGATACGCAGTTTGTAATAGTAATTGGGACTGAACCACTGCAAGAAGGTCTTCCACTGCGGACTTACTCGATACCGTCAGTAATAAGGATTCAAATGTTGTTGCTGCTGCTGCTGCTGTGTCTATGTCTTGCAGTTTTACACCAAACTCGGAGGTTAATGATAACTTTGCTAATGATGATTTATCTGCAACAAAGGCATGCAAAGGTAGAATCAAATACTGGATAGATACCGTAGGATATAAGCTTATCAAGTCCTTGATTATTGATCTGACTTTCTTGTCTATACTTTTTACTATTGTTTCATCCAAGTTTACCACTATTAATTCGAACCCCTGTTGGCCCCTGGTACCTTTATTCGCCATTTGCTCCTCCAAGTTTGATGCCAACACATCAAAGAGTACTACGGACGATACACCTCCAGAAAAAGCCAATAGCACCTTCTGAGGCTCACCCAGCGACTGTTTTGATGCATGTTTAGCTTTGAATTGCTCCCCCTTCATCAGCTTTCTTTGCTTACCCCGTATGAACCTCACAAAGCATGGAGTACAATATGAGTCCAACCGAGCACATACCGTAGCTGGCTCTGTTTTACACCGGCTACAGACCACATCGAATCCCTCGTAGTATGTTATAACCGCTTTCCCCTCCATATCCTTCGTATGTATAATATATATAGAGTTATGCTTTGTATGTATGTCTGAGCTCATCTCATGATGACAGACTGAAATTGTGTAATAATTTTCGCGACATTCATAAAGTCGTCTTTTTCAGTGGACGACTTTATTTCCACAGAACGATAAAGATTGTACAAAGTCCGATGAATAGCAACCACTGAATCATATCGAACCTAATAGAAGAAGGTGTGTAGTCAAGCAACACTCCGTATAAATATTGGTTGGAAATCGTTCAATCTCGAAAAAGGGGATAATCAATTGGAGAGCAATTGTTTTTATTTCCTCACAGCGTACTATATAAGTAAGTAGTTGTTAGGTAATAAGGGCATGAACAAAGAAGAAGACACAGCAGCTTCCACGCTATCTACGACGGCAAGTGACGCCGAGGTTGTTACCGATAAACAAAAGGTAGATTTCACAAAGGGTGGACCCGATAAATTCAAGTTCTATCCAGACAATCCAACAAACCACAAGCACAAATACAATTGGGTAATGAAGGAACCTACGAAGTTCTATGACCCTTGTGAGGAATCAAGACAAGCTTCTATGGATTGCATGTTGAGAACACAAGACAAAAGTGATTGTGAGGATTTCTTCAAGGCCTATAGGGAATGCAAAGCCGACTTTTTTGCAAACAAGAGAAAGGAAAAGATAGAAGGGAAAGGCGGATGGGGGTTCTGGTGATAGTCAGGTCAATTCCAGTTATATAGTCAATTTCTTGTATTTATTAATGTTGACGTTAAATTATATATATAAAGTGTAAATAGTAATTATTCCTAGCCAACCAATCAAATTTCCTATCGTATACAAGTAGCGGTTTTCCGTATATATATAAAAAAAATTACAGATCATAATCATAGTATTCCGGTCACAGACATTCCCCCACCTCTCGTTCCGTTGTGCTTTCTAAATCCAGTCAACACTGTCTCCGTATTGATTGTGTTTGAAGGGTCGTCCTTCACGTCATTCGTTCCGTTGGACGACGAGAACACAAGCCGTGAAATAGGCTTTATGGGAGGATTTATAACCGTAGGAGGGAGTGGGAAGTTAGGCACTTTAGCCTTTGTGAATCGAGACTTCATTGATTTGATAGTGTTTGTCAATTCAAGTTTACCTGATTTCCTGTCAATTGACCCCACAAGCATAATCGGACATGAGGTTGCCTTTTTGGGAAGGCTGTTCTCCGTGGACTCTTCATTTCTATACTTTTCAATAACTGATTCAGGGAAAGATGCAATCACTATTTGAATCAAGTGATCAAGAATGTCTCCTGCATCAACAGTAAGATCAAACAATATATAATTCCATTGGATATTAGTAAGACAGTTATTGGGCATAGTTAATGTATCGCCAAGTACATCAGCCATCATTTTGTTCCAGGTTTCCATAAAAAAGCTCATATCACTGTTTGACAAGTAGTTGGAAAACGTCACTTGTGGAGGTGGGTCCCGTAAGATAAATGCATGTCTATTGTTTCTTCCTCTCATAAATACTTCTGTTGTTCCGTCATTAAGAACTGAGTCTAGCAAGTTAATATCATCACCACCACCTATATCATTGGCTCGTTCTCTTTCCTGTAGTCTCTGTGAAGCTGCTATTGTTTCCATCATCTCTTTGCTCTCATCATAAAATGAAATCTTCCTCTTGGGACTTTGATGCTTTGCAAACCCAAAAGTGTTTGTCAAGGGTTCAATATATTTAATGACCTTCTCAGCAAACTCTAAAGCTTGCCTTTTCAAACCACACGATGACAAATTAATTCTTGGATTATCACATAGTCCACATTTCAAGCGCCATAAGACCAGCAAAAAATACAGCTCTTTAAATTGTTTAAATGGATTGAGCTTTGTCCACTCCATTAACTGCGCTCTGAGCAAATAACATTGAGCACGGCTAACATAGCTATCGGAGCTATCAAGGGAACGGAAATCATTCCCCTCATAGAACCTCAAATCATTCTTTTTGAAATCAACTAGATTCCCATGAAATGGCACTGCAATCAGATAATTAATGGTCTTGTCAATGAACAGAGATTGCTCTGCTGCACCGGTCATTCTGTCAAAAATACTCAACTCGGTTGATATTGAATCCAACACTTGATTACCAAAGAAGAATCGTCTAATTTGAATTAACTTTTTAATTGAATCCAACTGAATTTCAAACGTTCCCTCTAATGTTTTTTGATCATAATCCACAATTTGTACGTTTAAATCACAGAAATCCGTTCCAGACCCAGGAATACCAATGCAAAACGATGTTCCATCTTTTAAATGTGAATTGGGAATAATGTTCATTATCATCTCCTTATCTTCAGAAGATAACATATTGTCAGCACATTGTTCTCCAAAAAATGAAGAAACATCTATTTCCTTTTCTAAAATAGGAAGTGTTACATCGTTATCTTCCTCTTCTTTACCGCCAATAGGTCCAGGTCCTGGTCCATTTTGGAAGCTCGGATGCAAATTAGTTTGCCAGTTCAGATCGTAAATTTGTTGTTTAGAATCTTTCAGTTTTGACTTCTTATGTTCTTCGTCCGTTGAGCCAGTTGTTGTGGTTCTGGATTTGCTCTCTTCATTTGTTCTCTTTCGTTTCAGAGGTGGGAGTTGGATATGCACAGATTGGTCATGGTACGCAAGACGAACATCCAGAAATGAACTACGAGAATTCGTCACTCGAGATAAAAATGAAGTTGACTTCCGTTTCCGGCTCTTGACCCTTCTGGAAGAATTATACTTTTGGAAGTTCCACCACGATCCATTTCTTCTCATTTGCAATATGTTGTCCATTGAAGTGCTCAAACACCCTTGTTTTTTCATTACTTTAGAAGTAGTCAAATATGAAGGCATACTTTGTGGACTAGTAGGAATTGGAAACAACGGAGATAGCCTGGGCTTATACGCAAGATTCTTCAACGAATCAAAGATTTCATCTATTTTATCAGCAATTTGGGAGATTTCCTTCTCAAGTTTATCATCCTTCAAAACCTTCGTATCCCTTTCCCCTCTTTTGCATCTGATTGTATACTGACGACTTAACGAGATAGCACCTTGTTGTGGGGTATAATTGGCGTTTCTTTGCCTTTCCCGACGATCAGAAGATATTATGGCATTTCTTCTTGTGAAGTTTTGACTGGAGCTTGATAATAGTAGATGTTCATTTAAAGGATTATCGGAACGTAGTGTTTCTGATCCACCTAGTAATTGAGAGAAATACTCATCAACCATTGAGTCATCATTTGCATCGTAATCTTCGTCTTCATCTTCATCAATACCATCTTCATCATCGGCAGCAGCAGCAGTATCCTCGTCATCATCATCACCATCAACGTCATCATCATCAACGTCATCATTATCGGCCTCGTCTGCACCATCATTTGTACTCATCCTGTGGACAGAACTAAGAAAGGAGCGGTGTCGATCACGATTAACTCTCAAGGCAACATCCAGTACTCTAAAGGATGGCAACATCAAATTATTATTACTATCCTGACTTGCTGAGGCGAAATCAATGTCAATATCGTTGTCTACAAATTCTGAAGCCAATCCTATATCATCAGTTGGGATAGTCTCGCCTTCAGAATCCGTAGTGGTGGTATCCATTGAGTCCATAGTTGACACATGTGACCGTTGACGAGTACCTGGTACCCGTGAATGGGGTAGTATTGGAACAGTGTACCAACCAGAGGGTCCATACCATATATTATTATTAGTACGATTACTTTGCAGGAGGAGGTTGGCTCTTTCGGAATTACCAGAGCTACTATTGCTGCTGTTGCTTCTGCGAGGTATACCATAGATTGAGTGAGTCCCAAAGCCTCTATTTAATCTGTCTAATGGAGACCTGATTCTACTTCTCTCCCGAGCCATTGCAAGTACTGTCGATGCATTTGAATCAACAGAATGTCTCCAAAATGTTGGCCTACTGTTATTACTATTATTGTGTAGCCCTGAAGACAATCGAGTTCCACTATCCAGTAAGGGGTTGGGGTTGGGGGAATGATCTGAGCTTAATGTGGAGGTAAACCCATTTCGCCACACCGATGGAAGCAAAGTATAAAACAGGTTCTCTCTGATTGGTGGTGTTCTGTCGTTTGATTGTATGGTATCAGATATAGGTGTGTTCTCGTCGTTGGAAGCCGTGTGTTCAGGCATTCTATCATCACCAGAAGAAGTTGGAGAGGAAGGAGGTGGCATAATTTCCCTTTAAGTTGTTTCTTCTTGCTTATCAGTAGGTAACACTAAAAGCAGAAGCTTTTGGTCCCAGATATTGAGATTGCACTTCTCTTCTTGGGGATGGATGCACTTTATAGGAACAAAAATGTAATTTTGGCTATGTTAAAAGTTTTATTTGGTATGCATTAAACGGAGTCATTTGGTTAGGTAGGGCAAACATGTTACAGGATAACGGTGTGATAGACACACCCGTACACCACGTCGATTTGTTATATAATTGCTTACGTTGCGTTATGTTCTCTCACGCGTAACTAGATGCGGCTTGTTAACTGCTTGATAAGAAAGCGACTCAGTGTAGAACAGAACAAACACAGTCAAAACGTTATGCTTACAGATGTGAACTTTTTCAGACTGTGATGAGGTTCTCCTATCTCGATGAATAAACGACAGCGTTCGATTTTTTGGTTTTGTTTTTTGAATATACTGAAAAACACCTACGGTTTTCAACTTTTCATCAAAATATGGTAACTACACTGGAAAACGTAGCCTAATACACGATAATTATCAACAGGAGTAGTCAATATGATGCTTATTATCATGTAGGGCTAAACAATACTTGGTAGTCTACACTATAAGTATTCGCATCGCCTCATCCGGGTGCTGTGGTGTGCAGCAAACATCGCGTTATGGTGTCGTGTCATAGAGAACCAAAGGATCTAACCGTGGCAGTAGAGGGGTAGTTTGAAGGGGGAATGGAAGCACATGTGCACTACCGTAAATAGCAGAAGGAAAGTCCAGTGGTTGCTCCTTTTCAGTAGACCAAGACGCGAAGAATGACAACTTTTGTTTCAGGTTCTATTTTATTAGGACAAAAGACTACTTCTTAAAAGGTCGGTCGCGTTACTTCTACGCTGGACATTACAAGAACACTCTAATTGTTTGAGCAAGTATGAAGGAGTAATACAGCCAGCCAGCAAGCCGGCCAAGCTCAATATAAGCTAAATAGAAGAAAGAGTACATGGGAAAGAGTAAGGCAACAACAACAATATCATTAGTTTGTTTCATATAGAGGTTTCATTTTGGGTACTGTAACAACCTCATCCCCTTGAAACTTTACTAAAACTTAAAGTGCGGGTAACCTGTAATTACAGCTAATTAATGTCAGAAACTGAACCACAAAAACTGTTTTTGGTGGCGCCCTAGAATCAAACCTTATTATGTACAAGTCGTCTCACTGTCCATTATTGGACTGATTTCCAATTCAGGCACTGTGTCAGCTCTTGAGCCAGCCGGTTTTGTCAATATGTGTAGGAAATAGTAAGTAAGCGTCTTCATTTTCTTTTTTGTATTTTCTTATTTTATAATCAAAACAGCCTCAAATAAGTTCCGTCCCTCTAACAAAGGTTACCGAACTTGACTAAACAAATCCAACTACAACTTCCTTTTTTCCTTTTCACACGAGTGAATGGTTTTTTGCTTCTTCGTACCATCTGTCTTATTGGTTGTGTGAGTTTATATAACTGAGTTTGAATAGTAATATCATTGCCTTAGCATAGCTTTTTGTGCGTGGATACCTTGTTTTTCTTCTCTATAACTGAAGGTAGTTGTAACCCCTAACGACTCAGATTGGGTCTTGCAATGATTCCCTCATCTACAAATCGTAGTAGTGGAGGTGATATCACCAATAATGGAAACGAGAGTGAAGCAAAAACACGGAATGGCTCAAATAGTAATCCTCAACCTCAACAAATAGTTTCATCCGAAGGCACTGGTGCCATTTTTGTCTGTTTTAAACAGTTTACAAAGAGACTCCCGGATGAGCTCTCATTAGTTCCTGGAGATAAAATAGAAGTTTTAGCAGATGATTCAGAGTATAACGATGGTTGGTACATGGGTAAGAATATTATTACCAATGAGGTTGGTCTTTATCCTAAATCTTTTACTAAAATATTCCTGGTACCCTCAGCTCAAAGTGGACCCTTATTAAGATCTCGTTCCCGGAGAATCTCTCATATTAATAATGCAAATGCTTCTTCACTGGATGTTTCCACTTATAATGATTCATCTCATGCAAATCCAAATGCTTCATCCATCTCCTATTCATCCCATAATATAACCGATATGCTTTCCGGTTTAAAAGTTTCTGGTAATGCAGATGCAACAACAATTAGTGAGAAACCTGGAAACATTGATCCTTCAGGAACAGCAACCAAAACCATGAATGACATTGATAAAGCTTTGGAAGAACTTAAGAATGATGCATTTTCTTCAACCAATTCCGGAAGCAGATCTTCAAGTCCCCCAGTGAAACAAGTCCCCCCTACTTCCCTGTCAACTGCAACATCTTATACCTCCAGTACTTCTCGCAATAATGGACATAACAACGCCATGCAAGACTCTTTGGTAAATTCAGGTGTTGCTACAAAAGCTACTGAAAAAGCCTCCAACGTTAAGAACATCAACAGTCATAAAACCCCCCCCTTACCTGATGATTCAGAAGTATACCTGACTCCTAAAACTTCAGAAAGAGATGCGCATGCTCGTGGACTGTCGTTAAGTGAAGACTTTGATATTGCAAAAGTCAAATCTTGGACTCCTCAACAAGTGTCATCATACTTTGCTCTTGTTTTGGGCTTTGATCTTGATATACTGGGCAAATTTGCTCGTCATAAAATTACCGGTGAAATACTTTTGGAGTTAGACTTAACCTTACTTAAGGAGTTAGATATCGATTCATTTGGTACAAGGTATGAAATTTATAAGGAGATTGATAAGTTGAAGTCAATGTCAACCTCTTCTACGAAATCCTTAGAACCCCCTTCAAAATCAACTTTTGCGAAGTTGTCTACCTCGGAAGATGCTCCGAAACATACCCGCACATCCAGTAAAGGAGACAAACCTTTACCTCCGGTGAAGAAGAAAGATCCAAGTCAGAATCAGAATCAGAACCATGAGCGCAAGCGTTCAAATCATTCGACCTCTACACAAGGATTTCCACGTCCTCCTTCCTTAAATCACTCCAACCCCAACTCCAATCAAAGCTCGAGTACTGAAAGTGTTGACAAAAAGGAAGACTGGAAATATTATCACGAGACTTACACCAAATCTGCCACTTCTACCCCTATTATCCAACAGCCTTCTAAAGCTGCTAGTGGGAAACACAGTGCTAAGGGTAGTATTCATCAACGTCAAAAGCTGAAGGATTGGAAAGATCATGGAAGAAATGTTTCACAGACAAGTGAAAATGCCCATTTGTCTCACAGAAAGTCCACAGATTTGTCTTTTCTTTCACCTCGGAGGCCGCCAGAGCCTCCCGCTCCTGAAATCCAAGGATATAAGTTTGGTGGTGATCGAAGTAGTTCCATTACTGGTACTACAGGCCTCGGGATAACCAGACCGACTTCTTCCATTTACGATTCCTCCAACCCACACACAAGAAATGCTTCGAAGGCATCTGGAGATTTTAAGAATTATTTCCATTCTCCCAACACGCCCCATAAAAGGCACTCTTCAATATTCCTGTTTTTCACATCGAATGATGCAGAAGATAAGGATAAAGAAAGAGATCTGAAATCAAAGGATTATAAGGAAAAGGATTTGAAACCAAAAGAGAAAGAGAAAGAAAAGGAACTTATTAAGGACAAGGACAATGATGTACTCAGACTCAAGGAAAAGGAACGTCTTTTAGCTGCAAAGGAAGAAACTTCACCAAGCACCATTAAAGAGCATAAAACTCCTACTCAAGACCGTAGAACTTCAAGATCCCAATCTACTACTGATCTAAGTAGTCCTGCTTTAACCAGTCCACTTAAATTGAAGAAACTATCTTTTGGTACCCCCAAGAATAAGTCGACAATAGAATTGTATCTGGTTAATAAAACTGACGGGTCCCAAAATAGTGATAGCACTGAAATTGTTGATATTGATCATGTCACTTTATCTCCCAAGAAACAAAAATCATTATCTGTTTCTTACAAATCCAACAATGATCTTTTGGAAACTGAAGACCGAAGGACTGCATCTGATTCGAATGCTTTATCACGGCTTAAGACTTTAAGAACAGCAAGTGCACAGAACTTCCGTACTTTAACTGGCCTGAAAAAACTGAAGACCAGTGCCTTCACTGAAGGAATAAGGGAAATATCACCAGATGAAGCCATCAAGACCTCAACATACCTGGGTTGGGTTTCTAAAAAATCGAGCAATGGTCTTTCATGGAAATCAAGATACTTTACTCTTCATGGTACAAGATTATCTTATTTCACGTCTTTAAAAGATAAGCGTGAAAAGGGTCTCATTGATATAACTGCTCATAAGGTTATTCCAATTCTGACAGAAGCTGACACCACCAATTCCAATGATCGTTATGTTGCACTTTATGCCTCTTCAACAGGAGCTGGGCGTTACTGTTTCAAGGTTGTCCCACCTGCTCCAGGGTTCAGGAAGGGATTAACGTTTACTCAACCCAAAACTCATTATTTTGCAGTTGAGACAATAAATGACATGCGTGGTTGGTTAAAGGCATTGATGGCTGCTACTATTGATATTGATGATACTGTTCCCATTGTAAGTTCATGTTCCACACCAACAGTTAGTTTAACCAAGGCTCAAGAGCTATTAGCAAAGGCTAGAGAAGAGTCACGTATTAAGGATGAAGAATTGAGATTGAATGGGTTTATCCGTGATGTCATTGGAGAAGCTGGTGGTGATGATAGTATCGATATTAATCACCAAGATATCAAACAATTGATACAAGCGGAATCCACTGTTCTTGATGAGTCCAGTTTCCATCCATCGCCAAATGTTGAATCCTTCAATACCCTGAGTCATTCACTGGCGTCGCAGCACAAGTTAAGTTTGAATACTCATGTAAGTTCTGTTGGATCTTTGAATGCAACCAGAACCACTCCAATGACTCCTCAAGTAACAACACAGCTGCCTGGGTTTTCGTCTCCTTATTTATTGGCTAGTGGGTTACTATCACCTCGAACTGTTTCGTCCAATAGCCCCAAGTCTCCTGCCAACGAGGCGGAGAATTCTTATTTCTCCAAAGCAATGAATCATTACCATCAACATAGTGGTGGTGACGCACCATCATCAGGAGTAGAAGCAGGAGCAGCAGGAGGAGATACCAACTCGTCGGCTACAAGTTCGAACCGTACCACCATGCACACCATGAATTCTATGAAGAAAGATAACGAAACTGTTACTACTCCAAAATCAATCTTCAGCAACAGCAATGGGAGAGTCGTTAGTGGTGGGTCCAAGATGAAGGAGCGATTGTCCACCATTGGAAAGTGAATTTTTTTACCTTCTTTCAATTTATTACTGCTTTATTATTACTTTTTTTTTATTAGTTACTTGGGTGATTGTATTACTATGATATTGTGCTAATTTTCTCTAATTACTAATAATCTACTTTTAGAGTTTAGCTTTATTCTTTTTTATGTTTGTTTAGGTGTATATGGATTTGTATTAATACAAGAAAGTAGTCCAGTTTTTTTTCCACAGCGCTACCTTATAGAGTTCGCGGCTAACCTGAATTGTAAATTGTCTAGTGTTTATGTTTTCTTTTGGTTACGAAGTGATATAGAAGAAAGTGTGAAGGGCTTATTCTGACTCGGGGGTCTAGATCAACTCGGAGATTGCAAATAATTAACAAATAGTGCCAGTGTATTAAGTTCCGGTCAGCTCAGTTCATGGTAGAGATAAAGCTTGTATATGATGCAACCACCTCCACAACGGAGTGATCTACACATGCAAGGGTACCTTCGATCTATACTAATTCATTCTATTGATAATTTCAACTTTAAGAACGCAGAGTTTGCTGGAGAAAGATTATTGGCACTAGATCCTAAAGAAAACGACCTGTTGTATTTATATTGTCTTTCTTTGTATCATTTGGGGAAATATCAAACTTGTTATAATAGATTGGTTGATTGCAAGATAACTCATTTGGGATGTTCTTATTTGTTTGCTAGATGTTGTTTACAACTTGATAAATTCAAAGAAGGGGTTTATCATCTAACAAAAATTCACTATTTATATGAGGATGGTACTAATGAGAGTCAAGGTTTCGTTGATTTGAAACAGAAACTCACTTATGAACACCACAGATCCATTTACCCGGATTCCTCAGTAGTCTACCATGTTCTAGGGGATCTATATAAAGGTATGAATGACGTTAAGAATTCAAGTTTGAGCTATGCTGAATGTTTGAAGTTTAACCAATTTGATTTCGAAGCGCTTCAGAAACTTTGCAAGCTTGGTGTGGATATTAGAGTCAAGGCAATCTATAAGGCCAATGCTAAAATTGGGGTTATAAATAATTTCAAGACCTCTTCATCATCTTCAACAACAGCAACAGCAACAGCAACAGCAACAGCAACAGGACCAGTTTACAATAATAATACGTTAGCTGATAATGAGAGTGGCCTCTTCAGTGACACCGATACAGGTCATAAAGAGAGAATTCTTGGAGGTTTAAATATTGCCATAGATGACTCGTTCAAAGATACTAACCAATCAAGCATATGGAATCCATTCACAAACTCACCCACAAAGGGAGTTACATCTCCTAAAATGACTCCGACATTAAGAGGAGATCCTGGATTGAGAAATCAACAACAAAAGCGTCCAAACACAGCCATTACTCCAAGAATGAGATCAACTTCAACTGGTGAACTACCAAGTGCACCTGTAAGAAAAACAGTTCATAATCTGTCGGCAACATTTGAATTTCCTAAACCAACTTTCCCTATAACTACTGATTCTTCAAGACAAAAGCAGAAGGATAGAAACATTAATATCACCTCAAGATTAATAAGTCAACCATCAACAACTGCCAGACAAGATTTGCATCTCAATCCACCTACGAATCCTAAATCAACACCGGCTACCAAGCGAAGTACTGGTTCAATGACACCGTTAATAAACACTCCTGCGCCAATTGGCGGGGCGTTTACGGGAGTTGACAACACTCGTACACTTAAACGTACCAGTTCATCTACCTTAATAGCCGGAAAGGAAGCAAATTTATTACCAGGAGCTGCTCAAACATCAATGGGGTTATTCACCTCAAAGGAGATTGAACAAGCAGGGATACAGTTAATAAACTTGTACACTATATTTGCTAAAGGGTTTAAAGCAATGTGCAAATTCGATTGCTATAAGGCAATTAGAATATTTGACTCTCTTCCAGAAAGAGAAAAGCGTACACCATGGATACTAAGCAAATTAGGAAGACTCCATTACGAAATTGTGAATTATAAGCAAAGTGAATATTATTTTGTACAATTACGACAAGTTGATCGTACCCGATTGGAAGATATGGAATATTTTAGTACATTATTGTGGCATCTACAGAAGAAAGTTGAACTAACATATCTAGCCAATGAACTTCATGATATTGACTCCAATAGTTCTATTACTTGGTGTGTGATTGGTAATTTGTACTCATTGATGCGAGAACCCGATGAAGCCATTAAATGCTTTACTAAGGCAACAAAGCTTGACCCTAAATTTGTGTATGCTTATACATTACGAGGCCATGAGTACTTTGGAAATGATAATTATGAAATGGCTTTGGAGAATTTTAGAATTAGTTTACTCTATGATGCCAGGCATTACAATGCATTATATGGTATTGGAATGGTTTACATTAATTTGGGTGAATACACTAAAGCCGATTATCATTTCCGCAAAGCGGTAGCAATTAACCCCATTAATGTCATATTAATTTGTTGTGTGGGGATGATATTTGAAAAATTGGGGAAAAAGCCACTTGCTTTAAAGCAATACGAATTGGCTACGAAACTACAGCCTTTAAATCCATTGCCTATATTTAAAAAAGCTCAATTACTATTTTCTATGCAACAATTCACTCAAGCTCTTAGATATCTTGAAGAATTGGCCCAACTTGCACCAGATGAAGCCTCAGTCCATTTCCTATTAGGGCAATTATACAATATCCAGAACAACAAATTTATGGCACTAAAGGAATTTACCATAGCGTTGAACCTAGATCCTAAAGGGAACTTTTTAATACGAGAAGCTATGGAATCGATGAGGAATAATACTACTAATTATAATAGTAATGCTAACAAGGTATAACCAGAATAACAGATTGCACAGAAGCATACCGTTGGAAGTTGAGAATAGCAGTCGTGCATTATCGGAGGTACTGCATATACTACATAATAAATACACGGATGGAACATTACTATGTCTGACAAGGTCTTTGTTTCTCAGACGGTTCCGATATAATTTCTCATTTTAGTACTGCGAGCAGAAGCATCGGTAGAACGTTACTCTCTCCACCCCTCATAAACGTCATCGTTATCTCGACTTTTGTAACCCCCGTCTACGTTGGAAAATCTATACCTGGTCTCATGAGTCTTTGGTTTCGACTAACTTTTCATTCTTGAGCCTGAATAGTGGGGCCAAGGCTGATAGTTTTTGCACGAACGAACAAACGAAGGAATCAATGTATGTATGATATCATAGTATTAATTGTTTTTCTGGAGTGCCAAAATTTTCACCCTGAATGGATCGACCGACCTACAGAATTTTGCGTAGTCCGTGCTTCCATCGCACCACCACCACAACACACAAAAAGTTGCACACGCAGAGGTAAATACAAATCAAACATAAAAAAATTTGGAACCAAAAATAATATTCAGTCGATAACAAAGCAAATCAAAGCAGATCCACTGATCCACTCAAAAATCAATATACTTCATTTCAAGACAATTGGTTGATGCTCACATAGTATTTGATTTTTTTGCGTTGTAGTATTGGTTTTCTTTGTGGTTTGGTTTCAGTTTCAGATCTTAAGGGACATCGGCACATCACCCTACCTGTGCGTTCACCACCGCCTAGCACGCTCCATAACAAGAACAACAACAACAACAATAGTAATAATAATATATATTAATAGAGCAAGCAACAATAGACACACTACACTACTATGCAAGTTGGGAAGATAATTTGTGGACTTCTCTTGTGTGTGGTTGCAGAAGCGTTCCTGCTTGGGTTGGAGAGGAAAGTTTATCGTGAAGGTGAAACAGTTGAATTATTAGTAAATAAAGTCGAAAGTGACCACACACAACTACCCTTTGGGTATTATGAATTACCGTTTGTGTGTCCTCCGAGTAAGGATGCCAGACCTTTACATTTATCGCTAGGAGAAATACTAAAAGGTGATAGAGTGTGGCAAAGTGATTATCAAATGAAATTTATGTTGGATCTCCCGTGTATGCGGTTGTGTGACGTCCATGCATTAGAAAGTGCTGCCAAAAAGGCCGATTACTTGGTGAAGAACGGCTATGTAGCTCAATGGACTGTTGATGGGTTACCTGGAGCCACTACTTTTGTTAGTGGCACCCATAAGAATAAGTATTATGCATCAGGATTCCCTCTTGGGTTTACTAAAAACGATATCAGTTACATCTATAATCATTTTACTTTGGTAATCAGATACCACAAGGATCCTTCAGTCAAAGATGGATACAATATTGTGGGGTTTGAAGTTTATCCCAAGTCAGTGAAAGATCCTATTTGCCCTGGGAACTCAAAGGATTACGAAAATTTACCATTGGTCCCTAAAGCAGACGCATCAGGTAAAAAGAAGGTTATTATTCCATGGACATATTCTGTATACTGGAGAGAAGATCATTCTGTGACATACAAAGACCGCTGGGATTCATTTTATCAGAATGATGCCTCCAATCAGAGCCATAAGATCCAATGGTTGTCCATTATCAACTCAATGGTGCTCTTGAGTTTGCTTTCTTTGGCCGTGGCCGTTGTGCTCTCGAAAATGTTGAAGCAAGACATTCAACGTAAAAACGCACTTCCAACGACATCAATTAAAAGCAGCACTAGTAGTGGCAGTTTGGTCTGGCAACGGTTAGAAGATGAAGTGTTTTCCAGTCCCCGATTCACATTGGTCTTTTGTGTTATCCTTGCTTGTGGTATACAAATTTTATTTGCAGCCGCAGGTGTAGTTGTTATCTTTGCAGTTGGGTCCAACTTTGATATTGGTCGAGTGCCCTCTAATTCTCTGTGGCTATTCCGCAGTCATGATGGAGCCTTCTTCTCATTGTCTATTTTCCTATTGTTGGCTTCAGGATTTGTATCTTCTTATTTGGGAATCATAGCTCATAAGATTTTCCAGAACGACCCGATACAAGAAACTTATCGGCTAAGAAAGACCTTGTTTTTATCATTACTATTCAGTGGCTCGTTACCGGGTACCATTCTATTGGTGGTTTATTTTCTTAATTTCTTTGTGTGGTACAAAGAGTCCTCCAATGCCTTACCCTTTGGAACCATTGTTGTTCTATTGATAATGTTTTCCCTTATAGAACTCCCCTTAGGGATTGTTGGGGGATATTTGGGTAATATTCGGAAAGTGGTGGTGGGGAAAGATTGGCTCAGAACAGTTCAAACTGGTCATCGGATCAAATCCAATGCAGAATATTTGGAATTGGATAAGCGTACTCCATGGTTTTCTCATCCAATCTTAAGTACCATTGTATTTGGTGTAATCCCCTTTGGAGTGGTTTATGTTGATCTTAATGTGATATTCAATTCCATATGGTTAGAGAAAACAACCTTTTACTATAAGTATGGGTTTCTTCTTTTAACCCTTGGAATGTTATTTATGGTTCTTGCTGAATCAGCCGTTATTGCCATCTATGTCCTGCTTGCTGTCTACTCTAATCCTCATTGGCAATGGCTTTCGTTCAACGTGGGAAGCAGTATAGGTTGGTTTGTGTATGCTTATCTGACATACTACTTCATTTTCCACATGCACGTGAGTGATTTTGTGCTGGTCTTGTTGTACTTTGTCTATATGGGATTGGTTAGTGCGTTATTTGGAGTGGCCTGTGGGGTGGTTGCCGTTATGTCTGGTTATATCTTTGTCAGTAAGATATACCAAAGTAATAAGGTGGACTAAAAAATAATCAGAACTTTTAATTATTTAATAGCATCTATAGACTTGTACAATATATTAATACTTTGGAATATATCTTGTATTATATATAAATATATTTATATGTATATATATATATATATATATTGTTGTATACATATGAAAATGATTATTTTGCGTGGCTAATAAATATGAATCAAGCTTAAGCCAAGGCAGTGGCACCGGTAATGATATCAACCAATTCGTTAGTAATGACGGCTTGTCTGGTTCTGTTATATAAGATGGTGAAAGAGTTGATCATATCACCAGCGTTCTTAGAAGCGTTATCCATAGCATTTCTTCTGGCAGAGATTTCAGAAGCGTAACCTTCAGCCATACCAGAGAAAATGGAGTTAGCTAAAGAGAATTCAGCCAAGGTTTCATTAACACCTTCGGTTTCTAATTCGTACTTGCTCAAACCAGGAGCCTTTTCAATAGCTTCGGCAACGGCAACACTAAAAGTGTTTGGTTCAAAGGAAACACCAGAAACAAACTTGTTGTACAAAACCTCAATGTTATCGTACTTACCCAATTTTTTAATTTCATCAGCAATCAAAGAAACTTCCAAAAAGGTTGGAGCTTCCTTACCAACACCACTAAAAGATAATTTTAAGTTGTCAGCATGGGTTCTTAACAATTGAGTCTTTGCTTTCTCACCAATGGTAACAATGTCAACGTTCTTCAATTCAGCAACTCTCTTACGGGTGTACTTGGATACTTGAGAATGGACTGAACCACACAAACCTTTATCGGAAGAGATGACAATCAACAAGTTCTTACCTTCTTCACTATCAGGTTGAACCTCAGCGTTCTTGTAGAATTCAGATTCGGATTCGTTGAAAACTCTGGAAGCAGTCATGGCTCTTTGGGCTCTGTTCAAACGAGTGGATGCAACAACCTTCATGGTGTTGGTGATCTTTTCAATGTTCTTAATGGACTTAAGACGCATTTCAATTTCTCTCAAAGTAGCATAGTTTCTAGAATTCAGTTAGTACGTAGGCCAGATGACATTTGACATTGATCAAATCAATTGCATAAAAACGGACCAATTGAACATTCTTGTCCACGGCAGTTCAGTTCACTTCAATTTTCATTCAATGTTGATTTGGTTTGATCACTGTGGGTCCCCTTAGGGGTTCCCTCGATTCACACATACCTTGCACCGTTAACACGGGCAGCTTGAGTGGCACCTAAGCGAAACATCCTGAACAGCAAGTTGTATGTAACAGACGACGTAATGAAGTGGTAAACCCTGTACTTGTACAGTGCGTCTTAGCAGTGGTTTTTTCAGCGTTTTTTTCGTTCTTTCCTTCTGGCCTTCTATTGGAAGACGTCGTTATTGGTCCGCGGGACACGACCACCGAGATCATGGGTCTACAGCTACAGTTGGTGCGAGGTGCGATCAAGTTTGATGCTCGTCTGCGGCCTATGATTGGTCGGTGCTATTGGTTCACACACGGCAAGACATAATTAACAGTAACATAGAACCATTTACATAGATACCTGATACTTAATGCTACGGTGTATCAAGATTATTCTCATTAACGGATCGCGTGAATTTTGATTCAATTCTTAAAACTAGAGTGTAAATATGTATGTCTAAAAAGGCCACCGGAGGAGGTTTAACTGATTTATCAATGCAAAATAATAGTAATAATAATAATAATAATAATAATAATAATAAAACCAGTGGCACTTCTTCGGTCCTGCTAGTGAATGAACCCCGGAATAAAGCATCGGAAACATGAAGATATTGAATTGGATTGAATTAGATTGTATTGTATTGTGATGTGGTGGATGTGTAATATGGTTAAATAAATAGATTGTAACATTGTCTACTTTGAAGGATCATTCTTTTGATAGCCCAAGTAACCTTCCAATCTGTGATCTTCAATCATCTTTAAATATTTCAAGGTAATGGGCTTGCACATTTCTTGGGCATCTTCTTGATGATAATGCTTACACTTTATTAATGCGTCTCTGGTCACTCTCAAAGCATAGGTTCTTATCCACTGTTCCCTATTCATAGATGATCTTGCCTTCTGCACATCAGCCAAAGTTTCATAGTTGATATCATCAAATGATACCAACTCTGGTCTTGAATGGTTTTCGTAGTTATCCAAACCTAAACATGTCATTTGTTAGTCGTCATTTTTTCAAAACCAATTGATTGGTATTAGTAGTTGTCATTCGCCACATACTCATGTTATTTATAGTTAAAGTATCAATCAATATTAATCAATGCTGTTGCTTGAGGCTACTTCGAACTTTTTTCTAGCATCAATTTTTGACAAAAAAAAAACTCAAATTTGACTGGACCTAGCTTTTTTGAACACGTGCACGTCCCTATACGCAAAATACGATCTAACATTGGCTCTTTAGCACTTTAGTACATACACCTTTCTTGTTAAACACTAATACTTTTGCTTATATTTATATTATGGCAACACCTTCTCCTCATACGGTATTCTATCGTCAATTTGGAAGAGCTTTCACAAAGATATGGATCACTACAGTGGGAACCTACTATGGACTAATTGGACTACAAAAGCTTTTGGATACAAAGGATTCAAAGAAATGAAGTAAGCTACTTTCAAATGCTGTTCTGTTTATATCTTTAAAAATACTATCACAGAGGATATTAGATTGTTCCTTGGTTTATCTTTACTTCTTGTAAGCCTTCAACTTGTCAGCAACAGCATCCAAGAACTCGGTGGTAGTAACATAAGCTGATCTCTCAGTCTTACCACAAGCCAAAGCCAAATCCTTGGTCATAATACCATCTTCTTGAACGGTGTCAATGGTGGCCTTTTCCAATAAGTTAGCAAAGTCGACAACTTCGGGAGTTCCATCAACACGACCTCTTTGAGCAATACCTCTTGACCAAGCAAAAATAGAGGCAATGGAGTTGGTGGATGTTTCCTTACCTTGTTGATGTTGTCTGTAATGTCTAGTGACAGTTCCATGAGCAGCTTCAGATTCATAAGCCTTACCGTCGGGGGTCATCAAAGCTGAAGTCATCAAACCTAATGATCCGAACCCTTGAGCAACAATATCAGATTGAACATCACCATCATAGTTCTTCAAAGCCATAACGAACCCACCCTTAGATTTGATCATTTGAGCAACCATATCATCAATCAATCTATGTTCGTACCACAATCCAGCAGATTCGAACTGGTCCTTGTAGAAGGAATCATATACTTCGGCAAAGATATCCTTGAATCTACCGTCGTATCTCTTTAAAATGGTGTTCTTGGTAGATAAGTATAATGGTAACTTAGTACTCAAAGCCATCTTGAATGAAGAGTGTGCAAATCCAGTAATAGATTCATCAGTGTTGTACATGGCCAAACCAACGCCTGGTCCTTGGTAGTTATAGATTTCTCTGGTAATTGGTTCACCCCCAGATTTAGGGGTGAAAGTCATTTCCAATTTACCAGGTTCACTAATGACCAAATCAGTGGCCTTATATTGATCACCATGAGCATGTCTACCAATGACAATTGGCTTTTCCCAACCTGGTACTAATCTAGGAATTCTGGGGATGATAATGGATTCTCTGAAAACTGTACCACCAAGGATGTTTCTGATGGTACCATTGGGGGATAACCACATTTTCTTCAAGCCAAATTCTTTAACTCTAGCTTCATCAGGAGTAATTGTAGCACACTTGACACCAACACCGTATTCACGGATAGCATTAGCAGCATCTACAGTGATCTGATCACTAGTCTTATCCCTTGCTTGGATACCCAAATCGTAGTACTTCAAATCAACGTCCAAGTATGGTACGACTAATTGGTCCTTGATTCTAGACCAGATGATTCTAGTCATTTCATCACCATCTAATTCCACAATGGGATTCTTGACCTTAATCTTGTCAAGACCCACAGTACTCTTGGAGAATTGTCTAACGGAAGTTCTAAGCATATTGGTTGCTTTTGTCAATGCTATGATTAGTAATTAGTTGTAGGGGTCGACTTATCTATATTCAAAAATTTTCACTCTGATTTCGCAACCCACACCTCCGGTCCCGCACGCCGGTATCGGGACTTAAGCCAAACACACATTAATGACTAATAGGGGAGCATTGGTAGAACATCAATAGAGGATTAATAGAATATCAATATATAATAACATATGTATATGTCTGAGATGATGTGGGTGATAACAATGGAAGGAATTAATAAACGGGTTACCAACAGAAGCTAGACTTGTATTACGATTATAATGGATTCATATCTTCATCTCTAGTTAGGTCGAGGAACTAACTAGCCCAAACACTATACATAATGACTATTACCTTTGAAATTCACCACCCACGAAAATCTGTATTTGAATGGGCATCCCTTCAGGCATAGCATATCATAATCAAGTACACTGGGGCGACTGCGAGTTTCACGACTGCGAAAGTGTTGCGGAAAAAATCAAAGCCAAATAAACTGATCATCATCTAACTAACTACTATTTACTGTACTTTACTGTACGCGGACCTTCTCTTTCGATGAGTGAGCCGTTCGACGAGAACTACTACAATCATCTTCTTACTCTGCTTACCATCAACTCGCGTGCAATCATCGCCGAGTTGACCAGTATAGCGGAGACTCATTTAGATGAGCTGAGTACTATAGTCAAACTTATCGTTGGTAGAATCCGACGGTGTTTACCTCTGTACAAATTGTACCTGTTCTATCTTATTGATTCGATTGTGAAAAACGTCGGATCCCCTTATAATGTGCTTTTCAGCTCTGAGTTGTTTGCTCTTTTTACTGAAACTTATACCATAGTCAAGGATTCTGTTCGACAGGATTTGATCGATTTATTTAAAACCTGGGTCAACGCTCGTACGCAACTGGATTCAGAATTGTTTCCTTCGAGAGTAATAGGGAGTATAGAAAAGTTCATCATCAAGGCAACCACCATACCTGTTTCTTCTGATTCGTTACTACGGGAAGCCAATTACTTACTACAATATGTGATCAAAATTGACTCTATGGTAGAAGGTGAAATAGATGGCGAGTGGAAGGAAGACGACAAGAATGAAATACACCAGATGCAAATAGTGCGTAATAAAATGGTATGGGAAATCAATGAGATACACGAGAAACTATTTATTAGTCAACGAGACGATAGAGAACGAGACGCTTCAAACGTAGCTGCATTGAATATCACCAATGCGAACATACGAGATGAATTGGTAGAAATCCGAAAGACATTGGATAATCATTTCCATAAACAACAGGAACTACTTCGAAGAAAGGAATCACAAGTGATGGAGTCAATTGACAAGTTAAACCGAAAGATGGAGTTTTCTATTGATAAGGCATGGTTCACAGCCAGCGATGATGTTGTTGTTAACTTCATGGTAAGTTGGGGTCATAGGAAGAGGGCAGAAGCTTTGGTTGAGGGTCCAAAGAAGAAGAAGGTACGTTTTGAATGAACAGGTTAAATAATAGAATGGATCAAGTAATAAATAAAAGTAAAGAGTTGGTTAAGCAGCAGTATTAAGCACTATGATAAGTATATAATTTTGTTATTTTAATCGTGTATTTCCTATGGAATCCTAAATATAATGCAAAGGGAAGAGTCTGTCAATCAGCAAAGAATCTATTCTTCCTCTTCTTGGATCCACCAACCCTTGTCCAAGTTACCAGCCTTGTACATGTGCAACCACGAGACAAGGAATGGGAAGGAAAAGAAGAATCCAAGGGTACCGTACCAGAAGAAGCCCAAAGGAATCTTTCTGTTCTTAACCTTGAATGGAAGATTAGAGTAGATACCAGAAGCAGGAGTACCGTAAGGGTTAGGAAGATGGGCATTCAATCTTCTACCAGAAGATTGCAACGATCTGATCGTGGTTCTAGAGAGCTTGAACATGGCAGCAATAATGAATACTTAAACACTGACAATAGGGTTGTTACTGTTTAAACCGTTGGTATTTTTTCTGACTTGTCTGATGATTAAAAGTAAAAAATGATGGAAAATGCAGCGCGCTACCATCTTCTTTTGTGTGACGTTTTCGTCTTGACTAGCCAGTAAGCTTCGTGTCTTTAGAAGAGATATGAACCAAGTCCATGAAGGTATAGTCAATTACGGCATTTATAAGTAGATTTTTGGTAAGTTATGGTATTGCTAGTTGTTAAGGTGATCAATTGGTAATCTGGAATAGTCAATTAGATATAAATCAAAAGTGCTGTTCCAACCAATCAGAGTGCGATAATATGTTATGGTACGATTTCACCCTATACAGGTGGTTTACCCTCAGAGCGCTGCAACACTCATATATCACTAGGGGAAGGCAGTTGGTTGCAAATGTAAATGCTGTTTGAGTGTGGTGTCACTGATGTAACTGCTAATAATAATCAAGGCATCCCTAGTATAGTTCATTTTTGTTCACAGTTCAGTATTTACGTACCCGCTGTAGCTAATTACAGCAGTCCTTACAGAAATATAATTATGGGCACAGTTTAACAATACCTCACTTCTATTTTATCCAAAAGATCATTGCCTCTGTGAGCAATACGTTTACCTCATAGTTAAACTCTTATAGCTCTCTATACTTAGCTACTACCACGGAGAATGGTACGATTTACTTGTGCGCTACCATATTTATAGGTTTCGGTGTGTGCACTACTAATCCCATCAAATGTTTGTCCAAAGATAATTGGTCAAGGCTAATGGTAAAAGCATCTCTTTATCCCACTACAGTCTTTCAACTACATACACATATTCACCATGGCTATCGCACCTATCACCGGCATGTTAAAGAAGAAGATCATCACCGACGTTTCCACTGGATTCCTTGTCGGTGGTGTCATGGCTGCTGCTTACTGGCACTACGAAAGAGACTACGTTGTTAATCAAAGAGAGAAGTTCTACGCTAAGATGAAGGCAGAAAAGGAAGTTGAAGATTCAATCTAAAACAAAGTGTCTGCTTTTTCCAATTAGCGCAATAAATATATATAATGAGTTTTACTTATTCAATACATGAAACAGCATACTTTTATATGTTGTAGTCAGAAATTTTTCAATTGTTGTGTGTATCTCTAATCTTAACCTTAATCTTTTACTAAAGATGTCTAACAACCCCATTGCTAACGAGAATGATCCGCTTCCTCACCCCACGCTGTGCAAGTTTTCCCTCAAGATACTTGAATAAACTTATTTCAGCAAACGTTACTCCTCCTAGTAAAACCACTACAAGATAAGAATACCCATGTTTCCCACTTGCGGATACCATCGTTTTATTATTAGTAGTGGTTAAGGCTTCTTCTCTTGTTTTTCCGCCTATCATCTCTATACTTAATTGGTTCCAACTTGGTCTGCGATCAGCTTTACCTATGGGATGTCTAAGTGACTCTCGATAATATAAAGCTTCCACTAATCGATATGTTAAAGGAACATAGTTCCCAGCAATGGCATAGTTGGGACTTTTGTAGATCTCTAAAAGTGCTTCAGATTCACTTGTGGGTGCCTTTGTATTATCCAAAGTGACAATATTATTAGTAGTAGTGGTGTCCATTTCTTCAGATTCTCCTATCAAGTTCCAGTATTTGCTAACAGTGGTAAAATCCCATTTGGGTTTGAACCAACGAAGCCATTTCTCCATCTCCACCACCTTAGAAAGTCCGTATTGAAGATGAATCTGCATTAAAACGTCCTCTTTTACATGCCCCCCATTCTTCAAATACATAAGTAACACGTTGCTCAACATTTCTTGAGAATCTTTGACACCAACCCCTCGAGGCATGAATTTCACTTGATCTTTGGTATCAATTGAGTCCCAGACCATTTGAGTTTGGTATTCCAAATGAGGCTCATTGAACAGGCCAACTAAATCTTCGCTTCGTTCCGTATGACGTTTCACCATTTCTTGCTTCTTGGTCAATTGGTTCAATTCAATCACTAGAGCTTTCAAATCGGATCCTCCATCGCTTTCTTGGATTGTTCGATTTACCAGTTGATATCGTCCTTGAGTTTCCTTTGCCAATTTGTTTAATTGGTGGCCAACGGTAGCAAAGTTTAAATCCTTTATCTCATTATAAAGCTCATCTTCTCCCGAGATTCCCACATCCACTAGACCTCTATATGTCAATTGGACTAATACTAAGGGGAATAAGTCAATATCACGATCAAAAACAACCAATTCATGTTCTTTCAGCAATATAAACTCCTCAGAGTCCATCTCATTGTCCCCCAAATATACTCGTCGAGCTTCAGGTTGTTGTCTGGCTATGAAATCAGGTACCATTTCATTCTTGTACATGTTTATAAAGACATCACTCCAATCACCTTTCCCGTACATATTTGCAAACTTCAACCCAAGCAATTGGACACACTTACACGTTTCACTGACCACCTTCAAAGGGTTTTCAAAAAAGGTCTCCACTATATTGGAGTTCAGCAAATTGGTCATGTAAACATTATGTTTATATATCATTGGTATCAGCCACAGGTAGACTTGGATGTGGTCAACCAGAACAGGATAAGTAACATTATCAAATACCTGAGATTGAATTATACGTTCCACCCTACTACTATCATTATCGCTAACACTAATATTAATATTAATGTTATTATCATCTTCTCCGCCAGTATCGTCCTCGTCTCCATCATAAGCCATTTTTAAACGATACAAGTCACTTCTATCAAGGTTAGCCACAATCAAGTAAACAGTCCGATGACGACCGTATCGATGTTTATGTAGATTGCTGCCATCAACTATAACGATCGCCTCATCATGGATCCCTTGATCTTCTCCTAGCCATTGCACTCTGCTAAACCTGTGGGTGTCTTGGAGTTTCTGGAATGGTGTCAAGTAGTTAATTAACGGAGAAAGTTGTCGATCAAGCAATAAAGGACGTTCCAGAGGAGGAGTACCTGTACGACTAGGGATGCTTTCCAATTGGTCTAGAAGGTCCTTGAGTACTAGACTATTTGAATTCATCGTTATAGTGTATGATTATTCTTATGTTGCAGTTCCTATGTTTTATGACAATTCGAACGACTCTATTATAGTTGGTCCTGGTAGCGCTGTCGCGATTTTGGGGGTTCGTTTCACATAAATAAGAGTATATATACTATATATCAATCTTAAGGTATTATTCTATTGGGTTATTATAGTTTAGCATACTTTTCCAAACCATTGAAATAAACAAGTCCTTCTTGCACAATGGTAGCCACATGGACGTTTTTGTGGTTGAAGATTTCTGCTTCCAAAACAACCCTTCGGTTCCCAAACCGTGTAGCCTTGAACTGAAATTTCATCCATTGAGTGGGATCAAAATCATGATCATGGAAGTAAACCACATGATCCAATGAGGTAGAATAGTAATGCACAAGATGGTTCAAATCAACGGTTTCCACTCTGAGAATTCGTGCTAAACGAGTGAGAAAAATTGAATCGCTAAGCACTCCAAGGCCCACATATTTGATCATTGTGGCACCAGGGGAATCACCATTTGCTAGTAGACGTGTCTGTTCTTCATCTGGGGTCCATCGAAGCAAAAATCCTACTTTACGGTCCGTAACATTCTGAAGTTCTTCTTCGATAGTGGCTGTTAAATCAACCATCTCCACAGGGAACTTAAAGTCCGTTTTAATGACACCAAATCGTTTGTCTGTAGGTAGATTCTCCAACTTGGGGCTATTCTGAAGCCACTTAAGTAGTGGTGTTTGAAATTGAATAGGTTTCGATGGTTCAACGTCGTCATCATTGTCATCATTATCGTCATCAGATGTTGACGATGCATTTTGCAGCTTATTGTATTTCTCCATCTTTTCCTCGTACTCTTTTACAGACTTACTAAAGTCATTAACTTTGGTTAACGACACACTGGCCAGAAATGTGATTTTCCCATCTTGAGTGGCCTGTAAATGTCTATTGGCAAACGTTTTCCCGTTGGAAACTTGTTCAACTTTCCATTCAAGGGGACTCTTATCTGTTGTGGCCTTCACAAAATAAGCATGTAATGAATGGGGTTCAAAACCCTCTCCAGCACTTGCCATTGCAACCATCAATGCTTGACCCACTAGGTTTCCCCCATAAACTCCTCGTGCAGCTCTATCTGGCTTGCAAAGAGGCTTTAGGCCCCTATAAGTAGACTCATCGATTTTCTCTACACCAAGAGAATCCACCATCATTATTTTCCAAGTAATAGTGAACTCAATAATTGTCTAGTAAATTTCTTGCACCTGGTTATGATTATATATCCTTTGTGAAATTCCGTTCGGCTGGAACTAAGTACTATTCTAGCCGAGTCCCGTACGCCTTCCCCACAATTCGGTACTACGTGCGGGTAACCTCATAAAACAAGATTACCAAGGCTTGCTTGTACTGTCCTTGAGGCGCAAGGCAACATTGAGTTACCGGAATTCAACTAGAAGGGTGGTAATAGTAGTAGTAGTAGTAGTAGCAAGTCATCCTACAGTACACATTTATCAAACTCTCAATTGAAATCACATTAATATACAAAATAACATAACCCACTTAACTATAACTTGTAGGTACCCCCGATTGAACCATCTGCAAGCCTCTTGGGCATAAACACAAGTCCCTCTTGAACAATGGATGCCACCATGTTACCATTTAATGTGAATAATCGACACTGGCAAAGCACCCTATTATTCAGTAACCGAGGAAACTTGAAATCCATAAACATCCATTCAGTAGGATCAAAATCTGAATCATGGATCCATACTGCATGGTCTAAACTAACCTTAAAGTAATCAAGATATTCAGGTTCCATATGATAACCAACAGCCATAGCCAAAGAACGTAAATAGAAAGAATCCAGAAGAAAGGCTAAACCTATTATTCTAGCACGATGCTTATCTAATGCTAAATTTAAATCATCATTAATACGAACAAAGACTCCAAATTCCCTATCACCTGGTGCCTTATGTTTCTGTTTAGTGGCATCTAATACTCCTGCCTCAAAATACTCAGGTAATACTATGTGTTGCAAGTTACCATTAGCATGTTCGAAATAGTCCATGTCATGAACTTTTTCTCTATACTTCTTGAACAAAGGATACGCTTCCAGTTGAAATTCAAATGGCACTGCAAGTTTCTTCATTTTCTTGGAATCATTAGCATATTCAACTAATTTATCACTGTAGTCTAGCTTTCTCAGTTGGATGCTGTTATCTCTTGTAAAACTGATTGATAACTCAAATTTCAACACAGAATCTTGAAACCCACGCACTAATCTGTTCTTATAATTACGGCCATCATTATTAAAATCTACTTCCCATCTAACCGGAACATCTGGCATCCCAGCTCTAATAAAGTATGCATGAAATGAATGCGGGGAGAAATCAGTATCATCAATGGTTTCCCATGCAGCTATAATACCCTGACTCACAAGCTCGCCTCCATAAACTCCACGAGCACCAGGGAAGAAAGATTCTAACGGATACTTTCCAACAAAAGTATTCGAATCTATAGAGTTAACAAGGAACTTCTCTTCTAATTTAAAGACCTTTGGGTCGTCATACAAAGCAAGCAGCATCTTTGTCATAATGATTAAAACACAGTTGGAATAAAAATATAAAGGGAATGGTAAGATTGTTTTATACTTTTCCGCCCAGCCTACCTCTGACTCAAGATCATCGGTCCCTTCGCTTCACGTTTTATAAACAGCCCTCTTATAACCGCGTATATCCAATCGATAATTTTATTCAGTACACTAAATACTCCACGAACCGAGGTATCGTACGCTCCTGCATGAATCGGCAGAACCGAACATGTGCAGTTTGGTTGCAAAATCCGTGCTTCAGTGGGACTTGATCACGGAAAACGGAAACACTAAGAAATGAAACTGCCCTAACTAAGTAATAAGTGCTAAAATGGTTCACAATCTCAGTGCCATTTCAGGAACCATGTACACAAGTCCTTCTTGTATGACAGTTGCCATACAATTTCCCTTATTGTCGAAAAAGCCACCCTGCACTAGAGCTCGGTTGTTGCTGAGCCGTTTGTAATGATACTTGAACTTGTGCCATGACGAAAAGACATCAAGTTGATCACAATCCGCATGAAAGTAGATATGGTGATCCATTGACATTGCATTGTAGTGGAAAATATGAAGAACATTAAACAGCTGAGTCAACAATTGCTCCAATGCACTTTTATTTTGGTCGGGTTCCTCTGTTCCTTCTGTTAAGTTCCAGGGCACATGTAATACCCTTGCCAATGTGGTCAAAAAGGCGGAATCAGACAAATCTGCAAGACCTAAAAAATTGATGTTGGGGTCTTTTATCGGAGTATCTTGCTTAATCTTACTATAGACTGTAATTGACCTCTCCGATGGATCTAATTGGAGCTCTTCCGGACATTTTGTATAATCAAGGAATTCATCCAGGTAAGCGTTCGAGATGAAAGTTGTATGATTGACTTTATAGAAGTCCAGGTCAATTTTTTCATTTGAAAAGGGGCTCTCTGTTTCTTTGATACCAATTTCTTTGTCTTCTTTTTCTTGTTCTTTGGGTGGCTTGAACGAGCAGTTCTTTTTGATCAAGCTAACCCTGCAACTCAATTTTGTCTTGCCGTTTTGACTCACCATAATATCTCTGTAAATGATATCCGGGTCACTTGTGTCATCCAACTTAAGAACTTTGAATTCCATTGGATGCTTATGATTTCCAGGACGAAGGAAATATGAATGGAACGCATATGGCCTGTAAAGAGTTTTATCACTTGATTCCATAGCAGCATACAATGATTGAGCCACTATATGTCCCCCATATACACCTCTTGCTCCATTTATGGGCAATTTAAGAGGATGGGCACCTATGTAATGTTCATCATCCACTTTGATTAACCTAAAAGTCTCCTCAAAATCGAAATCGGGGACTGGGTTGTTCTTCGAAATAACGTCAACTTTTTTCTTGAAGCTAGCATTATCTTTTGACATGTTGAAGTTTTTGTTATAATGGAGTTTCTTTCGTGGTATGAATCATGCCATAAAAAGTATGCCATTGGCCTGAGATCCTCGCATATTTGTAGTCTTGATTCCCCCACATATTTTTTTATCCGGAGAGAACCTGTATGGGGTTTTATTACGATACCTTACCCCATTTGGAACTAGAATGGGTTAAACGCTCACATGCAAGGGCATTCTAAAACTAACTTGGATAATCTAAACTTGTCACTAACTCAGGTATTGGATCCCCGTAATACAACTTATCCCACAATTTCAAGAGCTCAATACTTTTTGAAGTTCGCTCTTGGATAAGGTACTCTGGCATACGGATTTGACTCTTGAGTATTGGTTTGCAGTACATTTGGGGTGTAACCTCGAACCTTCTCTGTTCAAAGCTGCTGAAGTATAAATTGAAGTAAGTTCCCTCCATTACTAGAAGCATGTTCCCGGCATCAAAGACTTGAGGCATTAGAAGTTGTCGAGCCTTCCCATCCGACCAACAATCGACTTTATCATCCTTCGTCAAAATGCTATTCCATAGGTTATACAAATAGCTAACAATGTCCCAACCATTTTGATAAAACTTTAATTTTTCATCACCTGGAATAGTTTGATAAGGATATTGGGAGAAAATATGGAAGGGGCCAAAATCAAACTTGAGTTTGAAATAAGTTCTGAGAGTAACGAAGAAATGAAGGCATTTCAAATGTAGCCCACCACATAAAAGGATACACCAAATTACTCTATCTAACATAATAATCATTGTTGGATCGTCATTTGGCTTATTTGCTGCTGCTATCAAATAGTTAGTAGCGGCAGCAAATAATTCATTAAACTGAAGTTTCTTTGCATAGCGGGAGACATCATTTGGGTAAACAAGAGTTACACTTTCAGACATTAAATATGCTCGTCTCTCGCAGCAAAACCCTGCGTATGCGTTCAAATGTGGACCTATATTTCCCTCAAAGTATGTTGTGTGTGTTTCGTAAACCATTTCTGAGTTCTGAAGTAGTTGTAAGCACCAACTCTGGTAATCATCGAGAGGTATATCTGCTTGGCTTCTCAATACCAGTTCACATAATAATGCATGGCAAATTATGTATGCTCTTATTCCTAGATATTTATGTGAGGCTATATTATTCCGAAATCTATTTCCTAGATCTGTTAGAAACTCAAATAGCCATCTAAAGTGGAGAATGGCATTCTCTGCTTCGTTTTGAGCCAATGATAAAAATCCAAGTATAAAACGATGCCTCGAAATCATTTCACAGAGACAGAAAGAAGAATTTTTAATATTGGACGGCAGTGAAAGCAACTCAATTACATTGCTTATCAGACAGCAAGTATCTAAAGGTAAGTGCTCTTGTCGCTGTTCGTTTATGCATTTCTTAATTGTTTCATTGTACTTCAAGATATCCGTATATAAATGCAGTGGAACGCTAGGGTAGTAAGTAATGAGCTGAAAAATAGAACATAGTGGATCGTTCTCTTCGTGCAATATTAGACTGTTTTGCTTGAATCCTCCTTTCTTAAGCATACCGATCGAGCGGTTTACAAAACTCAATGCATTGTAACAGAGGTTTCCTAATGACTTATGCGGCAAGGCACACCCACTTGAGATTAACTCCTTAACTTGTGTTGCAAAAGATTTTGAGGTGAAATGATATTCGGCTAAACTAAACAAAAATATTATTAGTAGTTGTTAAGGCTTTGGAATGTGTTTCTATACGTACTCTTTTGTTGTCAAGCGTTGAACTTTTTCAAGTATTTCTTTAAGAAACTCTTCACTATTGTTGATGTTGTTGCTATGATCTTCATTGTTATCTTGCTGAAGAGCCTCAACTGACTTTAAATAGATCAAATCACCAATACAGGCACTTGATGTTTCCTTCCAACCCATAATTTTACACCACTTTAGCATGATCCATAGGAGGTCTCGTCGGCTATCTAAATCAGACTCCTGTTCTATCAAGGCACCTAATCTACGTTTCGCTGACTCTGTTCTCCCCATTTTGAAAAGGCTTTTGGCAAGAATAATCTTCTTATCTGTTGGTAACTCAGATAGTAACCTTGTACTTAGGTTTGACACGAAATCGAGAAGACCTGGCAATTTGTTGTGGACGTAAAGATATTCAATATGACTACTCACAAATTCTATATCCTGTGGACCAAGTACGGGAGAACTAGACGTGAGCTGCTCATATTTTGACGAACTCGTAGTTGGGATGCTGCTGTTTGTACTATTATTTATAGAGGATTCTTCTTCAAACACTCTATATCTCGGCATCCTTGTATTATGGGTAGAATGGTTGCAAAAAAAATGAGAACTGACACCTCCACACTAAATCAATAATGAAACGCTCTAGTTTGGTTATACGGTGTTCCTAAAGGAGAGTTGGAGTAAAGTGTATTCTGGATTATTTTATAAAACAAGATCTTTGGTTTACGAAGAAAGAAAATGCTCAAAGAGTTAGAATACAGCTCAGCTATAACTAGTTTGTTGATATGTGGTCATAACCCATATACGTTTGTGGTAGCGCTGTTTGTAATACAAATTTCTGTTTTATGCACGACATTTTATTGATGAGAGCTAATGAGCGAGATGAGCTTCTAGCACCTTGACCTGCTCATTTCAAATTGATAGGGGAAGAAGAAAGAAACCTATCTATTACTATGAGTGCCAAGAAGCCTGTGGAGGATATACCGAAGAAGTTTATTGACCCCGTTGCCAGTAAGGATGCGGATGAAGGAGACCGTGTTAACGGGAAGAATTGGAAAATGAAGAAGGATGCTTTCAGAGTTAAGTCTTTGGGAGTTTCCAAAACTCTGTTTAGCAAAAGACAAGAAAACAAGCTCTTGGAAGAACAATATAAGGCTCGTATAGCTGATTTGAAGCAGGAGAAGAATGATGCTAAGCAAGCTCATATAAATGAGCTCAAGAGACGTAGAGAAATCAAGGCAGAAAAGGAACGGTACGAGATGATGGCTACCAAGATGCATGCTAAGAAGGTTGAACGTATGAGGAGAAGAGAAAAGAGAAATAAGATGTTAAAGGAGCGTTAATTGGTGATATTGACTCTGACTGTCTGTCTGTATATTAGGTATATATTTAAGTAATGGAAATTTGCATTGAATAAAAAACAAGTGATTTACTTTGTGATTAAATAAGCTCTCCGACTCCAAATACGTTCCCTAGTATTTTTATAGAAGCCATCAGTCTTTTCGGGTTTCTTCCAATGTGAATCTGTATATACCCAACTTGATGCTTTCCATCGTTGATCTAACCATTCAAACAGATACTTGTGAATATCATCTGCATCTGATGGTAGTTCAAAATCATTGGGAGACGAACATGCAATGGTTGGATTTGCCTTATAAGAGTAAGGAGGCCTGTCTACCACATTTTTGGACCAGCCAAGTATAAGCCAACGACGTTCATTTTCAAGAATGTCAAATCTCACTATCTTCTTCCCTGGCAAGGAGGTAGTATCCACAACCACAAACGTTGTAGTAGCAGAGGAGGAGGATGAACTTACTTTGTTAGCATACAGTAATGATTTCTCATCTATTTTTTCATCTGTGATCAGTTCAACATTTATAAGCATTCCTAATGCCAATTTGACGTACACTGAACGCCACAACAACCGACGGATGGCATAAGCATAAGGAGCATTGAACGTCAATAGAACCAACCCTAAAATCAAGATATATGTCTTTAATCCCAAGATATACGTGATTAGAGAATAGTGTATAGGTGTAAATAAGAGAACCCCCATAATAAGCTTATTCTTATTGATACGTTTCCTGGTCACTGACAGATTATTGAATAGGTATATGCAACGTTCAGTTATATTGTTTAGCACATAGAGAACCTCATCAACTGTAGGTTTCTCGTTATAGGCTGAATCATACACCACAGTCGTGACGTGATATACCATGGCACTGAATGCCAATGTTATCAATAATGGTAGAAGTACATGGCCAACCCAAGACCAATTTGTCACCATCAAAGCATATCCCACACATACAAGGAAACTGGAATAAGCCAGATCCTCGTTAGTCCATGTAATGATCTCAAGAAAGTTGTCCACAAGCAGTAGATATGGGAATGCCTGTGAGAGTGTTGAAGAAAGCATAGGATTCTCATGAAGGAGTTGTGAATTGGATACCCAAGTTAAAAGCCGTGAGTCCAGTGGCTCAAATGGCGCCACTACTTTAGGCATGACGATAGTTGCTTCTAAACCGTGTAATTGACTCCTCTTGGTAAGAAGATGAAGAGTACTTCTTTACTGCATTGAATAAGGATAACACTGTGAATACTTCAATCTTACGCACGCTATTTTCTCGGAATGGATAAATGTGGGGCAGGGAAAAGGTTTATAACCGTTTTAGGCATATGATAGTTTCTCCTACCGAGCTTTCTGCACGGAAAAATTCAAATTTGTGTGAATGAAATCATCGTACATAGTTTTCAATCTTCCGTTCAAAATATATATAAAAAATACACAACTAAAAGTATCCCTAACCCTTACGTAAAATAAACAAAAAAAATAAGACATAAACATAAAACACTATTGTTAAAGGTGGAGTGAGTTCTCACCATCACTTCTTAGGAATTGCAGATTTTTCTATTAGTTGATTGACCTCACTGGCATTTATCACTACCCCTTTATCGGAACATTTGGCTTTAACCTTCAATTCGTCACACAAACTGTCGATATCAAGCTCAGTGTAACGTGGATGGCTTGTAATCCGATCCCAAATCTCTGCACATCTATATGTGGGTTGTGGAGCAGGCACTACGTCATCATCTTCGACAGCTGGAGCTTCTCTTGCATCAGTGCTTGTTTTTCCTTCAGGCAAATACGAGGCAACATTGGGAGATAATTCTGGTCTCAATCCATAGTCTTCAGGTGACTTTTCACTAGGTAAAGAAGATTTGACAAATTCATTGAAATTGAAATTGACATTAACATCACTCAAGGGATCATATATTGAATCTTCAGTAACAAGCATCTTGAGAGGATCAGTATCGTCCCTGATAGTTCCAGGGGTATTTCCACTAGTAGCAGTAGTGTTTGTGGGGGGGTTATTATAGCTGTAGGCAACATCATTAAAAGAAGTGTCGTTTTGATCAAAGCCACTTTGTTTGTCACCACTAGTTATTGATCTAACAACATCATCAACAGTGGCATCCACTTGAGCACTCAATTCTGCATTGGTGGCAGTGGTAGTATCATTTTTCGTTAAAATATCTACATTGTTGGTGGTGGTTTCTGGAATGTTATCAAACGCTAAAGCAACATCAAAATTGTCCTCTTGTAAAAACAGTAATGGATCAACTGATGCATTTGGAGTAAATTTACCAACATTGGAAGTTCCTGTATTGCTTCCCAAAGCTTGATCTGGACTAAAAACAAAACTGAATTCTGAGTTCGATCCATTAAAGAATGGTTCATTATTATAATCCAGTATTTCAGAAGAAGGTGTCACCAAGTTAGCAAACGGCGAATTGTTTGAATTTGTAGTGTTGGATGTTGCAGAGCTGTTGCTATTGGATTGGTTCTTCTCACCACCTTCCGTCAAATTCATATTAACACCATGTAGTATTTGAGAACTTAATGTTGATATTCCAGAACCATTAGAAGAAACAGATTTACGAAGATACTTTGGAACTGGTTTATCTTTAGTACCGCATGCTTCGCTGAGACTGGCACAAAAAGGGTTAGTTTCTTCTTCAAACTTGCCCACTAAATTGTATTCACTAGTTGGCAAGGACGAAGCCGAATGTGATAGATTGACGGATGTTGGAGCTGACGAGGTGTCTGATTGTGGTGTGTTTCGTACTTCATGAGGTGAAGTTATTGAGCTTGAAGTTGAAGAACGTTGAGGAACATTTACTGCATCAGCCTCAGAAACATCCTTCGAAGTATACAATGCAAGAGATTGCTTGGACCAAGGGAACGAAGCGGTGGTGGCCGAAAGATCCGACATGCTAGCCAAAGAAGAGTTAACTTCCGGATTGGTCGAAGTGGTATAATTATTCGAGAGGTCACCAACATCTCCACCTCTGAAACGAGCCAATTCATTCTTTAACATTGATACTTGAGCTTTAAGGAAATCAACTTCTGTATTTGCTTGGATATTACGATCTTCCAAAGACTTCACTTGATCTTCCAAATCCTTCATCTTCTTTTCCTTTCTCTCTCGGTAAGCTCGTTGGGCAGCTCTATTTTGTGCCGTCCTCTTTGACTTGGGTTCAGATTCAATAGGCTTACGGCCCGGCTTCGAATGCTTTTTGTCATGCGAGTCCATGACGGCCCCGTCCATAGACGAAAGTGGTCTTTTATAATCAGCCATAGTTACTCTTTGCTCTTTATGAAAATAGAGTACTCAATTTTATATTAATCACGATTTCGTTCGCTTGTTCGTTCGTTCGTTCGTCCCTCGTATCCTCAAAAATTCAACACCGTTTGCAAACCTACACCTCAAAAATTAAACCGGCTCAATATCAACAATTCAAAACGTTATCCTCAACAATACAAATTAAACCAAAGATATAAATGTGTATTGATAGAAGTTAAAGAGCAAGAGAATGTAAACCACTTAAGTTGATGTAAAATCATCTCCATTTATTACTAAGCATCCATTTATGACTATTTGGTCGTGTTCTCCTCACTCCGTTTCGGCGCATCTGGCTGGGGTTGCGATGAAGGAGAACCGCCCGCTTTTTGGGGGAGCCGCGCCCAAACAATCTTGTATGGTTCTGACCGTTAATGTGAGTCGTGAAACGGAGAAGAAGACGGAAGAACGTGATGGGACAATGCTATTTTATTTTATTGTTACGTTTTATTGTTTTGGGGATTTAAACTCTCAGGCATCAATTCGTTGAGTGGCAACGTCACCACCCACCTGCCTACAGATAAGAAATAAACGGACATAAAGCCAAAATTTATTACCTGGGAGGTACGACCTAGATTTTTCCTCGTAATCCACGCCGGATAAGGGAGTCCAACTGCCTTTTTGGACAAGGGAGTCCAGGCAGTTGCATAGTATATATATGGTGTAGCGTCTCCTACTTTGGAACAATCATCCAAAAGGCTCTCTCCGGTATGTATCTCCTTATAGGCCTCGCATCATCAATTGCACTTTGTTCAGTACACTCTCTTATTGTATAGCAGCTAGTAAAAGTTGTAATACGCTCTATCTATTATTTATATCAGTATTGGCGTTTGAATTACTGGGATTCGTCCTGAATTCCAGACATGTTATCTCTATGAACGGTTTCTATCTATGTACAACGTCATCTAGTAGATCTCTAGTGCAGCACTATTATTTGGGGAAAATACCGATGAGGTCCGGGAACTACCCGTGCTTTAAACGGCTGATTCGTTTTAACCATCTCTTGATACGATTTAACATGTTGCCCATACATATCAATCGATTCATTTATCTGTGACATCCATTTGGTTACTTCGGTTGTGTTCACAAATGCTTTCTTATGACCATCGATGTTAACTTTCGCTGAAAGAGCCCTACACACGGTAAGTTGGGTTTCAATCGACTTGATAGTTGAGTGAGTAGGATGTGAATTAACATATTGTTCGTAAGTTGGCGTCTCAGGTACACCAATGGAACCCCAAGGTTTCATCCGAAGCTCATATATATGCTTCATATCTGTTTGACCTGTAGGAGCAGTTGTGTTGTTTGTCTTCTCCATCACCAAAAAACACCAATCTCTAGCTGCCTTACACAATTGGTGCATTAATCCATGTTGTGGAATAAGAAACTCTTCGTGATATTTACGCAAGTCTTTAAGGTTGGGTAGCTCATTGGCAACTGCATTCTGATGTTGGGTTCGAAGATCATTCTTTTTGGCTCCGGCTTTCAACTTTTTGATTCGTTTAGGTAACACTATTTCAATAAACCGAATCTTAGAGTCAATAATCAGTCGTACTCTACCCTTTAAATGTTCAACAAGCTGGTCCTCTAAATATCCAAGATACCACCAAAGAATCTCACACTCAAATAACTTACTTGGATCATAAATATTCAACTCTAGCGCCATGTATCCTAAGTCAAGCATTCGACATAATTTGCAATAATACACCCATGACAGCAATGGTAACCCAATTGAAGAGTCTCCTTTGGCATTTGTAATCTCATCACCAACTCGAGCAAAGTCCCAAATGGAGGTTTCCAATTGTTCACATTGCATCTGAGCCGAGTCCCATAAAATGATTGAACGGTTTGCCAATTGTCTTTGTCTACAACGGTTGTTTGCAGCCAGTGCCAAATCATGATAAACCACCGATCCAATTTCTTGAAGCACAGGAACAAGCAGTTCAAGAACTCGGGCTTTTACTGTTTGAACATAATCTGGTTTCCCTTGAATCCCTGGGACCCACATGTCCGGTTCAAATACCAGACAAGGGCCTCCGACAAGAGATTCAATTAATAGTCGAACCATCAGAGGTCGTACAATACTTCCATCAACAGTGACATCACTCCCAAGTACCAGTCTATCTTCTCGAATTAAAATCATCTGAAATAACCCTCTAGCAAGAACACTATAATCGGGATTTATATTGTGGCTTATATCATACCTTAAAAAATTGCATAATTGTTCGGAAGTTTCAATTTCAAATTCATACTCAATATAACTCTTTATATCAGTAAACATAGCTTTCAACTTGGCATGAACATTCTTTGTCAGTTGAAGTTCTAGGGGAATATTCCCGTTGTTAATTGTGGTTTGGACATACCGGGAGAATGCTCCTTTGGGAACATTACCGTCATCATCTTCAATTGATTCATCAAATTGTACGAGATAAGATAAATTCCCAAGTCCATGAAACAAGAATTCCATATTTGTCTTTGGTTGCTTGTTTTGGATATCAAACTTGATTTCCATCAAGGAGAAAATTTGATTCATTTGCTTCATAAGATTCAAGTATGCTATCATTCTTTTACTCAAATCTGCTGGTATGTTCTGACATCCTATCCATTCTATACTTCCATCGATTTCTTTGAAAATGGCATCTAACTCAAAAGAATGGAAAAAATCAATAAATGGTCTACTTTCTTCTTGATAATCTTTGCCAATGCCAAATAATGCATCTTTGTCTAAATTCCTGCTAGTAATATCTTCAGCTTCGTTTAATACCCATCTGGCCATGTTGATTGTGCTATCGATCATTTTACATAACCCTAAAACGAAGGCTCGAAGCACTTGATTCACCAATAGGTACTCGAGAGAACTCTTGTTGATTTCGGATGATTCGAGCAATTGAGGAATTTTGAATATTATTCTATCAAGTTTTGGAACACCATCATTCAATTCGGATTCTTTATAGTAGTTCTCCAAAATATTCTGCACATATCTACAACTAAGCACTGTCACAGTTATTGAATGGTTTTCAAGCCATGCAATATATCCCCTCAATAACTTATGCATAATTCCAATGATCTCCATGGAGTTACGAGGGAGCTCAGTATTAAATGAACCTTCTTCAGATGAAACAAAAAGCATACCTGTGTCAAGCTTTTCATTACCAACTTCCAAGGCTCGTGTCCATTCAGAGAGCAGGAACGCTTGATTATGTACTACTTGGGTCATCATAGCATCTGACACACTCTCCCATAGAGCCTCTGTCACATCCTCGAACATCTCTAGTGAGTATGAATGTGTTCCACTAGACTGTTCATTGACAGGATTCGAAGGTAAGTTCACTGCTGTTTCATATTTGAGTTAGTACAAATGGATCTTGGGGCGGTCATGTTATCGTCATTGTCATACCGTTTGATAGCGCCATTGTAACCTTACAATAGTAGTCTGGGGAATTGGATCAGAGATGGTAGCTCTTTCTAAATCAATCTGTCAAAATTTTGCCAGGATCAGATCAACTTTACCGGATTAAATGTCCTCGGTAGTACCCTCGGAAATTGGCTTGTTATACTCCTCTGTGGTTGCAAAAACGATATAGTATGACAACTGAGTTGACCCATGTTAGAATTACCATCCGATTTGGAAGCCACAGTAGTATTTATCATTTTTAAAAGCAACAGGTTCCTATAATTTACAACGAGAATGGCCACATGGAACGAAACGACGTTTTAGACGAATATCCTACGATTCTAGTCCACACTTTGTATTTCTTTTTCAGCTTTTTTAACTCTCTAGTGGGCTTTAAGTCTCTATTGTCAGATATTAGTCTGAAACAAGCATTTCTAAGGAGCTACCAACCCTATCACAATTCTACTTAGTCGTCGTAAATTAACCTCAAGCGATAACTTCCTCAAAATCAACGAGAGGGTGTATACATTTCATATCCGAATACAATTTATCCCCAGTAGTCCTTAATTTTAAGACTTCAGTATTGCGGTATCAAGTATTTGAACATGTATAATCAGAATGTTTGAATTGAAACTTGGTTGCGTTGCTCTTGATGGTGCGACTCCTTCGCTGCCAAACATTTTCTCAGGAATGGATCGTAATTACATCGAAACTTTCTTGTAGCACAGATGGGGAAGCCCATCCCAATAGGGTTGATTAGGCTCTCTTCCGGGTTTGTAAGGTTCCCAAAAATGACTCTTGCTCTCCTAGTCCGGTAGGAACCTAATTGTAATCTACCGAATTATAATTTACCGTTGTTGTATATGTAGTGTTACATAGATCTAAATGGTTATTGTAAGAAAATATAGTATATTTCTAAAATAAGCATGAAAGAAAAATGAAGAGCATGTGGAACCGTTTGTACACAATACATAGTATAGAATGTCAGATATCTCGTATTCAGAGTTTAATATGTTGGTGTTAGGGGCTTTTTCTAATTTTCTAATAATATTTTGCGAAAGTAGATAACGTAATTTGATCAATAGTGCTTTTTTTACTTAAATAGTTTCACCTTTTTGGTTTGAATTCCATTCGTTAATAGTGTCAAGTAAAATTTTCCCAGTCTTGATGAAATCTTCTAACTCATTGTAAACTTGACAACTAAAACGAACGTACCATTCACCTTCAACTTTGAATGTTGGTGCAAACGTTCCCTTACTGCACATTTTTTCACACATCCAAAGTTGCATTGAATTACTTGGATCCAAAGGATCTAGAGGGACCACTGGTAATTGAATATTTACCATAGCTAGTTGAGGAGAGTATATCACCTTTTTAGTACCCCATAAATTAGATAACTCCTTCCCAACATTTTCCGCCAAGGAGGAGCAATATGAATTAATTGCTTCTTCTCCCCCCATTTCCTTCCTTACTTCAATGGCAGTTGGAATAACTGCCACAATGGGATAATTTTTCAGATTGACATACTGGAATTTATCCACTAAAGTGTTTTCATTGATGGGTATATCATGACCATATTGTATGGGCCAAGGAACCAAAGATCCATGATGCTTGGGATCAACATGCATAACACACGATCCTTTAGGTACATAGCACCATTTATGCAAATTTGAAAACCAGATATCAGGTCTACAGCTTTCATCAGAGAAATCAAGATGTATTTGACCTATTGAATGTGCTGCATCAACAATAGTTTTCACTCCAAATTGGCGACTTAGGGCCAATATTTCTTTGTAGGGCATCATGAATGGCGGTGCCAGGGGTATCAATTCAAAATGAACAAACTCAATGGCGGTATTACCAGTAAACGCTTCACGGAACTGGTCCAAGATTTCCCTTGGTTGCATAAAAGGGGAAATATTAATGGTGACAAATTTAACATCATGAACATCATTAAGATACTTTATAGTGTTCAAATTACTTCCAAAACAATGGGAGGTGATAGCAATGGTAACGCCCGGTTTTATAAGAGTTTGGGACCTTAAAACACAGTTAGCAGCAGCCGTAGTACTGTTTACGAGGGCTAAATTGTGCCAGTCAGCGCCAATGACTGTAGCCACCAGTTGTAATGCCTTTTTGTAGTTTTGTGGGTGGATCAAATTGATGTATTTATCAGGGAAGGAAGCTTCTGAAATCATTGCTTTTCGATGTGCTTCAAGAACTTCATCGGGAACTACTCCATAAGCCCCGTGATTAACGGGAATCACATCCTTAGAAATGTTAGAAAAGAACTTGGCACGATTTTGCTTACCAAACGGTACTTGCGACATGGTAATGAAACTGAAGTGAAGGTAAATATGGAAATTGTTTTTCGCAGCCGACAGAGAATCATGCTCCTATTTATAATAACAGAATGTGCTGATATGGCAGTGAGTCATTTTTAAGTCTAAAAGTTAATAACGTATTTATCTTATCTAAAAGAAGTCTAAACAAAAGGGGACAAAAAGTATAAAGAGTCTATCTCTCAAAGATTCAATTTATTTCTTATACGCCAAATGGAAATGGCTTCTAATAATTTATCCGCAGCATATTCAAAGTCAAATAAATCATTGTACACTTGGCAACTAAATCTGGCGTACCAATGTCCATTCCATTTAGTGATTGGAACAAAAGTATTGAAGTTTTCCATTTCAATATCACCTAACTGTTGGTCCATCGCTCTTGATAGAGGAAGATCATCCAAAGCTGATGGTGGCAAACGAACATTGACCATAGCGGTGGTGTAATCTTGATTTGAGGTATCTAATATATCAGTACCCCATCTTTTGGAAATAACATCACCAACAGTATGAGCCAATTGATTACAGTAGTCTATGATCTTGTGTTCTCCTCCACACTCCTTTTCGCGGAAGTCAATGGCAGTTTTGATACACAGTAGAAGGGCAACAGTCTTTGTACCGGTGTAGTAGAATTTATCTATAAGTGGAAGTGGATCGGAACTCGAATCAAAAGCGTCAACTGAGTACGACCATGAAATAGGCAAAGACATAATTTTGGTGTGCCATTTGGGACTCACATACATAACAGCACTACCTACTGGAACATAGTACCATTTGTGTAAATTCAGAACAAGGAAATCCGGAGCCAATTTGTCAAGATCGAGCTCAAGCATCCCAATACCATGGGCACCGTCAATAACAGACAACACATCGTGATTACGACAAAGAGCAACCAAATCTTCGAATGGGAGTCTGATAGCGGGCATTGATGATACCAAATCGAATACACAAGCTTTAACAGTTTCACCCGCATCTTTAGCGGTTTTTATTTCAGCTTCAAATACATCAACAATGTCTTGAGGAGCCATCTTTGGAATATCCAAATTCACAACCCTTACTTTAACACTTTGAGATGTCCTTAAGAAATCCACCAAATTCTTTATGGCACCGTAAATAACGCTTGAAATGATGATTGTATCGCCATGTTTGATGATTTCAGGGGATCTAAGGAATGAATTCAATCCTGATGTGGCATTATCAACGATAGCCAAGTTTGTATAGTCAGTTTTGACAACAGGAGCCAACAGCTTCAACGCTTTAATGTAGGTTGACTTCAAATGAAGACGGTACAGCCTATCTGGGAAACTGTAGAGTTCAAGAGTACTTTTGTGGAGCTGCTCCAACACTGGCGTTGGTGATAAGCCAAATGATCCATTATTCACTGGAATGACCTCAGGATCCAAGGAAGTAAAACAAGCCTTTCTAAATTCTTTACCGAATGGGACAGTCATGACGAATGCAAAGCAAAAAGATGATAGAAGAAAAGAGAAAATAGACAAAAATGAATGGGCGAATGTCTACAAATATATTTACAAATTTCAAAAGTATACCTGTTGTTTGTAACAATAAGCAATGCCATTATATTGTAAAGCACCATGAGTCATATTGACCTTGTCGACCTTGCCATATTAACCTTGCCATATTAACCTTGCCATATTAACTTTGTTATCGAGTCAGGGTTTGAGTGGCTTATATGCCAGTTTCTGATGTAGGTATTAACTGTACTTCATATGACTCACATAACCGGAATTGTATTACATAAGCACTATTGATTTGGTAACACATTTGAGTTTGGAAGAGTTGGGCAGCACCCCCTCTACAAATGTTGATATCAAATATCACGTGATACATATAGTGACATATTGTGAGGGGGCAGCTAATGATAAAGGAAACTTTGAGACCACGCCCCAATATCTCTTAATTGACTTAATTAGGCATATAGGAGATATATATGTGTGGCACACGACTAAACACTGTGCTGGCAATTACGCACGCTTGAAGTGGATTTACCAGCGTAATCGTAGGACTGGGCGCGCGTAATCAACAGCACTAATAATCGTATGGCACCCACTGAGAAAGTGTTTTTTTCCCTATATAAGTTTTCCCTCCTCCAATTCTCAACATACAAAAAATCTCCTACTATCTATAGTATATATTAATTTGTATACGAACCATAATTAAGGATAACTAAGTGATTTTTTCGCAACCTTTACTGCACTACCTGGTTGCAATCCATACACCAATCCTACATTAACACTTCATAGGTATGTTTTAACTGTATTATGTCTACTTGTGTGTCCGTTTTATCTAAATTAGCATCGTTGTTGTTGCTGGAGACGATAATTATTTTGAATAAGTGTGAGCTTTGTTAGCGTATCGAATTTGCGGCTGCAAACTAGATGTTCGCACCTCACCTTAACTCAGTCTAAGAGTCTGTTTTCGACATCTGTACTGGCGTCATTGATGGATAAATGGTGAGCTTTCTTATAGAGATTTACCAGGCTACTTCCAGTTTTTTGGAAGGAGTTACTCAATATGTTACAATCATATTGGTAGCCGATGTCCACGGTACTTTAGTGAGCTTAAATGAATTTTAACCACCAGCCGATGACTTGAACTACAATTGATATCCTTCCCATATGGATGGTATGGTAGTATGATAAAATAAATATCTACAACCGTCTTGCTCAATTTTTAGTGATTTTTTGGCTGTGGGTGGTGGAGGACCATTTTTGTCTCCGAAGTTGGCGATGTTCTTTTTTTTATGAGCACCAGGACTGAAACGTGATCATTTCCTCATTCGGACTTGAAACTGGATGTTGAAATGTTCTAGCCAGCCAGGTACACGACTCGAAAGACATTCATCCATACTCACACATACGCTGAGTGACCAAGTGTACGCAATCCTTCTCCTCAGAAAATTCGCGTTTCGCACTTCATTTTCATACTAAGGGCGAGAGTGTGTGTGATAGGATTGGACGTGTTGTTTACAGTGCACGTATTTGGCATCCATCTATATATCAGTACAAACACTGCTAAATGGACCATATTAGATCACACTGACTTTTTTACTGTTAATCTTTGAATCTTTTAGTACTAACTCCGAATCAATAGATTAGCCATGGTTGCTGAAAGAAGAAAGACCACCAGAAAGAAGAAGGACCCCGATGCTCCAAAGAGAGCATTGTCTGCTTACATGTTCTTCGCTAACGAAAACAGAGACATTGTCCGTGCTGAAAACCCCGGTATTGCTTTCGGTCAAGTTGGTAAGTTGTTGGGTGAAAAGTGGAAGGCTTTGACTGGTGATGAAAAGATTCCATATGAAAGCAAGGCTGAAGCTGACAAGAAGAGATACGAGAAAGAAAAGAGTGAATATGCTAAGAAGCAGAACTAATTGTAATGCTTTCTTTTTTAATCATTTGGGCTCTTACCTCCAACTATTATTTGCTTCTTAGTTGCAATTAACTTTGTATTTTCTGATTTTATTTTCCACTGTTTTATTATTGCAGGTTTCCTTGTCGATTTTTTTGGTGGTAGACTACATGCTTGCATGTTTGCTTGTCTGTCTGTTTCCTTTATCCAGAAATATCTCTTGGGTGCTTCTTCTTGGATCTTATCTGTGACTGTATCCGTTTTTGTATAATTTTGTTGAATGAATATATGGTTTATACCTAACACTTCCTGAGTAGAGAAACGCGCACGACCTTTGATGAGCCTTTTACCCTCAATTAATCCGACGATTACAAACCGCACTATTGTTTCGACGACGACATAAGTAATATTTTGCGTAAGATAAACCATAGAGGACAATTCTTGGACTCGATTGCATGGACTGCTAGTTTTTAGTCCAGTAATTTTTTTTTCCAGCAGTACTCCTTTTCCTAATATAACAAATAATGATTCCTCCACCTTATTTGACTAGCGACCCCAAATCGTTTGGATACCCCACGGTACATAAGAGATGGCCCATTATTGTATCTGATGCCATCAAAGATGTTGAAGCCACCATAAATGCAAACCAGGCAGAAGCCATCAAAAATCTGGGAAAAATCATCGTTGGAAAATTACAGAAGCTCTTACAAGATTTCAAAGATGATGCTCAAGTGCGGCCGTTTACGGAACAAGAAATTGAGCTTAATGGTGATTTGAAAGTTTATAATGAACAATTGAACGCATTCCCTCCATCTATAACCTGGCAAGATGGTCTGTGGCTTTTCCTTGAATGTTATCTTTATCAATATATGAATAACTTCTTCCTTATTGAGAGCGTTGAGGTTCCATTCTGGAAGACGTTTGATGTGTTTGCTAACTTGAAATGGCTCTCGTTCAAATCATCTGAACCGGGAGTAATGGAATTGGCGCACCATTACCATTCTTTATCATCTCAGTTAAATCTCAGTGGTGCCACTGGTGCCACCACAGATGCAAAGAAAGCCATATTTTCTGAGTTTGTAGAGATAGCTCTTTGGGGGAATGCTACCGATTTAAGTCTTTTGGCAGGTACAACATCTCTTGAAGACATTCAAAGTGTACAAGGTAAGAATGCTAGAACTGCAAACCAATCTAAAATTCTTATCAATGACACTGAAAAAGCCTGGAATCGTCTTTTAAGCACAGCAGATGCTGGTGATGGTGCTGTGTCCGAGTCAACCGGAGTTCACATTGTCCTTGACAATGCTGGTTTTGAACTCTATACTGATTTGGTATTCAGTTTAATCCTTTTAGATTTGGGAATCACAAATAAAGTCACATTACATGCTAAGAAGTTACCTTGGTTTGTATCTGATGTTCTTATTGCAGATTTATCTCATTTGCTATCTCAAATAGTTGATCCATCGTTTTTCTGCCTCAATGAATCGGTCCAATATGTTCACAAGATCGTATCAGGATACTTGGCCAATGGGAAATTATCTATCACTACAAGTTCATACTGGACTCGTCCCGATGCGTTCTGGTCAATTCCAAGTTGTGCTGAAGCCAGTTTGAAGAGTCAATTGGAAGCTGCTCAATTGGTTATTTTCAAAGGAGATTTGAACTATAGAAAGTTAACTGGTGATGTTTCTTGGGACCCTACAACGCTGTTCGCCACTGCCTTACAACAATTAGGAGAGACCAAGATCCCTATTCTTGCTTTAAGAACATGTAAAGCAGATGTTGTTGTTGGTTTACAACCAGGTACCTTTGAAAGGGTTGCTAAGGAGTATAAGGCTATGGGAGATGGACTGTGGGTGAGTAGTGGGAAATGGGCAGTTATATCTTACCATAAAGGAATGTAATATAACTATACGTATAGCCCTACATTTATTAGACAGATTATAACGATTATTATTATTATTACTATTACTATTATAAAGTACTTATATGGTGGCCGGCACCTTGGGAGGCTAGGCGTCACCTGCCCTTCGAGAGTTGCAAGCCACGATCTTAAACTTCTCAATCTTAACTTCATTCGAGCCGTCTTCCAAATCAACAGAGTCGCTCAATTTGATCAACACATTCTTGATGATAAACGTCCATACATCATCACAAAACCGATAGGTGTGTAGGTCACCTTTAAAGGTCAATTTTGATCTTTGGGTCAAGAGTGATTCGTTCTTGAACAGATCACTAATCACTCGATCAAAGTTGTCAAGAATACGATTTGCCAACTGAGGTTGAATCATTCCGTCCAGAATGAGGGTATCAAGAGCATCCATCAACGTCAGTCCAATTGTCAGCCGTCGATAAAGCTGGTAATAAGCTGGCGCAGACATGATTAAGATCGGGGTGTAGTATTAAGGTAAGGAAAGTAGTGGGTAGTAGTGGTTAGTTTTCGCCATGTAAATATTTTTCGAGGATGTGATACAAAGAGAAGAATAGCCATACTGCCAAACTTACTTCCATACATATATACACTGCTATACAAATATACACATACTGCCATACATATATATACATACTGCCATACATATACATACATACTTCCATACATATACATACCTTCCAAATATATACATGTATACTATGTCTGATATCAGTGTTAATAAGCGATACAAGAATGCTGTTGACTTGCTCAATGCGTTGGAAGCCTCAGATGACAGAAAGGACACTGAAGGTTTCCAACAACGATTGAATGAACTAATCAAGGAATTCGTGTTGATAAAAAGAATAGTTGATCTGTTGGCATTGTTCTCCAACAACGAGACCATAGACGAAGTGGCACATAACTACATTCCATTCCTCAATGTTGATTACTATTTAGCGAATTTGTATGGGTGGATCCAACCACCGCAACCTCAAAGTCTACAGCAGTGTAAAGCCCATTATGTGGAGTACATTCAATTGGTGGAAAGATATGGGCTACTTTCGTCCTCGCAGAAACAGCTAATTGATCCCATAGTGGAGAAGAAACCACTTTCAACCATGGACTTTGATGATTGGGATGCAGCTAACAGAACAGCATGGAGTCCCATGGAAAAGAGACAATTGAAAATAGATACCCATAAGCAAATCAAAGCATTGAAGGAGAAGTTATCGATACTATCAACATCAACATCAACATCAGGCATTGATGATGAGGCGGACAACCTCATTGATACGTTTGATGAAGATACTGTGAGAAAAGTGTATTTGGATCAAGTAAAGTTACACATCTTACTAAGCTTCAATCAACTAGAATCTGTGTTGATGGAGCTTGAACTTGCTAAAAAGGCTCCTCCCTTAAACCCCAACAAACACTACGAGGATCATCAGAAAGCTGCTCAAAGGAACGACAAGAGTGTTCCAACCAAAGATGGCTCCTCAGGCTATACCACCAAGGTAGAGTCCTTACCTTGGAAACAAGTTTCGGCAAGCCAATTGGTGTCAAAGCAAGGGAAAATCTTACAGCCATTCACGATTGTCTCGAATAGAAACCAATTGAGAGAGAAGGTCTTTGGTACAGGTCAAACGTTGCCTTCAATGACTGTAGAGGAATATCTAGACTATGAATTGGCCAATGGGAAGCTCATGAAGGACGAGGTAAAGGATAAGCCAAAGAACGAAGACGATGATGCCGAAGATGAAGAAGAAGAATTGAGAAATAGATTATGGGATGATTGGAAAGATGATAATCCAAAGGGTAGTGGGAACATGAAGGCCAACATAGGGTGAATATGTTTATACATATATACATAAGTATACATATCTATAAAATGTCATTCTCTAACTCCTTGAACCAACTGTAATACTCATTGCTTATTTGACTGAGAGTGATCAACTTTCCCATGCTAATTAACCATCTATCATCATCCTTTTCAAAGCTCTTGATGCAGTTGACAATAATCAAATACAACTCCAACACCTTCAACTTGGTTGCCTTTGGATCATCATCAATTTTCCAAGTACTCTGTTGACGGTAACGCACTATAAACCAATACAAGCTTTCGCACGCACCTCTTGTATCGACCAAAGTATTATAATCTTTGATATTATTACCACCTCCAAAGAGCCTCCATGAAAAGATGGCCTTGTGAATGATCAATGCCCGCATAACATCGTCGGTTTCGGCTTCCGCTAAGGACACCAAGATGCGGTCAATCAACAAGTAGTTGCTTGTCACTGGTTGGCGATGGAACAATTGGTCTAATTGGTTGGTACTTGCCAACCTCCCAATATACTTTTGAACATACGATTCATAGTCAAACGTCAGTTTCAAGTTCCCAAGTGATTCAAGAACCACGTCGTAGTCGTTAATACCAAGTCCCATTTCAAATATGTTGATGTAATATGAGTTTCTGTCTGTGATATTAGCCCCAACATCACCACTATGATTCAACTGTTCAATGGCGAGAAACTCAAAAGCTATTGATATCTTAAGGTATTCAGTGGATAAGCTAGAAGAATTGGGATCTTGTGGTGATGCCTTATTGGTTATCGCATATTCCTTCGCTAGGTGAGCTAATGAATGATAGTATGAAACTGGACCATCAAAGCAATCAGCCAAAAATTGACTAATGGCTTTGTTACTCTGTAATTTACTTCTCAACTTATCAATAATCCCCTTTGGTAAAGCAAGTGGTGGGACTTGTGAGAATACCTTGAACATCTCTTGAGGTTTACCATCGATTAAATATACCAACCCTTTCAAGAATTGATCTGTTGGTTCGGAAGGTGATAATTTAGAAAAGAATTCCTCTTCAATTAATAACCCTCCATTATGGCCGATCAATCCAAGAATCACATCTAAAACAAATTCAGAATTAGAACCATTGACAAATTCAATTAACTTTTGGAATCCACTATTTTGACCATCGGTAACCAATTGAGTTAACTTAGGACTTGTGGAGATAATCTCCCAGAGAATACTCAGTGAAGCCTTTCCTAACACGTTTGTGGTTACGCTGGAGTTAACAACACTAGTTCCAACAACCACGTTCAATTTGGTATAGTTTGCTAACACTTCAACTATCTGATTTATAACCCCAAGAACGTCATCATCTAGTTCAGATACAAGAAACAAAATCAAAAGTCCTAGCAAAGTAATTTCATGAGACTGTTCAAGTTTGGAAATGGAGTTCATAAATATAAGCTTTTGGTATTCACTTGGAGTTGAACTTGAGGAAGAGAAACTTTGAGACGAACAGGTTCTAGAATGTTTCAAGTCAAAGAAAGATTGAATTAACTCATCAATTTGGGGAATGGCTTGAAGCTCTTCTTGTAATTTCTGGGATTCTTCAACCTGTATCTTCAGTGCCAAAATCGATTGATATAATTCGGTAGCATCACTGCCAGAAAGGCTACCCTGTGAATTCGATAATTGAATCACTGATTCGTAAATCTTGTAGAGTGATTTTGAAGACAATAGAGTAGTCAAGTTATTAAGAATAGAACATAAGGGATTCCCTGAATCCAAAAACTCTTCAAATAAATGACTTTCACGGTATTCCATTAAACCATTAGAAAGATAACTAACCAACGTACTACCTGATGATGATGATGATGACGAAACCACATCAAGAGCTAATGTTTCAAGCTCGGTACGCTTCAATTCTTCACATAAAGCATCGAATTTATACCAACAGGTTTTCAAATCGTATTCTTTGGTCTTGTGAGTGGCTACCATTGTTTCGTACAAAAGGCCCCCAATAATGGAATCGTCTGTACTACTTTTATCACGAGAGGCTAAGTCTGCATGATGCCTGAATATATCAAGAGCTGAAAGTATGGTTCTCTTGTCATATATGCCTGATTTGAGTATTTTCCATTGGAAGTATTTCAAATCTCTGTAAGGAAGAAACTCATCCAAAACAGTCGGTCTGAAAATAGTATTCTGGGCAGTAGAGGTGTTGGACCATTTGATATCAAGAACTTCACCCGTTGGGAACACCACATCATAAGTAGCTAATACTGATAAGCTGTTTGATTTCCATAAGATATTGACATCAAACACGCTGTTTTCCTTCCCTGAGTACACGGTTTGGAAATCTTGAATGTACCAATTCAAATTGTGAAGGTTATCTTGTCTATGATTGTTGAATATTGATTTAGGACTGGTTAAATTTATCAGCATGTTGTCTAACTTAATCAACTCAAAGTTCCCTTCACTGTCTACTATCTCCCATACGCTGAATGAATACCCACTAATATCATCGTGTGGTAATGAATAATGTAATACCAAATAACGCTTCCCGTTAGAGCCGCCATCACCAGTTACAATTTGCATATACTTTCGAGGGATCATAGATAACCAAAAGTTACTATTGGTAGCTGAACCCAAATGGAATGAACCAGAAACTTCAGCGTGACTTTCTAAACTCCAGCAATTAACCTCCTTACTTATGCTCAATGTAACAAACACTTTCTCATTGATAGGAACCAAGTCGACTACTGCCATTGAACTTATACCTTCAACATTGGTTGAAGAATTACGGGTTTTACCACCTTTTTTGGACCAGAACATCTCAAGCAAGTTTAACGACATTAGAGAAGAACCATCCATGAATGAATAAACGTCAAAATCATGCAAAGGAGAAGATCTTTCAAAGTGCAATAAACCACCATCTTTCAACGAAACAATTATATTTGAATCATCTAAAGCCTTAATGGAAAACGGTGATGACTTCAACTCGAACGAAAAGGGTACTGAAATGTGACCCCATTGGTCAAACTCATCCAATGGGAATATAGACGACAGCAGCTTCCCCAAAACAAAATCTTGTAACCTTATCTTCAAAGTTACAAAGAGAAACGTCTTGGTGACAAAGTCAACCACCATGGCCTTCTCCAATGAAGAATATCGCACACTGACACATTCCTTAGAGTACACAGCATGTGGGAGTTCAATATTGATGGTACGGAATGAAAGCCCTGATACATTGGAGCGCGATACAGGTGTCAACAGTAATGTCAAACCTTTGTTTCTGATACCAAAAGTAACGAAATCAATATAGGAGTTCTCTTCTACCATAACAACATGACCTGAGGAGGCCAATTGAGTAGCATATGTTTCATGGCTATTAGAAGAGGCCACTTGTGTTTCGTTGGCCGGATACTTTAACGGCAACCTCACAGTTTGCAAGGGGAATAGTTCTTGTAACCCTGGTACCTCCGATGTAGCGTAACTCACCATGGCTGGTCAAAGAAGACTGTACAATATAAATATGCCGCAAACAATCACTGCAAATATCACCACAGTTATGTGTATGGTGTGTATGTATGTATTTGTCCCTTTGAGATGGTGTTTGGGTGTTATAAGACGACTGTAGCTTTGCCTACTGGCTTTTGTTTGTTGATAGTAAGTGATCTGTTGATGGCTCAAAATTTTCGATGACATTTGTGCGACCGAAAAATATTATCACCAACGACTTAAGGACTACTGTAATAGAACAGTAGAGTACAGTGCAGTGCTCTAATAGAACGGTAGAATAGAACACTGCAACATGTCTTCTACGGTGTTCTACAAGTTTCTTCATCAGAAGAACCAATCGATTGTGCATTTTGATGGTACGGGAATTAGTGTGTTTGACTTGAAACATGAGATTATAGAACAACAGCAATTGGGTACAGGGTTAGATTTCAATCTAAGGTTATATCATCTGGAACAACCCGATTCTGAGTACGATAATGATCAAGAGGTTATCCCCCGGTCGTCCTTTGTGTTAGCTCGAAGATCGCCGGCATATTCCAAGTTAAGAGGACAGAATGCTTCACGGTATGTTAGTGGGAAGCCTCGGGTTAATAGAAAGGCATTGGAGAAACAAGCTATTAATTCTGCCATTGCAAACACAGGAAATAAACCCAATATAGATGAAAGTGTTCTGGAAGAGGATCGGATTAAAATGATGTTTGAAAATCAAAGCAATGCATGGGCTCAAACACAAGATGAGTTATCTACACATAAAATGGTCTACAACCGACCTGGAGGTGGTAATGCCACAGAAGATGCGCCACCACCAGGTTACATATGTTATAGATGTGGTGGTAAGGATCATTGGATCAAGAACTGTCCCACAAATACCGATCCACTGTTTGAAGGCATAAAGATCAAGAGAACAACAGGTATCCCGAAAACATATTTGAAAACAGTGGCAAAGGGTACTATAGATGAACTTATGAACAGCACAAATGAAGATGGTATAACAAAGAATGAAGATGGAGAATTGGTGGATAAACAAGGTAATACATATATGATTACAGATGAAGGTGAATATGTGGTAGCAGTTGCAGATTCTAAGACTTGGTTGAACTATCAACAAAAACATGAGAATGCAGTTATGAAATTAAAGAGAGAATACGAAGAGAAGGTTGTTAATAAGATAATTCAAGATAATAGAAAAGAATTTTTGGATCCATTAGCAGAAGGTCAGAAAAAAAAATTGCTTGTGGCTCCAATAGTGATGACTGCTTGTTGTAAAGATGAATCATCATTAGTAAAGATGGAAAACTTCAATTATCATCAACCGGATTTGGAACAAGTTCTAATTGATAATGATTTCCATTGTCCAAATTGTGGTAAAGATGAAGTACTTTTAGATTCTTTAATTCGTAATGAAGAATTGGAAACTAAGCTAGAGGAATATTTGAAATCAATTGAAGATCAAATTGGCATGAAAAACCCTTCAAAACGTTCAGCTTCAACTGCTTTAGGTGAAGATGGTTTAGAGAATGATCCAAAACGTCATCAAATCAATCCTTCAATGCCAATGTTCCCCCCTTCAGGAATGGGATTCCCTCCTGTGATGCCAGGAATGCCAATATTCCCTCCTGGATTTATGCCCCCTCCAATAATGCCTCAACCGAATACAAAACCACCCAAGTCTATGAAGTAAATGAGGTGGTTACTACGACGACTTCTTACTTCCATGGAGTTGATCCGGGTAACGGTACATAACTTTTTCATATGTAATAATATACAGGATACTGATAATAGGTTAGAGGAAAATTTTTCATATATAAAGAGCCCTATTGCCTCGTTGTTTGTGCGTAACTCTTCTTAGGATTCTTTTTTCCTTTTCTCAACCAATTATAGGTTCTTAAATAGGCATCGTTAATAAACGAAATCCACAATTAAACAGTATGTTAAAGACGATACAGTGCCTTCCATTTATATAAACGAATTTATCTGATGAAGCAAATATTTTCAAACTAGAGTTTGTGACTGTGGAATGATCACACTTAATATTACATGCATGGACTGAAACAATTCTTTTAAATGGAAGCTTATTATTTTTAAGATTATAAACACCAAGTACTAACGTTGTACCCAGTTTATCCCTAGTAGTAGGATCACTCGTTTTCTTTTCTTTCTTTTTTCTTCTGCATTCAATGAGTATGTGACTTTCAAAGCAGTAATCTTTTTGGAGTGGTGTGTTATTTATTATGATGATTTACTAAAACAAAAGCTGGAATTACTGGCTGAATCTCTATGATTGATAACGTTTTGCACATAAGCCCTGATAGCTATAAGAATACCCACTCCAAATTGGTACCATATTAATTACTAGGTAATTAAATACTAACTTTGTTGCTTTAGAGGTATGTGAGTTTCCACAACGTAACTGGTCTTTTGAATTGACTTTATACTATGAGGAATTATTGCACTGGGCACCGATTCACATGAATGAGTGACAACGCATATAAGTTGGGCCTCAGAAACCCAATGTGACTGATCTTTTGTTGATTATTGACATAATTATAATTTTTATGTATCCTTTTAGAACTTGAGTACTAACAGTTTGAAGCATTGAACGAGAATCCTTTTCTTTTCACTATCTCGTACAAAAAAGTATGTATTAGGATTGAACAAAAAGAACAGCCTAACTATTTGAAAGGATTAGATGATGATTTTCTAGATGACGAGTCAGAATCGGGATTCCCGTTGACGACAACCTTTTTTATTTACCATTCATGCATTTCTGATTCTCCTTGTGACAGTTAAGTCATATTTGAGCCTCAGACTAAAAGTACTAACAATTGTCTTAGAATATTTTATACTCTTAACCTTTTCAGTGATACAATAGATCGTTAAATCATATGGTAAAGATGATGAGTTTGAAAAATTATAGACAAGCATATGTCTGAGATTTGTTTCATTGAAGATAAACTTTTCAAGTCTGATATTCCGTATGATTCACATAGATTTTATTTTATTGTGAAGTGTATTTGGAATGCGCTTCTAGGTTTCTTTAGAGCATAAATTATTGGAGTTAACTTAAAGGAGATACTAATAGGGAGATAATGTTTATGATGATTTCACCACATTTTCACGACGGTCTACTGTTTGGTATGGACTGTTAACCCGTATCATTGATGATAAATATGGCCTTGACCGGCCGTGGTACCTGAACACCATTTAAACCCTAACTTGATGTACTCCCTTATGTTTGATTTCAATAACTCATGTTTGAGAAATTTAGTGGCGTATTCTGAACAACAATTACTAGTGCGTTAACCGGGAGTTATTGATTCTTCGTTAAATGATGATTTTCTTTACCATTTATTGGAGTCCTTAATACGACTATGACAAAAGCCAATGAATATATGATTTGCACGTCAGTCTGATAACGAAGTAGTAACTCTGTTAACGTGTGGAGGTTGTGCTGTAGACTGTACTGTATTTAAGTACTGTGCTGTGCTATACTGTACAGTACTACTCTGTACTGTATTGTAGCATATTTATTTGTGCTCAGTAGCGATCGAGTCAACTTGATTAGTCCTTACGGCGTTGACATTCTTTGTTCCCAGTGACACAAAGAACTGTCTTCCATCCCCACCTGTAGTCGTCTTAGTTTTGTTCCGCACCATAAAAGAGCCATTGGGTTATCATCACATTGTTCTAGTACGGGAAGGTGCTGGATCTGTGGATTGTTGATATAACTCGACTCAGTAAAAGTTGACTGAGATTAGGTTGGCTGGTATAAGTTGACTAACTTGTAGTGCTTTGCTTGCAGTAACACTAACGTCATGAGATTCCATTTGGGAAGGTCTAGTGAAGACTTAAGTAAGAAGGGAACTTCTAGTCCCAAGGATTTACCTCCTTCATATGATAGATCAGTAACTGGGACTCCTGAGCTTAGTCCTGTGACCTCAAGTACCAATTTGAGTGCTGCTGCCATGGAAAGAGGGAGAGGTAAACGGAAAGACAACAATAATAATAGCAATGTCCCATTCTTTAGTTCCCAACATGATAACAAAAGCGATAGTTTAGATAAGTTGAGAAGAGCTTTGGATAACAGTAATCCAAGCATTGGTACATTATCACCCGTTGAACATGTTTCTTCTACTTCTCCTTCTTCAAATGTTCCTTATGTCCCATCCGTGGAAGAACAGAAACACATTGATAAGTTGGAAGGTAACTCCTTACAGGCTATGACATCTCATACTCAAACTGAGTTCTTTGATGTTTTACCATCGTTCCAAATGTTTCAAGCTATCATGAAACGAGACGATAACCAGTTCAACGAAGACTTGAACGTCAACCCTCCAGTGTACACCAATGAAGACACGAGCCCCAGACATTCCATTGCAGGACTCAGCTCTCATGAGACTATCAATCAAGTTACTCACAGATTAAGAGAATATGACATTCAAGACATGGCCAATACCCTGGAAGTTGACGATGATTTCTTTCACCCCAGCGATGGTGGCAGTAACTCTGGATCTAACACCACGGGAACTCCAACCGGCGCGGCCGCAACAACCCCTCGTCGGGAGCACAATGCATCCACAAGAACAGAAAACTATGGTCATTCTGTTTTGGATACCATTGACAGATTGCCCGTAGTGAAGTATAGTCCTCTTGACATCAGCATCTTTGTTACCAAATCTATTCCCCATCCAAATGTGACTAATGAATTGGAAACCAGATTAAAGGAATATACTTCTGGCGATTATGTTAATGGATATATTGTGATTACTAACACCTCTGATAGTCCAGTTGATTTTGGCTTGTTCACAGTGACTCTCGAGGGGACCATTAAGGCTACAGAGAAGAACCCAAATACTGAAAGCCATTTGGACCCTCATCGGTACTCTAAGATTTTGATGAAGAAGTTCTTGAAAATGTATGACTTGAATGCTTCATATGGTTATGTGCAAGTTCCCAGTAGCGCTGGGATTGAGTATGAATATTGTGATGTGGATGCCAGTGATGGCTCCATTTTAGGAATCCCTACGAACAGAGTGCTTCAACCTCATACAAAGTATAAGAAGTTTTTCACTTTTAAGTTCCCCAACAAGCTTCTAGATAATGTTTGCATGCATTCGATATTACCCCATATCTTACCGCCTCCTTCGTTGGGGTTTGATGCCACAAGTTTCAATAATCAAGGTGAGGGTATTGAATTGAGTCGTGCTTTAGGCTATGGGTTCTTATCTATACGAGGGACGCCATTGCTTACCAAGGATTATTCTATTGAGAATGTAAGTGTTAGTTACACAATTGAGGCTAAGTTCATTGATAAAAAGATCAAGAAGGATCATTTAAAGGAAACCTTTCAAGAACACGACATTAATGAATCGAATTATGTTATTGCATCAAGTTCTCAGTATTTCCTAAGATTCATTCCCGATTTGGGTGAGCTGTTGCGTTACTATAATCAAGGGTATATGTTTGGTAAGGAGACATTTGGGACCATTGGAATTGACGGGAAATTATTTGAAAGCTTCCTTTATTTAAGTACTTGGAGAGGAATCAATGGATTGTTTTTCGAAGTGGAAAAGGAGATTGATACAATTTTACAAAAGGCAATAAGCACTGACAATGACATAAAAGTCAAGAATTTAAGGGTCCATGATATTATTGGCAATAATGATAATAGAGAAAATACGTTCTTGAATCCACAAGATTATGATTCCAACATTAAGAATCGGATCAATAATGAATTGCATAGGAATTCAGATGAAGAAACCATGTACAGACAAGAAAGAATGCTAGGGACGGTTATAGCTGCTCCGATTTATAAAAAGAAGGGTACATTATTCTCCAGCAGTAATAAACAACTTGGTCAACTGAAAGTTTATGCTCGGATCCCAGATAAAGTGATTCCCTATACTTCTCCTAAGTTATTGAAGAAATATAATAATGGATCTATTGAGAACTTCTCTAGTGGTTCAGCTACACCTACCAATGGATTGAAACCCATGTCATCTCATAACTCGATTCATTTAACTCCTGTTACGTCTAATGGGAGCATCAGACCAATAACACTGGGGAGTGAGGATTTGAGACCCATCACTTCAACATCTTCACATATCACTGATCTTTATAATCGTGATGAACATGATCTAATCCACACATTAGACATTGATGTTTTATTTTATTCAAATGACAATTCAACAAGACCTCCACCAATTGTTGGAGTAGATGTTAACGTTGTGTTGTGGACTTTTAGTTCCGAATATCCATTCCCTGTTGAACTTGGACATGATTTCTTTTATTCTGATCCAATCAATGGGAAATTTCATGATGATGATGTTGCTATCACAAGAGAAAACATGCAGACTATCAAGGACAAAGCCACGTCGTTCATGCTGTTTGTGGAAGCCAATAACATTGAGATCTCCAAAACGGCAGAATTAAACTTGAGAGCTTTTAAAACGTTGGGGATTAAGAAGGATACTATTCAAGACTTTTTCAAACCATTAACGGCCGCTTCAAATCCTAAATTATTCAGTGATACTTGGCAACCAGCCCAACAACTGGCTTCAAATCAAATGAAATGGGTGAAAAGTATGTCTATCCCATTGCATTGTATCAACAAAAATAATGTTACTTTAATACCCAGTTATCAGAGTTGTTTGGTAGGACGTCTATACTGTTTACAGGTTAGTGTTAAGTACAAAGGAGCTGAAACTCATCATTCTATGAATACTGTTCATGTTGATGTGCCAATTATTGTGGGATGATGATGATAGTTTCTATATTTATAAGCTATGTTTAATTGCTATATATCTCTCTCTCTCTGTACACTACTACCTTTAATTCCGTCATTGGTGTTGCATGTATGTTCTTATAATGGTGATTCACCACCACTAATAAAATGTGAGTCAACCCTCGGTTTCCCAATCGGGTAAGCCATTTGTGAAAAATTTTCATTAGCCGCGATTCGCTATCAGTGGGTGAGTGGGTGGAGATGTGGCATTATACGTAGGAAGAATTTAGTCAGGTAAATTATAAGTAAAACTTTCTTTATTGCATTTTTTTTTCCCTCTTCCTCCTCCTCCTTTCTCATTTTACCATACCCTTAACTAATGTTGAGATTGATGAATGTAAAGCCCTTAGCGGGTCTTCGTGGATTGGCTACTGCTGCATCCAAGTTCAACAAAACTTCCAGATTGGACAGAGCCACATTGAGAATTAAAGATGGTCCAGTTTTCAGTGGATATTCCTTTGGTGCTAATAAGAATGTCAGTGGTGAAGCTGTTTTCACCACCTCTCTTGTAGGATACCCCGAATCCATGACTGATCCCTCATACAAGGGTCAAATCTTATGTTTCACCCAACCTTTGATTGGTAATTATGGTGTTCCATCTTCAACAGTTAAGGACGAATTCAATTTATTGAAGTACATGGAATCTCCTCTGGTACAATGTATTGGAATTGTTGTTGCTGATGTTGCATTGGAATATAGTCATTGGACTGCTGTTGAAAGTTTGCAACAATGGTGTCAAAGATCAGGAGTTGCTGCCATTACTGGTGTCGACACCAGACAATTGGTTTCATACTTGAGAGAAAAGGGTTCTTCATTAGCCAGAATCACTGTTGGTGAAGAATACGATGCTGATGAAGATGCTGCCTTTGACAATCCAGAATCAGTCAATTTGGTACACAAGGTCACCACCAAGGCTCCATTCCATGTTCAATGCCCCCCTGAACATTCTAAAGGTATTCACATTGCTGTTTTGGATTGTGGAGCTAAGGAAAACATTTTGCGTTGTCTTGTAGAAAGAGGAGCCAGCTTAACAGTATTCCCATACAATTACCCTATACATAAAATTGCCAATAAGTTTGATGGTGTTTTCATTTCTAATGGACCTGGTGATCCAACCCATTGTTCTACCACTGTTGACCATTTGAAGGAAACCATGGAGAAAAACCCTGAATTACCTATTTTCGGTATTTGTTTAGGTCATCAATTATTGGCTTTAGCAAGTGGCGCAAAGACCATCAAGTTGAAATATGGTAATCGTGCCCATAATATTCCAGCATTGGACTTGGCAACTGGTAAGTGTCATATCACTTCTCAGAACCACGGTTATGCTGTTGATGTTGCTACATTGAACACCAGTGAATGGGAACCTTACTTTACCAATTTGAATGATTTATCAAACGAAGGTATGAAACATAAGACAAAACCTATTTTCCTGACACAATTCCACCCTGAAGCCAAGGGGGGTCCCTTGGATACGGGATTTTTATTTGATAAATTCTTCCAAAATATTCAAAACTACAAGACTACCAATGGATTGAACTTGGCCAATGTCGACAACAGTTTATTGGTTGACATTTTACCCCACGAAAGAGTTTTATAAGGCATCGGGGTTTTTTTTATTTCACGAGTCATAATATAACCATTCCAGGCATCAATGCCGTCCTAATGATAGAAGAAGCAGGAAACGTTTACAATTGTAGACCGTGTAAAAGAACAAAAAGTAGTTATATTAGCACAGTATATGACTACGATGACCTTGGAATATCACGTGACTAAATGCACATGTATCTTTCCTATTAGTTGACTGATGTTTTGGTTTGTAACCTGTACACAAAGCCTAGAGATGGTAGTCGTGTCGTATAACTTAGTTCGTTCGTTGATTCGTATAGCACAGTTCGTTCCTCTACTCGTTCCTGTCATCGTTCCTGTAACACAAAGGACCACTTTGTGTCTCAACCCAAAAGTAGATCAGACCACTGTAAACCGGCTGCAAATACGTTTCCTACCGACAAATATCTACCAATACACATGCACTTATGGCATGCACCGACGTTTCTGTGTAGGAGACACTCGTTTAGTATGAAGAGGGCTTAGAACAATCATACGGTCGGTCATTTGATATCGAATGATCTAATATATATACATAGATGTACTCTCATATATATACACCTGTGGGAGCTCTTTTGAAGCTTATTCTTTTGGTAGTCATACATAACTGATTCAGTTACGCTATGAATATATTCCAACTGGCATCTTCCTTACATTACTTGGTTGAAGGGTTCTCACCCGCAGCCATTGCTCTAAATTCAACAGCTGAATCATTTTCAACCATATATGGGACTTTAAAGACCATCAGTGAAACAGATCCAACATCTGCTGCTTCTGCTTTGAGTCTTGTTGAAAGAGCTTGGGCTGCTTGGTATATCTGGATGAACAATGATGTTCTTGCTACTGGTTTATTATTCTTTCTCACCCATGAATTGATGTATTTCGGTAGATGTTTACCTTGGTACATTATAGACCATATACCATATTTTAGAAAATGGAAAATCCAACCCAATAAAATCCCCCTGGATAAAGAACAATGGGAATGTTTTAAAGCTGTTATCAAATCTCATTTATTAGTGGAAGCTTTACCTATTTGGTTATTCCATCCCTTATGTGCTACTTTGGGTATTTCTATCGATGTCCCCTTCCCAGCTCTAAAGGTAATGGCTGCTCAGATTGCTTTATTCTTTGTTTTGGAAGATAATTGGCATTACTGGGCTCATAGATTATTTCATTACGGTCCATTCTATAAACATATTCATAAGCAGCATCATAAATACGCTGCTCCCTTTGGATTAGCAGCTGAATATGCTCATCCAATTGAAGTTATGAGTTTAGGTTTTGGTACTGTTGGCTTCCCCATCATTTACGCTTACTGTACCAAACAATACCCTCAATTGAATTTACCAGTTTTACATTTGTTCACCTTGACTGTCTGGATTGTTCTCAGATTATTCCAAGCTGTGGATTCTCATTCAGGTTACGAATTCCCTTGGTCTCTTCACCACTTTTTCCCACTTTGGGCTGGTGCGGAACATCACGATGATCATCACCACTTTTTCATTGGTAACTACGCTTCAAGTTTCAGATACTTGGATTACTTGCTAGGAACGGAATCAGGAATCCCTGCTAACATTGTAAGAGAAAGAAAGATGAGACAAAAGGCCGAGGCAAAGTAGAATACACATACATAACCATTCGTTTTTATAGTTGATATTAGGTAATTTTTTTTTAATATTGTTGTTGCAATAGTTCATAGAGTATTGAGAGTATATTAGAGTAATCACTATTAACCATTGGAAAAAGGCGTGTAGAATGACACAGGTGCCGAGCACATACGCTGCGTGGCATTTAATCAATAGGGCTAAACCCTATCACGTGTACAGAGACATGGGTATAAAATTATAAAGTCACGCACATCTCACAACTTGTCAATACAGGCCACACTATGCCAAACACACTCACGTGACCCCATTCTAACCAAGTCACTAACTTCAAATGTTACAGTTACATAAGCCATTACACAAGCAAGTGCGTGGAATCACCAAAAAGCCAGCTGCCATTCGAAGCGATGCACTCATACAACCAGGTTAGTCAGTTGGTTGTGTATGGGGAAGAAAAATTTGGTGAAAAATTTGAACATTACCGAATTTATTGGGACTTTACTTTTGTTAAGTGTTTGTATTCTCTTGCATACCTTTGGACACCAGCAGAAACAAGTATGTGCGACCTATAGACATGGTTATATGATGTTGTAATAGAGTGCAGTGATGTGGGAACACTTATACATGTTGCTATTGGATTGAAGTAATGTGAAACACTTCAGTTAGTGGAGTGATAATGGAATATCTACTCGATTAACAAAAAGTAATAGAACCAGAGGAAAGGTTGTCTACCAGCAGGAAGTCACATACACGCATCAATATTATTGGAAGAGAGCCAAGATGATGACGATGTTGTTGTAATGATCCAAGTGATGAGTTCAAGTCACTATTTTTCAATTCCGTTCCAACGATGACTTCAAATCCATATTCACACCAAATACCAGTACATGCGCAATATTATGATCCTCATATAACAATAAGCAATTTGCAATGAATTATACTAACATTTATCTTTTATAGAATGTCTAGATTGAACGAGTATCAAGTTATCGGTCGTCGTCTCCCCACCGAGTCGGTCCCTGAACCAAAGTTGTACAGAATGAGAATCTTTGCTCCTAACGTTGTTGTTGCTAAGTCTCGTTACTGGTACTTCTTGCAAAAGTTGCACAAGGTCAAGAAGGCCTCTGGTGAAATTGTTTCCGCTAACGTCATTGCTGAAGCTAGACCAACCAAGGTTAAGACCTTCGGTATCTGGATCAGATATGAATCCAGATCTGGTATCCACAACATGTACAAGGAATACAGAGACGTTACCAGAGTTGGTGCCGTTGAAACCATGTACCAAGATTTGGCTGCTAGACACAGAGCCAGATTTAGAAACATCCACATCTTGAAGGTTGTTGAATTGGAAAAGACCGACGACGTCAAGAGACAATACGTTAAGCAATACTTGACCAAGGACTTGAAGTTCCCAATGCCTCACAGAATCCAAAAGTCTGCCAAGTTGTTTGCTCCTAACGCTCCTTCTACTTTCTACTAAGCGTATTTAAAGTGGTTGGTTGTCGCAAGTCTCTTTCTGTGTGACTATATACTGTATAGCCCATATAATACATCTTTTTAGGTTTTGTTGAAAGGGGGTTCTTTGTACTCTAATAAATAAACATAATATATACTATTATTATTTTAAACCATAAAACTCTAATTATTATAACGCTGGATCAGGATCTCTAAACAAGTGGAACGCACTGGCTTGATTGGAGGAAAAGACTAATTGTTCCGCGATAACTGTGTTTTGCTTTCTAGTTAATGCAAACACTATAAGCTCTGAAATGTCTTCAGCAACTAAAGGTTCAGTATTAGCATACACCGCCTTAGCCTTAGCCAAATCACCTTTGAATCTAGTGTTTGAAAACTCAGTTTCAACATTACCAGGATCAACTTCAAGAACTCTGATACGAGTGGAAATCAATTCCTTCCGAAGCACGTGACTGAATGATTTAACTGCTGCTTTAGTAGGACAATAAATTCCTCCCCCAGGATAAGGATCTCTACCAGCAATTGAGCCCAAGTTGACGATATCACCGGAGTTCTTTTTCTTAAAGATAGGAATAATTGCTTGAGTCAATGTAATCAATCCCAAGACATTAGTTTGAAACATCCCTTGAATATCTTCGGGTAAAATGGTTCCAATTTCGTCTCTTCCCAATGCTAAACCGGCGTTGTTGATCAACACGTCAACATCTGCAAATTCTTGGGGCAATCCAGAGACAAAGGGTCCAATGGTATCCAACTTGGAAACATCAAGACTAACAGTCAAGACTTTAATGTTTGGATACTTCAGTTGTAATTCGCTCAGTAATTCGTCCAATTTCTCCTTCCGTCTAGCCGTTAAGATCAATTTGATTTGACCGTTACCGGCCAGGGCAAGTTCGAGCGCGGTAGCCTTTCCGATACCAGCACTGGCCCCGGTAATGAGAATGATCTTATCCTTAAGACGGTCTGCTGCTTGGGATCCGTAAGACATGTGTTTGACTATGAAGAAGAAGAAGAAGTAGAAGAAGAAGAAGAAGAAGAGTTTGTAGCTGGGACTATGACTCCACACTTTCTTAGATACCGTAGTTGGACGAGCACTACTTTATTTAATTCATTATGTCATCATATTCCTGATACAGCAAGTCAGTGCGAAAGACTGAGATATTGGTATGCAAGTGAAATTGTAAATCTTTTATAGTTGAAAGGTATGACAGTACAAGTTACAAATACTGCTATTAAAGTTCGACTGCCTGCTTTTCACTGATCGTTCTGTAGACATAAGAAAGGATCACCATGCGTCTCGTTTCTCTGTTCGAGACAATCTACAGGTACACATCTTCTGCATATCGAAAGCTAGGCAACCTTTCAATATATTTTTTGCGCTTTTAACGCAACCACAAGTTCAGCCCACTTTTAACTTGAATCATAATCGTAATCTTGAACACAGTTGCCTTCTATCTTTCGATACTGAGCCAACAACTCCTAGCCCGAGTCAAATTTGGAGCAGCCATTTTGACTCCGCAACAAGGTAGCGCACATCCCTTCCTCAAACCTGTGACTCAAGTACAGCTGTAAATCTTCATTTAAATAGACAACCAAGTACTACCAAAACGTTAGCTCACAGATATTATAATCGTCCATACAAGGAAAACAAGACAACTAAGACAATGTCGTTCGGATCAAAGGCCGCAGAGAGATTAGCAGACAAAATCATTTTAATCACCGGAGCTTCTTCCGGGATTGGTGAAGCCACAGCCAGAGAGTTTGCTTCGGTTGCTAATGGTAAGATCAGATTGATTTTAACTGCAAGAAGAGAAGAACGGTTGAAGAAACTCAGTGACCAATTGAAGATTCAATTCCCTCTGATCAAAATCCATTCTGCCCCATTGGATGTTTCTGTTAAAACTCAAATCAAACCTTTCATTGCTGGGTTACCATCTGAGTTTGCTGACATAGATGTCTTAATCAATAATGCGGGTAAGGCATTGGGTCGTTCTAATGTAGGAGAAATATCTGATGATGATTTAGATGGAATGATGCAAACCAATGTGTTGGGATTAATCAATATGACTCAGGCAGTTTTGCCCATTTTCAAAAAGAAGAATTCTGGTGATATCGTTAACTTGGGATCTATTGCTGGTAAAGATGCATACCCTGGTGGAGCCATTTATTGTGCTTCCAAGGCTGCTGTTAATTTCTTTACCACTTCGTTGAGAAAGGAATTAATAAATACTCGTATTAGAGTAATGGAAGTTCAACCTGGTGCTGTTTTAACTGAATTTTCCTTAGTAAGATTCCATGGTGATCAAGATGCTTCTGATGCCGTTTATAAGGGAACTGAACCACTTACTGCACAAGACATTGCTGAAATCATTGTGTTCGGTGTATCCAGAAGACAAAATACCGTTGTAGCAGAGACTCTTGTATTCCCAAGTCATCAAGCATCTGCATCACACGTATACAAGAAACCAGAATAGTAATAAATAGAATAATACAGTAACCCTTTAAGATCCATATCAGAAACTAAGTTGTTCTAAAGTCTTGGATAATTTGGCTGCCCCATCTACAGCAACATTATTATCTATGGTCACCTTAGGTCTACTAGCTTCTAACCCTGCGAGAAGTACACATGCTTTGCATATCCTGTTCATGGTTAAGTAGCCACATTTCTCACATCTATGACCATCAGTTGCGCTCTCTAGTTTCTTCTTAAGAGACACGGAGCCATCACCATTGATTTCTTGTTCATTATCATTATCACCATTCTGAATTTTCTTTGCATTTTTATACTTTGGAGTGGCTCGTTTGGGTTTTGGTGCAACACAGAATTGTTCACCACTGTAGATGATATCCATTATACACGAGGGTCTGATTGCTTCTAAAGCTTTAAGTAGCTCTCTTGCTGTTCCTCTGAATGCTTCTGGAGCATAAGTGCATTCAGTTGAAAAATAGTCCAACTTTTTATAATGGGCGTAAAGGACAATTTCCTTTTGGTAAGTATACTTAAAAGGTTTTGTCCGTTTAAAGGGAGACCCCTCCGATTGGGTAGAGATCTCACAGGATTTACCTAAACGTGCCACATCGCCTCGAAGTAAATTCATCAATACAGTTTCAGCCATATCATCAGCATTATGACCTGTCACAACATGGTTTATACCTAATTTTGCAGCACCACGATCTAAAGCTTGCCGTCTTAACACTCCACAATAAGTACACGAAGAACGGATCCCAGCACAAGAGACAATTTCATCCATAGTCCAAGAATAGAGATCTTTATAAGAAACGATTTCTAGGGGCATATCATATTGAACTTGATTTCTCTTGACTGTAGCCAATGAATCATCACGGTATCCTTTGATACCCTCATCAATAGACAACAATACTAACTCCACGCCGTAGTTGTACCGTTCATTCAATGTCTTAAGTATGGATGCCAATACTGTGGAATCCTTACCACCTGAAGCCCCAATAGCGACTCTATCACCAGGAGCAAATAAGCTATTAGCCACTATGGTGTTATGGATTTCGGTTTCAAATACATGATAGAAACATTCCTTGCAAAGCTTCTGAAGATTCTTAGGACGTTTCATCACGGCTTTACGCCCATGACAAAGCTCACAAAGGGCTGATACCTTGACGGGTTTCGGAGTGCTCATGTTTGGAGTAGAAAGAAGTGATGTGCTCATCGCGTGAGATTTACAAACAATTTTATAGAGTCGCAAAACAAATACAACGCACAACGTAGAGCGTACAACGTACAACAGTACCGTACAACAGTATCGTACAGCACTAACTACAACATAACTCTGATAAAACGATTAATTACTATGAATGTAACGTATATGATACAGTGGGCAACTCTTTGACATGTTTAGGCAGTCACTTGGAATTCATCATTGTTGGTGTTAACGCTAGCGTATCTGAACCTATTATTGTCTTCTTGTTGTTGGTCTCTTTGATCCTTTTGCTGTTGCTGTTGTTGTTGCTGAGCAGCGTTTTGCTTTCTGGCATGACCATTGGAGGCAGTTCTTTCATTCTTCTCACTCAACATAACAACCTTCTCCTTCATCGTTATAGCAAGCTCTTGTAATCTTGATCTTTGAGGCTCTTCGGATACAAAGTTGACATATTGCTTGGATTCATCAATGGCTCCAGAAACGTCACCAGATGAAAACATCTTCTCCAAAATTTCAACAACTTGCTCATTGCCAAGAGCAAATAATTCAGATAACTTAGATACTGCCAACTTAACATAGATAGACTTGTAAGTGAAAATATAGGTTCTTAACCCTTCAACTTGCAATTGCGATTTCATCATAGTCAACAAGTTTTCATTGTCAGGTAACAACTTCCAAATCTTAATGGATGACAACAATTCATATGCTTTAGCCCAATCACCCTTTTGTAATGCTCTAGAAGCATAAATGATATGATCCTTTATAGATTCAGGTGGACCAGTGAAATATTGTCTATCGTGGAATTCCAATTTACTCTTAAATGATTTCAAAGATGCCTTCTTCTTAGAATCTTTGGGGTTAATAGCTGCCAATGCCAATGCAGGGATCTCTATCAATAAGGAACTTGTCATGTAAACACACTCTAACAATTCCAAATTTATATGCATATGGAAGGGTAATAATCTTTGCTTTTCAACAACAGAAGCTTGTGATGGATACTTGGTGCTGAACCCTTGGCCTAACAATTCCTTAACCCTTTGAGAGTTGGAGATTTCATTCAAAATCTGGTGTGATTCTTCAATGTTACCATTTCTAAAGGCAGATAAACCCAATTGAACCAATGCTCTATTATAATGGATTTGTACAGAAGATTCAGCCAAATGAATGGCAGCATATGCTTGAGACTTAAGGAATAATTCTCTGGCAACATCATATCCACCATTAACAGAATAGTAGTAGATGCTATACAACAAAGCTTGTTGAGCATAAACCTTGTTCTTGTTCTTCAATAAGTGATCACTTAAAGCATCAACCAATTCAGATGGAGTACTAGTTTTGGATGCAATGATGGAATCAGCAGAGATATCCTTCCATGCATTCTTTTCATTGGCCACAATCAATTGGTCAGGCTTATAGTAAATATGTTCCAATCTTCTAAGAATGATTCTAGATAATTGATGGTAGTTTCCCTTCTTTTCTTGAGAAGTGATAGATTCAACATAGATTTGTCCTCTAACAATCAACTTGTAGATTTCACTCTCATCCTTCAAACGTTCAATATATTCAGTAGAGTGGGGGTCAATGTTTTGTAAAGCTTTTGTGAATTCATCATCTAATCTTTCAATCAAAGATGTGATGGAACCGAAGAGAAGCTTAACGCCATTTTCATTGGCTTCAGGTTCAATATCAATATCATCAGTAGGACGAGCCAATTCAGTAAGTTGGTACTTATCGGAAGCACCTTCCAACACATCTAAAAACTTCTCTAAATCATCAGCATATTTTTGCCACTGTTCATGAGTCATATAGTTTTGATTTAATGAGATGTCAAATCTAATGGACAATAACATAGTGTAGATACTGATCAATTCAAAAGGTTTAGGATCCTTGGAAGCAACAGATAATGCATCTTCCAATTGTTGAACTTGTTCAAACTTATCAACATTCTTCTTACCTCTGGTTTCACTGATCAGCTTCAACAATGCAAAGACAGGACTCAAGACCTTAGTAGTACCAGAGAAATCTTCACTTTCGGTAGCAGGAACACTGGCACGAATATCTATAGGTTCATCACTTCCATATGATTCTGGGTTTTCTCTAAATTGATCATAATAGACTTGGTATTCCTTAATAGTCTTCTTGACTCTTTGTCTAACAGTATTGAAAGCTCTGGCTTCAGCACCATTCAAAGTCTTTTCAGATTTTTCATTCTCATTGGTGGCATCAATATAATCCTCTAAACCACCTAAACAAACAATGTAAAACTTAGGAGTACCAAAGTTTTGTTGCTTTGACTTAACAAGCAAACGACCCAATTTTTCAAAATCGGTTAAAACGGTTGACCAAGTGTTACTTCTCTTGGCTACGTTTATAGATTCTATACTTTCCTTCATGTCATCCAATAACTTATCCTTAGCAGACTTGACCACCTTTCTACCTTCGTCATCACTATCAGAGTCCGAATCTTGGGCACCTCCTTTCAAGAAACTCTTCTTCAAGAAGTAAGCAGGACCAGAGGGACGCTTTCCATCGTAATCGGAATCAGAATCATCTGAGTCAGATTCATCGTTGTCAAATTCAGAGTCATCAGACAATTCTTCAGAAGAACTGATCAATTCTTCTTCAGAAGAAGATAACAAATCTTCTTCCTCAGATGACGACGAATCTGAAGTGTAGCCCGAAACAAAGAAACGAGACATAATGTGCTACCTATTGCTGGAACACTAGAGCTGGACTGGCTTATACTATCTGGTTTAACCTAAATGTATATTCATCCACAGAGACGAAAATTTTTCACCCTCACTGGATCAAAAACTTAGTGCTGTAATTTACCACGACCCGGTCCTACATTTACGCATGCACAAAACAACTCCCTTTTTGCAGCCATTGGAGTTACCATCAGCTACTTAATGAGTTCATAGTTGTCGCTTTACTAATCATATACAGCATGATATTCATGGTAGGAATCCCATTGCTAAAAAAAGCTAACATGCATCAAAATTTGTACCAAGAGTAAAACATACAATGCAGTACTATCATTATAATAACTGTGTCCTACTACACATAAGTCAGCTACATAATCTAACTATCCTAGCAAGTCGTCAAGAAACGCGTCATGCTCTGCATTTGATTGGGACAGCGTTGGGGATATACGAATACCTGACATTTGAGAAGTGGTCTTCTTGTTTTCAGATCTCGGTATCAGCTTAGATGCTTTCAATATCTCATCCAAAGGATCACCATTAGAAATGGGAGCCCTGTCTTCAGCTAATGCTACTTCTCCAAGAAGCTCTGATAAGTGATCGTCTATTTCACCCATCCTAACCTGAGGGTCGTTTTGTGATTTGATGATTCTGCTGTTTAAACTATCAAGCTGACTAGAATCTTTTGAGTTCAAATTGTTGATTTCTAATACTTTGCTCTTCTTTTGTTGATTAGTAGTAGAATATTTATTTCTCAACGTGGTGTATAGTTTGTTATCATTCACGAGGTGTTGTCGTCTTTTCTCTTGTTCCATATCTTCCTCGGTTAATGTCTGGATTTGGGGCTTCCTTGTCGCCTGAGATTCTCCAAGAACTGATTTACCTATTTCAAAACCTTCCAATTCATCAAAAGAGATATCATCAAGTTTTCGGGTTAATTTCTTCTCATAATGCGTCGTATTATAGGAACCAACATCTTGCTTTGCCACAGTTTCCTTATAGTCACCAAGACCATAATCTTCTAAAAAGTTGGTTGACATTTTTTGCTTGAAATAACGTTTGCCAGAGCTCTTGGAGCTTTTAGCATTCTCAAGGATTTGGTTGAGATCAAAGGTCAAGGTTTCCTTCTCCACTCTTGGTTTGGTGCCGAGGTATATTCCATCTATTTCACTTTCCTCTTGCTCTTGGTCTGGATCTTGCTCCTCAATAGAGCCATCCTTTGCGTCGTCGTTAGTGTCTTCTCTCTTTTGTGCTTCCTCTTCTAATTGGACTAGAATCTGTTTTCGGATCTTCTTCTTCTGTTCAATAGTCAATGCAGTTTCACCGCCCATATTTGGGTAGAAGTGGTTAATGAGTGCTTCATCTTCGTCTGAGTCCCAATCTGAATCCGACTCTTCCACAATAATACTGGAAGTTGGCTTCTTTGAACTCCAATGTGATTCCTGTTTACCGTCCCCTTCGCATGTCTCCGATTTAGTTAGCCCATGTTTCTTAAGGTACTTGTACTTTGCCTTCTTGTCCCATTTCGAATTCTTAAGCACCATTGCCACTCTCACTGCTATAACTTATGAACAATAACTGATGCAGGTGATCGTTGCCTTCAAAGAACGAATAATTCACTCTCACCACTTTGGTTTCGCACTAACCAAATTATTACTGGGGCCATTAACTAACTCACCCCAACTACACTTCCATTGCCCACCCCTTTGCATTAGATAACCGGCTGAAACTCCACCACCACTTGCTACGCCAATTCAATTCGATGACATATTTGTGACAATCCATACCAAGAAAGTGGTATTCAATCTTATCAGAACAGCAATGCCTAATCGGGATTAAATGTATGTGTGAGATACAGCCTTAAGTGCTCACATAAAAATTTGCCATACAAAAATCCAAATCTCAATTTGAACTTGATCTCCACCACAAGCAACCATGTCTGGAAAGGAAAATGGTCTGTTTGACCCCAAGCTGATTGAAGAGCTTTTACGTAAGTTGGCGATGGGGGATCCCTTAAGTGAGAAACAACAGAAGGAAATGAAGGATTATAAGTTTTGGAAGACTCAACCAGTACCACTGTTTGATGAAAAGTCTCAAGCTGATGGCCCAATAGATAGCGTAAGAACTCCAGATGATATCCCTGATACTCCGTTGAAGTTGTTATCCAGTTTCGAATGGGTAACTTTGGATGTTGAAAATGAAGACGACTTGGATCAAATTTATACCTTGTTGTATGAAAATTATGTTGAAGATGTGGATTCTACTTTACGTTTCAAGTATTCTCATGATTTCTTCAAATGGGCCTTGAAACCTCCAGGATGGCGTAAGGATTGGCACGTTGGTGTCAAGGTTAAAGGAAGTGGTAAATTGGTTGGGTTTATATCTGCTGTTCCTATGACTTTGAACTTAAAAAAAGGTGCCACTGAATTTCCTTGTGTTGAAATCAACTTTTTATGTATCCATAAGAAATTGAGAGATAAAAGATTGGCTCCAACCTTGATTAAGGAAATCACCAGAAGAGTGAATAAACAAAACATCTGGCAAGCCTTATATACCGCAGGTGTTGTGTTACCAGCACCGGTATCAGTTTGCCGTTATACGCACCGCCCCATAAACTGGTCAAAGCTGCATGATGTTGGGTTCTCTCATTTACCTCAAGGGGAATCTAAGTCCAGTATGATAGCTAAATACGCATTACCAAGTGAAACCAAAACCAAGGGATGGAGAGAAATGAAACTTGAAGATGTTGATCAAGTCCATGCTTTAATAACTGAATACCAAAAACGATTTGATATTGTTCAAGTATTTTCAAAGGAGGAGATTTCCCATTGGCTTTTAGATGTTAATTCTTGTAATCCAGAAAATAAGGTAATCTGTTCATATGTGGTGGAGAATAGTGATGGTAGGATCACTGATTTCATCTCGTACTATTTATTACCATTCACTATATTGAATGATAAAACTCACAACGAGCTTGGAATTGCCTACTTGTTCTATTATGCCACTGATCTGGCTGATAAAGATGGTTATAAGAAACGGTTGATAAGTTTAGTCAATGATGCATTGGTCACAGCAAAGAAGCTCAACGTTGACGTATTCAACTGTTTAACTTCTCAAGATAACAATCTTTTTATAGACGAAGCCAAGTTTGCCCCTGGTGATGGATATTTGAACTACTACTTATTTAACTACAGAACAAAGACTATTAGTGGTGGTATAAATGTGGAATCAAAAGAGATCTTAAAGAACTCTACCAGTGGTGTTGGAGTGGTGATGTTATAAGTGGTACTTGCAATTGTTTGCATACAATAAAATATAATGTATACAACTAGTATAGCCGAATAATACAATCATTTTGTTTTTATGGTATAATCTGGAGGTTATTACCTAACCATTTTTGTGTAACCCACAATTTTCCATCTCATCGCAAGTTAGCTGAAAACTTCTAAACTTCTACTACAGACTACTACTGCTTCATATAAACCACAATGATTTCCTCAAGTACATGGGTACCCAGAGGATATGCCTCCGAGTTCCCCGAGAAGTATGAGCTTAACGATGAAGAGATGGAAAGAATAGAGGAAATGGCTCGTCTTCAATTGCAAGATGGTGGTGAAGAAGTTGAAGATGAAGATGAGGAAGATGAGAATGAACATGTAAAAGCATCTGCAGTAGGCAAAGATGAAATCGAAGTGGATGATGACTTAAAGGAATACGATTTAGAAAACTATGATGCTGAAGAAAAGGATAGTGAAGGTGAAGATGTGACGATGTTCCCCGGTTTATCTAATTCTGAAGCCAAATTTCACCAAGATAATGACAGTGATCCATATTTAACTTTACCTACTGAGTCCGATGCTCAAGAGGAAAAGAAAGAGTTACAGATCTATCCATCAGATAATTTAGTCTTAGCCACAAGAACCGAAGATGATATTTCCTTTTTGGATGTTTATGTTTACGATGATGGTGCTGGGGCTCCACAGGGAGCCGAAGAGGAAGAAGAAGACAAGCTTGATGATGATGTTGCCAAGGGATTTGTAAGAGAAGCAAACTTATATGTGCATCACGATATCATGTTACCTGCATTTCCCTTATGTGTGGAATGGATTAATTTCAAGCCTGGCTCTGAAGAAGAAACTGATAACATTGGTAACTTTGCTGCTGTAGGTACTTTTGATCCTCAGATTGAAATCTGGGATTTAGATTGCATGGATAAGGCATTCCCCGATTTAATTTTAGGAGAGCCAGATCTGAACTCATTCACAGCTTTGAAAAAGAACAATAGTAAGAAGAAGAAGAAGTCTAAGGCTAAACATGTCACCACTCATCATACAGATGCTATTCTTTCCTTAGCCCATAACAAGTCTCATAGAAACGTTTTAGCTTCAACGTCTGCTGATCATACTGTTAAGTTATGGGACTTGAACAATGGTACGGCTGTACGGTCGTTTTCCAACATTCACAATGGTAAAACTGTTTCATCTTCACAATGGCATCCTCAAGAATCTCAGATCTTATTAACTGGTGGTTACGATTCGTTTGTGGCCATAACCGATGTTAGAATCTCTGACGAGGCACAAATGACTAAAAGATACAAGTGTTCTAGTAATGAAGAAATTGAAAATGTTAAATGGGGGCACAAATCCGTACCTGAATTATTCTACGCCGGTACTGACACTGGTAACATATATTGTTTTGATGCTAGAGTGGACAACAAGCCTTTATGGACTTTACATGCACATGATGCTGGTATCTCTTCATTGGAAGTTAACCAAGAGATTCCTGGTTTACTTTCAAGTTCTGCAATGGGTGAAAAGGTAGTTAAACTTTGGAAATGTCCTACTGATAATAGGACTGGACCTTCCATGGTGTTGTCACGTGACTTCGGTGTGGGTAATGTGTTGACAACTTCATTTGCCAATGATATCGAAGTTGGAGGCCACTTAACTGTGGGGGGTGTTACTGGACCTTTGAAGATGTGGGATGTGTTTTCAAACAGATCTGTACGGAACTCATTCAAAGATGAATTGGCTGAAATGCAGCATAGAGCAAAAGCTGAAGCCAAGAGTCAGGGTAAGGCTTCTAGAATTGCCAGAAAATATAGATCAGATCATCAGGATACAGTCTTCAGTGTTGAGTCCAGTGGTGCACCAGATGCCGACGACTCCGACGCAGATGACACAGAGGAATAATTAATAAAAAAGTGTAAAGTAGAAGAAACCACGGTACATAATAATATAGCACGATCACCATAAGCAATTCTATGTGCAGGTTATCAAAATCCAGCAATACAGCTCCGTATGTAACTACCAGTCAAGAGCTCTTACAAAGGTACAAACAACTTAATCAACTTGTATGAGTCCTATTCATAGTGGCAATGACATCACTACTAGATCTATCTGAGGATGTGATAATCGAAATAGTTCAATGGCTATGTCCAAAAGCAAAAGAGTATACCCCAGACTATTGTTTCTCTCAAAATTCCATTGCATTTGAAAACAAGGCATTCGGAGATCTAGTGCTGCTTTCATCAACTTGTCAAGTGCTTAGGAGAATATTGGGTGGGAAATTGTTTTCTAATGTTTCTCTTGTTCGTTTTAATGAGGCACAAGTGATTTTACGTGCTCCGAAGAGCGAATCAGTGGATAAAGAAGTAGCCATTTGCCGTATATTGCATGACCTGTTAGCATTGAAAAGGGGTTTCACTTTTAATAACTTTGTCCAGTATTTGGAAGCCCCCGTATCAGTAATATACAATAATCCACTGTTCCAAGGTCAGTTTCCAAGACTCAATGCACTAAAGGTATATTCCAATGGAGATGATTTGAAAAAGCAGAAACAACAACAATTCACTTATGAAGCGATTACTCCTTTGGTAAATCTTGAATATATGAGTTCAAATGCATTGATAATATTCAATGTTCCTTGCTTATTGGCATCAGTTGGGTTAGTTAATCGTTTGGATCTTCTTATAGATTTATCAGAGCTTACACCTAATACTGAAATTGCAGCAATTACACAGGCAATCGAGGAACATGAGAAGGACCGTCTAGTTGAACTTAATTTATTTGTGACTAGCATTGAGGCATTGAAGCAACAAGAGATACTTTCCTTAATAATCGCTGCTTCACCACTGTTGGAAAAATTAACTATACGTACGGTAAGAAAATCCCATTTGTTTGTACCAAAGTCAGAATGGGGTGTGGGTTCGGTTACTGGGAATGACATTCTTGGTTTAATAACTCAAACATGTAAAAAGTTGAAGCTGTTGGCAGTTAGTGATGAGTTATTCACGTGTTTCCAATTTGTTCTTCCTGGAGTACGTTGTCGTCGAACCGCTCCTCTACATTTAACATACGTTAGAAGACCCCCAACTTCATTTGCATTCCAAGGACAAGATAATTTGGTGGCGTTCACTGTAGGTGTTGGGGCCACCAGTTTCCACTTGCTGTATTTTGAGACGGAGCTTCTGCGACATCACAACCAGATGGATTTCCTACTCGTGTTACTAAGTATGGTTTCCTTGGAATACTGTTATCAAGATTTGAAAAAGGTATCGGTAGAGAATTGTTGGTCATATGAAAATGATAGTATGATGAGGGCCAAATTTGAGAATCAAGTTGATAATTCAAACTTAACAGACGAAAGAATAAAAGGTATTCATCGTCAACTTGCAATGATTCATCCTTGGACTCGTCTTGCACTGAACACACCTTACCACAAACAGAAGGAAGAGTATTCTGTTGTGTATTGTGCCAAGGGACTGGATCAATATACTGAAATCTTGAATCAATTATGGAGACTCATGCCTGGGTTGATGGCAATGATCTTAGCTTCTTCAAATTCTCCTCTTCCCTTGGTGCGACCATTATTGGGGACTCCAGAGATGGATAAATGGAGAAGAGATTTTTGGGGAGTTGAAACCTCGCTATTGGAACTAGAGCACTATTGTCTAAGAGATAGACAGAGGAGTAGTTTATGGGACTCCTGAAATTTTGCAGCGAATAGCTAAGCACTATTATGTATATAATTCACACATGTACGATTATAGTAATGGGTGTCCCATTTGGGAATCCACACTATATTATGGTCATTTTGAAACGCAGCAATTGTAATCTTAGCATTTTCATCGTAATCTTAGTATAATATTAGTGGTGCAATTGATTACATAAGTGCACAATGAACTGTAATGAATTACTAAACTGTTCGCAGCTTTTTAGTGTATTACACTTCTCAAATTAGTAATGTAGGCACGTCCTAAATGGGATCAAGTACACAACGAGTGTTGGTGAGGTGATTGGATATCTGGGGTAGCGCTACTATGGATTGCCATAAGTAGATGAACGATTGGAGCAACATAATGATTCTTGTTTAATTTCTATCAATACTTATTAAGTATACTAAAAGAAGTACATACGTACTACATTGATACCATGACTGAACAGATCAGAAAGATAGAGCTGATTGTGACTGCTAGAGAGCAAGACGAAGGAGTTGGTGCAAGAGTTAGGCGTTCTATTGGAACCCAGGCCAGAAGGAACTTTTATCCCTTTTTGCTATTTGACCATTTTAGTGGTAACAATGCCAATGGGTTCCCCGAACATCCTCATAGAGGTCAAGAGACTATTACACTTATGATCAATGGTGCAATGGCTCATGAAGATTTCACTGGATCCAAAGGAGTTTTATATTCTGGAGATTTACAATTCATGACTGCTGGGAAAGGGGTAGTACATTCTGAAATGCCACTTCCTGCCGCAGATGGCAGTGCCAACGAAGGATTGCAATTGTGGGTTGATTTGCCCAACAATTTGAAGAACTCTGAACCTCGTTATAGAGATTTAAGAGAATGGGAGATCCCGCAGTTGGTTGAGGATGATGGGAAAGTCATTGTTAAGTTAATCAGTGGGAAATCTCATGGTGTTGAAAGTGTTAAAGATTTGGCGTATACTCCAGTGGATTATTATCAATATACTGTGAAGAAGGGTGGTTCATTTAAGCAAGAACTTCGTAAAGATTTCAATTATTTCCTTTATGTGTTACAAGGTGACGGGTTAAAGGTTAATGGTGATAGAAATGTCAAGCAATTTCAAAATGCATTTTTTGTCAAACAAGGTGACTATTTCACTGGAGAGAATAATGATGATAAGGATGTTGTATTCGCATTAATTGGTGGTAAAATTGAAGATCAAGAAGTCATTCAATATGGCCCATTTGTATGTTCTTCCCGTGAAGGAGTCGAGCAAGCCTTTGACGATTATCAGTCTATGAAGAATGGATTTGAAAACTTGAGAACATGGAAAACTCTCATTAGCCATGGAGTAACCCAGGAAATGGTGGATGGTCCTTTGGATGGTTCACTTGAGAAGCGTGCTCAACAAAAGGAAGAGTATTTGAGAACCCACAAAGTTATCAACAAAGTATAGATTAAATAATGATAATAATAATGCAAATAGCAATAATGATGATAATGATATCTCTCGAATATGTAATAGATTGACTATGTAATGTTGTGATAAATAAACTATAATTTACAGTGTAGGATGAGTGCGATCAGTTATGTGGGCACTGATACGGAATTTTGGGACTTACTCAACCAACTTTAAGTTTTCGTAAACACCATTACCAGACTTGTACAACTCCGTGGCAGTGACACCCTTCTTTGTCAGCTCATTCTCCTTCAACTGTTGCATCATCAATCTAGCCTTCTCTCTTTCCTTGTATCCATGCAAACATTCAAAGTAATCGTCGTATTGCGGAGTGCACACCTTCTTGCTGGAAGTGTCAGCAGAGGTGTAGCATGCTACCAATGTCTGGAATTCGTAGAAGCACTTTCTGGTGCCCCCTGTTCTACTGTATGGTTGCATTGTGGCAGTATTTAGTAGTAGTTTGGTTGGTAGACCTTGTTTCTTCTTTTCCAATTGTCATAGATTTTTTCATCTCGCTAATTGGCTAACCATCAACTTTTGAACAATGTACACGACCATATAAAGAATCCTCTTATATAAGCTATACTCTAAAATACATAGGCTAGCATTTCTTTAATGCAATTTCTTACCTGATAATATAGAACACCACCTGTACCGTCAATCACAATGTCACCGGTATCATCGCCTTCAATTCCACTGTAGCTTACTTTCCGCACAGCTATTGTATCGTTAACAACTAACGTACCTTCACTTTTAAATTCTGCTTTTAATCCTTTACTAATCAACCGCTTCTTCAACTCTGGAAGACGAATATTCCCGATAGCTAATTTGGGTGTGATTAAGCTTCCAGACTCTTCTCCATTGAAAAATGTCCGATGACGACGTTCCATCTCTTCTTGAGGAATATATTTTAATGCAAATTCAGTGTTTGAGTTCAAGTACTTGGAAATGCCATTGGGTTTGTGCTTCTTTGTTGAAGGCTGTTGTTCATTCGCCAAAGGATTTCTAATCTCTAACATACCATACACTTTTGAAACTCTATAATCACCATCAATAGTCTGCCATTCTAAATTCTCTAATATCTTGTCATCCAATTTAAGTTCAAAGTTATTAAATCTGAATACTCCATCTTCACTATCATCACCTATTTTCACTGGGACATTCACTTCCACTCCTGTGACTACAACTTTTGATCCTGAACCACCTACTTTTCCAGAGGTGGCTAATGAACTTCTGATGTTACTTAGTGACAATGCCGTGGTGTTAGCAGCAAGCTCATTAGAAGACATTTTCTCATCATTGGTTTGAAATGAATCCAAAACAAGTTTGAAACCATCATTACCTTGAGGGGAGGCTGCAGTTTTGGTAAAATCGGGAAGGACCAACACGTTGTAGGGTTTCAAAAGCGATATTATAAACATGAGTGATCTAATGTCTACTACTCCGGACATATCAACATATGACAATCGACATCGAAAGCTGATTTGTTGTGCTGGATGCTTATTATCTTTACCCAATATTATTCTCCGTTTAGGGTTTGCTAAAGGATCGAGAAACTTCTCAAGTAATTGATTATTCAATACCTCCTGAGGAGTTAACTTAGTTTGCAATTGATTTTGTTGTTGTTGCTTGTCATCAGAATCTCCTTTATCTTGCTTCCCATTAGCCTGACCTGATCGTCTCTCAAATCGTTTCTTACTTTCTTGGATGAGCTTGCCGTTGGTATTATCTTCAATTCTTTGGAAATCTTTTATATCAATAACTTCACCATAATCATCAAACTTTTGTTTATGGGTCGTGGGGAAAAATGGAAACATTGCCTGTTTAGGTTTCATTTTATGAGTAATCACCAAATCCAATGGCTTGTTAGACTCGATCGTTTGCTTTATCAGTTCAGCATCATAAATTTCAAGAGCTCTGAAATCATCTGCACCAATCATTGAATTAGGAGGTGCTGTTAAAACACTTGCAGTTACTACTTGCAGTGGGATATCATCATCAGTTGAATTGCCTCCTTCGTCATCATCATCATCATCTGAAGAGTCTGAAAGTGTATCAGCATTAAGTAAACTCTTGTTCTTTCTATCTCTTACCTTTGCTAAGTATTTTTGCTTTCTGTGATTATGGATATGCTCTTTGAACTTCTCTAAATCCTGACCTGTTAAGGGCTCCTCAAAAAAGGAATTCTCTAGCGAAGTGATTTGCTTAATACCCACCAATATTCCTTCTTCTGCCTTACCATTTCCTATTTTCAATGCCAATTTATACCATTCAGAGTATAATTTTGCACCTAGATTGGCCCCTCCTCCACCGAAATGTGACTTCTCCGTTAGTATTATTGTTGTTCTTTCATCTTCACACAAGTATTTAAGCACCGAGGCAGACATATCTCCCGCATTCATGTCGACACCTGCAGTGAAGACAACCTTAGGGCCAGGGACATTAAGTAATTCCAGAGGATCGTCCAATAGATCCACTTTAGAAGGGTCAAAAGGGAAATTGTTTCTATTTGTAGAAGTATTACTAAACATTGAAGCTTCTTCCCATTCCTTCACCAATTGCGAAGCCATCCACTCCAACAATGATGTAGCATAAACCAATACCTTTGTTCCACTATAAGATACGAAATAAACCGGGATTGGAGAGCTTTCCAAATGTTGATCTATCAAATGCAACAATTCAAGAAACCGACCAGATAAAGACGTTGGAAGCAATACGGCTCCACCGTTGGATAATGTGCTACTGACCAACGCTAGAAATTTGTCTGTTCTTTGTTTATGCGAGCTATCTGAACCTAAATCAGTGTAGGTGATCAAAGCCGTAGGTCTCATAAGCTGAGACAATGGGCTACCAGTTGAACTAGAAAGGAAGCTGGCACCGTTCAAAAATGAATCCTTTGAATGGTTCCAAGTAGGAGCATAAATGATTCTTTCCAGTCTCTTTGTGATGAACCAAAATGCACCACCTAAAGAGTGACCTGCATTATAGGGAGTAATATTTAGTGTATTCTCTAGTAAACTAACTGATTGGAAATACTTCAAAGTATGGACCTTATCAAAAGATTGATCCACGTCATCAATTTCAAGCATCGCTGTTTGGACAGGTCCCAATAGACCATTAGCACGATAAAGTTCAACGGTGGAAACTCTACCCAACTGATTCACTGGTAATGTAGCATACACAGGGATAGTGGCCATAAGGTTGGGGAACCGAATACATAGTAACACGTAGGCTCCAATAAAGTCTGGTGTGGAATGGGATAAAAGTATAAAGTTAATCTCTCGCAAATGGTCTTCAAAAAAGTTGAGATCATTTACATTCTGTCCATTCCAACAAGGATCAGCAAGTATTTTAACATCGTGATCGAAGCAAAGCAATGACGCCCGACACGACGAACTGCCGTCTGTTGGCGTAAGAAGCTGGAAGCTGAACATAGACGATTGTAGAAGGAAGTGTGTCTTTGTATATGGTGGTTATGTTTTGCGCTTAGCTTTATTTTTCACCAAGCACTGTACACTACGACGATCGCATTATAGAGTGATATCACACTGTAATAACAGTTTACTAAGGAATAAATAGTAATAGATAATTATAATACATAAAGTAACTCAGTTAATAGCACACATCAAACATGAACACGTCTTGAAATAAAAGTAACGGTGGTAGGATAAAAATAGTAAAATAATGTAATAATTGTAGTAAATCTTCATGTTAGTTGCATACTGTTGCGAGTGTGTAATCTGATTAAAGATTCTGCTTGCGTCAAACCAGGAACTTCGTGAGTAGTACTGACTCTATCCATGGAGTGTCTTGAGGAATTGTATTCTCCTTGACGAATCATTTGTTCTCTCAAAAGATTGATATCCACGGGGTATCTGAATGATTCACTAATAGTATTCTTTCTTGATCTTCCTGAAACTGTTCCTCTTCTAGAACCACCAGGTGATGTAATGGTTATCTTTCTTTTGATAGAGCCAATAGTATTTGAAAATGGGTTATTATGATGATGCTGTTGTTCCTGTGACTTAGGCAGCTCATCACCACCATCATGTTCTGCTGCTGCTCTTTGATGTTCAACTTCTTTCTCCAACTTATCCAAAAACGAAGGATCTCTTTTGGTTAATTCAACAACCAACCTATGTCTTTCAACGTCTTCAGCATTGGTGGGATCATATCCTTGAGGGTAGTCATCATAATAACCCTTTTTAACCAACTCTCTGATAATATCAATGTCACGAGGAAAGAAGTTGATCTTCAAAAAGTCATAGGTGAATCTTGGTAAGATACAAACAGAAATGCCCACAAAGAAAACACACCAACATGCTAATGTTCCAAATACTTGAGGAGCAGCCTTATAAAATTCTCCTGATGTTGTACTGGCTGACCATACCCCAGCCCAGAAGAACACAAGAGCAGATGAAATAAAGTTGATAAGCAACGTTAACCAATCCCATCTATATTGTTGTAACAACACATAAAGATTACAACTGGTGACTGAAACAACAGTTGCTACCACACCAACCCAAAATCTGTGGTCTATTGGTAAACCTTGGGGATTAGGAAATGATCTGTAAAACACAAGATAAGGGAACCAAAAAGCCACAACTGATTGATAAAGCCCATCAAACATGTACCAAACAAACTTATATTGAGTCCATTCTTCTCCCAAGATACCTGAACGATATAATTGAGGAACAAGAAGGGAAACAGAGTCTGAAACGTCTTGATCCAACACAGCTAAAAATATAACCGGCAATGAAGTAAAGGCCAAATTATAAAACATCAAAAAAGTGTACTCATACAAATAGGATCCATCAAAGTTGTTGTAAATACCATACCACATACACGTTAACGTGAACACCACATTCTTGTAAAAGAAACATGGAACCATTTCTGCCAATCTTTTGTAAGACCATCTTCCATGAACTAAAAGTAGTCTTGTCAAATATCTGAATTGGCCAATAGCATAGTCAGAAGACATGACAGCTTGACGACCTTCTTCACCAGCAATACCAACACCAACATTAGCAGCTTGAATCATGGCAACATCATTTGCACCGTCACCAATAGCTAATGTCATGACCTTCAAAGAATTCTTAACCATCTTGACCACGAATGCCTTTTGAGCTGGAGAAACACGACAACATAACACAGATTTACATTGTTTACCAAGTAACAAAAACTTGGATTGAATATCCTGACTGTGTTCATGTTCAGTGTCAAAAATTAAGGTTAATGCTGCACCGTCAATAATCAAAGCGTGATTAGATGTTGGAGTTGAATGATCTTCTCTAGCTTCTTCAATAAGTGCTTCGATTGTGGCGCTATCTGAAGCATTAATTCCAAAGTTATCCTTCAATTGGGTAGTTAGCATATGATCAATATACTCAAAATTATCGGGATTATCGTCTTCTGGTCTCACTACCAATAATTTCATATTGCTTTCCAATAAGTTACATGAGAATCCAATGTTGATAGCCGTTTCAACTCTATCACCAGTAAGAACCCATAGCTTAATTCCTGCTTTACCCAAGATGGAGATTGAATCTGGAACACCATCTTGTAAACGATCCTCAATGGCAGTTCCTCCTAATAAAATTAAACCTTGTTCAATTTCTGCTTCTAAATTGGCCAAAATCTCATCACGAGAATCGTCAATCAGTGATTCAGCTTCCTTATATCTTGCATTCCAGTTCTCATAAGTTGCCAAATCCATTTCCTTTTGAGCAATACACAATGTTCTTAAACCCTCTTGAGCATAATCTTCCAAATGTAAAGCAGTTTTAGATAATGTATCTTGATTATTCAATCTAGGATCCAATATCAGAAAGATTGCACTATCAGCACCTTTACAAATCAACAAAATCTTATTTTCAGGAGTCTTCACGATACAAGACATTTTCTTTCTAGCACTTGTGAATTGAATTATACTTAATAATTCATACTCTCTTTTTTCACCATAGACTGTCAAGATAAGTGATTTTCTCATTCTTTGAGTAAAGACTATCCCTATATCATGAGCTGCTGAAACCAATGCTGCTTCATCTGGAGATTCGGCTTTAAACTGTCTTAAATGAGGGTTCTCGGGATCTTCTTCCGTGACAACAGTATGACAAAGAGCTAAAGCTAACATGAACCGTTCATTTTCAAACTTCCGTTTCTTATCTTTTGGTTCCAGAATAGTATCCTTGACAAATTCATTTGAAAGGAAAGTAATCTTTTCTGGTACCAATTGATCGTTATGGGAATATAACTTCAAGTTTTCAATCATTTGGGATTTATCTTCGGCCATTTTTAAACTCCACTTCTTCAGTTCCTCAATGACATCCTTACCCATACGTTTATCTAATCCTTGTTTAGCCTCAGTATACGCTAACCCGTACAGTTTTCCGGCTATAGTGCATTTTTTGAACTCCATAACGTTTTGTGTTAAGGTTCCTGTTTTGTCACTGAAAATATATTCAATTTGCCCCAAGTCATCAGAGATATTCCAAGCTTTAGGTATACATGGGAAATTCAACTTCTCATAGTACATCTTTAAATCGGAAAAGATGAAAAAGGCCTGAAGAGTCTTAATAATTTCAATGGAAACATAAAGGGAAATTGGAACCAAAGATTGATAAATAATTAAGGCCACAAAGAACGCAATAATACCATTTGCTGCAGATGTTGATGCATAAGGCTTAAAATCAAAGTATATTCGGGAAACATGCTTCTCATTATAATATAACCCATTAATTAAACCGGAAGCAAAACACATGACGAATAAGAGAGCAAAATTGATAAACACTGAAATATTCAATTCTCTTGAAATTTTAGACGCCTTGGTGGGTGTTATTCCAGAATTTAACATAATCTTTGTTTCAGCACCAGTGTATACAACAACACCAATAACCCACTTGGTATTTCGCAAAGTACTTCCTCTTAATAACACATTGTTATTGGTAATGGCTTCCTTTTCATCAGGGTTAATTAAAGTTCCTTTCGAATCATAGTTTTCATAATGAATAGTTCCTTTGAAAGCGTATAAAGATTTATTAGGAGCATCACATTCAATCCAAAACTTTGTATTTCCCAAATCACGGGAATGCTTCAAGTTAGTTGCCCCACCACATTGCAAAACCGATTTTGACTTCAAATTTGTTTCCCCATCCAAATTTTTGGTTTCAATGTGGCAATTGCCTTCTGGTTCTGATGTCAGAAGTAAAATAACATCAGCTGGTACTTCCTCGTTTGCTCTTATTCTAATGAAATCCCCTACGTTGATATTCTTCCAATTTCTACTTTTGAATACAGAGTAGCCACCAGATTCCGACGCAATAACTTGGGGATTAAGTATTGAGTTTGGGTGTGGTTGTGAAAAGGGAAGTCTCTCCTTTGATCTGCGACCCTGAGTTGATTTTCTTCTATAGCTTCCCAAACTTAAACGAGGAGCAGAACCTGGATTCTCATATTCACCAGAATTATAGGTATATTCTGAGTGAACTGTAGATACTCTTCTTAATTCATTTGCTTCTAATTGATGCTGTTCTCTAACGTATTCGACTTTAGCTTTCTTTGATCCAAAAACATATAAGCTTGCTTTATAGAGTCCTCTGAAAGTAGCATTGGTTGCTCTGGTACATCCTTTCTTAAATCTTCTCCAGGTATTTACATAGTCTGCTTCCACATTAGGATTATGCATCCCCACCAACAAATGAACAGGGTAATTATTCAATTCTGAATCACTATTACCTCTTTGATAATCTTCAATGATATCTTTAAGGGCCGTGATACAGACAATGACTATAAGAGGCACTGCGGCCAATCCTGGACTATCAACACCAAAGATTGAAAATGCACCCAAAATAATAAGCATGAGGAAATAAACATTAGCTACGTTTGAGAACTGAAACATCAAGTTCTTGGGAAGGAATGACATGGGGGTATATTTTGTAGTTCTAATCTTATTTCGGGGGTAATTGATGAGAAGATGACCTCCTTGAGGGTCTTTGTAAATTTCTGGTACATCGAAGTTCACATAAACATATCTAGGAACTTTATTATAGATATCTTGGAGATATGTAGGCATCAGAGCCCACCCTGATTTATAGAATCTTAACATCCATTTGGCTTTCCAATTTGGGGGGTTGTGATAAGCATGGTATAAATCTTCGATAGTATACTTCTCTATACTGGTAGCTTTCTTAGACAACGAATCCTTTTCTGAGTCGCTATGGCCTTTGATAGTGGAAAGTGGTGGCGAATTATTCACCGCATCCTTTTCAGACATCTCAGGCGAAGGGTCTGAACTTGAGTCGTCCCTCATTAGCTGTTGCTGTATTTTTTATATTAGACAGGAAGTCAGCCTCGGTCTTATGTTAGCGTTTCTGCTAAACACTCAAACGGCTGTTCAATTTGAAATGAACTATGTTGATAAATATAGATAATAGATAAGGTGCTGATTAAGCAAACAAAACGTTTTTGGTACCTAAAAAACTTACAGCGGAGACTACGGGAATTAAATATCTCGCCGCAACCAATACTTTTTTTTACAGCCGTTGGCCGGTGGCTGTACAATACCAGTAGATAAAAAAAGGTATTATTATACTACAAGAGCAAACTTACCCGCTTGGTAAAGGAGTTAGTAACAGGATAAGGTTGACATAATACCAGACTATTATCTTCAATCAGAGGGGTAGTCGTCATATGGTTAGGAGGTAGAGTTAGTTCCATCACCTTGGGTTGATTAAAGGTGCGTATTAAGGCTATGAGAGAATTATTTATATCCATTAGTCAAAATAGGATAGTGCTAAGTGCAAAGTGAAAGTAATGTGGCATGAACATGATCTATACGGAAGCTATAGGTTGTTCTCTATTGATGATATTTTATAGTTTTAGAGTTAAGAATGGTGTAGTTGACTACAAGTTAATCCCGAACTGAAAAGGTTCAAGGGAACTTTGTTTACGGATCTTAAAAGGTCGAATCTTCCGTAATTCTCCCATTATTAGAAGTGTTTTTATATACCGGTGACGGAGGACTAGTACTATTGTTCCCAGACATCTACATACGGAAGAACAAAACAAATAATCTCCATCGTCCTTACTACATGGTTAGGACACGTTATTCGTATGTAGCATGCAAACTCCACAGTACGTCAACTTTAACTAGTTCCGCATTTGGGCTCTGCACTAAATTATTCCTTAGTCTTAGTATTATCACTATGAAAAGCCTATTATTGTAGCAAAGTTAAGTAGGGATGACTAAGAATAGATCACTCTTTTCACAAACAACCGTACCTTCAATATCTTGGATTACTCCTCTTCGTGCATTTTCTTAGAAGGAGACATTAGATATCCAGTACAATTGGTAACCATATCCGTACACTAATGTAAGAAACTACATTGAAAGTTGTTTCGTTTGCTTATGTAATAAAGCGTTGTAGCCTCACACGTACTTGTTCCCCAGGCCTCGACGACACTAAGACTTTAAAAATTTTTCACCTATTTCAATTACCATCTACACCTTATTACTATCCTTATTATATCAACAACAGTAATAATGTCTGCTCAACAAATTCCTCAGGACGCTCAAGTCAACATCATCTCCAAGAACGAGAAGAAGGCCAGAGAGTTGATCAAGAAGTTCAACTTGAAGGCTGTTCCAGGTATTTCCAGAGTTACTTTCAAGCAAAGAGGTAACTTGATTTACGCTATTGACCAACCTGACGTCTACAGATCTGCTGCTGGTACTTACATTGTATTTGGTGAAGCCAAGGTTGATGACATGAACCAAAGAATTGCTGAAGCACAAAAGGCTGCTGAAGCTGAATCTGCTATGACTGCTGCTGCTGATGACAAGTCTCCTGCTGCAATCACTGCTGACATGGAAAAGGTTGCTTTGGACGCTGCAACTGCTTCTAACGAAGAAGAAGAAGAAGAAGAAGGTGAAGTTGATGACTCTGGTTTGGACCAAAAGGACATTGAAATCATTGTTGAGCAAACTGGTGTCTCCAGAGCTAAGGCTGTTAAGGCTTTGAGAAGCCACGATGGTGATATGGTAAATGCTATCATGGAGTTGAGCTCCTAAGTTAACTACTAGAGAAGTATAGCTTTATGAGATCTTGTATTATATATATATATACATATATGATATTCACTATTTAGCAACTATTGATCTGACGCAAATATTTGCGTCTTCTAAATCATTTCGATGTAGTATCATCCTGATTTGGGCTTAAAGACCTCGAATGTTCTACTAACATAGGCTCCTTTTCAATTTTTGTATTAGGCTCTTTGGCTAATACAGGGCTCGGAACTGAAACATTTTCAAGGTCTTCCTTTGGCACACTTTCGATACCCTCTGATGGAACAGGACTTTGTGAGAGCTCAGGTCCTATATAATTTGGATATAATCCATTAGGTGGCTCTTGCATTTCACCATTGAATAAACCACATTGTGGGCATATATAAGGAACTTTGTGTGGTTCAGTGCATCCTGGAGGGGCTAACCCGTTATGCTTGAAGCAACCAGCACAAATCAAGGCATAGCGGGATTCAATTGTTTCCGAATAATCTGAGCCAACTAAGATATCAAGCAATCTGTCTTGGAAACTTCGTTGAGATTGCACTTCTTGATGTGAAGAGGAAGGGGATCTCTTATTATTTATATCAGATGGTTTTGAAGATGATGGCTGCTGCTTTTGTTGTAATCCCTCTAGTGGTTGTTGTTGTTGCTGTTGTTGTTGTTGCTCTTGCTTCTGCAAACCTGGTTTCATTTCGCTAATGGGTTTTGAAACATTTATTGTTCCTGGATTTACATTCAATCGCTGCTTAAGATTACCGTTGCCTGGTATACCTTGAGCTCCGGAGGATGTTCCTTTGTCTATCACGTTGGCTGTTTTCCTTTTCCGTTCATTGGGGTCTCCATACTTTTCTAACAACTCTGAAGTAGTATTAAAATTGGTGATCTTCTTCAATTCCTCAATTTTTAGCTTATGTCTTTCCTGGAGGCTACTTAGTTTGGTCTGTCTTGATTTGAGTAACCAATCGTAAAGACCACCGAGTAGCCTAACAAGAAAATACAAAATAATAGGATATACAATAACGAAAATCCACTGGTTTCGTGAAAGCCCTTTGATTATAGCTTGGAACCTTGTAGTGTTTGGGATTTGGGGGATTTGAGTATAATTGTAAAGATTACCCACAATATAAATAACAAGTAGATAATGGATTGTTGTTTTGCGAGTCGATCGTTTTCTTCTACTTAACTTGTAGATCTGCTCCTGAGTTGAAGTTATTGATGCTGTGATTTGAGTCAACTCCTTCTCGAATGCCAGTGGATCATACCCTTTTTTAAATAACAGAAACATTAAATATCTAACAGGTCTGTTTATACAATCAATCTGAGTGATTATATTAATCGTTGGGTGTAAATATAATTAGGATAATTAGGATATTATGTGTAATCAAACGTACCATCAAAGTGCGTTGTTGTTCGATTGTTCGTGGGTGTGGCAAGTTGTATGACGAAGTAGTTCACTTAAAAGAGTTGGTCGGAAGGAATTCCTCGAACGACCCTCGAATTACCCTCGAGTCACAAAAAAAGCAAATGCCAATTCGAAGTGGATTACCTTTCCCATCAAAAATTTCCTATTTGGGTACAACGGTTTTCCCATTACAGGGCATCGACGTGAACAATTGTAATTCACTACCACCAAGTATTGCTTTACATATTACGTATGGGTTGATATGAGATACATATGTAGATTTGTAATCACTGCTATTTCAACCCACTCACATCTTAGTAGTCCCACTGTAGTACACTATCAAACTCAATTACGTTGAAATTACTAATTGACAGAGTGGTGTATTATCACATACAATCTCGTTCAAATTACACAAGTCAATATCACATATACTTATAGCTCATCGCAATTTTCCCCTACAATAATTTCTCGGTTGGTGCACTACTAACGTCTTCGATGGCCTATGATCAAAATCAAGCGATGCGCTTGCTTGAACACCGGCAATGGAGAAGAGATAACTAAGTTGTTAAAAATAGTTAAAAAGAGCTACAAGTGACATATCCCGATACGATTCCATAGGATATCACTTAACAAAATATACGAAATACTGAGCTCATTAGTACCATAAGGCTTGTGAGATAGAGCATACCACAAAACTTTAACTAGACTGGGTGTGACTTAGACTAAACTCATCGCAAGAAGTTAGAGGGGGGCATACACTTATAAATCAACTTCATTATCAGCCTTCTTACGGCCATAGTTGAACCCCTATCCCGTTATTATTTAGAGCAATTGTGTCGAGCCCGATTGTATAAATCATCATTTCCTAGAGAGGCTCTTTTACCGCAGAACTAGCATACAACTTCCATCTATAATAATGGTTTATAGAATAGGTGACCGAATACTAGACTTAAATCCTACAAAAGGGTCAATTACTGTTGAAGATGCTCAACTTATAGTGGCACATCGTGTGATATTTAGACTTTGTCTTAATAATGCCACATATATGTATCTAACAAGTATAAAGAAAATGCTCCATTTGTATGGGGATATCATGACCATATACTCTACAATCCTCAAAAAAGTTCCCAATTATGACGATGTCACCGAAATGGTGTTAACAACACATAAATTAATTGAGACGGTAGAACAGGATTTCAATGATATTTTCGGTTCATCCGTGGTACCTCCAATAACAAATGACCATTGGGAAACTTGGTCTTACGAATTAAAAGTGAAGCCTTTGGCTCTACTTTGTATAAATTCTGCCATAGAAACTATGGAGAATGCTTCCAAGACGGTAGATTGTGTTGATGTCTTTTTTGAGAGCTTCAATAACTTAAAAAGACTTTTGATTCCAAAACTAGCATTGCAAGCAGCATATGTTCGCAGTTCATTAGATAGAGCCCTCAACATATTACACACTATCACAGAGGTTGATGATTTGGTTGATGAAATGAATGAATTGGGTACATCAGAGTTGGCTCGGATTTCAAAAATTGAAACTCTTACCACTATGCTTGAAAATGAAACAAGCGGTATGAAACTCATGTTTAATTCTGGTGACCGTTCACTTGACATGTACAGTGTCATTATTTTAGGGAAAGGAATCTTGCGACAGGACTTATCAGCTGAAGAATGCCAAATCCTCAGACGTCGGGAGATTTGCTTCCAAGCAGAGAATAGCATTGCTTGTATTCCCCTAACTGATAACCCACCAGAGAACAATAGTTGGCACAATTCAGCATTTGGAGGAGTTGCCGGGGTTGCGGTATTGGTATTTATGGTAGCGTTTGTTGTAGTTTACCGTCTCTATCGGATTTTCTTCTTTTAGGACATGCAGGGCATTGGATCGGATTTTCATACAGTAATCAATAAATATAGTTTCTATGACAAGCACAGTACAGAAATGTTGGAATAATTTTGAAACCCCAACCCCAAATTCAAATTTGGATTTTGTTAGTGAAACTTTTAGGAGTAGTTTTGTGTGGCATAGTCCTAAGGTTTTACCGTAGTTATGGAATGGGGACCTAACAGTACCAGTGTTAACTAACAATAATATCAAGCCCTTAATATGGCCTTTTATTATTCTATATTCTTATTCACACCATCCAGCAGCCGTAAACTGCAGACTGAGCTTGCACAAATTACATGTAAATACTAACAAGACATACTCCAAACAATTCAAGGGAGCATTATACCCGTAGTAACTGGAAATCTATTTGTATAAACAAGTTTATATAAGGCTTTCTTGGTTCTACTGCTATGTCTACTATTTTTGACTTTGAGTTCCAGTAAATGATCGGAGATTCTCATTACTCCTTATTACTATTATTATAACACTTCATTCTCATTCTCATTATATCAACAACAAAAGTAGCGAAAAAGCAAAATCATCAACGAAACAACCTTTATAAACATTCACACACCATCAACACCATAGCAATTATCCCTCCATTGGGAGTACTTCTTGCCATAATATACGGCCCAGAATCACAGTGAGACGTGGGAAACCATTGCTGGTGTGATAAATACATTTACTTTTGTTCTACGGGACTTTGACACTGTCTTCTCTTCTCCCCAGATTTCACATCACATTATCAACATGAGCGACTCTCAAATATACTCAGCCACTTACTCTAGTGTGCCTGTGTTTGAGTTTGTTACAAGTGAGGGTCCTATAATGCGACGTAAACTGGACTCGTGGATTAATGCAACGCATATTTTGAAAATTGCCCGCTTCCCAAAAGCAAAACGTACTAGAATACTAGAGAAAGATGTACAAACAGGGATACATGAAAAAGTCCAAGGTGGATACGGTAAATATCAAGGAACATATGTACCCTTGGATGTTGGTGCTCAAATTGCACGAACGTTCGGCGTTTATGAAGCTTTGCAACCTATATTTGAATTCGTTTACATCGAAGGGAAATCAGAAACCCCTCCACCTGCTCCAAAACATAGTCATGCTTCAGCTTCAAATGTGGCTAACCGAAAATTAGTCTCAAAGGATCATAAAAATAATAAAGTTGATCGTAGGACCAACATCAATGGTAAACGAGAATCGGCAGGTACTGGTTCTACTTCGGGACCCACAACGACAACAACAACAAACGAACATGCCTCTAAACCAAATGGTGGTGATGAGCCACCACGTAAAAGGGGAAGGCCGAGAAAGGATACTTCTAAACAAAGTGATGCTCCCTCATTAGAGAATCCTCCATCTTTGACTCATTCAGATACAATACCGATACAGCAATCTAATAACAAGCTTCCGAGTATTTCCCAATACGTTACCCAAACTCCTACTCAACAGCTGTTTTCAGGACAACAGTTTTATCCCCCTAGAATTCCTAATGGGGCTTTTCTGATACCCTCATACACTCAACAATACTATCAAGTTTCTCAACCCTTAGGACAACGACAGTCGTCTATCACCAACACAGCAGTTCCCTTAACTCGACAAAACACTGTTGAAGATGCTCCATTAGTACTACAGAATAACAGCATGACGCTAAAGCATGAAGATTTGGAATCCGTAGAAAGTGAGGACGACCAATTGGGAGAGGAAGATGAAAACGGAGCTATAACATTTATGAATAGTAAGGAGTTGTTTGGAACACCACGTAACTCATTTGAACGTTCTATCAGATTTTATAATAACCCATCGGACTTTTCTCAAAATCATAGTGCTCTTCAACAATTCCAACAAGCAGCTTCTCATCAAAATTCAATGCTGCTTCCTCAAGCTTCACTGCAAATGCTAGGAAGTACCAAGCCTGTGGCTTCAGATGAGTATACGGAGTATTACACATTCCTTCTTAACTATTTCTTGGATGATAGCAAATCCCGAACTAATGATATTCCACAAAGGATTTTAGATCCTCCCTTACCACTTTCCAAAATCAATATACTTCAGACAATGGACAATGATGGCAATACTATATTTCATTGGGCGTGTTCTATGGCAATTCCGCAGGTGATATCATTTTTGATGGATAAGTTTTCAATTGGAAGTGATATTAAGAATGGATATGGCGAAACTCCATTGATGTTTGTTGTCAAATTTAATAATTCATTTCGTGTGAAGAATTTTCCTGCCATCTTGGATTATTTATTTGACTCTGTATTTTTAATGGATGATAGTGGGAAAACGGTATTGCATCATATTGCTCAAATAGAGTCAAAGAATAAGGAAAATTTCTCGAAATATTATATGGAATGTCTTTTGGATAGGCTATTCGATGTTATGGATGATGACAATGTCATGGAACGTACACAACTAATCAGCAAATTCCTTAATCACCAAGACGCTAACGGAAATACAGCGTTCCATATTGTTGCCTTTCATATGAACAAAAAGTGCATTACGATTTTAATCAAATACCATAAGTATATTGATTTCTCCCTAAAGAATTTGTTGAATTGTACAGTAGAGGATTATTTATTAAGTCACAACTATGTTTTGCAACTTGGTAAAGATAATGATGACGATGAACAAATAGATGAAGGAGTTGAAAATCCTCTGCCATCAAAATCTGAAGAGAGGTATGAAACTACTATAGAAACAGAAAGTGCTGGATCTGCAAATATTCGAAAAACTGTGGATTCAACTAATACTATTACTAGCTCAGGTGAGAATAATGGGTTACATTCAAGTACAGAGGAGTTTCCACTGGATAGTACCAAAAGCTTTGAAAATCAATTACACTTTTCAAAGATTGCTATGAATTTGCAAAACTCAACGGCTAACATCATAACGGAAAAGCTAACAGAGTTGGCATATGCTGTGGATAAGGAGTTGGCAGAGAAAGATGAGAAGCTTTCAAACCTTTTCAAGATACACAAGATATTCAATCATGAGAAATTGATTTCACAACGTGAGGTGCTTAAGATATTCAAATTGGACCATTTAGTGAATGAATTGGAACAGGAGTATGCAACTGCAAACCCACATGACGTTGTAGTTGATGAACATAGCGATAGGCTAATTCAAGAAGAGGTTTATCGCTTATACAATGATTTGTGCTTCCGGTTTTTACAAGTTCTGAATGATTTAGAGAAGAAGCAAAATCGATTGTGCACCATCAATGAGAAAGCTCAACAAAAGAAGATTCAAAATGCGGCTGAGATAAGAGGTCAAGTATTGCCCATCGAAGTTCCTCAATCAACACTGAATGAAGATAGAATTCTGGCTGCTGTAAAGTTAACGGAGGCAATAATTAAAAGACGGGGATTAGTGAAGCAATTGTATGATAAGCTGTTACGGGCACCAGTACCACAGAGTGGAAGTGAAACCATTGATTCTACAGATTGCGGCGAAAACAAGGAAAATTCGGCACCTCCCACCTCTACCACCGGGGTCAATTCTGGCAGCTCGATTGTGGATCGATTTTCTCCTAAAGACAAATTGTTCAAATATTGCAAGCTTATATCCCTTTGTTGTGGCATGTCGGTAGAAGAGGTTGAAGGTTCCATTGATCAGATTGAACAGTCTTTACTAAAATCTCGATAAATGTGGAGAGACAACTTGATTGTAAATTATGTAAAATAAATGTAAGGTGACTAATTAACTGTAATAATATGATACAACCACTGTAGTAGTATTAGAGCCCTGCTCGGGCACACTTCAGGTGTATTTTGCAAAGTGCTCTGATTGGGTACTTGAGAAGCAAGAGACTATATCAGTATCAATTTTCTCAAGATCTCCATGGATAACCGTTAATAGCCGAAACCTTCCTGCTCAGTGTATATCAGGGAGTGGTAACAGGCGTTGACACCGCATAGATGGTAATCGAAGCAAATGGTTATAGATGTTATTGGGGCCGCTCCCGCGAATTGCCGAAATTTTACTTTCGCTGTCAATTTACGGCAGTTGCAAAATTGAGCTCGGTAAATGGGCCACAAATTTTTCATACATTAATCTACCAGAACAATACATTACTTATCATATTTGGCACGAAAGAATACATATGTCCTTCTCGATATATATATATATATATGTGGGTGTATGTCACCATATAAAAGTATCTTTATAGATTAAATTATAAGAGTGTATTCAGTTAGACCATAATAAATTATTGCACTGTTTTTTTGCAGCACATAAATTGTTTGGGAAATTTCTAAAAGGGTTAGTATGGGTGATGCAAATCTTACTTCTAAAGAAACAACGATTTCACACACAGTCACCATGAGTAACTCTACTACGGATGGTTATCAAGATTCCCCTTACGAATTTAGAGGTTACGAAGATAGTGATTCAGACTCAAGCTCGATAGAATCAGGGTTCGAAAAGCCGAGAAAAGGCTCTATTTCTTCAGTTGCCTCATTTGGTGCATCTAGTGCACCTTATAGTGTTAGAGACATATATGGGGATTTGAATAGCAATGAAATAGCTCTCCAAAGAGAGTACACTAGGAGAACAATTGTTGAGGAGTTGATTGATCGTTCCAAGGAAGCAGAAGCAGAATTGGATTTCAAAACTCCCGAATTTGATTGTGGCACCCACGATTTGGAAAAGGGTTTAGAAATAGATTTAGATGCACCAGAAACCTCGATCCCTGTTCCTAATAATGGTGAAGAATTCAAATGCATAGATCCAGAATTGATCAATTGGAACGAAACTGACGATCCACAAAACCCTAGAAATTGGTCTTCTAACTCAAAGGCATTCATGCTAGCCCTTGTCTCACTTTATGCTCTTGTAGCACCCATGTCATCTTCAATATTATCCCCTGCAATGAGTAACATCAACCAAGAATTTGGAATCGATTCTCAAGTACTCTCTTCCATGGTTGTTTCCATTCAGATTCTAGCATGGGCACTCGGACCCTTACTCATTGCTCCACTTAGTGAACACGATATTTTTGGAAGGAAATTGGTCCTAGACGTATGTTGCTGGATGTCATTGGTATTCAATATTGGATGTGGATTCTCTCAAACAACAGTCCAAATGATGGTCTGTCGTTTTATAGGTGGTTTGTTTGGTTGCGTTCCTTTGAATGTTTGTGCTGGAGTTATCTCTGATTTGTACAATGCTAAGCAACGTAATATCGCGTTGGCTGGTTACTCCTTTGTTCCCTTGTTGGGTCCTGACATCGCCCCTTTGATTGCTGGGTTTGTTGTTGATAATACAAGTACATGGAGATGGGTTTTCTACGTATTGTGCATATTCAATGCAACAGTGGCGATCGTTACCACTTTGTTCTTCAAAGAAACTTATGCACCTACACTTCTTAGACGCAAGTGTTTGAAGCTTCAAAAGGAAACCGGAAACACCTGTTTGCACACAATATACGATATTACTGATAATGAGCCTTTCTGGACGAAAATGTGGATTACGTTGACTCGTCCACTTATTCTTTTGTTTACTCATCCTATGATTGTTGGACTTGGGTCCTTTATGGCTTTCACTTACGGGTTTATGTATTTGATGATTGTTACGTTTCCCCGTATATTCACTATTCAATATGGCTACTCTAAATCAGTCACAGGTTTAATGTATATTCCAATGGGCGTTGGATTTGCATTGGGAGTCATAGTTTGGACGATTCTATTAGGAAAAGTTTATGATAAATTAACAGAAAGTAATGGTGGAGTAGCTAAACCTGAATTCCGTCTTCCTTGTCTTTTCGTCAGTTCAGTATGTATTCCTATTGGTCTTATTTGGTTTGGTTGGTCTGCTCAATATAAATTACACTGGATAATGCCAGGAATCGGACTGGCAATTTTTGCTTTTGGATTGGTTTGCGTTTTCCAACTGTTACAGAGTTACTTGATCGATATGAATGTTAGATACGCAGCCAGTTCTGTTGCAGCTGCAGCTTTGTTCCGTCTGTTGTTCGGATTTCTGTTCCCACTATTCGCAGGTAAAATGTATGCATCTATGGGATATGGCTGGGGTAATACTATGAGCGCCATAATTGGCTTGTTTTTAGGTGTTCCCTTTCCTATCTTTGCCTACAAGTACGGTGAACGCATTAGACATTGGGCTAACAAGCGTATAGAGGCAAAGCAATTACAGAGGGATCAACGGATGTTGCGCAGGCAAATGGAGAATAAGAATAAGGCGGAAAACTGAGTGTGTTTTTTTTGTTTATTTATCGGGTCTCCTGATTGATGTCTTCTACATTAATATCGGGAATTGTTCTAAGGTTAATATTATTTATTTTGGGTATCATATAGGAAAACTAAGTAATAGTGTTTGTAAATCGCAACCAAATAATATTTGTGTAGACACTTTACTGATTCGGAAGGAATCGGCGCTACCTGTTCGTTTTGAATTGACCGGTGCGCTAATGGTTTCACTTGAACGCACGGTTTGAGTATCATACTCAAATCAAACTCTAACGGGCATTATTTAGATCCCATGATAATGAGTAAGCCGGACTTTGATATTATAGCTTTGAAGCCATTCCCACTTCCAAAGTACATTGATTTATTGCCTGTTGGAGTTATTCAGGAGTTCAGTCTACTGTATGAACTAGTTAAGGGATATATAGAGCTGTTACTGACCTTCACAGTGTATAAACAGGAATTGGCTGAACGACTACAAGAACAGACAGAACGCATTAATAAGATAATTGATTTAGTTGGTCGATATGATGACTTGTCAAATCACATTGAAGAGCAACTAAGAGAGGTACGACGTTTATTTGATGAATTCAATAGTCTCGAAGTGGTACAATACCAATTATTACTGGCCAACTTCAATTTGAACTTTATCAAACGCAAATACGAACAAATGGTTGAAGAAAGTGATACCCAATCTCGCGAGTGTATTCTGAAGTACCGGGATCATACAATAGGAGAAGAACAATTAGGATATTTTGTTAAGGAGTTTCGGGCGAAACGGCTAGAGTATCATTCCCGAAAGCTGAAGCTTGAACGGTGGAATGAAGATAGAATCAGCGGACTTTACTAACATATGCTCTTAAGGTTCAAAACTGACATCATTCAATCATTCAACCAAAATTACACCCACCAATCTATTTTGCTTCATGACTCCGGTTTACGTTGTTTGTTTGACACCCTTAATTCCGAGAAGCCGGTCTGCTATTTTCAGACTTTACATACACTATTAATTCTGCAACTAACAACAGGAAGTGCCCTCCCCAAAAAAAAAAATCTCTGCATAATGCCGAAGCGGGGAGGCTAAAAGAGACCGTTTCCAGCACATTTCGATGCTCTTTACAGATATTAGTTATCGGACCAATCAGTTGGATGAGAATTAGACACCCATTCCTCTGATGATCTAGCCATAAGATAGAATCCCAAAATCTGGGAATTAATCTCAGACATATTCTTAATGGACTTAAGACGTCTAAAGCTTATATGTATTGACTTAGTTCCCCCTCTACTCATCGCTCGCTGCACTTTACTGATTTAACTCTGGACGGAAGGAAGTCTCGGACTTTACACCACCGATCAATATCAAAAAGAAATTTCGAGTCACGTGATTATTGTTCTTTTCAGTCTGCTCCATTTTTATCCGCTGAGGGTGACCAGCGCCCGAAAGCTTTCCCCGACATGTGCCAAACAATCAGACTTGAGAGTCCGCTAGCTGATGGTAGCGCTTATCGCAGTGGGATTTTTCATATGACTAAAACAATGTGAGTCTTAGGTATCCTTTATAGGAACTTAAAATTCTTGTACTTTACTGTATTTTTTTCCTTCTTCTTTTGCTTTTGTCGTAATTGCTTTAACTCGTTGCAGTATTGGTAGTTGATTCCGTCTCAGTGACATTGACCATCTACAACTAGAAGCATGTTTGCCCAAAGGGTTTCTGCTGCCAGATGGGCTTCTTCAATGGGTCGCTCCTTCGCCCAAAGGAAATCAGCTATTAGAGCTAACAGTACCTCAACCATTAAGCCAAAGCCAAAGAAGTCTTTCTTAGGTAAAGTTTGGAGAACAACTAAGTGGGGTTCTTTATTTGCTGTTGTTGGTTCTGCTTCTTATCTTTCCTACAAGGTGTACAAAGAATCTCATCCTCCAGCTCAATTACCTCAATTGCCTACTTTTGAAAATGGTCAAGAAAGAAAGACCATTGTCCTTTTGGGTTCTGGTTGGGGCTGTATGTCTCTTTTGAAGAATTTAGATACTACTTTGTACAATGTTGTTGTGGTTTCACCCAGAAACTACTTTTTGTTTACTCCTTTGTTACCTTCAGTTCCAACTGGTACTGTTGAATTGAGATCAATTATTGAACCTGTTAGATCCATTACAAGAAGATGTCCAGGTGAAGTTATTTATTTGGAAGCTGAAGCCACTGATATCGACCCTTCTAAGAACGTCCTCACTATTAAACAATCTACTACTGTCCACTCAGGTCACTCTGGTAAGGATACATCATCTTCCAAGTCTACTGTTTCTGAATACACTGGTGTTGAGGAGATCATAACCACTTTACATTACGATTACTTAGTTGTTGGTGTTGGTGCGCAACCTTCAACTTTTAACATTCCTGGTGTCGCTGAACACTCCACCTTTTTGAAGGAAGTTTCCGATTCTATCACTATTAGAAAGAGATTGATGGATGTTATTGAAGCTGCCAACATTTTACCAAAGGATGACCCTGAAAGAAAGAGATTGTTATCTGTCGTTGTTTGTGGTGGTGGTCCAACTGGTGTCGAAGTTGCTGGTGAAATTCAAGATTACATTGATCAAGATTTAAGAAAATGGATTCCTGAAGTTGCTGAAGAATTGGATGTTACTTTGATTGAAGCCTTGCCAAATGTGTTGAACATGTTCAACAAGAAATTGATTGACTATACCAAGGAAGTTTTTGAACAAACTAACATTCACTTGAGAGCCAACACTATGGTTAAGAAAGTTGATGACAAGGTTGTTATTTGTCAAGTTAAGGATGCTAAAGACGGTTCTACTAAGACCATTGAAGTTCCTTACGGTGTATTAATTTGGGCCACAGGTAATGCTCCTAGAGATATTGTTCGTAACTTGACTACCAAGATCAACGAGCAAAAGAATGCTAGAAGAGGTTTGTTAATTGACGATAAGTTGTTGGTTGATGGTACTAGCAACATTCACGCTTTGGGTGATTGTACTTTCTCCAAGTTTGCCCCAACTGCTCAAGTTGCTTTCCAAGAAGGTATCTTCTTGGCAGGTCACTTTGAACGTTTGCACGAGATTGACAGTATCAATTACACTTTACAACACCCAACTGCCAATGATAATGTCGACCGTTTATCCAAGAAGTTGGCGAAGTTGGAATCTAAGTTGCCTCCATTTGTTTACAATCATCAAGGTTCTCTTGCCTACATTGGTTCCGAAAGAGCTGTTGCTGATTTGGTTATGGGTGATTGGTCTAACATCTCTGCTGGTGGTTCATTAACCTTCTTGTTCTGGAGATCTGCCTACATTTACATGTGTCTTTCTGTTAAGAACCAAATCTTGGTTTGTTTGGATTGGGCCAAGGTTGCCATGTTTGGTAGAGACTGTTCTAAGGAGTAAACAGATATTCTCCGCATAGCGAAAGCTAATTGGTATATAAATATGTATTCATATGGTTTAAACCTAAGTATTCACATAGGCATGCATCTACTGAAATTTCTCTTCCAATGTAAGACTTAACCCTAATAGACTGTACAGGTTATGTGGAGGTGCAGGCAGGGCACGTTGAGCTTGATGTGATCTGATGGAGAGCGTCGTGTCTGGAGATGTCACCAAAAGGCTTATTTAAACGCATACATGTCTGCCTGCCTATACACTCGGGTTTCTTGTATGTCCGAAACACTAAATTCGCACTATAATAATGGTAGATATGGATTTTCTGAGCCGTAATATTCCGATACATGCCAGACAAAAAGTGTTTGTTTCGGAAATACTAATAAGCTAATACAGTTGTGTCCGGAGTGTCTGATATGACCTTTATCTTTTAAAACTTGTCTGCAAATAAAAAAGAGAAATGTGAAATGTAATATTTCCTTGTTTTTGTTGAAGATGGCTGCGAAAAGTTAAGTGCTACTTAAACATGACAAGAATGATTGTAGATGGTATTAAGTATGACACCTAAAAATTGCATTGAAGTAGATACTTTAGGTATGGCAACTATATACTAAGCGATACCAACGAAGAGTTATATTGCCGAGTTTGGTAGATTAACGATGTAACTCCTATCCTAGCGCTTTACAAGAATTTGTTTTGGGCGATAAAGGCTCTTTATTTTGTGAATGGAATAGGGTGCGCAACAACTACAACAATAACAATGATAAGAACAAACATGACCTTATAATATTACATTAAATTAAAATAAATACTCTTCAGTCGGATAGGGTGTCTCTGTACTGGTATGTTGTGAATATGAGGATACTCCACTCAATGGAGTGCTAAATGTTCCTCCAGTTGGAGGTGAACTCATGTTCCAACCTCGATGTACTTTGGGGTTAATGCGATGCATATTCCTTCGAAAAGAGTCTTCATTGATTTTAAATTTACCAGAAAGACACGGAGACAGCGCCAGCGCTTCAGTGTTTAACCGATATGGTGGAGGGTAAGGAGACCTCGATGTTGTAGCATGTGCCAAAGGTTGTTTCAGAACACACCCTGCAAAGCCTGAATCCAGATGAGGACTTGTAGGTAGCGATTGATAATTACGCTCAAACGAAGTCAGATGCAAACTTAAGTTCCTTCTTTGTCGTTTAAACTTTGAACTAATTCTTTCTTTAAAAGCGTCAGCTGAATTTACGTATTTGAGTTCATTTGAATTGTTCCTAGATTGCCTTCTAGGTTTCAATTTGAGAACCAGTCGTAATGGTGTTTTCAGTCGGACGTCTTGTTCGCTATAAACGTCTGAATCAAATACGAAGTCAGAGCTTGATGGTAGCTCTCTTTCATATGGTATAGCATCTTCATTAATGATATCAGATCTGCTGGATTTAGTCTGTGAAGGGATCTGATCGTCTGGACGTGGACCGTTCAAAAGGTTGTTGATGGTAATATCCGTCAATTCCTTTACCTTTTCATTGGTTTCGCTTGATACCACATCTGCTCTTAGGTTTTCAATTAACCCATCCCGTGTAGACAGGTCTGACAGTAGTGAATCAACATTTGGGAAGTCTAGAAATCTTATGTCTCGTGGAGAAATTCCACTATCTGGATTTTGTGACGAGGTTTTGGGTAAATTGTTAGTATTTAGTTTTAACTTTGGAGTATTTCTACTCTTTTTCGTGGCTTCAAATGCAGTAGAAGGTGGACTTGAAGCCGTTGTTGGCTGGCCAAAATGGAATCTGTCATCAGTGTCATCGACATAGCAAAGATTACTAGCTATATATTCTAATCTTGTGATTTCATTTGGTGCCTTGTATACAAATTTCTTCAATCTATTTGGTACTGATTTGCGATGTCCTTGATTGAAAATTATGATCCAAAAATCCAAGATAAGAATAAAAAAGGGGTTGTAGTATGAAATTGTTGAAGATAAAATAGGATTGATGAATGTAGCATCAAAATCATGAAAATTGGCTTTTCGCAGTTGAAATTTCTGTTGCAAGTATTTGCTCATGTACCCTCGATCAATTAAAACACAGCCTCTACAGTATAATAACCACACATTGAAAATAGTCAATAGGGGGTTGAACACAAGAATATATCGAATCTGTAAATCCAACCCACTTAGCCTTGCTAGCCTCTCTATTTGGGAAACTAGTCCATACCAGATCCAGTAATGAACTATGAATCGTAATCCAGATAACAGTTTACCCGTAAACTCTGGAGGTGATGACTCATTGTGATCATCTTCCACATTCTCTATATTATTATTCGTATTTGTAAAGTTTGCTAGTATCAGACATGAAAGTAAAACAGGGAATAGGAAACATACAACGAACTTGACACTTGATACACCAAGATCTACAGCATTTATAATCTGATTCATGTTGACATCGGAAGTTGTGTGGAAAAAAAGTAGAATCTGCTGTTTTTATGATCGAGTGGATATGACCTTGGTATTTGTAATGTAGTACACTAGTATGTTGTGGAGCAAAATACGAACCAACAATGCTGAAAGAATGTTTGACAAAAGTATGCAACCAAAAGTAGGCAATGCAGAGATATATAACTATTTAAGTTGGTAAAACCATCGGATCGTACATGAAACGACTCGGGGATCTACAATGACATCCGTATGTGTTTAATACTCCAAAGAACATTCTTATGATCTAAATGTGTGTCTCTTAAAAGAACAATACACTTAATTAATAAAATACTTTGGACCAACCAGCCCCCTACAGTATATAGGCATAGAACGGGTACATTTTGATGTGGAATGTACCATTTTAGTTTTTGTGGTGCTCTAGGTCTTTAGGGTATACTTACCCTTTTCTATTCCACGGCTCATTTCAGTTGATCTAGACCAACTTCTATGAAATTGATTCTAAATATCAGGACTAATTATGGAAACTTATTTCTTTAATTAAAACTATATCTTGTTTTGGTTTAATTGAGGAGAAATTGAAGTCGACCTAGGTGTTTGCCAAAAATGGCTGGCTCTCAGGTCTCTGAACTCGGTACACAGGCTTGCTTTTGAGCAACACTTTTACTATGAAAAAGAAAGTTCAACGTATTGTAGATCGGTAATGCTTGTTTCAACATTTATGTATACTTGTGAGCTTCAATAAAATTTCAAAGAGTCAATAACTTACGCATAACGCTTATGAAGCTGCTATTCCGTAGATCTATACATTCACTATGAAACATACCACATAGCTTGTTATTCAACGAATTTTCTTTTTTTGAAATTAAGAAGTACTAGCAGCGAATTACACTACATAGCATTTTTTAAGCAAAAGCAAGCCTGCGTAGCGTAATGGTTAACGCGTTTGACTTCTAATCAAAAGATTGCGGGTTCGACTCCCGCCGTGGGTTTATTTTTTTCCCTCCTCGATGGAGGTTATCTAAAATACACTAGTAAAAAAAATTGGTTACAAGCTTCGAAGCCCTTTTTCGTATTCCTCTCTCTTTTATTCAATATCAGCTCCTTTATCGATGTGACTAATGAATAGAGGTGGTGAAGAATCGGGGACAGCTGAATTCGTCTTACACACGTGGAGATGAATTTGGCATTAATTTTGAATATATTCGTTTCGGTTGCAAAAAAATATAGCCCTAATACTCACGTGATAAAATAAAGTAATTAATGACAAAAGAAGGAATTTTCTAGAACACAAGATGCCTGCGTAGCGTAATGGTTAACGCGTTTGACTTCTAATCAAAAGATTGCGGGTTCGACTCCCGCCGTGGGTTTTCTTTTTAATTCGGTCAATCCTAAATTAATTATTGTTCGTCTGTTTAGACTACGTCATAACAGCCAAGGTCATATTTAACAGATTATTATTTCATGGTAATATAAAATATTAAAATACACTAGAAGTGAAACTCTGAATCCCTTTCGTCATTGAAATCTTTTGATGGGAAATTAAAATGAGCGTGTTTCTTTTCTGCCTTTTCATCTTCAAATGAGAACCTCGGAGGACTGACTATACTTTCAAACCCATCATACGATTCAGAATATTGATACTCCTTCGTGTGACGAGGCACATAGTCTTCATTATCTGAAGGATAATAACTCTGTTCGGCAGTAATGATAGATCTAACCTTTTGAGGTAGTATATCAGGTCTATAGAACCGCAAATCGACTCTACCTACCAAATATAATATATGGATAATTATGTCAAAAATACCCCATGAAATATACATAAATGTTTTGTTTGCAGCAGGTGATGCGTGGATATTTGCCTGAGGGTGAAATACCACAACAGTTCTACCGATAGCAGGAATGAGGATAAGTAAAGTAGTGATAGTAATCAAGACAATAGACGTATTGTGCTTCAAACTACCTCTTTGATTTGTCAACCCCTCGACAGTATTATAATTATGATGAGTTGCGGCAATAACTCTGATAGCATGTCTATGATTATGGTTACGTTTCATGAATGTCTCTTCCGCTTCCTGCGCTGCATTCTTTTTAACGTAGTAAAATGGGGAGAAGCTTTCTATCCACCATGGTTGATAGGTGTATAAGTTCTCATCCTTTCTTGTTGGCTTGAAGAAGAAAGCTAAGGCAATCAAGGAGATAGCTGTTAGTGAGTAGGCGTCGACGATAATTGCTGTTGCCATCACTACTTGATTCCATTGATGGTATGATTTCGTAGAAATCAAATTAATGTATGGAACAAAAGAAGCTAGAACCGTTATTCCCAAGAGTACGGCTACCATAATATAAAGGAAAATCATAAAATTCCAGAAAAGCCATCTGTTACCACCAACTGGATGTCTCCAAGCAAAAATTCTCTGTGCTAGCACTAAATTGGCCGAGACTACAATAACAAATGGTGCGATAATAAAGAACTCTGAAGTTAGACCAACTTGAACTAAGGTCTGATCGCCTCCCCATATTGCTCTCGTTGTAAACCCTATCAATTTCATGAGACTGCAAAATCCAAAGATCAAAGTCAAGTAAAAATAATGACCTCTTGACCAGTTGAACAAAAAAACAAAAAGATGTGCCAAAGCAAGAATGCCAAATATAGCAGCAAGCACAGCGGAGGGCCAAATATCAGACTTCGAGGGGTAACCACCAAATAAATTGATTTGCCGTGCTAAGGAGTATTTAACGACAACTTCAGGAATCTTGTGTCCTTGTAGATTTCTCACAAACTTCACCAATTTTAAAATACCAGTTCCTTCGTCTGGATCGTTATGAAGTACTCCAACCAAGTTATAAAGACCTTTAACGGCTGTGTAGGGCTCATCTTGATAACTTATAAGATTCGGATTCAGCATCTCCTACCACTTCAAATATGTTATTGGGCTTTAAGAATTGATGGAATATCTGTATCAAAAGGAACAATGAATCTAAGTTGGAACAACTGCAAAAGAAAGCGAAGTAAAAGGTAAAACAGGAATCTATGAACCTAATATATTCGCTTTTATTTTCTGCGAGATTGTCATTACCATATAAACTTTGCAATTACCCCCTAATACATCACAGATTATATCTGTTTTGGGAATATTACCCAAAGACTATATATACTCATGTAAACGACATTTCGTCTGTGCCAACTATTAACAATTTAGTTACACAAACATAAGTCTTCCTCACAAAATTTCCTAAATAGGCAATGATGAAAAGGCTCAAGATCTTAAACTATTGCCTTAAAAGGAAACTGCCTAGGTTAGTATCCTACCTGAAGTTGAACAGTAAACTTAACTCTCAAGTGGCCCCAAACTCAATACAAAGTTAAGGGAAGATGAATAATAATTTCTGATCGAGTTTAATACCGATTAGATAGCTGAACTTTGGGCTTGTTATTGGGTTATGCCAAAATTGTTATAACTGAGCTTTAACGTTACTCAAGCACAAACCCGTATCATTTACATTCTGAACCACATGGTTGCACAATCCTAAATTTTCTCAAGGTACCCTTGTTGGATAAGACGTTCAACATCCAGTTTCCGTACATAGAATTGAGAATCCTTCACGATATTAAACACACCAAACTCTGTTGTAACCTCTCCACCGTCCTTTAACACTCGCACATCGATAAATATATCTTGAGGAGGTAGTAAGTCACCAGATAAGTCAATATCCGCAAACTTGGATTTGTAGTTCAAAAGTAAGTTCTGATACTGACGTAGATACTCCTGTTCAGCATGACTCAAGTTGTCAATTGCTAGCTTCGTGGTATAGTCAGATATACCTAGGGCTGCGTTGACACTGCACATATTACCAAAAGATGGATTCCCTCCCAATGATTTACCTGCTGTAGATTTAGATGAATCTGGGGTAGTATCTTCTTGTCCCACTAGTTCTGTCTCCATGGGATCAATATTAAGCCATGAAAACTGTACTATCTTGTTCGCTCTCAGTTTTTCATAAGCCAAGAGACATCGTTTATTCCTTCTCATACTCAATTGAACTAAGAATAACTGTAATTGAAGCTTCTTCTCATCGACCCCTTCTATCTCCAGCAAATCCATCTCTGCAAGGAATTCGACATCATTTTGAAGCTCTCGGGTTTCTCGAACGATACCATTTACAAGATCACTCAGATAAAGTGAGATTTCAGACAAGTTAGCCACTCTTTTCGCTTCCCCCACAAGCTTATGACCGAGATCTCCATACATTGTAACCCCCAGCGAAAGTTGCCCTTGTAAGGATAAAGCAAGTTATGATTACTTAATCGTGATGATGAGGTTGCGTCTAATGTAATTCACGCGAGCAAAGGAATTCACAATTTTGACCATCGCACACCTCTCGACATAGTATAATGAAACACTGTATGAAGTCCACAATTCAATAACCAAAATAACTGCCTCTAAGTTTCTTGTTCTCGATGTTCATTGAACTTTTTGCATGCATATATTCCTCATTCCCCACACTCCTGTCTTTGTAGCATAATGTGAACACGATACGCATTATTGTGGAATTAAAGGATGCCATAGTATTACCGAACTATTTTAGATTCAACCATAGTTGATATATATGTTAAATGTAGTTGACACCTTTAACTACTCCACAACTCTGAGAAAAGATTTAACAATATCATGGCATGCTTGTACAAAAGTGGGCAATAAATCAACCCCCCTCCCCAGCATTAGCGTTTGCTTGCAGGTTTGGTTGTATTATAGTTTATGTTCCGTTATAACGTTAGTACGGAATTGTGGAATGCCAAAATCAAAGGAGAAAGTTAAAAAGTACAAATAAATACGAAATCAAGCTCTATTGAAGCGTAGCAATTACACCACTAGCCTATAAAGTATAATTTCCCCATACACATAAATTTAAATAGTTCCATTGTTTGATAAGTTATATTTCATATCACTCCTTTTACGTCAAGTTAATCCATTTAATATGAAACAGCTATGAGTGGTGCAAGCAAGGCATGCATAAGTAATGCGAGCATTTAACCCAGTGGAAGTGATGAGGGAAAATATTAGCCTAAACAATTTAATATACCTTTGTCACTTCAATGATGAACTACTGCAAATATATGAGCAAACTCCATAATATTGCCTGGACAGCGATACCTTTTGTAGGTTCCAACCATAGTGCTAGGCCATTAAACTGAAGGGAGCTAAAGCCCTGCGATCTATAATTTAAATTACATGCTGCAGGGAGCGCCGTGCACATGCACAGGCTGAAGGGTATGAAGGGTAGCACGATAGCCATATTTGATGGTGAGGGCCAATATTGTGATTGTTTCATTATACTCCAAAGGAGACGGAAAAAATCAACTACTCTTATTGTGATGATGCAAGGGTTTATTTCGTCGGATTTATCCTTTCTGTTAAAATGATGGCAGAGTTACGATAATGGTTGGGCTTGAGTAATTACTACAACAAAATTAAGAGCATGTAGAAGAAAACGTGCCACTAATTGATATCAAGTAGATCTTGATTAATTGTTTTAACATGACCTTAGTACTGCAATCGAGTTGTAAAGGAAATGTTTGTGTAACAATACCTACTGCTGCCAAAAGTTTCTAATCATAAGGAAAACATAAAATCAGTATTCCACACAGAATAATAGCCGTGTAGCATTCTTTTCATGATGCATACCATTAAGATGGAAATAGGGGCCTCTGTTTACTTAAGGTCCCTTAAAATGCTGTCATATCTAATTTATAGCTTTTATATCAACAAATGGGCTGGTACAAGGTGCGAGTTGCCTATTATCATTTGAGTGGGGTCAAATATCGCATCGCAGTTTCCGAAAAGGGAAATGACATAAAGAAACACCAACATTAAAGCAGGGCAATCGTGCAAACATCAAAGTTTCAAAACAGATCATTGATTTAGTAGAATTAGTAGAATTAGTAGAATTAGTAGAATTAGTAGACAATTAAAATTCTGAGCAATTTATCATTGATGAATATTTCATTTTAATTCAAAGCTCACTTCAAGTTTTCCAATATATTGAATGCTCCGAAAAGTTCGTGCACAAACCAATATCAAGGTTATTGAGTTCTGATTGGCCAAGTACTTTGAACGTGGTAACTGCTCCTAATGCTGGATTATTCTATCATTTTATCACTACTCTGTAAGAATTAAAACCTTAATCTAAGTTTGTCTTTATCTCTTTGCGGAGAGTGGTTCAAGTTTAGCTTTAATGCCTCATATTTGGAATTGCCATGGAACATTTGCACTTATACCTTAACACTAGGTTACTAGTATTTGTAGAAAACGCCAACCATACTATTAAGGAATAATAATAAAAATACAATAGGTTTTACTAGAAGTTCTCTGCAAGGTGGAGCGTGTAGACATTTGTTGTTTTCCTTTGGAATAACGCTTCAAGTTTAAATACTTCTAGAAAGATTCCAAATTGTTCGTGCACATACCAAAGTACCGTTTTTCAATTAGTAAATCACGTCCTCCAGGAAACCAGTTACATGTGCACAGAACTGTTCCGCTTCTTCTTTTATCCTCATCTATTTCGCAAGGTAACTTTGGCCTACTAAACCACCCCATAAATCTTAGCTATCTGAGTTGCAGTACCTTCCTCTTTAAAAATAGGCTAATCATATTAGGCTCACTTAATCTGGGTACGCGTTTCTAAGTGGTTTGAAAGTATTGGGGTGTTTGCATTCGACTATCACAAACACAATGTCTTACGTTCAATCGCGAAAGCTTGCCCACTATAATGAGAGGAGAGACCAATTAATACTACGTTATGCCAAGTGTGAAGCAGCCATAGAGGATCCACTTATTAAGCTGGACTTCTACAAATTACGGAAGTATGATGAGATCAACTACGAAGCGCACTTTTTGCGCACCAAAATTGACATAACCAAAGAGCAATTGTCCCCTCTTGATAAACAAATGCTCGAATTATTTGATGATTATGAAAGACGTATAGAAAAGCAATTACCTATTATTAGCATTTTGAGTGAAGCCCCTGACCTCGCCATTGTGCGTCGGGAGTTAGTGGACAATGCAAGAGAAGCAGCAAAAGTTGCCATGTTAATTAAGCTGTTAGATGATCAAAAAAAGTCATGCTCACTGCTGTCGATTAGACCTATCAAACCGCGGTCAAGCCCTCTGGCTTCATCATCCTCCACCTCCATTACTAAGTTAGATACAAGTTCTGGAGCAATGAAGAAGAAAGCGACAAGGGGACGACCTAAAAATGCAGCGAAAGTGAGGCCACCAAAACCTGTTGAAACGGAGAAGCTGGCCTTCGATTGTTTACAGAGTCCTACCCAATTAGTTAGGGAACCATTATCTACGGTGAATTCAAAATTGAAGTCATCTGAAGAAGAAAACAGCCCCTCCCAGAATCAGCATCACTTTTTCGTAACGTTGAAGATCAAGAGTGCTCAAAAACTAGATTCAGCTAAGGATTGTTCAAAATTGCCTAACAGTCTGCTTAGTGCGCTTTGTGATTCTCAAGCATCTTCTGATGTATCCGAATTAAAACTTGGATCGCAACCATCAACACTTTTAGTCGCGCAGGTTGCGCAAAACTCCCCAAATGAGGAGAACAATGGGAGTATTGGAGAATCTTACTATCAAGAGCCTATATCTCAACCTACAAGTTCTCATCCCTTACAAGCACAGAAAATTCAACAATTCGCTTCTACTACCGATGTTAATGGGTTTCTGCCTGCATTTGATATAGCAAATGCCACATCTGTTAACACTGCACCTAATCGTCAAATGCCGGGAGTTAACGGTAACGATTCATCAACAGTTAAAGCGACTGCACATGGTACAGACGAGACAGGTATAGGACCTCTAGTTACTACTTTCGTACCATCATTCGGTATCAACAGGGTTGTACTAACAAGTCCCTTGTATAGAGCCAGTCCTGTACTTGGCAAGCAGGGTACCAACCCAGTCTTTGTGGATCCGCAGGCTGTGGTACCTATGAACAACGTATGGCCTTCCAATTATAATCCATCTGGCATGACCCCTGTTAGGTCTGTTAATAACGCCACAGAGATATCGAGTATTAACCAATCCACTAAAGCTTCTAAAGTTGTTAACACATCGAAGCCGGCACCCATAGGGAGAGATATGATTTATCGAGCAAGTGTTGCCGGAAGTGGACATCAACCAATCGAGCCGAAATGTCTCAAAGACAAAATTTTAGAAATGCAGAGACGTGCTGAGCACGTGAGGTCAAAATTACGCGCAAGTGCACCATTGCACTCATTCGAACAGTTTCCTACATGGTCCCCTTTATATGTTAAAACTGTTTTTGAAGCTGCAGCGCGATCTAATGTCGCAGAAAACAAGCGAAACAATGTACAACAACTATATGACACGAGATTCAATATATCCATTACTAAAAGGCAAGCCAATTACTTGTTATTGCATTATGGCTTAAGATTCAACTCCCCGTCTCCTATACTGTTTACTCCAGTATTAGATTCAATACAGAATGCGTTCCCTGGGGAAATTGATAAGATAAGAGAAGAGGTGAAGAGGAGAACAGGGTTTCAGTTGAGTGTATTCGATGCAGAATTCGCTGTTCAAATGAGAAAGCTTTTTTTAAAAGTTTACAAACTGCATGCGGAACCAGAAGAAAATTACATGCCGTACTTCAAAGAGTACAATAGAATCATGCCTCGAAGACCATACTCGACATTTATGGCCTTGAGTGCAATGAACCTAAGTGAAATCGTTGACCGTACAGCCCCATCACGATCTAATTCTTCATCTCCAGACTCACGTGACAAAGATTCAGATAAAAGCGAATCAAAGAAGGCATTGACCTCTATCAATACAAATAAAGAGAAGTCTCCTACCATAGAGGTTTTACCAGATAGCATACTACCCGAGAACAACGAAATCAATTCAACGAATATCAATAAGAAAAGTGTAACTGGTGACGACTTTTTGGGCGATAAGAAATTGTTACTGAAGATTCGCAAACTTTATACGCCTTTGTCAAGCGACATATCCAATCGTCCACAAGTTGTTCAAGAAGCATTGTTGAAGGATGATGATGTAAGACTTGACATTAGTCAGATTAAACAGGCATTGGCTTTTCTAGGTCTAGGTCTGAAACAAAGTCTGAACAAATTAAACAGTAGCTTGCTTACAAAATCTCCCGCTTATTTCCAAACTACCAGTTTGGTTTCTAATGGCGACACAACCAAATCGCATGCCATTTGGCTGATAAGTAATAATAAGAGGAAGGGAAATATTGAAGTTTCTCATCTGGATTTCAATTCTAGGAAGTCAATGTCTCCCTCGGGACAAGTTTCTTCTGGTAATATGAATAAACCTAGTCCTCAAGCACACTCTATTAATCTGTTACCCGAATTGCCAAGTAAATCATTTACGGCGATGAATGAGAGGTCCCAGGTTCTTACTTCAACCCAACCCCCTAACGAACTGCTGGGAATAACGCGCACTAAAACGAGGTTGTCAGATTGTGTCACAGTGGCACCACCGGGTTCTGGTGAACCCAAACTTCACAACATGAATAACCAACAAGTATTCATAGACCTCTCAAAATCAGATGAAGTTATACCCAACTATGAAAATTCAACTGTTGTCACAGGGAAGTCGGATGGACGGGTTCAAAATTTAAAAGTGGGAGAGTCATCTCCATTAAAAAATGTCGATGCATCCCCATCGCGAAGGTTCTATAATAAAACCAACTCCTCACCAATAATTACCACCTCAGCTTCTCCTCTTACTCTGAGAAATAAAGAAAACAACTTATAAATGTTACAGAACCCTCAGCAAATTTCAAGTATTGAGACAGAATTATGCAGCAGTTAATTGCAAATGACAGGTCTTTAGCAGGTAAGCAATTGGTTTTATTTTCTTGTAATGCACTCTGTAACTCTGCCGTTAGGAGGTCAGGAGTGTCATATACCTCCTTTAGTTTTATGTGATTTGTTAGTGATTGATTTTTCGGACTCACTCATTGGTTTGAGTGACGCCTATAGTATAGTAAATGTGTAAAAGCACATCATTTTAGTTTTGGTTCTACTTTATTTAGTATGCAAATACAATTGTATTAGCTAATAATTAATATATACGCATCAAGCACAAAATTCTAATATACAGTAAACTATCTATCTCTTACCACTCATCAACTGTGTTAACAACTGGGAGCTCGAAGAAGGAGCAGCCATCGCAGAAGCAGATGCGGTAGTAGCAAAGGCTTGTTGTTGATGCTGCAGTTGTGACTGAATTTGCAGAAGCATTTGTTGGTTATCAAGATTATTCTTGGGTGCAAAAAGACCAGGAGGTGGTGGAGTTGACGTATTTACTCTCTCATTTAACCTCAACATGTTAACCTGGGGTTGGGATTGCTGTTGCAGTTGCTGCAATTGAAGTAACGCCATAAGTTGTTGTGGAGTTGGCTGATCATTTCCTTGCTGTTGGTTTAAGGTGCCACTATCCAAGGCTGAAGGATCCAATGATCCTGTACCTGAAAACCTTTGGGCTTGTCCTCTTCCCAGAACTTCTAGCAAACGCTTTTGTTGATCGGAAGAGAATGTACCTTCTTGGTTCCCTGGTGCAATGCTTAGACTATCAATACTTTGATTCTGTTGTCTCTGAGTCAATTGCTGAGCTTGTAATTGTTGCTGCTGTAATTGTGATTGCAATACATTGAATTGCTGCATAAATGGGTGATTTTGATAGGCCAAGTCATAGTTTTTCAATGGTTTCAAAAGGAACCTTTCGACTACTTGACGAGATACCAATTTTTCATCTCCCAAAGTGAACTCATTTGTATAGGTTGCTGAAGGGTTAAATGAAAATAAAGGTAAAATTTTTCTTCCGTCCGATCTTGCAACAGATGTGGTGAAAGTTACCCTCAACTTCTCCTTACTATCAGCCAATGCCTTCAAATAGTCTGTGGTTTCTTCTATAAATTGTTGGGCAGCATCATCATCAATATCAATATCGTCAGGATTTAGGGCTGCGTCCTTCATTCCCTTGCCTTTTGTCTTCTGCTTTGTTCCATCCTTCTTCTGCTGCAATTTCTGTTCCCTAACGATTTCTCCTAATGTTGGGAAAGCAGCAGTGTTGGTCAACGTGGCATTGTTAGCTACGGATGGTGAAGCACTAGCACTGCTAGTAGAACCATCATTGGCCCAATGTGCCGTTGCTGGCAATGGAGCTACTGAGGCAGGCGGAACATTATTAATATTCATAGGCTGTGGCACAGTAGTTGGAACAGTAGCAACTGGAGTTGAAACTGCACTAGACTCAGCATTATCACTTTGGTGATCATCGTCACTTGTACCAAAGTGATGTCCCCCTGTGAAGTTGACGTTTGAAGATGATCTATTGTTATTCATACCCATCATGGACATCTTGATACCTGATTGAGTAGATAAATCCTTTCTGGTATAGGAGTCCGCTTCTTCACCTGGCTCATGCAAAAACATACAATTAGGATTGGGACACGGGTGACCTCTCAAGTAGGAAGAACAATACTTAGTTGTACCATGTGCAGCACGTAAGATTCTTCCATCACACAAGGAGCCATCCAAATCTTGAATACATTTCAATGCATCTTCCTTCTTCAGAAATGTGACGTAAACAACCAATCCAGGATTAGAATGATGACCAGAAGGAGGATTTGAAGGGGCAGATGAGGGGCTCTTCCTATTAATGACTATTTTCGTAATTTTTCCATATTGTCCAAAGTACTTATCGGATCTTAAAACGGTATGTAAATCATCTGAAGGACAAGGCGGGTTCAAACCTGTAACATAAACCAAATTCTTCTGTACAACTCTGAGACCAGCCAAATGTTTCTTATTGGCTGTTTCCATTTCCTTCTTCTCCTTCTCTCGTTGTTTCTTTTCCCGTTCTCTTTTCTCTTTCTTCAACTGCTGCAACTTATACTCTTCAGGCGAGATGGTCTTATATTCCACACTCTCATCATCATATAGTCTACGACAACCAGGACACCGACCATTCAATTCAGGATTCAGCCGAATGTTGTTATAGCAAAACTGACATATCTGATATCCACAAGGACAAGGTTTGAAGTTCTTATCCGATATATCCATTTCTTCCACACACAAGGGACTATAAGAATAACAGTTAGTATCTCAAGCTCTAAATTAAGCAAGTCTTATTAACTTATTACAAGTACATACCAGTATTCCACCTCGTCATCAGAAATAAACGAATCATCCACAGAAATCATCTTTCACTTCTTTGCTTTCACTATACTTCTTTATTTTCCACACGCTTGTAATGCTCAATACGTATACTTTTCAAGTTTTGGTTTGGAGGGTTCCGTGGGGGCAATCCTTTCTTGGTCTGGTTGATTTGTTAACAAAATTTTCCGTTGCAATAGACATTGTGCGGGAGGTCGTGTTTTTTTGTTCAAGATTGATGCTCAATTGAAGATTGACTTTTCAGAGATAGTACGCTGTAAAAAAAGGATCCATAAAAACAAAGATTGGTCATTAAAGCACTCATGCTGTTCTTCGTTGAGTTATGGGAATCTGTGTTTAAAGCAGGGATGACACCTGCATTGGTTACAGCTACTCATGCACTGTTTTGCCTGCTTTTGGCATTATTGGCAACAATGGCGGTGTTCACCAAGTCTATTCACTTTTTCAACTTATTTGTGATAGCTGTTTTTCTATATGGATTGGTTATTTGGTTCATGAAGGAATTGGAAGCCATTAAATTGAAGAACAATGAAGAGTTATCAGAATCGAAGCTGGCTTCTACTGATGAGAGGGCCAGTGTTTCTACAAGTGCTACTAAAGCCGTACGAAATGCTCCTGCGAGAAAACGGAAAGTATAATTTTTGTAGTAACTTGAGAAACGCTTGAGTCTGGCTGCATAAACTAAGGGTATATCGCTTTCTAAAAACTTTGGTAGAGAATAGAGTATATGTGGGAGCTAGGATCATTATTTCAATATTTGTATATTACTATAACTAATAATGTGTAGTTTGCATAGAACTCTTCACTAATTCGGAATAACAGAATAAACTGTATCCCCGTACATCAAAAGATCACATGACCAAATTTTCCACTTCGGAACATTTTGGGGCCCACAGTTTAAAATAATCTTGATTCAACCAAATAGCAACAGTGAATTAAACATTCGAGACATAAAAAGGATCTTCTTCTCATTTTCTACTTTCCAAATGAGTTACAGATTCGCATTCGAACCTCTCATAGCTAAACCCGAAGAGCACCCTAACCTGGTAATAAGTTATGACGAGAATGTGATAATAATTCGAGATGGGTTCCCAAAGTCTGTGCGCCATTGGCTTGTTATTCCTCGTGACAATAAAGTTTCGCGACTTGACCCGATAGTTGCATTAGCGAATGCAAATAATTATGCCATGCTCAAGCCTTATGTTGAAAAGGCAAAACGTATGATTACTCAAGAGTTACAAGATCAATACGGAGGTGATTGGCTGAACTTTGTCAGATGTGGGGTTCATGTCGTCCCAAGTCTTGCAAATCTTCACATTCACGTCATTCTGCAAGACTTCAACTCAAACCGGATGAAACATAAGAAACACTATAATTCTTTCACAACGCCATTTTTCGTACCGTTTGAAGATTTTGATCCCAGCCCATCGCGTAAGACTTTACTTAAAAATGATAGTAACTATAAAAAGAAAAAGCTTCAACATTTGTTGCGCACTAAAGTGTCCAGGAAATATGATAGTGACAGTGATTATGATCTGGAGGGGGAGATGCACGAGAACACTCATGAAGAGTTGCTTGAGTCTTTAAATGAAGAGACCCAACATGTCGACCCCGCATCACAAACAATACTACAAGTGAAGGCGGGTTCAGAAAGTGGCCCACTTCCTTACTTGGAAATCGCTCTTTCTGAAAGGGAACTTATGGTGAAAACAAGTCCAATGAAATGCACTTATTGCCTGAAGTCGTTTAGTGATAACTTTAAGGCATTAAAAAGTCATTTGCTGGAAGAATTCATATCCAGGTATAATCAAATCTCTTGATTGAAGGAGTTTTCTTGCATTTTCGATTTTTCTCGCGTTGATGCTCAAGATCTTTTAAACGAAGAGATATGCCCCAAGACAATACGGCTCAAACTAAAGTGAAACTCGGAATAAATTATCCGTTTTATTTTTTCAGATAAGATGATTTGCCCAATAATAACACTGGTAACGATACACATAACCATCTTGCTTACAAAAATGCTCAAGTTTATAGTGTGTAGTTTTTCTCCGATAAGCATTGGCTTAGGTTGACATTAACCCCATGGGCTCGCTGTTTAGATGGCGGGGTCGAAGTGGGGGATTTAAAATTGCGTTATTAGTTCCGAGTTAACAATTCTATTGTTCAAATGTATTCAAACAGGTATACTTATGCATAAACATGTAACTCTACATGTACAAAATATGCGCTCAAAACTCAAACTGGATGGAACCGTTGCATTTGAGCTACATGCATTCAGATGATCTTTCAAACCAATATCATTTCAACGGAATGGAATTCAGCGCAGCAAGTTATGTTAATCAGAATTAAGAATGTAACTGTATCCAGTTACATCTTTCCATTCCCATTTTCCTTCAACAAAAGTAGGCTCTCGTACTGTGAATTTGTGCCTGATTCCTAAGGACGACTAGCATAGTAAATCAAAATGCAATTATCTTTTTGTTGGCGCAAGGAGTTAAACCCTGGAAGGCTTTATAGTAAAAAACATCGAACCTTTTTTCCGGAAAATTTAATGTTTAGAACGTGTATGCAAAACAGGCTTAAGTCGTATCGCGCATCGCGCTGGATGGTAATATTTGTGAGCAGACTGCACTACATGGTGTAACGTTGCTCTTCCTTGATATTACCCTGTATGCTTTGCGGATGTTACAGATATAACCCCAAAGCGCTAATAAGGGCCGCCAAATCAAAATTGACTTGTGCGGCTGGAGTTGTCTGTAAAATTTAAAATCATCCGACCAAGCAAAATTCCGTCACAGTAGAAATCTCACAAACGAGGAAAAATCCGTTCCGATGGATTAACCCTAACAAAGCCTTGGCATATGGAGGAAGAATTACGGTGAAGTGAATTAGATATGATCCCTGGTATTTCCCTAAACCAAGAAAAATACAACGCAAATGTTGCTGTGATGCCCCCCCACAAATGCATGCCGGAACGCTAGTTTTATATACACAAAAGTGAAAACTAGCTATGTAGGGAATAATAGAGGGACTAAGTTACTAGTCAGTGATCCTTATTCCTACATATAATAAAAGCCTTCTATTTCTTTTCTCAACCTTCAAAGCTATATCATTCGCAACAAAATCGTATTCTAGTATATGGAGCTACCGGAACTTGAAATAAATATGATGAATTACGTAAAACCAGCAAGCAGATAAGGATCATTGAATCTGCTTTTAAAAGTTATTCCGCATAAACTAATTACTCCGCTTTCAACCTGTATGAGATTGCGCTTATGAATTGCGAGCATCTTCCCGTTGAAGCCTCGTATTGGGATATGTGGGCATATTATTTTTTGGTCAGCGTGGGGTAATGAGGGAGTAGGAGGCTTAAAGACCTAAAAAAAATTGAGAAAGAACGTAAAAAACTACTACTCTAAATTAGAGTATAACTTCACTTTAAACATTATAAGAGAGTTTTTCGAGCTATAGTATCGTAATTAATAGTTTCCGTTCGTAAATGTCATCAAGTTTCGTTTTTGAAGGACAAACCTTAACTCCAGAGACTAAATTAAGGTCCCCAAAAATTAGCTCCGGAACAACTTTTCTTTTGCGACCCCACATTTATATAAGCCTATTGTTCAAAAAAATTATTCTTTGTCTCAGGATTTGACGTGGAGTAAATGGAGACACATCTCTGGTAATAGTGCTTTCTTTTACAACGATGGGAGGACGAAATCGATGCAAGCAACGACACTGGAAAAGTATAAATACCAGTTCGAAAGCAGCACCTCTTAGTTTGAAATATTTATTTCTTAACATTATAAATTATCAAGAACACATTTAAACAACATGAGTGTTTTTGAAGGAAAAAATAAAGACGTCTCTTCGGAGGAATCAGTCAGAGTTGACAATGTCAAGGTCGATAAGCTGGAATTGGGAAAAAACTTTGACTTCAGCAAGGAAATTGCAGAATTAGAACAATCTTCTCAACAGTTCAAACATGAAAGAACTTTCTTCCAAAAGATGAAGGCTTGTGAGTTTGAGTTGCACTTCGAGAATAAAATGCATATGGTTCGTTTATTGGGTGGTTTTGCCGCCTTCGCTGGTGTATTATCAGGTGTCGATCAATCTATCATTTCCGGTGCAATGATTGGAATGAAAGAACACTTACATACCAATGACAATCAAGTTTCTTTGATTTCATCTTTGATGCCTTTAGGTGCCATGACTGGTTCACTTATGATGACTCCATTAAACGAATGGTGGGGGAGAAAGAAGGCTTTACTTATCTCTTGTGTTTGGTATACTGTTGGTGCCATTATGTGTGCTCTTGCTCACAACTACAAGGTTATGTATGCTGGAAGATTTTTATTAGGTATTGGTGTTGGTATTGAAGGTGGATGTGTTGGTGTTTATATCGCTGAATCTGTTCCTGCTAATGTTCGTGGTAACTTAGTTTCCTTGTATCAATTTTCCATCGCTTTGGGTGAAGTTATGGGTTATGCAATTGCTGCTATTTTCTTTGAAGTAAAGGGTGGATGGAGATATATGTTGGGTTCATCTTTGGTTTTCTCCAGTATCTTGTTCGCTGGGTTGTTCTTCCTTCCTGAATCTCCACGTTGGTTAGCACACAAGAACAGAATTGGTGAATCCTTTTTAGTTTGGAAGAGATTAAGAGATATCAGTGACCCCGATGCTCAATTGGAATTCATTGAAATGAGACAATCTGCTTACGAAGAAAGTGAAAGAAGAAAGAGAGAATCAAGATTACAAGCTTGGTCTGATTTGTTCACCATCCCAAGAAACAGACGTGCGTTGGTTTATGCTTCTATAATGGTTTCTTTGGGTCAATTGACAGGTGTTAACGCTGTTATGTACTATATGTCCACATTAATGGGTCAAATTGGTTTCAATGAAAAGAAGTCTGTTTTCATGTCTTTAGTTGGTGGTGGTTCTCTTTTGATTGGTACCATTCCTGCTATCTTGTGGATGGACCGTTTCGGTAGAAGAACTTGGGGTATGAACATTGTTGGTTTCTTCATAGGTTTAGCATTAGTTGGGGGTGGTTACAAGATTGATATCAAGGCTAACTTAGCTGCTGCAGAAGGTGTTTACTTGACTGGTATCATATTGTATATGGGTTTCTTTGGTGCTTATGCTTGTTTGACATGGGTTTGTCCATCTGAATCATTCTCCTTACAAACAAGAACTATGGGTATGTCTATCTGTTCCTTTCTTTTGTACTTGTGGGCTTTCACAGTTACTTATAACTTCACTAGAATGAAGAATGCGTTCACTTATACTGGTTTGACTTTAGGTTTCTACGGTGGTATCGCTTTCATTGGTTTCATTTACCAATTGTTATTCATGCCAGAAACCAAGGATAAGACTTTGGAAGAAATTGACGACTTATTCTCCATGCCTTCTGCTGAGTTGGTCAAGACCAACATCCGTAACATGAAGAGATACTGGGGTAAGAAATAATAAACTTTCAATCAAAAGTACAATAATATAGCATTTCAGGCTGGTCATGAATGCGCTTCGGAAGTACTAATAATAACAAAGTTAATATGTGTAGTTATTTTAATTGAGAAACTTTGATTAAATTTTAATCACTTTGTAATGTCATACTGTTTGCAAAAGCTATCCTGACCTACTTGTAGATTTTCCGGAGTGGGTTTTCGTTATACGGAAAATCCACTGCGTGCATTTATGCGATGCACAACCAGTTTTTGTTGATTAAACGTCATATACAGGTGAGGTCGTGAGAAATCATTTCCAAAGTTACTTCAGAGAATGATAAATATGGTTGCAAAGGTTGCGAAAATATGATACATCCGAAGGAGTAGAGATGGAGTAATGATGACTAAGAAATCTGGTGGTGAAAATTAACGAGGTTGAAAACAAGGAGAGTGACACGTAGGGGATAAACGACGAAGAAGAATGAGAGGAATTGGAATATAAATTGAGATATATTTCCTCCATATTTAGAAATGTATAGTCTTATGATTAACCGAGATCTTAAGTATATAAGGATACATAATCTGAATATACAAGTGTATTAATAACAAGTCGCAATTAGGAAAGTACCACGGTAATTCATTCTAACTAAAACAACTACCACCCGAGCCAGTCATACTCAAGGTCCATTCAATTACAACCACCCAAATATTGAATATTACACGACCTGAGTACACCCATCAATCAACAGTTTTAATTGGGGGGGGGGGGGGGGGAGTCTCAATGACCTTGAATGTTTCCGGAGCGAAGTGAACCTTCCCTCAAACTCCAACAGGAGGTCTACTATTGCAATGAAGGTAAAATTGCTAAATGATCTACTTGAGATAGATCTGCCATTTAACACGTGCCAAATACTTGAAACTGCAATTGGGAGATATACAACTCCACAAATCAAAGGAAGCTCGTTCCACATACTATTTCACAGTCCCTCGCACAAACAAAAGTATTTAGCTAGCACAGAGCTCTTATCTACACATAAAACCATAACTATAGATTGTGGGCTCAATCCCAGAGAACTGGAAGTTGGACAACAACTGCGGTACGTGGTAGACAAAATAGGAGATTTATTGTTGAGGCTACAATCACTACTACAAGACCAGAACTTGGAGATTGTACTACAGCATCTAGTAATCGATAACTTGTCGCATTTATTGTGGACATTAGGGCAAGAGACGAACAAGTACCAGGAGATTTCCCAATTGATCTCACTTTTCAAAGAAATACAATGCCGTTACGATTGCAGTATATTAGTATTCTCATGGGATGCTTGTTTTGATAAAGGAGTTGGATATAATTGGAACAACGCTAACACCACAGTAGAAGAAGCAGCGACGATGGGAGATTTAAGTCATTGGCCAGCGACTTATCTAGACTGGTTTACTAATGTTCTTCATTTGGGCCAAGAGATCAGATATTGGAATAAAACAACGAAGCATTGGGATATAATTACGGCAGATGTAACATAAATCGGGCAATAAAATTTAGGATAAGCAAAGTTAAGTTAAGATTGAGTTAGATTATGTATATAATACTACAATTGACAAACAAACTAATTTCGAATAACTATTTTATTATAAATATCTGTACATCTATACAGTCGTAACGTATTTTCTGACAATGATGATCAATGAGCCCATAAATAATCACCAGTACTTACATGACAGTCAAGTCACCAAACTTCTCCTTGTAACCTGGGACTTCCCACTTACCATTTTTAACCATGTAAGTGACCTTTTCGTCCAAGTCAGGTCTTACCTTAGCAACGTCATCAACAGTTAATTGGTCGAATGGTCTAGAAGATTCAATGTCCTTCAATGTGTCTTGCAATTGCTTGATTTCATCTAAAACAGACTTTTCAGTCAACTTGGCATTTTCAATGGCCTTAGATTCAAAAATCTCGATGGACTTGATGTTCTTGGAGACATCAATAGTAACAGGCTTGAATGAAGAAACGGCCTTTTCAATTTCGTCAACAACTTTAGTGTTCTTCAAAACTGATCTGTAATCAGCAAAATCAACCTCAGTAGGTTGAGAAGCCAAAGACAAGTGCTCCTTTTGAGCATCTTCAGATCTCTTCTTGAAAGCAGTCAATGCTGAAGCGGTAGAACCGGTCAATCCCAATGTGGAGACAACCTTGGCCCAGTCCAACTTAGTGAAAGTACTTTTAGCAACAGCAGACATTTTACTCTATATTTATAGGTGCAGACTTGAATCTACTTTAGAACTTCAGTACTACCTTCGTTCATGTTGTAGCTATTCTTTTTCGAAAACTTTTCCCTCACCACCAAGGTCGTTCGATCACCAAAAACTTTGTATGTTGACCGGGGCACCCAATAGCGCGAACGAATACCCATAGGCCAATCACAATTCAATGTTATCGTACCAGTACACACGACCCAGATTTTGATAGAAACCGATACTAGCCTCGGAACCGGCACCGAAAAGGCCACCGTATGTATTACAAAAAGTGTTAACATTAGTGGTATCGGTTTGTGTATGGTTATTGAGGCTAAGGTTCCGTATTGATTTGGAGACCCTTTAACATTCAAAGATCTCACTTTCCCAATAGTTAGAATCGGAGTTAATTGCACGGAAATATTGTTCTAGAGTAACCATACTGAGTGTTGGCAACTTACTACTTTTATCAATAAGGATCCATCCTGTTTCGGAGGTATTACTATTTCCATTTAACGTTTTCACCCACATAAACGAAGAGTTGCGAGTTCCATAAGATGTCTTCTATGAAAGGACTAAACCAATTCATTGTGGATCTCCGACAAGCCAAGGACTCGGATGAGGAAGCCCGCAGAATCAACTTGGAGTTGAACAACATCAGAACAAAATTTAACAGCTCCTCAAACTTGAATGGGTATCAAAAAAAGAAATATGTCTGTAAGTTGATGTACTTATACCTTATGGGCTATTCCCTGTTGATTAACTTTGGGTACAAGGAAACCGTTGAGTTGATTCATTCAAGTACATTTTCAGAGAAGCAATTGGGATACTATGCTGTGGGATTGACGAATGACGTTAATCCAGGATTGATGATGGCCCTACAAGGTAATCATAATACAAAAATACCTTTCAAATATAAGTCAGCTACTGATAGACTTAATAACTTGTTTCAAGTCATGTATCCAGTTTTACTTGCAGATCTACGAAGTACAAATGAAGATGTGAATATTCTTGCCTTCCAATTTATTGCGTCCCTGTTCAATTACGATATCACTGCTATTAAGAGTGATGGATTGGAATTATCGGATTCAGTTTCAACTTCAAATAAGTGGGAAGAAATTGTCGATACTATTTACTCATTTTGTACATCTCCCGTACAACCAGCAAAAATCAAACAAAAGGCAGTGGCTGCTCTCTATACGTTAGCAAAACTTCATTCAAATATCTTCGTCATCAATACCACTTGGATTCCACGGTTGATTTCTCTAATTGACCACGAGGATTTTAGTGTTGTGTTAGCATCAATCCCATTGATTAGGTTCCTTATGGAGTTGAAGCCGGAATACATCAAATCAATACTTCCATCAGTTGCTGCAAAGTTGAACTCTATTTTGGTAGACAGGAAATGTCTCCCAGAATATTTTTATTATGATACTCCTGCTCCTTGGTTTGTGGTGGGGTTGCAACTGTTGGTAGAGAGCTTTTTCCTTTATCTGGAAAGAGAAGCCCCAGCTTTACTTACTTCAAATATAGATGCCACGACATTGTCAAACCTTCGCCTGGTGGTGGTTCATTCAATTCAAAACTCATCAAAGCCCATCAAAGGGCTACCTAATAGAAATTCACAAAGTGCAATTCTCTTTCAAGCCGTATCTCTAGCTGTATTTTTGGATGCGTCTCCTGAAGCTATTAGTGGCGCAATAGATGCACTTCTACTTTTGCTCCAATCAAATGAAACTAATACCAGGTATTTGTCTCTTGATGCTTTGATCAAATTGACTGCCAGATCTGCATCGTCAAAGTACCAAACGATTGATGTGGACCAATTGCCACTGATTTTTGCGTTATTAACTGATAGAGATATTTCAATCAAAAGGAAAGCTCTTGATCTTCTATACACTGTCAGTAATAACCGGAATTACTACACTATTGTTAATAAATTACTTGAGATTTTTCCAAACATAGATTTCCATTTAAGAGCTGACGTTGCCATCAAAGTAGCTATCCTTTCGGAGAAATTTGCATCTGATTCTCATTGGTATGTGACTACAATGTTGAAATTGTTGTCCATTGGTAGTAATTCATCTAGTAATGGTGCAACAATTATTAGTAATGAAGTGTGGGAAAGAATTATTCAAATCATTGTAAATAATGAAAATTTGCATGCAATGAGTGCCAAATTGATAGTTCAACTTATAGTGAATCCAAATATTGTCTATAACAAAGGTGAAATATTGGATTCCAAAAATGAATCCTCACAGCCAATTAGGAATCCAGGGATTATATCAGAAAACTTGATCCGTGTTGCAGCCTTTGTTTTAGGTGAATACGGACATTTGATTGCTGATGATCAAGAAACACCAATCGCACTCCAATTCCAAATACTTTATAACAACTATCTTAATGCCCCCTTATCAACTAGGGCTATGATACTCACCTCAATAATGAAGATTCTTCTCAAATTTCCAGACGAAGATTTTGTCCCAGACATTGTTGATTTATTTGAGATTGAACAATCTTCTGTTGACTTGGAGATTCAAACCAGGGCGCATGAATACTTGAAGTTGGCTACATATATGGCGGACTACATTTTTGCAAACGAAGTTATTAGGCCACTTCCCCCGTTCGAATCATTAGACAATGCACTTATGGATCGATTGGGGAGTGTTCGCGGTATATTGGGCAAGCAAAATAAGGTACTTGACCTGTTGAACAATAAGATTTCCAACCATTCTACAGGTTCTCTCGTTGACATTGGTAATCCAATTAAAGGAAAGAAGTCGTCCCCCCCACCTCCTCCTCCGCCACCTCCGCACACAATACTATCGCCTAATTGGTTGGCTGGATATAGTAGAATGCGTAAGTACGATGCGGGAATATTTTACGAAAGTCAATTGATTAAAATCACTTACAGGATACAAGCCGAAGAATCTGTTTTGCGGATCAAGTTTATCATCTTCAATAATTCCAAGAAAACAGCTAATACGGATATTACTGGTTTAACCATACTTCAATTAGAAAGTAAAACCGGAACGGAAGATCCTAGTTATGTTTTAAGCATTGATAAGCCGCCAGAATCAATTGTTCCAGAAAAGACAACCATGGAGCTCTCGATTAAAGTTCGTCGTGCAATTGAAAGCAAAGAGGATCCAATAATCCATCTCACATTTACTTGTGGTGGATCTTTTAACCAGTTAAACCTTAAATTTCCCATAGTATTTTTAAAGACATTGTCACCTACTGCGATGGGAAATGTTGAGGATTTTCGTAGAAGGTGGAATCAAATTGGAGAGTTACTTGGAGACAATGGAGGTGCAGTTAAAACTGTATCAACTGGTGCGGTAAATACTTCTTCAGGACTAGTTCGACTTTTAACTAGGCTTCGGTTTTCTGTGGTACACGCTACTCCTGAGACCACGATTCCAATCTTGGTAATGGGTGCAGGTATACTTCATTCAAGTGAAAATAACTGTGGACTTCTTGTGACATTGAGAAGTATTGATAGCGGTGCCCAAAACCTTGAAATTCATTGTCGAAGCACAGGTGAAGGAGTTGCACCTCTAATTGCAGAGACTTTGGTTGACATACTAAAAGACTAGATTGTATTTGCGTTATATTAGTAAACGTTAAAGTACAATAGGAAGGGGGAGGTTTTGTATATTCGTTGATAACTCGGAAGAACATAATTTTGCGACAGCGAACATTAACCGATGGAATGAGTACGTAAACCATGCATAAAAGCTATGTACGCATGATTCGGAGAAAACCCCGCGAAGGCCTAACTCGAATGTTAACAGCAAGATAGTCACCGGTTGTTTTATCAATACATTCAGTTAAAGTGGACCTCATTTAATTTTTTGTACATAAATCATTGCGTATACATTAAAGGTTTGCTGAATGTATAACACACTTCTCAATGTGACTTACTGTTTCAGATCTGATCTTAAATTTGTTCATAACGCAATGCAGAGCGACGTAAATTCATGCAAGTTTTAAAGCTGTCTAGAATCAGTTACGGGTTTGTAAGAGTGTTTATTTCTTCACTATAATTGTAGGACTCAATAGTAGGTGCACAAGATAGGCAACATAATAATAAGGAAGTCAAAAAAATGGCACGTTGAGCTTAAAAGGTATCTATTACCACATTCCTTTGCACAATATTATTGCTTGTCCTTTCTCACAACCATTCCTGTTTAAGCTACGTAAACCCCTAGACCAGCCCACGATAGACTCTGCATTGCAGGTACACCCCCTTTTGGGCGTTGATTAGTGGAAAAACGGGCTTTTGTGTATTACAACACAAATCTGCATTAGATGTTGGTTGAGATTAAACGATCTGGTCAATGCCCCAAATAGGAACTTCCTCATCCAGTATAAAAAAGTTCTATTTGTTTACCACGTTTGGAGAAAACAACATACTACGAATTTCAATGTAAGGGGCTGATAGAAGTGGATTAATAGGCTAGAATGGGTTTAACAAAATTCCGTTATAGAATTTTCCCCCCTGTTTATTGTAGTGAACAAAAGTAACTGCGATTCGCTACTGTCGCTGTAGGACTTGATGTTTGGTGTACGCCTACTTTTTTATGAAAGTCTTGGTCTCCCGTCTAACAGCCAAGTACTCTGACCCCTTCGCCTCATGTCCAAATATTATGCTAATTCCATCCAGCACTCAAACTAAAGCGTACTTGTTGTAAATAAACCTGAGTATCATTTTGTGCTGCAAAGTTATTTCCGAATATGGGTACTGTGTCAAGTTTATTGTCAGAGAACAAAGATCCACCATTTCTAGATGTGGTCCACGAAACACAAGCGCAGTTGCAGGAAAATGACAAGCAAACTACATAATTTAGTGATTTCCTCACTGAGAGCTCATTAACTTAACCAGAAACGGTAGTAAATATTTGGGGCTCAATATAAATACCTGGGGGTATCCATGTTAGGAAGAAAACGTAATATAAGGTGCTAGATAGACAACTTTTTTTTTTCAAACTGGATCTCTTCAACTTCCTGAACGTTTCATTCCTTTAATTGAAAACTCTCACCTTTATCCAATCCTTCTATATCAATGTGGAAAGCTTTCGGTACTCTTGTGGCTATTGCTGCTATCCAAGCTCAAGTTGAAGCTGCTCCAGCTCCTGCTGTTGTGACAATTTGGCAAACAGCTACCAAAGTTGTATATGCTAATGGAGATGCATACACCACCATTCCTCCACTTTCTTCTACACCTTCTCCTATAGCTGCTGCTTCTTCTGCGGCTGGCGGATTTGACTTGGATAACTTGTTGCAACAAGGCAAGATTAGTGAATGGTTAGCTTACTTTAAAGGGTCATCCCAAACTCCAGATGCCAACACAGTAGCATTATCTACGCCCTCTACTATCGCTCAAGATACTACAACCACTTCTTACCCTCCAATTCAAGCCCAAGTATCTACTAGTCCAAATACACCTAGTGTTGCTACAACATCGTCATCTACAGCTGCTGCTTCCACCAATACTGGATCTTCTTCCCTTTCCAGCTTCCAACAAAATATTCTTGATGCCCACAACGTTGATAGAGCAAAGCACGGTTCTGGTGCCTTAACTTGGGATTCAACACTTCAATCTTATGCTCAAGATTACGCTGACAAATACGACTGTTCTGGTGTTTTGACACATTCCGGTGGTCCATACGGAGAGAACTTGGCTTGTGGTTACTCTGATGGTCCATCCGCCGTTCAAGCATGGTATGATGAAGGTAAGACATACAATTACGGATCTTCTTCAACTTATGACCATTTCACCCAAGTTGTGTGGAAATCGACTACCAAGCTCGGTTGTGCCTACAAGGACTGTAGATCCAACAACTGGGGCTTGTACATCATTTGCTCATACGACCCTGCTGGCAACGTTATTGGACAAAGCGCTGCCAATGTCTTACCTCCCCAATAATAAGACGCTTTAAACCCAAAATTCTTATTAGCATCACATAGTATAACGAAGCCAGGTTGCTTTTGTTTTTTGTTTTGCTGTTTGTTTTTCTTCACTGGTCATGACGGTTCTGCCTCGGTTCTTACTTTTTTGTATTACGTTTCACTTTGTATTGTAGCATTTAAAAATGGATATACTTGTTAAGTAACTTTGCCAAGCGTAGGGTGAAATTTTTCGCAGCCATTCCACCGCATCGATTTCAAGTGTAATAGCCAACCACACGACTTTAACTGAGATAGCAATTAGCAAGAGACACACAGGACATCACGAATCACGATTCGGTAGTAGCCAAGATGGCTTGGAGGACCAAAGTTTCTTGGGCTTTGTACGGGTCCAAGAACCGAGCTCTCGAGACATCTTGCGATAAGTGTACAGGAACACAGGAAGCCAGATACGTTTGCTTATTGTGAGGAAGTGTTTTAATTTCATACTTTCAGTTGGACAGTAGTAGGTGATGGCAGCTGTATATAGTATTGAAAATGGGGTCAGAAGGGTTTTACCTTATTTCCATCAGACTAAGGTTTATGCCAAAGGAAGATGGCTCAACCAAACTGTGGTAGATGTGCTATCGAAAGAGCTCAGTTATAGTAGAGAGCGTTTGAAGCGAGATATCCATCAGGAGCAACTTTATGTGGTGAGAACATCGAAAGATGGCACTGAAGAAGTCCTTCATAAAGGATGGGATCAATTGCTGGACTTGAAACTTCGAAATAAAGATCTAGTACTCTACACCCAACATAGACATGAACCCAATGTACCACATGATACGGGGTATTTCGATGATGAGAACTGTAACCATAATAGTACATTCCCAAGTCAGTGCAAGACTAAAATGAAAATAGTATATGAAGATGATGAAATTATGGTCATTGATAAACCCTCGGGCATCCCATGCCATCCAGTTAGAAAATACAACCATAATACCATTCTAGGAATCATCAAAAACGAAACAGGGCTAGATTTTCTTCATAACTGCCACAGATTAGACAAAGGTACTTCAGGTATTTTAATCTTAGCGAAAACAAAAGGAGCTGCTAGCAAATACCCTAGAATTATAGAACGAGAAAAAAAGTATACCACCAAACAGTATCTAGCTCGGGTAGAAGGTGATTTCCCTGAGAACGAGTTTATGATTCGATGTCCAGTTTTTGCCCTAAACACTGCTGACGGTCGAATACTTCATTCCAACAATAATATTTTACCAACAGATACAGCGACTGTATTCAAGAGAGTGTCATACAACAAGAACTTGAACCAAAGCATCGTAATGTGCACTGCAGTTACGGGGAAAATGCACCAAATACGTATTCATCTTCGACTCACAGGACATCCAATAGTTAATGATTTGCACTATAATAATATTAGGGAGAATAATAACGTCGTCCTAACATTGAAAAACAAAATAGAAACAGCTATCTATGAGATTTTGTTTGCTAAATATCCTCACTTCAAGGAAAGACTCAATGTTGCAGATGCAACAGATAACGTAGTGTCAACCATTGATCTTCAATTGGAAACAGAGTTTAAGATTGACCCTACTATTACCAAATTAGTGGATCGACTCAAGCAAACTAAATTACAGCACCTTTCCAGTTTAAAGCTGAATGGAGATATATGTGAAGTTTGCCAACAAGAGTTAGTCGATGATGACCTTGACCTTGCTGATCAACAAATATGGCTTCATTCATACCAATATTCCTATGTCAAAGATGGGGATGAGATATTCAACTACAAAACTGCATTACCATCTTGGTGCAATATATAGATGTGGGTATGTACAAGTATCGCATAGATTCATTCACAGGGTTCTAGTGTGGTTGCTATGCCTCTTTTTAGACTTTGATTTCTTTGAAGGTTTGTCCTTCATTGAAGAGTTCTTCTGAGTCCCACTAAGGGTTAGTAGTCTTAAGTCTTCGGTAAACGGAAACTTTGGCACCCCTGGGATCAAGTCGGAGCGGGATAGTTTTTGTTTCTGACATGTGCGGAGCATGTCTTGGAACTTCAAGCCGTTAACTACCAGACAATGCTCCAGTAGTTTCCTATTATAAACAACATCATCTAGAACTCTCTGAAAAGCCGAGTAAACACCCAGTTTAAGTAGCCTTAAATCAGAACCTGATGTTGGGAACAATTTAAAACGGAAGTAATATACACCAGCGACATTGCCTATTTTTTTATGATGTTTTAGCCTATTAATGGCATCAACCATAAATTTTCGTACATATTTCCGATATTTGGATCTACGACATGCTGAATCCAAGGGTAAACGAGCCTGTTGTAGAAAAGAATGCCCTTGATATTTTCCACTATATTTTCGGAGACTGTCTTCTGAAGACCTGTCATTAAGTTTAATCCCTCCTTTGAGAGTGAACATGAGGGCAACGTTAGATTTCCGTGCCAAACTGATATGATGCTCCACCGGGAAAAATGTTATACTAAGAAATTGGTCTTGGTAGAGTACTGGTGGTTGCTTGATGCGATATAAATGATTATAAGTTACACTATGAACACCTTTGATATCTTCCTTTTTCTCTGGTAATGTCTCCCGGTCGGTATTCGCAGGTTTCCTCCATTTATCCAACCATTCTTTATGGTTTTCGAATCTCGAGCGCATGGGTAATACTGAGCTTTTGGTCCATGAAGTTATAGATGTGGATGGCTTCATAGCTAATGGGGTATCGCTTAACATAGAGGTAGCCAGTCGATTATTCAATAAGGAAGGACCTTTGCATAACACCTTCTGGAACCTTCGACTATGCTGTCGTAGAAACTGCTGGATACTACTATTCATATCGGCTCGTGTAACGTTGTGTACTCGTTGTCAATATGAAAGCCACTCTTCGCATCACTATTTTCGCATTACTACTGCAATTTGAGATTGTCTACCTCAATTCGCACTAACGAAACCAGAGCATGTTCTTCTCTATACAAAAAATTACCTATAAATGTTACTGTGCTTCCGATTGCCAAAGAGTTACCGTGTTATCAGCCACAGCCAAAGTAAAAAGTTTAGGATTAAAGGCCACTATTTTGGGAACCCCATTTTCTGTTCTGTAGTTCTTTATGGGGAGTAGCTTGTGTCTATTATTAACTGTACTTGGGTTTGTGTTCATATTGTTTGTATCATAAATTAGTATATTCTTCAAGGGAGATCCAACAATTATGTATCTTCCATCAGGTGTGAAACATACTGAACCAGAACAATGATAATTGAATCTCATCCATCGATCCCCAGGTTTAAATTCATTTGGTAATGTAAGCAGAATCGTAGTCAATAAAACACCCAGAAATGCATCCAACACATAATGTTCTGGTCCATCTGTGCCTAGTAGTAATAGTTTACCATTATTTGAAAATTCCAACTTATTCCAAATTGCATTGGGTAAAGTTTCCAATTCAACCAGTAGGAATGGCCCTTTATCGTAATTTTGCAAATCAAAGAAATCTATTCTTCCTTTATTATTAGTATGGTTTTCCGTAGATTGTAATTTTCCCAGTATCGATTGTCGTCCTAAAGCCATAACCACTCCATGAGGATCATATGCTATTATAGATGGTACTTTAGTGTTGATGTTTCCAGTAGCATTGGCAACTCGTAAATCCCACATCTTCACAGTACAATCAAGACTGGCACTAACAAATGTATCTGCCACCGGGTTAACTTGAATATCAAGTACTTGGGCTGCATGACCTCTAAAGTATCGCACATATTGATTATCCGCCAATTGTAAGTATCTAATTGCATCACTATCGGTTTCTGCAGAAGATTCCCCTGGAGTAGACGCATATAAACAGTTGAGGCCCTTATGAATAAATCGTGCCAGATGAGCTCCATATTTCTGAGATTGAACATCTTTAAAATGCTTTCCCTTGTGAATGTCATATACCTGTATTGATTTGTCGATTCCACATGAGATCAAGTATTGGCCCAGATCATCAAAGTCAACCGATGTAATAGACGCTCCTTTATGGTAGTTGAAATTCTTAACAGCCCTTAATGGACTTACCATCCGTTCAGATATCAACAGTGTAGTCGACATAATTAATAATTGCCAATCCAAATTTATTCGCCCCACAAAACTAAACAATGTAATAAATATATATCAATATATATATATATATATAGGTGCATATATGCTATACCGACCAGAATTTCAATCTGTAAGTGAAATCATCTAGCCAATGCTAACTAGGTATATTATTTGATCTTCCACTCAGTCCAATCGTCTTCTGGATGTTTGATCTTTTGCAAAGAATTATATACACTCCCATAAATATGGGCAAAACATTATCACCGATTGACCCCTTTTCTGGATTCATTTTTTGACTCCACCCTTTACTACTTTTACGGAATTCCTCAGCGACACAACAATCAAGTCAATAAAGGTAGACTTATTGGGCCAATAGACCAATAGTGAGTCTAATTTATTGACAGGTAGTATCGAATTGCATATTTTCCATAGTTTATAAGTTTTAGTTCCTTCCCCCGCAACTCAGCCATGACTGACCCTCTGCCTCCATTCAAGGTGAAGGCCTTATATACGTATGAAAATGATTATGAAGATGATTTGACCTTCAGTGCTGGGCAAATTCTCACCGTCACTGTGGTAGAAGATGATCAATGGTACACGGGAACTTATGATGGACAAGAGGGCATTTTCCCCCGTAACTTTGTGGAAATTTATCATGAACTTCCCCCAGTACCGGTTTCCAGACCAACTCCTAAATCTCCAAACAGAGAGACTACAGCTGCTACTGCTAATGCCACTAAGGAATCAAAGGATAATATTGTTGTAGATGAAGTGAAGCCCAAGCTTTCGGATTCCATCGGTACAGGCCCCATTCCGAAACCCGTACTTCCCGGAGGCCATAAAGTTGCCGATCCATATAGTGTTACTAAGCAGTTTATGGCTACTGGTAAATCATCATACGTGCCTCAAGTAACGCCCAGAGATCAGGCCAATGTGATTCACACCATTCCGGCAAGCTCTAGCTCACATGCGCCCCCACCAGATGTTGTCCGCGAAACTTCCCAAACAGTGGCCCAAGAGGAAGAAGAACCCAAGGTCAGTTTGAAAGAGCGTATTGCACTTCTCAAGAAGAGACAAGAAGAAGAAGCTGAACGCGAAGCAGCTGCACTCAAGAGAGAGGAGGAAAGAAAGAAAAAAGCCGCCGAGAAAGCCAAATTGAAGAAGCAGAAGGCTTTGAACCAGCATACAACAGGGGATAGTGTAATCAGTGCTGGTTCAGTCGATGGAGGTGCGGAATTATTAAATGCCAATGAAAATACTGAAGAAGGTATAACTGAAGAAGGAGAAGAAAGCTCAACTGTTAAGGTGCAAGGTGAAGATAATGAATTGGGATCCGTAGAAAATAGAGAAGGCAACGAAGAAGATGATGAAGAAGAAGATGCTGAAGCTGCTGAAGAAGAAGAAGAAGAAGAAAGCGAAGAACCAACTGAAGAAGAAGACGATGAAGAACTCAAAAGAAGAAGATTAGTTGAACGCATGGCTAAAATATCTGGTGGAAGAAGTATGTTTGGTATGATGGGTATGGCAACTCCATTTAGTCAAGCAACTCAAGCATCGACCCCCAAACGAACAAAATCAGTCAAAAAGCTGAGTGACGAATCAGATGAAGTTAGCAAAGCCAAACCTATTCCAATCTTGCCAATGGTCGGCAATACCCCAATTCCTTCAGCTTTGAAGAAGTCTGTGAATTCGCCCGAAGCATCAAAGGTCCAAGACTCCAGCCAGTATCCTGAAAGTGAAAGTTCTGTAATGATTGAGGATGACATAGCAACAGAATCAGATTCAAGAATTCTCGAACCTCAAGAATTTAAAATTGATCCTGTAAGACCATCACTTGCTTCAGATGGTGAAGTTGATACTTATCAGTCAAACATGGATTCGAACATTAGAATAACGACTAGTCTTGATGATGAAAAGGAGAAAGAACCTACAGGCTACGAAGCGGATGAAGATTTATCTGATATAGCAAGGACTTCTACGATAACGGGACCTTCCGCTCTTGATTCTCCAGTTAAAACGTCTATACCTCCAGCTCCTCCTGTTCAAGTGCCTCCTACACTTCCTTCATTGCCAAGACTGTCTACTGGTTTGAATGATGTAGATGATTCGACCATACCTAATACTGTACCGCCACCACCCCCCTCTACTATCCCTAGATCACCAACTATGAAACAACCTAAAGTGCCTTCAATTGCACCTCCTATTCCAAAAGTGATCTCTTCAAGCTCATCAACTATTCCCCGCGGGCCAGCTATAGGATCAATGATTCCTCCTCCAATCCCTTCTGCACCAAAAATCCCTACTAGCCATCCTGTCGACGTTCAAGAAGAAAAACTTGTAAGTGAAAAGGAAGTATCTAACAACAATAATGATGAAGTCGACAATGATCAAACTACGGACAGTGAAGAGCAAGAAGAATACGATGATGTAACCTCTGAGGAAGTTGGAGATAGAGATATAATACAACATGCCGAGAGCGAGGAAGACCAAGACATTATTAGTCCTACACTGGCACCACCAGCTTTACCATATGGAATACCACAGATTCCCAAAACAGCACCTTTTGCTCCTTCCATTCCAGCAGTCCCCTCTAGTGCACCTCCTCCAGTAGCAAGTGAAGAGTTAACTAATGAAAGTATATCTTATGCAACTGCTCTGCGAGCTGCTACAGATGCATCCCTTGGACGGAAATCGTCCATAAAAGGCGACGAGCAAACAAATGCCGAATTAGTATTGAGTGAATTAGAGTTTGAAATAGCCAACATTACAGGGAATTCCAATTGGTGGCTTAAAGGAGAGCTCCCTGATTCATTGATACAAAAGGCTAGATCAGATTTGATTTATGAAGTTGATAGTCATGAAATTCGTAAGAGAGGAGGGCGAGTTGTCAACTTCCGTGATTATTATGTTCTATTTTATGATTTAAGTCAATTGGTGTTTGAAATTGAATTTGAAAAGGATGATCCCAGATCATCGATTAAATTGGTTAATTCGTTAATTATGCCTGTACCAACCATCCATAAGGATTTGTTGAATAAGTATAGAAATGAATATGGAGATCGAGTTGTTCTGGAAGCAAGTTCCTTACTTGGTCTGATAGTTACAGGTGAATTTGTTGATTTGATTTTGAACAAGTTTTCCTCAGAATTGATTCAACCAATTGGTAATAAATCTTGCGGTGTTACAATATACAAGAACTTTAACAATCATAATATTGCAAAGATTGATGATATACGTGCAGGAGATATACTATGGATCAAGAATGGTAAGTTCCAAAGTCACAAAGTAATGGGAAGTAAAGTGATTAGCGTTGGTGACCATGAAGTACACAAATCAATTATTTATGAGTATGACACCCGCAAAGATAAAATCAGGGTCATTGAGCAAGAATCAAATGGACTCATTAAGAAAGAAAGTTACAAATTAACAGACTTTAAAAGTGGGAAGCTTCGAGTGTTTCGACTTGTTGGTCGTGATTATGTTAATTGGTAGTGAATTACTGTTTTATAGGGCCAAGTATGGTACACTTTTTATAACTCTCGCTTCCCCACAATATTGTCATATTGAGTACCTTGAAGAGATTATCAAAGCACCTTTTAAATGGCGTATAGTAACACACACATGGTTTTCTATATACCATATCAACATCAATGTATTTGCCCAATGTTCAAGTAAATCGACTATCCGGTATTAAAATTTCAAAAAAACCAGTAGGATACTATTCGGAAGTGTCTTAAGGTATTGACCACAGCATTTGCACCTAAAAAATTAGCTTGAATAAAATAAAAGAGCTATAATTCCCGTTAATATTGGCTTTAAGACATTATCATAGCAAAGAACACCACGCCAAGTCATACTTTTCTCAGAAATAGGAGCAGCCTAGGATAGGATCAAATCTGAAAAATATACACCAGTTACAATTAGTAGAGAGTTATACGAATGATGATCAAATAGCCCTAATTGTTGAATCTCCCCAATATCTATTTCTGTAAAATGTAGTTAAGCAACCCCCCTCCTAGATGAACAGCTTAGAACCGCTCTATATAAGAAATTCGGTGTCTAAATGCTTACACCACAGATATACTCAATTCCAATCACAGCACTGAAAATACAAGTGACCAACCATGCTCTCGACTACTGCTCGCTTATCACTCAGACAAACACTACAATCAAGTTGAAAACTCACAGCTATAAGAGCCATGATTACTGATACTCCCAAAGCCCAAAATAGGATAAAAATTATCAACAAGTTCAAGAAATTAGTACTTGATGAAAACATGCCTGTGCCAACTTCTTCTCCCACAGATGTTCTAGTTAGCCACGAGATTTCTGGTCAGGTCGCAATGGTTGGTGACAGTGTCATTTAAATTTAAAAGTTATGGCCTCTGGTCCAAATAGATGCGGCACTTGTCCTCTTTTTAATGGTTTCGATAACAACTGAATCTATTCGTTAGCTCACAATTATTTTGGTTTAGGAATCTATGGTGGCTACCAACTATTTTTGGTTAACATACCTCAAAACTTGATAAATGTTCCAGAATGTGTTTCAATGGAGATAGCAGCTCCAACCACTAAAGCTGTTTCATGTCCTTATCATGCTCTCAAGCCATTAAATTTAACCTCAATCTTCATCGTTTATTTGTGGGTTGTAGTGGTTTAGGTTCAAGCGCCCTTTGCTAAAGCCTTTGGGACCACTGTCACATTTCTTGAAAAGAAGGACAAGGCCAGGAAATTGGCAAAGTCATTGGGTGCCGACTCTGTCTACGAAAAGTTGCCAGAGCTGATACCTGAGCATTCATTTGACCATTGTGTGGATTTTGTTGGACTTCAACGGACACTTGAGATTTGACAGGAAAATACTCGTTCCATGGGCACAATAATCCCAGTTGGAATGATTTCAGCCGATTTGAAAATCAAATTATCCGAACTTGCGAAAGTGAAAATAAACAGTTCGCCTCGAGTTACCAGTAATGATTTGAAGGAGGCCATGAATTTAGTGCTTAAGGGACTCGTTAAACCACCAGTGTATAACATACAACTTCTGATAAAAATTGACTGAATACATAGAAAAGTTGAAGAACAACGAATTTGAAGGGAGAACTGTGTTTACTCCTTAGTTAACAATATTTTTATGTTTGAAAATAACCTGATACTGTATCAAAAAAAAATCAAATATAACTGAATCTAACATAATAGTCTAAATAATTTTCTTAGTATTATTAAACTCCAAAATTATCCTGATATAACATAGACAACTCCTAGACCTAGAAAAGTCAAAACTGCTTCTTGCCAAAATCCACACCTGACTATATATCATATACTCAATTACTCTTAATACTGGAACTTAACTTCCATTCTGGAAGGGGCATGCAAATACGGCAACAAAATAAGAAAAAAACTGGGACAAAACAAGATTAAACTGAAGGACAATTGAAGTGCAAAAAAAGTGCACAACATGTCATATGCTTAGAATAAAGGTGGTAGTTGTCAAAAGAAGGAGGACATGAAAAATAAAAAGATAAAAAATAAAACAGATATATGGGTCACGGCACGGATAAAAGAAGCTATCAGCTCTTCAAGGAGAAAACTTAATTAAAACAGCGGACATTTGAGACAGATCTAAAATTCGGAGTGAACGATACAAAATGAAGGGAGGGCAAAGTAAATGATCGGCGTAGGGGTAAACTTAAAACTATAAGGTGGGCACATGATTTCATCGGGCACTGGGTCACATAATAAAACGCTTGTTGAACTCATTCAGTGTTGGGATATTATAATACTGATACTTATACTATAAGATCTGAAATACTTATATGGGTGTTCGTGGGTGTGTATGTATGTATGTATGTATGTTTTGTATGTATGTTCAAGGTGGATTCTGAGTCAAAGTAGCGGTTCTGTTCGTAAAAACTTACCTAGGTCTAGAAATAATCTGTGGCATAGTTAGGAATAAATTTTGGAGTAATGGAAGGAACTGAGATAAATAATTAGCAATAGTTGAATGTGAGAAATTGCCCTTTATATATACGTCCCCTTGCCGCTGAGAATCACGCAAAAAAACTCGTGGGGCGTAGATGTGGAGTAAGTGTACGTTATCAATTGTAGACAGCAGACAAAAGCGAGAAAAGAAGTACAGACATTTTCACACACCCACTGTGTTGCAGAGATACTTATCACCTACCATCAAACCAGTCAATTAAGCAAAGGTAGGATAGTTTGCTGCTGCCCAGGGAAGTTGCAGATTCTAGTGACGTGGTTAAATGAATTCATTTACGCACCGCACGGTGTATTTCGTTACGTGACTGGATTTCCTGTTTCGGTTTTTAAATGTGGAGTGACGGCGCAATCGGACACAATTGAACCCCCAGAACACCACATGTCTGAACAATATCACAGCTCATAATTCTGAGGTAAGCTTCAGCAACGGTGTACCTAACTGACACTACTGCAACTGATACTGTACAAGCAGTTATTGTCTGGTTTGATAAGTACATCCAATGTAGTTACACCATCACACCATATAGACTGCATCTGATGTCTGAAATCCGAGAAATGATTATTCACTACACCCTTACTCGGACAATTGTTTCCATACGTTTCAGACATTTCCAGGGGTGAAATTCTTTGACTTAAATTCTGTGCTTTCAGTCTTGACAACCGCAATGTTAGTGCTCTCTTCTTCCCTTAACTTCCACACATATAAATTAATCCATTGACCTTATTAAGGTATACCGTTGTTTGTGTGCTGTGTTGAGGTTTACTTGGCAACATGTCAATTCAAGATTTGAAGCCCGACTTCGTGTTGTTGGTACACTATGAAATCGATAATAACAACAAGGTATTGGAACAATCCAAGCTCGACTTGAAACATCTCATCTCAACTTTACACCACAATGGATTCTCCACTCAAATTAGAGAACTGTCTCAATTGGAAGTGTTGGTGTTTGTCAAGTTGTTAGGTTATAAGTATACGGAACAAGCTGAAAAGGATTTGATTCAAAACTATGAATTTGGTGTTACCGCACATCCAGATTCAAGAGCTGAACGTTTACGAATCGTATACAATTTTTTGACTTCAAAACAAGGTTTAGATATCAAACCAAAATCTTCTAATTGGATTTATGTCAAACTGATTGTTCCTATAAACTCTGATAAGTTTTATTTAGATTCGTCAATTATTGAAGATCTAAATTTGAACAATCCTTTGAAGGAATTTAACACAAATTATATCGTTGAACATTTTGGTCAATCTACTGCCTTTTATTTTGAGTTCTTAAAGACTTATACTGTTGCTTTGGTCCCCTTGGCAGTGGTTGGCCTAATTAGTTACTTCAAACGTGGCCATAGCTACTCGTTAGCCTACTCCTTTGTTTCAGGAATATGGAGTGTTTTGTTCCTTACTTTTTGGAAAAGAAGAGAAAGCTATTTGGCTAACGCTTGGGGAGTTCAGAATAGTCATTTGGTTGATCAATATGCTGGTGAATTGTCTGCCATCAATGATAAATATGAAGAACATTCAACGTATTATCATAGCATTAAAGAAAACCAAGCATTTAAACGTTTCCTTAAACAGGTCGCATTTGTACCTGTTGCTTTAAGTTATACTGCTATTTTAGTTGCTGTTCAATTATCATGTTTTGTTTTGGAAATATTCTTAACGGAAATATATGATGGGCCTTTAAAGTCAATGGTGTCTTTAATCCCAACAATTGCAATTTCAGTATTTGTCCCTGTCTTTACTATTTTATACAACTTTGCTATTGAAAAGGCTGTTAATTGGGAAGGTTTAGACAACTATTACAGTGAAACCAAATCTTCGGTTATCAAGAGTTTTGTATTATCCTTCATGACTTCGTACGTTCCATTGTTCATTACAAGTTTTATCTACTTGCCATTTGCTCATTTGATCCAACCTCATTTGGGAAACATTCGCACGTACTTAGCAGAGGCTTTAGGGAACTTCTCATACGCCTCTTATCTTCTTAAATTGAAAAGTCAGGAAGAGTTTGTGATCAACCAAGCAAGATTGGATAAACAATATAGATATTTTATTATTACCAATCAAGTGATCCAAATTTTTTTGAAGTATATTCTTCCCGTGGTTATCAGGTTAGCTACCTCTAAAACGAAGAAGAACTATAAGATTAAAGACAAGCCATCAGAAAGTCAATGGTTGAATAATATCAGAAAGCTCATGGCTTTCCCAGTGTATAATGTTCATGATGACTTCAGAGGAGTTATTTTACAATTTGGTTATTTAACTCTTTTCGGTCCAGTTTGGTCTTTGGCTCCAATTGTTTGTATTATCTTCAACATTATAACTTACAAGTTGGATTACATGAAATTGACTGGTGGTAAATATTTCCAACCATCAGTTCCTAATAGAATTGATTCAATTTACCCTTGGGATAATATTTTGTTTTTTTTGACGTGGTGTGGATCTGTCGTTGGTCCCATTGTCACTTTATTCTACAGACATGGTACTAAGCCAGTTAAAGTGTATGGAGAAGGTGAATTTGGTTTGGATAAAGCAAGCACCAATCTTGACTCTCCCTTCTACTTTGTTCTTATTCTCTTTGCATCTGAGCATATCTTTTTCGGATTATATTTCCTTTTTGGTACCATTTCTTCATTATTCAAGACTGAAGCTGAATGGAAGAATGACTTTTTGGACAATGATATTAAGTTGAGACACGATTATTATACTGAGAAGGTCAAGTCAACTATACCAGTACCAGATGATGGTGAATGGTCCAAGTTCGACATTAAGAATGTTTTGATGGATGCATCACACCATCCTGACTTGGAAGTAGCAAAGCCAACAGAACCTGAAGTAATTGGAAGCTCTTCTCAGCATCTGACTGGGGTACAAAAGAACCCCAGTGCAGACTTGAATGCAAAGAGAGCTTCATTGGAAGCTATTAAGGATCCAACTGATAAGGTCATTGAAACCAAGGATAAAGATGGTAAGACTGTATTGTCAACTATTGATGATAATCATCACTTTAAGCCAGAACCAGTTAAAACGCCTGTGGTTAAAAGCACAGTAGATGTAGTGGAACCAAAGGAAGAAGTTGATGACGATGATGAACCAGTAGAAGAAGTTCCTATTCGTTCTACTACAAGAGAAACAAGCGAGCCTCCATCTGTAAGCTCAGATACAAGCAATTCTTCCAGCTCAAACAAAGCAAAGACAAAGATCAAGAAGTTTTTCAAAAAGACATGAATGGGCATATAAGCCTATATTTTTATTACGAGGTTTTATACTTTTTATTATTATTATTATTGTTTTAAATATTCATAGCCTATAACAAACGACTTCGTTTTGGATTATAGTATAATTATGCCTTAGAAGGTCTAGAGCCGAAGATTTTAGAACCAACTCTAACTTGGGTACTTCCTTGTTTAATTGCCTGTTCAAAGTCATTACTCATTCCCATACTCAAGCGCAAATTACTTCCATATTTAGCATCCAATTCCGCTTTCAATGATACCAACCGTTCAAATTCCTTGTTGGTATCACCATCACCCAATGACTCTCCTACAGAGCCAATAGTCATTAGACCAATCAAGTTTAAATATTTCGCATTCTTAATGAAGTCAACAGTTTCATAAACCTCTTCAAGGTTTTGTAACAGATACCCCGATTTCTGACTCTCATTGCTAGTATTAATTTGTAGGAATATACCTATTGGCTTTGCATCTGGAACGCTGTTTCTAGCATTTTCCAACTTCTGACACTTCTTTAGACTATCAATAGATTCAACAGCAAACAAGTTGGGTATATTTTTGGCCAAATCTTTACATTTACCAGATTGCAAACCTCCAATGAAATGCCAACATATATCCTTTGGTAATTGAGCTGCCTTAGCACACAACTCTTGAACATAATTTTCACCAAAATGACGAACTCCGTGTTCATATAAGGCTAAAATATCGCCAGCAGGTTTGTATTTTGAAACAGCTATTAATTTCACTTCCTCTTTATTAAGACTAGATGCGTTTCTAACGCTCTCCAACACTTTATTGTAATTGGTTATTAATTCTGTCTTCCGGGAAGATGTGGCTGGTGAAAGTACTGACATGTAACTTTTATTTCTAATTATTCGTCTCTTCAAGTTCCAACAAACTTTCACTTGTCTTAGCATACCATGGGCTTTATATAGTTGGCGCATATGATAATACCTTTAGTGATCACATCGTCTCAAAAACCGTACTACTATTCGAAGTCTTTGTGTCATGTTCCCCACTGATAAGAGAAGGCTGTTGCAACAGCCTGACTACAAACTATTCCAGTCTAGTGACCAGTATATTGGGCAAAATACATGAATACTACACCATGGTGCAAATATAGACTTCCATAACTAATGAGGAAGGTAGTAATTGAGGATAACTGAATAATTTTGCTGGAGTGGTAAAGATCTTGACCTAGCCCTAATATTTTTCACGTGATGAAAATATCTTCTTTAGTCGATGAGGTCAATTGCAGTAAAATTTTCAGGTATAACGTTAGATTAAATGGTTAATATTGCAACATTGCAGCCATTTGAAAAGAGACAAAAAACGATGACTGATTTTGTATACCAAGAGGAGGATTTTGATGATAAAGTTAGAACACAAGTTGAGTTCTACTTCTCTGATTCCAATTTGCAAACTGATAAGTTTTTATGGAATGTTTACCAAGCTAATGATGGATGGGTTGATTTAAAGACAATTTTGACGTTCACTAGAATGAAGCAATATCGTCCTGAAACCAAAGTAATTGAAGCTTTAAAGAATTCTGATAAGTTGGTTTTATCTGCCAATGAAGAAATGATCAAAAGAAAGGACCCATTACCCGATTTGGATGAATTAAAGAGTCGTAGAAAGAAGAACACCGTTCATATTGAAGGATTCCCTAAAGATTTAACCCAAGAACAAATTGAAGAGTTCTTTGACACCAAAATTGTTAGTCAATTACCACAAGAGAAAACCGTTTGTTCTATACGTAGAATGAAGAACCGTGTGAGCCGTGAATTTTTTGGTGTTGCTGATGTTGAATTCAAGACTTTGGAAGATGCTGAATTCTTCTTAAACAAATTGGATGTTGCCTACCCTGCTGGTATCGTCGATACCAGTGAAGAATCCTTTGATAAGAAGTCCTTGTTAAAGAAGATGTCTCTTTTGACTTTCCAAGAAATGAGAGAAAGCAGAAAGCGTTTCGGAGTTAACGAAGTTACTAAAAGGAGAAACTCTTTCAACAGTAACAACAACAGAGGAGGAAAAAAGTTCAAGAAGGGTGGTAAGCCTAGAAGTGATTCCATTAAGGAGGATAAGGAAACAAAAGAACAAGAACTGACAGAAGAATCAAAGCCTGAAACTACTGAAACTAATGCTGAAACTGTACCAAAAACCACGGAAGCTAAGGAACCTGAGTCAATCACTACTGAAGCCTCTGCTTGAATAATCTCGCATTAATTTGTTAACACATATTTTATCATTAGGAACATCATCATTGAAACTGTAATTATATCCCTGGGACAATATTTTATAAGATCATAACAATACATAACAATACACATATCTCATAGTTTGAGCTCATATCGTAACTAACACGGACCACATTTCGATATTGCTTTAGCTTGCTTTAGCTTCGACACCCGAACACCTGTCAACGCGACACGAAAAAAGTAGTCGATTAAATCTTTTAATATCTCCAACCCATACTTCTGTTTCATTAAAAGGTAGTGAATCTATACCATAATGACAGTTGATAACGAGTTCCGAAAAGAAGTATCCAATAGGTTTGGGTCATCTTCATCTTTGACGGATGAAGTTTACGAAAAGATAGAAGAATTGAAATCTACATTCAACTGTTCTGTGGAAGACGTGTTTGTACAATGGGAAGCATACAACGTAACAGAAGCATTTGATGACTTAGAATTGAACATAGGAAACCTTTCACGGCTAGCGCAGTTCATGCAGACTTCCTTATCTTCAAAGAATATCAAGACCACTACCCCAGCAAGGAAGCTTAAAGACGCTAGAGTTACTCGTAATTTGAATCACGCGTCAAGTCCCTTGGGTGCAACTCCAACTCATAAGAAGCGCAAGACAGAGGCTGTTGCTTCATCTCCTAATGGTTCTGGTGCTCCTTCGTCAGTACCAGATTATTCATCACCTACGAAACCAACTGTCGAGTCACATACTATTCTTGAGACATTAAATGATACAGTTCGTTTATCCGAAGGGTATGTTCAATTACAAGAGGACGCGTCAACATCCATTAAACCTTTCCTGATGATAGCTAATTATGATGCGGCAAAATATAAGTTTCGTACGATGCAAATGAAGCTACTTGAAAGTGCTGATGTACTTGATGAGCAAATAGATAACGCAACCCAATTGTTTCAAGATGCCACTAAAAGTCCTGAAGGAGAACCCATTCAAATAAGTAACCCATGTTTACCTTCACAATTTGAAGTTTATACTTGTGGCCGTATAGTCCCAGATTCCCCAGCATATAATTTAAGTCAATCATTGAATAAGTCATCCTTATATCTCGAAACATCACGATTTACTGGAATTGGACAACGGATTCCATTGGATCTCACACAAATATCGGGGTACTCCTTTTTCCCCGGTCAAATCGTTATACTAAAAGGTAAGAATCCTTCAGGCTCCACGTTTGTTGTCTCTGAAGTGTTCCCCTTACCCAATTTACCATCTGGAGAAATGACAAGGGAAGAGGTAAACCAATACAAAGAATTATATCATCAAACAGGGTTAAAGATAGTGGTACTTTCAGGACCTTACAGTAATTCCCACTCTTTGGATTTCTCTAAATTTGAATCGTTTATGATTAAGTTAAATGACGAGATCATGCCTCATTTAGTCATTTGTCACGGTCCTTTCATTGATTTGAACAATGAATGCATTAAATCCGGTTCCATTCCATTAGAAGATGACAACAGCAAACAAAATCTCCGTAACTTGGATGAAGTCTTCACAAAGTTTATTTCTCCAATCTTCAAAAGACTTAATTCAAGAATACTGGTTGTGTTGATTCCATCAGTTAGAGATTCGGTAGCCACTCATTGTTCCTATCCTCAAGATGTATTTGATCGGAAGTCATTAGGATTACCTAAGAACGTTCATGTTCATCCTAACCCCAGTAGTTTCTCGATTAATGATGTTTTGATAGCTAATTCCAATCTTGACATCTTTAAAGATATAAAGGAGGTCTTCAGTCCAGGAGATAATGTTAGTAGTGATCGGTTTCTGAGAGTTACTAAGCACATTCTACAACAAAGACGGTACTATCCATTATTTCCCGGGTCAAAAAACAACTCCAGATTTGTACAACATAAGGATTCAACACTTTTTGATGGAGCATTAGCCACTGATTTGGTAGATATTCAACCTGGTGGATCCAATTTAGAAGTCCCCTATTTGCCATTAACAGAAGTAGGTGAAATTGCACCTGACATCATGGTTATACCAAGTGAGCTCAAATATTTTGCCCGTATTGTTGATGGAGTTGTTACTGTTAACCCTGGATCATACATTAAGCATCTGAATGAAAAAGGTAATGATAGTGGGTCGTATGCTATCATTAGTGTTGAAGCACCTTCATTAGATTCGCTAGAAGAAAGTGAAGACTCGCTCTTCTTCAAACTGGTGGACAAACGTACCAGAGTTGACTTTTATCATTCATAGTAGTAATCATCATCAAATAGCACAAGACTTTCTATAAGAAAAATTGTTTTTTGGTCGTGGGGATTGCAGTAACCTGGCTTTTGACTTACGTTTTTTGTAAACATACTGTAGCAGAGGCCATTGGAAGAAGAGCACAAGCTTGAATGCCATTAATAGTGCCTTCACTACTTGATCATCATAATGCAGAAGGTAAAATGACTGTAAGTAGACGACTTGCCTTGAGTAGTGCTAGTGGATCACCATTCAAGCTTTTTGACTACCAGATCAATGCCATTGAGAATGTTCTTACATCCATTGAACAAGGAACAAGGAAAAATGCTGTGGTATTAGCAACTGGAGGAGGTAAAACAATCGTGTTCTCTCATTTAATCCCATTACTAGAACAAAGTTCATCAAGAGGCCCAAAGACTCTTGTTCTTGCACACCGGAAAGAATTGGTGTTTCAAGCTGCTAAAACCATTAAATCTGTTAATCCTGATTTACAAGTATCTATAGATATGGCCGATAGAAAATATGATCCCGAAGCCAACGTCATAGTTGCTTCTGTACAGACTTTAGCATATAAGTCTCGATTAGAAAATTACAATCCTTTAGATTTCAAGACCTTAATATTGGATGAGTGTCACCATGCAGCAGCTAAGACTTGGAAGGAACTTCTCCGTTATTTTGGTGCAGATACCCCCGAAACAGATATAAATACCATAGGGTTCACAGCAACATATGAAAGAGCAGATGAAAAGGATCTCACTGAAATATTTGATAAGGTGGTATATCGTAGGTCTCTATATACGATGATAACTGACAAACAACTCTGTGACATACTCTTTCTTAAGGTCAAAGGACTGTATTCATTGGAACATGTTAAGTCGTACAAAGGAGATTACAGTGTATCACTGTTAGAGGAGGCAGTTAACAATACTAATAATAATACTGTTGTTGCTGATGCCTATTTACGATTGAAGAAACGGTACAATTTTAAGTCCACTATAATATTTTGTGTTGGAATTGAACATTGTAAAGCACTATGTTCGGTATTACAAAGATCAGGAGTTAATGCTCAATATGTTATAGGTGAAACGCAGCTGAAAGAAAGACAAGATATGATTAAAGACTTTCTGGAAGGGAAAATTGATGTTTTATGTAACGTCGGCGTGTTTACTGAAGGGTTCGATGTGCCTAGAATCGATTCAATTATATTGGCCCGACCCACCAAATCTCGTGTTCTTTCTCAACAAATGGTTGGTCGAGGATTAAGAAAGCATTCAGATAAGAAAGTCTGTTACGTAGCAGATGTCTGTGGGTTTGAAAGCACTATGACATCTGTATTCTCATTGCTCACACAAAGGGAGGGCGAAGATCTCAACCTAGAGATTGATGAGAAGAGGTTTACTGATTTATTTGAGGAAACTGAAAGTCGAAGAAAGAAAAAAATGGAAGGGAATGGAGGAAAACTTCTTGCTGATGATGGAAAGGCTACTAACGTTTTGCTAGATCTTACTAAAGACTTAGAAACTCTTACTATTAAAGAAGTAGGAAGCATTACTCACTTTGCAAACAAGGAGATTGGAATCAACGAGAAGGAAGAAATACATGGATATATTAGAGCACAACCAGGTAATTGGGTATGGCTAGATACTGATCTTTGGGCTCTTCGATTAACGAGCGATTTATTCGTACATTTGCTAGTCAAGGATAAGTTTGAAGTCTCTCTCAGAACCTTGAACAATCAAAGATTTAATGGAATTCATAGAATGAGAAACACAAGCGTCGAAGACAAGGGGAAATCAACCAAGAATTTAATTGAAGCGGTCGAAATTGCGCAGGCCTTTTCCAAAGATATTAAGAGATGGAGATTCCAATTCAACACATTAACGAGTGCCAAACAAGTTGATTATATCACTAATGTTCTAAAGAAAAAGATTATTAAGTTGTTTCCCACAGAAGACTCGGACTACGTAATAAAAGTCTTTAAAAAGAATCTTCAAAAGACATCTCTGGTCTTTTCTGGTAACCTTATCTTTGCCTTTCGATATTCAATTAATATTCCTGCAGTGTCGGCGATGATTAAGATGGTGATGAGAGATGATTCACAATGACATCACTAGAATATCTTTTATTTAATGTTATTATAGAAACGCATATATCCAATACTACAGCCTGAGAGAATTATTGTAGGTTTGTTACTATTGATCTATCGGTATATCTGGGTAGTGCACCTACCAAACAATGAACATAAAGTTCATAATCACCATTAAAACTAAAACACTATCGTAGTAACAGTAGCTTTGGACAGATAATGAGACTTATTCATACGGTTATTCTGTTGGTGTTTGCCGTTATTGTTTTGGCATTAGAGACTACTAACGAATTTGATTCGTTTGCGGAAACAGTGTCAAAATCGAACCACACTAATAACTGGGCTGTATTGGTGTCGACATCCAGGTTCTGGTTTAACTATAGACATATAGCCAACGTTTTAAGTTTATATCGCACAGTTAAACGGTTAGGGATACCCGATTCTCAGATCATATTGATGTTGGCAGATGATATAGCATGTAATCCAAGAAACGCATTCCCTGGAACAGTATTCAATAACATGAATCAAGCAATTGATTTATATGGAGATCTGATTGAAGTTGACTACAGAGGATATGAAGTTACTGTTGAAAATTTCATTAGAGTATTAACCAATAGATGGGATGAAGATCAACCTAGATCTAAACGGTTGCTAACAGATGAGAACTCCAACATATTTATTTATTTAACAGGCCATGGTGGTAATGAATTTTTGAAGTTTCAAGATGCCGAGGAAATAGGCTCGTATGATATTGCTGATGCCTTTGAACAAATGCATGAGAAGAAGCGATATAATGAGATTTTTTTCATGATCGATACTTGTCAAGCTAATACTATGTATGAAAGATTTTATTCTCCAAATATATTAGCAGTTGGATCTTCAAGATTAGATGAATCCTCATATTCTCATCACTCAGATTTGGAAATTGGAGTTGCTGTTATTGATCGTTTCACATATTACACATTAGAATTTCTTGAAAAATTGGATAAAAATTCCAATCTTACATTAGACAAATTATTTGATGAATATACTTTTGAAAATGTCCATTCCAATCCTGGAATTAGGACGGATTTATTCCACCGAGATCCGAAAAAGGTTTTGTTGACGGATTTTTTTGGCAATGTTCACAATGTGGTTGTTGATGTTAAAGATGATGATTTACTTTATGCAGCCAATCACAATGAAGATGGGATTAGAGTATCAGTTGCCACACCAAAGATTCAAGTCACTAATAATACTACCAGCAATAAAACAATGGGTACTCTTAAGTTTGGTTCTCGTGATAATGAAGAAAGTCAAAACTTGATAAATTTGGAACCTAAAACTATGCTGATGATCTCTTTTATTACGGTCATTGTTTTCATAGGTCTTTGGTTCGCTACAGCATTTGCTAAAGTTACTTAAGCATGACCTTGTAGATAATAAAGAGTGTTTTGTTGTGTCTTTCAGAATGTGGAGTAATCTGGTTAATCCGTCTAACCTAAACCCAAATTTCTTGTTACTTGCCTGGAAACTGGCTGACATAAGATTACATCAGCATCTAACATATAACACTTAGAATTGTACGGGTCTACATGCATTGGAATAGGGGGTGGCTCTCTGCCGCAAGTAAATTGTTTGTCGTTGAACTCGAAAGCATATTACCTTCACTTTCTTCTTCATTCCGATTCATTCCCAGTTATTTTACAGAAAAGATTACAAGAAGTAGATAAAATTATACCTAGATATGTCCATTGAGCTTCTTCATTTCCTAACTATAGAGCCTATGGCGAGGCAAGATTCAATGATCAGGCAAAGACCCTTGGAAAGTATCTCCGTCTCCTGACCTGCCATCAACTACTCTAGTCGGTAATAATTACCATGGTACTCATGAATTATCTACACATGACAATATGCTTAAGTATATTGCTACATCGTGCTTCAGTAGCGTGCTTCATGTCTGGAAGTCACCTTCTATCTTTAACGTCTGAAGGACTGGACTGTTGTTACGGCATGGCTTTTTATTCTGAACATGGCGTGCACTTGCTTTTTGAATTGGCCTGCTAATACAACAGGTAGGGAGTACTGGATCATGAGAAGGCGTTTAAGAGTAAAACCCAATACGGCTTTGCAAAAAGTTGTCTGCAAAAATGGACAAGATGGAGAAATAGGCATGATTCAATGGTATAACGCGTATAATTATCTGCTTCCTTTAGGAATTTGAAAATATAGCCAATACATATAATCTACAAGATTGATACCACAGACCTTTATAACTTTAGTAGAATTTGAATGTACCAGTAGCATTCAATAATGTTAACCGTTAATAGGTATGTGGTCAATCCACCCTACCTTCATCCAACAAACGGTGCTACCATTTGAATACTTAACGTGTGGCAGACGTTGGATTGGGATTGTGTTCAAAAGGTGGGGTACATCAATCGTCCTGTATAGCAGTAGCCATATAGTGAGCTTGATCCATACAATCGAAATGTTACTGTTTGCCACTATTGTTTTGGCATCGGAGATTACTAAAGATCTTGATTTGCGAAAACAGTTTCAAAGTCGAATCCCACTGACAGCTGGGCTGTATTGGTCTCAAAACCCAGGTTCTGGTTTAACTATAGACATATAGCCAATGTTCATGTAGCTCTTTTAAACGGTATATTATACTTTGGCAAACGTCATGGCACACAAAAGACCTTTGAAAACAATGACTGTAATGAAAGAGATAATCAGGAATGGTTTATGCTATTCAATGTAGTTCCAGGGAATAAGTTCATCTTGGATTACATGCTATATCATCTGCTAAAATCAATCTGAAGATCAGACACTATTACCATTACTGTTAATATATCAGGGAGTAAATTTAGTCACGTCTCAAGTACTTATATGCTTATCGCGCTACCACATAAATGCGTAAACTAATGGAAAAACAATAAACAAACCATTATTACAATGACCTTTTGTAACAACCCTTCTTCCTCTTCCTTGAAAACAATACTAATATGAGTCAACAAGTATCAGCTAAAGATCTCTTGACTGTCCTCTGTCTGAGGAAACTGAAACATGAAAAGCTTGCAGCCATTACAACTTTTAAGACAGTAGTCAAAAGAGCATTCATTGATATGAAAGAAGTTGATGGATATTTTGAAGCACTTCTTGAAGGTTCGAATGATCCAGATCCTGAAATCAAAAGTAATAGTTTTAATACTCTATGCCATTTGATAAGAAGAGTAGGCATGCAAGATGACAACGATTTGGTTTTACTGGAGAAGAGTCAAATTGTATTGCCAGTTATATTACTACGATTGAGTCTGTCAAAGGAAAGTAACAGAAGAGCAGCATGTAAAATTTTAGAAACTTATTGGCTATGTACTCCTCGTGCAGTTGAGAGAGCACTATTGAAGTCTTTGGAATCCATTTCAGCCTCAAACAGCACTTATAGTACTTCTAAAGGACTTGCATTGATTAATGGATTATCATTTCTTGTGGTTTCTCTTGGTTCTAAATTCCCTTTGCATCAGTATTTCCATGGCCTTATAAATTTTTTAACCAAAAGCCTGGAAACATACGATTTACCTATTTCAGACTTACTTCAAACATACTTTCAAATCGATTCTTCTCGGTCTGATATATTTATCAAATTACTTGAAACAAATATGATGCCGTCATATTACAAAGCTAAGCTTATTTCAAAATGCATTCCAAATTATATTTCTGAGATAAATAAACCTCGTAAATCAGAATTTCATCAACAATCTGAGTCACATTCCATAAATCCAGCCAATCCAAGAGTTATGACACAATTTTCAAGACTGAATTCTACTGGAAGAGTTAATTCCCTTAAATCTCAAAAAGATTTCCAATCACTATCCTATTCTAAAATAGATACGTTAAGGAAACCTCGCCCGGATTTTACATCTGGTGGCCACTCGAGATTACACACTGTGTCCTCATCAATGTCTAATAGATCAAATTCTCCAGATGTTTCCGAGGTTGAACATTCCATTTCGGATGACCTCAAATCATTTGTTCCTGAACAAACATATACTGTTAGTATGCCCAGTGAACCTTTAGATATTTCTCTGGCTGATGATTTATATCGAATAGAAGGTGAATTGGCTTCCTGCTTTGAGGGCAAAGAAACAGAGAGAAATTGGCAACAAAGAGAGCATGCAATTAATAAATGGAGATCTTTAATTAGAGGAAACGCGTGTTCCTTTGTCGATGATTTGATTCAAATATTTGGTAATGAAGCAGATGGAATTTGTAAAGGGATTCTTTCTCTTCGAACTTCCTTGAGTAACCATAGTTGCTACTTAGTGAAAGAGTTGGCTATTTTTTTGAAAGATGAGTTTGATTCTTTATATGATGCATTCATACCTACATTGCTCAAACAATGTGCCACATCCAAGAATATTACTACCACAAATGCCAATCACACTATGTGTGCAATATTTATGAATTGTGCTTTCAGTCATAAATTCTTGACAAAAGTCCAAGCAGCATCTTTTGATAAGAATGTTAATCCTCGAACCTATTCTGGCTTATGGTTGAGAATATTTCTAACCCGTTTCCATAAACATCCAGGATTTCTCAATCCTCATGGACCAAATTCCCTAACAGGGGTTGATGTCACCATGAAGACGATTACTAAATTACTCAAAGACCCTAATCCTCTGGTAAGGACTTCTGGTAAAGAATGCTTTTGGACTTTCTGCAAATATTTCCCTAATCAGGCAGATGAATTATTATCTACTTTAGACTCAAACATTGTTAAGGCAATTGGAAGATCTAAGGATTCGACAGCTCCCGAACTTCCTTCAATTAATAACCACATGAATAAGGGATCTCAACAATCAATGAGGGAGATTATTGCCGCAAAACGGAAAGAAACTCGAAGTGCTTCTCCTTTATATGCGACAACTTCAACAACAAAAGCAGTAACAAGATCTCTCTCCATACCTAGTACAACGCAACAAAATAGATTCGAGACTCAGAAACTTGTGTCTGCTAAATTGGGCCCTCCAAGAAGAATTTCTCAAGCTTCAAGTTCAGATACACACCAGAATCCACATCAAATTGCACAAACACTTCATTCTGAGCCAGTATCTAGTTCAAACTTCCCAAGTTCGCTGGAATTTAATAAACCAAAGGTCTTGGAAGAACATACCAAAGTAAACGAAATACTGTTTGAGAAAGAGGCTGATCCAATATTGAAGTTTCTCGCTTCAAGTGATGAAGAATTAATTAATGAAGGTATAAGTCTATTGAAGTTCGCCATAAAAGGTAATGAAGATTTATCTGAAGAGTTAAATAACTTGTTAACAGTGATTTCAGTTAAAAATGCTAAACTTTTAAAGCCCTTGTTCTGTGACTCCAATGTGATTCTCGAAAGATGCTCTCAGTTTTTTAGTTCAAAAGATTATTTAAGAATATGTTGTCTTTTACTTCATCCCTTTGAAAGCTACCACATTGAAGCCATAAGTAAAGCAATTGAAGTCAGTGAGCTTTTCGATGGAATTAAGCATTTATTCATCATGCTCGTGAGCTATATTGATATGGAAGATAGTGACTTGGTTATCCAGATTATTTCATTCAAATCCGTATTAGCTGAATCTCTGATAGAATTGTTAACATCGTTACTTGAGAGATTTCCTGTTACTGATGAACAATTCCGAGGACTATCGGCGATTTTGATTAAGTTTCAAGGCTTTATTTTGGACACTGATATTTATCCTTCTTATTCGAAATTAATGGTTTTACTTAAAACCATAAATCAAAAAATTCTCAGAGAAGAACTAGATCAAGTATCAAATACGGAGAAGTCAAAACTTGAAGAGATTTTAGGAAATTCAACTACTATCAGGGATATACCTAGTTTATCGGAAGAAATCACAAGAGTCAATGTGCCAACAATGATAGCTGATTTGTCTCCTGTCAAAGTTACCGAATTAACTAGAATTTTAGTTCCAAATAGTGTGAAGATGTATTTGAAAGATTCTGAACTGGAGAAACCCTCCAATAATTCTAATGTTGAGAATATGGAAATTGAACATCATACAAGCATTCATTCTACGGAAAGTACACATGAAATCCATGCTATTGCAAATGATAGAAAGACATTAATTGGAGAGCATCTGCCATTTATCAGTGAAAAGGAACAGGATTATAATATGGATGATATTGCGCAAGAAATTTCCAATTCAAATTATTCAATGGATAAGGACCAAGATGAATATATACACATCAGAAGTCCTGAGAATGATAATGCTGAGAACAATTGTATGTCAAAAAGTTCAAACATATCCTTAGAACAACAACACGAAGAAGATGATAGCGATGATGAATTGGAAGATCAACCAGATCTTGTTGAAGATTTTACAAAAGTACATATTTCTCCCATCAAAGTGAATGCTTCAGAAAGCCTGCTGTCACCAAGGAAGATTTCTCCCTTAGATAATTTTATTGAAAGAGTTGATCCGCTTAATAAATTGGCAAGCAAGAACAAACCCATACCTATTTTTGAAGATACAGAATCTTCATCAACACTTATGAAATCCAAGCAACACAGTTTCACCGACCTCAGATGGTATAATCTTCAAATGGCCAAGTTAACCTTTAATAGTTTTGCATTAGATGAGATTGAAAAGAATGATTTGAGTGTTGAAAGGTTTAAGGGGTTGTGTGAAGCATTAACCATGAAGAATATAAGTGGGAAGCAAATATTGATTTTGTTAAACTACATGCAAGATGCTAGTACATTGGGTGATTTCAATGAATACTTTAGAGCCAGTGGTAAATCGCAATTGGCTAGGAGTTTATTCAAATTCTTAGAGTCACCAAGAGATTTACCATTAGCCAAGATTCAAAGTGGTTTAATTATTATCAAGCTGTTATTAATTCATGGACATGCCATTGAACTTGAACGATTATGGTATGTTTTATTGCTGGTTTCCACCAGAACCAAATCAGCATGTTGTGAATTAACTGTGGCATTAAATGAAGTGTTCGACGAAATGCTTGAAAATAATAAATATAATGAATTGGATCTTTTTAGCTGTCTAGTGGGATCTATTCAGAATTCAGAATATGGTGACTTCACCACTATATTCATTTTGGAATCGTTATCTAAAGTATTAGATTCAAATACTTTCAATAAAAACGTCACTGAGAGTTTGATTATTACTATAGATCAAGCATTAAGACGGTATTTAAGTCATAGAATGGTTGACATCAGAAGGCTTGCAATTGTTTTCTATGCCAAGCTAATAAGATTGGCCATAGCTTTGAAAGGGAATGGAGATCAAAGTCCGCTTGGTATAATGAATTCTATCTTACCCCAGCTTACATTTACAGAGAGGAAATTGGTAGAATATTATAGTGGTTAATTTTAAGGTTATAGTAATGATAATATTAGGAATAATGGGTTGAGTGATTGTCCATTTAAAAATTTAAAGGAGAGTATAAATAAACAATGTAGCCAAACCGATGCCATAATATCATTTAAGCTTTGTATCAGAAGCAGAAGAATCAGGTGTTGCAATCATCAATTCATTATTAGTGTCATTAGCAATTGAGGATGATGCTGCATTTGCTGCTTGATTTCGAGTCTTTGCAATTTTGGATTGAACAACATCTTCAAGAGCCATAGCCTTCTTCTCCAATTTACCAAATGATGATGATGATCTCGTGGTTTCAGACTTCTTCATGATAGCACCTCCTCCTGAGCCTATAGATCGTGATTGTTGTCTCTTTGCTGTAGGCACAGATAGTAGTTGAGATTGAGATTGAGATTGAACTGTTCTATTCTTCTTTTGACCATTCCCAGGCTCTTGAGATTGAAGTCCTCCAGGTTGTCCAGAGCGATACCCAGAGTTTGCGGACTGGGGGACGTATTTAGTCATGGGTGAAGAAACCATGTATGGATTATGATAATCTCCATCATATACCAAGTACGGTTGATTCATGGGAACAGATAGATAAGGATCTGCTCCATGTGATGGATAAGCTGAGGGAGGATACATTGGGGTCACAGGCACTGCCATTGGCCATACTTCTTGTTCTGGATAAAGACCTTGGGGGTCATTTCTTTGATCTTGTTGATGAAACTTTCTCTTCGTCAGTGGTTCATATTCGTGCTTAACATGTGTGTCTTGGGGATAAGATGATGTTGATGCACCTGTTGCTGATTGCTGCTGTTGCGAGGGTTGCAGCAGAGTACTATATTTGGGGAATGATGTTTGGTACTTGGCAGAAACCGGGTATTGGGGATAGTCTGAGGAATAAGGAAAGTAGTAGGAATATTTGGAAGCTGAAGGTGGTGGATGATATGCTAATTGTGGACCCACTATACCAGCAGTTGGAGGTGGTTGCATATACATAGGCCCCCCTCCAGCATCAATTGTGGGAGGCAAAGGAGGTGCCTTTAACGGTACTGTTTGCTCTATTAGATATTCTTCATTGAAAACTAATTTAGTTGTTGGAGTCGTGGATCCGTTGAATAGTATAGATGGATCAACAACAAAGTCAATGGGTTTATCATCTGGTATACCTGTTGGATATATTGAGTATTGGAAGTTGGGATCAAATTGAATATAATCATCGTTATTAGTTGGGTTTTGGAAGTAATCCAAAGGGAAATCATCTTCATCTTCATCAGATTGTTTGAAATGAGCTGGAGTTTCTTGGCCCAAGAATTCATAATTTTCTGAATTATTATTATTAGTAGTATTATTGAACTCTGAAACTGGCCCTTTGGCTAAGGCATAAGGTTTATTATTATGATGGTTATGATTATTATTATTATTATGATTATAATGGCTATTATTATTGGGGATACCACTATAAGATGATGATTTATCTGATATTAAAGGCATTGACATATTTGTCGTATTTGATGGAGGACCACCACCATTTGAAATAGTTACCGTTGCAGGAGTTTGAATATCTCTTTTATATTTGGCATTCTGAGCTTTTAAATGTTCTTCTAATTGATTCAAAAATGGTTTATCCTCGTCATAAGAAAACAGTAATGCTGGTTCATTTACTGCCACGGTGGTTGCCTTTTGACCCAATTTTTCTTTTTTCAAATCTCTATCTAAGGCATCAGCAGTTAATTTATCATGTGGAACATTAAACCAAAAAAATACCTTCTGTTTCTTTTGAGTTCTAAGACATGAATTTTTAAATAAAAACTCCAAAAATTCTGATCTTGGAGCTTCTAATATTGCATCTGTACCAATTTTCAAGTTTCTTAAATCTGAAAATATTCCTTCTTCAAATTTCTTTCTATCAATAATCTTTCTCCCAAAATGTTCAAATTTATAAACAATACATCTGACAATATCAGTCCCAGTAATAAAATACAAGTTATTCCAAAACACACACAGCACAAAGCCTTCATCGTGATTCAAATAATATCTTCTAATTACTTGATTTTCATGCCAATTTGCTGGGGCTGTGGCTAGGAAGAACTTTAAATCTTCAATTAGTCGAAGGGACTCCAGAATATCTGGTGAAGACCCACTTCGTTGGGTTATAGGTTTCTCACCCCCCGTTGAATCCACCATCGTAGTGGATTCACCCTGAATTGAAGACATTTTCTCGACAACAGCAGTTGGTTGGTAATATTCTAAGGCTGTATTAATCAAATAAAGTTTGAATCAAGTGCGTGTGTTTCACTATTAGTATCAAAATTCTGCTAGCCGTTTGAGTTTGTAAACACCGTTTCAGGGCACGAAAAACGCGAAACGGAATCCTGGCAAGAGTGACGACGATGATGGATTGATTGATTGCAAAAGAGACGAGGACGATTGGTGCGCAATGTAAGATATACGACTGTCACTGACGTAATGTAATGTAATGTGATGTGATGTGATGTAAGCAAAAGATTAATCAGAGCCTAAACGTAATTGATGTTTGAATCCAGTGGGACGTTAAATATTTTGATTGATTTCTTAAAAGTAGCCCTATTGATAAAGAAACAGCTATCCTCAACAAAGATCCAATGAAAGAAGTAGATTGAATACTAATATAATGGAATTCAAAAAGGTACGAATTTGTAAAGTTCCTTGATGAAATGAGGATTAGATATCCTTTGACGACGATACCAATAAGGGCACAACCCGACAGCAATGAACGATGGTTACAAGTTTTTGTGACGATCGTAGGTTGTCACGGCTACTGCAGATATTCTATCGCCCTATGTTTGTATCTGCCACTTGAATAAATTAGGCGTCTTTGCCTGCTTTTCTCCTGAAAGGGTTCAGTCTAGATCGATTTCGGGTAACTGATGGCACTGCACAGAACCCTTGATTAAGTACTGAATTATTTGAATTACTTGGTTTAGTCTAGACTTTAGTACTCGAACAAAAACTGAAACTTCAAAGTTACAGATTTACCAGGACTGGTTCGATATATATATACCTATATTCTCGTTGGCCAATGTGGTAAACCGTGCTCTGCATTTATTGGATTAATGAGGATATAATTCTTACTGGTAACAATTAAAATCTCCTCTTGTGTTGCCTAACACATCCTTGATGTAAAAACCTTATTTGAAACAATCTTGGTAATACATGTGTTTCAGCTAGGGGGAAATATCTAAACTTGAAACATGGCTTTACACGATCAAAAAATAAAGAAAAGGAGAGATTAAGTCTGGTCGTGTCACTTGCCTTTAGTTACCTTTGGTTACCATCTGAAAGTTCATCTAACATGCTACAAAAGGTTAGATATAAACCTATGTCATTGCTATATTTGAATTAATGTCCTACGTTGGAAACCTGTACATACACTCAATGATTATATATCTGCCATAAATGTATATGAAAATGATTATGCAGCTTCATAGTATTCGTTATCTTTTCATTGCCACAAAAGTTTATTTTCTCGCAACCAGCATAAAATGAGACAAGACCTTCTTGGGATTCTAACACATTGGAAACCGGCCTCAAACCTAATTTCTTAAGTCCTCCTTATCAGTATCAATAGATGTGTTGAACTGGGCTTTTCAATGTTCACTTTGGGGTGAACATATCAGTATTGTTTCCGGTAGAGATTTATGGATGTTCAAATGTAAGTTTATGCACAGCAAATTTAAACACCGTTGTTAGTTAACTAAACCATGATATATAGTATGGCGTATACTTTTTCAATTTGTTGTGATAAGATCGTATTTGCATTAATGTGTGACCCTACGTATGCTCTGCTGGGCTTTCCTTAGCTTTTGAGGTTACTATGTTCGCACACAATCTTGTTATGACTTCCTCGATAACCTGAGCAGAACATAATCAACCATATAAGTAGCAGCAGTAAGTTTAAATACAAATCTTAGTTCTTAATTCTACTCGATTTTTTTCCATCACTAGCCATAATGGAGAAACCTCAAATAACTTTACCATCTTTCAGTAGTCTATTGGTTCTGCTACAAATACAAGAATCACCACCATTTAATAGCAATGTCTTTGGATTTCAAGCCTCCGAAGAATGCATATTCAATTATATCACTTACTTTACCTCAACTTTGGATATATATACTGGAATACTAAAACAGTTTGAAAATGATGTGCTAGGTATCCTGTCTGAGTCTCAACCTCAAAGTGAACCTCAAAGCCGAGTATTAACGGGGTTGGATTTCAATAACCGTCCACTCTACACAACATCAACAAAGTTGAGAAAATTGGCACTTACTATACCTGATTCAGCTTATAAAAACATATTGGATTCGACCCTCCTGTTCAGTCACATATTAAAACAGATGGAATCCATTAAGGAACATGAACGTTCAAGACAAAGTAGTATCTCCGAAGAAAATAAAAATGCTTCTCAATCTTCACCTGCAAGCTCACCATCTAAAAGTTTAGTTGAGAGGAGTCCATCCACATCTCCGGAATCAGTTACCAACAAAAATACATTGCTGGTGCTGCTGCCTACTAATCTGTCGCTTGCTAACGTTGGTTCATCTCGAGAATCATTTTCGCAGCCAAAACCTGCAGCCATCCCACAATCAAATGCTCCTACAGTTATAGAGAAAAATTCTCCGCCAAAACCTGATATAAGGATCTATAAAAAAGAGTCAAAGGAAGTCTCCAGGCATAAAAGTCGTATATCTCGAAAGAAGTACACTGCCAGTTGTATTCACTGTGGAACTAGTTCCACTCCCGAATGGAGACGAGGAGCGGATGGATCCAGAACATTGTGTAATGCGTGTGGGTTATTCTACTCTAAGTTAAGAAGGAAATTTGGGAAGCATTCAGAGTTTGGAGAACCTGTCGCAAGGGATATAATGGCTTATTTAAAGTACCAAGGACAATGTTTAATGAGAAACGTACCTGAATTCAGTGAAGCCCGTGAGATTCTAAGGAAATATCATTCAACGATAACTAATGCTACAATAACTAATAATACTGAAAATAGTAATAATAATAGTCGTGAGCATTCATAAAGGAAACTGATATGGTGGTTATATAGCAAATAATACTAGAAAGCAGATAGCCATTTTACATCTTTAATAATGTAAAAGAAAAAGAGTAATCGTATGTAACTTTGGGGCGATGCCTAAATTGCCAGCATGTCACCTCTTAATCATTATAATCACTCCAATCACGCTTCTCACGCGCCCCCCATTCAAACTCCTTGCCGAAAATACCTTGAGAATCAACAACTTCCATCCCATTATGTCTACGACTTGGCTGTAAAGGAGAAACTGGGGGTGGCTGCGAATGGGATTGACTTTGGGTCTGACCTTGACTTCGTGTATGTCCATGTTGTGGAGATGGGGAATAAGAAAGATGTTGAGATTGGTGTAAATGGATATTCCCATGTGGTTGGGAAGATGGACCAGATCTGCCTCCCATCAAAGAAGAACTTAAAGGCGTGGTTTCAGAATTTCTCATAGGTACCTTTGATCTAGAATTTCCCCCTACCTCGAATGGATACAGTGGTAAGCTGGAGATGCTTGAGTTAAGACTGGAATACCCATTATTCAGTTCACCATTTATAGCTGAAGTAATAGAAGCAGCAACCGCTCCTGAATGAGATCCCCTTCTAAAAGGAGGAACATATTTACCTGTACTGTTGGCGGCAGAACCACAAGCTGTACCATCAATTGTGTGAATACTACCTGGTCCCACCTCAACTGGGCGGCTGGTGTGCAGCTCGTGCTGATCTTGTAGATGCTGTTGTTGTTGTTGTGAGGTTCCACTACCATTTAATTGGGCCAAACCACTTGAATATCTCCGATTTATTTCATTAGTAGTTCCATTAGCACTCAGGGGGGGGTGTAAAGTTTTTCCTATGGAGGTACCACTTCTCTGACTACTATTTGCACTGCTGGTATAATCAATAGTCATGGCAGAGTATAATGGCGACTTATAAGCCATGCGCTTTTGATTGGAGTTGAATGACATGGGATAGTGTGGCTCGTTTCCTGTTAGTGTTGCTGAGCCATGAGGACCCATTCCAGAACCTGGATGAACGTTGGTATTCATACCATGCGTAGTAGAATCTTCAAAATCTTCTTCAAGGTGGAAGACCTCATCATCAAGAGACAAATCATCTATGGTTTCGGTCAAAGGTCCAATATTAGGAGACTTGGCATAATTAGGTGATCTCAAGAATGGTGGTATATATCTTCCTGTACTTGTAGCCAATGATGAAGTATTGCTTGCGATTGCATTCGCTGGTGACTGGACAATAGGTAAACTGTTTTTACGAGCCTTATTATTGGCATGGGTGCCAACAGCAGCAACGCTTGGACTTTGACCGTGGTGACCAGCAAAGCCAATGGTGGGAAGAGAGTTCCCTCCATTTACGGAAGTAATGGACTTCCGCTTAAATTGGCTCGAAGAAGCTGTTCCAGTTGCTGTTCCGAGAGTACCATTCTGTTTGGAGTATTGCCTGTTTTTATTTTTACCACTATTGTAGCCATAGCTGTTACCACCCCCATTGACGTTGTTAGAATTACCTTGACGTCCAGAACCATAATGATGATTATGCGAATGATTATGATTGTGGCTATGACCATTGGAATGGTGACTATGATTATTATTGTAAGACTTGTTCTTCTTCCAATTATGTCTATTCCGTGATTGATAGCCATTTCCATTTCCATTACCAACCCGAGGAGCTGGCTTCCACTCTGATTGACCATTTTGTTTAAATCCATGGTATTTATCAATGTACAAGCTTGCAACAGATTTAGGAGTGAAAAAGTCTTCTCTATTGAAACGGGAGTAAGATCCAGCACTGCTTGGGGGAACGGTAGCACCTACTATACGACTACCAGCATTGGCTTGAGCATTGTAGGAAGCAACACCAAATGGTTTTCTTGTATTTCTGAATTTTGCATGAACACCACCAATAGGAATTGGTCTTAACCTAGTGGTATCTGAAAGCAATGCATCTGCTCTTCTGTTGTGGGGTGGTACGGAAACACCATCCAGATTGTTAGCAGACGACTTTGATACCGATGCCTGGCCTTCACCCTCAGATGTCGTAGGAGTTGAATTGATTAATTCCTTATCAAGAACAACCTTGAAGAATTTAGCTGAAGGCTCTTCTGAAGGTGCCTCCACTGAAATATCAGCGAAAGCAACATGATCCGCAGTTGAGGCGGTTGATGATGTTTTGATAGAACTGGTAGTTCCTGGAGCATTAATAATTTCCTTAGTACTACTAATGTCAACTGGTTTCTTCTGAGGAACTGATTCTGAAGACTGAGGAATCTTTTGCAAACTTGGTGACTGCACAGAGATTGGAGGAATAGTAGCCAACTCGGTCTCGGGTTCAGGATTTTGCTTCATTTCCTCACTTGCATTAAAACTTGAAGACGTTGGACTATTTGATCCAGTCATCATAGCTGTTGCATTGATAGGTGTCTTAACTGGTTCTAAAGATTTGAGATTTGCCCCTTCAATTCTTTCCATGATACTTACACGAATAGGAGAAAGATTTAAACCGCACAGAGGCTTGAAAAAAGCTTCACCATCAGTGTTCATATCGTCATCATCTTCAAATTCGAATTCATAATCTTCCTTGTCTTCTTCATCGTATTCAGAACCCCAATTTTCTTCATCAATTGTGAAATATTTGATTCTGTCCAATTCATACTTCAAATTTGACAAATCTCTGTTATTAGGATCAATATTAAGAGAATACCTAAGAATCAGAAACATATCGTAAGACATACTTGAGAAGAAATCAAAGAGTGCCTCTCTATTGCTAACGAATTGAAGGAACCGCTTATCTGTAGTGTTTGCAACTTGGAAAGGATTTTTATGGAAGACAACTGTCAAAAGAATAATCCCAACAGACCAGATATCAACTTTGCAAGCATCATAACTTTCAATATTATGATCAAATAATTCTGGAGCCATATACCGTTCAGAACCAATTTCAAATTCGCTTTTATCAGTAACAATTCTACTTGTTGTTGCTAACCCCCAATCACAAAGTTTAATGGACCAATCTTCAGCTATAAGAATGTTTTCTGGTTTCAAATCTCGGTGGTAAACACCCCTAGAATGGCAATATTCCAAACCCGAAAGTATCTGATGGAAGACATCCTTGATATCTTGTGATGTAGTGGGGCCATTACCATTTTGAATAGCTTCATACAAATCACCTCTGGAGCAGTATTCCAACACAAGACAACTATCAAAGTGATCGTATAAGGAAACTATGTTGGGGTGAATACCAAGGATATCATGTATCCTTATTTCTTTGAATGCTTCATCCCGAAGGGTACGCAAAACAGCACTCTTTGACTCGGCAACCTTTTTTCCCTTTATATTCTTGTTGTCAGAGGTTGAAGATACACGAGAAGAGGATGTTGAATCTGCGGAAATTCTTGATGAAGAGGTAGCTGAAGATGACGAGTAAGTGGCATCATCAGATATAATTCTTGATTTGGATGTATTGTAGTCAACAGGATAAATGAACTTGACGGCCACTAAGTTTGAAGAGTTTGACTTAGCTAGCGTATCCTTCGCAAGCGACACAAGTCCATACGAACCTTCACTGATATCTTCAACTTTCTTGTATCTGTTATTGAGCAAAGCGCCCTGGTTATAGTCCTCGTATGTATCCATGTTAATGATCTTGAGTGTATTCTATTACTCAAATTCTTGTCTATTTTTTTGGATTTTGTGAATGCTTGGATAAGAGAATGTCTTCGTTAATGAAATGCAATACAGAATGGATGGAGGGATTGAAGAAAGATGTATGGATGGGATGAATGGAAGAATGGAAAAAAGATGGATGGAAGATGAACGGTTGCAAAGATACAAAGATGAAACTATCGGAGGGAAAGAATGAAAAAGTTTGTAAGACTAATGGGAAGGTTGATAGTGTATATGAATGAAATCAGTGAAATAGTTATTGTATGCTGGACTTTCAGTAAATGCAAGGTAACAGATCAGGTTAATACATAAAGGATATCAAAAAGCAAAAAATAAGGAATAATAATAAATATAGCGATATTATATCTAATACCACCTAACAAATATTTGGATCAGCTGGCAGAATCGTCCAAAGACTCTTATATAATTTTCTGTCCAACACAAGAGACTTCTGTTAATGGCGATGATTTCTCTCGGTGCCACACAAAAAGCGTACGTTTAGACAGGTGTAGTATAGATGTTCTCAGATTCACTCTATGTACACACTGTTACTTCTTGCCACTTGTCAGGTAGTATTCTATTAGGAGGTCCCAACGGAAAAAGCACTGATGTTCAAGTGATTTTTTTCTCACTACTCTGTGCGGACTTTGGGATTGTGGAGAAGAGTTGAGGACACTACACAAGAGAGAGACAAAAGAATTGGATCTGGAATGTGCTAGTAAAATATTTGGCTAAACAAAGCAATGTCGCACAAGAAGAAAATAATAAAGGTTGAACTTAAGTGATTGAATGATGTAGTCAGTGTTATTTTACAGTAGTTGTTGGGTGGTGCTGTGATTTGGGATGTAGTGTCGTGTGGCGTGGTATATTCTGGATTTATTATACTGTACAGAATGAGAGTTTACCGTACGGTTTAAATGATCTCCATCAATGTTGGGCTCCTTAAGATCCAAGGCATCAGCAACAATACAACTGCGTTTTATGTTTACTTCGTGTAACCTTGTTGTAAACCCTAAGAATATTTAGGGAGTGATAAATAGGAGATTTTGTTCCAGTATGACGTAAGCCTTCCTTGGCCAGTATGCGTTCAAGTATATACTCCAGCTATGATTTGACGTTTATTTACTACTTACTAACAGGGAAATTGCCAAATGCGATCAAAACATGGCTCTAATCATCAAATTTCCTATTCGGCGTTCTAGTATATATTCAGTCTTAACGCTACCACGTTACATTTGAATGATCTCATTATTGGGGCTAGTGCTGGTTAGGATGTTTGTGGTGGTACGGCATATTCAATTGCTCGTGATGTAATGTCCAAAGAGTCATGTTGGTCCGCGCACGGTTTTATTTTCGAATGAATCATTACGACAGTGGAAAATCATCGAATGGGGCGGGTAACCCAGGGTGATTGAACCATAGTCGAATATCGTAGTTTATAAACACTTGTAAAGTGACTGACAACTATCAGTCGTACAACTAGACAATCAACAATTTAACAACTAATCAATCATTCAGACACCCCAATTTCACTTCAATGGGCAACAAACTCAATCTAATGGCCCCAATCCGAAACCCTAAAATAATAATGCATTGGTTCTCTGATTGATTGTTACAAGATCAATTGGATTGTATTGAGATTATATATGGATATACTGCTAGGTTAGAGGATGATTCTAGTATCATTTCTACCTCTTCTGTACTCATCTGCTCACCATACTACCCACCATGCTTCGTAGAACACTATTGGTTGGTACACTACTATATCCTAGTTTTGATGTACATTTTAAATCTTTAAGCAACCACTCAAACCATTATTGATAGCATTTGACCAATAAAACCTTGACCATGGAATTAAATGAACAGATCCCAATGTTTCTTGCCGTTACTGGCACAGAAGATGAGGCCGTGGCAAAGCAGTTTTTGACGCTAACCAATAACGATTTGGAGTATGCAGTGACTCTTTACATGGAACAGCATCCACCTGGCTCACTGGATCCTTCAACTAGTGGGAGTGTAGAACCTGGAAATGGCCCTTCAGATGAAGATCTTGCTCGACGTTTACAAGAAGAAGCATATCAAGGAAGCAATAGCGTACGAGAAGCTGATGCTTCAGTTCATCGTCACGAGACATTGGTGGAGGATTATGGTTGGGGGAGACCTCATGGAGGATTTGGTGGATCTCAAATCGCCACTGATCGCCCACAAGATATATTTGGACGTGGTCGTGTTGGTGTTTTCAACCAAAGATTTGATGATGATGAAACAGATTTCTACGAAGCTCGTGACAATTACAAGGATGATTCAGGTGATGATGACAGTGATAATGAGTATAATAACGATATTGATCACGATGATGATGATGATGATGATGATGATGATGACGACATAATTGTTATTGATTCAGATGATGAAAATGATGAAATCAGTACCAGAAGAGCTCCATTGTCACGCAGAAGACGAGCCAGAGACAACCGAATGTCTGAATTGACATCAACTCAAAGAAGATTAGCTGATTTATTCCGTCCGCCTTTTGATATCATGAAAAAGGTGAGTTTAGACACAGCAAAGAGTTTAGGAAAGGAAGATAAAAAATGGATCTTAGTTAACGTTCAAGACTTTAGTGAGTTTGCATGTCAAGTAATGAATCGAGATTTCTGGTCGAATTCACAAGTTAAGCGTTGTGTTAAAGAGAACTTTATATTTGTTCAATATCAACATGATTCACCTAATGGAATTAACTATGTGAATTTTTATCATCCTGAAGGATATCCTCACCTTGCCATTTTAGATCCATTGACAGGTGAAAGAGTTAAGAAATGGCCTGAGGGTATTGTACCTGATCCATCCTCGTGGTTGGAAGATGTGAGTGGATTTTTAAGTGAGTTTAGTCTTCAACCTGATTCACAAAATCCTATGGTTAGTCATGAAGTTAAATTCGATCCAGGGAAATTGACTGAAGAACAACAAATCGAGTATGCCATGAAACAACTGATCATGGACTCTAAAGGTAAATCAGAAGATTCAGCCATTGACCTAGACCTGGACGAAGATGCCTTTGGTAGCGATCACGAAGAAAATAATAGAACAGACGGTAATGAGTTCAATGATTCTTGGGATAAGATCTTAGCACAAGATCATATAGAACCTTCAACAGGTGTTACCACTCGTATACAATTTCGGTTCCCCAATGGGAAACGAGTTATACACAAGTTTGCTCTTGAAGATGAAATTTCAACAATTATCAGTTGGTTGAAATACCTTGTTAATAACGCAGAAGCTATCGAGTATGGAATAAATGGTAAGTTTGCTGTTTCTAATGCATCCAATCGTGAGTTCAAGCTATTGGAAAACTTAAACATGAGTATCAATGACGCCAATTTAAAGAACTCCAGTATTTTGATAGAGCAAGAGTAAATAAATAACGTCGTCACATTTTCATTACTAATTATATATATATATAAACAGATTTCAGGCTGGAGGAAAGGAATCAAGTGGTGGAAGCTTGGGGAGTTTGAACAGTCCCAGTGTTGGAGTAAGCAGAGGTATATTTTGCTTCAAGAATTCTCTATAAGCGCTTTGTAGATACGCATCTTGAGATTGCTCTGGTGAACTTGGTTCTGATTTATCTGTAAGAACAATATAATCATTGGAAGGTGAATCATGAATCATTTCGACATCGCTTTGCTTATTTTCATCATCTCCAGACTCGTCAAGAACAAATTGGTCATCGACATTCTCTTCAACTTGTTCACCTTGTTCGCCTTGTCGCAGTTTTGAGTTCCTTAATAGCCAGATATCTTGGTCTGCCTCTTGGTCTGAAAGTTTTGTTGCTCCAGACATCAACCTTACTTTTTCACCTGCTGAAGGCCATTGGTTTTGAGCATTTGTAAATTGATCTTGCGTTTGGTTTATGCGTAATCGAATATTTGTCAACTCCACTTTGTTCCTTGGATAGTTGCGATTATCTATACCATAGAAGTTATCACCATTAGGCGATTTAGATTGTTCTATATCATTGACATTAATGGCAGATCTGTGCCATTGATCCCATTTCTGTTGATCAGCTTTGGCTGAATTTAAACCATAATATTCTTGATGTAGTTGGGTCAATTCGGCTAACGTTTCATCAATCATTTCTTGCTGAATATCTCTTCCTCTACTTAAATATTCCTTCCAAATAATCGTCAGTTTCCCTTGACCATTATTGTCTATCATAGAAGTTTGTAGGTTTCTTTCATTATTTATGGCAGTGAGCTGTTCCTTATAAGGCTTTGTGAATGCAGCGAAATGGTTATAAAACGGAAGAGCGTAGTTATGATCAATGTTATTTTCCATTTCCAATGGAGATCTTAAATTTTTTATCAAAGCATAAAGTTCCTTTTCAAACTCTTCTATTTGATGAGGATCATCTTTAATTCCTTTAAGAATCTTGGATTCAGTATTGGTCAACATTTTAGCCACCGTTTCTGTTTCAAACTGATATATTCTAAGCCAATTCCTTTCATTCTCACTCATGGTCAATAGCGATTGATTTAGTTGTTCAAGTATAAACTCCACCCTGTCTAGTCTTGACTTCAAATATTGTCTCAGAGAAGTTTCAAACTGTTCCTGAAGCTGTTTCTCCAATAGTGCTAGTTCTTGAGGTGTGAGTTGTTGTAGTCTACTAACATCATTAGCTGAGAAGTTCTCTAAATCCGGCATAATGAATTATAGCAATTGAAAATGGCAATATATATATATATATAGTATCGAAGTTGTTATATCAGTTGGGGTATCAGAATAGCAGTAGTGTAATAAAGTGTACTTCAAAAATCAATGGTGACGTCCGGTTAAATTTTGGTATGCTCATTTCAAAGTTTTGATTATTTCAATTTACCAAATACAGTACAAGGTACTACATAAAATTAGTATCTATACTCTTCATACTTATACAATGCTACATATCAACTTTTAACGGTCTTCGGCCCATTCGTTTTCTTTCTTCAACGCAAGTTCCTCTTCAGGAGTGAAGTCATTAACAATGTTGAACACTCTTCTTAATTCAACTGGAGATTTATTCCGAATCATTTCTGCCACCACTTTACAGCCAGAATCTAATAAAGGCCGTATGTTTAAATAATTTGCAGCAGTAATAATCTCATAAAGCATTTCTTGATCAACCTTTAAAAAATTCTTATCCCATTCATCAACTGGTGATGCTCTTCTAGCATCATCATCGTCATCTTCAGAGAAGGCAGTATCCTTATGATGGGTACACCATTCCAATACTTTGTTCATAACATTGGCACGAACATTAGGTGTTGGGATCTCAAAATCTTCTTGTAATCCATCGGGATTCAAATCACGAATCATATTTTTGATCAACACTGACTTTTCCGCCACCTTCGGTTCAACTGGGAACCTTTCACCATCTGATGAAATAATAATAACTTTATGAGTTGACATGGTCAAAATTGATTTCTTATATTCAATCTGATTAGCTTAATAACTTACTTGTAGCAAAGTCCGGTTGTCACAAGAGAATTTATCTGAGTCACTTTAGTAATCAAAACGAATCACCTTTGTAGTCTCGACCACCATCTACTTGTGTTTTCGTGTATCCCTTTTCGCTTAAGCTACAAATCTTGAGAAACCGCTCTGCGCACTACCCACACACATCATTCACATGGTTTGTATTATCTGTCAGTCAGCAGAGTCAAGGAAACTCATTGGAATTACATTATTTTATTCATGAATTATCGTATTCTGTATTATATATGTATATCATCAGATCGTCTTCCCTTCTTCATTGTAAAAAACAACAAAATCGAGTTAGTATATCACGTGATTAAGCCTCTACTCAAAGTTGGAATATATAGAAGCACTAAACTCATCCAACTCTTCCATTGCATTGAGTCCATTTATGTAGATATTACCCGAGAGTTCGGTGCCTATATCGTCGAACTCGTTCACTTCATGGTTGTTATCAACCATAATCCCGTTTTGTACGGATAACTGGGCCAAATAATTGGCCAACTTATATTTCTTGTTTTCATTTATCAACTCAAACTTATCTGGTTGAACAGTTGAATTCAAAAAGAGACACAAATTTGAGAACAAGGTCTCTTGACTATTCTTGATCAATTTGAAAAACAATTCAGAAAAGTAATCACTATTGACAAGAAAGTTCGTCTCTGAAATCAACTTATGGAAGTTGGAATCCGACATATCCAACTCAGAAACCAAATTAGGGTTGGTGTTAAGTAATGTTGTAATTAAATTATCGTAATTATTAGGGAATAAGCATGCCACGATCTCTTGACTGTGTTCTTGTTGGATGCTTTGGTTGATTTCGCTTAGAATCCCATTGAAATCAGACAACAGTACTTCTGTCCTAGCATTAATAGTTGAAAACTTTTCAATCACCAAGTCTTCAATCATCTTTGTAATAGCAAGCCATCCATTGTTTAAGAGCCACCAACTCAAACTGAGATAACTCTGTTCAATTTGATAGTTTGCTTGGTTGTTTTCGTTGGCCGGCAACTTCCCCCCTGCCATTACTATGGCCAGTTCCAAATATGATCTTCTGGCTAAAATATTCAATTGTAACCGAGTTATCAAAAGAAGTCCACTAATGGAATAGAGTAAACTTAAAGATCTTGTTAAAGTCTTAATCTTTAATAAATTCCATAGTTGAGTTTTCAGGTGACCCATATATTGTTGTAATTGTTGGTTCTCTGTGTTTTCATGAATGTTTAAGTTATCAGTTGTAAGCATGGAATCAGTTAACTCATTTGACGAAGATAATTGTTGTTGCGAATTATTGTTATTATTCTTCTTTACCTTCAAGGCCTGAGCAATCAATTCCACTGGTAAATATTCAATTACTGGATCTGTTAACACCGGTAATAGCGCCAATATAGTGTAATGACAATCTTGTTGTGTTTGTAAGAACCGTCTTCTTATTTGCTCTTTAAAAAGCATTTCTTGCTTTAGATTATTTTGAAAGTCTCGAAACTTTTGAAGAACAAAATGGTCTACCAAATAATATGCTGAAACGGTAAGACCACCGGCAATTAAAAGCCGTTTCTTATTTCTGTTGAAGAAAGATGATATACTTGAGAAAATAGGCATACTTTTCTATGTCAAACGTTCTTGATCTTAATATAACCACCGGCTAACTCAAAATAAATAATCTCACTAATTTAATATGATCTATTCAATTCTTAACTTTATAATTCAATAAATAGTTTTTGGGAAGGAACACCTCCTTATCAATATCAAAAGGTGGAGGGAATGAGGGAGTTAATGGCAAGTTACTGACAATCTTTTGCTTTAACAAATCAGAAAACTTTGAAATCTTGAATTAAGTAAGTCGAGGAACTACGTTTTGAAGTATTATAAAGTTCTTAAATACTTAACGGAACAGAATAACTCGGTACTTGATTTAAAACCCAACTTGTGATCCAAGAACTCAAAGCTTTCCTCTTACGTCCATGACTGAGGCAAATTTTTTGGGGCTTGGGACAATGTCGCATGTAAAGTAGATTTCACAGTTAACTATGTGAGCGCTACCACATCTTGGAATGTCGTAAAATTTGCTCCTCGGTTGAACTCATTTCAGTTGATAAGGAGGGGGGAAGTTGGCAACATTTTTTCACTTACTCCATAAATGTAAGAATGGAGAGGCGGCATTGATCATGGATTTCATAATGATGATGATTTCAGATATCTAAACCATCAAAATTTCAAATCAGGCGCCAAAATCACAAATATGAAGTGAGGTTGTGGTGTCAATGGAATATTTGGGGTTACCCGGACTTCTTATATTTCTGTAATAATTCGCTTGATATGTTATTGCTCATTTAATGATACTGTATCCTCGTAAAGAACTTAAGACCGGTATGCAGTGCTGGCCAATTGGTAAAAATTTAAAGCCCTTTGAACCATCTTTTAATGAGTTAAAATGAAACGTGGAGACCAATTAAGCAGAAGTAAGTGTGAATGGGTTGGATATAATTGGAATGGATACTTTACTAAATAACTAGTTGAATTCTTTCCCCTATATTTGTCCGAGTTCAAAATGAAAAAATAGTTATCTCACTTCGTAATTTCATAGAGCCATTCGTTAATGTGCACACTACTCTGATCTAAATGAGCCAATTGAAGACTTTATAAGAAATGAACGTGGGTATTTTGTGAAGGCTTTATGCAGCCAGTAGATATCAGCCCTGTTTGCAGCCCCTATTTATATTATTAGCAGGTGAATCAATTTGAGGGCAATAATTGGCATATCATTTTTGGCCAAGACATTCACATTTTTGACATATTTGACAGAAGAACTTTATTGGTTTCATGTTGATAACGGAGGAGTTGTAGACTGTCGCTCGATGTGATAATGTATATTTGTACACATATGTTGCCCTTTAAGAGAGAGAACAGTGATTTGTGAATACGAAACAACCGAGAATGAGTTTTGCAACGTTATTACTGTGTATTGCAGAACCCACGTTGTAGCAAAATAGAAGTTACAAACGACCTCTATAATAGAATGTCCTTTCTAGTTGTGCATTATTCAATTTAACGGAATTATCCCATATATTGCATTAATGGCTTTGTAAATCAGCTCCGACTTACCTCCGTCCACCTGCACCGTTACTGTTCACCCACTAATTAAATTGCAACTAAGTTAATAATATTCATGAGATGGGATCCTTTACTGCAACATCGAAAAAAACCAAAAATATAAATAGGTGTCTGATTTACCTCAAATATTGAATTATTCAATTAGTTCAGTAACCGACCTCTTCAATTGACCATATTCAAATATGTTGTTCCCTTACTTAACCTTGATGATCACTTTGGCGCAAGTTATCTGTGCTAAGAACATTCTCTTGACTAATGATGACTCATGGGTTTCGACCAACATTAGAGCTACCTATAGAGAGTTGACTCTGGCTGGTCACAATGTTGTTCTTGTCGCTCCCGTGTCCCAAAGATCAGGTTATGGTGGTAAATTCGATATTCCTAAGGGCAATGTTCGTATGTATTTTTTTGGTTGCGAAAAATTATCAAATTTCTTGGGTTACAATTTACTAACAGCTTATTACTAGTTCAAACTAATGGTGAATTCGACTACGTTAAGGCCGGTGAACCAGCTTGGGGTCACGAGGTTGATGACCAAAACGTTTGGTATTTCAATGGTACCCCAGCTTCTTGTGTTGCTTTTGCCTTAAAGTATGTTTTACCAAAGTTCTTCAACAACATGACTATTGATTTAGTTGTCAGTGGTCCTAATGAAGGTACCAACATGGGTCAAGGCTTCTACACTGGACTGGGTACAATGGGTGCCACCTATAATTCAATTTATCGTGGAATCCCAGGTGTTGCATTCAGTGGTTCAAACAGTAACAATTCCTTCTTCAAAGACTCACTCAATACTGATCCAATGAACCCTTCTAATATCTATGCTAGTAAGGTTGTTGAATTTGTTGCTCAAATTTTCAAGTCTCAAGGTGAGAATCCAAACGCTTTGCCTATTACCAGTGGTATTAACGTTAATTTCCCTCCTGTTGGTAACCAAGATACTACCTGTACTGATCCAGAATGGGTTTTGACCAGAATGTCTGGTGAATTATCCGCAACTTTTGACATGGCCTACAATGAAACTAGTAACACTTTCGTATGGAGCCCAGCTTCTTACAAGGCATTAACTGTTTGTGAAAATGGTGATTGTTCATTGCCTAGTGCAAACGAAGTTTTGACCCAAAATTGCCGTACTGCTGTTTCCGTGTTCAGCATTGACTACGATGCTAAATTGGAATTGGCCAATGAAGTTAAAGCTTTGGTTCAACCAATTCTTTCTATTTGAACAAAAACCCATGATTTCTTTTTTACAATTTTCAATGGGACTTAGATATACCTTTCGTCAACTTCATTTCTTCCATAGAGATTTGCTTTGCAATTAACCCTTTGTAAAATCTTAGTTAACTATTTAAAATACGCACAAAGCTTGTCTTATTCTTCGACCTTTCATAAATATTGACCCCTCTATCGTGGAACACCCACAACAGTGCACCTGGATTTCGAGAGCCTGAAACTATGATCAGTCAAAACCTCTCGGGTTAAATATAACCGCTACACATCTATTTAACCGAAGAAACAGGATAGAGAAAAAATAACATAGCTTATTCAATTCTTGGCTATAGAAATTCTTAGTTTCTTCATACTCGAAATATAAGAACTACTATCGAAATAAAAGTTATAGGTGGAAAGAATATCATAATTTATTGTTCTTATTTAGTAAGGAAGTAACTCCGTTTCTTCCGTTCATAAACCAATATAGTTGAAAGAATAGCCCTTACTTGCTCTTCCGGAAGGAAAAATCTCACCTACGGCTGTAGTAGTCTACTGAGCGAATCCGGAGTTCAGTTGTTGAAGCACATACTCCAATTTTAGAGACCCCCCTGACAAGGAAATCATCAACAGGAAGGTCCCTATTCATATCCGTACTCTTCCTTAGATTATAGTCTAACATTGATTACATTATATTTTGATCCCTCCACCTCCGGCTAGTTATCACAAGACTTCGCTTCTATATATGGGGTAAAGTGGATGACACAAAGAATTTTGGTATTCACCCTAAGAAAAGATTGATAGCCCAATCCCTCCAGCAAACATCTATTTCTAAACAGAAGTGCACCGTAGAGGAAATATAGGCCAGCGGATCTTCTCTTATACTTTGGTACCTGGTGCCGGTGGTTTCAAAGACATTTGTTTGTAAGTATTGACCAATTGAATCCATTTACAGTTCAACGGAGTCGAGTCAACAAAAGAGTAATTTAAATGCTGTCCACTCAAGTATTGCCACGACCACAACTTCGAGGTAGATCAACAAGTCCTGTGTTGGGAAGAAGCCCTTCAATTACTCTTTCCAAGAGTCCTACGGGTACCCGACCTAGGAATAAAACATTCTCTAATGTTGTGTCCCCATCTCCGAATAAGAGATTATCAGTTCCTCATGATCTTAATTCAGTGGAATTTATTAGTTCTTCATCACCAAAGAGAGAGATAAAAGCAGACAATGATGACATTGAGGTGCTGACTCTGAGCCATGCCTTGAGTTTTGATGTGCCAGGAATTGAATCCACTGTAATTCCTGAAGGAGTTAACCTCACAAACACTAAAGGAACGGATATTACCGTTCCATTACTTACTACTTCTGATATTCTTGATAACGATAATGAACATATTGCGGATGGAGCGTTAGACAGTTTGGAGAAGCCAACTGCAAATGAAGTTGACGGGAGTGGCTCATCCTTAGGGATATTCTCGACCCTTATAAATGCTGCCAACAATATATTATCCAAAGATGGTGACGGGGAGGCAAAAAATTCTAAAAGAAACAGCCTTCTGACTTTATCAGGTAATAGCAAATCGAATAGTGCTCTTAGGAAATCATTAACTTTACGAAGGGATGACACCTTTGAAAACAAATTAGATTCCTTATTGGGCAAGCATGATAATTTGCTTTCCATGGCTTCTAAAGATCCTGAATTAAACATTTCTAAAAACCTCCATAGCGTTGACGGTTTAGACCCATCGGGCTTGAAATCATCCAAAATGTTACTGAATCAATCCACAAATGACAGGGCTTCAATACCAGCTTCTGTTGTTCAATTTGAGTCTGTGAAGGATAGTCCATTGAATACTTTGGGAAAAGGTGATTTATCGCTAGCAAGTTTTGATAGGAGACTGTCTAGAATTTCAGATCTGACTGTGGCCATGAGTAATTTTGATAATCATCCTCAAGGCTCCCCTAATCTTCAAGTGAATGGCTCTAACGTTGGAAGGACACTGTCCTCCATGCCAAGAAGCATGTCAATGGATAGTAAGATAAGTCAACACACTTCAAGAAATCCTTTGGCACCAGCGCTTAGCAAATCAGTACCAGAAGATGACGATGTTTTATCTACAACGGAACAAAGTATATCATATTCAGACACACAAGATAATCTTACAGGAGACACTATAAAGTTTGCACTGGAACTGAAAAATAGAAACTTTCACCAACAATTCAAGGAGGTCCCCCTGACCGACAATTTAATAGAAGACTACAGTTGTGCACTTTCAAAGGATATTCTTATTCAAGGGAAAATGTATTTGTCGTCCAATTATATTTGCTTTAAGTCTAATATATTAGGTTGGGTAACCAATTTGACTATCCCACTTGCAGAGGTGGTACAAATAGAAAAGAAATCAACTGGTGGTATTTTCCCTAATGGTATCATTATTAGAACTTTACATCGACGTTACACATTTGCAACTTTTTTATCAAGGGATAACACTTTCATTTTGATTTCTAAAGTTTGGAGAAATGTGTTGGAACAAGCACCTGGCGATGTTGCAACCAATAGACCTAGAGGGACTTCTATTGCATCGTCAAGGTACATAGCCGATGAAGAGAGTCCGCCTAACATGTTGGGTGATGAAGAGGTAGATATAACAGACGAAGGTGAACTGGTTGATGAAGATGATTCAGAAGACATTATCTCAGGTGGTAATGATACCATAAGTGATGCTCTTTCACGGCAAGGTACAGCACGACAAGCAGCTACAACTCAGGGGTCTAATAAAGGTGCCGCTGAAGAAGCAGATGCCGATCCTGATGCATCCACATCAATTGACGAGGCCAAACCCAAAAGCAATGGAAAAGCTACTGCTAACAGTGATGACTCTAATACATTCTTTGGGTTTCCATTACTAGGTCCCTTGAAACATGCAGAAGTGATTGTTGATTATGATAAACAATCAAGTGACGTTTTCATTACTGATGAAGTAATACCTGCTCCATTAGGAGTTGTTTTTTCAATTTTATTTGGTCAAGAAACCAAACATATTATAAAAATCTTGAAGGATCAAAAAAATTTTGATATAGCGGAAGAACAAATCCTGGGATTATCAGCCCTGCAAAAAGAGCGTACCTATAATTATACCAAACCTTTGGGAGGACCCATTGGCCCTAAGCAGACGAAATGCTTTTTAACGGATAAGATTGTTAATTATGATTTGGATAATCATGTATTGATTGAAACCAACACCCTGACACCGGATGTACCCAGTGGTAACTCATTCAAGGTTAAGACGAAAATGTATTTGAGTTGGGCTTCTAATAATCTGACTCGGTTGTATGTTTTAACCAGTGTTGAGTGGTCTGCTAAATCTTGGTTTAAAAGTGCTGTTGAAAAGGGATCAATTGAAGGTCAAAAGGATTCTATCCGTGTAATGATTAAAGATCTTAAAGATATAGTTGAGGGGTTCAAAACTTCTGGAGCCAAAGGTGATAGAAAGAAGAGAAAGAAACCAAGAGCAACTTCATCAGTAGTTGAACCAGTGTCTGAGAAGCAACCAGAACCAGAACCCGCGGCACCACCTCCAGCTTCTATTTTGGAACAAGTTAAATCATTATTCACATCCATTACATCATCTCTTGGATCTATTGTGGAGGTACCATTTGTTGATGCCAACATTGTTGGAACGGTGTTATTGATGTTGATCTTATTGTCATCACGCTCGGTTTTGAGGTGGACACTTGGAGTTTCACTGAATGCTGATAGACATAGTGTCCAGTTTGTAAACTCAGACAAATTTGTATCTCGAGTCTTGATTGATAAGAAGGAATATGTTGTAATTCCATCTGTTCAATCCAAGATGGATGATTTCGCGTTTGAGAAGAACAATGACGCAGCACTTTGGAGGTGGATAAGTAAACGGAGTCATGGAGGTTTAGGAAAGGATGGACCAGAAAGTAAAGGAAAGAAACAAATACACACTTCCCCTGAAGTATTAGAATTTATTGGGTTAGCACATGATCGGTTAAATGAATTGGCTGGAATGCATTAAATCATTAGATAGTTTACAATTTTATGTTAATTTTACGGATATCACTTGTACATAGGATGGGGAGATGAATTTATTACAAGCATCTACATGGTAATGGCTCCGACTATAGCAGGAAGAACAATCAATTGCAAGTATATAGATTTGTTTAACGTTGTTAATGAAAAGGGGACGGATCGGCTGTTGTCACAATTCATCAAATCCGGCCACGCACGACTCGTGATAACTTTTTCTAGCGAAAAATAAGATGCTACCAGAGTAGACTACTTTCCATAAATCCAACTCCTTTCTATTTTCAGAAAAGGGGACCCTTTTGATCAAAAAATTTTGCACAAACTATTCATACAATCACTGACAATCAGGTTATAGACCAATAAAAACAAAAATCCAATCCTGTGATAGCTTCAAACAAAATTATCATTGTGCTATAAGGCTGTGCATTTTGAAATTGACGGCTCGTAGCCTTCAAAAAGAGAATGAAACTACATTTTCTACCATGGGTTTGGCTATGGGTGGTGGTGTGGGTGTTGCCTATAGCAACGGTTTGTTCACCTCAATATACTAGCAAGAATAGTGGTGTTACCCCAACTCTTGTTTCTGCATCCCCACCAGTTGAATCAGTCAGAATCGAGACACCAGTGACTTCTGCATTAGTAGGTACTACATCTCCATATTTACAAAAGAATTCCCCTTCCATGTCTCCTATAGATCCAAGATCGATAAATGATTACTCTTTGAAAGATATGATCTTAGTAAGTGATGTTGATGGGAATTTGCAATGTTTAGAAAGAACTACAGGAGCTCTAATGTGGAGGTTACCGTTGAACGAACCTTTGGTTAATATAGAATCGAACAATACTACTACTACCACTGCAACTTCGACTAATAATAACGTTAAAGATAATAATACTAAAACTAATAATATTGTTTGGTTTGTTGAACCTCATGAAAAGGGTTCACTTTATTATTTCACTCCTGAGTTTGGTTTAAACAAACTTCCAACCTCAATTCAAGATCTAGTATTAGAATCTCCATTTAGTTTATCGGGTGACGATAAAATATATACTGGGACTCGAAAGACATCGTTGTTTACTATAAATATTCATACGGGAGAAATCGTTAATTCGTTTGGAAAAAATAATCTTGATGATGATAAATGTCCTTTACCTCACGTTCATTATAACGTTGATAACACTAATTATAAGAGTGATGACTATATCATGCTTGGGAAAACTACATACGAATTATCCATTTATTCCAAGGCGAACTCAAACGTTGTATGGAATGTTAATTATACTACTTGGGGTCCAAATAATATCGACAATGATTTAATAACCCAAAACAAAGAATCCATTGATAAATTATATTTCACTCCTTTCCATGATAAATCAATTTTGGCCGTCAATAGGGATCTTGGTACACCTGCTTGGGTTAGCAAATTACCTTCACTCGCAGTTTCAGTGTTTGATATTTTCTACCATGAAAAATCTAATGAATTTGTTGTGTTACCCCATCCACTGCATGTGTTGAATGACTTACAAATCCAAAATGAACATTTCAAAACCTCCAGTACTGATCTTGTTTTTTTAAATAAGACTGTTAATGGAAATCAATGGTTTGCTATGAGTTATTTAAACTATCCAACTCTTATAAAGAGTGCACCAATATCCAATTACCAATTAGAACTTTATAAGCTAGAACGAAGTTTCAGAGGTACGCCTGAAATTCTTCAAAGCTTTTCCTTCGAAGGTCAAAACGATCCTCTACTAGAAAAAATGGTTAGTGGGATTCATAGAGCAGCATTTTTGAATGTAGCTAATCAATATCAACCAACACCAAAATTTACCCATAGATATGTGGGTATTGGAGATGGTTCCAACGAAAGAGAAGAACTAGAAAAATCTGACAAGTCTCCATTAGGTATCATTGATGGGATTAAATTCTCAAATTCACAACCTACACAATTCGTGCAACCGGAAGAGGAAAGTTTTATACCTGACCGTTCAAAGGAAATTGCAACTCGTGAACCAATATCAATTATTCATCAAACAGAAAACTTATCCATGTCTAGAAGAGTTTTTGAAGATGTCATTGTGATATTGAGTGTTGTAGGGTTATTTGTTATACTTTCGAAAGCAACATCATATGTTCAGAGATTGAAATTGAATATTAATAATAATGGTATGGTAATTGCTAATAATGATTCTGAGATTCCCTCATTATTAGATAAAGATGAAAAAGACACTGATGATGTTGTTACAAAAGTTCTCAATGTTGAAGATCTGAGTAGTTCAGACGGTCAAGAGTCAGAATTCACTGATACGACAAAGGAAATTATAAATGCCATAAATGATGAAGTCAATATTACCTGTGATGAGGTACCCACAGTTAAGAAGAATAATATTTCAAAGAAAGTTACATTCACAGAAGGACACACAGACGATGAAGAAAAGGAGGACAATGAAAATAATACTGAGGCTGGCCCTATAACTAAGAAAAAGAGAAAGAGAGGTAGCAGAGGAGGAAGAAGGAGCAAAAATAAAGGTTCTGTGGATGTTCCCACAGATACTATTTCAACCGATAAAACCACAGAAGACGATTCTGATGATAATAATAATGACGATGATGAAAGAATTATAACTAAAAGCTTACTAAAGTCAGCACCAAACTATAAACCTTCGAGGAAAAAGCTACAAATCGAAAACAACCTTATAATATCCGACAAGATATTGGGATATGGATCTCATGGAACAGTAGTTTATGAAGGCACTTTTGAGAATCGTCCAGTAGCCGTTAAAAGAATGTTGCTTGATTTCTACCACATTGCAAATCATGAAGTACGACTACTACAAGAATCTGATGATCATCCTAACGTCGTTAGATATTTTTGCTCTCAAACAAGTGATTCAGAAAAGTTTTTATACATTGCGTTGGAATTATGTAAGTCATCATTAGAGGATGTGATTGAGAAGCCAAAGAATTATTCCAAAACTATGAGAATTCAACCACCGCATGTTCATAGTTTATTATTTCAATTGGTTAATGGGTTGGACTATTTACACTCATTAAAGATTGTACATCGGGACTTAAAACCTCAGAATATTTTAGTTGGTGATGCTAAGCTTGGAAAACATAAGTCGCTTTCAATGGTTGATGATTTGAAAATTCGATTATTGATTTCAGATTTTGGGTTATGTAAGAAACTTGATAATGATCAATCATCTTTCAGAGCAACTACTCATACTGCACCTCTGGGAACCACTGGATGGAGAGCCCCTGAATTGTTGCTACTGCATGATCTCCTAGAGATATCACCAGAAACAATTGAGTCTTCCAATAGCAATCTAAACTCAATACTGACCTCGTCTACAAACTCAACAAGCGGAGGAAGAAGATTAACTAAGGCTATTGACATATTTTCTTTGGGATGTGTTTATTTCTACATATTAACCAATGGTCAACACCCATATGGGGATAGATATTTACGGGAAGCCAATATCATACAGGGGAATCATGACTTGAGTCCTCTCAATGAATACTGTGTTGATGATCAATACGAAGCCATTGATTTGGTGTCTTCAATGATCTCTTTTGACCCATCCAAGAGACCACCAACTTCGAAGATTATGAAACATCCGTTCTTTTGGTCTGTGGGGAAAAAATTAGACTTTCTTTTGAAGGTCAGTGACCGTTTTGAAATTGAAAGAAGAGATCCTCCAAGTGAGTTGTTATTAGCTCTTGAAGATCATGGATTTGCTGTTCACGGAGGAGATTGGTGTCTGAAGTTTGATGATGATTTCATGAATAACTTGGGTAAGTATAGGAAATACCATCCTGAGAAGTTGATGGATTTATTACGTGCTTTAAGGAATAAATATCATCATTATAATGATATGCCTCCTGAACTTCAAGCACAAATGACTCCATTGCCTCATGGGTTTTATGGCTATTTCAATTCAAAGTTCCCCCGTTTATTAATGGAGATTTATCAATTGATTCAAGTACATTTACAACATGAGCATATATTTGGAGAGTTTTACTAAAGAGCTGGATTAATTATTTGCATTGGGCATTAATGCCCGTTATGAGTTTATTGGGTTTAGGTATTTCGTGGCAGCAGTTGATAAGACTATATAGTGCTTGTCATATATATATATATCTATATATATATTATATGGACAAGTAATAATGTAAGGAATGATTATGAGTATTACTATTTCTTCTTGGTCACTCTATTAGGCTTCTTCAGTTTCCTTGAAGGTGCCGGTGATGACGACTTCGATCTTTTAGTTGATTTTATTGACTTTAATGCCGGAATAGATGATAACTTCTTCCGGGTACCTTCATCTTCACTATGACTCTCATTCTCAAACTTTGTGTGTTTACCTTTGAAGCTGCCCTGACTTATAGCAGGCCTGGTCATATCGGAAGTTGCTGATGATGTAGATATGCTTGCAGAGTGAACACCCAATGATTGTTTGAGAAATTGGTTAGCTTCATTTTGAGCTTTCTGAAGCTTTTCCTCCTTGGTCTCTTGTTGAGTCTCCAACAGTTTAAGTTTCTTGATATATGTCTTCACTCTTTCTAAATCCTTCATTACAGGATGCGATTCTGTTTTGATTCCTAGCGACTTAAGATATGCAAAAAGAACAGAAACTAATACATAGGAGTATCCATTATAGATTTTGATCTTAGTCATTGGGTCTGCTGATTCAGTTATTTCATTCAATGACTTCTTCAAAATAGTATCAAGTTTATCATCAAGTACATTTGCAGACTGTTGTAGAGACAACGCAAATTGTCGTGTGTTTTCTATATTGTCCATGTTTGCTTATAAATGTTTGTTCGTAGAGTGTAGTATATAAGAATATGGTGATGATATATTGGAAGGTTAATTTTCTAAGGCCCATCGCAATTTTCAATGGTCATCGCACCTTTAATCACTTGCTACATACTACTGTCATTATCATCATGGCACAATCTAGAAGTAACAGAGAGATCCTTACGGGGGGTAAGAAATATGTACAGAAGCAGGCCAACAAACATCGAGTAGAGGAGGTGGTGTTTGATAAGGACTCCAGAAAGGAGTACCTTACAGGCTTCCATAAACGTAAGGTTCAAAGACAGAAGAAAGCAGCTGAATACCATAAGGAACAAGAGCGGTTGGCTCGGATAGAACAACGTAAGGAGATTCGAGAGGAACGTAAGAAGGATTTCGAACTGCAATTGGCCCTGTTTAATAAGACAATGAAGGATATTGGCGATGATGACGAGGGTGAAGATGATGAGAATGATTCACTGAATGAATGGGACGGTTTTGGAGGTTCAGATGATGAATATGAACATAATGATAATAAGGTATTGACTCTGCTGGAAAAGAAACTCAGAGGAATACTTCAACATAAAGAGATTTACTCTGCGGGAGACGATAATGCTACAAATGCTTTAGTAGAGGATGAAACAGAGGTGGTTGTTGAATCACTCGAAAACCCTATTTTTGCTAATAATGCGTTAGAAGATAAAGCAGTGGCTAACAATGTTCATTTGGAAAAGTCTGAAAAGGTTCTTGAACAATCAATACTAAGAGCTAAGAAGTATGCCATTTCTCTTGGTGTAGCAGAACCTTCATTCAAGGATAAAATGAATAAGAAGAAGAAAAAGTTCAGATACCTAACCAAAGGTGAACGTAGACAGAACCTCAGAAAGGAGAAGCTGAAGAAGTACAGAAGAGATTAAGGCATATTTTACATATATAAATTATAATTTATCTTCCTTTTGAATAAGAATTGTCTAACTTGTGAAGTAGTATCCTGGCATTGAAAAGATTTGTGTCCGGGTAATCATTTCTCATTTTATTGTACTATAAAGGGAAAAATTTTTCAAATATAAGCTAAGTATTCTTAGTATTTCTTCTTTAAGTGCTCTTTGTCTGCTTCCAGCAGAACCTTAGACTAGTATGTACTTGATGTCTAACAATTGCAATGTATATCATGATGACACGATGTCGCCCCAAACGGATGGCCTCTTCAGGACTATGACCGATTCGATTCTTAGCCAAACACTGAAAATTCTGATGGATATACATTACAAACTGTACCGATTTTTCTCAGTTACAAGGGAATACTAACCATAATTCAGTTACCAATGGGTTGAATTATCTAATAATTTTTTTTGGAAGAATCTAAACTGTCATTGGAAGTAATTCTTTTGATTCTGTGGTGGATAAAGGGAAGGCATTTGCTAATGATGTTTTCCATGCTAATCATGAACAATATATGATTACAAACTTGACAAATCGTGAGTGTATTCCTATGAGATTACCTTGCGTCTGAAGCATTTAACCCTTTTCCTGAATCCAGCACTCCTTGTAGTTCTCCTATGAAATATGTAGTAGAAGTAAGTAAACGCTTTGGCAGCTTGAACCCAAGTTCCGGCTCGATGTCGTCACATGACATTAAAGGCTTCAAGCGATCACGTGATCAAGATAGGTATTATTTTTGATTTCCGTTGGCGTTCCAGCAAACACACAAATCTAAACACAGTAACGATCTTATTTTTATCCTTTGTGTTTGCTATCCACTCTTTGGCATAAGAGTAGCAGTTTAAGAGGGCACTATGAATGAACGGAATAACAACATATTGTTCAATGATCTAGTGCCATTGCCCTTTCGAGTAATCTTTGTTTTGCAATTTGGTTACTTCCTTTGGTTTCTTTTGGTACAAATGTTTGTACAAATTTATCACGTCAATGTATTAAAACTACTACAACTTTCCTACTCATCTCATAACTATTCACTGTTAGGAGGAGATCATACAAATTCCGGAGAGCACCATGTCATCAATGAGCCAGATTTCCAGGAGAATTTAACATTATGTCGAGGACTTTGGAATAACCTTAAACATATTGTTTTGAGTAATGGAATCTGTTTTATTATATATAAATATTGTCAAAGCAATAAAGACACAAATATTGCTCAAGGAACTATATTCCATTTAGTTCCCTTTTATGCCTTAGGAGATATATTGAGGATAATGTTTTTCATTCAAAGTCCACAAGGACAGAAACGATCTTTCACTACCCTTAAGAGAATAATTAAAGGGTCTATAAATTCTACTACGACCAGAACGAACGATATTTTATTAAGTGATAGTTTAACAAGTTACTCTAAAGTGTTGAATGACATTGGGTTATTTCTTTGGAGCTACTATTTGAGCTCCGAAGTCCAATATAATGTCTACTTGGAGTTCTTTATTCTTTCAGCTCCTACCATAATGAGAGTGAGCCAATGTTGGCAAGAATATAAATTGCATAGAGGCACAGTTAGAGTGCATTTGTTTAATATGATTAAGTATTTGGTATCTCTCTTACCATTGATGATTAACTTATTCATAAAAGTCACTATATTACGTCAACACGATGAACAAACGGAAATCAACAGATTGGAACTGTTAAATTTTTGGTGGTACGTGGTTTCGTTTCTTAGTTCATCATATTCGTGTTTATGGGATATTTTTATGGATTGGAAATTGGCTATCTTTAAAGGAACTCAACTTCAAATCCGTCCTACATTATTATTAGGTTCTAAACCATTCTATATAATGGCTATTTGGATTGACTTTGTAGTGAGATTCCTCTGGATAGGGAAACTTTTTATTGATAAAGAGATCAATGAATCTACAAGAATGGTAACTAAACTCACTACCTTTCTATTTGCATATGATGCCTTCTCAGCAGGATATACCATTGTGGAATTAACTGAAATTCTTCGAAGATGGATGTGGTGCTTCCTCAAATTGGAAAACGATTACATTAATATTCAACTACAGGATGGAATCGAGTTAAAAACCGTCAAATAATATATTTTATAGTCATTCACTAACTTAATAAAGCATATTGGTCCAGTATGAAAAATAGTTTCTATTCTAAGTATACAGAAAGTGACAGTCAACCTTGTCATATAAATATAAGTAATAAAACCTTCCAGTGAAATATGGTATGGAGATGATGGAGCAACTAAAGCAAACTCGTAAGCAATTCAGTTCATTTCAATTCAAAATTATTCCACTCTACTTTAACTCCTCTAACCATTTCTGGGAAGCATTTCTCCATGCTAAGTCACCCTTAGGGGTGATTCTGTTTTCTTTATGGAACTTGTGCTTATAAGGGGCCTTTAATCCAAAGTAGATAGCAGGAACCAGTGCCATCACAAGAATAGCAGCAATGCTTAACGATGGTGCATGATGTCCACCACTCATTTTAAATTATCTATACTCTTAAAAGGATCAAATCTGTCGATAAACAAGTTGATAGATAAGTATGTAGACTTAATTGGTACTGAACGGGTACTTAGTATTTTGATGTTTCTGGTTGGTTGAGATTTTTCGAAGATTTTTTTGTCAATGTCGCACGACTTCGATAACTGTAGTTATTTGATGACAATATATTCTTGTAATGATACTCGCCTTCATCACCACTAGAAAGCAGGTATTCTATTTCATATAATACAATTATGTTACAGAAATACGGAACCAGTGAATTGCCACAAACGCGGTCATACATCTGTTCATTTGATGCATGGCTAAGAATCACATCATAGACAACAATTAATATGAGAATGGGCTTCAAAAAGATGGTTAACTCTTATTCACTGTTGTTTATAAACATAACTATATATCTATGTAACTTTTATGAAGTTTGACTTTCCTTTTGTATATATTATGAACTCGGTGTGGAAAGTTCGCTTTTGCAGCCATTCATATGGCCCGCCTACTTACATTTTGATGTAACAAATGTTGAATAAAAAGTTGCTAGTGGTAAATTAGCTAATTTATGCTTCAAATTAGAATCGAACTTGCTTATTAGTAAACTTCCTTATTAGTGGTCTTATTAGTATACTCCAATTACCAAGTGCTTACTTACAGTTGACTTAACTCAATTGTGTTTACGTAAGCTCAACTTATATCTTTGGAGTCACGTGAGTGAAAATTTTTGATGAAAAAAGTAGCTGTATGTTATTGTGAGTTGATGTGGGAAAGGTAAATCCTAAAGTAGATAGTCTACATATATATCCCATAACAGGCTGAGGAACATGTTGAGGCAGGTTATTAAAAGGACAGCAGCAAAGAACATTTCTTTGGTGCGTACGTCCGGTTACGTTGCATCCCGCTCGTACCATGTAACAAAGTTTGATTCCAGATTGAAAACCGAATATCAACTGTTGACCGATTACAGCTCTTACAAACACACAATTTACACGCATAGATTACCAGAATCCACAGCAGAACAATGTCCTTTGTTAATTGCATTACATTCAAGATTAAACTTACCAAAAGAATATCAGTTGTCAACTTTGTCGCAAGCTTTGAATATGCAACAATTTGGGTCTGATGGATTAGCTAATAACTTTGGTTTAAGTACTTTAGGTAAGAACTTATTAAGTTATTATACTTGTGAGTATCTTGTAATGCAATATCCTCGTTTGCCTATGGCTGTTCATAATACTGCTGTCGATGCATACATGGGGAAGTTGACATTAGCTGAGATTGGTAAGTCATGGGGTATTGAAGTTGACACTGTCTCCAAGTTACAACATTTCTTGAGTCAAGAACCCGAAGCAATGAAATATGGAAGATTAAGATTTCAACTGGAGGAAGAGAAGAATACAGTCAAAGAAGATGGTGTTTACGAATTATCTCAAGTTGAAATGGAATCCGTGGACACAAACAACGAGTTTATTCCCAAAGAAATCGAAGCATATGCCAGTGCTGTTCAAGCAGTTATTGGAGGATTATATACACACGTTGGCGAAAATGCTACCAAAGCATTCATACATGATCATATTCTTTCGCGGAAGTTACCTGTTGATAAGATGTTCCAATTCAGCAAGCCCACTCGTGAATTAGTGAGACTTTGTGATAAGCTTGGTTTCACTGATCCTGTCGAACTTCGTTTGATCGCCGAAACTGGTCGTTTGTCTGCACATGCTGTCTACGTTGCAGGTGCATTTGTGGGTAAGGAGAAATTAGGAGAGGGAGTTGGATCTTCATTGAAGGAAGCCAAGACCAGAGCTGTGGTCAATGCTTTAATGGGTTACTATTTATACTCACCAATCGACCAAGATGGTAATGAACCCAAATTGCCATCTGAAGCTGGTTACGTTTTCGAAGAGGCCAGCGTTGGTGGTGGTGATGTTGCTATTTGAGCCAACCCTCACTTGTATATACAACTTACGCTCATGTGTACATAGAAAAAATACACCACAGAAATCTAATGTAGAAAACAATCGCAAGACTTAGATTATTATCTCATCTCCGCATACATTTATACCCTTACCTCTATCGCACATTTTGTATCACGTGACTAACAGAGTCAGAAATTAGGCCATCGCAGTCAATGAGTTTAATTAAAGTTGAAAATTCACAAACCAAAGGACATCGTACTTTCTTTCCTTTTGGTAGAAGTCAACAGTTCATAGCTGTGAGCTACTTCCTAACTCAAGAACCCTCATATAACTATACATACGACAACAGCAATGGCATTGAACATCCTTGTTATTGGTAACGGTGGTCGTGAACACGCCATTACATGGAGATTAGCCCAATCAGAAACCGTTGGTCAAATCTATGTTGCACCTGGAAATGGAGGTACTGCTTGTTCTTCAAAAGTAACCAATGTTCCTGAATTATCTAGTTCTCCTAAGGACTTTGAGAAACTCGCTCAATTTGCCCTTGAAAAGAATGTTGGATTGGTTGTACCTGGACCTGAACAGCCATTGGTTGATGGAATTGCAAGTTTTTTCACTAAAGTTGGTATTCCAGTTTTTGGACCCTCAGCAAAGGCTGCTATTATGGAAGGCTCTAAGGCATTTTCTAAAGTATTCATGGATAAGCATGATATCCCCACAGCCAGATTTGCTAACTTCACCAATGTTGATGATGCTAGAAAACATATCGAAGCAATTGACTACAAAATCGTTTTAAAGGCTGATGGAATCGCTGCCGGAAAGGGGGTTCTTATTCCTGAAACCAAGGAAGAAGCCTTAGCAGGTTTGGATGAAATTATGGTAACTAAGGCCTTTGGTAATGCAGGTGATGAAATTGTCATTGAAGAATTTTTGGAAGGTGATGAATTATCAATTTTAACTATCACTGATGGTTACTCTTTCTTCAACTTGCCTGCTGCTCAAGACCATAAGCGTATTAGTGATGGTGATAAGGGCTTGAACACTGGTGGTATGGGTGCCTATGCTCCTGCTCCAATTGCTACTCCTGAAGTATTGAAGAAGATTGACGATCAAATCATTAAGCCTACCATTGATGGAATGAGAAAGGATGGATTCCCCATGTGTGGTATCTTATTTACTGGAATTATGTTGAGCCCTTCTAAAGAACCTAAGGTTTTAGAATATAACGTTAGATTTGGTGATCCAGAAACCCAAACTGTTTTACCATTATTGTCCAAGGATACTGATTTAGCCCAAGTCATGTTGGCTGCTGCTGAGCACCGTTTGGACTCAGTTGTTGTTGCTACTACCCCTAATATGTTTTCTACAACTGTCGTAATGGCTGCTGGTGGATACCCTGAAGCTTACAACAAGGGCGATGAAATCACTGTTAAGGAACCTCCTCAAGATGTTTTTATCTTCCACGCTGGTACTGCTACCAATAAAGAAGGTAAGACTGTGACTGCTGGTGGTAGAGTGATTGCATCTACTGCCATTGCCACATCTTTAAGGGAATCCGTAGATAAGGCCTACGTCGGGGTTGACCATGTTGACTTCAATGGAAAATACAACAGAAAGGATATCGCCCATCGTGCTTTCAGAGATAGTACTACTGGCCCCAAGGGATTCACTTATGCCGAAGCTGGTGTTTCTGTTGATAACGGTAACTTGTTGGTTGAACAAATCAAGGCTAAGGTGAAGTCAACTGCTCGTCCAGGTGCTGATAGTGATATTGGTGGTTTTGGTGGTTTGTTTGACTTGAAGGCTGCTGGTTACAAGACAGACGAAACCCTTTTAGTTGCTGCCACCGATGGAGTTGGTACCAAATTGAGAGTTGCCCAAATCATGGATCTTCACGATACTGTTGGTATTGACTTAGTTGCTATGAACGTTAATGACTTGGTTGTCCAAGGTGCCGAACCATTGATCTTTTTAGATTACTTTGCCTGTGGAAAGTTAGATAATGCTGTTGCAGCTAAGTTTGTTTCTGGTGTTGCTGATGGTTGTATCCAAGCTGGTTGTGCTTTGGTTGGTGGTGAAACCAGTGAAATGCCAGGTATGTACTCTGAAGGACATTACGATACTAACGGTACTGCTGTTGGTGCTGTTAACAAACATAAGATCTTACCTAAATTGGAATCTATGGCTGTTGGTGATGTTCTTATTGGGTTAACATCAGATGGAATTCACTCCAATGGGTTCTCATTAGTTAGATACATTATTGAAAAATCAGGTATTGACTACAAGTCACCTGCTCCATGGACCAATTCAGGTAAAACTATTGGTGAAGAGATTTTAGTACCCACTAAGATCTACGTTAAGCAATTGTTGAAGCTGATTAACGAAAATTTATTATTAGGTTTGGCTCACATCACCGGTGGTGGTTTAGTAGAAAACATTCCTCGTTGTTTGCCCAAACATTTGCAGGCCAAGTTGGACCAATCTCAATGGGATATTCCTGCTATTTTCAAATGGTTTGGTACTCAAGGTGATGTTCCAGTTCATGACATGTTGAAGACTTTCAACTTGGGTATTGGAATGGTTGTTATTGTCAAGAAGGAGAATGTTGATGCCGTTTTGGCTAATATCCGTGCCGAAGGTCAAGAGTGTAAGGTCATTGGTGAATTAGTGAGCAGACCAGAAGGTGGCCATGGCTGTGTTGTTGACAACGTCACTTTGTGAATGTTTTAACTGTTGTATACTAGTATTAATGAAAAATAAAGATAATTCAAAATCTGTATGGTTTATCAAAATCGCGTTACCCGGACATTTGAGATTTTTTCGGCAATTGGTGAGAAGGTTATCTCTCTGATCTAGTAGTGAAACTAATTTCTTTTGATAGCCTTGAAATACTAATGTTGTGGTTTTGGAAATTACGAAAGATTTGATGAAAATCCGTAAGCGTTAAGGTTAGCTAAGGAAGAGGCAACTTTTTTAATTGGAAATTTAGTTTTTGGTGATTCTAAGTTTTAAGTAGCGTAATTAGAAGGCCCAATTTGGTGATTTTATCCGTATCACGTGAGCAAACCTAATCAAATGGTAGCGCGCTGTTGTAGTAATTGATCGAGTAGATACATGTACCAATGGCTTGCCGGGGATTGGCATGCAAAGAGACTAACAACTGAATCTTTTTAGGTAAAGCAGTTGATTTTATAAAGGTCGTAGTGATTTTCCTTCCGATAGCAAACTATCATATAAGCAATGACGCACTTTTAATGTTTGTTATTCATGGAATTAAATTCGAACGTACTGTGGATGGATTTGTAAGCGAGAAGAGCACAAAATGGTCTCATCGCAAGTAACGGTGGAAAGTGCCGTTTCCAGTTGTTTATGTCACCGAGGCAGGCACTGGACCTACGATAACCTTGTAGATTTGAAGAAAAGAAGGGATCGAGTTTTAGAGTCACCGGCGTAAATTGATAAGGTAAATAATCAGTTTGGGCTCTAATATTTAGTCGAGAACAAAGCACAGCCATCTTTTACTGGGAAAATACATTAGTACCAACCGCTATTTGAAACAGCAATAGGGGAAAGTACTTTTATTACCATCATTACTTTATTAATTGGTATTCGCTGAGATAATTTTTGCTGCCATCGTTTGCTTCAAACTAATTCCAGGGATCTTTTGAACAGTTAAATCTGATTTGATATCATGGGTCTTTTGTCGCTTGGAACACCACTTGAGTGGAAGGAATCAAGAAAGCTTAATCAACATGTAAGAGAAAGTGGTATTGAACAACTTAAGAATATCTTCAAGCAACATGGCGCTCGTACTCAAGATCCCTTTCTTTGGGGTGATGAAGTAGAGTATATGTTGGTAGATGTTGATTCTAAAGCACATACAGCTCGTTTAGCCATTGAGAAGGATTATATCTTGGAAGATTTGAATGATGAAGAAAAAGCTTTACCAGAATGTATAGCCCACAACGTATCATACCATCCTGAATATGGTAGGTTCATGGTGGAGGCAACACCTGATAGACCATACGATGGAAATGACTTAGGTGATTATATTTACGTTGAAGAGAACATGAAAGTTAGAAGACAATTAATGGAGAAACAATTGGAAGATTCGCCTTCAATTATTCCTTTGACCTTAACTACGTTTCCTCGTATGGGTTGTGGTATCTTTACTTCACCACCTTCTAAACCCAATGGGCCTGCTTCTCAATCACTTTTCCTTCCAGATGAAATCATTAATCGTCATGTGCGGTTTCCTACACTTACTGCTAATATCAGAAGAAGAAAAGGTCGGAAAGTTGCTATCAACTTACCCTTATATCCGGATATTAATACTAAGTTGATTGATGATTCTATTCCTCATAGAGATATGTTTGACCATGATAAGGAGCCATTCTTGGGTGCTCTGTTACCTGGACATGTATATATGGATTCCATGGGGTTTGGTATGGGTTCATCTTGCTTACAAGTGACAATGCAAGCTCTGGATTTGAAGCAAAGTTTAGATTTATATGATGCTATGGTACCAATCACTGGTGTTCTTTTGGCTTTAACAGCTGCCGCGCCAATTTTCAAGGGCTTCCTTGTTAATCAAGATGTTAGATGGAACGTTATTCTGGGAGCTGTTGATGATCGTACGTTTTATGAATTAGACAAGGAAGCCTTTGAAGGTTATGATAAGTTTGGAGGTTTGGACATTGATGAATCTCAAAAGACATTAGGTGATGAGGAAGGCGTTAAATCTTTGGATGGACAACCAATTCGGCGTGTTTCAAAGTCTCGTTATGATTCAGTGGATGCATATTTGGGTGGAGAAAAGTACTATAACGAACTGTATAATGATATTGTTTCTCCAATTAATGAAAAGGTATACAACCAATTAGTTGAAGAAGGATTAGCAAAACCATTGGCTCGTCATTTTGCTCATTTGTTTATTAGAGACCCTTTGGTGATTTTCAACGAACGTATTAATCAAGATAACACTTTGGAAAATGATCACTTTGAAAATATCCAATCGACCAATTGGCAACTGTTACGATTCAAGCCACCAGCATTATATCCTAGAACAACTGAGATATCCAAAACTCCTGGATGGAGAGTTGAATTCAGACCCATGGAAATTCAAATTACAGATTTTGAAAATGCAGCCTTCTCGGTATTTATTGCCCTTTTAAGTGGAGCTATTATCAAATTTGCCCCCAATTTATTGATTCCAATTCTGAAGGTTGATGAAAATATGAAAACTGCTCATGATGTTGATGCTGCTATCAGTAGTAAATTCTGGTTCCGCTCCAATTGGAATGTTGCAAATGAAGACTACAAGGAGTATGGTTTATCATGGTTCTCCAAACACATTGGCAATGAGCGCAATGGTATTGAGAACGGGAACAGAGTAATACTCAATGGTAACGGAAAACCCTCAACTTCAAATGCATCTACTGAATTTTCCAAATTTTCTGTTGATGAAATAATCAACGGCAATAGACAATTTCCTGGTTTACTTAGACTTGTGATTAAATATGTTGCTACAACTATTGATGGACCTACAGCGGATAAACAACAATTATCACGCTTACATCGTTACTGCCAGTTGATCAGTTTACGTGCCAGTGGAGATATTCCCACTGCTGCCAGATGGTTACGTAACCAAGTTCTTGAATCTCCCGTATATGAAAACGATTCAAAGGTTTCAGAGGAGATCAATTATGATCTTATTCAGAAAGTCACTGCCATCACTCGACTTTCAGATGGTCATATTTTAAACGAGTTTTTTGGTCCAGAATTAGCTAGCTATGTAGCCATTCTGTGATACTACTAGTTGCATATTTATCATTGCATACATTTTATAGATTTGCTACGTTTGGTAAATGTCCGGACTATAGTGAGATAGTGTAAGTTTATTCCTCAGTACTGAAACACACTAATAATTTGCAACTATGAGGAAAGTGACCAACGAAATGTCTAGACATCGTGCCATTGGTCATCAGTTTGGCATTCAGACACCACTCTTCCAGAACTGGCGCCTTAAGGAGTGGCTTGAAACAATCTCCTACGGCTCAGTGGGCTTAAACACAAAAAATATATCACTAGGACGACCAATGATAAAATTTACGTCGTTTTTGTGGTTACTATTTCGATGAATATAAAGTTAGTGAGGTCCATTTACGATGTATGCACCTAATACAAGGTTTACTGACGGTCATCATACCGAGATCACAATACAAGTGAGAACAGCTGTATTCCGTACGCGAAGCAAATGTGTCACAACTGTTTGGACTTTTCAGAAAGACCAATGTCAAATTTCAATTCTAGCTATATAGAGCAGTAACCTGCTTGAGCAACCTAAGTACCCATTAGGGCATGTAATTTGTTATTGCCGGTGTGCTAACTTCAACTGATGCACTAGTCCTAAAAGACGATAACGTAACTGCTTTTTTGAAATCGTCATATGTAACTACTGACATTGTATGAATGTTGGTGGTGGGACTTATTCTGGCTGTGGTGAGATGTATTTTCTAAGACCACGAGCTATGAGTTTATCTTTCTCTTATAACACCAATTAGCACTAAATTACTTCATATGTTAGATGTATTTTACTCCAGTAGCCTAAACCACCAAAACTGGAAGTTCTAACTCAAATTGATCGAAATTCGTAAATAGACCATGTTCTTATCTTCGGTACCATTTTGACTATACTTGGAATGTTGTGGGGAAAACACACTATTCAACTTGAATTACCAAATAACGCTAAAATTAAAAGTAATTGAATATGGAATACCAGTTAGAGTTTCATTGAGTGAATGGACACTTTGGCTGCGAAAAGGTGTCAATGGCATGCCTTGTGACTTTGTAACCATATCATATCGTACGTGAACTCAAACGAAATGTAAATTCGTAATTCAATACGGTGAAGCAAATACATATTTGGGTACTTTGAAATTAGCGTAATACAAATGAGATTACTTCCCTTGTAGATTTAGCATTTAATTCTATCATCAGGAACAATAGAGATGACAAACTGGTTAGTCTGTCTACATAACACTTCAGCTCCAGCTATATAAAATCTAGTTAGTACTAGATAAACAATATGTACAGCTGGTAATACTTGAGCCATCAAAAACAATGCCTGCCTCGATATCGGCCTCTTTCAAGAATATACGCAAGCCTAACTTGTTACTATTATGGTCTTTATTTGTGAGAGCCAGAATACTTGTTTAAAGGCATAATCTATATTATAGTGAAAGCTCAGATTGGTTTGCAGTTTTCGTTATGACTAGTTAGGGACCGTTAACTTCAATGGTAGTTGAGGTATTGAAATAAGTAAGTTAAAAAACATTGCAGTTGTTTGCCGGTTTTACGACATTTTGAAGATGCTCAAATATCATGCCAATCATGGATATCATGTTTTCTATGTTACGGATAAAGTTACTGCCATATAGAATCTTGTAAGATACTATGTACAGCTAATTGTTTAGCCACTTGTAAATGTAAATGTAGAACCCGTTTGTTTTCAAAATCCTATTCACTTATCTAGCACGCATTTGTTTTCGTGATAGCTAGCCAGTGATGATTATTAAACGTTAACTGTACTTGAGGCATACTACTTCAGTACAAACGAATTCAAAATAATCGTAACGACAATTTGAACGTGCTCGAATCCTGCCAATCAAGCATATCGTGTCTTGTTGGTTACAGTTATGTTACTGCCATTTAGGACCATATAAAATATATTTTACAGTTAATTGCCTGGCTACTTGTAAAAGTACCTGTGGAACCCGTTAGTTCTCAAAGTTTTACTACCCACTTAGGCTATTTACTTCTCTAGTACGCTTTTGAGCGTACGAGAAAAGTGAAGGAAGTAAATACACGAAAGTCACAGTTGTCAAAATTAAAACGTAATAAAGCAATGGGTCTCGAAGAGGAACGGTGGGGTCACTGAGGAGAAATGTAGTTTAGTTTTTTTGGTTTCTTCAAAGCAAAGGAGAAGAACTTGGGGCATGTTTGTAGTGAGAATGCACTGCGAACAACATTAAGCGAACTATGTATCTGTCAAAATTTCCACAGCAATCTAGTGCCTGGACCTAAAGGGAGTCATTTAAACCCCCTAGCATGAAATACACTCAGGTATGTACTGCAAATCGTTAGACGTACTCTAAGGACTCTTATTCCTCGTGGAGATTTTATTCTACAGTAAACCCAAATAAAGATGATGAGCGCACCAAATAGAAATCGTTTGAGTTTGAAGTAGATGATAGGAGACTTATAAATACGCATAAGCCCATAGTTAAGATATCTTCTTTTTTATGATCCTATTTCACCGTGATTGATTCATTGGGCCACTTACAAAGACGGGTCATTACAAGTGAAGTTTACTTACATATTCGGACACACAAAACCGGACTTGCCATAGGTTCCATGATTCAGGATTGTGGTAGGATTACAACATTGTGAACCAAGGGGTTCTTATCAAAGAACCAGCACACCATACAAACATGCAACTAGTAAAAATTATAACTCTGGCTTTTACCTAGGCAGTGGTAGTGGTTGTAATTATTTACATGACTTCATGTAGCCAAGCAATACTGCGGAATGGATGCTGGTTTCGTTGAAGAATGCTGCATCTCAGGCAGTATTTGACATAAACTTACATATCCTGAAGTCACCTTTTTCTACATAGTTCTAGTTTTATTCTTTTTACTTTGGCCTATTTAGTGTTCAAGGATGTTATGCAACTTTTGCTGGAATCCTTTATGGTGCAGGCTATAGCTTCCCGGATGAATACTTTCAAAACCATAATTATTCAGCAGCTTCCCAAAAGCAACTTATTGAGCTTTATTGCTTACTGCACTTGCCCAATTGGGTTGGTTACAGTATAAACCAATTGAACTGTAGCAATCCTCCAATTGTCTCTCATACATTATCATCATCTTATTGTGGGGGGGGAGACAAACAGAGGAATGTCTCACGTGACTTTTATCACGGGAGGCTCTTTTTTTTTTGTCGAGAAACATACTTCAGCCCACTTGAGACGTGACCCATAAGCAACCAGTGTTCTTCCTCAGATATTAAGCAAAACCTATTTATCAAAAGAATAAAGAGATTATATCCGAAGACCCGAAACAAAATTACTCACACATCCTTGATTATACATTTCTTTAAGTTCAATTGGTCAAATTCATCGTACATATATACTTCTTTAGTTTGTTAATATGGGTATCTTTGATAATTTGAAGTCATTTGTTCATTCCATCACTACTGATGATCATTACGCTTCTTACGATTCTCCTTATAGAAATTCTGTGATTCAAAATGGTTCAAACATCGGAGGTCTGGCAAGAAACCTGAGTTCCAGATTATCAGAATTGAATAGATTAGCTACATTGAATTCTTCCAGTCATTCGCTTGTTGATGGAGCTTCTGTTGGTTATAGACCAGGTTTACGTTCAAGTGCTGTGAATTCTACTTCTGATTTACCTTTACAGAACTTTAATAGTGAAGGTCAACCTCCACTTCCTTCAATTGAAAGTTTATGGGACACTCTTGAAAAATGGCTCGAAGAAGAGTACCCGGAACTTGAAGATGCTTTGAATGATGGTGTTACAACAGCTGATTTGAATGAATTTGAAAATGATATTGGTTGTGGTGATTTACCAGTGGAATTTAGACAATTTTATAAAAGACATGATGGTCAATTCTCAAATGGGAAACCAACAGGTTTGATTATGGGTTTATTACTTTTGGATTTGGAATCAATTGTTCAAGAACATTCCATCTGGGGTAAAGTAAATGAAAAATTGGCTAAACAACAATACTTATCTCAACAGAAGCTTGCCTCATCTCATTCAAACTCTCCAGTTATAAATCCAGATGTCACTCCCACTTCATCAGCTTCCTCAGCTGCTGCTGCTGGTTTGCCACAATCATTTGTAGAGCACCAAAGATCTATACCCCCTAATGCCATTCAACCAGTGTATTGTCACAATGGATGGGTTCCTATCATTAAGGACAATTGTGGGAATCAAATTGCTCTTGATCTCGTCCCTGGAACTGCTGGAACCTGGGGTCAAGTGATTCTTTTTGGTAGAGACTTTGATACCAAATTGGTTATTGCCAGATCGTTCCATGAATTTGTCTTTTTATTTGTTAGTGATTTGCAAAATGGTAACTTTAAGATTGATTCCAAGGCTGAACTTCATGATTATGCTTATGGAGAAATTATTCGTGATGATGATGATTATATGATTGGTGATGATGAAGAAGATCTGGGTGAGTTACAATTTCTTGACAGAGACAATGAATTTACTGAAAAATTACAAGATAAGGTTAGTTATGTTGAGATATGGAAAAAGAGAGCTTTAAAGAAGTATGGTGTTGCTGAAAATTATTCAACCATTTATTCTCCACCTCCTCCATCAAGAAAACAAGTTAATAAACCCACAAAAGGGTCCGGTTTAAGTACTCCTGTTAGAACTGGAAGTCCGTCATTCAATATTAGCTCAAACAAGGCCGAAACAGTTGCTCCTGTATCTATTCCTAAGGAAACGGTTATTGACGATTTGGCTAATGTTGTTCTTGAAGATAGTCCATCTAAGGAGGTCCCTCAAATTGTGAAGACAGCTCCAAAGGAAGAACCAAAGAAAGAATCTAAGGTCGAACCAAAAGAGGAATCAAAGATTGAATCAAAGATTGAATCAAAGGAAGAACCTAAGACTGAATCTAAGACTGAATCAAAGGAAGAGACTAAGGAAGAACCTAAGACTGAATCTAAGACTGAATCTAAGAACGAAGAAGAAAAGACAAAATCTAATGATGAACCCAATAACGAATCCAAGGATGAATCAAACGATGAACCCAAGGACGAACCAAAGAAAAATATGAAAGATGATGAAGACTCTGAAGAAACTTCTGAGCCAAAGCCGGAATCGGTTTAGAAATAATGCCAAACAATTCAACATTCGTGTATATTTAAATGTTACTTTTTTATGATAAGAGTTTGAACCCTTCATTCATAACGTAAATGTAATGTAGTTTTACCATTCACCACCCCAACCTCCATCGTCTTCATCTATTGAAAGATCAAGGTTTAATGATGCACCTGGTTTTTTCTTCTCTAATTTCAATCCAGAGCTTCTTGTCGTGGTTGCTGTAGGCCTACTTCTTCTAGGTGGGTTCCCATTGGATACTTTTAACTTGCTAACTCTTTCAGTTGTTTTCTTTACTGTTGTTGTTGGAACCACTTTTGGCTCATCATCCATATCCCAACAATCTTCATCTCCAAAATCATCATCAAAATCAGCAACTATTGGGGGTTTTGTTGTAGAAACTTTATCAGGTATAATTGTAGGAGGTTTAATTGGTTGGGCGTTAGGTGAAGGTGCTCGTGTTAAATCTGGAGTTGAAGTATTGAATTCAGAATTCAATTGTCCTTTTGGAGTTAATTTGCTCATCATATTCCAACCAAATGATGCTAATGCACCACCAGTTGAACCACCAACAGAAGATTCCGAATTATCATTATTAGCTTCTGTTTCTTCTGGTTTAATTGCTTGAGGTTGGAATTTCTTTAAAAATGCCCGTTCTTCTGCATCATCATCTGGTTCTGTTCTTGGTAAATCTGATGCATGGGCTTCTACAGAGCTAAGATAAAGCTTAAAAATTCTATCCGCTTCATCCCTTACCTTTGCTGAGCGACTATCCATTAAAGAAATAGCCAAATGACCCAATATTTTCCCACAAACTTCTTCAAGAGAAAATTCATCAATTAAAGATTCAAATCCTTTAAGTGCAGCCATTTTACAAGGAGTGAATGTGTCCTTTAAAGTCTTGCTCAAGGCTGTAATAAGAACATTGTTCTTGGAATTGGAATAGATTCGTTTGGAAATTCGGATAATTAAAATAATTGTGTTGGTTCTAATGGAAGGCTTGGGGTCAAATTGAGATTTGGCCAACACCTTTAATAAATCTTGATTGACTTGTTTATCTGAGATTTTTTCAATAATAATATCAAGAGATTTTAAGGTATTCTCTCTAATAATAAAGTTTGAATCTTGGAATCCAGTTATTATACTGTAAAATATTTTCAGTTGAACCTCCACATCCGTGAGTTTATCAACATAATTTGGAAGATAATTAAGTAAATGTAAACGTATTGATCTATCAGCCATTAAATAAGCACCAAAAAGTACTGGTTTAATGATTTTACTGAATTGATCATTTGGTAATCCACATCCGAATCGAAGAATATAATTTAAAATGATTGCCAACGTTTCTTGATTCTGAGGATTATATTCTTGGGGTTTACCCAAATTCCGAAATTGAGAAATCAATTCTTCTAATAATTTACCTTCCAATAGCCCGGGAGGGAAAACAGTTAAACTATCATTATTATTGGAATTAGGTTCATCACTACCCACAATTGAAGCCAATTCATACTTGAAAAATGCCAATTTCTCTTCATCTTTCATGAACTTGATCTCTTCCAAATGATTATTAAAGACTATCAATGGATTATGAGAGAAGAAATCCATTGTTTCCATTAAGAACTTGTCCACTGTAATTCGTTGATTAATATTGGGGTTAACCAATCTCTTATAACCACTTGATAAGCGTGCAGGTAATTTAATAGCTGATAAGTTACTATAAGGTAATGAATAATTCTCTTGAATAATTCCATAAATGAGCTCTCCAAACATATAACTATCTAATTTAAAGGGGATAACTGTCTTTAAAGACTCGATACCTTGATTTAAAACTTCAGGACTGGCTAAGTTACGGAACGATGGAATAGCCGAAGATAACCTATACAAAGGTTGAACAGGATCTGAATTCAAGTTTGTAAGTAATTCAAAACCAAATAATTTCCAATCACCAGTATTAGGATTAACATAAATTGAATCAAGACTTATATTCCCATGGACCAAATTACATTTGGTATTCAAAAATTGTATTGCTTGAGCCACGGAGTAAATTCCAAATATCTTACAGTCTAAATTCAATTTCCCTGAATGATCTTTTAAATAGTTCAATAAAGGTATCACGGGTTCAGTCACAATGTACAACATAGCATCATCAAATTCAAAGAAATCCAAGGTAGTGATACAGCAAGGGAACTTAACAAGTTTCAGTTTACGGAAACAATTCTTGATTGCCTCAGCAACCATTCCGTCATTACTGGTCTTTAAATTATATTCAAACACTGTTACTGACGCGTTGTTTTGTTTAGGGTTGGTACCATTGTACACCTTCCATGGCGATTGATCACTAACAATTTCTTCCTTAATAGTGTAGGGAATTGAATACCCTGTCAATGACGTTAGAGCACTGGATAAGAAGTTCATCACGTGAATATGTCGTCCAGAATACTTGACAGTAATGGAGTATAAGCATTCACTAACAGCTACTAGTAGTGTACTTTGCCATTGATGGGTGTTTATACGTTTTGATAATGCGACTTTCTACAGAAAAAAAGTTGCGATAGTGTATGTCCAGTGGTGTGTATAGAACAACTTTCTATGAGTAGAGGTCTTATGATAATAGAATGATACAACAGTATGATACAAAACAGTATGTATAGTATAATATAGTACAAAAAATGGATCTAGTTGGTTCAAATTAGTTTTGAAAAATACCAGTGTTGTCTAACATATTGTTCATCATCACAAGCATCAGTGGCAGTTGTTGACTAGGATTAGACTGTGTTTGGGTCTCAGATTGTTGCTGCAGTTGTTGTAGATGTTGTTGCAGTTGTTGTTGTTGTTGCTGCTGCTGCTGCTGCTTATGTGGAAGCATTATGCGAGGTTGAAACGGTGGCTGTCCACCACCAACGACTGAATTTGTTCCAACGGCGTTATTCAGCAGTGGTGCAAGCATAGAATGCATTACTGGTTGACTTTGGCTTTGCTTTTGATTCTGATTTTGATTTTGGCCTTGGCTTTGATTAATACCAACGCTGGAAGGCATTTGAGGGTTAACAAATGAAGGTGATAAATTGTTACCCATACCATTATTATTTGTACCATTACCACTACCATTTTCATCAGTAACTTTCTTGCCCCGGCCTCGAATACCTCTATTAGAATTCTTGTAGAGTCCTTTAAAATACATCAATAAATCCTTTTCACTCTGAGGCAAGTTGTCTAATGCTGGCCCAGACAACTCAGCCAACTTATGGGTTAATCGAGTGAGAGTCTCCAAATGAAACTTATTTTGATGTGACTTGAGATTACCAAGTTGAGTGAAGAATTTATCACAACCATCTAATTTACACTCATAAGGTTTCAAATGTTCATGGGTTAACTTGTGAGCTTCCAAGTTTCCCTTTCTTGAGAATGACCGTTGACAAATATCACACTTAAATGGTTTCTCTCCAGTATGCAATCGTAAATGAGTCCTTAAATTACCTCCTTGTGTAAACTTCTTGTGACAATACGAGCATTCATAGGGTTTATATCCAATATGAGATCGAATGTGAACTTCTAAGTGAGTTGTATGGGTAAAATTTTTAAGACAGTAGGGGCATTTCTGAGTCTTCTCCTTTTTCTTCTTAGGGTCGTTTTCATCAGTTTGGGCTTTCTTCAGCAGAGCTTTCATAACTCTACCAACAAGACTCATGGGGGCAGGCAAAATGGAATTCAATTTATCCACACTTGTTAGAATAGATCCATCAGGTGCTTGTTGAATAGAATTAGTAACTCCTTTGTCTCTGGCTTGAATCACAAGCATCAATTGATCAATTTTCGTTGCTCCTAATAGTGGTCTTCCGTCCTCCAGTTTAGCAATTTGCTGTGCAGGTAACAAGCTGGGGTCTGTTGAAGTATTGGATCCAATGATAAGTGGAGGTGAATAAGTAGATGCATTTTTGGTTCTTGCGAAATTCGAATTCTTCTTCCGTGATCGTTTTTGCCGTTTATTAGACAGTTTGGTAGATTCAGTTTCGCTATTGGTAGATATAGGTGATTGATTTGTACCACTATTGGGGCTTTCACCATAGCGGGCTTGAGCTCCAGTTTGATGCATTGCATTTTCAAGTTGTTGATGATCAAGTTGCCCTTGTTGTTGATTTAATGGTGTCATCAGATGTGCAATTTGATGTTGTGGCTGAATCTGATGTTGCGGGAGTTGTAATTGTTGGTAACCAAAACTTTGATTAGTATATGGATTATTAGATAAGTAAGGGTTATTCAAAGTTCGAGAGATGTTGGAATTTGGAGATTGAGGTTGCTGCTGTGCTTGTGAAAAATATCTGGTAGACATATTCCCAGAAAGATCAATTGAAGGTCTTCCTGAGATAACCCCAGATGATCCGCTTGGTGAAGTCTTTGGTGAGTGAGAATCATCAGCATGTTGGATTTGTTGAAGTGCAGCTCCCGGTCCACCTGCAGATTTCGATGACAAAGAAGAAGTTGGTGAATATCGTTCTTGTTCTAAAGATTTTCCAGCATCAAATCTCCCACTCATACGACTCCCTGGAGACAGCTTGTCACTTTTAAAAATATCTTCCCTTAATTTCGCTGCCACTTGAGGCACCTGCTGATTAGAGGGATTATTTAACACAATCTGCTGCTGTGGAACATATTGTTGTTGATTGAATTGACCTCCTAAACCTGACATGTTGTTAGAACCTTGTTGCATCTGCTTGGCAATTGAGATTGATTTTCTAATGGCTGGATCATTCATGATTCTTAAAATCAGGTCTCTTCTCTGTTCTTCTGTCATACCATTATAATCGACACCTCCTTGAGTCAAAAAGGCAAGTATATCCCCCAAAGAAGAACCTGAGGAAGGTCTAGCACTGTTGGAACTCTGTTGTTGATTGAACTGCTGTTGAATTGGATTTTGCTGGTTTTGAGCTTGTTGATGAGGATGATTTGATTGTGATTGTGGCTGCTGCTGTGGTAGTTGTATGTTATCCCAAAATGAACCGTCCATAGAGTTCGATCTATCCGGGGACTGGAAAGAAAATAGTCCTGATAAACTTTCTCGATTGTTCAAAAGATATTCCAAGTCTTCCAAAGAAACATCTATAGGAGGTTGTCCTGGAGTTCCAAGTTGTTGTTGATTTGGATTTTCATGAATGGGCAATGGTTTTTGCTGAGAAATTGTAGATCCAGAAGTCGAGGACTTACTCGCAGCAGTATTCACTGCGGAACTTGCACCACTTATAGAGCCAGACGCTGAACCGGGTATTTGAATTAATGAACTAAAGATCGAATTGGATCTAGAATTAACTGGGTTTGAGCCATTTGCATTGCCAGCAATGCCACTCGTGTTTCCGGAGCCGGCCGGTTGACTTATTGGAGGTAAAAATATAGAACCTCTGGAGTTTCCGTTATCATAATATAGGTAATTGGAGATAGAATTACGAGCATAAGGATAGTTTCCGTCAAACAGTTTTCTAGGCGGATCCATTTTTGAAGCTGAGCCAGCAGTAATCGGAGCAGTATTTGTATCTGTGAAGGTATTCAATATACTTCCCAACAGATCCTGTCTGTTCTGTGCAAAGAGAAATGGTGATATCGACAAACGAGAACCTTGCTTATAAACATTGTCTTGTTCTTGTTTGGTAAAGCTAAAGCCATTTCCAGAATTCAAGGTAGTATTTGTGGTGGTATTGGGAGTGATAGTAGTAATAGGGTCAATATTACTATTGGTATTATTAGTGGGTATTGATTTGTCTGGTGTATCCACTTCCCCCACTTTAGATCCAGAAGATCCTGCTCCTGATCCTGATTCCATTAAATCTGTTGATTTGGATTTCATTAATGGAGAAGCCTTTCGACTGTTTAAACTTTTAACATCGCTCCTTATGGAAGTTTTAGGATTACTACCCGAAGGGCTCCTTGAATGAATTCCCGATTTCACCATATTTGCTAAAGGGGTGAAGCACCGTAAGGTTTAGCAGTGTAAAAAAAAAGAGAAATCAACAAAATGTCACAGAGTCACTTAAATGCTCCGGGTATAGATGTCTTAGCAATGTAGTATATTTATTATAGTTGTAATATGCTAATGCAGTTTATTCGTATTTGTGGCAATCACTTTGATAGAGGTTGAGCCCTAATTGAAATTCCAATTAAGGTGACTTTCCCCTGAAACTTGTCTACCAACACAAGCACGTGTGATTCCTACTTTATTTGTAGTTCTAAATGGGTGATGATTGCTATTGGTAGTTATCTATGTGAGGTTTAAGTTTACGTATGGGGTACCAAGTCTGGGGGTCTGTTGTTTCCTGGTGATAGTTGGAGAGAGTATGTCTTGAAATGTCGCAGAATGTCGCAAAAAACTAAGTTAAGGTTTGAACGAATGGGAGAAAAGAACAATAAGCCTTTTAGGCTTTAAGAATGCACTTTAACGATACTCTTTTGTTAACAGATCATCTAAGTGGTTTACAATTACGGGTCTCGGTCTCCATTGAGAGTGTTCAGCGACAAGCTACTCAGCTGAATTATAAATAATAATGTTATCATTATTATGGACGTGGGGAAAAGCAACTTAGGGGTGACCCTTTAATCGAAATAAATGGAGTGGTGCACGACCAACATGTAGATATTCTTATATTCTAACGCTATATAAATTTAGTAAATTTGCATTAAACTGACAGTAACTGGTTTCTAAGACTATATAAAGCCTTTTTTTGGATAACTATTGAGTTAGTTCCTATTGAATCTTATCATTGTTTTAGAGGGAATAAATAGAGCATAACCACCGTAGTGCTTACGTAATGAATCAGATCGAACAACGATGAACAGAATTAATAAGCAATGTTAGGAGTCTTCCGATAATGACTTTGATTGGTTACCGACTTGGTTCAATATGCATTCAAGACACTTCCGAAGCAGGTCTATGTTTTTAGCTTTTTTTAAGTAATAAGTTGGTTTTGTTTGGTTAATAAATAATCTGCTGTGCAATTCATCTAAGAAACTTGAAGTAAGCTTGATAAATTTTCCATATAACTCAACGTTAGATGAAAGGTGATCGTAATCTCCTATGGGAAGTGTAAGTAAAATATTCTTTATAAGATTTACCAATTGGCATTTGGTAAGTTGATCATATTTGTCCAATTGTAATTTTTGATAATAAACTTGGAAGGGAGGTGAAACTTTATTTTGAGAAAGAATTGAATCAAGATCTCCAACATGTTTTGCAATTAAATAATTGTTCTCATTGGATAATTCCTGCTTTGTTTTGGAGATGGTTTCCAAACGATGTTTCATGTTAGTCATTTTTGATTCTAATGAAGCAATTATTTCATTTTTCAATTGTAATTGGTTTTGAGTGTCCTCTCGTTCCACTTCAAATTCATCTATAGAAATGTTGGAATCAATATCCTGTATGCCTTTCAAATTTTTTGCTTTAACCAAGTCAACTTCTAATTCTTGAATCTGTTCACGCATGTCACGTATATGATTTTGCAATATTCTATTATGACCTTTTAAATGTTGAATCTCGTCCATTAATGCAGTATATTCTGTTGTTTCACTCAGAAGCATTTGCTGCTCATTATTGTTAATTTTAATATGTTCATGGGAATCTGGGGGGGTAATAATCGCTTCCAGAGCCAGCTGTTGCGATCTGTGAGTAGGAGATGATTCCTGTTTATTTTTTGGAGACAGTGGTGGGGCCATTGTATACTTTGAAATAGTATTGATAACCTCTCGTTTACCTAAAATAGGAGCAAACATCAGAGTGATTTCTTCAAAAGTGAACATATGCCCATTAGAAAGCAATAATGGTGACGAACTTTTATCAATTTCTGTTTCTCCCTTTAAAGTTGCAGAACTAGAATCTTGTGATAGACCATCAAGAAGATCTGTTGTTCCATGGTCTCCATTGACTTTCAGACGATGAATTAAAGGTGTTGAGTGCATTGATACCATATTATTTGGGGGTAATGGGGGGTCACCTATCCTTGCCATATCTACTTCATGAGCTCTTCTTATGATACGAGAAGTATCAATGATACTTGTATCAGTGTATTCAGAATCTTCAGCCATGGATGGCATATCACTCATATGAATATATGATTCGGACGGATGGGTAAGATCAACTGTTGACATGATAATTAAGTAAGTAAATCAATGACTGAATGAATGAATGGAGTATTCAAAAGCCGCAGTAGCAATCACTTAATTAAACTTCCCACTAGTATTCTGTTACTCTATGAAATACCCGACACTCGGCTATAAGGATCTTCTCTATTCTTATGTATTCACAGACTTTCTTAATAGTAACTGGCCTATATTAAAATCAATGAGCCAGAACCCCCGTAGTCTTGCTTTAGCCTCAGGTTTTGTTTTGTTATGATTGAGTTTGTGTACGTGGCCTGCATATACACTGGTCTTCTTCCATGAAGCAAAGTGAAAAAAAAATCGAGGGTGCTCGTACATTGAAAACATATATGTTAAAGATATCTAAGGTCTCGGCATTGTTTATCTGGAATTATAAGTAGTAAAAGATGTCAGACGATTCAGGAGAACAGGTATATGACTTGGATAAGATCAAATTGTTGGCAGGAGCAACAGAAGATGGAACATGTGCCTCCTTTCAGATTACTGATGAAGATCATACATTAGGTAATGCCCTTAGATATATAATTATGAAAAATCCTGAGGTTGAATTCTGTGGGTACTCTATTCCTCATCCGCTGGAGAACAAGTTGAATATTCGTATTCAAACTTACGGTAACATTACTGCTGTTGAAGCATTACATCAAGGGTTAGATAACTTGAGTGAATTGTGTTCTGCTATTGAGAAGAAATGGGTTGACACTTATGAAGAAGGAGGATATCTGACCGTAGAACCATAAAAAGAAGGTTTTTTTTGCATTAGTTGAAGGGATTGGAAACTGATGAGATCCTTCGATATATTTACTGTACTATAGTTTTAATTGATAAGAATATTAAATTAAATGTAATGATAACTATCAAGGAGTTCTGTTAAGCATTATAGCTTCGTTTATGGCATTCGTAACGACGTATTGATTCATTTTTATATGGGTCCTTCTGGTAACAGGTTGATTCAGTGACGTCTATCTCATCTCATCGTGCGAATGACCTCGAATTCCAGAATAAGCATATACTTCCTAATTTAGAAGTCTACGAGCCGCGATGAGATGAGATAAAATCCTCGGAAAAAAAAATATAAAACTAAAAACATTTCCCTCTTTTTTTCGTTTCGTCCCTAAACCTTCTCCTCTTCAATAAACTGAACATGTCTTACATTAACAACAACAGATATAACGGCGGTGACAATTACAACAGACACGGAAACGGTAGAGAGGGTGGTTCTTACAGAGAGAATGGGGGCTATAATCAACACCGTGGAGGTTATCGTCAAGGAGGCGCTGGCCGTGGTCGCTACGAACAACAAAGAATTGAATTGGTCAAGCCAGATTGGGATTTAGAGGCATTGCCTAAGTTTGAGAAGAACTTTTATATTGAAAATGAAGTAGTTGCTGCTAGAAGTGATGCTGAAGTTAACAGCTTCCGTCGTGAGCATGATATGACAATGGTTGGTGAAGATATTCCCAAACCAGTTACTACATTTGAAGAAGCTGGATTTCCAGATTACGTGTTAAGTGAAGTTTTAAAGCAAGGTTTCGAAAAGCCTTCTGCTATTCAATGTCAAGGTTGGCCAATGGCCTTGAGTGGTAGAGATATGGTTGGTATTGCTGCTACTGGTTCCGGTAAGACTTTGTCGTATGCTTTACCATCTATTGTTCACATCAATGCTCAACCTTTATTACAACCTGGTGATGGGCCAATTGTGTTGGTCTTGGCTCCAACAAGAGAATTAGCTGTTCAAATTCAAACTGAATGTTCCAAGTTTGGTAGATCTTCAAGAATCAGAAACACCTGTATCTATGGTGGTGCTTCCAAGGGTCCTCAAATTAGAGACTTAGCTAGAGGTTCTGAAATTGTTATTGCTACCCCAGGTAGATTGATCGATATGTTGGAAGCCGGTAAGACCAACTTGAAGAGAGTTACCTATTTAGTCATGGATGAAGCTGATAGAATGTTGGATATGGGTTTCGAGCCTCAAATCAGAAAGATTGTTGATCAAATTAGACCTGATCGTCAAACTTTAATGTGGTCCGCTACTTGGCCAAAGGAAGTTAAGGCTCTTGCTAGAGACTATTTGATTGATCCTATTCAAGTTACCATTGGTTCTTTAGAATTGTCTGCATCTCATACTATTACTCAATTGGTTGAAGTTATCAGTGAGTTTGAAAAGAGAGACAAATTAGTCAAGCATTTGGAATTGGCTACTGAGACCAACAAGGAAGCTAAAGCTTTAGTTTTTGCTTCAACTAAGAGAGCTTGTGATGAAATCACTACTTACTTGAGATCTGATGGATGGCCTGCATTGGCTATTCATGGTGACAAAGCTCAACAAGAAAGAGATTGGGTTTTGAACGAATTTAGAAACGGGAACTCTCCTATTATGGTGGCTACTGATGTCGCTGCCAGAGGTATTGGTATGTATACATGATTTTTTTTTTACATTCTACTATCATGATTTGAATCATATGGCTTGATGTCATAATACTCAAATCATGGGAACTACTAACAGGCATAAACGCATAGAGAATCACTGGCTATTTAAGCTAGTACCACAGGCATACAAGTGGCTCCATTGGAGCTAACACAAATTGAACATGGACAACAACCTTGAAACTTAAACCCTTTGGGGAAAACAAATATCAAATATTTTATTACGTTTTCCTTGAATAGCTGGTTCTATTCAATTCAAAAGGTTTCCAAGCAACAAATGTTTACCATGGAAGAATGTGAGGAGTTTTTTTTTGAAAGAGACTATTTTCCCATGTTGGATTTTTTCAAAAATTATATAAGAAAGCAGAGATTAACTTGAGTGATTGCAAGTTTTAAAGATTGAGAGCTAAAAGAGAGAACACAAGAAATCGAATGAGTGGGTTCATGATATGGATCTTGGCATGCAGATACTGTTAATGATTATTTTATTATTTTAACAGTTTTAATGGCTTACTCATTGGTTATTTGAAAGAGAATGATGATTTTTTATTCATTCTAATATGTTCTTGGTGAAACGGTTAGTTCTTTGTCTGTATGTCTTTCTTATGTAATTCTGGATCAATATACATGTGAAGGGAAGATTTCATCTTCTTTTCTTTCTCCTCTCCAAACATTTTCTGTTAGTTTGTAGATACTCGTATTGCCTCCTTATACTGTGCTACACCTGTTTAACCCATCGATAAACTCTTTTGTCAAAAGATCTGAAGTTACTAACATATTTTTTTAGATGTCAAGGGTATTTCTTATGTTATCAATTACGACATGCCTGGTAATATTGAAGATTATGTTCACCGTATTGGTAGAACTGGTAGAGCTGGTACATCTGGTACTGCTGTTTCCTTCTTCACTGAAGCCAACAAGAACTTGGGTGGTGATTTGTGTAAGATCATGAGAGAAGCCAACCAAGAGATTCCTGCTGACTTGAGGCGTTTTGATAAGAGATCTTATGATTCTCATATTAGATACGGTAGAGGTGGATACGGTGGAAGAGGTGGTAGAGGTTGGGGTGGCCGTGGTGGAAGAGGTGGTAGAGGTGGTAGAGGTGGAAGCTACCAATCTGGATCCAACACTGCTCCTTTGTCTCACAGAAGATTCTAGAGAATATTCAAGTGTTTATTTTTGTATATTAGATAAATGTTATAGATCAAATCCAAGGGGTTATATTTCCGTTTACATTGGCTGCAAAATACATGTGGCATTGCAAATGTAGAATTTGTGTATCGCAATAATTGCTGATGATGATGTCAAGATAATGCAAGTAGAGTAAAGCTATCAACGGAACAGGTAAATAGGATACTAATCATAATAGAGACACAATGAACTTTGAGTAGAATAAATCACTTAAATCGCTTAGAAGCGCTCAATAGACTACATTGTAACGAACAACATAGTAGCGGACAGCATTCGGCCTCTCATATTTTTGTTGATCCCTTTTTCTTATATTTTCCCCAACTCATTATATACAGTAATTTTTTACTATCACATGCGATTTAGATCCAAACCACTTAATTATGTGTTTGTTGGGTGTCTACCTAAACAAGGCCCTGTTGTCTCATTGGCCGGATAATTGGACATAGTTACCAAAGTTGTGACATTACTCAAGTCTTGCACGCAAAAGAACAACAATATATATATAATGTGAAAGTTACACACATGAATTTTTCACTTTTGAAAATGACTGGAAGAAACTAGCAGATATTGGTGTCAATTACTTGATCATTAAGATAAGCATAATAGTAATACATAAGGTATAAATAGGCTATTAATAAGCTGTGGTTATAATCAAACTGCTATCACTATTCAAAGATTTTATATTCTTAATTTGGGTACTGGTCGTGTGATTCTTCTACATTACTTGAATTTGCTTTCCATTGGTTTACATTAAATTTCCAATCATTGACTTTTCACTGCTTAATTGTTAGAAGTGATTATCTTTTGTTGATCTTGTTGTCTACTTTATTTGGTACTTTTCTATTGCTCCAAAACTACCCCACAATTCAAATACATGTCTCTGGGCATAGTACACGACCTAGCGCCATAACTAATACCATTGACTAATCAACGCCACACAATGACTACAAAATCTTCTTCTTCTTCTTCAGCTGTGAATGTGGAAAAGCAGTCGTTATCTTCAACAGAAGCGCCTTTATTGTTCACCGCTAAAAGAATGACTACCGGAGTAACCTTTTCCGGGACCCAGTTTGAGGTTCCCACAACTCATGATATGCTTCATGCATTATTCAATCCGGGCATTCGAAAATCACATTTGGAGAAAGCCATTGTGGTTTCGCTAGCAATGAACTTTGTATTGTTTTACTTTTTGCCTTTAGGCTCAACTTTACAGCTTTCATCATTTGTAACGTTTTACTTGTTTTGGAGGTTTGCTTATAACTTTGGTATTGGGTACTTATTACGTCAACAATCGTTGAATAACCAATTGGTTAAATGGGCTAATAATTTGGATTTATTTTCTATCAAGAGTAGTAAAGATCTGTCTCCAGCTTCACCTACTTTAATTCAGAAATTGGCTGCTTGGGAGTTGACTTCACAAATGAAAGATTATCCTAAATATCCTGCTGAATTCAATACTTGGCTTTTGTTCCGTAAATTGGTGGATTTGATTCTTATGCAAGATTTCGTCCTGTTTGTATGTGTGTTCATTCTGGCTAGTTGTTCGGATAATTTCCAATTCATAAACACTAATCAACAAGGTATTTGGTTGGTGGCTTCACGATTAATCATAGGTACTGTGTTGATTGTTTTCAATTATTGGGTCAAAAGCAATGCTCATTATATTATTAAGGATTATGCCTGGTATTGGGGTGATTTCTTCTTCCGTCAATTCAATAATGAAGAATTGATCTTTGATGGAGTTTTTGAAATGGTACCTCATCCAATGTATTCTATTGGATATATCGGATATTACGGGTTTGCGTTAATTGCCAAAAGTTATACTGTTCTTATGATTGCCATTGTTGGGCATTTCCTTCAAATGGTATTCCTTCATATCATTGAAAATCCTCATATTGACCGTATTTATGGTCCAACAAGGAATGAATTGAATTCTGTCAGATTATCCAAATTTAAAGACTTGAAATATTTTGATAACTTTACTCCTTTGGTAGGTTTACTTAATTTTAACTTATTCAGACCTTCCGATGTGATCAACTTATTATTGGTTGTTACTTATGGTTTGGTGTTCCCATTTGTTTCCAAATCCACTTCAACTTTATTCAAATTGGCCATTGCCACAAAGTTGATCGAATCTGTGGGTGTTGATATTGTCCTTTGGCTGCAACATCATTTTAAATACTATACTAAATGGATTTTAGCAAATGATATTCCTTTAGAAAAGTCACTCAATAATTTCGCAATAATTTATAATACTTTGCTTAATGTTTCTTATGCCACAGTTTTTGGTCTTAATTTATGTCAATGGTTGTCTGGTTCGCCCACCAAATATATTGTGTTTCTGTCATCTGAATGGTTATTTTTAAGAATATTGGTTGGTGGATTCCTTATTGCTACTCAAGTTTTAATTAATGTTTCAATTATTGATTCAATTGGATATTTTGGATGGTTTTATGGTGATTTCTTTATCCCAGCTCATCAGAATTTACTTACAAAATGTGGTGTTTATCGTTATTTGAATAACCCTGAACAGATATTTGGTGTTTGTGGGTTGATGGGTACCTTTTTAATATTCCCATCATTTGAAAACTTTATTCTTACTTTGATTTGGGTTGTGAATAACTTTGTCCGTTTCAACTTTATTGAAAGAACCCACATGATTCAAGTTTATGGTGAATCCGCAGTTTCTACTGATTCGGGTGTAACTAAAACATTCAAGAAACATTTAATTCCTAACCTGGTTAGAAGAGGTTCTTCCCCTCTGACTTTTAGTAATCCTACTACTAATGGAGTACAAGGTAAAAGAAGATCTACATTTTCTGAATCACTTGATGTTTTCTTGAAGGAGCTCCGTAAATCCAAAAACAAATTATCTAATCAGAATATGATTGAAATATCACAGAATCTTAACTTTTCCAATGGAGATTACTCTATTAAATTGGAATCACCAATTTCAATTATTGGACATCCAATTACTATTGAATGGCATTCACCTGAAGAAACACATTCACCTTTAGATTGGATTGGATTGTATAAAGTCGTTCAGACTTCGTATTCCAAGTACCATACATTAATTCTGTCCCAAGGACGTTGGACATATCTTGATAAATCCAAGGGTACTTTTACCTTTAGTGGATCGAAATTATTCTGGGAAGAAGGAATATATGAATTCCGGTACCATTTGGATGGGAAGCATGACGTCACATGTATTTCATCGCCATTTGAGATCAGAAATGCTCATATCCAGATTCAAGGGGATTCAGAAGGAGCTTCAAGTCAATCTGAAGATGAATCTGAAGACACAATAGAAGTGAGAGTTGCCAATGCCTTACAAAAGGAGATTCTACAATATTTAGAAGCTTCTTCAGAGCTGAAATCATTTGATATTGATGAGCCAATCAAGTTCAACGAAGATGAAGACGTTGTGAAAACACTTAAATTGGTAAGTCGATTGGTAAGTCAATCCACTGGAATCAAATTGTCCCATAAATACTTTGCACATCGTGTCGGTACGTTGACTACGCGGGAATTGGCACGCAAGTTGATTGAAATGCAAAGAGTATTGAATAACTTGAGCGAGGACTTCAATAAACGGTTGGAGTAAAAAAAAAGACTGTAGATATAATTATAGAATAATATACACTTATTGATCTTGTTAAAAGTTTTATTGATCTTGAAGCAAATAAGAGTTTATATTACTTCGCACTGTCTTTGCCATCTCAATAGAGGAAGCCATGGCCAACGAATAGTCAGTCGTACCTTTACTCGATCCATCCATCCATAGCCCAACAATCTCATCGTTTCTCATGGGCATAATGGCTACTAATGCTTGCAATCCTCGGCCTTGTAAATCCACTTTCAAGGTCCCTTCATCACCAACCAATGTTTGTCCACAAGTTACTATATCTTTTACTTCTATACCACTATCAACAATCGCAACACTAGTACAATTGACTATCCATGCCGTCAATCTTTGGATCTTGCTTTCATCTATGCCATCATCATCAGCGGCTAACACATTTATAAATACGTCTATAGTAGATTTGGGATACTTGTCTAATAATATCGACAGCACCAAGCATGTCTCGACAAAACTGGCTATTCTGTGTTCGAGTCCAGACATCGACTTGGAGTCTGAACCATTCTGTCGTATCAGAGACAGAAATTTACATTCAACAGAAACACAACCTCGGTCCATATACGACCCTTTGATTGGTCGAGGGCCAAACACTTGTGCTTGAATAATGAACTTATCTACTTCCAAATATGAACTTCCATTAGCATTGAGTACTATGTTAGAAGTGAGATAAAATGAAGCAGGTGTGTTATTGCTATCTCTGGGTCTGGTTGAAGTTTTGTTTTCGGCTCCCACTCGTGGGAAATATGTATTTCCAGGGGCAGTGATCCTCCTTCTATCCGACATGATGTAACAAGATTAGAGATGAGTGTACAAGAGATGAGTGTACTGGTGATGAGTGTATGTGCGATGAAATGAAATAAATATAAGATTCCAAGTGGGCGAGTCACGTGATAAATAGTATAAATAAAACGTATATACATGAATGTATACACCTGTATATGCTAGTTATTGATGGGATTAAAAGGATCCAAATAATCCATATTATTGGTATCATCCAAAATGTTCATATCCAAAGATGGTGTATAGTTGTTCCCCGTAGTGCTCTGTAGGACTGGGTCAAGGAGATCTGAAACCAGTGTTTCATTTAGTACTGCATCAGATTTCATGTCCGAGTTAAGTCCGTTCAAAGAATTGAGGTTAGGAGTATCAGAAAGAGCATTGGCATGGGAATTAACCTCTAACATATAAGGAGGTAAGATCTTTCCAAATATTTGAGCATCTAGCTTATCGAAAACTCCAGGTAAATAATTTTCGTTATCTTTAGATGATTCCTTCCTAATATTATTATCTGCTTCTTCACTACCAGATATCAACGAAGTAGAACCTGCTGAATTGCCCATCCCTTCCACTAGGGATATATTGTTAGCATTTGCAGTAGATAAAGGAATGGCTGGGGCGTCAAAGTTACACGAAGGAGGTAGATCAATAGTATTTGTCTTTGGACCTTGATTCTTCCCAAAATTGTTGATGAAATCAAAGGTTTGAAATGTGGTTTGAACGGTTTCATTCTTAATATTGTTGGGTATTAAAGTTGGTTCCTTCAACAGGTTTTGACTATGGATATTGGAAGAATTCTTTGCAGTTCTTCTATTCAATTGTTCAAACAAAGTATTCAAAATATTATAAATACGCAGACTGGCATTGGAATTACCCTTTAAACAATCCAAAACTTTCTTCCCAATAACAATGTCTTGACGGATCATATCAATATTTAAATCATCATCAAATAAAACACCAGCATAATTGGCTCCATTCCCATTTTGAGTATTGTAATAATTAGCAAAATGGAAATAATAAATAAGACATGCAATACTGAAGAAAATGGTATACATGGAAAACCAATAAGTACCAACCAATAAATCTTCATCAATCATTTTGTTTGCAAGTTTAACCACCATTCTTGCCACTTTTATGCAATTACGACCTCTAATAAGTGATCTGGGATCAGACCCTTCAAAATTCAGTTGTCCATGACTAATAAAATGAATGAAAGGACGATACATCATTATTTGACAGTTGAGAAATGCCAAATGCAAATAATAATTTGCAAGAAGAAACTTTTCCGGGATTTTCTCTGAAGTTTTGGGATCCAGTGGATCAGTTGGTTTCAATTCAATAGGTAAATTATCTAGCCATTGTTTCAATTCAACCTCTAAATCAGTAACCTTCTTATGAATATGATTAGGAGTCAGGAATTGATTTTGATTTCCGGGTTTATTCTTCACTCTGATTGGATAAAGTTCTTTAATAATATGGTCCAAAATAAACATAAGTTTTGTATGATGATTGGCACATCCAGAAGATGATAATCGACCACCTTGTTCAGAATATTTAAATTCCAATTCGGTAACGTTTTCATCATCAAGTTCCACAGGCATATCTTGATCAATTTCATCTTCATGAATAGAACGGGGAAGACCTAAAAGAGAGTTGATATAAATATCCATCTTATAAATTGTATAGAAAAGTCTTTTCCTGGTATCGATTTCTATGGGTGAAAGCTTACGTTTTGAATTCTGGAATATTGATAAGTCTCTATGAAGACCTTCCTTAATGGCACTTCTCAAAGCAATTCCAATGTATGAATAGCAAGTAGATAATCTCGCCGAGCATTGTAAATACATTATGATCATCACAATTGTTTGAATGGAAGAAATGTCCCCAACATTAGCAATATCAATCAATCTTCTTGCTTCTAAAAAGTAATTGAATCCTTCATCTTCTAAAGTATCATTATCCTTCTTATCTGCATCAGATTTTTTGGAAAATAAGCTACCACATGCCAATATAGAATAAAAGAATGGGAGAAACTTCTGTTGCTTATCGGTGTAGTTATAAGGATCAGTGGCATAAATAGATTCAACATTATCAATTAATGAAGGACGATGATAGAATCGGAAAAGAACACAGGCTTTATACCATGTAACATGGATTAATTGTAAGGCATCTTCTTTAGGAGGAAGCATTAGTCTAAAATCTGTTCCTAATACCAGTTCATCATTTGAATGTAAAGAAGTGGGAGAAGTAATTGATTTCCCAATAGGAGATTCGATATAAATATTCTTTGGAGTTGGACCATCTTGATATAACTCTTGAATTTCCTTTAAATCATTGGATTTGGAATTAACATAACTTATTATTTTCTCCAACTTATCAATATCCATGTGAACAGCATTATTGTCATCTAATAAGTTCAATCCAAGCTTTGGTAATAACATGTTTAGCAATTGTTGAGCTACAGTCATATTATAAACAGTAGTGGATCTTGTCGCTAACTGTTGTGCTGCAATTAATTGTTGCTGTTGGAGAATCAGAGTATTACTTAACCCACTAGGCGGTATATTGCTACTTCTTTTGTTTCTTATATTAGGTTGATCATAGGTACAACTGTAGGAATAGACAGTACAATGGATACATGGCTGTTTACCATCACATTTCACCTTCTTTTGACGACAATTGTCGCAGGCTCTAGTGACTCTTCTCCTCTTTGTTGCTTGACTGGATGAATTTGAACTTGATAATTGAATATTTCTAGGTGGATCTAATTGTAAGGAAGCCGGTACGTTTGAAGTAGTGCCAATACTGTTCAATCCGAGACCTGGTTTTCTACCCAATTGAGACACTTGTTTTGAGGGAAGTTTAGGGGTGGTGAAAGCCTCAAGCACTTCGACTTTTGCTGAATCAGGCTTTGATATTTCTTTATCTGACAGCTTTGTATTATCCATGATTTATACCCCGACTTCCAGTAGTTTTTTTGGTTACATAAAACCGACCGCAAATATATCCCCTATATAATTGACCGCAAATACCGGCTTATAACACAACGGTAGTTTAATTGGAGGGAAAGGAGGCCTGTGGAGACAAGAAAGACTTCGTCTAAAAGATCACTATTATTCTGTAACCAAATATTTCAATGGTGTCTTCAGAAAATTAATATCTATCCTAGAGGAAGGAACACCATGGAGTAGCAAGTCAGTTGATTGGAACATTTCAACATGTACTTGAAGGTAAAGGTAGGGGTTTGTCGTGTCCCTACCGTTAAAAGACTCATTTAAGTATGTGGTGACTACAAACTGTATATCTTGTGTGACTCCGTAAGTGCATACCGTTTTAGATTATTCGGTTTGAGTAGCCATTTAATATTCGATATCTTGTACTGAGTATTACTTATCGGTATATGGGAATACGCACTAACAGTAACAGTGCTATATAGCTGCTAAAGGCTTCCTTGTTTTATTATGCATTGTATATATTAGATATTATTGTTGTAAACAATGCAGTTTCTTTGTTCATGGGTAACGTAAAGTAAATGTATAAATAGTGTATGTGAAAGTCTATTTCATGTATGGATTGGTTTCTCTAACAAATGACCCATACGTTCAATCTTAGTACTCAAATACCCTTCAATCTCCTTCAGTTTAATGCCCTTTCCTCCTTTACTCCAGCCTAATGGCACCATAGGTACTCTTTCGGTAACACGAACTTGACGTTCTCTACCTTCAACTGCAGCAATCTTATCCGGATTATTAGTAAGAAGCTTAATATCTTCAAGTCCTAAGTCAACTAAAATAGCAGTGGCAAGTGAAAACAGTCTGGCATCCGCTGGATGCCTAAGCATAAGGTTAGCTTGAACGGTATCTGCTCCTAAATCTTGTAAATTATATGCTTTTAATTTTTCTCCAAGTCCTATACCTCTACCCTCTTGACGAAGATAAACTATACATCCATGACCTGCTTCTCCCATTATACGACCTGCTTCATCAAGTTGTTCTCCACAATCACAACGAGCACTCCATGCTGTTTCTCCCGTATAACATTCTGAATGTATACGCACAATAGCAGGATCTGCAGTTGAATATGTTGTCTTATAATCAATTTTCAAATCTCCATTCTCTTCAAACTCAAGTTTATTACCTTCATTATCTTCATCCGCAACTGTTCGTCCAGGGAAAAGCCTTCCTATATAAGCACCCCTTGTCATTCTATCTTGTTGAGATTCATGAGGTCGATGTTTGAATAAACTCCGAGAACGAATGTCCTCTCCAAAGACAATGGCTAAGTGTTCTTTATTATCGACATTATTCTCGTAAATGTGAAGAAAGATGTCTGCTCCATGAGTCGTAGGAATTCTGGCTCGTGCTAAACAAGTCACTTGTGGTAGCTCAGGAAGATGCTGTCTTTGCATTTCCCGTTTACGAGCCTCTTCTCCAGTAGTCGATAAAGTAACTGGAACGGGGGTAGAGGGAACCCTTGAAGGTGTTATCAGTGGGGAAACTAAATGCATATGGGAAAAATCGATTGATTCAGAAGAGTTATTATTTCTCATGTTTTCTAGTGCCTATTATAACTTTCCTTATTCATATATATATATATATCTGTGATTCCTTATGACTTCTATATGACTGTGTAGTGGAATATGTTAAACTATAATCGTAGGTGTGTAAGCATTACCAAATTTTTCAGAGGGACTTTGTGTCGAGCTTAGTAAAGTGTGGCACCCGTTAGTAAAGTTTAGACCGATGACAAACTGTGCTTTGACCCTCGGATGCAGTCGGGAGCAAGACGAGCTATTGTTGATTACCTAATGAAATCAACACTGATAAGCAGCCATAAAAATTCTAATGTATAGCGACAATATATAAGTACCGTTTAGCTCAATAATAGTTATACTGTATTGGGAGTAGCCAAGACATGATGGTAAGATTGAAAGCTTAGAAAGTTTCTTCGTCATGTGTTTCCAAAAAAGGTATTATATGTCATGAAATGTTGAGCTCTTCAGCAGCACTCTTTCAAATTGATTATCACTTCATCATTATACTTGTATTTATTACAAGTAATATTTCTTTCATCCGCTACATGTCAATAAAACAAGAGTGTACGAACCTTGTGAATAAAAATGGTTACGTCTTTCTCGGAATTCAGATCACGTCTCTTTTTCGCAGCAACTAGTTTCATAAAGGATGTGAACGCCGCCTAAAAATCTACAACTTGACGTTTAGCTTCCTTTGCTATCACATACACCACCAGTGTATTACAGGTTCAATATGTTTGGATTGACATCATTTATATCAAATCGTTCTATAGTCTCAGCAGGTAACAACTATCTTCGGATATCTCTGAGAGCGTCGTACTCCATAGCTTCATATTTGGGTAAATGGTTTCAGCTTCAAAAGGTGGTCTATCCTCCACCCCCAAATCAGATAACTACTCAAAATAGGTTATTTCCCACTTATATTGAAAGAGCTGATGAAATTGATCCTTTGATACTTTTTAAGGATCCTACACTTGTTAACTTCACATATGCAACTCCTCAGTGTAATGAGGTGACTAAAGCATTGTTTGATATCTTGGGGGATAAAAGTAAATATCCTCATAAATTCTCCATTAATTTGATAAATGTATGGGCTGACACAGCTGGTGGGAAACTGTTAATGCATAAATATGTTGTTGGATCTAAGATTCCAGCTATTCTTCTACTTCAAGCTCAATTACCAAGAGATAAGTTTGTACCAACTTTCCCATTTGACCCTGAGGAGTTAGAAGCTTGGATAAGAACCATCAAACAATAAAATCGACTATATTTGCAGATAACAAGCATAAAATCAAATCAAAATGCCAATTTTGTTTTAAGATTTTCTATATATAAATATGTGAATGAGCACATCAGTTAATGCAATTGATGCAGTCGCTTCTTAACTATGTACAAGTTTCTTTACAAAATCATTTCTCCCAACCGTCTTTCCATCTTTGTTTCCATAGGTTACAATCGAATTCGGCCTTGCCTATTTTTTTGTTAACCGCATTGTGAGCAATACAGAGCCATTTTCCAAGGTCATCTTGAGTAGCAGTTTGTACTTCATTGGCTTCAATGTACTCTTGGAAATCTTTCCCACAGAACCAACATGGATAGAAATTTCCAAATAACAGAATGAATTGTTTCATATCTGCTTGCTGTTTTGAAGTAGGTGTTTCAGGATAAGTAGCAGCAACAGAATGGAGTAAAGTCCATGAAGATTTACCTAATTGTTCAACATCCGGAGGTTGATCTTTAGTATACCCACCAGCAACTGTATCAGTACTTGTTGTATCAGGGTGGTTCTTCTTCAATGGCTTCTTCACATTGAATGTAGGTGCCACACTTCCCCCCTGTGTTGCAAATTGAAAGTCTTGAAGTGTATTGCATGTACGACATCTACTAAAGTTAGTATGAAAGTTTTCATGGTGGCACAGAGACTTGATAGTAATACGACATACGGTTTACCATCTTTATCATAGATGATTTTACGCCCGGAAACACCAACAGAAGGACTTTCTTTCTTCTTCTCCACTTCAGTTTCTGATTCCGGCATTAGATATATTGATTTATGAGTGTAGTTATGGATGAGTTGGTAGTAAGTTCTGATTACAAATCTTGATTACATACTTACTATGAATAGTGGTGTGCGCTACCGAGTACACTGTGACATAAAGGAAGTAGTAAATGAAATGGATACACTTAGTGGTGATTCAGATGACAACGATATTAATATACTATGCTTTTATTGTAGAGTGAAACATCTATAAATTGCATTAGTAGTTAGTAAAATATGAAGTCAAGGAGAATAATGCCAATAGGCTTCTGAATAAACTTGTTCAGCTGTCGCATTTATAAAGAAATATGTTACATTCTACTAAAATAAACATACTTGAGCAACTTGGAACTACCATTTTTTTGCTCTTTAAATTGAAAAATTATCTTACTCATAGTATCAGATACAATGCTTTATTAATCGATGGAATAGGCTATTGAGATTTTCTTGAATGAAAGGATCTATGTTAATAGTATAATAGTAATAATTATTGGCTTAATTGTTGGCTAATGAGTCTATTTCTTCAAATGCGAACGCACACTCTATTATTTATGTGCTTCAATAAATGCAGTTCTTTGACGGATGACTTCATCACAAAGCTCTCCAATTTCTGGAGACACAATTCCCAGTCTGCTATTGTAAAACTCCGACAAGTCGTATTTCAAACCATGTGCTTGTTCATATTCCCAGGCTTGTTGAATCATTTCAAATTTATCAATATCTTTAACATAACGTGCCTCCGGAGTGCGAATACTTTCGTAATCCCACCAGAGGTCAGCCATTTCGTTTGCAAACTTAGGGTTATATTCATGAATAAGATCAGCCAAATATTCAATGGTGACTCTTTCTCTTCTATGCTTCTCTTCCTTTGTAACTCCACTATATGGCGGTATATCACCTACAAGTGATTCGGCAATATCATGTACTAAACTAATTTTAACACATCTATCAACATCCACCTTCTCTCGAGGAAGAAGCATCAGGATAACTCCCATACGGTACATATGGTCAGAAATCGACTCAACTTGCGAACTGGGGAGTCCTCTATCAACCCAACCAGTACGTCTTTGACTCTTTAAAAGAGATACAATCTGAATAAATACAAGCGCAGATTGGGGACCAACATTGGACTTAATGTTAGGAAGCAATTTGCGAATGCTTTCAGGAACACTTCCTTCAGGAGACCATTGTGATACAGAAGATGTCATAGTTCGAACAAATGAACGGACCATAAGTTTTGAACAAGAAAGCGTAGTTGGGCCTTGTTTTCAAAGAGGAGTATGTTTGTTTGTTTGTGTTTATGATTACGACAACAAAACCAAGCGAAGATCATCGGACAAAAATACCCCAAAAAGGAAACCGTAGTCGCAAAGTTCATGCTTCGATTTTGCATTTAGTATATTTCACCATTACATTGCATTTCACTAGTACATTAGATTTATTGAACCGTTTATATAAGTTATTATTTTAGTACACGAGATAGGCTAAACTTAAGCAACCAATTCAACGACACCACCAACAGCTCTGATCTTTTCTTCAGCCAACTTGGAAACAAATCTGGCCTTGACAATGACAGGAACTTCAGGCAACTTACCCTTACCCAAGACTTTACCGTAACCGTGAGCCAAGGTGTCAATGACTGGGGCAGCAGAAGCAGAAGCGGACTTCAAGTATTCGTCCTTCTTGTCAGCTTCAACTAAAGTCCACAACTTGTCCAAGTTGATTTCTGGTCTCCAGAAATGGGCTTGTTGCTTGTGGAAGTATCTCATACCAACCTTACCGAAGTAACCTGGATGGTACTTATCCAAGTTGGTTCTGTGGTGGTGTTGACCACCAGCCTTACCACGACCACCGGGATGCTTTCTGTGCTTACCGACTCTACCCTTACCGGCTATAATAAATGTTAGTAATGATCAACAAATTTAGTGGTAATTTCAAACATATAAAGTGAACAACGTTAAAATATCAATAACAAAAGTCAATCTGAAAAACATGATAGGAATACTTAAGGATATCTTCTAATGAATGAAACCATGTTGAATACATTGATTGGGAAATATCAATTACTTTCATTCGGTTCGTGTTTTCATCTTCATCTTCATCTCATCCTTCTTGTCAATTCTTCCCTTTCAGTTTAATCTTTAAATAAATGACAATCGTTTTCATCCACTTTGATGCTGAGGCTGGAACAGTACATACCAGAAACGTTTCCTCTGTGTTTTCTAGTCTTGGTCAATCTAGTAGGCATTTTTGCTGAGAATGGTGATAAACTAGCTTGTAACAAATAAGTAAAAGAGCAGTGAAATACCTTGACACCAAAATTTCCCAATGGTATGAGGTGAAAGTGAAAAGTTTTCTCAAGGAGCACAAAGTCAAAGCATGGCGCTCCCGTTAATCATGATTATTGTATGTAGATGGAAATTATGCGGCGCTTCCATGTTTATATCCCTTCGTGTAGTTGGAAAATAAATATAGTGCTTATATAATCACATCACGTGACTGAATGTTATAGCAAGATCAGATTGTTCATTTGAAAAATGTGACAAGCTATCCCACATACTTGTTACACAAACGTGACATGTAAAAAATATGCACGTGTGTTAGGTACAAACCCTAAACTATACCCATTTAACTCAGTATGTAGTGACAGCACTATCAAGTGCAAGCATTTTACTCTAGCTATTGACTACAAAGATGATAATACAAGATGAATAATTTTGCTTGAATTTTTAAGTTAAAAGCTTATCGTTATAAATTTCTACAATTATTTATTATAATCTGTTTTGCAGAGTAGACTTTTATAAAGACCCGACTGTTAATCATAGAGTTAAAATCAATAATATAAATCCCTATATTGAACCCCAAACTTCTTCATAGCTCTTAGTGTTCTTCGTCTCTGGAATATATTTATCCACAAAAAAGTATGTGAATAAACATACACCAGTGAAGATAAAGTATACCGCACCTCCAAGTGGTGAATTCTTTAATACTGGGAATGAATAACCAACAACAAATGTAGCACACCAATTCATAGCAGTTCCCCAACTTTGGGCAGATGCTTTTGCTCGAGGTTGCGTTACCTCACCAACAATTAGGAAGGGAATTGGACCCAACCCAATAGCAAAGAAAATAATGTAAGTGAATATTCCAACAATAGATAAAAAGGCACTTGTATAGATTATACCTATTCCAATGAACACTGTGGAAATACCCATAATGGATACAGATGCCATAAGTAAAGGTTTTCTTCCCAATTTATCTAATAATGTACCAGATATGAATGTAACCACCACATTAACAATCGAAATCAAAAAATTAATGACAACAGCATAATTAGGGAAGATTGAAACCAATACTGAAACACCATAAAAAATAATAGAATTGATACCACAAAGTTGCTGAAGAATCAAGATCCCGGTTGCAACTATTCTTGAATTCTTGTACTCTGGAGATTTCAAATAAGTACTTAAATCGACAGTGCCTCTATTAATAGATGTCGGAATTGGATCACCATTTTCACCCATTGAATTTAATAACTCATCAGACTCTACTCCATCTGAATATGAAGTTTGCGTACCCAGTGAAGAAGGATGACGAACAACCCATGAATTTATTTCATCTCTGGCATCATTATAATCTCCACCTCTAAGGAAATGCAAGTTCTTAATGGCTTCACCAGTGAAGCCCTTATTCGCCAACCAAACAGGAGACTCTTCCACATAAAATGCAGTGAAAGCCAAATTAATGGCTGCGATCACTGCTGCTGAGCCTAAAAGTAATCTCCAATCGTTATTATTACTCCATTTCAATGCCAACGTTTGAGTGATCAAAATACCAATATTAATTGAAACTTGATTCATGGCTCCAAAGAATCCCTTATAATCATTAGGAGCAATTTCGTTTATGAACATAGGAGTAATAACTAGCGCTCCACCAGCACCGAAACCAACAATGAATCTACCAAGTAATAAAGCCAGATACAGATTTGCAAACGTATTGAATAATCCACCAATTATATAGATTACACTAGCAATGATACTGGTTCTTTTCCTTCCAAAATCATCCGCAAATCTTCCAACATATGTCAGTCCAATTAAACCCCCTACACTGAAAATAGAAGTCACAAGTCCAACTTGATTAGGTTCCATAGGAATACATTCAGCGAATCCTTTACGACCAAACCATGATTCAGAATAAGGAACTCCTAATTTAGGTTTCGATAAGCGACATGATAAAATGGCTTCTGGAGAATTCAATTCAGCCATATGATAGCCAAATTGCAAGGACCCAAGACATATCACCGAGATAGCTATCACTAGTCTTGTAGTAATCATGGTACGGGGCTACTTGTACACTATCAATTCAATTCAATTCAATTGGTCGTCAAGTCGTTTACTATAATGATACGTAGTTATACAAGTAGCTGTAGCATGAATAAAGGGGGTGTTGTGTTGGATTGCATTTGGTTTCGGAAATTAATCTGGGGCTATAGTATGTGCAGGCCTCAGCGCTCGCTTAGCCGTATTTATATGATGCCATGGCCATTCTATGGCCATTGGTAGTCGACTTATCACACTGAATATGCGCATGCTATGGTAGTCTTTGTATTCAAATGCGTGTAAAATTCAGAACAGAATACCCAATTGCGTTCTGTTTAACCCGTTGCTTGGAGTTCAATCACATAAATCGCACTGTTATACAATGGGAAGGAAGTTACCAATTATCATCATTGGAATTCCAAACACATCTCTTTTCAATGTCCACATACAACCTGTTCGTATTTTGATATCTGGATTGGGCGTCAATAAAGTGCATTCAGTCATTGTAGCTCCCAAAAAGTCTCCAAAAGCTATATGAGAAAAGAGTTCAAAATATTCCACCACCGATTTATCATCTAAAAGTTCGACAATAAACTTATTTCGTAGTAAATCATCTGCTTTCCAACCTGTGAGAACGCAAAATTCATTCCCCACATATGCTATTTCCCCGGTTCTTCTCCAAACTATTGTTGGGGTTCCACTAACACGAATAAAGTTGTCATATGTTAAAAGTGTTCGTTGAAAACATTGTTCCATAAATATTAAATCATGTTCTTTTAAGGAATTGGTGCAAGCAATAAATGACGGTCTATAAATTGCCATTGATTCCGCCATTTTAACTAACATTTCTCTAGGAAATCTTTTGCGTAAATATGCAATTAATGAATGATAACCTGGTGTATATGAAAATGGTTTAACCACCCGAGCATAGATTTCTTCAGGTTCCTTGTAGATAGTATTAATTTCTTGGTTTTCATCAGGAGGAACCCCTATCACAAACGAGAGAGCCAGCTTAGAATTCCGTTCCTGGAATACTGCGGCATCCGTTTCCTTTAACTTATCTATTGCAGAAATAGCATCAGGAAAGGTTTGTATTTGGTTTTCAACAGTTGTAGCACCCAAAAAATATTGATTTATATTATCATCACATTTGGGATGATGCTCATTTTCGTACAAACTTTTCCTGAGCATACTTAAATCCGATGGTGAAGCATTACTGGTTGTTGGATAATTATTTAATGATCTTTGGTTGTTTCGACCATCATTGAGATGTGCACCACCTGATAAGCCAGCTTGTGGGTTTAAAGGCGGTAATTTTGTCATGGTTGCAATTGAATGAGAATTATTAACATTAGGTGAAACAACTGGTGAAATGTTGGAGCCTGAATTAGGGGTTCCTTCCGTAGAGGTCGATTGATGATGCATAAAATTATCTTGAAGAATGTTTGATAATGTAGAATATTCTAAATCAGCAGCTGATGATAGAAAGTTTGTCCTTCGATTTCGTGAATAAGTATCTGGTATACCTAAACCATTCACCTTATTATTAGAAGGGATTTCCTTTTGAGACCCAATGCTATTATTGCTTATAGTTGAGTTATCACGAGGTGCAAAGGCCATATTAGTATTTTGCGCTTCGTCAATATTTTGAAAAGGATCCGAATCTTCTTCCATTTTCACCTTGGACATGTTATTGGCAGCATCTCCGTCTACTTCTGGCAAAGTTGATTGAGTATTCGAGTTCGAAACAGACGGCTCTCCAACGGAATAATATTCATTATTCAGGTAATTAACAGGTAACGATGCACTCTGTTGGAATATAGTTGCTTGGAAAGGTATTGATCCTGTATTAATCGTTGATGCTTCTGTCAGTCTTTGATTCATTGGGATAGCAAAGGGCGAAGCATAAGTACTCAGATCTTGTGAATTCATTCCTGTCAAAGACATCATCGAAGATGAACTTTGTATAAGTCTAGGATTATGCAATGCATTATTTGGAACATCGGCCAAATACTTCTTCCGTTTCCTTGGTGCATCTTCACAAGATGTCTGTAGACCTCGTTGTATACATCTTTTGCATGGCCTCGTGGCATCACAAGTCATGTGTGCTTTATGGCAATGGTTACATGCCCTTGCGATCTTCTTTCTTCTCTATGGTAATAGTTAGTATTTATTTTGCTAAACAATAACATCGAGTAAACATGCAAGTCAATACAATTAGAACTGAGCTTGATCACAGAATGTGATCATGTCATAGCTTCAAAATTCGACACCTCATAATACAATCATCACTCTTCAAAATTTATTCTGGAGTTTATTTCAAGGACTTTCATCATAACCACACAATTCATAATAGCAACAAACATCCCCCAAAACATTTTAATCTTCCTTTCACTTAACCAAAAATAGGTTACAATCCATATATTGTATATGCATATGATTGTTTAATCTCCAGAAAGTACACCAAGATGATACGTTACATCGAATAAGAAAGCTCTCCTTGTTGTTGTCCTCGTGTGCTAATATGTACATACCCTTTTACCATCAAGGACGGAATCTTCCATCTTGATTCCCACGGCATCTTCCATCTTGAGTCCCACGGTATCGAGATCATTCATGGCTCATCTGATTATTTGAAGCTCGACACAATATGTAGTTCAATCTTTTGTTGTAATACTTAATTGCTTACGTCCGGGTAGCCATGACATTTAAATTGATCCCGCCTAACACCTACGGACCCTCATCGTTTGGAAGAGGCTGGGCTATATACAGGATTCTGTTTGGCGGTGACCCTAATATTACTATCACCAATTGAGTGAGCATAGTATGTAAGAATCATATGATGACAAATATGGAACATAATATGTATTTTTTACTTTAATACGTAGAATAGTACTGGATAATATCACTATTTATAAAGTAAAGGTGTACTCGTTTTTAATTTATAGAGCAGATAAAATCAATGTCTTCATCAATTGAAGTCCAGAACAGATCATCAGAAACGTGAACTGGCTTCCAACCAATCAAAGCTCCATTGTCACCTCTTGTTCTCGAGTTAGTACCCCATGAAAATGGAATGTACTTCTCATGAAGACGAGCCACATCGTCATCGTTTAACAACCCCAAATCAGTAGTGTCCAATAGGTTCTTTGCTTCTAACAGTCTAGCAATGTATTCCGAAACCTGTCTCCAAGTATGTTCGATTGAAGTGGGTTTATCAGTGGGTTCTGGTTCTTTATCAGAATCGAAAAAATATGACCCAAAATAATACCCATTCTTTCCTTGTGGAATGTCCTTTTTGTTAAGAAGCCCCTTAAGAACCAAATAGTATAACTCAGCCAAATCAGCAATATGGATGTGACTCCAAATGTAGTCTCCGTCATGAACAGTAAACACTTGACGCTCATCTAAAGCCAATCTGATAATTCCCGGAATCTGCTGCGATATAGGGTTACCCAATCCAGAACCTCTACCATAAATGTTTGATGGACAAATAATAGCAGCTTGAACTAAAGGATGCTTCTCAAACGACTCCAAGATTAGTTTGTCTACTGGCCTATGAGGTTGTTCCAAGGGTAACAGATTTATTACGTCAATGTCCTTATTATCAGAGTATACCTTCTTCCTGCTAGGAGAGTCTTGTACTCCAACGACAGAAGTTCCAGAAGTGTGTACAAGGACTGTTGGAGTTTCCTTTGAGAGCAACGCCTTAACCAATGCTTCTGCACTCTCAAGATGGTCAACATCAGCTGTATTGATAACAATATCACTGTTGTGGACATTTGATGTTAATAATTCAACATTACTCAAGTCTCCAATCACATAATGGAAACGAGAATCGGTTTTTGCAGCAATCTGATCACCTTTGGCAGCACTGCGAACTAATGCTGTAATTTCATAGTCATCATCAGAGTGTAACAAACGGCGCAAAACCTCTCCACCGATATAACCAGTAGCTCCTGTAATAAAGACTTTCTTTGGACTCATGGTGTTAAATTGATAATAGAGAATGAGTTTGATGTGATTTGAAGATTCTATTCCTCACCTTATATAGACCTTGACCTAATTACTAAGAATCCGGAGATATCGATTTAGTACTAACCAAAAGTTCTTCAACGTAGCAAACAAGAAAAAACACGATGCCGTACATTACAAATGCATTTATTTTTGCTACTGCAGAGCCCTGCCAGATGATATCACTTTAGACTACTGAACATGGCTGCAGCTTCTAGTCTTATGTATGGGACTGGTAAGCTCACCATGATCTCATGATAGCAATAAGAATTTTAAGTATTGATGGTAAACAAATTGATAAGCAATGATAATATTTAACTTCTACAAAAGAAAACCCTTCCCATTTATAACGATTCTGCCAGCGTTACATGCTTCTGATTAGGTTCGTTCCTTGTGTCAAGTTAGCAGCAGTCGTAGTGTGTACGTTAAAGCCTAATGAATTCCTTTCTTTCGCGACTCCGTTTCCTCAGTTATATCGTTCTGAGTACCATGGGAATACTTATACTTCCATCCATAGAAGGTAGTTGGTATTCATGGCACTTTACTTTATTGTGAGATACTTAGGAGCAATGCAATACGTAAATCTTCTATACGCCCTCTCCCACAGTACCATTTAGTGAACATGCTGAACTATAATCGTTGTAGCTGGATCCATTACCATAAATTCTGTCTAAAACCACTCTTCCTGTACACATAGATTAAAACCGATACTGGCGATTGTGTGACATTGAAAGAACAAGAAGGAGCAACCTATCCATAAAGATCACAAGAAGATTGTATATCTACCTCACGTAGCACCTTGATTATCAATTAAATCTTTTTGATTGATTCAAAAATACAAAACTTAGAATGTCCTTTAAATTCCCTTCATTTAACTTGCAATCGCTTCAAGAGCTGTTGCCCACGGTTGAAGACCTCAAAACTAACGCCGCTAAGACAGCAGGTAACCTACAAAAATCGTTTCAACAAACTGGTGATTTGTTCACACAACAAGTGCATAATTTGGCTCAACAAAATAATGGTTCCCGTGAAGTTGAAGTTAGTGAATTGCCTGAAGAGTACTTGAAATTGGAGAAAAACTGTGATTTGTTGCTTAGGGTTTACACTGATTTCATCAAGTTTAACCATGAGACATTTGATAAGGTCAGTTATGATTATCCACCTGCCAACAATGCTATTTCAAAGTTGAAGAACGCCAATGTATCAGGATTTGTTAACAATAAGTTCTCCCAATTGAAGAACGTTTCCTCGCCTCAAGAATTGGAGAAGATTTTACTTGGGAAGTCAAGTGCAGAAGATGCGGAAGCTGAAGCTGAATCTGGTGAAGAACAAGCTCGGATTAAAACTTTATCAGCTCGATTACCTTCTACATTGTATGGAAATTTGGCTACTTTCACTCAGCATCATAGCGATGAATTAAAGGAATCCAATAGCCCCTTATCGTTTGGACTTTTACAATTCTCCTCTGCTTATTTGGAAATTGCAAGTTCTCGATTGGAAATGGATGATACCATTGTCAACACATTCAGTGCTGAATTGGTACGTATTTTAAACAACCAATTATTTACTGTCAATGAGATGCGTAAGCGTGTTTATGCTGCTAGACTGGAGTTTGATGCCATTAGAGCTCAAATCGGAGACGAAGAAGAAGACGAGAACGAAGAATTGATTGCCAAGGAAGACGAATTGGTCAGTGCTACCGAGGTCGCTGTAGTGGAAATGAAGAAGTTGTTGAAACCTTCTGTTTCACTTGATTTGTTGAAGGTATTTGTCACTGCTCAGAAGGAATGGTTTGAGTTATCAGCTAAGAAGTTGAAGGAGTTGTTAGCTTCTTTGGAGAGAATTGAGGACGAAGACCATGAGTAGTTCAACCATTTTTTAAATATTTTTATTATTATTGCTACTATTATTATTAAGGTGTATAATTTCAATTAACTTAATTGTCTCAGTACTTTAATACTGTAAATCGAGCCACACCTCAATTGCTGTCGCACTAAATTTCCAACTCATCACCAACTCAGTATCATTCCCAATTCCATATATCATTAACATGTCACGTCAGGCTTCTTATCAAGATAGAAGAACGGTATTGGGGAAAGCTCATTTGATAGAGCCAATTGTCCGTCATAGAATTCATGAATCGCTTTTTTATAAACAGTATCTCCATCTTACCAATGAAGCAACGTTAATGACAGTTGTAGATCAACAAGTCCAATATGTGGGGGGGGCAGATGGAATAGGGAAACCTTGTCCATTCCTTTGTTGTTTATTACGTATGTTAGAATTGGAACCTCTGTCTGAAATGATAGACGTGTATTTGAATCAGTTGGGTTATAACCTGTTCAAATATCTAACAGCAATGGCTCTTCTTTATGTAAGATTGACTTATTCTTCAGACAAAGTGTATACCATTTTGGATACGTTCTACACTGATTTCCGGAAATTGAGATTCCTTCTAAAGATTCCTGTTTACACTGCTACAGGTTCAGCTTGTCATTATAAACTCAGTTATATCGATGAACTTGTTGATGAATTGATTTGTAGGGAAAGAGTTTGTGATATCATTCTTCCTCGTATCACACCACGCCAACGTTTGGTGGAACAAGATCAAGTTGCACCCCGAATATACAACATCATTACTAAGGGTGAAAATCGTTATTCCAAGAGTGAAGAATATGATAATGCTAATGATAGTGATGATAAATCTGACTTTATGTCAGACTCTGATTAAGTACCTCGGTTATGCCCTCGGAATAACTTTTACTATGTTTGTGCTATTCGCTGACGAGATTCGGTCATACGAAAAGAAATAATCAACAATACTCGAACCAAATATTCTAATTCACTTCCTATTATGATAGAACGCTAAATTAACCATGGCTATAACGACGCTTGATCCGAGCGCTAGAAATGATGAGGGACACTTGTCCACCGTTAAAATCGGATTTATAATAGTAATGTTTGTGGTTTCACTTGCTGCCTTTGTTTCTCAAACTGAGTTCACAGCAGAAGCCTACGACAAAGGATGGAAGGAACCAATTGTGCTTTTGTTTGTAACACATGGTTCATGGTGGGTATTCTGGCCAGTTCAGGCAATTGGCACGGCTATAATTAGAACAGGAGCTAGAACTTGGAAAAAACGGAATCATTATCAACCAGTTGACCAACGAAATAATGGACTTATCGATGAAGGGGTAATAATTACTCCCAAGGTAGGTACTTGGGAATATTTCCAAAGAAATTTGATCAAGCAAATCCATAATGTGTATCATACAGCCATTTTAATCTATGAGTCTGAAGTTAATGACAACAAGCAAACAAACAATTTACAAGTTTTGATTGACCAGAATGTTCATTTACCTAATTCTGGATCTGTTATAGCATGTTTCAAAGCACTTTTAGGAACTCCGGTGTTCAAGTATATTTATATCAAGGCAGTTATAGTCACTGTGGTGTTAACAGTAGCTGGTTTGACATGGTACGCAGCAATAGGTTTGACGTATGCTTCGAACGTTACTGCCATCTATAATTGCTCTGCATTTACTGCATACATTTTCGCTATTCCTATTCTCCGGGAGAAGTTTTCATGGTTAAAGATGTTGTCAGTGGTAGTTGCTATTGCTGGAGTCTTTGTGGTTGCTTATTCTGGAGAAAATAATGGTAATGATGAAAGTCATCCTTATAAATTGATTGGTAATTTACTCATATCTGGAGGAGCTATATTGTATGGTTATTATGAAGTTCTCTACAAGAAATGGCTCTGTGTTCCACCTCATTTGGCTCCATTAATCACTCCAAGAAGACAAATGACATTTGCAAATTTTGTTATGGGACTTTTGGGCATAACAACATCAGTCATCTTGATATCAGTATTCATAATTGGTGAAATCACGGGTATTCATCATTTCAATTGGTCCCATTATGGTAAGGAAACTGGAACCATATGGGCATACATTAGTGGGTCCATTGTATCTAATATGTTATTCAGTGCTTCTTTTCTCACTCTTATGGCCTTGACGAGTCCTGTTCTTTCATCTGTCAGTTCCCTTCTTACCATATTCTTAGTTGGTGTTGTAGAGTGGGTGGTATTTGGTATACTGTTAACTCCCGCTCAACTTCTGGGTGACATGTTGGTGGTTGTTGGGTTTGTTATCTTAACAGTTGCTAGTTGGAAAGAGATTAGTGAAGGTGCTGATGATGATGAAGTAGAAGCTGTTAGTACATATTCCTTTGCTGTAAGTCAGAATTAGCTTATATATAAACAGATCAATATTTGGACATAGTATAGTGTAAGAGGATCTTTAAATCATTCCTTTTATAGAAAGTCATATCTTTGATGCGTATACCCCGGATTTGAAAATTGCTATCTCAACCACTACAGTTTTTCTTTCCCTTTCTTTTCTTTGCCACTAATCGAAGACAGCATGACTCGTGAACAATATGAAATCAATGGGGGTGGTTTCTATGGACTCATGAAGAGTTTGAATCTCGATCCTCAACAGTTTGGGGATATCAATACTGACTGGGATCAGCATGATCTTCAAAGACTTCAGATGATTAAGGAAGATATAGAGACTCAACTTTTGTTGTTGTTTGATATTCTTAGAACTCGTTTGAGAGCTGATATGGATACACAACTTGTAAGTCATGATGGATTCCCTAGAAGTGACATTGATGTCGTAAGCATACGGTTAGTCAGGATCCGTATTATCAGATTACGCAACGATCATCGTCAAGTGTTGCGCCACTTGGAACAAAGAATGATCCAACATTTCCAAAGAGCAGCAGCGCAAGACAATAATGTCATGATAGAAGAACCATATTCTGGTATGGAAATAGATGATGTTCTGGCAGCAGAAAGTTCAACTCAAACACACCGTATACCGTTTGCTAATGTACTGGAAGTTGCGGAGAATGGACCTGCTTATTGTGCTGGGTTGAAAGAAGGAGATATGTTGGTACTTTTTGATACTATACATTCTGGTAACTTTAATAATTTACAAGAGTTAGCAGCAGTGGTTCAAAGACTGCTTGAAAAAGCTATTCCGGTCCAAGTAATAGGAGCTGATTCTTCGAGAAGATCATTAACCTTATGTCCTTGCATTAATTGGGGTGGTCGTGGAGCTTTGGGATGTAAAATTGTCCCGATATAGGCGTACAATAGTTATGCTTTTGTTACTAAATGCTATGATATGACATGAAATGATAAGATATTAAGTTATAAATATTCTAACCTCCGTGTAATGTACTGGTGAAAGTCAATACATCTCCATTCTGTAAGACATAGTCTTCTTTATCTTCCAACTCCCAATCAGTATCATTAATCAATACTAAGATACCTGGACGAACAGTTTCGTCTTCAATGAAAACTTCAATATCCTTTTCTTCTGCTATGATATTCTGGCAGATCCATTCGATTGCCTCCTTCATCGTAGCCTCACCTTCTTCAAACGGTATCTTGACTTTATGTTCTCTTACCTTTTTAGATATGACATCCAAGCCTCCAAGGAACTCTACTTTTAAAGAAATGGTCATAGTGCAACAATTATGATATATATAACTCTAATAATATTAGCAACACTATAGAAACGAATTAAAATCGTACTCTCTAGAACATACTTGGATATAAGACGATGATGTATACCGTCTTCAAACTATTTTAGTCAATATATGAATCGCGCACGACTATCAAAAAAAAAAAGCCAGCGATTCAAACAGATGTTTAATTGAAGGTGTCAAAGTTATATGTTCAGGACTAAACAGCAGACTGAGGCCTATTGCGTGTAAACATCGGTTTAATACGCGTCCGTGAGTTAATTGAGGAGTTTCGCCATGTTGAAAGGTATTTGGAACGCGTTTATTGCGTTGTTCATGATAGTGACTATCGCTGCTGCTAACATCATTCCGGAGTCGATATTAGTGCTTTCTGATGAAAAGTTGAATAATCTTGTCAATGGAACTGATCCTACTAACAATGTGGGTCGTTTGATAAGTCAATTAACCTCTAAGGGAGAAGTTACTTTTAAACAATACAGTGATGATAATTTAGAGGTTTTTTTTGGGGGAGACATCAAATATGATCATTTGGTACTTTTACCATCAAGTAAAAAGACTGTAGGTGACAAAGCTCATTTTACCGCACAATCATTAAAGGACTTTATTAATGGAGGGGGTAATGTTTTAATTGTCGGAGACTGTGATGCACAACAGCCAGAACCAATTAAAGCCTTATTGAATGATATTGGTATATATCCATCTCCAAAGGGTTACCAACTACTTGACCATTTCAATGTTGGTTCTGAAGGTTCTGGTATCAAATTGGATAATTCCAATCTTATTTCAAACCGTATTGTGGACTCCTTACTGATTGATTCTTACAAAGGAGGTGCAGCCTTAATTTCTGGTAACGAATTGTTATTCCCACTTGTTAAAGGTTCCAAGACTAGTTTTACTGCTGACTCCAAAAAAGCTGATGTTCCATTAACTCAAGAATCTGCTTGGACTTTTGGTAACCAAGGTTTCGCAGCAGTTGCCTTCCAAGCTTTAAACAATGCTCGTATCTCTTGGGTTGGATCTTCTCAACTTTTAAGTCCTCAATTAGTACTGTGGACTTTGAAAGATCGTGATGTTCTCAAGTTACAATTTGTTACCCACTCCAAGGAATCTGCTCCAGAAAAAGTGGATCCCAAAATATACCGTGTCACTGAACAAGTCTTGTACACTATTGGTGTTTCGGAATTGGTTGATGGCAAATGGGTTCCTTTTGAAGTAAAGAATGAAGAAGACAAATTACAGTTAAGTTTCAAGATGTTAGATCCTTATCAAAGAATCAATATGCAACCATTGGGTCCAGTCAGCTCCAATGAGAACGACTCAAGATTGGATACATATGCTTATTTGGCCAATTTTACTGTCCCTGATCATCATGGTGTTTTCACTTTTGAATTGGATTACAAAAGACCAGGCTTGAGTTATCTTATGGACAACAGATTAGTTACTGTTAGACATTTGGCCAATGATGAATTCAAACGTTCATGGGAAATCACCAATGCTTGGTTGTATGTTGCTTGTGCAGGTATTGTTGTTGTAGCATGGTGCCTTTTTGTTATCAACTTCATTTACATTGGGAAGCCCAACACCTCTAAGAAACATCAATAAGCTATATATTTTATAAGGTTAAGTAGATAAAATAAGATAAAGTAAAATAAAATCTAGTATATGTTGGCGTCACGTGACTGTTTTGGGAGAGTCTGGTTCCTCTGCCTGACACAGTATATTTCAATGGATTCAATTGAATGTACGTATTTAGCTCTTTTTTGCCTCGTGAGAATGTTACTTAACGGGTCGTAAGTATATTTTTGTTGAATTAAACAGTTCCATGTTGTCAGTATGTATATGGAGAAATCATTCAGTGAAAAATTTCGACCCGCATTAACAAAATCAAGTGATCTTAAGACAAGCGTTCTATAACTGAATTAATTTGATATTAACGTCATATCATATCATATAATAAATTATGGTGACTAAAGAAGAAGCATTGCAACAGCATGAGAAGCTGAAGAAGGTCCAAGGATTGCAAGTGACATATAACCGATACCAAGAAACAGCTACTGAGTTACAGAATCAATTGAATACAATTGCTTCTCAGATTCTGGAACATGAAATCGTACAAACTACATTGGGAGAGCTACCCGAATCCTCTCGTGAAGGTCGCAAGTGCTTCAAGATGATCGGCGGGGTACTTGTGGATAAGACTGTGGATGAAGTGTTGAAGATGTTGAAGGAGGAATTGGGCGACTTACGCAAAGAGCGGGCCAAGTTAGATACCAACATAAAAGAGCTCAAGAAGGAAATGGATGCATGGATCAAGAAGAATCATATTCAAGTAGTTAGGCAATGAAGAAAGGTTATTTTAAATATACATTATAGTTTGTATGTGTAATAATAATAGAATATTAAACAAATAAACAGCATTAATCATTATATTGGACCATATATATATATATATAATTAGTATATAAATGTTTCAAGATGATACAGATTGAGCATATGATGTTCGAATATCACTTTCATACCCACTGGATCTGTTAATAGCTTCCCATTTAGGTTCATCCTTGAATAGACGCATGGCATGGACATATTTGGCCCCTTCTGTCAACGTAAACCGATGATAAATACCTGCTGGTAAAATCAACAAGTCCTTGGGAAAAAGTTTGGCTCTAACCCATTTCTCATTTTGGTCTCTTACATCAAAGTAGCCTTCTCCTTCAACAATGTAACGGATTTCTTCATCCTCGTGGTAATGTTCTTCATAAAACTGTTCCATTTTTGCGTTGTAAGCAGTCTTATCACCGCCAAAGGTATCTAAACTCAATTTGACTTCATCTCGATTACGATAGTTTCTTTCCTCAGCAATCGCATTCAATTCATCTAAAGTGTCAACCTTACGGTAAATCACACCAATCGATGTAAGATTCTTGATATCAAAGGGTTCACCACGGTGATCTTGTGTGAAGTTCTCTTTGGTATCTTGGTTGTCGTGATAATAGAATTCAACCATTGTAGGGGAGCGGGGTTATGGTGCTATGAAATTTGATCACTGTTGAAAATAAGCGTGATTTTAACTGAGCAGAATATAACTGGCTCCTTTGTCTACTAAATGTGAATATTAATCCCCTGGAACTATATCATAAACTACTATTAGTACTACTCATTAATTAAATGACGATATGCGAAGTGCACGACAGAGTGTGGCGATACTTTTGAATATTGATTACATAAGCATTTGTACTTATTCTGAATGATTAGTGTCTATTAAGAAAAGATCTCCATTATTATGGCATAGTTTTCACCTTCAAACTTAACATTATCAATACCTAAAATGTATGGTAACCGACCGGGGCACGATAACCCACAAAACTCTAATGAGCCTCCCAATAGTAATGGATCACGTTTGGTCCTTAACAGAAGAACTGTTGATCATGGTAATAGTATGGGTCGTTGGCATTTATATCGACTGATGGGATTGTATGATCAATCTGCTCCTACTATGGGAGTTATACGACCGGAATCGTCATATCTTATGGACTTATTGCCATCAGCTGCATATGCAGCCGATGGAAAGAGTACAATGGCTGCTATGGATTTACAAACCAAATTTGTTCATTTATCAAGTAATAAGGCCAAACATTCCATAAATACTGTTAAATGGACACCAGAGGGAAGAAGATTACTTGTTGCGAGTCATAGTGGTGAGTTTACTTTATGGAATGGGATGACATTCAATTTCGAAACAATCATGCAAGCCCATGATACAGCAGTTTTATCACTAAAATATAGTCATAGCGATGAGTGGCTTTTAAGTGGAGATCAAAATGGATGTTTAAAGTATTGGCAACCCAATTTTAATAACGTTAATATATTAAATAAAGCTCATGCTGATGCTATTCGTGATATTGCCTTTAGTCCCAATGATTCCAAGTTTTTAACATGTAGCGATGATTCTACGGTTAAGATTTGGAATTTCAATAATGGACAAGAAGAGCGAACACTTGTGGGGCATCATTGGGATGTAAAGCTGGCAGATTGGCATCCAACACTTGGATTAATTGTTACTGGATCTAAAGATAATTTGATTAAATTATGGGATCCAAGATCCTCAAACTGTATATCAACTTTACATGGATTCAAGCATACGGTATCGAAAACTAGATTTCAAACCAGTGGTAATCAAAGATTACTTGCAGGTACCAGTCGAGATAAATCATGTCGAGTTTTTGATTTACGTACCATGAGAGATTTAGTAGTAATTCGAGATCATGATGCTGATGTTTCTGGAGTTTCATGGCATCCTATACATGGTTCGATATTAACTACTGGTGCATACAATGGATCCTTGCATCATTATGTGTTAGATACATTTATCCCCGATGGGGGGTCACTGGGATCTAAAACGGGTGGTGGCGTCGGGGTTACAAATGCCTCATCGGCATCTGCACATCAAGCTGCCGCATCTCTGAGTCTGGTGGGAACAATTGAAGCAGTGCACAAGATCCCCTATGCGCATGAGAAGGCAATTCATGCAGTGGAATATCATCCTTTAGGTCATTTGCTTTGCACTGCCGGTGTTGATAGAACTGCTCGGTTTTGGTCTAGGGCTCGACCAAATGACCCTGGAGCTTTGAATGATGCATTATACACTGATCAGAAGTCTGGAGCGTGGTATTACGCGGTGAACAATAATGTTAACGCAGTTATTGATTCGCTGAAATTACCAGGATCTAATGGAGTTGGTGAAGGTGGAGACAACCTTCGAGAAGATGGGCTTCCTGGGCTTCCTGGTTTACGGATGTAGATAAAACAAAATCATATAGAACATTTGATTTAACAGTAATAACTTTGTATCTTTCTTCTATAACCTCTCTAATAAAACAATATAATAAAACAATATAATAAAAAAAAAAATATAATTACCAAAATTCCCTTAAACCTTGTAGAACGCAGAAGCAGCTTCTAAATACCGTTGCCCTTCCTTTTCAAAGTAACCATCAACAAATTGTTTGATCAACTTGTAAACCTCTTGTAACCCAAACTTTGGTGATAATAATTGCAAATCCCATTCAGCACCCGCATTCACACATTTGACGTAAGCTCTAACCTCTGGAGCTAACGATAATAATTCATCTTTTGTGACAGGATCATACACCTTGAAATAATGGCTAGTTCTCCGCTTAAAATCAGCAATAGCCGTAGTATAATCCTTATCATGATAGTCATTATTATGGGCCTTACCCAGAATATTAAACATGTGTAATGCTTGCAGTTGACATTGAACATCAAGTATTAAAATATTATTAATCCCTTCATTTTTGAGAAGATTATACATTCGTTCACGACGATCACGAGTAGTATTGGTAGCATCGAGAAATCCCACATTAACTTTAGTTGATTTTAAGTCTTCAATTAATCTTGTGGCAGCAATCGTTGCGAATCTTTCTCTTTCAAGTTTAGCTGTAGTGTTGCTTGGATCAAAAAAGTTGGCATTATTAAACTCTTGTTTGATTTCACGACGTATATCTCCGGCATTATAAATGTTGGACGTAACTTGATTATCATTCAAATACAGACATAATTGACGGGCTATAGTGGATTTACCAGATGCGGGTAACCCAACGAGGATGACTGCTAATTGAGTTAACCGTTTAGAAAGTAATTCCAAATCAAGAGAACGTTCTATTGGACTGGTAGAAAATGAAGCTCGTGAAAGAATAGGTGTTATGGTTGTGGTGGTGACTGTGGCAGCCAGATTTCTGGCGCCAGAATCAAAAAGTGAATCCAAGGACTGATTGGAATCTTGTCTTGTCATATTGCGATTATTGTAATCAAAGGTTTCAAAAATTCTATCCATATCGAGAGCACTAATGGCACATTTTAATTCAGTATTTAAAAAGTAAGGAATGTGGTAATAATAATAATAACTGTAAAAACTAAGAGAAAAAAACGTTATGACAAATTCGACATTCCGTCATTCTTTATAAATATATAATAATATGTACAATCTTGGTCTGCCATAGAATCACTCTTCGCCAGGTAAACGAATCCTCATCGGCACACAAAAACTCCGTTCATCCTAGCACCTGCTGACTCGACAAAAATTTTCGCATTATTGCACCCAAATTTTTATTGACCGATACCAAGTGGCTATAGCCGGCAGGAATTATCCAGGGTTATGAAATTGCACATTACAAATTAATCCGAAAACAGTTGTTGTTATGATTGCTTTGAGGGACCAGAGCTCATGAACTTCAACAACAGCCTTTGTCGTAATCATTTAAGCATCTTCATAATCATCAGCTACAGCAACACCATATAATGATCATTATTATTAATAATCATAATTACGCTTATGTTAGAGCATATCCATATGTTTACACCGGTAGTTATTCTGTTATGATGTCTGATGTCGTCATAGTCCTGTAGTCCGAGATTTTCAAAAGTGGTTCCGTCCGATGCGTATGGGCGCATTTCAAGTGGATGTCTTACCTAATTAGGCTAATCACCCCTTTTTAGGTTGTTTTTCCCAAGAACCCCTCATTGCCCCTCCCTCAGCTCCGACTCAACATTCGGTCGGTAGCCAGATCTCCTTTAGGTACTGACACGTTTCCAGGTTTAATTTATGAGTAACTGTCCTTTTGCAAAGTGTACTATCTTTAGCAGATTGATCAAGGTGTGTTTCACATTAGTATCCCTGGCCCCTAGAGAACGTGGGCTACTAAATTGGAACATCCCGATGTGTTGGAGTATCCTCAATATTCTTGCTTTGGTATTACTTGATTACTGAATGTCTGCAAACTTTCCAAAAAACTTCCGTTGTTCCGCATGACTCACTTATGGTTTGGTGTCTCCTCAGTGACTTACCTCGGTGCTACTTCCGTTCTTCCGCACCCACATCATCAGACCCTTGTTGTCCAATCTAGTAATTCCAAATATAATTTTCTTACGTAAGTAAGTGACTCTAACCTTATCAACCCGTTTCTATCAGTAGGCTATAACTACTCAATATGGAAATGGGTGCAAAGTTACTTTCAGTGCGTAACACTACCTACTCCTCTATCTACTTAGACCTGTTGCCAACTTCGGGAATTCTTATTTCATAATGTTACAATAACATCTATAATCATCTATGTACAAATCAAATTTTGGTCAAGGTGTGATAGGACATCCTTTTCCAGAATAAGAAATCGTCATTGCAATCTATGTATGTTTAATGGTCACCTTTTGCAAAAATTATCTAACTCTGTTTGTATATTTTGGGATCAACAAAATCCCGATGGCGCCATTCCTTCTTACGCTTCTCTCCAATATCAGAATACTTACGGTATCCTGTAGAGATGCTACCAGATCCATTGATATCAGCTTCAAAATCAATAGCATTTAGATCACCAACTTCTCCCTTCTGTAACATTTCGTTAAGTGTAGTCTTTAAGTTAGCAGGTACGGCCATTGATAGAATAAATCCTTCAACCAAAAACTTACTTTCATTGGCCATAATCTTACAATATTCATCAGTATTTGCATCTTTGTCATGAAGTTGCGTAATCCGATACTTTGTTTTCCAAGAGTCTTTAATATGTTTAGGGTATAGCTTGAATTCTTCATTAACATCATATTCTGAGTTCTGAGGATGGAACAAATCCAAATCAAATACTGCAATTTCCTTTTCGGAAATCAATTTCTTATTAAATGCATCCAATTCATTTCGATGCTTCATTAATTCTTTAAATATGACATCAGGCGTATGTTTGAAGCGAAAACTAGTTTCGAATAATTCAGAAAACAGATCTAGTTGGGTAATGTCGTCCTTCAGAACTGGTACGGCAAAGATGCGTAGTTTATTGGGTCCACTCCTGCTTGATTTTTTCAACTTGAATGTCATCCGGAAGGCACAACCTTCGGGTAACTTTTGAATAGTTTGGTTTAAAAGATCCGTCCACATATCAATAGACCTCTCAAACTGCTCTTTGGCGACATATGGAGCTAAATTCTCCAGTAAATTTTCTAATGAATATAAAGAACTGGTTTTCAACTTTTTCACGTCGTAGTTCATCTGTCTGTCATAAAAAACACGATCTATTTCAGTTAATGGGATATATTGAAACCCAAAAAACTCATGAGTATTATGGTATGCAACATAAATTCCATCCATACCTCCAATTCTGGCTTGGAAACCATATTTTAATAATGCCCCAGTTCTTATCAAATCTTTCTTTTCTCTTTCAAAAGATTCAAACTCACCTGTTTCACGCCAAATTTGATAGTGTCTGCCAAAACTAGTATGAGAGTAGGATTTGGAATCATGTCTAATGGCACCAACCGCTCTGGTTTTCAAGTCAAATGTTCCATTACCGGGTAACCGATCGTCATAACAATCGATTTGAGATCTTAATAAAAACTCTCCACAGGTACTATATGAGTAAACATTCTCAGCAGGTAAAGGAGAAGTAGAACTCTCCTTAGTAGATTGAGAATTCTTAACAAGAACATTAACTTTCCCATATTCAGTAGTTAACATGAGTTCAAGGCAATGACCCAATGCAGATAAATAAAGTTCAGTATCCATCGATTTATCAGACGACACAGAGTATGTTGGTTTCCCATCATTGTCACCGTTAATATTTCCTTTTGGTTCCACTAAAACAGTTGCACTCAGATTGTAAACCAACTTGGACATTTCTGGAGGTTCCAAACCAAATTTCTTTGGTATAGCTTTCCGCAGTATATCGTTCAAGAATAAATAAAACAATGTTAATACTTTAGTCATTGAAGATGTACTGGAAATAAAGCTTTTCTTATTCTTTTGAGCTATCTCAAATAGATGAGTGTCCTTTGAAGCAGAGATAAACGATGGAATTAGACTTTTATCATACTCGGAAACATCATGGATTTGTTTTAAATTGGGTGAAAAATTGTATATTCGAGTTCTTGGATCTTGAAGAAAGTGAACTCCAGGGGAGAACAATGCTCTATCCAACCCATGCGCTAATCTAGGGACTTCTACTCCCTTGGGACTATGCAAAAGTTCAAGCTTAGATCCAGAAACAGTATTTGAGAGAACTCGAGTAAGAATATGAGTTGAGTTGGGGTTATTCAACGGTGGTAAATGTTGTCTGTGGCGTCTTGTTTTCGGGGTATCGGATGCAGCACCATCTTCAAGATACTCTGTTGAATATTTCAGTCTTCTGGGAAATTTAGGTAATCGCTTTGGTGGTCTACTCTTATTCTGTGTAGTTGATTGACTGTTATTAGAATCATTGTTATCACTAGGGGTGGTACTCAGCTGACTAGCAGTAGTTGAAACCCCCCAAGATAAAAGCTTCTCATTATCCTGAGATCTGGGCTTCGAAAGCAAGTTCACCGGTTTGGTCTTGGTTTTTCTTTTAGGGCGTTCTAGCTTTTTAGATCTGGAATCTAGTGACTTTATGGCTTGTTGCACATCGGTAGATAAAGTCTTTTGGATTTCGGAATGATATTCCTTCTTTACAGTCGTAATGGTATCATCAACAAGTTCACGAGATATATTCTTTATGTTTGATGTGAGTCTTCTACCAGATCTTAAAGCAGCTGTTAGATCAACTTTAGAATCATTCTGGTCATCCTGCTGCAAAGTTGATGAATCCTTTCTGATCCGTTGGACTTCACTATATGAAAAACATCGTCTGGTAAAGAGACTAATACTTTTATTGGTTTGGGCTTTTATAGAGTTGATTCTCATATTCCAATAACCTCATAAACCAAAGTTAAGCTACTAACATAACATTGGGGCATCTCTTCAACTTCAGTCCCCGCCTAATTGAAACCGAAAAAATCCTACGCTTGTTGGTAGCGCGTACTTAGAGATAAAAGGTGATCGTGAGCGTAGTAGAGCTTTATGCCAGAATGTTCTTCTTGAAGAGAATACTGTGGAAGTTGAAAAGGCAAGACAATTGAGTGTCATTAAAGAGCTTGGTATGGTTGGAAGATGTACCGTTTCTTTACGTCCAAGGTTCTTTTGGCAAGGTATTGTTCGCTCTAACCCACTCCAGGAATATCGTAAGGTTCACGGATGCTTGTTGTTAGTGGCATTATGATAAATTATGGGCTTTAATTGGTAAGGTATAATTGTTCTACACTGTAGAATGTTTGAAGAAGAATGAACCACATGGAAGTGGAGTTTTTAATCTCGGTAATTCGGTGTTCGAAATTTGCACCCATATCATTAACACTTTACCTTTTTACTGACTAAAATAAAGCAAGATTTAAGATTTTCTGTTGAAAAGATGAAAGAAGTCATAGTTATAAATATTGTATTCTTTTATGAGTAGGAACAAAATTTATAATGGTTTAGCGTTCTTAATCATTAACCTTTTTTCTAAAGATGTACAACATATTTATGGAAACTACGTGCAACTTTACTTCGTTATAAACAAAACCAAGAAAATAATACTTGGAAGAGATACAACCCTCGAGCTGTGCATGGCAAACCAGATACCATGGTCTTTCACCAGGTGTTAAGCATACAGCCATATCCCGAATTATGGACGCAAACGTTAATACATCTAGAGATATAAATCACGTGACAGGAGTAATTTTATGTGACAGTCTTGAAATGCTCGTTGGACCTGGGTAACAAGCAAGGACTTCGTGGCCAAGCTGGCTAAGGCGTAAGACTGTTAATCTTAAGATCGTGAGTTCGATCCTCACCGAGGTCGCTGTTTTTTTTGCTTTTTTATGTTTTTCCGTCAGAATAGGAAACCAATGTAATGGCGGATTTAAGAGTTACTCGTCTTGTCAGTACGGGGCAAGGGAACTTTAGCGTTGAATACTACTGTAGCAACAAGCGGCTTAAACGGGACCCACTGGCACCAATCATTATGCTGGACACCAAAGGTCGCGAAACTCTGTTACAAATCAGGCATCTATGCGCCGTTTAAGGTAATTGTGCTTTGCTAATGCGGACAAAGAAATTTCGATCTCCGCAGTTGACCAATAACCTGAGTCATAAAGAGACCATGATACACAATATACTTTTTTGCATATGCCTACTTTATTTGCACTCTGAATGTGAAGAATAAAAACGTATGACTCGCAGCCAATAGCTTTGTAATGTAAAAATGTATTGGTTTTCCTGTCCAATCTTACTGCATTCAAGGTAGCCTTAAAATGCACCACAATACGGTACTCTTACTTAAAAAAATAGCCATTACTATTAGCCAAATGAAAGTTAGTGGGAAGAACTTTCTCAAGCCTCCACTAACCAACTTTCATTACCCTCGTAGAGATTTGTACCAGTACAAAAATACATTTCAACAAACTTTAACTACCGTCTTCCCCAGAGTTACCTTATGTAAAGCTGAAAATTTTCACCCAAACCCAAAGCCCCATTTTGGCGATGTCACAACCAGAATAGCCATTTTGTGAATTGAGCACTATTCTCCAATACTGTGATACTTATTCTGGAATAAATGTGCGACAATCGCCTTTTTTTCTCATCGTAAAACCAAACATCTTTGTTATACAAACAGCATCGTATTGAGCCTTATTGTATTGGAGACTTTCGTATACCACTGCTTCTCCCAACTGTATTATTGAGAAATGGAATCATTAGCTCGTGCTTCGTTGTCGGTTTGTCCATTCGTCAAATCGACTCCAGTGACCGCCTTACGTCAAATCTCTTCTCAATCAGGTTTGGCAACTCAAGCTAGACAATGTCCCTTTATGAATGCTGCTTTAAAGGCCAAGGAGTCAACCAGAACTTATTCATCTGCTACTAAGCCGGTTAGAGCAGCAGCTGCAACTCCTTCAGGCTCCAAGGCTGCTAGTCCTTCATCAGCTTATTCCTTCAAGTCCAGTGATCTTATTAACTCTTCAGTTAACATTGGATCAAAGGAATCAACTTTTGATTATTCAGGTTTTATTTCTGATCTGTTGGCCCAAAAGAGAACTGATAAATCTTATCGTTTTTTTAACAATATCAATAGATTGGCTGATGAATTCCCTCTTGCTCACAGAGGTGAAGAGACTGACAAGGTTACTGTATGGTGTTCCAACGATTATTTGGGTATGGGCCGTAATACCCGTGTCATCAATGAAATGAAGAGAGTTTTGGACAAGTACGGATCTGGTGCTGGTGGTACTAGAAACATTGCTGGTCACAATCGTCACGCCATCAGATTGGAGTCTGAATTAGCTGCTTTGCATAAACATGAAGCGGCTTTGGTATTCTCCTCTTGTTTTGTCGCCAACGATGCTGTTTTATCGTTATTGGGTCAAAAAATGAAGGACTTGGTTATTTTTTCTGATGAATTGAATCATGCCTCAATGATTCAAGGTATTCGTAATTCTAGAGCTCGTAAGGAAATCTTCAAGCACAACAATTTGGAAGATTTGGAAATGAAGTTGGCTTCATATCCAAAATCTACACCAAAGTTGATTGCTTTTGAATCAGTGTACTCCATGTGTGGATCTATTGCTCCAATTGAAGCCATTTGTGATTTGGCTGACAAATACGGCGCATTGACATTCTTAGATGAAGTTCATGCTGTTGGTATGTATGGTCCACATGGTGCCGGTGTTGCTGAACATTTAGACTTTGAAGAACATTTGGCTGCTGGTATTAACAGAATTAGGCCAGATTCTGTTATGAACAGAATTGATATGGTCACTGGTACTTTGGGTAAGGCTTATGGTGCTGTTGGTGGTTATGTTACCGGTAAGAGAGATTTAATTGATTGGTTTAGATCTTTTGCCCCAGGTTTTATCTTTACCACTACTTTGCCTCCTATGGTTATGGGTGGTGCAGCTGAATCTATCAGATACCAAAGAGCTACTTTGGCTGATCGTATTGCTCAACAGAAAAACACTCGCTATGTTAAGACAAATATGAACTCATTGGGTCTTCCTGTGATTCCCAATCCTTCGCACATTGTCCCAGTTCTTGTTGGGAATGCAGCTGATGCTAAGAAGGCTAGTGATTTGCTTTTGGAGAAGCACAATATTTATGTTCAAGCCATCAACTTCCCAACAGTTCCAATTGGGGAGGAAAGATTGAGAATCACTCCAACTCCTGGTCATGGTGCTGAGATCTCTAACCGTTTGATCGATGCTGTTGACTCAGTTTTCACTGAGTTGAGTTTGAAGAGAATTAACGACTGGGAAAAGGTCGGTGGTTTATGTGGAGTTGGAGCCAAGGATGCAACTGTTATTGACCATATTTGGACCGATAAGCAATTATCATTGTTGGACTCAGATTTGAACCCTAACGTGTTTGAGCCTCTTATTCAACCACTTGAAGTTTCTTCTGGTGTTGCTGTTTAAGTTGATGCTACATACTTCTAACTTTTGACTGACTATTTCCTTTGATATCAAACAATTTTTTTTAAAAAAAATGGAAGAAAAGGAATATGTTCACTAGTAGTAGTATTGTTTGGCTTCTACTAGCATTGCTAGCTTATTCTATTTGATTTTCTGACGTTTCTCCTCTTGTCTACATTGTTTTCGCTTCAACATGACCATATTCCATACGTGTCCATAGTATATATATGGTTTATTGATGTTACCTCCTCTCTTCAGAGTGATGTAGATATTCTTGTAAGGCTACTGATTCTATACACTTATTCTTACGCTAATCATAATGAGTGGTACGCTATCAACTTAATGGGTTTCGACATACCCCAAGAATACTATACTAATATTTTTCACCACACACGACGGATTAATGTACACAAAAACGACATCATCTTTACCTTTACTCCAAAACAAAAACATAGGAACCTTGTTAGTATAATGCCTTTGCACCCATTTAAAAGGCCTTATAGTAGAAGATCACGTTCACTAAAAGAAAAGAAAACAAAAGAACTAACAGAAAATGGTGCTAGACAGTCATCAGATGATGCGTCTTTATGCACATCGGTTACTTACATCAATATGTTCCACTGCTTCCATACTGGAAGAAACAATAAGAAGCCTATTACTGATATTTCTTGAGTGTTTAGATAGCTTCATCACGCCAAACAACGTAGCACGATATCTGTGGGATAACTTGAGAGCATCATTTGAAGAACTTGATTTGCTCAATGAATGGACACAGATGGAGATGATGCTAAAACTGTTGGCTACTTGCAAACTGCCAGAAGAAGTCATAGAATATATTGAATTCGTGTTAGCTGGTAATGCCGATGATGTCACACGTCAACGGCATAGTCAAATATTTCAGCAATCACAACAACGACAGTCCCAGGTTGATTTTTCAAATAGGAGCCTGATCCATACTTTTCCCCAAATGACATATCATCAACAAAGACATCTGATAATACGAGATCGAGAAGTCCAGCATCTGAAAGTTCAACTGAAACGATTAAGCACGAGAATTCTGAGTTCAGGATCAATGGAATCCAGAATGGGGGCTACTTCCCCGTTAGCAGCTTATGAATCATACTCGAGATCTTCTCCTGCGAGATCGATGGCCGAGTTAAATACAAGACCTTCTCCATTTAACACTAACACCCAAACTGGATTGAATCAGAGCTTTAATCTTCAAAAATTAACTATGGCAGAATTGACAAGCCATCACGATATCTCGCCTCTTCTGGATTCTGAAGTTGTGAGGTTTTTGCAACATACTTTAGTGGGAATAGATTCAAACTTAGTCATGTTTACCAATAATGGTTTAGAAATCCCTCATGGTTTCTCTAATAGTCATCAATATTTTTTGAAAGACTTGTTTGAGCTTGCACTTTTGTATCGATATTTGAGCACATATGTTCACAATACGAAACAAATGGAATCCCCTATCAAAAGAGCATTTCTTACATCAGTGAGATCATACTTGGAAGAATATTCTTATTTCATTGAGAATTTATTCCACAATAATGACTTAACATTACAAGAAGCATACAATGCATGCTATTATCCTTGGCTATTCCAGGTTCGTTTTATAAATACATTATTTAAGAAGTACTTCGATACTGACAGAAACATACCTGGTGATCAATTACTTTCTAAGATGTATTCCCTTAGCAAGTTTGGAGATTTGAATCTTTCTAGCCTTACATTCCTCGGTCATTGCATGAATCCGTATTTTGAAATATTGGAACATTGGCTTTTAAGAGGAGAACTAATTGATCACGCTAATGAGTTTTTTATAAGATTTGATGAATCCAAAATGAACTTTAATGAGATGATAATATTTGATGCTTCGAGAGTCCCACGATTTTTCACTCTCAAAGTAGCCAAAAGAGTCTACCATATAGGTAAAATGATTACATTCTTGAGTAAAGTGTGTCACGAACTTGAATGGGTTGATAAGTATATATCCAGTGAATCTGAAATCATTCAAAAAAAGATACAGGGCTCATTACAATTCCATGATAACTTAGAATCGTTGATCGATTCTTTGTATCACCAACTTCTTAAGAAGTTTACAAGTGTGATTCATGGCTCTCAAAATGAATTGTTAATTCATATTTTAAATTTGAAAGATATTTTGTTGACAAATCGAAATGATTTGATTGAACAAACAATTCGGAAAAGCTCTCCTTTACTTAATCATGTGGCATCTGATATTTCGGGGTCATATTTGACTAGGTTGCTTAATGAATCTCTGTCTACTCTACTAGAATCCAAGTTTCGTTACTTAAATCGGATTGACGCCAGACTCCTTACTAGTGACCATGGTAGCATTGGATGGGATGTTTTTACGTTTGATTATCGATTGGAAGATTTACCAATTCATCATATCATCAATTATCGTGACTCCTTTAGAGAGTATTTGAAAATTTTTAATTTTTTTTGGAAAGTTAAGCATTTACAATACTGTTTGGATCAGTTATATCTTAAAACATTTAAGAAAACTGTCTCGAAGACACCACAAACCTTAAGATTACATTTAAGGAACATTTCCATAATCCGCAACCAAATGAGTTTATTTTTATCGTTTCTTATGTCTTACTTCTGTTACAATATAGTTGAAGAGCTGTTTCAAAAGCATATTGTACAGAATTTGTTCAAGTCCAATCTTGGAAACACACTGCAGCACATATTACTCAATCGATTTGTTAAATCGGTAAGGGACAATTCCATATCCACTAACAGTGAAGGAGGGAACAAATCATTAAATGATTTAACTATGGACGAACTTGTGGATCTTCATACCACGTACTTGAAGAATATTACTTCGAATAAGCTTTTGAGCACAGAACATGTTGGCTCCCATTCCAAGCAAAGTTTTATCATGACAATATACGATATATTAACCACGATTAACAAGTTTGAAGAAAGTAGTACAGTGTTTTATGCTTGTGTTGAAGAATATGAACATGAAGTTCTACTTAACCTGTCGCAGATGTTGGAATATAACAACCCCATAGTAACCTCACTGATGGCACGTGCCCTACGTGATATTAACCAAAGAGGTAAAGAGTTATACAATGAAATCTACCGTAAGCAGTATACGAATCAATTGCATATCCTATATCGCGATCTAAACAGCGATACCAGTACAAGACCGTGTATTAAGATGGGTGCATTCCCGGTCTTGGACGAATGGAGAAACTGATGGGACCTATGGGTTAGGCAAAAGTGCAAACTTCATTCTTTCTTTCGATTTGACCACGGAAATATGGAAGAATGAAGATGTTTAATAACGCATTTTCCAGTTGCCTAAGTGCATTATTATTATTTATTATGATTACTGTCAACCTCACATCACATCATACCAAATTGAGTTTGTGTATTGGAATGAGGCTGAACGGATATATGGACTTCGGTGTCATAATATGTAATGGAAGTAAATTTTCTTCCTACCCCACAAATTCCTCATGTGGTTTACTTGGATTGTGGGGCATCGGCCAAGGCACGACCCAATCGTGAAGCGAAAAGAAGCTACACTTTTACAATTCACAATAACCACAAGACCACCGCCCGGAAGTTAGGTTTTCTCGTAGTATTGCATGCCATCTCTGGTTGGCTGGATCTTATCGTTAGTGGGGCTATTTCGGACCTCAGGCACATACTTCATAGTATACCTGGCGGGGCATTCTCTTTAGGATTAAGTTTAGATGTTTCACATGGACGTGGACCACTATCAATTGTTTGACCTGACACTAACTATTATTCAACCTAACCAATATTAGTACCTCAAACACAATTATGCCGACTATTAATCGTGTAAACCGGCTCGGTCAGTGTGAATGATGTCAACATGAAAAAGGTTGTGGTGCTTACGACCGAGCTTTGAGGTGACACAAAACCCAAAATCCTCGGACTATTACCGATGGTTAATATATAAACCCCAGATTTCCCTTGAGCTGTAATTTCACACTATAAAATTTTGGACGAGCCCCTTTCTTTTTGCGAATTTGTTTAAGTTGTGTTGCTGGTATCAACGCTAGATTAGATATAGATCATACATACATATAAAGATGGAAGAAGTTGATAGTGTTTTGGTGGACAATGTTAAGTCCTTTGCTGCTGGTGGCTTCGGTGGTATATGTGCTGTATTAACAGGCCATCCGTTTGACTTGGTTAAGGTTAGATTACAAACAGGTCTATACAAGTCTTCAGCTGAATGTATCAAGCAAACTTTGGTTAAGGATGGTCCATTAGGGTTCTATCGTGGTGTGATGCCTCCATTGGTGGGTGTGACACCTATGTTTGCTGTTTCCTTCTGGGGTTATGACGTTGGTAAGCGTCTTGTTGGTTCTTATACTGGTAAGCAAGCGCTGGAATTCACGATCCGTGATATTTCAACAGCTGGTTTCATTTCTGCCGTTCCAACTACTTTGGTTGCTGCACCATTTGAAAGAGTTAAGGTTATGATGCAAGTCGAATCAGGTAAGAAACTGTCTATGGCTTCTACCATCAAAAATATCTACAAGGAAGGAGGCCTCAGATCAGTTTTCAAAGGTTCTGTTGCAACTTTGTGTAGAGATGGACCTGGTTCTGCCATTTATTTTGCAACTTATGAATACGTAAAGGCTGCGTTACTGGCTCCTGGTGAAGATTTGAGTTTGTTGGCTATTTCTACCGCTGGTGGTTTAGCTGGTGTTTCCATGTGGTTAGCAGTTTTCCCCATTGATACGATTAAATCCACTCAACAATCTTCCAATGTTCCCGTCTCAATTGGCCAAGTTACAAAGAAGATTTATGCTAAGGGAGGTATTAAAGGATTCTTCCCTGGTGTTGGACCTGCTTTAGCCAGATCTTTCCCTGCAAATGCTGCAACTTTCTTGGGTGTTGAATTGTTCAGAAACTTTGCTGACAAGTACGTGTAAATGTAAACGACATCCGTTCATCCGTACTTCAGAAAGAAAATGAATATCTAAAGGCAAGAAAAAACCATTATTTATTATTTAACTATTTATTCGTGTGTATTATTCAAGACATCAATTGGAAGTCTAACAATAAACGTACACCTTCAATGAACATATCTAAATACTCTGTTGATAACTCAGTACCTTTTCAAATCCTGTGGCCATGATTATGCCCTCGGATTACCGGAATTAGTCCAAAGTCGTGCGGAATTGGTTAGAGCACATTTTCAAAATTTCGACACTTGGACGACAATCAGTGTCTATTGATAAGGAACAAACCCATTGATTGACAACTCTCCAAAGGCAGCACATCACCAATTAATAGTAATTACAAGATGTCTTTGACCGACGATCAAGTATGTTAATAATATCCAATGAAGCAATCAACTTTGTGAGGAGATCTTTTTTTAAGGTGACAAATGAATACTAACGAAGATGTGTGTTTTAGGTTAATGCTGAGCTTCGCAAGATGAAGGCCTTCATTGAGAAGGAGGCTCAAGAGAAGGCTAAGGAGATCAGATTGAAGGCTGATGAAGAATATGAAATTGAGAAGTCATCAATTGTCAGAAGTGAATCAGCTGCCATTGATTCTTCTTTTGAACAAAAGTTAAAGAAAGCTTCATTGGCTCAACAAATCACCAAATCTACTATTGCCAACAAGACCAGATTGAAGGTGTTATCCAAGAAGGAAGAAGTTTTGGATGAAATCTTTGCTGATGCTGCAAAGGAATTGAAGCAATTGGTTAGTAAGGAAGCCAATTTCAAGCCTATTTTGGAAGGATTGATCGAAGAAGGTTTGTTAGCTTTCTTGGAAAATAAGGTTACTATTAAAGTCAGAGAATGTGATGTTAAAATTGCTAAGAGTGCCAGTGAACAAGCTGCTAAGAACTTTGAAGCTAAGGCTAAGTTTCCTGTCACCATTACAGTTGATGAAACCAACTTTTTGGATAAGGACTCTATTGGGGGTGTAGTATTGGTTAACAGTACGGGTAAGATTGAAGTTGATAATACTTTAGAAGAAAGATTAAAGTTGTTGTCTGAACTGGCTTTGCCAGGTATTAGATTGGAATTATTTGGACCTTCCCCCTCAAGAAAGTTCTTTGATTAATATCCTTTCATAAGTTATGTTTTATTTCTTTCTTCACAGCTTCTTTAATTAGTCATATATAACCTTTATTAAATGTTGATGCATTTTTACCGTTATCTTTTTTGTATGGAAGTAATTCAAATCCCCATGGAAAATCTCATTTCAAATCGAAGGGTCTGTGTGTATCATTCCTACATCATCACAATCACAACACTAAACCGGCTCAACAATATCTAGACTAAAATGGACAATATACCGAAGTCCGAGCTGCCATTAATCTGTGATAAGTGCTATGGCTCTGTTTCAAAAGTGGTCAAGCATGTTAATGGTGAAGAGTGTAAGATTTGTACAAGACCCTTCACAGTCTATAGATGGCAAAACAGGCAACAGAGTGCAAATAAGTCTAATAAGACTATAATATGCAATACATGTGCTAGCATAAGGAACTGTTGTCAGAGTTGTATGTTGGATATTGAATTTGGTATACCTTTGGAGGTTAGAGATACGGCTTTGAAGATGGCAGGCTTGGAAATGCCCAAATACGGGAGCCAGACAAATAATGTGGAACTTAAACAAGTCCAGGCCGTCAAACAAGAAGCTGCACTTGCAAGTGGTAACCACCCATCCAATCAATTCTCGAAGGCTAGAGATTTGTTAACCAAACTTGCAAAGAGTTTACAGGATAGAAGGCAGAACTCCACCTCAGAAACCAATGAAACGAAAGCGAAGAACGCTCCATCAACGATCACACTAAATACTGCGGAAATCAATAAAATAGTTCAGAAATATCCATTCCACGGGACACTTCAAGTTGATGATACCAATAATCAGATTAAGGGGTATTTCTTCTTTGGGTTCCCAGCTACTCTTCCTCAATATGTTCTTGAAGACTACTTGAAGAAACACGGTTCAGTAAAGCTGCTTACTGTGATTCATAAGGCGAGATGCGCGTATGCATTATTTTCTAAACAAGAAGCAGCTGATAAGTTCGCTTTATCTGTGTTGAACAATGACTTCAATGCCAGTGATCTTGAATACCCTGGTTTACTTTTGTTGGACAATAAATACCCTATGAGAATTGCAAGATGTGGCCCTTTGAACCTCAGCACGGTGAGTGGTGATATGCAGAAGAAGTTATCTCAAGTGGCCTCGAAGGAACTTCAAAATCTTGCGGCGAAAGATGTTAAGCGAAAGCAGAAGAAATCAGCAAAGCCAAACGTTACAAAGTCTGTGGCCAAGCCTCCTGGCAAAAGATCCGGACTAGAAGAAGTCATTATGAAGAAAGAACAACAAACTAAGAAACCCAAATTTAACGTTGATGTGGAACTATAAGAATTGTGTGTATAAACTTTAATGAGAAGAATTATAGAGAAACAAATGTATAAGGTATTAAATAATTGGTGAAAATCACCAGAAAAGTAGTTGCGGTTGAAGAATTGAAATGAACGTTTGCTGATGATTATGATGGTCTAGAAAGTCACATAAACTGATCAAAGGAAGTGATGCAAGTCATTAACTCATTGGGTATCATTATTTGGGGATTTTGCAAGGCAAGTTTCCAACGAAAATACTTGTATTCTTTATCAAATTTCAAGAGCAACCCATTCTGTTTATCTTTGAGGTTGACAGAGATAGACATATTTCCATCAAGAACAAGTGCATTGGATAAGTTGATAACAGAGCGATCGTGAGAGTTCTCATTATATATGACCAACACAGAGCTGCTTAAAAAGCATAGTAGAGGACCAAAAGTATTGTTGACAACAGTAACATCAATGTAATCGACCAATCTTATGGATTTGCTCCAGAAGATTGATTCATATCCAATATGAGAAAGGTAACTAGCAAACAAATTTCTTAGGAAATAACCGGATGGAGCTTTAGGAGAATCGTCTGTTATCATCAGAAGAAGCGAATGAGTGTTTGATATTTCTGGAGACAGTGAGGGTAGTGGGTCTCGTTCACGGTAGTCGCAATGCTGCTGAATAATAGCGACATCGTCAAACACAGGAGGACTTGCAATATAGGGCGTATATGGAGTTCCCATAGGAGTGTGGACTCCTGTAAAGGTTAAGGAAGAATCCGAGTGGTGCATTTGAGAATAGGGGGTTCTCAAGTGTTTCCCATTAGGGAGGATATAAGGGGGGTAGTCTATATCATCTATTGGAGGTGTAGCATGTAACAGTGATAGATCATCGTTAAACATATCGTCTACTGTATCGCATTCTAGATTTTGGGTATAGTCGGAAAATGAATGGGTTAGGAATGGAGAAAGTAGATGTTGGGGTTGGAAAACATTTGGTGTGGTGGGCATGGGAGACCCTAAAGGCGAGGTAGTGTTAGCCATCAAAGCCCGGCAAGAAATTTTTATTTTAGTTTAATTATGATGATGGACCCCCTTTAATTATAAATCTATAATTGTTTAAGCACTAAGATTCATGTAAGAGTTTAACGATATTGTGAAATCCAAAGAGCAATTAGGTTATCGAACTGCAGGGTCCGATAATTTATCGAACCCTGGCCGTATATTTATATACATGTGTACCCAGCGGGAGGGAGAGGTGCGTCTTCATTAAGGCAGATGTGGGTTTTGAGGTTTCATAAAAAATAATGAGACATAACCATAATAATAACCCCTCAAACAATCTTATTTTAATGTTTACGTCGTTTGTAATATTTAAAGTTATCTCAAAACATACCACCGCTACCACTGCCACTACAATTACTACTATGTAAGGAGTCTATCGGTCCTCAATGGCTGCATTATAAACGTATACCAATCTTAATAGCAGCAACTGCCCTCGTGAAATCGTTTTTTTGATCGAGATGGTCGAGTGCGATGTAAGTGTTAATCTTGTGGCACAAGGCAAATACATGCCCGTTTCTCTCGTATAAAACGAAATCATGGACCATTTTAGGCAAGGTTATTTGGGAGAACATTTAGGCTAACGCGGCCTCTGGATGCATGCTCTATTATATCACTCCTTCGGAAAAAAATAAAATACCACCCAATATTTAGTGATCGTACGTTTTGGTACGGAACAACTCTTTGAGGTATTGTTATGTTTAATTTAGGAGTCTTTTTACAGTTGAAATATATCGCTACACCTTCAAACACTTTTTGGGGCGCATTGTTCTTCTATTCCTTTACTTTCACTTTTTTCTTCGCCGCTACCTTAGCCTTTGGCCTTTGACTTTACCTTCACATATCCTTCGACATATTTTGTTCACAATGAGAACTTGTGATCTTCCGCCCATATTTTTTTGATCAAGGTATGGATAAGATCCACTCTACGAACTTTCAAACTACTTGGCGAGAAGCCCCCCCCTGGGATAAAGTTATATCCAGCTCTTATCATTTCAAGAATTCAAATAAGTTGTTTGAGATTTGTTTCATAAAATCCCATGTGTGTATATCGAGTTGAAACCATTGACACTTGAAAATGAATGAAACAATCGGGAGTTTAATTTCACAGTTATTTACACAGTGAGGTGGAAATCGTTGTTCCACATATTTGATTGTAGTATAATCATCCGTCGAGACACGACTTTCCTCTATGAGGGTTCTCCTAATCTGTGTAATCAAACAGAACATCAAAAGATTAGTTCTCACATCTGCTTACATCTTGAACCCCATCACAACCTTAACTATATCGTCATTGATGTCCGATCTGATAGGTACATTATTGATACTATTTGGCTTAGCACTTGCGGCACTTGCGGGCCGTTTAATTGCAGTATTGCCATGTTTCGATCCTGCCAATATTGACCCTTCCAACCCCGAAAGAAGACACAGGCCGCGTATGTCCCTTGTTAAACGTAACTGCAAAAATATCAACAACAATGATAAACCAAAATTAATGGTTCTCCTTGGCTCTGGAGGTCACACGGGAGAGATGATACGCATTCTAACTCAAATAGATATAAGGCCAGTCTCAAGAACGTGGATAATTTCTTCCGGGGATTCTACCTCTGCCGAAAAAGCCAAGTGGTATGAAGAAACGCATGATAATAACTCATCTACGACCAGTGAAATCCTAGAGTTACACCGAGCTAGACGTGTGGGAGAATCTATGATTCTGTCTATTAAAAATACTTTAATATCATCTATAAAAACAGGACTATTGGTATACAAACGAAGTCCGGATGTTTTATTAGTTAACGGACCAGGAACAAGTGTTCCTCTTGCATATGTTCTTTTTTTATTACGTTTTCTCGGAATTGGAAGTACTAAAATCATTTACATCGAGAGTCTAGCCCGTTTAGAGCACTTGAGTGTTTCGGGAATGTTAATACTCCCCATTGCCGATAGATTCTTGGTTCAATCTAAAACATTAGGAATCAAGTACCGTCGTGCAGAGTACTATGGAATTCTAGTGTGATCTCCGAGTAGCTACGAAGTAGGAAACGTTAAGGTATGTATCATGTAGTTCTTGCTTAACATGGCATCAGCTTAGTTTGAGCACATATAACCGTAACAAAATCCAGGTGCCCGTGGTTTCTTATATTGGCCATGGCAACTTTTATCTTTTTAAGTACCTCCAACCCATTTTCCACATGTCTTTTGATCAGCTGTACCAAATTGAAAAGGTAGATCCCAAAGCAAATCTACGAAAATCGCATTACATAATCACGCAAAATATAATCATGTAAAACTGTATACTGCCAGAACAACAACAGCCTCGTTGGACACTTGCTGAGACTATATAATGTAGTCAACGTCTAGAATCCTATTCTCAACAAAATGGTTTTCCAATTATCTTAACCAACATGGGAGCTACTGCCGAAGTATTACTTGATGGAAATGGAAATAATGGTGTCTTTACCAATGAAGATGAGGTTAAAGGTAAAGTAATTGTGGTAGTTGAAGAGTCTATTACAGTGAATCAGATTCAGGTTCGGTTTGAAGGGGTCTCCAAAGTAACTGTTACCTACAGAAAGAGTGCTGGGAACAGCAGTAGAAATGTTCATGTTACCAATAAACATAGGTTGATTTCAAAAGTAGTAACGGTATTTCCCCCACAAAACGAAAGGGAAGTGATGTGCTCCTCAGAATTTACTCTTGTTTCAGGAACTTACGAGTATCCTTTCTCCTTCAAGATTCCGATGATGAGTATGTGCTTAGATAACATGGGTACTCTAGCTAATAAAGACGCCCCAGATACTTTTACGAAGCAAGTTGACCATGGGGTTATTAGATTTGGTGCTGCTAGGTTAAGAGCTAGGCCGAAAAGTGTAGGTGGAACTGTTATAAATCATATACCAGGTATGCTCCCACCGAGTTTTTCGTTAGATGATCGGGCATCTATCAATTACCATGTGAAGGCTATTATTATGAGGCCCTCTATGTTCTCAAGAAATGTTAGGTCTTTTGGTAACTTTACCTTTATCCCCTATGACTTACAGACTGCACCAATTTCTAGTCAATTCTTTGAAACTCGAAGTCCGTTCTTCATTAAATCCAAAGGTTGCAAACCAATTGAATGCAGCTTCTACTTTAGATGCAATAAGCCATATTATTACCCCGGAGATCTACTTGATGTTTCTATCTCTGTTGAACACGAACCAAACGCTGATATCAGTGGTTTAACCACCTTGTATATCGATCAAGTGAAATTCAAGTTTGTCACGAAATGTGAGTTAAGTGCTATTGAAAAGAGTTGGTCGAATAATGTTAAGCATACAGTTACTCTACTTAATAATCCAGTGATATTGGATAAAAGTTGTAAAAAATTTCCAGTGCCTTTAGGGGAACTGAAATTGAAACTGGGTCCACAAAACAACCAATTCATTTTACCCCCAGAACTATATGCGTGTGCCGTTCCTCAAAATATTGTACCAACATTTGGTACTTGCAATGTTGCACTTTCGTATTTCTTAGAGATTTCGATTACGTATTCCCTTGATCTTAAGGCAAAGGGTGGATTCATAGCTGTTCTTAAAGGTAATCAACTTTCAAAAGCAAAATTGGTGTCAAATGAATTGCTAATTAAGGGAGGAATAAATCCACCACTGCAAGCATCCCTGCACGTTCAAAGACCACAACATGAACCACACCAAGAGCAACTACCTGAGTATAGCGGAATGGGAAAGCATGACCAAATTGCATAGCTTGCATATTATAGCCTAGTATATATGAGACATTGTCTTTCAGCGAATGTAACTTATTAGAATTAGTCAGCTCTTAAAGCAGGTTTAGTATTGCTGAAAACCTCAACACCTTATTGTTATCGATTCTGTGCGCACCATTGTAATCTTAATGCAAAAAAAAATACGAGGTAAACGATACAAAGTAAGTTGTGATGGGCCATGATTATGTCAATAGACATAGCCTTAGTGTGATACCTATGAACATTGTAGCTTATACAAAGAATAATGCTTGACAAAAGTGGCTATTGTCTACGAAAGTTATGATATTTTAATTGGCTGTCAAAACTGTGTGTTATTCTGTTTCTAGACGCTCGTAACGAATGTTTCGTATTTTGTTATGCCACGAAGCTTTGAACTTTGGCATTAAAACCCTACGTAATCTTGCAACCACGAGCAGGTGCACAGATTAGCTTAGTGAACCATAAAGTCTCTTAATAATAGGGTAGCTTACTATCTTCTATTCGATGCATGTTGGAATGGAGATCCCAGAGACATCTAAGTCGACGTCTTTAGAACGCTGAACAGTTATTTAGCCCCGGGTATTACTGTTGATTCATTAAGATATGTATCAAAACAGCAAAATGGAAGAATAGAAAAAGTACAAGATGTAACACCAACGCGCATATTCATTGCTCAAATTGAATAATCGGGCATCCTTTTTTTGAATTCCAATTACTTCACGCTTTATCATTAAACAATAAGTTACGACTATGTCTCTAATTGTCGCAATCTACCTTAGCTTGATGGGAAAAACAAGTTGGTTGTCTTCATAAGGCAGTGACGTTTACAGATATATGGGGATTATTCTGTTCCTTCTGAGCGATTGAACCCTTTTTTCGTTTCTTCAGATAAGAATGCTGCGATGGATTGGTAGGAATCGATAAAAAACAAGGAGATTTTAAAAATCTAACCGCTCAACTCACCCAGCTTTACATAATAGAACTTTCTCAAGTAAAATAATGCATAGACCAATCATAGAAATAGAATTGGATCGTGCAGATCCTAGTGAGCCCTTAACAAGTTTCGATGTTGCCCGAGGAAAGGTGGTGATAACCAGCAATTACCCTCTTTCATTCACTGCAATTGAATTGAAGTTCAAAGGAATAACTAAGACCAATACAATGAGGCCCATTACTAATCTTTTTGAGTTCCAAATCTTGGATGAAGAGGAAGAAATCCCTTACAATAATATGTCAAAACCAAATGGGTTTGTAAACAAGCATACAATGTTGCACCTTACACAAGACATTGGTTATGTTGATGGAGATGCAAGAAAAGGCCCAATTAAATTGATAAAGGGGAGAAACGAGTTACCGTTCGAGTTTGTCATACCTTTATCTTACCATTGTGGAGGAGATACATTTCTTCTGAAAGCGTGGCATTCTGTAACTCGTGTTCAAAGTTATGAATTACCTCCCATTTTCTACTTTTCCCAAGGAATTACTCGTGCAAGTATCGAGTATACTGTGAAGGTAACTTGCCGTAACCGAATTCTTCCCAACATTCGAGTTGAAAAGCCCATCCTATACGTACCTAATGATTCTAGTGAACCCTTAGAAGGTGGTTCCATTATCAAAGGATCAACTTCTTACTCGAAACTTTGTACTTTTGATATGAGTACCACTAGGAGTCTATGTCAATATGTCATTTCTATTGTCAAGAATAGTACATTGACGATTCAATTGACGTTAGAAGCAAGATTTAAAAATAGCAACCCCAAATTGTCCATTGATAGTCCATTTTCTGGAGAGTTATTCCTTGTTTACAATATACCTCCAGAAATTATGCAAGTCACTCATGCAAACAAATTGTACTTGCAGTCGTTCAAAGCGACGTTAACTTCCACCGTTAAAATAAAAGGGGCAGAAGAACTTCCAGAATACTATTATTTTACAACAACACTAGGACAAGTCCACTTAAATAATATGGAAATTGATTTGATATCTGAATCAGATGAGAATGCCTTGGAGCTTGCGTTCCTCTATCCACATATCCAAGTTCCAAAATCTGTTACTCCTAATTTTAAGACATGCCACATTTCTCTCGAGCACAAACTCAAGTTGGATCTAAAGTTTACAGTGTTTTCGATGCCGCATCCTCCTCATCTATTGGACAAGCTTAAACAGGATATCAAGCATGTGGTGATAGAATGCTCCAATTTTACAATAGTAAATCAACTGAGAAAAAACCTAGAATAGAATTGATGCAAGATGAATGAGTCATAATTGATGGGGAATGTAAAGTCGAGAGCGCAAGTACTAATTTAAAGGAAAATCTAACAACCATAGTATAATTTGCCACCCTGAGAACTATAAAGCCCCTATTAATTTTCGTATTGACAGGAATCAATTCATTTTGCACCCATAAGATAAAGTGCTTCAGTCGTGTACCTAAATGTATAGGAATGGTATTGGGCTGAGTTTTAATGCCGTACCACCCCGATTCTCCGTGTTAAGTACGACAACAACAGCACAACCTGCGTAAAGTGTATCGCATTGTGCACTCCCCTTGAAACAACCTAGATTGGCTTTAGTGGCAGTAGTGTACATATATTCAGTTTGTAGTGTTGATTCCAGTATATAACTGGTTCGTTTCTTCTGTGCAAGGAGGTTCCCTATTATGATATACACACCAATACACACCCAATAGCACAAGATAAAGCTACCAGGGAGGGGAAACGTGGAACCACCAGAATTGTATAAAAGCGAGGTTATTGGCACAAAATTTTGCCTAAAATTTATGGGTTAAAAAAATGTTCATTAAGCATCACTTGTATTTGGTGATAGCAGTACTCTTCTTTTTAGTAGCGTCTGCATTGAGTGAGGTTGGCCCTGAAGTTCAATCGCGCCGTATTAAAGTTAGTAATGAAAACTTATTAAACGAACTCAAGTTTGAGTACCCTAAGGGGTTAGCTATTTTTGATGCTGATGACAATAGTTACTGGTTTGTCTACGACGTAGACAGCTTGTCTGACTACGTCAAGTCTGACGAGCGGGCACATGATAATAAAGAACGGATTATTGAATGGCTGAGGCATTATAGATGGGAACCGCTGGTACCTGATCTTGATTCTGGTTCAGAACTGGATCTGGATTGGGAGCTGAATTCGGATAACACATTCTGACCAATCAGTTTGGTATGTGTTATGTTTTTCTATTTTTTTATTTGGGTTTCCTCCTTCACTATCAGATCTTCCTAGTGTTTATGGGGGGTTAAACTACTCCTTTGAATTTCGGGGGACTCAAAAGTGAAGCCATATATGGTAAGTCTATTCTATTTTAGGTTTATATTTTTTTTTTTGGTAATCTTGTTTTATCATGGGTTCTGTGTGTCTTTTTTTTTTTATTTTATACAATGTTAATTTAATTCATGTTATCTTTGTTGATCGTTACCGTAAACCAAAGTAGAGATTAGTCAACAATAAGTTGAACATAGTCATAATTGTAGGGACTGGAACTTGTTGGTAGCACCCATGCCCAAAAGCATTTGAATGATGTGCACGACCAGAATTTTTCACTCACTGCGATGAGCATCGATAAAAGCATTTGACTGACACTTAATGTACCCAGTGTTTTTAAGGCTAGCAAAGATACCATCATGGCTAGAATAAAGAGGAAGGGAACAACTGGGAATGCTAAGAACTTTATCACCAGAACACAAGCGGTGAGAAAGTTGCAAGTTTCGCTTGCCGATTTCCGTCGTCTTTGTATTTTCAAAGGTATCTATCCAAGAGTTCCTCGTAATAAGAAGAAAGCTAACAAGGGATCCACAGCCCCTGTTACTTTCTATTATTCTAAGGATATTCAATATTTATTACATGAACCTGTTTTGCAAAAGTTCAGAGAGCATAAGACATTTGCTAAAAAGTTACAAAGGGCTTTAGGAAGAGGTGAAATTAGTGATGCATCCCGTTTAGATCTGAATAAACCTAAGTACTCCTTGGACCACGTTATTAAGGAGAGATATCCGACATTTTTGGATGCTTTAAGAGACTTGGATGATCCTTTGAATATGTTATTTCTTTTCGCTAACATGCCGGCTACTGATAAGGTTGGTGTTCGAATTACCAAGGAAGCTGAAAAGTTGTGTAACTATTGGATGGCCATTGTTGCTAAGGAAAAATTGATTGATAAGGTATTTGTTTCCATCAAGGGTGTTTACTATCAAGCTAATGTTAAGGGAGTAGAAGTAAGATGGTTGGTTCCTTTCAAATTTCCAACTATGATTCCTTCTGATGTTGATTTCAGAATTATGTTGACATTCTTGGAATTCTATTCAACTCTTTTGCATTTCATTTTGTACAAATTGTACAGTGAAAACAATTTATTGTATCCTCCTACTATTGATGTTGAAAAGTTGAAGCAAGCTGGTGGGTTGTCATCATATGTCTTGAAACAAACTAATGAAGAAACTTTAGGTAAGCAAGACAATAAAGGTGTATCTGAAAATGGTGCTAATGTTGATGCCAGTGAATTATCAAAGGAAGAACTTTCGAAAGCCATCAAAGCGGATGAAGCTGAACAAACTAATAATGAAGATGAAGCAGTGGAAGATGTTGAGAAAGTTGAATTGGATGAATTTGAAGCTACTAATAAGACTACTGGAGATTTGTTGGCTCAGCCATCTAAATATGCCTCACCTACATCTTCTTTATTCTCCAAGTTTTTGTTCTTCGTTGGTAGAGAAGTCTCTTTAGATATTTTGGAATTCTGTATCTTGTCTTGTGGAGGATCTCTTGTATCTGAAATCCAATTGGATGAATTGAAGTTGTCTAATCCTACTGAATATGCTAAGTTGGATTTTTCCAATGTTACTCATCAAATTGTTGATAGACCTAAGATTGCTGCCAAGGTTCCAGGTAGAACATACATACAACCACAATGGATCTTTGATTGTATAAATAAGAGAGAATTATTGCCAGTTGGACAATATGCTCCTGGAGAAGAGTTACCACCTCATTTATCCCCATGGGGAGATGCTGGTGGATACAATCCAGAAAGTAAGTTGGCAGAACCCGCTGAAGGAGAGGATGAAGATGAAAGTGAAGATGAAATTGAAGGTGAAATTGAAGCCGATGAAGAAGAGGAAGAAGAGATTGACGAAGATCTTAAAGCTCAAAAGGACTTGGAATTGGAAGCTTCAGGAGTTAAGTTCTCTCAAATTGAAGAAAAGAACAAGAAGAACAAGAAGAAAAGAACTGCCCCAACAGAAGAAGATGAAGAAAAGGAATTGAAGAAGACAATGATGACAAACAAGCAACGTAAGTTGTATGAACGTGTTAAGTACAGTAAGGACCAGACTGATGCCAGAACTGCTGACTTGACTAAAAAGAGAAAAAAGCTTGAAAAGACCAAGAAACAGCTCAACAACCTCAGTAAGAAGTAGATATCTGTATAAGCAAATAACTAGCAATAAGCATTCGAGAAACTAAGATACGTATCTAAATCGTGTATGAATTTGATATAGCTCTAAATTATTAATTCGTGCAATAACCAATAAAGTCCTGTAGGAGTTAGCTATTAATCTCTAGATGCTACGAACAAAGTTGTGATATAACAGTTGTCTGTGTATAATAATAAGTGATGATAATACGGTGTTGTATAAGAAGATATTCCATAGGACCAGTAATAAATGATATGGCTGAGTTGAAACAATTAATGGCCACTCCTACTTGGAGTGTAGCTGACCTTATTCAAACTCACAAAGAAACTAACGACAAAATAGATGACGAAACAGTGAATAAAATCATGAAACTAGCCGCTTTAAATACCCACCTGCTTTCGGAATCCGAGAAAAAAGTTATATCCGATGGTTTAAATGCACATATGGCCTTTGCCAAACATTTGTATGATGAATCAGTTGAGGTTGTTGAAAAAGAAGATAGTAACGATTTCCATTTCCGATTGCTTGAGTCAGATCACAAACAAAGTGAGCCTTTAACATTGTCAGCACTTAAAGCTCAAATTGAAGCTTTGAAGCCAGATTTCGAGAAAGGAGAAGTCGGATTTAAAGCAAACAAACCATTCTTCACCATTAAGAAGTAAACCCCTCATTGTACATAGTTGAATATATTACCATTATGTAATACTATTACACTGGATTCTGTACTCTTGAATCCATACACATACGATCAGGGACTTCAAGTTGGAATAAGTTTTTGAGATGTTCTTGAAGCTTCAAAAGCTCTTTTGTCCCTTGACTAATCATTTCGATATCTGTTGACTTTGGGATATTTCTGTAGCATCTAATTTGAAAGGAATTAGATGAATCTAAAGGCTTTAATTTGATACCTTCCTTTTCATCGTCACGAATAAATAGCTTTAATATTTCTATAACCACGTCACCATAAAAGAATTGAACTCCATTAACCCAATATTGGTTGATCACATCATACCCTAGATCATCTAGAAATTGTAGCATAGAATCCTTACCATCAACACTTGTATGATGGTGTACTAATGTGCTTTCGAATATTGTCCTAGCACTGACAACTTGATTCTTTCCTGCAATGGGGATATCTGCTATTTGAAGAGTCCATACGTTTTTATATCCATTAGTGAAGAGCTTGTCAACCACGATTTCATCTGTGGGGAACACGGGCTCGGCAATATCCATTTTAGTGGCTTTCTTACTCGGCTCCCAAGTAGTCACACATTTCATATAATACTGTTCTATTTGGTTAACTTTCCCAGGTTCAAATTTTGGTTTAAAGACATGGTGAGGTTTGGTGAGCATGGTGTAAAGTGATATCTCCTGAGGAGCCAATTGCCCAGTAAGAGCCTTCAACGTTGAAATCGTTTGCACGTAGCTAGAATGAGGGATGGTTGATACAAGGAGTAGTTGATGGACCATATTTGGCGGTAGAGATCAAATGAAGTATATGGCTACATCAACATGTTTTCATTTCGCAGTCAGTTTTAATTTTACTATTGAAGAGCACAGAGTGAGTAAGCTTAATAGTACTGTTTATGTACATGTGATTAGTACAAGCGTGACATGATTATAGAATAGCATATGATATTACTATAGTTGGCTATCTTATTATGGTCATCTATAGCCGGCTAAAAATGCGTCTACAGGGGTCATTGTACATTATTAAAGAATGTCTCCAATCACCTACTCATACTACATTAAGTATAACATCAATTTCAATCACATTAGACCCATAACAAAACTAATAATACTAACACACTATCGAAACCATGCAATTGTGTACAAAGAGACCCACGACTATTCCTTCTTCTTTTCATCTTCCTTAGCACCATTGTCTTCTGTGAAAGCTACGACAATGTAACCGATTAAAACAACGTTGGCCGTAAAAGCTGCAACACCTCCAGAAATAATGGCATTATTTCCAAATAAATATTGACAAACAAAAAACGAAAACAAAGGCAAGATCACCATAGCAGCTGTGAAGAAGATCAACTTCTGAACCACTGATCTTTATAGTTCAAGTTAGTATAAGATACGGTATTTGTAAGATTAATTGACGTTCTCAGTCTCTAAGATTAAGCTGATGCTTCTGTTACATACCTGGGAACATCAACGGCCATTTTTAATTATAGAGCTGTGATGTGTGTGAAATATGGTTAAGTAGTTCTTAAGCATAAGGTTACTGTTGTTGCTTTTCTACATTTAAACTTCGGAGCAAATTACGGGGGAAATCAAATCCGGTTCGAGGGTATATACGGGGGTAACTCCACATAGTTTATGACTATGCCTAATACTAAATGAGGTTCAATAGATGTGCATTACAAAGTACCATAACAGTACACATTAAACAGCATATATAAGTTAACTGGATGTAAAAAAGAATAAAACTTTCACAAGTCTTCTAAGCCTCCAGTGTTGGAATCACGAAGGACTTGTAAGGTTCGTCTAATGGTAGCCAGCCAGCAATACCACCTTTTAAAACTGTAACCTTTAAATCAGGGACATTATTTTGGTCCAAATAATCCTGAATAGTACCTGCAACTTTAACAGCCCTTTGCTTGGAACTGTTACAATGAACAATAATTGTTTCAGCAGTAGGTTTTGCTTCCTTCACAAGATCAATTGCTTCTTCTCTAATCTTCTTGGGGTCAGTTAAGGTAATAGCAGGAATGTGGACGGATTCCTTCAAGTAACCTGGATCCCTATCATTTCTAAGATCAATAATAGCAATGGTTTCTGGAGTAGTCTTTAATAAAGTCAAGACTTCGTCTGCTTCGGTGTAGGAAGCAGTTGTTTTTGGCTCAGGATAGACTTTAAGCCACTCTACAACTCTTGGGTCAGCCATTACTATGTTTTCGATACAATTATAACTTGAGAAGAAAAGAAGTTGGGAGAGGCAAATATATATACATTAAAACTAGTTGTGGCTCTTTCAAAACGTGCAAAAAATTAGCCCAAGGACAAACAATGCGGGATCTTTTTCCAGTTCGTGAAGTGACCTTCCCACCTGAAAAATTCTTACGTTTCACTCTTCAAGCTGCTATCTTAACAGCTCGCTGACACTACTTTAAATTTATTTTAACTACTCAAATATACTTTATTTATGTAACTTCAGTATTAAAGCCAATGTTAAAGTAAAGGTATATGTAAAGTCGGCGCTCCCAGTAAATTAAAGTAGTGTGTTTGCCATTTGTGGTCGTTTTACTCTCACTTGGAAGAATCGTCGATAAGCAAAGATAGCAGCCATGGTTAAAGGTAGTCCAACAAGAAGACCATACAAAGTTAGTTGATTGGACCGGGTTTATCTACGAAGCCATGAAGTTTGGATTTTTATCTTTGGTCTTAGCCAGTACTGCTTTGCTAAGAAAAGTTTCTGGAACAGAAGTTGTAGGAGGAGTTTACTTCTCCAATGATGTTCCATTGGGAGATGCACTAAATATTGAAGCAAAGGATTACTTCAATTCCCTTCTTAAATATACTAAAGAGTTTTGTCAGAATCCAGGAAACAAGATTACCTATGTGGTTGCAGAAAACTTGGTGTTAGATAACTCTAACTCACAACCTGGTGCTACTTACCCATGGGTTTCCTACACTAATGTTGAAGATGCTGAGACTGTACCAATAGCTGACAATTGTGATAATGTCTCTGTTCAAGTTTTTGGGGATGTTTCACTTGCAAAGTTCATTGAAAATAGCCAATCTCAGTTTAGTGAACATAACTTTGTGGTTGTGCAACAGAAGCCTCAATTCACCATTACTTCTGAAATTGATGAGGCAGAAGTACAAGAAGAACAATTGGTTGTGGGTGAATTTTACTGGCAAAGTGATATTTCCAACGATGGAAATTTCAAAAGAACTCCTTCTAATTCTACTACTAGAGGTGAGAGTGTATTCACTCATTATCAATTCTTTACACCTGGTATTATATCCAGTCTTGTTTTGTCATCCTTCTTGATTTTCATATTGTATGTTGCTATAAGTTGGATGGCTTCAATTGAAGTCACTTATCTGGCTTTTGACAAGCAGATTGATTACGAAAAGAAGACAGAGTAGATATCTTTTCATTTTATATGCCTATATCTAAATCATAGCTAATTGTCATTCTAATTATTGGCGTACACATTCTTATATATATATTAGTAGATGTAAGGAATGATTTTGTAAGGAACTTTCCGTTCATACTCTTCCCAAGTTGACCCATATTTAGCTCTGCACTTCATCTCATCTCTTGTTTGTCTATGGAACAACAAGGATCCAAAGTAAATAACATAGAAATAAGTTAATGGAGTCTCGAATCCAGTGGTTAGACACCAACTCCATCCAATAAACCAATCTCCCAAGTAGTTAATGTGTTGAGATAATCCCCACCATCCATCACAAAGTAATTTTGATCCAGTTTTTGTCTTTATCAGTTTCAAGTTCAAGTGATCAAGCTTTCCTTGTTTGAAGTCGGACTTTTGCTGGTTTGCCAGATGGAAAATATAAAACCCTAATGCCATTACTCCATTCACTAACAAGCAATTAGTTATTCCCAAGTTTAAGGGTTTTATCAGTAAATATCTTGCTTGTAAACAATATGATATAGGCAACCAAGCCAAATCACCAAAGCAAAGCATATATCCAAACCCATCAGTGGTGATATCAATCATTGAAAGAACACCTTCTTCGTTTTGAACTCCATCAACAATATAGAATGCTTGTAAAACATTTACTAGTATCAAAGAGTCAGAAACAAAACCCAATTTATGATATTGGTGATGAATACAAGAAAGATTGATCAAGAACCAAAGAAGTAATCCTGGTCTTAACTCACAGAATAATTTAATATCCAAATACCCAATCCGAGGATTCAATTCTCTTCCAATAAACCAATCATAGAACGGGGAGCCGGTATTTCCATTAATTGACAATATTCTTTCTTTGGTTCCCATACCATTTTTACCTCTAAGTGGGATAAAGGAAGCAATGTAGACCAAGGTGGCAAGAATAAATGAAAAGGCAATTGTTGTGCCGGTTAATTTTAAATGGTTGTTGTATAAAAAGGCCAATTCAGGCAAATAGTAATCAGAACTTATAGCCAATCTACTAGTCAAAATAGTAAGCAACAACATAATCATAGGCCATCCATTAATTTTATAGTCCAATTGTGTACCATCACGTAAAGTAATTCCTTTCATTTCTTTACCAGGTAAGATAATATCCAACACTGCCAATATCGAGAACCAAATCAAATACGCCACCCAGGTTGTTTTGTCAAAAAACAATTCAATAATATCTTCCTTTGACAGAGGTACTTGTTTCCAGACTTCATCCCATTGTATATTGACTCCATCAATACAGTATGTTTCGTTTATTAAAAATCCAAAAGCAAGTATCACACCCGCTAAACCAAAAGTAATTGCAATGGTTCCGGGCAAACCAGAGAACTCTCTGTGCGTAGTTACCGGGTTGAGTTTAGACATGAGGAAGATATTAAGGAGAAAGGACGAGAGGAAGAAGGCTGTAGATGATTTTGACTATGGCGATTGAGTATTTGCATACAATCAAGAATCGTTAGCATGTTCCGGGTAACTAGTTTGTTATACGAAGTTTAATACAAAGTTTAATACGAATGTATGCTCAATAAGAAAATACCTTTTAAGTGGGCAAAGCTTCATAATGTCAATTTGGAATAAAATGGGATTCGATGTGATTCGCATAGGTGTAGTCTTCAATCCGCCATTGTATATTGTCTAACTAGTTCGCTTGCACTTGGGTGGGCTTTTACTAAGCCCAATTTAAATCCATTAGGATGCTTCTTTCTATTACAAAAATATTAAAAGTAATTCCAATTTGAATTGAGCAAGTATGATATGTATTCTTATGTATTTTAGAGTATTTTTTTTGATTTTTGAATTATGCTGTACATTCTTGGAAAAACCATCTGTGCGTGAATACAACATTTATATTCAATTCCACTTATTTTGGTGAGAATTGCATTATAAAATGTTTGTTCAACGAACTAGAGCATCTACAATTTTAGTGAACAAGTAATCTTCTAACATATAATGTAACTCAAAAGGGCTTTCTTTTGGAGTACATACCGTTTGACGTTGTATGTGCCGAAAGAAGTATGAGTTGACGCAATAAGAACTTCAGTAAAGCAGTGATAAGGACAAAAAAACCGAAACAATGTAAGCCATGATGGGGGAGCAAGATACAAAATAATAGTAATACTTATAATAGATACAGGTACGGGATACAATGCTAAATACAGAGCAAATGAAACGAAAACTTGAGTTGTGGCATTCGAGCCTTACACCCGGCACGTTTCCAGTTCAGTCGTGGAATACTCGCAGCTTGATTCGGGTAGTGATTTTTCCCGAACAGGAAGGTTAATTACACGCGTCTAGATGTACAATCACATTGAAGTACAGAAAGTCGTCGTCGCCGACGTCGTACACTTAAGACAGTTATAACGGCATTATAATTTGATAATTACTGTTTAACTGTCCGGATTCGATGAAATAGGGGATCATCGGGTGGTGTAGTCCACTACAGCTTGAGCATATTCATAATATAGAGTACCATAATACAATAAACTAACATACTATGATGTAAGTAACTGATACACTTTAGTCCTACATAGATACCTAATTCAACTCCACTATTGTCAAGTGCCTAGAAGCATAGATTTAAGAGAAAATGGGTATTTCTGCGGCCACAACCTAATTGGGAAACAACTACTGTGCAACATAGTTTGTTTCGTCTGTTGCTGTCTCCTTGTATTGGAGATACCGTTTGTACTCCTATGAAACAATCTGTAGTATATTATTATTGGCATTGAGTAACTGCAGCTTTCCCTAATTGTCAGTTCATCTTTCAACTGGCGTTACCTCGACTCCTATAAATCAACCCACTGAAAAAGTTTGGGCCGTGCAAAGTGCAAATTGACAAAAGGAGTTAAAGCCATCGCTATTTCCATACACAATACCTGGCACGTCTCATTGTCCCTACCCGCATTTTCACCCGCCTCACAGTGACGGTCTCTGCATCGGTTGGTCTGTTATCTACTTACGACGATCCTCATTTCATCGTTGCTTCGGGTCGTCAATCTCTAATTGAATATTCATACAAAACATATCTTTCGCTGCTGCATTCCTTAACTGCATCATTCCATATAGTGAGAAAGAAATTGTGTGTTAGTGTCAGTATCAGTGCTTGTGTGTTGGTAGGTAATTACTTGAATTCTTCATTTTTTCACTCCTAATTATTCCTTTTCTACATCTTGGTCGTCAACCCTTTTGGCTTGATCACACTCTTGCATCATCATCATCATCTTCGTATTCATTGTTGTTGATCTTGAAAATAGAAAAAGAAACCATACTTTCATTGGCGCCTGTTGATACCTGTACACCCTGATCTCGATGTCACTTCATGAAGCCATGTCTGAATCCCCATTGAAGAAGAAAAGGGGAAGACCCGCAAAATCAAATAAATTGTCAAATAGAATCACCACAAGAATCAATATCGACGTTAATACATCTCCGTTGAGTTCTTCTCCAACAGCAGAATCAAATGCTTTAAAATCAATAGAGCAAGGTGCTCCAGATTGTTTCACTCCTCTAATGAGAGTATCCCCGACAACGAGATACACTAAACGAAGAAGAAGCAATGCATCGTTGAAAACACCTTCACTGAAGAAACCGAAATCTGCCTCTTCTTCAAAACTAACAACTCCCCAACACTTGTCCTCGGCTGATCATATATCTATGCTCACTTCAGGAGATTCTAATGATTCCACTACTGACTCTAACAATTCTACATCAGGAGTTCCGTTCCATACACCACCATCTTCAGTATCAAGTATTAGAGTATCTAGCTCAATGTTAGCTCCTCCAGCTGATCTTTCGAAACCTTTTGTTGGACAGAGAAAAGTACCCAAATTGGCACCAGACTCTCCACTGCTACAGCTGAAAGATATTGACTTCAAATTGACTGTTGACAATCTGGGAAAGGCTGTCTGGTCTGAAGGAGTTTTCAATTTTGGAATAGCGCCCAAAAGAAGTGCCACTGCTGATACATTGGTAGCATTGTCTGTTCCAACACCTGAAAACTCAAAGGATTATCCTATGGATGAAATACAGCTACCTATCTCACCAAGGGGTGGCTTGAGAAGAGTAAACTCAGATTGTACTACCATTTCAACTTCAACAACACTCACAGCATTCAGCAGTACTACTTCCACTATTCTTAATAATAATAATAAAAATATCGAGAACAAGAATACAGTGGCTACATTACCCAGTCTTGCTTATAATACGGAACTCTTGAATCACGGATCTCCTACATTACCTCTAATTCTAGAAAATACTCCAAAATTCAACTTTGTTCCTCAGACCCCAAGATCAAAGGAGAATTATTTTTACGGTATCTCTACAGGGCTTACTCCAAATCCCTTAATGGGAACCCCTCATTACAACCAATTTATGTTTCTGGTTCTTGATGATGCACATTTATGTGAATCCACAACCGTAAATGGTTTGCACTCTCAAAATCTCATGACATCATCACCTTATAAATCACAGCTGCTGACTTTTGGTAATTCCAATAGTGTAACAGGTACCCCAGTTTCACGCAACACCTTGAACAATATTGCTATTCTGAGACAGCGGACGAAAACAGAAGACTTTGCCATAAACATGAATGATTTAATGAAATTGGAATCCAACAACAATAATAATGGTAATGAAGATCCATTTGGCTGTGCCTTACCTTCAACTCATAAAGTAATTTCTGGCCGTTCTTCTCCTGCAAAAGTTCCAAAGGAAGATACTAGTGATGCTCGACTGGCTTTGAAGCGCATTATTTCAACAAAACGAGGCTAGAATGCTCTCTGAATTCATATTTTATTGCACTTTGTTAATGTCTTTCCTTTTTTTGCAAAAAGGTTCAACATTCCACCTTATTAGGGCCAAAAGAATCAGTTTTACTTACAAGCTTTTCAATTGGTTCTTCATTTTACCTTATTGCTTTCCATTGGTTTTGTCAATCGTTTTATGTATTGTTGTCTTGTATTATCACTCACTCTTTTTCGCAGCCGTTTTCCATTATGCCTTCATTTCTACATCACAGTTTTCATTTAAAACTGATCTTTTATTTATGTTCAGTTTCTTGCTTTTCTACCAAATATACTTAGTTTACCTTTAATGATTCGAATACTAGCCTATTAGAGAGCTTAAATCCGGGTAACCCCAATAGTACACAAAATCAATCTCAACTTTGAAAGTGTTTTATGCCACACACGACTTTCAAGATGAGTGAAAAATTTTTCAATGAAAACTTGTGCCAAATATCTTAAAAGGCATTGAATTTCCATTCACTCTTTTCTCTTCATTTTTTCTCTTTCTTCAGTTGTTGATAACAATAATATTGGAACATGTCTCACAGAAAGTACGAAGCTCCTCGTCACGGTTCCTTGGGTTTCCTTCCCAAGAAGAGATCTGCCTCTCACAGAGGTAAGGTTAAGTCTTTCCCTAAGGACAACAAGGCCAAGCCAGTTGCTTTGACCGCTTTCTTGGGTTACAAGGCTGGTATGACCACCATTGTCAGAGATTTGGACAGACCCGGTTCTAAGATGCACAAGAGAGAAGTTGTTGAAGCTGCTACTGTTGTCGACACTCCACCATTAGTTGTTGTTGGTGTTGTTGGTTACGTCGAAACCCCAAGAGGTTTGAGATCTTTGACCACTGTTTGGGCTGAACACTTGTCTGAAGAAGTCAAGAGAAGATTCTACAAGAACTGGTACAAGTCCAAGAAGAAGGCTTTCACCAAGTACTCCGCTAAGTACGCTAAGGAGGGTGCTGAAGTTGAAAGAGAATTGGCCAGAATTAAGAAGTACGCTTCTGTTGTCAGAGTTTTGGTTCACACTCAAATTAAGAAGACTCCTTTGTCTCAAAAGAAGGCTCACTTGGCTGAAATTCAAATCAACGGTGGTTCTATCTCTGACAAGGTTGACTGGGCTAAGGAACACTTTGAAAAGGAAGTTTCCGTTGACGCTGTCTTTGAAAAAGATGAAATGATTGATGTCATTGCTGTTACCAAGGGTCACGGTTTCGAAGGTGTTACCCACAGATGGGGTACCAAGAAGTTGCCAAGAAAGACCCATAGAGGTTTGAGAAAGGTTGCTTGTATTGGTGCTTGGCATCCAGCTAACGTTGGTTGGACTGTTGCCAGAGCTGGTCAAAACGGTTACCACCACAGAACCTCTATTAACCACAAGGTTTACAGAGTTGGTTCCGGTGCTGATGAATCCAATGGTGCCACCGAATTCGACAGAACCAAGAAGACCATCAACCCAATGGGTGGTTTCGTCAGATACGGTATTGTTAACAACGATTTCGTTTTGTTGAAGGGTTCTATTCCAGGTATCAAGAAGAGAGTTGTCACTTTGAGAAAGTCCTTGTACGTGGACACCTCCAGAAGAGCTGTTGAAAAGGTTAACTTGAAGTGGATCGATACTGCTTCCAAGTTCGGTAAGGGTAGATTCCAAACCGCTGCTGAAAAGCACGCTTTCTTGGGTACCTTGAAGAAGGACTTGGAAAACTAGATGTATTAATCGTATAGTTTTCTAATTATATCCCTGATCAAGTTTATGCTGTAGCAATAACGAGAAAGCTTCACTTATAAAATCTTTTTGAAGATAGGAAATTGCATTAAATTAGTTCGATACATCTGAAGTCGTAGATCAATACATTGAAGCATATAAGTAAAGTATAGCACATATGCGCTTTGGTGTGCGGGGCTTTTGGCTTATTAGAGGTCGTGCGAATTCTCCCGATATGATTAACCAGTTAAGGTCTGCATATAACCCCAGTGCTTTGTGGGACAAACGTTTCACTAAACAAGATGATGATTTCGAATACATGATAACCTTGTAAACATTCTAAGACTAAGCAAGTGTTTATATCAAATGAATGGCACTGATATGGGTTACACACTACCGCTTCTTAATGCATTTATATCGACTGTGGATCATTTACCTTGTGATTTAATCCGATCTCTTTGGTTTATTCAAACTTGTAACACTGAAGCGGAAAAACTTCACCAGAAGCTCAAAGAAAAACAACAAGCAAGCAAACTTGAACCTCAGTCGTTAGTTGAACTTCGAGAGAGGATTATACAACTCCAACAGGAAGCCATAGCAGAGACAGAATCTATATATAATCAGTTGTTTGTTCAGAAGCACTTTTTACAAATTGAGAAATGTCAACTAGAGAGAATAAATGTTACGCGAACACAACAAGAGATCGATAGAAGACTTCAACTTAGAGAAGCATTAGAGAAGCATTATGCTGAAAATCCATTGAAATCTCAAGTGGAAGCTTTGAAGGAGCAACAATCAAGAGGAAAGGTGAAAGATTATAGTTTGAAAAGGGAGGTAATGCCCTTTAAAGAGGGAAAGGATGATAAAACAAAGTTGAAGTTGATATTGAAATTACCCCCTAAGAGTCGTGATCGGCCGCCAAAACCTGCAAAAGCACTCAAATTAACTATATTAAAGGATGGCAAGGTCAGAGTTCAAAAGAAGCATTCAAAGCCGTCTACTTCACCTTCTCGGAAGCCTTCTAAAGCGATTTCCACATTACTGCCAAAGAGGAAACCAGAAGAAAAAAATGAAGAGGAGGAGGAAGAAAGGAAGCCGGCCGAGTTTGATGTGGCCATAGACGAAGAAGTTTATTGTATCTGCAGGCAGCCATCGTTTGGAAATATGATAGCTTGTGACAATAAGGAATGCCCCAATGGAGAATGGTTTCATTATAAGTGTGTTGGATTATTGAATAGAGTTGAAGCACTTCAATATTCCAAAGGGCGGAAACGATGGTATTGCAGTCAAGAGTGTCGAGAGTCTGTCAACCAAAGAATTCAAAGTAAAAGGCTTCTGGGCAATAAAAGAAGAAAAAAGAAAGGTAGTCATAAGTGGTCCAAATAAACCAGCGAAAAGTTTATGCAATTTCTATTATTAAAAAATACCCTATAAAGACAATAACTCTAACATTCCACTGATCTCATTGGCTTCCTTGCATTTTCTAACTTCTATGTTGATCCGTTTGTATAAGTTTTGGAAGCATTCTTCCAACACTGGATTTTTCTCGATCAAAGAACCATACATTTCCAATATGACTCCAATATAGTCGCAAATTAAGTTCACAGAACGAACATCTTCCATATTCTTTGTGAGCCATTGGAGAATGGGCAATAAGGATATCTCATCTCTTCCATATAAAGAGATTCTTATTTTCCCTCTTTTCTTTAATTCATTGAGAACTGTTATTGTGTTCTCCTTTGGAACACCTGGAGAGAATGCACTATCTAAAGCGTCTGACCATCTGAAAGAGTTCAAATGCTTTTCAAATTGTTTTAACTTTTTGGATTGATTCTGTGGAGTAGAAGAATGCACTATATGATGTTCTTCCTCACCGGTATAATCTGCTCCTCTCATCATTCTAGCATAAGCATTTGATTTAACTTCTTTAATGCCTTGTTTGACTTTTGGTTCCGTCTTTCTGGTACGAATAGAAACCAACCCGGAAGTCAACCCACATACAAAATGCTTATGGTTTTCAGGAGAAACTCCACACAGTAAAACACCACCAGAACCAAACTTCCAACCAAATTTAACTTCCCAATTGGATGTGGTATAGTCGAATATTTTAACATGTCCATCTAAAGAACCCACCATAAGACCTTTATCTCCAGTGTTATGTAATGATGTGGCAGCTTTGGTAAAGTTATTTAATTCATGAATTTGGGTACTTCTTGTCAAATCCCATACTTTAACTTGAGGACCCCCAGCACTTACCAATGTGGTGGGAGAAAGGGCTAAGACATCTTCAACTGGAGAATCATGAATAAATTTGCTCACACATGTTTGTTGCCTGGTATCAAATACTCGAACAATACCATCGTAACAACCAGTGGCTACCAAATTAGGATTGCCAGGTATGAAACTAGCACTTCTTATATAATCACCATGACCTCCAGTAAACTCAGTAATAGGACCTTGCGTAGTTTGAGAAATGTCATACAATCGAAGAACACGATCATCAGAACCAGTTATCAATTGATTCCCAATGGTTGAATGAAACTTGGCAACGTGCGTAGGGTATGTAGATGGGTTTAAACTGACCAAAAGATTTCTCTGTGTGCTATCAAAGATACTGACTAATCCTGAGGCATCACTGGCCACAAGTAACTTCCCATCAAATCTGTATTCTCCGCTGTATACGGTATCCTTGAATCTCAGAAATGTTTTCACCACCTGCCTAGTCTTAGCCGAGAACACTTGTATTCTCGTAGAAGAAGTCACTGCAAAATCATGGGGTGATACAGGGTTAAAGGAAATATGCGTTATAGGATAGTTTTCTTTGACTAACTGGGGATTGGAAAACCCTCGCCAGTATCTTTGTTCCGGAGTAGTTTTAGACGGTAACGTGGCACTCCGTACTTGTTGCACTCTCTGCTTACTCGATGACATATTAATGACGCTGTTACAATGGTAGTACTGTGTCGTGGTACTGGAAAGTTCAGCTGATCAAACAACACTTGTGGTGATGAGGTTTACCCTAAACTTTTTTTTCACACTGGTTTCGATGTCGCATTCTTACATAATACTGACGCGATGACCTTCTCAAGTCTGCTGATTTAGATCTGGATGGATACAAAGTGTAATGGTGGACTGGAAGCAGATTGGTGGAAAATATAACTATGTCTGGGTCTATTAATACCGATAGGCTTGTTGAGTGGTTGAATCAGAATGGACATTGGGACGATGAAATCCTTGAAGTAAGAGCATCAACCGTTGGTGGTATGGGGGTGTTTCTTAGAGACGACATTAGCGTAGAAGACGTGGACCAACTTCTTTTGAGAATACCAAAAAGCAGTGTATTGAGTTGTAAGAACTCATATATTTACAATTTACTTATTGACTACCAAGAACTGCAAGACTTTGCTGAATTTGGAAATACTGATGAAAATGATGATACTCCAATTGACTTAACTAGTGGAATGCATGGACTTGTATTGGCAGTTATATATGAGTTGGATGCCGGAAATAGTTCACCATGGTATGAATATTTGCATAGTATCGACTTTGTAAATGCAAGCACACCGGTATGTTTGTGGAGTGAGGCCGGAAAGAAATTGCTTCGTAATACCGAGATCGACTTATTAGATATGCTTAATCTGAAAGAATTGACATGGTTCTTCAAAGTGTGTTGTGCATTCGCTGAAGCAAACTCAGGCATAATTGATGTACCGGGGATTCTACGTAGAAGTGAATCTGCCAAAATTGCTCAGTTTGGTAAGGTTGTGACGTCTGTGATATCTCGTGCCTTTGAAGTTGACGATTTCCATGGGTTAAGTTTGGTTCCTGGTGCAGATCTATTTAACCATAAGTCCCCATTATATAGCGAGAATATGATCAAAGGTGGCGAGCATGTGCATTTCATGAGCGATAACAACAGTTGTTTAACATGTGGAGAAATTAACTGTGCCGACCACGGCAGTGAAACCAGCAGTGAAACTGGCGGGGACTCTTCGGTCGATGAACTGGAGTCTAATGAAAGCATGAATGAAGAAGAAGAAGAAGAAAAGAATCCTGAAAGTTCAGCAATCACCTTGGATGATATTGCTATGTTAGAACAGGAGTTGGCTGAAGAAGAAGAATCTGATGCCGATACAGATAAAGATGACGATGAGTGTCTGACTATTAGTGACTCAAAGATAAACGGTGGTGTCTCGAATACTCCAGAAGCAGAATTGGCTTTAGAACTAGCAGATTCAAGCAAGTGTTGTGATATTACTCTTGTTGCTAACGATATTCAGCCAGGAATGGAAATCTTCAACACATACGGAAATGGGCTCTCTAATCCCTACTTGCTTCAAAGGTATGGATTTGTATCTCCTAACAATCCCAACAACACAGTGTCATTATCAGTGCAGATGTTCCGGTATCTCAAGAATTTAAGGAAGGGGATATCGAAGGGAAAGGAAACCATGTTGCAGGCGAAGATCGACTGGTTTGAGGAGGTTGGTTTTGGTCTAATTAATGACATAGATCTTGAAAGAAGATCTTGTCACCAAAAACATGGCCATGGACACGAGCATAAACATGAACATGGTCGTTGTGGAGAAGAAGATAAAGAGGATGAAGAAGATGAATATGAAAGTCCAGAAACTTGGCCTTTGGCTGTACGTATAGAATATCCTGGCAAGCTTTCTATTCAAGCATGTGCAATAATACTGCTCCTACAAATGTCTTTCAAGGAATTTGAGCTTCGGTTTAGGAACATCACGAAACCAACTGCTTTATTAGCCAATTCAAAGAAATATTTGACCGTAGAAACCCCTGAAGTTCTTGGATTGGCCAAAAGATGGTGTCAAGAGAAACTTCGTCTCTACTGCCCTTTAGATTCTAATGATTTGTTGTCGGAAACAGAAAGACACTTTGAGATCATCCGCCAAATCATTGATCAGGAGCAAAAGATGTTGGTATTATTTATTAACAAGCTGTAGCCATAGGACAAATCTAGCATTTCTGAGTTTGTATAAAGTTGATACTACTTGAACAGTGAACAGTATCTTATAGTAACAATTACTAATACAACGTAGCTGTTACAAAGGTTAACGCTGCTACAACCTAGCACTCTTGCATTATTACTCAATTAAGTAATATCTAGTAGAACCAGTTGCGACCTGCTTTTTCCGAGTCAACAGTCTGACTGTTGTTCTGATCATGCCTTCGGCTGAAGACTACCTTACATTGAAATCGCGAAACTTGATTATACCAAAGCACGTATTGATGTATTTCCTATACCCTAGAACATTACCACTAACCCCATCTGTTGATACATAGTAGTAGACTGGTTGTATTGCAATATATACATCTAGCCATCTCCTCAATGTCCGACACTGAAGGGTCCAATACTGGATCCGAGTTTGACGTATCAGATTTTGAGTACGATGACTCCGATGGCGAATACTACCAAGGAGATAATGAAAACTTCGAGGCTATACAATCATATTCCAAAAGTTTGAAGGAATCTGGCTGCAAGCAATGGCGTTTGGCAGAATTCATCCAAGAGAACTTTGTCGATCGCGTGGATAAACTTCACATACCGTCTTCCAAAGCCTCTAAAGAAGAGTTGTTGATCTTGTTACATCACTGCAATTGGGACGAAGAGCGTTTGATTAACTTGTATTATGATGGTGCAGATGAATTGAAGGAGAATGCTGGTTTACTGAGATCCCCGATCCCAGGGTTCCAAGTACGTGATGACTTTGAATGCAGCATATGTTGTAATCTGGAGCCTTCTACAAAGGTTTTCTCTCTTTCGTGTCATCATGAATTCTGTCTCTCATGTTATTACAATTATGTTAAAGAAGAACTTCCCAAAGGGAAGCTAATTAGGTGCATGATTCCTGATTGCAACTTGTCGATTCCTCATGCTTTGGTACACCAGATTTGCAAACTAAATAACAATTCAGAATCTGTGGCCATGGATAATTTGGTTGATAATGAACTCTTATACTATTCGGCAAATCTGTATGTAATACGACATCATGATACATTCCGATGGTGTCCTGCTATTGATTGTCAGAATTTAGTTCAGATGGATTTAACTGCCAGGTTAGCGGAACTTGACTTAGATGCCATTGATCCTTTTGATAAGAATTACCGAGGATCTGATTCTGAGGTCAAGATAGTGACTTGTTCTGATGGCCACGAGTTCTGTTTCTCTTGTAAGTTTGAGAATCATCTTCCATGTAGCTGTTCAATTGTCCGAGCCTGGGATAGGAAAGTGACTGACGATTCTGAAACGTACTCATGGCTAGAGGTCAATACGAAGGGATGTCCAGAATGTGGTACCAATATAGAGAAAAATGGAGGGTGCAATCATATGAAATGTTTTAAATGTGCTTATGAATTCTGCTGGATTTGTCTAGGTACTTGGGAAGAACACAAAGGTTTCTACAATTGTAACAGATACGTTGCTCCATTGCCACAAGAGGAGAAAGAAATGAAGAAGAAAAGGCGGTATTTGGACAGGTATATGCATTTCTATTCAAGGTTTATGGAACATCAAAGTTCTATGGCCTGGGATTTGAAAACTTTAAAGTCGATTAAAAAAACCACTGAGGAATATATGCATGAAAAGGCCACAGATAGCACTAAAACTATTAGTTATAATGAAATTGACTATCTTCAGGAATCTTTTAAACTGTTGGTTAGAGGAAGAAAAACCCTTAAATGGACCTATGTATTTGCATACTATTTGACCAAGTCTAACTTTAGGTCGATTTTCGAACAGAATCAAGACTTTTTGAATGCTCTGGTAGAGCAGTTATCCGAACTATTTGAGAAAATTCAAACTAGTCAAGATAATATGAAATTAGTAGTGCAACTCAGAACTGATCTTGTTAATGTGTCTAAATCAGTTACTAATCGGAGGTTGAAGTTGATAGAAGCTGCTCGTGAATTTCTCCAAAGGGGCTTAATTACATTTGATGAAGGCTTCTGATGATGCAGAGAATGCATACAATAAGATTATTGATGAGAAAGCAGCCCTTCAATTCAATGCAATGCAAATGCCGCAAGATTTCTTCTTATCACCACCAACAATCCTATTCAATCCTCTCTAATCCAATCCAATACGTGCAATTACAGCGGGCTTAACAGCGTAACAAATCATATAGTTGTGGTTTAATCAAGGACATTGTATTGATGTTTGACTCTCACAACCTCACCTTGGAACAACATCTTATCCGATTAGGATACAGTGATTGGACACTTTGCTACAATAAGCGTTTTTGAACCATTTTATTTTTTTTGAGAATGCCTGTATAATGGAGGTGGGACCTTATCGCTTAAGCCGCATTTCCCAGTTGGGAACCGGTATCTGTCCGATATGGACAGTAGGGTTACAATATTTTGGACTGATAAGTCAACACGATATCAGCATTCGTAAGGTGCAGGCAAGTCTTTTTTGTATTTATGAAATCGAGATCAGGATTCTTCGTCCCACTTTAGTCTACTTATGACTCTTAGTCGTTAACATAGTTGTTATTGCTAGCACTACCTTCAAGGCTATAGAAATGGAGCATAGAGGAAGAGATACTCGACGAGTGTCAGCTCCAATCGAAGATACAAGGACTAGTGTCAGGGCTAAGAGTAGTAGTGCTATCGGGGCTAAACCTAAACTCAGTCATGATTGGAACCGAAGCAGTACTCAGCTCGCATTACTTCCTTCTAAACGAGGAGGTTTGTGTCGTAATAGTGGAGAACTGTTGCTATATACAGCATTAAACAACTCCCAACTCTCCGATAGACAAAAACGTTTGCCAAAGTTGAATACCGATCCCAATAATGCAAATGAAATGAAGCCTACTTTTAGAAATCCTAGATACCTGGTTAATGCAGAACAAAAATTACAAAGACCTCAGGTTCGAAGATGGAACAGTTCCAACGATGCTCAACCCCTGAGCATTAGTCCTACCGTTGTTGAGCGTCCTGATAGGTTTAGAAGTCAGAGAGCTCTCTGTAACAGCAACAGCAGTTCAACGTTGTCAGTTCTTAACGATCAGTACGATACTACCCGACCTCAGGTTAACTATGTCTCTACTGATAATACGTTCCGAGATTTGAATAAGGACATAAAGCCCTTTAAGGAAAGTAAAGATGATAATATATCAAATGAGAATACGGATACACTTGCGTTGAAATTTTACACAAGGATGTCTAATGTCATAAGCATTGCACAGAATGGAATAAACTCATTGGTTCCTTCAAGGTTCAATAGCATGGTTGATACCAGTTATGGGACCGGAAGACCAGCAAAGTCTACCCTTTTGTTGCATTCAGAAAGTGAAGACGAAGAGGATGATGGCCACGATGCAGACGAAGAGAATTATGAAGAGGATAGTGAATCATTTTCAGGTGCGTTTAGGGATGGTTCTAGAAGCTACGATAACTCCGTTTGGGATTCACCTGCAATAAGTAGTTTGAAGGTTGGCAAGAAGGAGTCAGTGGGTAACATTCAGGATATCATGAAAGAAATTACTGATTTCCAGAGTAACTTTGTTAATAAGTTTGGGGATGATACCAACCTTAATAACGAGAAGTTTAATCGTACTCAGCAGCGTATTCTTGACTACAAGGAGTTAGAAAACAATACCAGTCTTCAAGGACTGAATAACCCAATTGCATTTGAATCTTATAATTATCGGATACAATATGAGACAATCATCAACCAATACAACTCTATTAGATTTCGGTTTGCCAGCAAGACTATTACTAAGGACAATAAGATCAGGGTAGACACAGGAGTTCTTGGTTTCATTAACCGTCAAGAGAAATTTGACTATTTAAAAGCAACAGACTCAAAACAGCCGAAACTTATCTCTGAACAAGATAAAGATGAGTATCTTCAGAAGTTATGGGATAAGGAAAATAGCCAAACATTCAAAACTGTTAGTGAGAATCCGGAGAATACTTGTTCGAACTCAAGCGTTGTGAGCTCCAACACTAATTTTTCTGCATCTTGTACAAATACCAGCCTGAGTACGACAAACATGAATATGCTTGAAATGGCCCGTTCTGTCAAACTTGGCCAAGCCAATATTTAACATTTATGCATTTATACTGGGTGGGTCTATTATTAAAAAAAATAATACTAAACTTCTCTTTGTTGGTGATAGTGAACAATAGTCTCCAATAAGACTTTGAATCCATTTTCAACATCTTCAGGTGAAGAATATTCCTCTGAGTTATGGGAATACAATTTTTAGAAGGAATGAAGATCATTGATGTGGGAACCACCATAGAAGTAGAACATGAGTAGTGACCTGCACCGTTTATCATTTCTTTTTATTCTTCGGGTTTAAATAACAATAATGCAAACTCATTGAGAGCATCGACGTTCTTTTGATCAAATTTCATTGCCTTTGATTTCCGGGTGTTTGTGAAATCAACCTGAAGTGGCCGATTACCATTTTTCCCTTTAGCTCCACTTTCTTAAAAAGCGGCAGTGGCTTCATCAGCTATTTGTTGTAATTTTGCATCTTCCACGTCTAGTATCAAAGGTGAATTCGACTCTTTCGGGTATTGCATTAATTGAAGAGGATTCTAAGCTGCAGCAACCAATGGTTGCTTGACCATTGTGGGATTCAGCGATTTCTGTACCCTTGAGAATCATTTTAGCTGTCATTTCCAAGGTATCAGCTCTGCTTTTCATAGGCGTGGTACCTGCAAGACATGCGATACCCTTTACAACAACTTTATTCCAATAATAAACTTGCACTCCGGTGACTGCTCCATTTTTTTCTCATCTTCCAATATTGGAACTTGTTCAATATGGATTTCAAAATGCGCTGCTAATGGGTCATAGGTGTAAGAGGCATCTGTAGGTCCCAAATAACCAAATCTTACCAATTCCTCCTTGAAAGTTACCTTTTCAGTGTCAAAAATAGATTCAAGCTGTAAAGCAGCCCAAACACTTGAAGCTATCGTGGCAACTGGGAATCTTGCGCTCTCTTCATTAGTGCAATTCACTAAAGCTTGGGGTATAGTTTTTTTTAAAAGTTCTTAATCCGTCAAGGCCTGATAATACACCGTACATACCATGGTATCTTCCATCTGAAGGCTGAATATCTAAATGTGACCCCATACCAGTAGGTGGTTTCAGGTCATCTTTTCCTGGGTTATATGGCAAAGATGTTACCAACAGCATCAATTTTAACTTCACAACCTAACAGGTTGACTTCATTAACAAACCAATCACGTACCATCTTATCCTCGTCTCCTGAGGCTAATCTGCGAACCCCAGTTTTTGTGGGGCCTGCTCCCCACACCCCATGCCTCATTTGGCGGTCTCGTGGATAGTTTCTTAAAGACGGCCCGGGCTTGTTTCAAGGCCACGCACAAGTAAGGAAATAAAGAGCGGTGCTGTCAATGAAGAAACAAATGAAATGCGGAATTGGCATCCTTTCATAGCTGATAAGAAATCGATTGAGAAAATACAACCGATTAATCTTAAGACACTATCCAGGGTTGGGAGCGCTGTGAACTTTGGTGGATCTAAGTTGCATATTCTAAAGAATACAGTGATCGTTTGGCTTGGATAACTAACAACAGGATATCACGTGATGTGTTACTATGTCATTAAAAGCGGTGAAGAGGCTTCTGTGAATCGCTAGATTAGAAGTACCCGAACCAGATAGATGCCCATAAACATTACATTCTGACGTTTTAATAATCATATAAAAATTTTCTTCGTAGATAAACTAAGTTGAATTGTATCATTGATACGATCAAAGAATTGAAAGTTAGAGAGTTTGATATATGGAAAGCCTCGAACTTCAAGTTCAAGCTCAAGTTTCTCATTAAGCATTTCTTGTAGAAGAAACTGGGCGGATCATTTCTTCATCATCGGTGTCTTCAACATGTTGTGCCATGGCCTTAACACCGTCGGTGCCAAACTTACCAATCAATTCGTCACTGTTGAAAATCTCAACAGGTGTAGTCCTGAACTTTCTAGCTGGAACACCTTGGGCAAACAAGACATCCAATTCCGCGAATGTTCTGCCCTTGGTTTCTGGTAACTCGAACCAAGCCCAAATGGATGATGCAATACAGAATCCACCCCAGAAAAACCCAGTTTTAGCTCTCCAATTCCAGGCAGTTGGGTTCAACATGTATGGAGTAATGATAGCAATAACAATACCTGCCAAATTGTAGACATTTCTGGAAATAACAACGGATTTGGTCCTTAATCTAGAGCTAGGTATTTCTGTAACGATACAGTAGCATAACGGACCGACTGTAAAATCATAAGAAAATGTGAAAAATAACAATAACACACCAACACCCCAAGAAGCATTATTGGCACCTTTATCGATCGCGATACCAAGCGCACCAACGATAACTAATATAACTGACAACGTACACAATCCATAAAAGTAAATGGTGAATCTACCTGCATTTTTAGCAAGGAACCAAGATCCTAGAGTACCAATAACACCAAAGATATACTGAATGATTGTGAAAGTAAATGAATTGGATTCAGACATACCAGCTTGGATCAAGAAATAGGACGAATAACCCATCAAAGACGAACCACAAATGTTCTGTGACAACCACGTCAAAGCTCCAATTCTAGTCCTTCTCCAGTTACCGTTTTTAAAACAATCTAAGTAGGAAGCCGAGGATGAGTTTTCTTCGGCTTCTCTTTGCTTCAAAGTCAATTCGATCTTGTTAACCATTTGTTGAGCTATAAATGACTTGTCGGTCGTACCTTCAGTGATAGTCAATAACCTTTCCATGGAGTGTTTGGCTTCCTTGAACTTACCCTTATTTACGAGCCAGTAGGGTGACTCAGGAGCAAAATAGATACCGACTGCAATTGGAATTGGCCAGACCCATTGGATAGCCCATGGGATTTTGTAAGCAATTGCACTATTGCTACTGCTAAAACCCTTCAACATACAAGATGAGATCAATTGGCCAATGACCCAGCATAAGTTGACCCAGGTGGTCAAATAGACTCTAAGAACTAATGGACAAACTTCAGATGCGTATGTTACAGTAAGAGTTTGGAATGCACCCCAGGGTATACCTAAAAGAATTTCACCAGCTGCAATCATACCTAACGAGGTTGAAAAGAAAAGGACAAATATAAACCCAGCAACCATCATTAAGGCACCGATTAATGTCCATCTGTAACCAATTCTGTCTGATACTAAACCTGCTACAAACAAGCCAAAAAACTCACCAACATACACACACATAGACAACGATGTTTGCCAATGAGCAGGAATTTCCCAGACCCCGCCATCTTTCTCCGGATAAAAGGTACCGAAATGTTCCTTAAATGCTGGGAACCCGTAGAATGAGTTCAACAAGTTGGTTTGATAACCTTCCATAATAATACATAATGAAAGGACAAACGACCAAAATGTTGCTTTAGGGAAACGCTTAATACCCTCCTTGAGCGTCATAGACTTATCTGCATTTTCTGACTCCTTAGCTGATTCAATAAAGAAGTTGACGTAGTTAGTTGGATCTTCATTAGAGATTGAATCAGTTGACTTGACGTCCACTTTATTATCTTTTTCACCAACCAAACTCATTTTTTATTGTTAATTGTGATATAAGATGATTTACCAAAACACTAAAATCAAAAGTTGGAAATCAATGCCTATTTATATAATTTCCCATCATTTGCAGCAGTTCGTTTTGCAATCATGAAAACGAGAGCGGCTTGCAGGTACGCCAATTATTTGTGGAGACCGACACAAAGAAGTCTCGGTGATACTTGTGTTTTCTTGACTCCAAAAGTGAAAGGAATTTTGAACTCCACCTTTAATAAACTTTCCGACCAATGTTGCTTGACCTCACTGTCTGCGTCTTTATTGTCTAAATACTTAAAAAATTCTTGGCTATGATATGTGGCCCACTTGTCTGAAGGTTTTTTTTGCACTTGTGACAATTTTTTTTACTGTCGTGATGCCAAGAGAGTAGGCTGTGAAAGTCTTGGTATAAAGAAAATTATTATTTGAGACTAGTAAAAGATTTCGCAGCCGTTCTGCTTCCTGTTAATAGAGACCAGACAAGACTTATGGATTTCTTGATTCACCATTAGATTAGTGAAGACGACACTTCCGACACTTCCGACATGAGATCCAGGGAAAGATATGAATAACACGAAAGTAACAGACTTTTGTTCACCTCCCCGACACTTTAGAGATTGACGGTGTGTTTCTGGGATATAGTCTTTTGCTTCTTGAACGTGAATTACATTATTTTAAAATTTTAGTTCAATAGTAATGGCTACGGATAGCTTCTAATGATATTGGATAGATTTTCGGATATTTATGAATGGGTCTACCAATTATTTAAGAGAGTTGACTTCAGAAGACAATAAAGGACCACAAGACATTTTAGAAGGACATTCAATCCGTCGAAAAACTTTAATACATTCATACGTTGCAAGATTTATATGTCCGAGTGCATTTTTGATCGAGCACGTCTGACTATCTCAATCGGTAGCGCGTTTGACACTTAATCTTAGACAAGCGAAACGGTCAAAAGGTTGCAGATCCCACCCCCGCGTGGGGCTTAACACCCAAACTTCGTTCACTATTATTCTTTTGTCTGATATCACTATTATATGGTACCAAATACCAAGTACCAACCAGTAATAATATCAAAAAATCCAAACTATAATATTTAGATATAACATTGGCGGCGTGTAGGTGTTTACAAGCTTTATGTGCCTAGAACGCTACTTTTAAGATTTCCTCTTTTATTACAAAAGCAAATAACAATATTAGGCATAAAATTAACATTATAATAATCTGAAAATATATAACACTGACGTATTTAGGTTCTAGCCTTCAAAAATTAAAGCATTAGAAGCAAAATGCTCGTATGTATTTTGACATTTTGTTATCAATGAGCAAGCCTATGTCCTATCAATAGGATGGATCATTTCTTCATCATCGGTGTCTTCAACATGTTGTGCCATGGCCTTAACACCGTCGGTGCCAAACTTACCAATCAATTCGTCACTGTTGAAAATCTCAACAGGTGTAGTCCTGAACTTTCTAGCTGGAACACCTTGGGCAAACAAGACATCCAATTCCGCGAATGTTCTGCCCTTGGTTTCTGGTAACTCGAACCAAGCCCAAATGGATGATGCAATACAGAATCCACCCCAGAAAAACCCAGTTTTAGCTCTCCAATTCCAGGCAGTTGGGTTCAACATGTATGGAGTAATGATAGCAATAACAATACCTGCCAAATTGTAGACATTTCTGGAAATAACAACGGATTTGGTCCTTAATCTAGAGCTAGGTATTTCTGTAACGATACAGTAGCATAACGGACCGACTGTAAAATCATAAGAAAATGTGAAAAATAACAATAACACACCAACACCCCAAGAAGCATTATTGGCACCTTTATCGATCGCGATACCAAGCGCACCAACGATAACTAATATAACTGACAACGTACACAATCCATAAAAGTAAATGGTGAATCTACCTGCATTTTTAGCAAGGAACCAAGATCCTAGAGTACCAATAACACCAAAGATATACTGAATGATTGTGAAAGTAAATGAATTGGATTCAGACATACCAGCTTGGATCAAGAAATAGGACGAATAACCCATCAAAGACGAACCACAAATGTTCTGTGACAACCACGTCAAAGCTCCAATTCTAGTCCTTCTCCAGTTACCGTTTTTAAAACAATCTAAGTAGGAAGCCGAGGATGAGTTTTCTTCGGCTTCTCTTTGCTTCAAAGTCAATTCGATCTTGTTAACCATTTGTTGAGCTATAAATGACTTGTCGGTCGTACCTTCAGTGATAGTCAATAACCTTTCCATGGAGTGTTTGGCTTCCTTGAACTTACCCTTATTTACGAGCCAGTAGGGTGACTCAGGAGCAAAATAGATACCGACTGCAATTGGAATTGGCCAGACCCATTGGATAGCCCATGGGATTTTGTAAGCAATTGCACTATTGCTACTGCTAAAACCCTTCAACATACAAGATGAGATCAATTGGCCAATGACCCAGCATAAGTTGACCCAGGTGGTCAAATAGACTCTAAGAACTAATGGACAAACTTCAGATGCGTATGTTACAGTAAGAGTTTGGAATGCACCCCAGGGTATACCTAAAAGAATTTCACCAGCTGCAATCATACCTAACGAGGTTGAAAAGAAAAGGACAAATATAAACCCAGCAACCATCATTAAGGCACCGATTAATGTCCATCTGTAACCAATTCTGTCTGATACTAAACCTGCTACAAACAAGCCAAAAAACTCACCAACATACACACACATAGACAACGATGTTTGCCAATGAGCAGGAATTTCCCAGACCCCGCCATCTTTCTCCGGATAAAAGGTACCGAAATGTTCCTTAAATGCTGGGAACCCGTAGAATGAGTTCAACAAGTTGGTTTGATAACCTTCCATAATAATACATAATGAAAGGACAAACGACCAAAATGTTGCTTTAGGGAAACGCTTAATACCCTCC